GATGTTACTGCTGTGCTCCTGATTGCGCAACCGTGAAATACATGGACTTCAAACTAGCCTTTGAAAAGTCTTTGGATGATTCGACCTACGAATGAGCAACTGCCTACTACACATACCTGGATATCAAAAAGGCTAATTGCAAATAAGATGGTTTGAGTAAGAGCTCTATACATTACATGACGCGTTAAGCAATCTATGAAATGATTCTTATCCCATTTCTGTCGTTATTGATACAACAAGCGCTGTGGAATAGCTACCACCAAGCCCCTTTTTAGCCCCCCCTCACCACTTCTCCGCAAGGCTAGGACTGGGAATATCAAAAGCTACAACATGTATTAAAGATGCCATACGACGCAGAGCATAAAACCAATGATTGAATACATCCGAGAATCATAAAACCTGACTAGAGCTCGTTGTCTCATATTGTCCTCAAAAAGTGTTGCGATGTCTTGGCTTAGCCCCCCCTAAAAGATTGAGAATGTATATGTCAGACGCTTACTCGGCACAGCAACAAAAGAGGGACAGTATAATCGGCAATTTGGTGGATTACTGCTCATATGCCTACGTAGTTAGTCAAGAATTAAGCTAGCAGTAGTATAGTAGTTCACTTCGACTCTATCGCTGTGAATAATGGGCTGTTGCGTTGCCTGCCAAGGCATTGCTTGGAGGCAGCCTCATCTCTCTAGTTGCGTATACACTTTACTTCCTCACAGCCACCTAGGCAGGTAGGTACCTAATAATCAACCTACGATGTTCATATGGGGCACCATACTTTCGTGGTATCAATGGTCAATCCTCTGAAGTTCTTGTCTGAATGAGGTTATGAGGTTCCGGCGGCTCGAGTATTTAATTTGCCGTGGCAGCATAGCCATGCTTTAATGACCTGATTATCACTCGAAGGAAAAAGGAGACCAAGGCGGACAGATAAACCTCTCTGCACCCAGTCTCTCATGTTTCCCCGTCCAACAATCCCCCGTCGCGGCTCAGGAGAAAGGTCCGAACAATCGTGTCGAGGTAGTATTCATAGTTAAAAGTCGCAGTTCGCGGCATGGTGGTCTGGCCGTCAATTAAAGGAATGGTTTTATGCTTGCGTCGATCGGCGATTGCATTTCACTGTCTACCAACCGATACACACATCCGAACTATAGGGTTGGAATGCATACCAGGTTAAGCCTCGACGGGCACCCTGCGGGAAAGCGACACCAACCGTACCGGCTAGCGTGCATCTCACGGAAGCGATCCGATTTAAGGCGAATGTTATCTGAGCGCTTCCGATGGTTTCCGTCAACTACGAGCCCCCTATCGTTTTTCTTTTCTGTTCGCTCGAGAGAACCAGGGATGGGGGAAGGTCATGGACTTGGTCCGGGTGCGTATATGTAGGTTGGGCCTGTTCGGAAACATGTTACTTGTAAAGCCCAATAGCAAGTTTGTCAATTACCCATGTCGCGCCCAGCTCTCTCCTAAGCCACCATTTCTGCTTCTCCGGCGAATAACCCTCGAGGGTAGGGACGCAAGCCCGATCTTAGGCTACGGGCTTTGGAAAGTACTGAAGCTTGGACTGGTCTGCGATAATCAATCGCTTCTTTTTCAAGAGACTAGGATTATATTGCAAAAGAAAATGGGAACCAAAACCGAAGGGATGAAATTCCCAGAAAGGGGAAGGTAATTGTATTAAAAAAAGGAGTATGACAAGTAAGGGATAGCATTCATTTCGCTGGATCGGCTATGACAGTAGCTGCCTATGTTGTAGCTACGTAATCCACTAAACCAGAGAAATGGATAATGGTAGCTTTAGCTACCAGAGGAGCTACCTTAGGTATTCAAGTCACCTTTTGCTCCATAACAGCTTCAAAGCGAATCGTAGCCGGCTCCGGTGTGGTAAAACGTTCTTCTCTTACCACTACTCGCGAACCCACGTTGTACACCGGCTAACAGAGAGTACCGACTACCTATCAGATTGGTAAATGTAGGTTCGATATCAAGTACAGTAGAAACTACTCTTGAGCTTTCTGATTGGGATGATCTGAGGGGCCCGGAGGGACCCCAACATTTGTCCAGGACAAGGGCGTTCAAGCTTCTATCTACCTAGTAGGTACGATACGTTCTCATTCGTTAACATCCTTGAAGTAAATTCGTAATTACCTCTTGTTTGATGGCCACAGTATAATCTCCACGACAGCAAACTATACAGCTCAGGCAGGTAACTAGGGGAAATTAAAGAACACTCCATGGAAAGAAGGCTTGACAGTCTAGTAGGCTACTTCGAAGATCATCAAACCGTCTTATCTTTGCTTTGTATTTGTAGGGTTGTAACGGACATGCGGAAGCAAACAGGGATAAAAAGATGGAGGAGAGGAGAAGGGCTTGGTCTTTACGCCGGTTCGCTCGTTTATTCACAAATGCATCACTCGAAGATCCTATGGCCTCACGGACAATTTAGCTATCTCTGCCTACCGACATGCCTCTCAACCCCCTTTGTCTAGGACTATGGCCCAAGGCGGCCTCTTTGATGTAGGGCTACGATAAAAAGGAAAGACCTGATGGGTGATCGTGCTGGCCTTAGGCACCAACTAGTTGCTACCCATCGGGGGCCTCCATGCGTAGTAAACAGGATTTAGTCATCGGAAACATACGTAAGAAGTTTGGAGCCATACACCTCAGCTACGGAATGATGATTTGCGGGCCGACTACCCATGGGGAGAATTATTCCTCAGATGTCGTTGTCGATAGTCAAACAGAGCCTCAAGGCGTCCGACAGAAACTCGGTTTAGTTTAGGTGGTTGGAACCTGAGGTGTCATAAAACTGAGATCCCTCATTATGATATGCATGTTTTGCCACTGCAGAAGAAGCTAATGGAGATAGACCTACAGCAATAGGAGAGACCTCGTGCCACGTTACAAGAATTAAGATGCATTCTGCTGGATCGACATTCGGCATTTGCATTCTTCCTAGACGTATCTGCTGGGGGGGGGACCTCCATATTCCATATCGATATGTTTTGACCCGAAGCCCTTCAGAGACTAGGTTCTTAGTTCTTCACGTACATGCATGTCGTCTATTCCAGCTATGGTGCTCTTCTGTAGGGAAACGTTGGCATGGGGAGACATCCTAGGCAGTCATTTCAACTTTTCGGGAATCCCTCAAGCAGCTAGGCTGTTCAGAGGGGGTTGGGAAAAGATCACGACAGGAACTGGAGCCGTGATGTAGTTTGGACTGAGGAGAGCAGAGAGAGGGGTGTTTAACAAATGATTTCACAGCAACTGCCCCAATCTGGAAATGGGAAGCGAACAAATGCGGCAAGTCAAATCCGAATGCGCCCTAGCCTTGATGCAAATAGAGGGCTTGAGCAACGTGAAAGAGGCATGGGGAAGCCGAAGCTTTGCTTCATGTTGAATACCCAGTATTCGCGTGCCCGATAGCCGGCAAATGAAGGGGGTGAGGGAATAGTAAGTCTTTTTTTCACGTGTATTGCGTGTGCTGTCAGCGTCGACGGCACGGCGTGCGGGAATAATCGACTTTTTACATACACAGTAGCTGTAATTATGCACGGAAAGCCAAAGAGACTGGACAACCAACGTCAGCAGACAGTCTCGAGATATGTATCTTAGGCGGCGAGGATACATTTCCTTCGCAATTTCATAATCCTTATCGTCGATCAAGGCACAGTGAAGCGCGAACCCGCTGACAGTTCGTCAGAAGTGCCACAACATGGGTCTTTTGGGATATCATTGGCTCATACCCATGATTTGCTAATACTTCAGCACGCCCGGCTGTACTTGAGAAGGCAGGCAATACTATGTAGGAAGAATAGGCTTCGGGTAAGGCCCCTTGGTGCAACGGCTTGCATGGAAGACCACGCCATTTTGGTCCAGTCTTCTCGGTCAGGTTCTTGGTCTTCAATCCTTGGCACAGTCCGAGTGGTTGGCAAGATGGACTGGCCAGTATGTAGCAACTGGTGTTGAAATGTGATAGGGGTTAATGCTACTGTTGCTATATACTTAGGTGGTTTTCTTTGGCTCAGAATAAACCCTCCATTTAGAATAACTACTAGGTACATATATAGTATCCGATGACCAAAACCTCTCTTGCGCAGCGCCGGCTTGAACAACACTTACAGAGATATGTATTGGCCACACGTTCATCATATGTATTCTCGAACCCACAAATATTATGATCTGTACTTTCTACATATCGGTAGTGTACTATACTTGCTACGGCGTAAGCCTTGCGGAAGTATGTAATCGAAGTCTAGTATACCAAGACTCGATGAAGGTGTTTAGACACTACAGTGCTGGAACTGGCGTTGTAATATAGAGTAATGTTAGGTACATACTAGAAGATAATAGGAAATTGTGGATTACGAAGAAGAACATTGAAATCTTAGAAACGTTACAGGATATTTGATAGTAATGTAGATGTAACGGTGGGTGCCTGCATGAGAAGCCCACGTCGAGTCGCCCCTTTTCGATATTTCTTGCAGACAACTCCAGTACTTATGTATGAATAATCCATTTATTAAAACTACAATATGAGCCTGAAGAGGCTTAGGCTGAGTTCCGAGATGTCTCAAATTGCCTGTAGCAAAATTCTACTCGACGATGGAATGTTGGGATCGAACAATGAAACTAACTAGTGTGTAGTTGATTAGGACCATTTCGATAGGGATATTAACAAACGAATCAATATCACGTCATGAATATATATCCGGGACTAGAATCATGTGCTACGGGATATTGCGTCGCATATTGGACTTCTATCTGCATTGAATAAATCAACGAAAGGTAACCAGCGCGGGCCTGTAGTTATGGGTCGATGAAGACAACACTTGGCTATTTTTCGTAAATAAAAGTAGCAATAGAGGCACATATGTAGCATACTCATGCGATTTATAAAGGCAATTATTACCTAGACTGATGCGGATGCCACATAGACATGCACTCGCCTATTCTATTAAGTACCTACCTACCTAGGTAGGTTTTCTAGAACATTGGCTTTGGGGGTCAAGACGGAAAAGGGGATTAAGATGGTGGGCTTCTTCCTTATAAATTTAGCGATAATAGTGACTCCTGTGCATTATACTGTAGGTTAAGCGGTAGCATGATGTGATCCAAACCAACATGCCAAGTTTCCAACATGGCTCTTTACCTTACTCTACTGGATCGCAATGGACTCATGTCTCTACACAGTGTCCTTAGCTCGTAACTTATGGAATCCGTGCTATATCTCGGCCGAAAAAGCCTTTGCACTATTTGTTTAGATTAATATTAGCTCGGAATTATGGAAGATTCCGAACTACTTACAGACTTGGCCATGCAGGATAACATCGGAGCTCGAGAGACTGTTGGAATGAAGCTCACGTTAGGGCAGGCTCACGTTAGGACAGATAGGATGGATATCGTCTGATCTTATTCATCGGTGTGTAAAAAGTTTAGATAATGGTATCAATGGATAAGAAGGGGCTCATGGTTTTTGATATTGACCATGAGACTTCACCTTGTGTGCGGTTGTCCAATATACTATGTACATCGATCATAGTGGTAGAAAAGACGCTGGAGCTTCAATGGTCGGAATGTCTGTAGCGATGATGTCTTTGTGTTGCATGTGCTTGTATCCTTTCTGCCCACATCATAAGCAAAGCCTCACATGTTTAGGTACCTCTTTACCTAATCTAGGCAGTTTTGGTTTGCTTTCTTCAGTTTTCTTAATTCTTATGCTTCCTCTTAGATGTACTTCATTCTTATCCACCTATATGTAGGTACTAGGTAGTTTATTCAAAGTCCGGGTAGGAAACATTGAAGTCGAAGCATTTTATGGTGTATGTATGTTTGATGTTTGAGGGATATGACATGTACCCACTCATATATATATAGATACATAAATGTATATACCATAGTACATGTTATTATGGCAACTTGGCTGCTTGGAGGAGTTATGTTCAACAGTATTTCCCAAAAAGGACATACTATATACATGTATTGGACCCTTTCGAGTTGGTGGGTGCCCATTCCCAGCCCCCTACCTGTCGAGGCAACCCTGGTATGACAAGGGTACTCACTGACCATCGCAGCCATGATTGGCGGATCGGCTTATCCCTACATAGAATCTCTGGTCTGCACGGTCAACAGGGGGATATTTTTCACCGGTCAAGAAGCAAACGTGACAGTGTGAGTAAGGGGCTGTCTAGCTTAGTTAGGTATGTACATATATTTCAATACTAATAATGTTGGTACATACCGAGTCCTCCTTTTGGTTTTCCTGCTTCATGTGTATACTGTATACATATAGTTATATGTAAATATAAAATATGTGAAATATTTCCATACATAGGTAGGTAGGCCTGTACCTACATATATGTATAGAGTAAGTACGTGTCAAACGGACTCAAACCATTACATATGTACATGATGTATAGATGTATGTATATTAGCCTTTTTGAAAAATTTCTACCTAGTAGGTAGGTAGGTACCGACATACGTAGGGAAGTTTGCTTTTTCTTTTCCCCTCTCTGTAGTTATTTTGTATTTGTAGAATTGTGTTCTGGGATCGACGCGTTTGAAGGTTCTCTCAGCATTTTGATAATAAGTGGTATGGGCTTCTAGTGATATCTTCTGTATATGTAGGTATACAGATGTACTGAACCACGAGTTTCCTGAAACTGTTTCTTTACCCCAGAAAATCCCTTAAGTCTGTCAACCATGCTATTTTCCCTTGCCCGTTACCATGTGTTACCCCTGCCGCTGCCTGGTGACATGCATACTACGGTGGGTGCGTCCAAATCGCGCCACTACATATGTATGTTAGGTAGGTAAATTTTTATTTTCTAGTAGCAAGGGACAGCAACATATACCTAGGTACTTCTACTTGAATAGGTAGGTACCTACTCACCTAGCATATATACATATATACGTGTGTATTTGCTGATCCGAAATGTACCTTATGTATTATTATACCATGTCATGCCGTACATACGCCAGGCCTAGGCTTTTCGACGTGGAATTAGTATGTATCAAAACCGTCAGCTTGACTGATGTGATAATAAGGAGACCTTTCGAATCCATGGATGAATTGAGGCTCAAACAAATCAGTATGAAGTGAACTAAGTTCTATAAATCATCAGAGCTGTTTATTGAGCCGTCACCTCACACAAGATCTACAATCACCGCGTGGTCACTACTTGTTCAGCTTGCACAACCATTTCTGTACCAATTCGGCCAAGGACAAGATGTTTTGGGCAAAGCATGGCTTACTGCCATTGCTCTTTCAGAATATGCTAAACGTGGCACCGCTGTATGATGTAGATCACGAAATGCATTGACATAACGGCCAAAGATTGCTGCATCAGTACTCCAGATTAACGAGTTCACCAGAACATTGAAGCTGCAGGCCGATCCGAATACAACTGAGCCTTAAAATGCATACCTATTACCTAGCATAGGTAGGTAGTATGTACAATACAATGGTCTAGCCCCCGCACTGACTTGGCATGTCGACTCTTTCTGCTACATACATCCTACTAGGTATGTAGATAGACATCTTAAGTTCTTAACAAGTCCATAAGAGTTGTACATTCATCTATACCGCTCACACCTGCCCCAACGTATATATGTATTACGTTTCATCTCGAAGCCCATTTCTTTTAATTCTAAAAATATGAATTATCTTTCTCCGATAATGGGCACATTACGTGGCCATGTCTCTACTCGTCTTGAAAGTACCTACATATAGCACTTATACATACATATGTACCAACCAACATATGTACTTTCGTTTCATGACGATCATGAGAATTCCATACATACATACATAGCCATATCCTAACCTAAGTTTGGGTGGCACTCTTAAGTATTCCCTTATGTGGGGGTAACATGTTGGTCGGATGCATACAACTCATCGAATCAATGCCAACTCACACAAACAATAATGGATAAAGAGGGGCTGAATATTAAGTAGAATACTACATAAGTAAAGCCCTAAGGTACTTAGGTGTCTGGAAGTTTGTAGGGTCCGCTCATCAGACCATGTAGATATATTAATAGCCCTGCAACAGGAGAGACACAATGAAGATAGTTCTACTTCTAGCTTCCAAATTCTTCCTTTCGGCATGCTCAATAATTATCGCTCTTGGTCCAAGCCTCAAAATCTCGGGTAATAGAAGAAAATCATTGGTTGATTGATCTAGGGTGTGTAGAAACGACGACGAACTACCTAGTAGTTCTTCTCGAAGTGTTTTCTTAGCTTTATTCCTTCATCTTGCTGCTCTCTTCATCGAATTCGTCCTTAAATTAAAATCAAGAGGGATAGTTACTCCACTTCGGATCCAGAGCAGGAATATATTACAAGGATAAAGGTAGGTTGAGGCCAGGTAAAACCTAGGCGCTAACCTTCGGACTCGGGTCCGTCGTCAGAAAAGTGTTGGCCGGGAGAGGTAGCTGACGGTCACCACATTCCTCACGTGTCGTATTGTTCTCACGTAGGGCTTATTGTTGCCTGAAACATTTGAGATCGTGGCTTTGATAAGTTTCTACTACGTCCGTACCTTGCGCACTAAGCCTGCATGTGGTAGACCTACTCGGTTGGCCTACCCTAACCACCTAGACAACCTTGAAGTCATACCGCTATAGCTCGGTTGCTGCCGAAATCTCGTTGGAGATTGGTATCTCTTCTAGTCTCGTTCAACAGACCGTATACTAACTGCGTATATGAACCATGACGAACTAAAATGGTGTTCGTGGCAATGAGTATAGAGTATATGTAACTACATCTGCGAACCTACGTAGTAGACACTTAATAAAATACCTAAGTAGGTACATATCAATACTCCCTCGTTCAGTCATATACACACACACCTACTGATATTGATCTATATATACTCTAGAATCGATAGCGGAAGGTGTCATAGAGCATACATATAAGCACCTAACCTGTTAAGGACTTGCTCTTTAGCTTAAGCTAGGGATCTCGGCTGATCATCGTCAACCTCCTTGTATACTGCGAGGAAATTATGTACAGGTTTTGGAATCTAACGAAAGAGGAAGAGATGCACAAGAATAAGAGACTACAGTTTTCTGATTGCGTAAATATGAACAAGGACCCCGGCAGCAATACCTAATGACCAGGTAGTTCTAACTACAAGTTACTTCAGGCTGGCCAAACGGTTTTAACTTACCATGCAGCCTCCCGAAGACTAGACCACAACTCGGCCAAGCAGATCCCTTCCCAATTACCAGAGTGTGTTTGTGGCGTCTCGTAGAGGCATTGACGGTAGGGTACATGCATAGAGGAACGAGGTTCCTCATTCACTAGCTCCCAGAGTCTCGGTGCTTCTATTATCTCATCTACTCTATACACTTACTATGGACATACCGTATTGGCTGAGGATTCGATGTATTCGATGGTAAATATCGATGAGTGACTTTTCTGTTCAAAATAAACCCTCAAAAATAAACGTCTAGGTTCCTCTGCCTTTTCTTTCTCTTCGGGTCAAATTCTGAGTGATACCAGAGAACCCCCTCCCCCCTAAAAGGAGCGCGACTTTGCTAATTTCAGGAATATTAATTATAGTACGAAGCAAATTTGGGGGTCTGTGGCCACACCCTAGAACTTGTTTGGCCTTGAGGCTGGAGAAACCAAAACAATTTGAAGCATAAGCCCTGCAACTTGAGCGGCTCCTTGCCTTGATTGTCACGGAGGAAAGATGGAGCTAAGTTGCCTAGGTGCCTTGTGTCTAATTCGGCAGACTCTTCATGGCCTCGCTTGCTATACTCCACCTCGATGCCAACACTGATGTCAGGCACAGCCTGTGCTGCCTGCTTTGTATATGCTACTAGGTAGTCCGTAGATTTCTTTGGCTAGTCACTTAGGGCTACACCCAACTACCTTGTCCAGCTCATACATCACCGCGCAGCTCGCAAGTCGTGTCGAGAACCTAAAGGAGCGTGCTAGTAATAAAAAAGATCAAATGCGCCTCGAACTCTCCACACAATATACAGATGACCCTAATAGTCGCTGTCTCAAAAATCCCCCAGCTTGCACAACCTCTGCTACCACTATCACCTCACGAAGTCCCAAGCGGGCATAGACAATACCCACTTCGCCTATCCCATAGTCCTATCAAAGTTCTATCGTTCTGTTTTTGAAGATTCAAGCACCGCAGTCTGGCCGATATATGCTGCGGGTTTGATGTTGGCTTCATCCGCATGCACTACTTTGTGGCACTACTCTTTGCCTCCTTTTACAAGCCTCCTTAGATCTGCGCGGCATATGCCATCGTATCATCCGAAGCCACTACGTCAAGTATCAAGGTGCGTTTGATGAGGGTATATAGATTCCCTTCCATCTCGGGTCTCGTGTTTATGTCATTAATTTAGCCTGGAACTTTGCCCAGAAGACTTGCACAACCTTAACGGACCTCTCTTACGCTGATTCGTGAACCCGCGCCTCTCCCATCCGCGCCATCTACGAGCAGGCCACGTTGAGTCTATGAATACCCAGCAAGGGACGAGGCGAGACTTGTAAGGCTTGATTCTTGGATAACGCAAGGCTTTGGATCACGTCGGAGAACAAGGTATGCCAAATTACTGACGTTCCTGGAGGCTGATTACCACAAAGCCTTGCCATGGGATGAATGGTCGAATGGCGCCGGTGTGGTTTCATTTCAGTGCAATTGCATGCCCTGATCTAAATTGATACGCATGGCGCCATTCAAGTCGACCCAAGATGGCGGTAGGCAGGTGGTGTGCAGGGTCATTTGGCCTCCACCATGTTGATCAAACCAGGCTGCGCCAAAATTCTGCAGAGCCGGGAAGTGCTGACACACAATTTCAGGGCCCTTTTTCGGTCTACCTACAATATAGATATTCACACTCGCATGTTCGCATCCCTTTCCGACAGGAAAAGTAGGTACCTAGTTCTATTTCTGCTATGGTGCGGATAAGGTGCAGGCGCCACACACGAAATCGCGATCCAGGACCATTACAGCGCCGAGGGGCAGATCTCGAAGCCTTGCACTAGGTACATACATTGCCTACCTACCTACCTACCTACCTACAAACGTACGTATAGACAAAAGCGACAATTTGGTCAATATTGAAGATAGCTTACGGCTGATTCAGCTCGGCCCGTCGATCACTTTGATATCCCTTTACATACTAGAGCTTAACTGCTTAACCCTGTGCGGCTTTGAGATCGCATCTTGCGTTGCTGATCCTGCAACACAAGGACTACGAGACGTCTTAGCTACCTACCTTCCACACACTATACAGCTTTTCCCCCTTTGGTTTTATCTATTTACTACATTTCCCATTCTCTTCTCTTTTCCGTCACTGGTAAGCCTTATCATTGTTATGGGAGGTAAAGACTGACTCAAAAACTTGAACGGTCTAGTTTAGATTTATTACACACTGCAGGACGATATAGTTGCAGTTGTATCAATCACTTGGCATCCATGGTTACAGCGGATTATCCAAAGGTCGGTGTACATCCTAACCCCTGAACCTCAAGAACCACGCCCACCACCCCGTACCCTCCCTCCCCTTGGCGTACATACATTAATTAGTTACCTCAAAACCACCATTTCATCATGAATACCCTACTATAAATCGAAACCGGCGAGATAATATACTTGGCCAGTGTCCAATTACAACAACTGTATTAAAAACGGGGGGAGGCAAAGGAGAGAGAAAGACCAATTTTGATTTTAGAAAAAAAGAAGAAAAGAAAAAAGAACAGGAGAAGAAAAGCGCGAAGGTCATCGATATAATCCCCACTAATTCAGTTTCCTCAAGTAGGTATTTTACATACCTACCAATACCCTTACACACAACACATGTATGGATATAAGCCAAGGGAGTATGTATATACATACCAGCCTTAAGTAAGGCGCTTCATATTGATGGGGTACGCCTTATTAGTGGATAAAGTACCTGCCTGCTTATGAGGTACATAGTAGTACCTACATCCCCAGTACTTAGGCAGTACCCCTAGCTACCTCTTAAACCGTTACATTCGGTTTTTACCTTTTTAAGGACCTTGCACTGCCCTACAATCTACAATGCCTTACATTACATTACATGCAAAGAAGAAAACGGAAGTGATGACCGTTCACCGTTAACTGTTAACCGTTTTAATACAGCCAATCCACAACACGTCTTCAAACGCTCCGTCTCCGGGCTTATTAGTGTCATCAGCCACTCTTCGGCCGAATGAAACACGCCTCTCTTCTGACAGAGAGGCTCCTCGAATGAATCAACTCAATTCCAAGGTATTTCTTACCATTATATACTTCCTTATACACTCATTATATCTTCCACTCTATTCTTTGATGCATACTCCTGTTATTCCTTGCTCTTCCTCGTACCATCTTATTACCTCAACCTCTATCGAAAAAAAAGAAAATAAAGGGAAGGAAACAAAAATCACCAGTCGAGAAAATCCACTTTCGCCTTGCCGGTCTGCGTGAGAACGCTTTTAATTAACGGGAAGCCGATTGGGTCAAACGGGTCATGCATCTTTGCAGGTGTTGAAAGAGTCAAACTTTGAGATCCCAAGCAGTTCCAGTATGCTTACAGGAGTTTTGAGGTCGAAATAAGAAGAAGGCCAACCAAGGTCAGTTCAATCTCGAAAGTCTCGTCTTATTCTTGATGCACCCGTCCCAAGCACAAGCCCACACATGCGCCCGCGCGCACAAACAACGACACACCCGCACATTTACAAACACATTCACCCAAACACATATATAAGTATATAATATCCCCCAATCCATATACAAGTTAGTATTCGAGACAAGCACATAGAAACATATGTCGTTCTCGTACTTTCCTTCTAATATCCCGACTCGTGTCCAATCCACGATGGGGTCCTTGAGGTGGAATAAAGGAAGGAAAAGATATGGAATTCAAATCCTCTCAAGAAACGAAAAAGAGAAAAGAGGAGAGGAGGGAAGAAAGAAAAAATTTTGACGGAAAAAGACATGCCACCTCCATGGCTTTTAAATACTCTCTCGTGGTTACTAGGCTAATCTCTTGATGGCTGCATGATCATGAAGAAGAGACTTGTCATATTGGAGTAAAAAAAGAAGAAAAAGCAAAACAACACAAAAGAGAAAGTCCACTCACCCCGGCTTCCTATGTCGTACAAGAAAACGCCTCCAAGTCTCTTAGCGTGGTACCTCACGAGGGAATTATCTCTTTACATCTTCCAGAGTCAGGTACTATCCTCAAGCCTTGATCCTCGATCCCGACAGCCCTTTCCCTGCTTTCCCTGCTTCCTATGCCCAAGTACATATATCTATCCGAAGGTACCTGCCTGCTCAGTCCACCCTACCTACCCTGCATAAACCTAGCTGCATACTTAAGCTACTACCAGGTACCTAGTAGGTGGCCATAATTCATAAACTATTGACGTATCTTTCTCAAGTTGCGGCAGTACCACAGTGCAACGCACGGAATGACAAGGTACCTGTCACTTTGTCACTTTAACAGGAAGTAGCCGGGGCAAACACCGTGCCATTCATTTCCACTATTGCTGGAAGCACTTCATTCACTTACACATCATACACATCATACCCTTCATACCCTTCATACACATAAACCTATCTAGGTACCTAACCTACCTGACTACACACTTACTCAATCCATACCACACTCTACGTCGGGTACATTACATACATACACACATACACACATACACACATACACACATACACACATCCATACATCAATACCATATGCCATACATTATATACCACACACACACACATACCCTACCTACTGTACTTACATACATACATACCCATACATACATACACGATAGCCATCCCATCTACAATAACCAATCCCTCCAACCATCTGTCTATCTAGGTATTCGTGCCTACCTATGTACCTAACTGACCGGCTCCCACTTACCTGAAGACCTGCAAGCCATTTCGAGCACTAATCGCATTTTGATGTTAGAGGGTTCCGTACCTACAGCTCAGACCCGTGTACTAATAATTGTTTCCGACTCTTAGCAAGACCTGCTCATAAACCCTTGAGCCCTCCATTTTCCCACCGGCAATGCCCAAAGCCCGGTAATGATTGCAACTCAACTCATACCCAATGGGTCTTTTCTATTAATTAGACCCGCCACCGCTATGCTAAATATCCCGACATCACAGCTTACGTTACTGACAATTTTTGTCCTTCTAGCAGGACTTTGAGTCTTCGCCACCTTCGTGCCCTGGGCTGGAGTATCTTGACATTCCGGCAACAGCTGATATGAGGTGAGTTGATCCCATATTATTTGACATATGTGATTTTGAATCTCCTTCTGAAGTGTATCCTATACCGTTACTTCTATTCATCTACTTTTTCAGTTGCTTTTCTCCTCATTTTCCAACCACAAGTACTTGGCACTTTACACTTTACACTTGGGCATTGGCGGCGGTGATGATAGTGGTGGTAGTGATGCCAGTCAGGCTGCTTTGGTCGCCTTCTAGCGTCACCTCCTACCCACCCCCCCAAGCTACCTGCCTAACCTACCTTGCAATCTGCACCCACTGCCACCGCCTGTAGATCTCCTTCGCCATAGGCGCGGAGACGAGGTGCATTGGTGGCTGTTGCAGCTACACAAAAAACCTGTGACTCTTCCGCTGAAAGCCGCTATATGACATGGTTTGCACACTTCCCGGTCCTGTATCCGCTTGTGGGACACGAATGTTGTCAGTACCACCTATTGGTCGCACTTGATCACTTGAGAATTGTCTTGTATGGAATTGCGATACAGCATTTTCGCTAGCTTACCTAGAGCATTGTACATGAGCTTCCATTTGTCAAGACCCCTGCTGATATCTTCTCTCAAGATACAACCAAGATTCTAGTATCTCTTCTTTGACGATAGAAACCCCTCCTCAGCCGCCTTCTGTACTTGGCGGCTTCTCTGCGCCTTTGCTCAATAGCAACACTACAACGGGGTACTCCCCTGATACGGGATCTTTCTATTCCCCAGCCTCACAAATATTTTCTGGGATAGACGTCAGGCAACCACGCCTGGGTTCTAAGTAAGTCGTACACATTGATTCCACTCCTTACGGCATGTAATATCTGATCTGTATTTGCGACTATTGTGCTTCCTGCTTTACTTACTGCCGTAGTAGTAGCACTTCATCCACGGGCATGGCACATGCCAATCGCCCCACTGCGCTACCAACTCCAGCATACAACGTTAGAGAGCTCTACTCCGGACCGAGTCCATCCTTCAGAAGGGCAGGGGAGCATACAAGATCACCTTCGTTTGCAACGCCGTTGCGACGCCTTCCTCTATCGCCAACTCCTAGTCCTAGCATCGGCTTTACGAGTCCCGTCAGAATGGATGCTAGTCAGTACGGCAAAGCTACGGGATCACATATCCCACCGTTGTTGACTATGACTTCCAATGGTCAGCTATCTCACAGTGACTCTGCCACACCCATCAAGATCGATATTCATGGGACCATTGACAAGGGATTCTTTATGTCGGAAGGGGACTGGACATGCTACAGGAGGAACTATTTCTCTTGTATCTGTTCTTACAGTTTAACCCCATATTATCCCAACAGCACAATGCAGTATGTTCCTAATGGATCATCTACATCGTATCAGGTATTTGGGTTTGCCATGAGCATTTCCGCAGTCGTCTCAGACAGCGATTCACACACTATCGATTTAGTACAGCATACACCAAAGAGAGACAAGGGTCCAGTACAAAAACCCGAAAAGGTGAGACTCACTCCAAAGCAACCCCAACAAACGCCACACCCGCTTCTCTACCAGGACCATCATAGCATGTCTGGTGGATCTCGGCCATTGTACGAAGCCGGTTATGGGCAAAGCACCCAAGGATCATACCCAAGCGAGCATACGTTTGAAAGGATCCAATTCAAACAAGCGACTGCGAACAACGGCAAACGGAGAGCGGCCCAGCAGTATTATCATTTGGTGGTTGAATTGTATGCGGACGTCGGCAACCAAGCACAAGATCAGTTCCTGAAAATTGCGCAGCGAAAATCGGCGAAGATGATAGTACGTGGTCGATCCCCCGGCCATTACCAGACAGAACGGCGCGGCAGTACTAGTAGCGGACCTGGCGGACAAGGCGGGATGGGCTATCCCGGATCTCAAGTTCTTGGATCAGAGTACGGCACAGGTGGTGGATCTTCATTGCTCTCTGGCTCGTATACTGGTGGTGGGGGGTACGATACTCGGCCAGGGCATTACGGGGCAACGCGACACCACGAATTGCCAATGGAGCCAATCATACCGACAGAAGACGCGAAGGCCATTGACAATGCTAAAGAGTACCAATATTATCCATCGACGATATATGAGGGTACCGATTCAAGACAGGGCGTTGAGATGTTTTCCCACCGAAGCGAACCGGAGAATTTAATGCCTTCGGCGCCCGCAACGGTCGACCCGACGACTTCAAAGGTCAAGCACGAATACGAAGGCACCCTCCCTAGCATCTTCTACAATCCCGGGAGTTCCTACTACCCTCGCAACTGCAGCCGATTTGAAGGTAAACAGACCTCAACGGGGTACTACCCAACGATGCCGGCTATGCTCCCCCAGTCCGGTTGAGGAAAGCGCAGGACTCAAACGATAAATGTGGTTCGAATATGAACTGGCTTATCTACGCGGCATGGTCGGTTGAATTTTTTGTAATCGCCTACCTCAAAATTCGCTGTGTCCAGCGTGGCCATTAGGGAGGAGAAATCATTAATGATCGTTTTCCTCTAAGGGGCAGGAATTCGCCCCTACCACTCTAGACTGTGAGATGTATTGGCGGCGTGTGCGGTACAGTACAGAAACATGTTCCGGATGAGATGAGGTTTGCATGGCGGATATGAGCAAATGCGAGAAATATATGAAGAATGAACCACGACTTCGGCGGTGTTGCCGGCTATATGACAAAATACGGGCTTCATCTGGCGGGATAACGGAAAGGATACCCTGGTGCGATGCTTTACGGTGTTTTCGAGATGGTTCGAGAAACGAAGGACAAAGCGACTTTCATTCATCTACGTCGAGATTCTGCGAAGACTATTCTAAAATTTAAGAAATCATGGGCGGCGTTGGGAAAGACGGGTTTATAGGGGGTATCTGCTTTAATCTGTTCCACGCCTCGGCAACTGCTTTCGCTTGTCGCCTGAGTCCTCCTGGTGAGACCAATCTGTTGCAACTCGCCTCTTCTCTTGTCTCGGTGTAGTTGGGCGGAATGTGTGTGTTTACGAGTCCCGCGAGATAACCAAGGTCTATGAGGGGGGGTGGAGGGTGGAACAGGACTCAGCCTGGAACGTAGGGCTGAAGAACCTTCTACCTACCTGCAGACGGTGCTCATGGGCTCAGATTGCCTTCTTGTAGCTTCTTGATGGAAAGATAAATTATAGCTTTCTTTCTATTTTTCTCTCTTTTCTCTCCTCCGGGATAGACCCCTTGATCTCGTAACCTACGGATCAGTGAATGTATACCACGAAAGCACGGAAAAGTTATTCACGCATAGCTCCACCAATCTATGTGCCAACCAACTAAAAGATGGAATTTAGAATGTGGATTGAATCTAGGGGGGAGCAACATGTTCTACATGGGTACCTAGTAGGTTTGTGCAAATCTATCAACTAGGGAGACAAGGGGGCGCGAGGTGTGTGTCAATGATTATCCCTACGTGAGGGCGCAACAATGAAGAGACTTTGGTGTGAGGACTTAGGTAGGCAGGTATAGATTTTTGCTTTTTTTACTTCTTTTTCTCTCTTGAGCAATAGTACCTTGTACCTAGTACCTGGTAGGTGGTAGATACATATAAAGGTACGTGACCTTTACTAGGGCAGGTAGGCAGGTAGGTAGGTAGATTGGAAGTGACGTCCAAATTGGACTTGCAAAGCCTCAAAGAGCCCCACAACGGGAACTAGGTTGCACTAAAAGTATAACACCTTGGTGATAGCCTTGGATTGGGGGTATAGTACTAGGTACATAGTTACATGTAGACTGCTTCAGCCGGGGTTTGAGGCGGCGTAGTTGTACTTACTGGGTATGCTATAGGCGAGCTAGGGGTGGGGGAAAGTTTCTCATACCCACTTGCGATTAAGTAGATCCTTGGTATCAGTGCTAATCTAACAAAGGAAATTTCAAGGGCTAGTGAGAACGGGTAACCCCACAGTTGATGTACAGCACATCCATCTCGTCTAAAAGAACCTTATGACTCCAGTAGCTTATCCGAACGGTGCCCCTGCTATTCAACCCGCGCTACTCCACAGTAGTACTAGCTTGGTTTTTTGGGGGGTTTTTTTTTTGGATAAATAAACGGTGAAATACGGAGAGAATAAAAACGCAACTAATTAAATACAAGGAAAAGAATAAGAAAAAAAAAGAAAAAGGGGGAGTTTGGAAGAAGGGATGAAAACGGAGGACTTTGTTTAAAGCCTAACATGAAATATTTAAACCAACATTAAACGTTGACACACCAGACATCTATTATGTATCTAGGTATAGAATAGATGTTCATGTACTACGATACTTATCTATATATATCGTGTACATCTGTGCTACATGAATGTTGTACTAGGTACTAGGTAGCATAGGTACACCGTACTTCAAGTTCTGTGTACCTCATAGGGAGGTAGGCACTACCTACACAACACACATATCAATTGATATGATTGATTATACATGGATGTCTAACTAAATTCGGGACCGAGGGGTTTGTATTTGGTTTTTCTCCTTCTTCCTTTTTTCTTCACCGTTGGGCAACTCCCCGCCACCCATGTATCAGAAAGCCCGTGGCGTTCTTCGTCGTCGGCCCTGTGTATTCAGAAACCTTCTCACACTTGCCCTCTTCCGTCCAGGGCTACCTAATATTATACCTACATGCACTTCGTATGCATAACATACATTCAATAGCTAAACTCAAGTGGGCTACAACTTCCAGGCTTTTTTTCGGTCACTTCGAGGTTGTAATGCAACCGCCCTGATTCGATCAAGACTCTGCTCACCGGTGGTAAGTCTATCTTTCTAGACTTGTGTAGATTGGCTTCTAATAGCATACCGGTCTCCTCCATGCAATCCGAATCATGTCGTTGAAGGCCCAACGAGATTTCTCAGATTTCTCTTTCTTTCTATCCTTCTCTTCTAGTCTATCAAACAAACGTGGCCGAGATAGCTCGAGATCAATGAGCAGTACTAGGTACGGAGGTATGTACAGTACATATGTACCTAAGATCAATTAATTCTGGAAACCCCCCATAATTTCTTAGCATATGAATAGCATCATTAGGCATGCAAGTGAGATATGTACCACCCGCGGCCCTCCCCGGTCCTCTTCTACTATTACTTTGTACCCAGGTGGGTACCTACCGAACAGCTACTTGGAATACAACTAGTTACATACATGAGAGTCGAGACTCTCGAGTAGGTAGGTGATACATAAGTACCTGAGATACATAGGTACTACTAGATCCTTCAAGAAAGCAATAATCTAATCTACATAGGCTCAATTCCTTTTCCAATCGATGCGCAGTCTAAATAAGCTTTTGTGGAGCTTGAACAGATCGCCATCAGGGACGTCGGAAGCTGAGGACTGTTAATCGTTGCCTCCGTCTTGCAGCGATTTGCGAACCTAACATGGAATTTGGTTGCCTCCTTATTGATGGTCTAGATCCCCTACCCTGGAATTCATCAACTATCCAACTAACCTAGTAGGTTAGATTAGTAGGGTTAGTAATGGTAGTATCTGGTCACGGCCGAGAGAGAAATTTTTCGAGGAGACCCGCCGGCGCGGATCCGGAACCTACCAATGCATGAGTGACAGAACCGTCACAACATGATGGGATGGGCAAAGTACCTTGGCGCACGTTGCCAACCAGTCGTTGTTCGATAGTGGTTACGTTGGGGGCCGCGTATCCGTCTTTCACACTACCTCCCCACCACCCCCGTCTAAGGGACGTGGATGATTATAGAGCACATTTCAAGGTTACTGAAAGAGGAAATCGGACAGATCCCAGCCACAGCGCATCGCACTAACCTTTCATATCCAAGTTATGAGGTCTAGCCATGCTGAGCTAAACCGAGTTTCATCCATCTTCAAAGTTCCGCGACGGGGATTTTGGAGAGGACCACGACAATAGATGTTGAAGTTGAACGTGGGTGAAAATGTAGGTACGCTTCCTTTACACACATACAAAAAGGATTCTGCGTGTTTCCTTGCATTACCCGTGCGTGGCAACACATGCGCGTATTATGTTCTTTATGGGAGCTTACTATATCTGACGCGGTTAGCATACCCAAATTCCCTCCCGCTATATGATGCAGTATTTCTCTACCGCCATTCTAACTGATCCTTTATTTCCCATATACTGCTACCCACCTACATGGTAGCAGGTCCATGGAAGGTAATCCTGCCTGGACTTGTTTCATTTATCACGTTGTCAGGTAAGGGGCAACTACTAAGTACAGTGACGGATAATATCACCCAGTTCTTCCATGACGACAGGTGGATTGTAAGGTACTACTAGTTACACATAGACTAGGACCTATCAGCTCCAGATCGAATGCATTATTCGAACAATAATACTGTTGGCCGAGAGAAGTTATATCGACAGGAGGTCTTCTGCACCTCCACAGCTGAACAAATCGCCATGGATCTCACCATCTCAGCTTAGCAGCAAACCAATAACATGGTAATAAATCCGTCACTGGCAATCTCGAATTAAGCTGCCAAGCCGAAGAGAGACATAAACAAAGTCGGTCGGTCTGGCTGTGGGGGCCAAGCTCTCACCCGCGACCGCTGTTAGATGAATCAGTGGCGGTGTCGAGCTTGAGCTCGGATGATATTACCATTCGCAAAAAGCTTCTCTTTTAGCAAGCCACGCGATGTTACCTTGATAGGTAAGTACCTAACCTATTATTTGTCTTTCTCGTGGCGGGACCTGCGGTTCCTCGGAACTCCGCTTTGCTGGTATTGCATGGATACGGCTGCAATACACATAACACGATTACCTACTAGGGGAGGCAGACATAAGCGACAATGCTACTCATAAGCCAGGGGTTTGATTTTTTTAATTCTGATTTTATTCCCCCCTTCCCGTGTCGATATCCCCCCCACCTGCAGTGTATACATACATTACCTACGGATGATGTATCTGACGTGCATAGAACAGTCCTCCGTTACACAACTTCCTGCTTTCTGTTCAGCCCTACGCAGGACTTCTTGTGCCACTTGCACGCCGAAGAGAAGTCCACGATTCGTCGCGGGCTTGACTTCCGTATGGTCATGGCTGAGTCAGACAACGTTTTCTTGTCTAACTTGACCGTACGGGTAACACGAGCTGCTAAGGTACAGGAACCATGATGATCATAAAAAATGACTGGTCGGTTCGACTCCCGGACGCCCACATAGTTCAACGCGATAGAAGAATATGCACTGTGTTCGTGGTTTTGACAGAAATATGACAGGTCATTTTTCCTCTGTTACTCACCCTGGAGAGAGTCGGTACTTTTGTTACACCAAAACCACGGCTGCACATGTACGCCTGGAGATCTTCAAGATGGGATTGACCATTCTTGTCATTTGTACTCTCTATTCCTTTGCGCATCTGGGTTGTACAGTGACACAAGCTACTGCGCCGCGCTTCTTGTGACGCTGAATATGGATGCCGCGTTTGTTACTCTTCTCCTTTTTCATCTCTCGTCTCCTCTCGTCAACAGCATGTGACACCGTACCATAATTGGCCATCGCTTAAGTATGAGCAAAGGGGCTAATTATTATTAATCCTTTCCAGTGTAGGGGAGTTGGCGCTTAAAACCATTTCAACAAACGACCTGTCAAATGGTTATGTCAGGAACTTTTGGCCACCCAGAAATGCACCACACCGTATTAGGGAGAAATTCTCATCGCGATGGCACATACGTAGTAGACAGAATCCGCTGCGACTTCTCGCCAACTACCTGGGCTAGTAGTTACTAGTAAGATATGGATATAATATGAACAGGTATGTCACACCAGTGTCTCGTCCGCGCTTTTTACTGGTCCAAAGCTGCCCCTTTCTAATAATCACGCTTGCCCCAAGGTAACCGAAAGTGATCTGAGAAAAGACTTTGAGAAGTCAGATGGCATATGCAAATTCAAGGGGAGGGTGTGCAACCACCTTCTTTAACGCCGTATAACTCGAGTGACCTATCCTTCTTCTTCCTGGCCCTCTGAATGGGTGGGACCAAGGGAGAGAGGAAGCGCCAGGTGATACAAACCTCCAAAAGCCTAGCACGCCACCGGCGGCTTTCGTCGCCAAGTGGGGAGGGATTGGTGACTGCCGAGATTACCTAGCACACAGATCAACGAAGATGAAGAGACGTCACAGCGTCGCTTACGTGTTCATCATATATGTATGTCATCAAAGATTTGGTCAGAGGAAGACAGAGAGGGGAGGAAATAGAGAGAGATAGGCTAACCGGCAAAAACCAAACAGGATTTTGCATCAATCCCCTGATGATGTCTGAAGTAAAGCGAAAAGAGCAACACCATTTGAGCTAGGTGCTCGAGCTAACGTGCCTATGCATATGTAGGTATGTAGGCGTGTAGGTACCTTACTCTTTCTTCTCTACACTGCCCCTCTCGTCAGGTCACACCGATCGGCATTCACATGTGCTTTTTTCAGCCCTAAGACGTTTCGTTTTCCTGCGAATTGAACTTGAGCATGTTACGTTTATCATTTGCAGATCGGAGTAGTTGGTTGATACAATCATAGTTACTAGTAGGCAAACAGAACACACACGTATCCTCCAAAGCGGCGCTCTGCGAGTTTAAGGCTACCTATGTCTGTACCTACCTAGGTAGGTAAGTCTGTATGTCACGAGTAGGTTAGAGGCTGTTTCATGAGATTCCCAGATACGGGGAGCCGGAGCAATACACAGATCGTTGTCCTTGCAGGCGCATGGTATATACCATGCTCCATCCATACATCATACCCATCTAGGTTAGCGTTCTAGGTAGACAAATACAAACATAGTAGGATATGTATGCCCGCTTAAGAAAAACGGCCAATAATAGGATAGGACAGGATTCCCGTACCAAGGTTTTCTCGGCTCTGGTTCGACCATCCGAACATGAATAATGACTTACTTGATCCTACTCGTGGAGAAAGGTCGGCTCGTTGGTCGTACAGAACACAGATGTCGTGGTTAGTTGTTCCTGATCCTCAGGAGATTTTGTCATGTGTGCTGGTTCGGTTTCTGATTCGCTTCGCGATGCTAGCTTCGCTGCCCAGGTGGCTAGCTACAAATTACAATTCGTACCTAGTGCAGTAGGTATCTATTTTGGTTTACTAACTTTTATATACCGGTCTATACTTCAATGCACTAACTAAAGCAGACAGGACAGCTAGGCGTTTGGCCTAGGCTTGCGCCGCGCCCCGTGCAGCACTACGTGCGACTCGGTTGGCATTGCTCAGAAGAGTAAGTAGCTACATACCTACCTAGTAGGTACCTCAAGCCAGATTCGATTTTCCCCCATGTGATGTCAGTATACATACATGCCTAGCATACCTACGTACCTGTCTAAACAGAAATGGCATGCAGAGGAGGTCATACCTACATGTAGGAGGTTTAATAAAAGGGGCTTTGCTTTTTTTCTTGCCTGCCTACCTGCCGCAAGCCGCCGCCACCGTAAGGTACGCCCTGAACGTGGGGTGGAGTGTGATACAAGTACCAACGCCGTCATTGCGGGTTCCCGCGGCAGAGCTGGGCCTCGTGTTGGCTTGGATACGCAGGCCCGGTACGTAGGAGGTGTGTAGGTGGTGGCTATCAGATGCGCATGTGATCTTCTAGCTACCTACATGTACATGTATCCTATCATACATAGGTATACAGTCTAGGGCCTAACGGATACCTACATTCACTAGCCACACATACGCAACCAAGTCCTAGCTCTACATACCTTACCTACCGCATATCGTTGATGGTGTTGATGAAACGTAAGCAGGTAGGTAGGCATATACGAACTCCAGATCTTGGGAGGAGGGCCAAGAAGCGGGAAAGAAAGCGGCATCCTCACTCGCGGATGAGCAAGATTCAGTCAAGAGGGGGGGGCGTATTTCAACCAAATCATCTCTAAAGGGCCATCCGCCAGTCCAGTTGAAATGAGGCGGCCCATTGGTACATTTGCATCTCCAGTCGAACAGGTTGGGGGTGAGATTGAGGGGAAGGGGGAAGGGAAAGAAAAGGAACGCTGGAGGAGACACAGACACCGATTGTAAAAGCGGCTAGAGCGGCAGAAGGAGTCACTTACATACACACATAACTACATACGTACACATCTGTCTAACCTAAGCACCTACCCTTCACCGTCCTCTACATACTTCCGACGGGCAAGGCTTCGAATGGGCTACATATCGTATCGTAGATTATCCTGTAAATGCACATACATGCCTGGTTAGTTACACTATGGGCTGGTAGATAGGCCCCCGCGTGTCTTTGAAGTATGCTATGCTAGGCAGGCAATGTAATGTCATGTAATCTGCAATGTGCACATCTACTACATAATAGCTCCCAGCCTATCGGAGTAGCTTGTAAGACGCCCCGATAACGCCAAAATGAGATGGATTCTTGTTGCCGTTGGTGATGAGTATGAGTGGTTTGTTGCCTGCCTCTACCAAACCTAAGTAAATACCGCAGGGAGAGAAACCCACAGAAACAGAAATAGACAACACGGCACGACCCGGGGGGGCTCTGCTGTTGCCATCGACCCGACTTTGGGGACGTGGGAGAGCGGGATGTGTCTTCCCGCCGCTGCGGCATTGTCAGGGCCAGGGCTGTCTCGGCATTGGGACAGGTGCGACATGACACAAACGTCCAGAAGACCGTTTGACGCCATGGAAATTAGCACAGGTGAGGGATGAGGGTTTAAATTTGCTGTTTACCGTGATGAAGATAACTTTTCTTTTGTCATAGAGGACGCTTTACTTTTATAAATAGCAGCGAGGCTTATAACCAGTAGACTGGTGAGAATGAATACAGCTGAGTTACCCCTATTATCTCATCCTCCAAGTCCATCAGGCTTTGGTACCTAAAAAAGCTGCTTGCTCCCAGAGATTGACTACCTACTGGCTACCTACCTATCATAGGGGTATGTTGAGTCGTATGAAGGCGCCTGGAATCCCGTTGATTATCAGACTGGGTGACTTAGGTTCATATCGTCCGAACATTTGCTCCCCTGAGGCATATATACCATAACCTTCATATGACATAGCGATCAAGGTATTGGATTTAGATGATAAACCTTTGGAATAATGCTAATGAGGGGGAAAGTCCATGGACTGACAGGTCTAGGAGGTGTTTTGTAGAGGAGGTTAGCATCATGTCATTGCTCTTTAGTATCTCCAATGAATACCATCATGCCATATTAGCCAACCTCATTGTGTTGAGTGCGTGAATGTCGCAAGGTATATCGATGAGAGTAGTGATATATGTATGGCTGTAGATATAGAGGAAATATAATATGATAGGCCCTAGAGGTTGGTGATGTTAGAATTCAGTAGTCCCTAAGCAGTACATATGTGCTCCTGAGGGTACCCCTGAATAGTGCCAGCAACCATTCAGATGACCTATCTGAACCCCATCAAATCTGGGTTTTCACATATCCCTAATATCAACAATACCATTAAAAGCACCCTTGTTAATGCCTGAACATCCAAGGGCTCTATATGCTTTGATCAACCCATAGAGGGTCTTGAGAATAGACGAGTAAAGAGGACTAAGATACTTAAGTTTCATGCCACTGAACAAGAAAGAGCCACACAGTGTTAAAGGATGTTAACTCCCCAGACAACATACCTCAGGCAGGTACTTTAGCAGGCCCATCCTAAGGTACCCACCAAGGTAGCTAGGTGCCTGAGGTTCCTCCGGCCGGTTCAAGCTAGCCTACGTCCGGGAAATGTGGGCCCCATCATCCTCCATCCCGGCCTGCGGCTCGGCCCCTAACCCGGGGCTCCGTATAAGCCGCATGGACAGCTCCGGAAGTCATGAGAGCCTCTCCAGCCGCAGAGAGTGCCCTCGCTCACAGCCACATATTGAAACGAATATTGATACCTGAGGAACCAAAATTTGGTACACAGGTCTAAGTACGAGACTTGACCAGAAATCTTTGCAGCCAAGGGCACAATGGTTTTGTTTCCTTTCCTTTTCTTCTTCCCTACACCCCAATGCCATTCATCGTTCTCCTCTCTCTAACCATCTCTACTCGTACCCCACCGCATTACCCTTACAGGCCCTACAGTACCGTACAATTCTGCTCGGCTACTCTAGGGGACCGCACACACTGACACTCATTTAATTTTCTCACTTGTTTTTTCATCGCCATTCTACTCTTGTTTATTCTCCATTCGGAGCTTGAGATCAAACTGACGTCAATTAAGATATCGATATTCACTCATTTTGTTCCCCTTATTCTATCATTTGACACGTCGCGATGGGCAATTGTATCTCGAAGTCAGACGGCCATCGCGGTCGTAACTCAGGCTTCCACCCGTTCCCAGTTGATAATGACACAAATGCCATCCCTCTTACGCCTCTTCGGAGTGTGTACAAGGCTGAAAGGCCATTAATTCAAGCTCCGTTCGACGATGAGATGTCGCCTAATCGAGTCGTCGGTCTGTCTATCGGCGGCGGCAGCAACAGCGTCGCCACAGTACCACCTCCAGTCTACCTCCCATCTGGTAGACTTCGTGACATCCCAACCGAAGACAACAGTCCCTATGCGAATGGCCAGGCCAGCACAAGCGCCTCGGGAAGTGGCGGCTTTCTAACATCTTCCAACGTCGGTCGTCGAGCTCATAAAGGTCGTTCGAAGCTGTCCAGCTTTGCCAAGATTTTCGATGCCGACGACTATGACACCCCATACTACGAGGCCCAGGAAGAAATCGCCCTCCTGCAGTCCATAGCCACCACAGGAATGTCACCTCCCAAGAAGCCGTTGTTCAGCTTCCCGCGTTCCTTTACAGCGACGAATCTCGGCAGTTCACGTTCGAGCAACCATTTATTTCCCCGTTCAGTTACTACGGGCGACATCAACAAGCCGCTTCCAGATATCCCAGATCCCGACCCGCTCCACGCGTACATGGTACGGAATAGGATCCACGTAGACTGGGCGTGGGATATATGGGAAAAAAACGACAAGAAGCTCGCAGATCAACAGCGAGATAGAATAAGCATGAAAAACAAAGGCAAGGCCAAAGAGAGGTCGGTGCCCTTGCCTCTACCGCCGCCGCCGCCACCGCCACGGAGCCAGAAACTGAGCAAGTGCAAGTCCATGCCAGAGCTAGCCGTCGTCCCTTTTGAGGATGACCTGGTAAATGTTCCGTTCATTAATGAGAAGGACTTCTCGATCTGTAAGACGCCCTCGCCGAAGGCTGGACCATCCAAGGAGTACATCGAGTCCATTCGGGCCATCAGTTCTCAAGGAGTAAGTCTTGAAACAGCAACCCCCTCTCCTGTCAACCTTGTCACCACAAGAAACAATACTAACAGCCGCTTATAGTCCCCCCAGGGCCTACAATTTCGAGGCCCATTCACACCTCGGAGCCCATACGGATACGGCGGCCCGTACGGTCATGGCGGCCCAGCTGGCCCATCTAGCCCGCGCCATCCACGCCAGCCCATTCCAATCCGCGGCGGCCCTCATGCCTTGCCGAACCCCTTCGGTCACGATGGCACTATTGACACGAACCGTCGTCAGCGAGATCCGCAAGGTCCGCAAGGATCCCGTTCCATGTCTGGAATGCACCGCCCCGCCAATCCCAGCAGACGCGGCGGATCCCACCAACGCCGCGGTTCACGTGGAATTGACCGCCCCGGCCCTCGAAGCCACAGACGCCGCTTCTCCCGCAGCGGCGCGTTCGGCGGCCACCACCGCCGCAGCAGCAGCAGCTCCTCCACCGCCGAGTCCGGCGCCCGCCGCGGCAGATCCTCCCACAAGCCCACCCGCCTCTCCGTCGTGCTAGAGTCGCGCCTCTCTCGCCTCGACATCGAGGGCATGCTCTCCGGCAAGGGCAAAGCCACCGAGGAGGAGGAGGAGGAAGAAGAAGAAGTTAACCCGAGACACGCGATGGCGCGCTCCATCATCCAAACCAAGGTCCGCGAGCTCGTCGGCAGCGAGAAGGAGGCCGCGGCCATCACGGCCGTGATCCTGTCGATGGACGACGCGGTCATCGACGCGTGCGTGCGTGATCGTGGGGGGTGCGAGTATATCTGCGACAAGATCCGCGAGGGCAAGCGGGGAGTTTTGGAAGAGGGGGATGTTATGATTGAGGAAGAGGAGGAGGAGGAGGAGGAGAGTGAGGAGAGCAAGGTTGTTGCGCTTATGGAGAAGTTTGTTATTGGGGATGAGGAAGATGAGCAGGAGGAGGATGATGGAATGTACGAGGGTGAGGGAAAGGGAATTGCTCTGTAAGAGCTTAGTACCCTACCTACCTACCTACCCGAGTACCTACGAACGAAGGTATTCTTTTCCCACTACGGTAAAGAAAGATGGAAGATGGGAGAATGGCAAAGGAGATGTGTTACGAAAGCTTAGGGTCTGCCTCTAAAGATTGTTCCCACCGAGGCAACCCTAAGCAAGATGTGAAGAAAGAAGAAAGCTGGAATATGGAAACGGCTAAGGAAAGGGGTGGCAGAAGCTTATTATCTGCCTATGACGTCGACGATGTTTCCCCCGCCCACTGGGCCGGAAGGATGATACCCATTCAGATGTGTTTTACATCAAACTACCTAATACGGAACGAGTTATGTTCGCTCCTCTCGATACCCCATTTGCTTTACACTGGCACTGTACTACTCAAGTAGCACTCCGATTAGGGGTTATTGATGAGAACAGACACCCAGATAATTATGCAAAGAGAAAGTTGATTGTACCCAGAACGCACATAGAATGCAGAAGATGTAATGATGTATGATACGGGATGGCACATACCTAGGTATGCTGTCTGCGTATGTACCTATGGGAAGAAAGTGTACGTAGCTTAGGTTAATTTGTACCCAGAAACAATGCATTCGTATCCTAGTATCGCCATATGGCGTCTGCCATCTTAACTACCTGTCCCATCTCTATCACGTCGTGGACGCGTACTATATCCGCGCCGGCCTGTACAGCGGCAGCCACGGTTGCCGCCGTGCCGAAGACACGATCCATCGGCTTGGGCACGCCGGTGACCTTGCCGATGAAGCTCTTGCGGCTGGAGCCCATGAGCCAGGGCAGGCCCTCTAGGCCGGGCCAGTTCCGTAGCTCGTCGAAGCGACGCAGCAGTTGCAGATTCTGCTCCCCAACCTTGGCGAACCCAAGTCCTGGGTCGAGGATGATGCGCCACCGACGCACCCCCGCCGCCTCTGCTGCGGCGACGCGCTCGAGTAGTTCTTCGGCAATTGTCCAAATTAGACCCTGGGGATAGTCGTTGAGTTTACTCATCGTGCTAGGGGTGCCTCTCATGTGCATCAGACAAACCGTCTTGCCCAAGCGAGCCATTGTGGGAAGCATGTCTGGATCCATGACGCCCGCAGACACATCGTTGATGATGTCTGCGCCGGCTTGGACAGCTGCTTCGGCAACGGATGCGCGGTAGGTGTCTACGCTGATAGCCACGTCGCGCGTCTCGGGAAGGCTGCGGATGAGCTCTATGGCAGGCAAGATGCGGTTCAGCTCTTCTTCGCCGCTGACTTCCAGTGTCCCAGGCGCCGTAGATTGGCCGCCGATATCAAAGATCGTGGCACCTCCTCTAACGTAGGCTAAGATGGTATCCCTTAGAGAGTCGGGAGTATGCATTCCGCCGTCAGAAAATGAGTCTGGTGTTATGTTCAGAATAGCCATCAGTTGGGTTTTCCTGGTTGCCTTGAGGGCGTTCAGGGGTTCTACTGAGGTACATATTGGCGTAAGAGTCGAGAGCGGCTCGCCAGCTGGCTCGAGTTGGTTTAGATAATCCTGTATGAGTTTCCAGGGCCTTTTGGGGTTTATGGGCTTATGTGGAATGAGTTCGGCCAGGGGGCGAAGAACGAATTCACGTTCTGGAATGCCGACGTGAGGAATTTTGAGCCTCTCGTGGTCGACCTCCTCATCTTCATAAAGAAGGATGTCTAAGTCAATGTTCCGAGGGCCTTTATCTATGACCTTCTGCCGCCCCATAGACTTCTCTATGTCTTGCAATGCATCCAACAGTGCCAAAGGCTCCAAGTCGGTTTCCACCTAGGGGGTTCCGTTCAGCTTATGGTTTAAGGGGGAACAAGAAATCCAAGACACACCTCGCAAGCCCCATTCACAAACCTATCCTGATCAGCGACGTACATTGGCTTGGTTTCCCACAGACTGCTGGTCCTTTTTACTTTGATGCCTCTTTCGTCCATGTGCTTGCATGCTTCCTCGATCATGGCTATCCGATCCCCCATGTTGCTACCTAGAGCAATGTAGGAGGTCCGTTTACCACTGGGACTCGCTCCACGACAACATGATTGCGCCTCCGAGGATGCAAAGGTAGAGAAGTATTCCTCCATGGCCTTCCTTGTGCGATTAATATGAATTTTAGAGGAAAAGGGGGAGGTGTGAATTGAATTGATATGAGTTGGCAGCACACAAGCACGGCGAAATGAAAATCCCCATGCTCGAAGCGCTGACGAAAAAGGAGTCATGAGGGCCTCAATGAATGAATAGACCGCTAGTCAGATTTGTTATTAGATAAGCAACCCATAACGATGGTTGGTTGATGGTTGGTTGCTGGTTTGAATTTTTTGGTGTTCTTTTCGAGACTTGGTCTGGATTGAATCTGACAGACGCAAAAAAATTAACAATTCCCATCACTACCTAGTACCTCACTAGGTTACATGTTAACAAATTCCACAGACCCTAGTCATAGGTACTTAGGTACTTAACCACTCATATCTTATCCATTAATCCTGCCATTCACCAGTGACATCAATATGTAAAAGCCCATATGTATGTCATCGTAGCGGATCGGATTATTCCCATCTTCATCTTTATGGAGATTGATTTATTGATTTTTGTATGATTTGTAGTAAATATTTTCACAAGAATGAGTGCTTGCACGTAATTATAGGGGGGTTTGATTTCTCCTTATTACTTTTCACAACATTGAACTAACTACTAGGTATCAATGAATAAATTATTCAAAACCATCAATTGGCATATGTCCGGGCATGTACCTATGTATATACGGCTAGTTCGACAAAGGCGGATACGTGCGGCAGATCAATGATGTGCCTCGGCTGGCTGATTAGATCTGTCTTTCAACATTAGAGGGCGATGCATGCATGACCTTAACTAGAAAGATGCCTCGGTTCTCCAAGCTCCACGCTGCAGGGTTACGCGCTAGTGTCTTTGATGCTACACCAATTTCCACCGACTCCGCAGCTTTACATAACTTTACCCCCAAAAGCAGTTCGCCTGCTAACAATGATCTTGCTTACTACTACTGGTAGTATATGAGTTCACGCCTCTCTTTTTTACACACATTCTTTTCCCCTTACCATTACCACTTCAACTTTACTCCTACAGCAGAACATTGAAGTGATCTTGTGAACCTACTTCTCCCAAACAATTCAATCTGTTCAAAAATCATCCATCGGCATTCCCGACAACAATCAAAATGGCTTCACCACGTACGTCGGAAATGAACATGCTTACCCGTTACGTGGCTAATATAACATAACCTTACAGAGCGAATCCGAACGCCCATCACCGATCTTTTCAAGATCAACCATCCCATTCTCTTGGCTGGCATGAATGTCGCTGCTGGCCCTAAGTTGGCAGCTGCAGTCACCAATGCTGGTGGTCTTGGTGTGGTTGGAGGCATGTCATACAGCCCGGAGATGCTGAAAGAACAGATTGATGAGCTGAAGTCGTATCTAAATGACAAGAATGCGCCATTCGGCATTGACTTGTTGATTCCAAAGGTTGGCGGTGAAGCAAGAAAGACAAAGTACGCCGCAAAAGCCCCCAACGCCACACTCTCTATTGCTAGCACTCGCTTGTAACATCCAAAGAGATCATTGAACTAACCGCAACGGAACACAGCTACGATTACACGAAAGGACGGTTGAACGAATTAGTCGACATTATTATCGAATCAGGTGCCAAGTTGTTCGTCTCCGCTGTCGGAGTACCACCAAAAGCCATCGTCGACAAGCTACACAAGCACGGCATTTACTACATGAACATGGTTGGACACCCCAAGCATGTGCAGAAGGCGCTAGATATCGGTTGCGACATCATTTGCGCCCAAGGTGGCGAAGGTGGCGGTCACACTGGAGATGTCCCAACTACTGTCCTCATCCCTGCATGCGTGCAAATCTGCAAGGGCAAGAAGAGCCCATTGTCGGGTAAACAAGTTCAGGTCATCGCAGCTGGTGGTATTCACAATGGCCAAATGTTGGCTGCATCGCTAATGATGGGCGCGAGCGCCGTCTGGGTTGGTACCCGTTTCATCCTGGTCGATGAGGCTGGAGCTCCCGAGTCGCATAAGGAGTCAGTGCGAACTGCTGGATTTGACGACACGATCCGAACGCTCATCTTCACCGGGCGACCTCTGCGCGTACGCAAGAACCCGTACATTGAGAATTGGGAGAACGAGCGCCAAGCCGAGATTAAAGAACTAACCTCGAAGGGAATTCTGCCTTATGAACACGATCTTGAGAAGGTTATGAGCGAATCTGGCTCCAAGGAAGGTGGTAGTGATGATGATGATGATGACGCGCTGGACCAATTCCGACCTTACTTGATGGGTAAATGCGCTGCGCTTGTCAACGAGTCGAAGAGTGCGAAGGCAGTTGTAGACGAGTTCATTGAGGATGCCACAGCATCGCTTCAACAAGGCACCCAGATGGTGTCGAAGCTATAGACTATCGGCCTAGATACAGGCTCTGCTAAGAGGAGGGAAAATTTAGGATGGATGGAAGGCTGTAGCTGTCGCTGTCGCTGTATATACTAGTGGGAAGCATTATGGTGGTGTATGTGTACGAATATGCATTGATTCTCGGCCATTCCATAGGTAATTATTAGAAAAGACTAATAATTCAACGATATAATATGCATCACAGGTTCCGTGATAAGTTGGACTTACATACCTGCATATCAGATCTTATCAGATAACTATCCCTATCCCAGGATCCCGGCGGGGCTGTTTATCTGATCTGTCGTTGCCCCCTATGCACAATGCAGCTCGTAGATCCCTGTACTACATGAGATGAGAGCTACTGGGGACTCTTTACGTCACCACTCATTCGTAGTACAACTGTATGAACGAATCTTTAATATCAACTTTGCAAAAAATGGGTTATGCTACCTGGTATGACCTCACCGTTATGGACAATTTAAATACCCGTTGTTTACGAGTTGTAATAACTACCTAGTATGATATATCACTTCTCTATTATACGCAGGTACAGCTGTCTACCTTGTAAACCACCACCAACATCTAATTCCTTACTGATCTACTCTATATCCTAAGAATTATTATCTAAAACTCTTCCGGTAAAGATCGTCTACATTCACCTCCCCTAATATGGCAGACACACACCAATTTGACGCTCGAAAGCTTTTCGGCGTCGAAGACTTCGTAGCCGTAGTCACCGGCGGCGGGACCGGCATTGGGCTGATGGCCGCCCAAGCGCTCTCCGCCAACGGGGCCAAAGTGTACATCACCGGGCGGCGCAAAGAAGTCCTTGAGGACTCCGCTAAAAGCCACCAACCAGCACCAGGCGTCAGTAAGGGGCAGATTATCCCCATCGGACCGTGCGACGTGACGAGTAAAGACGACCTCGAGAAGCTGGTGGCGGAAATCGGGAAGCGGGAGAAGTGCATCAACCTACTAGTATGCAACGCGGGGATCGCGGGGCCCAAGGCGGAGCCCAAGGCCAGCGACGCGGACGACCTCAAGGCGCAGCTGTGGGACAACGAGGATCCGGCGGGGTGGAGCGAAAACTTCAACACCAACGTCACGGCCGTCTACTTCACGACCGTGGCGTTCCTGCCGCTGCTGCAGGCGGGCATTAGGCCCAAGGGCAAACTGGAGCCGTTCTCGACCTCGGTTATCACGATTTCGTCCATGTCGGGCATCATGAGCCGCCACGCGCAGGGGCATTTTTCGTATAACACGGCAAAGGGTGCTACGGTGCAACTGACGAAGCTCATGAGTGCGGAGTTTCAGAAGGCGCAGATCAGGGTTAATTCTATTGCGCCGGGGTATTTCCCTAGCGAGAGTGAGTTCTTCCTTTCTGGGGTTTTGTAACCCTTCGTGCACTTGCTTCTACATGATTCCGCCTACCCAAGAACTAGTTCTCGGGATTAGTCCCATGCAATATTTACTAATCTTGCATATCCATTATAGTGACCGCAAAGGAGAGCGACGAGAACCAAAAAAGCTATGTGCCGCCCGAGACAATCCAGGATAAAGGGCACGTTCCATTGATGAGAGCAGGGCGCGAGGAGGAGATGGGCATGACTGTTCTGTACCTTGCCAAGAACCAGTATGTCAACGGGGAGATTATCGCTGTCGATGGCGGTGTCTTGAACGTCTTAGGGGGTCGGTAAAATGACTCGATCGATCAAAGAGCTAATGCTCCAATTCAGAGTGTTAGTATAAAATAATTCTACATTTAGAATCTATTAGACGGTAATGGAGTTCTATATTAGGTCCGTCATCTGGGGGGCTAGATAAAATAGGATATTAATTATCTCATGTTGATATAGATATCCTCCGGTATTAAATACTGATAATATGAATAACAAATCGCTTGTCGGTATGGCCTATGAGATGTTTTTGTACTAATCTCCATAGGTAGTCTCAAATCTGCTCTGTGATAATCGGCCTCGACTTCTAAGGCATTGATCGTATAGGGAGCTGAAGCTCCATGAGCTAGCCTTAACCGAATACTCACGATGACTAGTAGACGTCAGAAGTGACTTTCCCGTACATGGGCTATTTAGTCTGGGCTTAGCGAACACTAGAGTTTGAACGTTGGCAGTTTTGATGGGCTAGTTGCATTATGCATATTCCACTGTAGCGTCGACGCATCATCAACGCTGAGTCAACGAATTTGACGTTCCTGTTTCTCTTCTTCAGGCATACGGGCCGTCTTATGGTGGTCAGGCATGCTTAGTCAATGCCTCATATATCCCTAGCGCATGACTTCACGCTGCTCATAATAATTGTGCTTTCTATAGAATCAGTAGTGGATTGTTGAAACATGCGGTACGTTCGTACGCTCTATCTTGTCGTCGTATGTTACCCAGACGGCTCACTAAATTCAGCTCAGAGCTTTGCCTAGGTACGCCATAGCTGTGCCAAGATTCCCTGGATATCGCTAGATCTACCGGGTCAGGGCACTCTTCGGTTCTTTAGTTGCAGCTGGATACTACAATTGCGTATAAATATTCTATTAAAATATTCTGTTACAAAGAGGATACAAAGAGGATAGCCCGAGTAAGAGGACGCTACAGCTTCTCCGGAGACATAAAGGTGTTGATAAGATAGAATAGAATAAACCATGTAGGAGATGCAGTGCACTATAAATAGTTAAATGGGAAGTGAGTGGATTCCGGCGATCCAGGCAGTTGACAGGCTTGTACAATACATACATGTACCTCTTAGGGTTACCTGGGCTATCCCTGCCCACTTCTAATAGCTAACCTTAGGGTGTTACGTAATTCCACCTTGACTCATTTGGAATCGCAATCCTCTTCAATTCCTTCAACCCCTTCAACTTGATTCAAATAGTTTCACTTTCCACTCACCGATAAGCATTTCTCTTCTTTTCGCTAGCAGTCGAGACAGGTTCTTCACAACCCTCAACTGTTATGCCGAAGAAAAGACATAATAATCAATATTCCAAACCCCCTTCAGTAGCTCCCCCGTCTCTAAGCTTGTCCTCTTCATCGAGGGCATCCGGTGAGTTTATCTTTTGTAAACCCCCCACATCCATCATGATCACAACCCTAATAGCCATCGCTCAGAACAGAATGAGCGCTCAGTCAACCAGATCCTAGCAGATCTGCGACGGACTGCCCCGAGGCCAACCGGTGTTTCTCAAAACAATGTTGCCATTGCCACTCCCACCGTCCACCCTTCAATCCGCGACATTCTTCAGATCCCCGAGGTACCCGCTCCAAGACCCCGAAGGCCTCAACGCCGGGATGCCAATGGCCGACGAATACCACCGGGTCCTCCACCACCACGGAGTTGGACATCACTATCCCAGTCGCAACCGACTTTCCGAGACTTCAAAACGGACAAAAAACGGCAGAGACAGCACTGGCCTTTACCGGGTGCTTATGCGCCCAAGCCGGGCAGTCTCGTGGGCGAGGTGCTCGGAAGAATTGTAATGGACTGGGATCAACAACGACATTGGAACCAGTTCTACTTTTATACACTACCAAGCCATCTCAGGACAGCGCTACTTGGCTATATTTTGGATTTTTATGAGCCCGGACTTTCCGTCGCGGATTTGCGACTGGTTCTTACTGGGCCAGCGGATAGTGAGTTTGAAGAGTATGACGTAGAGAAGCCCGATCTAGACCTGATGAACTCGGACATAAGCTGCCTAGACTTGAGCTTTTCCGTCGGAAAGTCTCTTAAGTTAAAGAAATTGACCGAGTTTCTCTTTCCTCCCGATGCTACAATCGAGTCTCATGTACAAGAGTCTTGGGACACATCGGAGCCCGTTTTTGGGCCGACTAAACTCCTACCAAATTTAACACAACTCTCGCTAGCGATCGAACCCGGAACTTGGTGTGCCGTTTCTTGGAAACAACTTCTCACCTTGGCTAACAAGTTGCCCACTCTTACGCACCTTAACTTGTCCGGCTGGCCCCAGCCTTCTCTGACAGGTAGTATCAGAGAGCCAGGTTCCCGAACAACTGTCGAGGATAATAATAGCTATGATTGGTCGGAGGCGATCATGGTGCTGAAGCGTTTAAGCAAAGCGCTATATAGCCTGGAGTACCTAGATTTGACTGGCTGTGTGAATTGGGCCCCAGCGCTGAAGGCAGAGTCCGACGGGGAGTTTGTTGACTGGGTGCGCGATTGGGGAAAGATTACGATGTTAAGGCTTCGCTCAAGCTACGCGCTTTCGGATGAGCACACCGATGGCAATGTCTTTCAGTTTGCGGACTGGATTGACATTGCAACAGCTGTTGAGAAACACATTATAGCACAGAGGGCCGGAAGGGGACGTTGGATAACGGTGGAGAAGGAGACCCTGACGGAGAGCGCGAAGGCGGTTTTGGAAGGCCCGCCGCCATCGTACCTTAGTATCAGGGTGCACTAAGCGCACCATGGTATACTATAAAAAGCGATGAGTTGTCTTAGGATACCTCTAATGGGCTTTCCCTTGGTACCGAGGTATCTACTATCTCAAGACTCAGATTGGATGGTTAGGTACCCAGGGAGATGGGTTGATAGTCTCATGTGCACCGCACAAACAAATCTTACATAGTTAGTTAGATACCTACATATTACTTCCTTCAGTTCAAATGTTAGACTACCCTGTTTCATGCAATTCCAAGCCTGGGTGTCCATAGGTCTAGGCTCTTTGGAACATTCTGAGTCATCCATAGGCTTTGTCTTGAAATAACATTAGTTACATACAACAAACATAGCCTCAACTAAACTCACCACCTCTTCTTAAGTTAGTCACTTTTTTTTTAAACGCCCAACCCAACCCCCCTACCCGCGAAGCAAGCAGTTTCAAGAACCTGCCAAGCAAGAGCATCGTGTGGCTGCTAGAGTCCCTTTTAAGAAGACGCCCATGCCCCTTGCTAGCGTTCATCAGATGCAGTTAGTTATCGATAAGCTTTTGTACTAGGTTAGTTAACTAGTTATGGGGAACCTGTTTGGACCCTTGGAACTACATAGTTAACGGTGTGTTGTGTAGTTAGGTACCTATGACGCAAGGCCGATCACGAACCAATCACCGCCGCGGACCTGGACTAAAGCAGGCAAAGAACTTAGCCCTGTGACGCCATGTTCCTAGCCACTCGAATACCGTCCGTTGTATGTAAACCGGTGATGGTTTCTGTAGCAAGCGTGTTGGGAGTCACGTATGTATTGTAGGTACGCAAGGGAATGAATGAGTATGTTATAGTAGTACCTATGCACATAATATGTACATACGTATGCCGAGCAAAAAAACAGGTACCAACCCAATAGGTAGGGCTTCCCATGGGATGTTGCAACGATCTTGAAAGAAGCGTCTGGCGAATGAACACTAGCTAGCTACCTACGTTACGAGAAAAAAAAAAAGAGATTGTTGTACATACATACATGTAGTTAGAACAAGGGCCCCATTGTTTCCCTGATTGTGTATGCGAACCAATATAACAAGTTAGTTACCACATCGGCCATTCTTTTGTTCTTCGTCTTAAAAGGCCTTCGTCATTTATTAAAGTTGTTGTTGTCTACTAAAATCTTGTTAACCAAGAAAAAAAAACAGAACAGCTCCCATTTGATCTTCTGTTTTATAGAAATTTTTCTACACCTCCTAATTTTCGAGAACACTACCAACCCAAGCAACTCTGAAATACCTATTCTTGATATATATTTTTGAGCCATACGCGACAATGGTTCTCATCAAGGACGGAAGGCTTCGGCCTGCGGCCGTGATAATCCCACTCATCCTTTCGATCGCGGGTTTCGTGCTGGGGATGGTCGCGCTCTTCGCCGGTACTGGATCGCAACAGCGAGCGCTGGAAGACTACCACCTTATCGCCGTATGTACACATCACTCGTGAATATATAATCATGAGAAGCTACTGCTATATCCTTTACCTATATATACTAACTTGATTCTAGATTAATATGTCCACTTTTGGCCATGACATCGTACCTACCTCAACAACATCCGGCTCCCAGCCGACGGCAACCTCTCTTTGGAGCCAGATCGAAAGCGGGCTCGGTGAAATCGGCGACGAGATCACGGACGAGCTGAACGACATCCGAAACGACCTCGCGGACCGACTCGCACAAGAACTCGGCATCTCGCAGTGGTACAGTCTGCACGTCATGACGGCATGCGAGGGCAACTTCGCGCCCAATGCCACTTCGGCAGGTGCCTGGTACAACACCACCAACTGCACCGCACAGTCGACGGGAGGTATGTAACCCCCCATGCTGCCATAATCTCGCGAAGCATTGAGCTAACATGTAGGCACTAGTCCAATTCAACCTCACCGACGTGATCCAGAAAGAACTCGACGCGGGCCCGCTCAACATCAGCGCCTCGCTAATCCCGATCCCCGACTCGATCCAAGAAGCCATCGACTACCTCAACAGCTTCCTGCTCGCCGTCTTCATCCTCTTCGTCGTCGGCAGCGGGCTCTCGGGCCTTTCCTTCCTTTCCTGCATCGGCGTCCTGACCCTACGACGCAACGCCATCGGAAAGGGTGCTATCGTCATCAACCTCGTCCTCGCCGCGCTCGCGACGCTCTCCTTCGCCATCGGAAGCGCCATCGCAACGGGCATCTCCAAGAAGGGGGTCTCTGAGATCAACAACGCAGGCGACGACGTAGGCATCTCGGCAATCGAGGGCACCAAGTTCATGATCATCGCCTGGGTCGCGTTCGCCGTCATGTTCGTGACGACGGCGTTCTGGAGTCTCTCGTGCTGCCTCCCGCGCCGAGGTTCGGGTGGGTCAGCGGCATATGGAGAAAAGGGGACCCGAGAGAGCACGGATAGCAACCGTGGCCTGCTAGGGTTCTTCCGGCGAAAGCATTGAGGGGACTGCTGACTGTGGCGGCTGTGGATTAACTTGCAAGGAAGAAAGGGAGGGGAGTTTTGATTGAAAAATATTATGATTGACAGGTGCGGCGGCGGCGTTGAATTTTCATGATACCATGGCTTTTTTTCTTTTTTTTGCCGCAGCATTGTTAGATGATTCCTAGGTTAGATTAGTACGTTGATCAAGTTCTCGGTCCACGCTGGTAGGAACTTTTAGTAGGTACTGAATGATACGAAATGCCATTCTTGGCATTATTCCACGATCCCTCTCGTTATCTTCCATTAGTATACGAGTATTTACCTACTCGTTGGTATAAGGATGCATGTGGTCCTTATCTATGTATGTGAGTAAATCAAGAAGTTTAGATGTTGTTCTTGGATTTAATCTGTGCCTAGTAGATCGACGGTGGGCCAAATCAATTGAAACCGCCAACCCGCCAAAACATTAAAAATATTGATTATATAAGCACAAGGTACAAGGCTCGCCATACAAATTTATATGGTAACAGATGTACCTTTACAAGGAGGAATAATGCTACATAACCTACCATATACCACCATATATACCATCTTATATACCATCTTATATACCGCCATCAAAGACTATAGATATTTGATAAAACTTATTCTGAATAGTCAATATATATACACAATTAATTAGAGAGGTAAAAAGCAGCTGAACAACAGCTGAACAACAGCTCAACAACAGCTCAACAACGGGTCAACAACAGCTCAACAACAGCTGAACAACAGCCCAATTACATAGGTGGCTAGGTATGTATTTAGGTGCCTACGTATGCTACAAGCCTCTAAGATACCTCCTAAACAGCTACTTAAGCAGCTAGAGGCTAGAATAACAACTACAGAGACCTTCAGGGCTGTTGTTGACCCGTTGTTGACCCATTGTTGAGCTGTTGTTGACCCGTTGTTGAGCTGTTGTTGACCCGTTGTTGAGCTGTTGTTCAGCCGTTGTTCAGCCGTTGTTCAGCCGTTGTTTACCTATTTTATTAATTATATATATATATTGACTATTCAGAATAAGTTTTGTCAAATATCCAAAGTCTTTAATGGTGGTATATATGGTGTGGGCGCAAGGTACATTTATTACCACATAAATTTGTAAGATAAGCCGTGTACCACGTGCTTTTTTTTGATGTTTTGGCGGGTTGGCGGTTTCGTTGATATGGCGCACCTTAAGATCGCGTGAGCGTCGCATCGTTTACCACTTGCCCGAGATAAGGGTGGGATATTCAGTACTTGCATGAGATCTGAGGCCATGACGTCGATCCCACCCACCATGCAATTCAGCAACCTCAAATAGAAAGTTTCAAAGTCGAAGGATGGTGGACTAATCCTAATAAAGTTTCAATCTTCCATCTGCTCTTTCCCTTTATTGGGCGTTTTGCATTATCCCTAGTTCTTGGTGTTCCCCACACAAGAGCACCTGAGCTGGCTGGCTACCTAGGCAAGCGCAGTTTATCATAAACTTTACCATCAACTTCAGCGCCCACGCAGCTGCCATGAGGGGGCAAGTGGGTTAGGGGTTGACTGTTGGGTATATGAATTGCATATGAATCTGTGTCACCCAAAACTCTCATATTCTACTCTCACATCCAACATTCGAAAACTAATACCCCTAAAGTTATCTATATGTCTTTATATATTCACTTACCTCACATATAGCTGAATACCTAGGTACATACCTACCTGTATATTTAGTACGCCTTTCTCCAGATTAGACTCACGATGCCTACCCCTCCATGGGTCCGTGACGAAGAGGCCGCAGAGGCGGCGGAAGAGGAGAGACGGACCTTGCTACAAGAAGGCGAAGTGAAGGCGCGGAAAGTCTTTTCCGGTTTCGTTGATTTCGCCTTCTCCGGCAACATTCTCGAAATCGCCTTTGGCTTGATGTTAGTATACCAAGTAGTTCTTCAACCGTGGGTACGATTCCATTAACCACTTGTCTGGGCAGTCTAGCAACAGCATTTACGGCTGTTACCACCTCCCTCGTGAGCGATATCCTTCTCCCACCACTCTCGGTAATCCTCCCTTTGCGAAGGAACATGAACGAAAAGTTCGCGGTATTGAGGCCCGGACCGAACTACAACAACGAGCACGGCTACAACACCTTAAAGCAAGCGCAGAGTGACGGGGCTATCATTCTGGCTTACGGGTATGGCGTATTGAACGGTTTCGTTGCCGATTGAGAGCTTGCGAATATTAATTCAGTGTCTGCTAGTGTATTCATCAATCGCGTCATCAACTTCTTAGGCGTTGGCCTTGCGCTTTACGGCATAGCAAGTCTATACCAGGCCGTGTCGCACGATCCCATCATCAAGCACACTGTAAAATGTCGATACTGTAAAAAACGTGTTAGCGAGAAGGTTCGTAATACCATCCCTCATCCCCTGGCCAACAGCTGGAGTTACGCAAGCCTGACTATCTGGAACAGGCAATCCGGTGCGTAAATTGCACTAGCTGGCTTGACGGGCGAGAAGAGCGAATGCATTGAATGATGGGCCACGGGCCACTAGGTAATTCGGCTAGCACTGGGTCGAATATCAAGGTATTGTGAATATCAGAAACTGTCCGCGGAGGTGTGGGCATTGTCCAGAGTACTAATACTCTGGCAGATTACTGAAAAAACGTCAGTGTTTTTAGATTGATCATTCCGGCCGGTTGGGACATTGGTCCAGTAACTAGTATCAGCGTGATAGAAGAGCTAAAGACATGGTGGATATACCCGGTAGGTCCTGGCCGCGTTCCCAAAACTAGGAGTCCGGTGGTGACCTCAGAATGTCTTGAATCTGGATCGGACAAACCCATAGCCAATGCGATTTGTAAATAATGGAACATCGATCACTGACTATCCTCAAACTCGGTAAATCGGTACGCTGGCACGTCATGGTGTTTGAAGTTGTGCAGTATCTACATAACATACGTATTGTAAATGCGTAGGCAGATTGAAAAGAGAGAAACGAAATGGATCAGATAAAAGTTGATATTTTTAGGGACATGTACCTCAGTACCCAATCAATTCGTTGACCTTGACGATTCACCGGCCAAACTGCTCCGGTACTTTAGCGATTGTGGGGCCCATCTTATCGATCGGGTACGTTCCCAGTTAAGCGGTGGGCACCCGTTCAAGCTAAGGCACTCTATTGGTAGGTACGTACCTTAAGTTCCGTACCAGCAGCCAAGTTTTTAATGCTCGAGGCGAAACTACACCATGTATGATGTCATCATATGAAATATCAAAGAGTACTAGGTATACATACTTCGTCTAGTGTTTCGTCTGAAATTCTATCTTAATATTAAAATGTCCCGAGTCAGGTCACATTTCTCGTGTACCTATTTTTCCAAGGCTCCTTTTTATTGTTTCCTTAGTCAATAATGTCTAATGAGCCTGATATTCCGTCTTACGACCTACAACAATCAGTAACAGATACTCCGTTACGATCACAACAACAACAACAACGGCAACGGCAACAGGAGCAAGGGGAGCAGCAAGAGCAGCAACAAGAGCCCCTTGATGGCGAATCCGGACGACGTCGTTCGAGTTCTGACCCGGTTGGTCGAGGTCGTCAGAGACCAGGCCTAGCAATATTACGACCTCGTAGGGGAACAAATGGCTCTACCCTGTCCCAAATTCCTGAGAATGCGAGACCTATGAGTACTGCTCTCTTCAATTCTCCAAAAAGACGCACCGAAATCGATGAAAATCTGGCCGATATACTTGACGTAATCGGTAAGCCTCATATATCATACTCCAAACATTTTCAGGGGCAAAGCTAATTACCCACCACTGCCCTTAGACCCTGAAGTGTCTATGTTAAACAATGTTACCAATATCCAAAACTCACTTTTTGTACCCTCCCTCGGGAGATTTATTAACCGTCGCCCAACGTACCAGCTTTCGGTAGCGCCTGAGCAACCAAGAATTCGAGAAGAAAAGGGCGAAGGCGAGGGCGAGGGCGAGGGCGAAGAGGAACAGTTTAATTTTGATCACGCTGTTATTCCCGATGGTGTGTTTCTAGAGGGTTGGACCGACGAGGAGAAGGCCGAGTTAAACGATTACGTACGGCATATGTTGCATTCGCGGCGATCCAAGTTTAAACGGAACATGAGAGCCTTCGGTCAATACGTCAAGAAGCCACTCGGTTTCTTCGTGACACTTTACGCCACGCTCATTACTTTGTTCGGTCTGGCCTGGGTCCTGTTTCTAATCGGGTGGATTTACGTCGGCGAAGAACAACTTTACATTATCAACGTCATCGACAACGTGCTAGTAGCCCTATTCGCCGTCGTGGGTGATGGCCTCGCACCATTTCGCGCCGTCGATACATACCATATGGCCTATATAGCTCGTTACCATCGTTTGACGTGGAAGTTACGAGAAAAAAAGCGCATGGGGAATTTGCGCGACAAGAACGACCTGCCGACGAATGAGGATCTTGAAGCGGCCCGTGATGAGCTTTCTGTTCTCACGCCACAACAGCAGGCTCGATTGGTGCATCACCAAACCAAGTTTGCCAAGTCCCATACATTTTACAAGCCGCACGAGACCAAAACGCACTTCGCGTTTCCACTCAACCTCCTAGTCACCATCGTGACTTTGTTAGACATGCACTCGTGTTTACAGATCGCTCTGGGAGCAACTACGTGGGGCATTGATTGGCATACGAGACCAATGGCGATAACGGCGACGATCCTCTGCTGCTCCATCGCCGTCAACATTACAGCAGGAATCTTGATCAGTGTGGGCAGCCGGCGTACGCGTAAGAAGGACGTTGTTGAGCGCATGTTCCGTCAGGATCTGACACGCGAGGCATTCGACAAGCTGCGGTCACGCGGCGAGAAACAAGGCAATACCGAGAAGGAACTGAAGGCGAAAAAGGCATTAGAGCAGGCGCCCCAAAACGAAGCAAATGATGACACAAAGAGTGAAGAGATTAGAGGTGTCCCCATAGAGAGCGGCAAGGAACAAAGATACCCAGACAATACCGGAACCTAGGTATACAGGTTAATGTCTAATGAACTAAATTTACTATGTTTTGGAATATACCTTTTGAAGAATAGAAGCCTTAGTTTTAGCAATACACCATTCGCAGAATTATAAAGATGGCGTCAGCACACAGAACACTTACGCGTTCCTCCCGCTATGGATTGGAATCAGTAGTCAGAGATTCGGTCTGTGCCTAAGCTAATTTGGTCAGAACTTATGTCGGTTGCCTCTTCCCTGTTATCGGGGGCTTTCGTAAGTATGGATTTGCATACAACTTGGGTGGGCAATCTAGGATCAGATTGTAGACTTGAGGTTTTGATCCAAAATGAAGGCACTTGGCCTTGATGTTTAACATGGCTATGAAATATGCCAGGTACCACCTATGTAGTATATGATAGATGCTGCGATGCACGTACAAGGTCAGGGGTCATCGTTCAAGTTCTCCTGCAGGGCTGATGTGGCGGGGTACAGCCATTCAGGGGTATTGGTACCGAGCCACGCTCACGAGAACCAGCCCTAGTAACCAACTTCAGTGATGTACTGCGGATAGTCATCTGTTTGACGTCCAACTAGGGAACACGATGCAACTTTGAATCCTTAAATTCTCGGTATATCTAATTGACTTAACATATAATAATCATGGTTTAGTTGGAGCTTCGCATCTATCAAAATCCGCTGTGTATGTGAGTTTCATCAGCGGCCCCAGAGGAGGATGACAAGTTCGCTTTAATGTCGGGGAAAGGAGATGGATGTTGAAAGCAGTCAATATCTAGTTTTCATTTACATTGTATAGAATGATGTTATTCAGGCCCCATCATCTTCCACATATTCACCCAGAGTTCGTGTGACAAGCGAGAACACTTCACTTCATGTTAGGAGTATCTTATTGTCACTTTAAAGCACTTGTTTGTATCATACCATTGTTAACGATGGCTAGACTATTCACTTTGTCACCATTAAATTAATGGAAATTAGGCTAGAACCATGATACAAGTAATATGTACATTAGACCCCTAGCCCATCATTCAGACAAAGGGATTATACTTGGACAACATCCTTATGGTTGCTAGCACCTAGGACCATGCTTTTGTTATCATGTTTATGGATGTGGGGTCAGATATCGACGACAAAGCCTCCCACGTATAGTGGCTAGAGGATAAATTTTCAGCACTTTACCTGTTCATCTACCTCATCACTCACCCATCATTCAATCATCACTCGCCTTCACTGCAAACACTTCCTGCAAGGTAAGAACATATAGGTATTAGCTCATATATAAAGTCAACCGTCGTACAAAATGGCATCCAACAAGCAAGAGTTCAAGACCTCCCAGGGTTCCTTCACCAAGTTTGAGCCTAAGCAGGAGGACTCTGCTACTCTTTACTACACCTACTCCAAGGGTCCCGATGACAAGCGGCAGGTGTACATGATCGACACCAACGGCCAAGTCAGTCCCACCGGCCTAAAATGGAACCCGAGTCCAGCACCGCAGTCATCGAAGGACAAGTTTGAGTTTTGGAGCGACGAAGAGGATGATGATGGTGATGAACCTGAGGTTTCGGAAGAGGAGGAGAAGAGGATCCAGGAGATGCTTGAGGCGGAGTACAAGCAGTTCATGGAGGACACTGGCTTGACCGAGGAGCAGTACGCGGAGTACATCGCTCACGTCGAGTCGTTTGGTGATGTCCCCTTGCGAGATGATTGGCGCCTCCCCAAACGCGAGGGGGAGTCTGATGATACGCAAGAAGAGGATGTTCCGTACTTTTCTGATTGATCGAAGTCTGTGGCATAACAGAACAAAATCACGGCCGCTGTGGGATTGAAATATTTCAAGATGGGTCCTTTTCAATCCTCTCTCTGGAGTATCCCAGCGAACACGACGAACTGAAAGGGCAATGAGTGCCCCTCTCTGACCCCCCCTTTTCTTATGTGATATGGAGGAAGGAATTTTGATATTGCGGTTCTAGTTTTCTGGTTGATTATTTCTTGCGTATATTATAAAGGTAGATATTTCCATTACAAATTCAAAAGCATCTGAATTACAATATGAATTGCTAAGAAAAGTGCTGTTCTACTTCTGCCGTCTATTAATAACGTTGAAGGAGCCTCCCGAACGTTAAGTCAGTTGAAGCACCCCTGTGCTGTAGGTACTTGGGTACCTAGCTAGTACCTAGTGTCCCACTACATAAACTTGATGCTAGCGTATAGAAAACGTGGGTTTGCCGAATTAGGAAAGAATACTGTCCCCTAATGGTTCTCATTGGCTCCCTTGACCAATCTCAAAGTTCACTAACCAAAGGCAATTTGATTTTATACAATCTAGTACAATCTAGAAATAGTAATGATCAGTAAGTGGTACTCCGTTTGGAACGGTAGAAGTTAATGCGTTGCGTTGAGAAGATTGAAGACTTACTAGTATCTACCGAAAATAGGACATCTAGGACATCAACCCCATTTATGTCCTTGAATCTCTTTTGCATCTCGCTTGGAAGGGCATGACTACCATGCAGGATTTCAAGTGCATATCTAATTGACAGCCTAGTACTTATTCAGTCAATACCCCGTCTGACAGCCCACTTCCAGGTTGTCAGACTACCCCTCTTTATTTATAGCTGAAAATATTAAGCATTATTCGACTTGTCCTTGATCAGGCTACCGGCCAGCCGAGCCTCCCGACTACATACCTAGTACATAACCCCCACCGCCCCTCCCTCTGCCTTCTATGTGAATACCTTCTCTTAACTCTAGAATCTACATACCCTAGGTAGCCTTGACCAAGGTCTTTCGAGTTGCAACTATCTTTGTTTCATGAGAACCATCTGCGTTTTATGAGAACCATCTGTGTTTTATGACAACCTACCTAGGCACTCCATTATATATATTACACCTCATCCAAGTATTAACCCAAATATAAATCCACACTCTCAGCCTCCCCCAAACTCCGAGATGCCTGATAGAGGAAACCGAAGAGACCGTATACCTAAGCCCCCGGCCCCGCAGTCAAATCCTTTGGCCGAAGGATTAGTCCTCTCTTTCGAGCACACGGACCTTAGAGGCTTGGACGAGGAAGGCGACAACATCGTTAAGGCTTTTAGGTCTATCGGATGCCCATGTCATAAATACAGTATCAAGAGCGAGCGGAGGGTGCAGGACAAGTTGAAAAGGTTCTTGGCTGAGGGAGCAACACCTCGAATTATCTATTTCCATGGGCATGGCAGATCATTGGATAATTCACTAACGTTCTCAAGCCATAAAAGCCGACAGGTCGGAGGGTAAGTTGCGGTTAACCACCTTTACAGAAGTCTTATGCTAACTTGTCGCAGGGAGAACTATCAAAAATTGCACTGGCAAGGCGTAGCGGATGTTATCATGGACGCGAAATGTCCTGTTCTCGTCATCCTCGACTGCTGCAATGCCGGCGCGGCAGCCGCGACTCCAGTAAACCTCCACTCTAACAGGTATCCTAAGGAGCTGATTGCTGCCACTAGCTGGGGGTTGAGTACTTCTGATAAGCTAGCCATTGCCCTATGCAACGTGCTTAAACCCTGGGCCGAAAGCTCCCGCTCCCGATCAGCTCGGAGTCTCCACGAGAGGATAAACAAGGAGCTCTCGGAATTGCGCACCAACGAGAAGAGGAGGGTTGAGAGTCGTATTGATCAGTTGAAGGATGACCTCGCTAAGACTAACCAAAGGATCGAGAAGCTGGAAGACAAACTGAAAAGTGCCAAAAGGGAGTTAAGACACCCTGAGAAGCTCAGAGACCGGAGGCGAAGGGAGCTGGAGAGTTCTCGGAGGGACTTGGAAAAGGAGATCGACAGACTGACTGAGAGAACTCAGTCTCAACGACAAAAGATAACTGAAAAGGAAGAAAGGCTTGCTAATCTTCGCAAGAGCATAGATTCCTACCGGCAGGCTCATCACAGTCGCTGGATGTCGATGAGGCAGGAGTGGGTACTTCAAAGATAACTCAAGACTGGGAATTGATCTAGGCACGGGGCTTCCTTCTGACATGGTTTTGCTTGATTTTTCATTATATCCAACCTTTTTTCTTGTTTTATGTTTTGCAGATATCCTTTCAACTTCAGATACCAGGTAGTGGCCTAGATTCAGACGGTCTGGTTGGCAGCTAATGTTTATGTTATGTTTAATACTAAGTACTGCTAATTCAATTCAGAATGCAATTCTCAGACAGTTCCTAGATACGTTTACCATCAGAATTTCATGCATGTTTAACACAATTAGAAACCTAAAGAGCAGGCGGAAGAGGGTCGAGATACCAACCGTTAGCAACGGCAAAAGGGGGATTTTCAGGAACTGACCCAACAAAGGCTAAGCCGTTTCGTATATAAAAAGCAAACTGACACTGAGAGCCACCGCGCCTCCACCCGTCGACTTAGATTAAGACACTGGTTTCCTGATTAGGAAGTTTCCCCTTTAGTTTGATGCGAGCCATTGGTGTCGATCACTCTCCCAATTGTCTTGAGCCTTCGAGTCGAGTCTCATTAGGCAAGGCTCGTGCAAGCCCCAATTGGAGTATCAATAGTCGTGGTACTTTTTCTTCCTTTCTCATTTTAACCATTTTGCTAGATGGCTTGCAACTAAGCCCTAGCCTGCATCCTTTTCGGCACATATAGCTGCTTTCTGGGAATATTGATACAGTAGAATAGTGAGCTACACAGCCATGAATTGACTTAGTGCGCCACGAAACCTCAATTCTAGAACTACCGGCCGCTCTGTATCCGAGGACTTGGCCACTTGTTGTTTTGATCATGTTGGCGGTTTCTCCTGTCTTTAGTTGCCCTTCTAGACTACCTTATCGTACGGGTACGAACCTAAGGTAAGCCGTCCATATTAGTTACCAGTCATTAGACATTTTGCCGAGTTAGACTACTGCTCAATGGCAGAGTAGGTACGTCTTTCTTTTTTTCGTATGGTAATTGATGTTGGATACTTACTAACCTACCTAACTATTGCCTAGTATCCAACCACTGTCAGGATGTACGCTCCGTACCTAGTAGGCATCATGTGCAAAAGACACTAGATTCAATAACGTCTATGGATATCTTCCCATATGGCTTATATCCATATCCAGAACGGTTGAGATTTGCGTGAAACAATAATCGCAAGGCTGAATCATAACTACTGTCTTACATGTGGCCGCGACTTAGTGTCCAACTTATTGAAGTGAGATCTACACGATTGCAGTCGTTAGTCAACTTGCCGTGAAGCTACCGGATTTCCGAATTGGAATAACAAGAGGCATTGTGATCATATACTGGCAAGTTTGTATAAGAACTCAGTTAGATGCCGCTCTTTAGGTTACAATATTCACTCCTCATCTGACTATCTTCTGTTCCAACTACAGCAACATCACCACACTCGTTTACAGAAAGTCGTTCGCACTCGTTTATACCCTCACCCCCTGATCAAGATGCAGATCAAGGCCCTCATCCCTCTGGCACTCGCCGCCGTGGCCACAGCTGGCCCGGTAGTGCAGCGCGACTACAAGGTCTCCAGCTCAGAGGCCAAGTACCCAACAACCACCAAGGAAGCAGAGTACCCTACTTCTACGCCAGAGATGAAGTACCCTACGACAACCAAGAAGGAAGAGTACCCCACGTCCACACCTGAAGCCCACTACGCCACGACGACCAAGACGACCACGAAGGTTCAGTACTCTACTTCTACGCCGGAAGCTCAGTACCCAACGACTACCGAGTACAAAACATCAGCGCCAGAGTCGAAATACAAGACATCGACTAAGGAGAAGAAAGAGGAGAGCTCGACCAAGGAGAAGAAGGAGAAGACGTCGAGCAAAGAGATGAAGCACAAGACCTCTACATCGGAGATGAAGTACGAGACATCCACGTCCAAAGAAGAGTATAAGACATCTACCCCTGAAATGAAGTACGAGACCTCTACCTCTGAGATGGAGTACAAGACTTCTACGCCGAAGATGGAGTACCCTATTTCTACATCTAAGATGCAATACCCTACCTCTACACCTAAAATGGAGTACCCAACCTCTACGTCTAAGAAGGAGTACCCGACTTCCACACCGGTAGAGCACTACCCAGCCACAACCATGAAGCAAGAAGTTCCTACTACCACCTCTGAGGTCATCCCCATGACTCCTACCACCACTCTTGAGCCTACCCCCTCCACGATGAGCACCAAGACCAAGGAGAAGGAGACCAAGACCAAAGGCAAGGGCAAGGACAAGGAAGACAAGACCAAGACGAAGTCCAAGGAAGGGCACACGAAGACGAAGTCAAAGGCCGGCCACACCAAGACCAAGCGCGACAACTACCCTTATGAAACCACCCCGGCACCCGCTCCCGAGTACCCCAGCACCCCCAGCACCACCATCGATACCAAGACTAAGAAAGGCCACACCAAGACCAAGTCCAAGGCCGGTCACACCAAGACTAAGCGCGACAGCTACCCCTCCGAGACTTCTACCTCCGAGTACCCCAGCGACCACTACTCCACCGACGACCACCGCTCCGACGATGACCACCACTCCGACGAGCACTCCGGCGACTCCTCCTCTTACGACTCCTCCAGCCACGGCTCATCCCCCACCGGCGGCCTCGACGGCATCTGCCCTGGCACCACCCCGCTCTGCTGCCAGGTTGACATCGACGGGATCCTTGACCTAAGCTGCTCTTCTCGTAAGTATCCTCTCCTCCTTTCTCCCCCTCTCCCTTTTTTTTTTCTTTCCACCCCCCAAAACTCACCACAGTACCTAACTAACTCATCTACCTACAGCCGACCAAGACCTGACCAGCCTCGAGCAGTTCACCTCCATCTGCGCCTCCACGGGCCTAACGGCCGAGTGCTGCACGCTCCCCATCGCTGGCGACGCGTTGCTCTGCACGGCTGTCTAGTCTAAATGATGGACTAGTTGGCACATGAATACCTATGCATACGAGATTAATATCACGACGGAGGGGGGCTTACTCACTTATTAATTTTCAGGGGAAGAATGTGTGTTTGGGGAAACTTTAGATGAGACGGCAACCGACTGCCTGCCTGCTCATGCGATGTGGCTTTGCCTTTTGCATTTGCATCCAAGGCAGTCCCAGCGGTCTCGACCAAATTCTTTTTTAATTTCTGTACCTTTTCTTGTCCTCGGCTTCTCTCCTAGTCGACGACACATTACTATTTTTTTTTATTTTTTTTGACATTATGACCTTTTATATACCTATACTTCTAGTCTTATTAGCTTCTATATAGAGCAGAATTGAGCCCCCCCCCCCTTTTCACGACTTATGACTGGCTTGCGTGTTTCGAGATCACTAAGAAGATCACTAATAAAATCACCTGGGCAACATTGAACTTAATAAGTGGTAAAGATTTGGACCCTGAGCTTAAAATGGACAAGGGTATCATAGGTAACCAACGATAAGCCCCACGCTGCATGATAAGCGCATGCCCCGCCAAAAAAATAACCCAGCAGTCCCAAAGCTCTTTCTTACATTCATTGACAGTAAAATAACTTCAACCTTTACTAAATTTATCTTTCACACTCACCACTAAATTCCCCACCACATAATTCATTTGTACCAGAACTCACAATTACACCCACCTTGGCTCCAGGAGCCAGCCATTATTAGTATGGCAGACACAACAGCAATGGACATCGACCTCGAATCTCCCATGCCCCCAGCCGCGATCCCCATCGAGAGCGACAACGAGACCACCAACCCAGCCACCAATAAAGCCAAACAACCCATCGACCCAAACGATCCCGACCCCATAGTCGCCAGCTACAATGTCTACACCAACGCCCCCTTGCCCGAAAACCGCAAGCTCCTGATCCTGCAGCAAGCTAATAACAGCCACACATCCAACCGCGCCCCCCCGCCCCAGATCAGCGAGGTACGCCTCAAGGCAGATTCCGGCTTCATCGAGGTGGACTACCCCATGGCCCACGGAAACTCAGACTATGACCGCGACAAGGGCCTGCGCTGGGGAGGCGCGCTTGGTCGCAGTGTCGCGGCTAAGAATGGTGGCACCCATGGTCTGGCTGGTGGCTTCGGCGTCGGCGTGCCAAATAGAGCTGGTGGTGGCGGCGGCGCGGGAGGAGCGGGAGCTGGTCGTGGTGCGGGGAAGCGTCAGGACGATCTGGAGCGCGAGCTCAGCATGCTGGACTGGAGCGAGGCCGTCCGCCAGGATAAAGTGTTGCGGACGAGAACGTTGGGGGGGCAGTTCCCCATCGAGAATGAGACGAATTGCCGTTGGATGGTGGGAGTATTCAAGGGCGGTAAGTTTGAGAAATCGTAACATTCTGTCGCTACGGTGATAAATACTAAAATCGCTTGGGGAGCGCGCATTCGAGGCTAACCGAACCTTCTTGCTAGACCAATTACACCTGACCCCCGCAACATCACTGATCAACCTGCGCCCCCAACTCCACTACGTCGACGCCCTCGCCGAGCAAGAGCGCCTAAGCCGAGCGCGCGAAAACGCCTCAGCCGCCGGTCCGGGCCCCGGTGCCGGCGGAGCAGCAGCAGGCAAAGAGGGCGCAGGGCCCCAAGGTCCCGGCGGTGCCGCCAAGGCGATCCACATGTCGATCAAGAGCGCCGGCGCCGAGGGCGGCGAAGCCGTCGTCGACACCATGATCGAGCGGCTGCGCAAGGTCCAAGTCGAGCAGTGGAGCAAGCTGCACTACGAGGACGAGGAGAGCTACAAGGCCTGGAACGTCTTCCACCAGAACTTCCTCTACTCCCGCGCCCTACCCCGCGACGCCGACGACGACAACGATGACAAAAACGGCAATACTAGCAAGGGCAAAGGAAAGGAAACAGCAACCAAACTGGCCAACATACCAGACATAAACGACGAAGCCAACCATGCCGCGCTGCCCAGGTACCAGGCCCAGTGGTCCGAGACCGACTTCCTCAAGGCCGTCAGCGGCATGACCTCTGACCCGCAGGCCGACGCGAAGAACGGCGATGACGATATCGAGATCAAGGCCGAGGTCATCAACCTTGGCGACGCCGCCAAGAAATCTGGCGCCGCTGCTAGGGGCGGTGGTGGTGGTAAGGGTAAAGCCCCCACTGCTGCTGCTTCCGCTCTGGCGGGTACTGCTTCGTCGTCGACAGCCGCTAAGAAGGGCGCCCGGGGGAAATCTGTCACTTTTAAGGAATGATTTAAATATGATTAGCTGGCTCGCTTGCTCGTTGGTGGTGGTGGTGGTGGTTGTTACGCTTAAACGTTGAAAAGGGGAATGGGGGTTTTTGGGGGATGGGGTATGGGGGATGGGGCATTGATTAGTTAGACGTGTAACCAACATACCTATTTGCATGACTCGGCGTTTATTATTTTAGGTAGGCAACTGCTTACCTACCTACTTACATGTATGTATACAGGTGGTGGTGTATAAAATGGGTCCATTCATACAGGGTTACCTCTTTGCTTCAGTATATTATACCAATTGTTATCACAAGAGTTGCCGAACAGATTGGTTATCAATGTAGCTATGTATATTTATCACTGCTATGGTGTCTGCATCGTGTTGCGTTCCGGTAATGATGTACATCGAATCAAGGCATCCACATCCATAACGATATAAATATACGTGGTACTCAACAGCAAAGTGCAGTCTCACGCATGCATGATAAGGGCTACAAAAATAAGCGTTTTTATGTTAGCCTATGATCACACATACTACCTATCAACCTGCTTTTGGTAGGTAGCCCAGAATTGTCGATCAGAGGTACCTAGTTCACATGGCCCGAACGACCCTATCTCCTGTCTTCATCCTTCACAAATCCGGGCATTGCGTGAACTCATAAGAATCCCCACTGAGATTCCCTTGTTCAGTTCATCGCCCACATTCCAAGTCGATCCCGGGCTAAGGGTCTGCAAAGAGCCCTCTCTGCATGGGGTGGGTTGTCTCGCCACGAGTCAGGCTCCGTGAAGCTGTAGTACCATAAACATCTACCCACCTAGTTACCTAGATAAGCGGTGATGATGGGTACTAACCCCTTTATGCCTGTATGGCTAATTGGGCTTCGGAAGCATTCGTGTGAGTTGATGTATTAGGTCAAGCAGCACTTCTGCGTCCTGAAGCTTAGAAATTCAATAACTCCACGTCGAGGCCGATGGATCTCATGAACAAATTAACACTATCCAGGCGCTCCTTCGCCATGTCAGCCGGTAGGGTCTTGGATAGATTAAAAGTGTCCATTACTCGATCCTTGACAGCAAGGACAAGTCGCTCATGTTCATCGGGGCTAGCTCCGATGCCGATGGCAGCCAAGAATTGCCACACATAAATGTCTTCTCCGGACATAACAGTGCCTGGGAAGATGTTGGGTAAAGTCGGCTCTAAAGCATTGAAAAATTGTTTGAAGGTTGTCACCCTAAGTAGTGTTAGCCGGATAGTTACTCAGATAATTAGGAATGTAAGAAACAGTTTTATGTACTTACCATTGCTGCCAAGATTGCTCCGTCGCTTGTCCCGCCTGCTTTGCAAGCTCAGCTCGGCTGAGAATCATAGTCAACATCGAGACACCAATACGAGTTCGCGCAACAAGATCCACGTTGATGTTCTGGGTTATCAATCCAAGCACACCAGTGATGATATGAAGCTCCGACTCACTCAGGAGCTTGAGCAGGCTTGGCATGACAGCAACAATGAACAATTCAATGCTCTCGCGCGTGGCAGCATTAATGCTGATAGGCTCCCCAGTTTGCACCTGCGCACCTCGGACCACATCAAGCTGATCAAGATGGATGACGATCAAAGTCAGAACAGTTGTTCGCTGTTCAGGGGTGAGGTGCTCGAACACGCGAGGAATGGCCTTTTTTCCTTTGGGATAAGACAGGAAGGCGATGAACGGGTGTACATCAGTTGCGCCGATGGGATCGTGAACCTTGAGCTCACTCCACAGCTGGTTCTTCAAGTCGGCCAGTTGCTTTTGCAACTCAGCCTGTTGTTCGGCAGTCTGCGGATCTGGGGTACCATCAGATGGAGGTGGCATATTGCGGGCCATATCTTCTACCTTCATAAGGGTAAGATAAACGTTTTCAATGTTCCGAAGTGTTCCCTTCTTGTCAGCACCCTTTTTTGTGGTTGCATCTGAGCGATGGCTCGAACTCGGTCGGTTGGTGTCGGTGTTACTCTCAGTTCGCTTGATGTTCAGCAGAGGCTTAGGTGTCTTCGCATTGCTGAATGATATTTTCCCCAAGCTACCTTCAATGACCAATTGCTTATTTTTAGGCTTGTTCTTGGCGGCTTCGACAGCTCGTTGAACTTGTTGCTCCATACGTTGCATGTGATTCTCCGGGCCGCGTCCTTGACGTCTCATGCCACCGTGACGAGTACCGGTCTGGAATAGGTAAGTCTGCGCGAAGTTGTTAAGAGGCTGATTCGGGTTGGGTCGTTGCCCGGCTCGCAGGGAGCTGAGGACCTGGTAGTAGAAGTCCTCCGCAAGAGCAGCATCGGTGCCATGTTCGCTAGGGTCACCCGTGGCTGAGACGAGTTGCTGAAGCTGGATCCGAGTGATAAAACTCTTGTCCTGCGGTGTCATGAGACCGTTATCCCTTGAGAGCACATGAATTTTATGGTTGCGCTTGGCACGTCTAGCTTCAGCCTCAAGAAAAATTGCTTTCTCCTGTTCACTTAAATGGGGGAGATGAGATTGGTTGGCACCGATTTGAGGAGGACGGGAATACGAGTTCTGCGCACGATGAGCTGGGGGGGCCGGTACATTTGCTCTGGCAGCATCCTGAGGAATACGACTGGGATTCTGCAATATCTGGGTTGGGAATCCCATAGGTGGCTGATGCTGTTGAGGTAAAGGACTAGCAGCATGAGGCCCGCTGGCGGGAGGGTGGGCGTGCTTTGAAGAAGGGCGCTGCAGAATCGCGATGGGATGTCCATGAGGGACACTTTGCGCAGGCTGATTGTGCTCAACAGGGTAGAAGTTTTGTAGATGACGATTGTCAAACTGCTGCTGACGATAGTCTGTAGGCTCGTGGTGAGGATAGTGGGCATGCTGAAATGGCACCTGAGGCTCAGGTGCGGCCTGGGGATTTGGCGGTAGTTGCTGTGCCAAAGACTGAGATTGCAGGTCTTGGACAGATGCCTTGGCCTGGACTCGCATCGCTGCTTCAACTTCTTCCAAGCTCATCATCTTACGGGACGATGGTGGTGCTTGATGTTGGCTTTGAGCTGGTACTGGCGTCACGGCCGTTTTCTTCGGCTGAACCCCCCATATTGAAGCATCAACTTGGAGGTCTGAGGCATATTCGGGATCCTTATATTTCTCGTAACCGCTTCTTGTGGGTTTGGGTGTTGGATTGTATTCGTAACCGGTGTTGTACTGTATCGGGGCTGCTTGAGCCGCCTTGGGAACTGGTAGCTGGCGGCTAAATCGTTGATGCTCCTCTTCCATGGCGTTCGCGACCTTAGCAGTCTGGCCAAAGAAATCAAAATCCTTGCCAACTGGAGCACGCGTGACATCACTGGGGCCATCGCCGAATGTATCGTCGTTGAAGGCGTCATCTGTCTCATCCAACTGATCGCCCAACCCATCGTACGTATCCTCGAAATCCAGGGCCTCATCGATATCATGGGCATTTCGCGAAAGATCGGCAAAAGGATCGTAGGCCTGGCTGAAACCAGGGGCCGCCATATCATGGCGGGGGGCATTCGGGTTGAAGGACATGGTAGAGATTACGAGCTTGGAAGCTCGGTCAGATTATCTCAGGTGTAAAAGGGAGAAGACGAGAGCGTGGGTTGTAAGTCTAAATAAAGCTAAGGAGGTAAGTTGAGGGTACCTAGGTAGGTGAATATTGTGTGTTGGACTGTGGTACTAGTGCAGAAAAAAGACACAGCGCAAAAGTAAGAAGAAAAAAGAAAAGAGCACAGAAGGTAAGGTAGCTAGGTATGGACAACGGACGAGGGACGGATCCTCAGAAATTTCCCAGTACGAAAAAGAACGATTGGAGTTCAAAGTAGGTAGACAAGAAATTTAAGGGTTTCTATAAGAGCTGAAGTTTTTTAGATGGGGGGATTTTTAGATGGAGGGGAAGATGGGCACAAGTGATGGGCTGGACTAGAGGCCAAAAATACAACAGCTGGATGGTGATGGATAAGGGAGGTTGAAAGAAGAAAAATTGATGGATAGTAGAAATATACTGTGCTACTTACAACTAGGAAGATTGGAAAACTTGATCGAACTTGACTGAGACTGATTGATGGATCATGATGCGATAATGAAAATACACAAAGGTGTTGCGGGATGAATGTGGAGGGGCAAATCAGAGATGGATCTCTCCAGTTGCGACAATAAAAAAAACGATGAGATAAAAAGAAATGTTTGGGAAAAAAGTCAATAACAGAAACGAGAAAACACGGGTCACTCCCGAGTTGTTAACAATGTGTAATAAGATAGTTGACTGAGAAAGAAGACTATGAACTATGACGCTCAAGAAGCTGAAATACCTTCTATCGCGATTAGGTTGGTATGTGGTAAGTGTGTTGATATTACTGTGTAGGTAATTAGTTGACGTACCAGAACAGTGCACATTTCGCAATAGCAATCTGGGTGTGGATTAGAAAGAATGATGCGAGTGGCCCAATGCAAATCAATATGATGCCAGTAAGACTTCGGACCGATAGTTAATGCGCCTTACATAACTAACTACCTAGTATTAGGTAGTAAAACAGATATATAGTTACATCAGTATAGGTACCTAGAACCGAAGTATATCCGAACTTAGGGCCAAACTTCAATGAACATGCATTCGTCAATGATTGCCAGGTGTCATTCAGTGCCGTGGCGTGCAACGGCATTCAACACTTCAAAATGCCATTCAATGTACTAAGTACATGCCGTGTAACCGACCATGGGTCCAGACATTCCGGTTATTACACATGTTCACATACCCGGGTTCCTGACTTCCTGGTAATTTATGGAGTTACCAGATACCTACGAAGTAGGCAACGTTAACATTGGATTTCGCTGTTGTTATATTTGATACTATATAATTATATAAGAGCTCTTATATAATTGCATTGAAATGACTAATGCTATACAGAGCATTTCACAGTTGTTATACTTAGGTACTACTATGTATGTGTCTGCTTAATACTACATACATGTATGTATCAGCGACATGTAGTCCGGTCACGTGCTTAGCCTTTTATGTTAAATGATCATATGTAACTAGTTAGTTAACTTGTACCCGTACATCATGTAACATTAAAGTTTCTTTTGGTGCGATGGAGACTTCATGGAGTAAAGGATCAAGGATCAGCAATTGAAACTGGCCTTAAATGAGATTTCATTGTGCAGTATTTATAGCAATGAATCCTCATATTTTACATACAACTTGATTCAACTTTTGAATTGTGTGTTCTATTTTCTTTTACCACATCGAATATTTGCATAGCAGTACGTGTTTAGTATATCTATGTACGTAGCGGTATACGTCAGCGTCAGTCGTTCTATTGGCCGTTGGATATCTACATGTAGTAGCTCATAAACCAACGGTACTATAAGCTAAGAAACCCGAGCACCAGCACTGGGATGCTTTATACACCTGCATGTAGATACTTATATGCAGTTTTGGAATTCGAGATGTACAAATGTTCATGATCTACATACATAATGCCTAGTACCAGACTACTGGCAGTACATATGTAGGTTAGGCAGTGTACTGCGTATGACACTAGACATTAATGATACCTAAATCTTGTAGGTTAGGTACTATGTATATAAGCTACACGGGATAGCCAAACGATATGACTGCGGAAAACTGCATCAAGACCGTTGTTTCGAGCAAACTCGATATGCTACCCGAACATTGAAGAGTTTAAGACAACATGCCCGAAAGTATGGCATGGTAAATGATACGCCCCTCTCCTCTGAAGATCTCGAACTGTGGAAAGAGCACATCCGGGCTGAAAAAAATACACGAAGAAAGCACTGACGGGCCCCCGGGGCGGACTACGGCGTATGATACGGAGGCAAATGAACATTCAATCCACAAATCCAGATGCAGCTACTAACCTTAGGTAATACATATGTATATTCATGGATGTATCCATAAAGGGTAAAATGGACCTAATGGTGGAGAAAATTGCCATACATAGAGTACAGAGTTACATAGCAGTTACATAGTACTAGGTACATCGAATCGAGTTACAGATTTGTACAAGCCAGGGGCAACCCAACTTGACCTTCCCACTTTCCTCTGACGCGTCGACCCATTCACAGTTGAAATTTTAATCCCATCGTCTCCATATTCCACCTTTTAAGGCTTGGAAATCCATGCTTGCAACTGCCCCCCTGCGAACTTTAGCTGTCTACTATTAGTCGGGCCCTGTCTGGGACTCTTGGGTAATAGGTATTCTTCTAGTAGAATTTTGACATTCTACATGCTACATAGTTACATAGTACCCAGGGTATTCGACCTAGGGTATTCCGACCTAGGGTACTGTACAATACAATACTGGAATACATGGCATTGGCATTGTTCAGCAGTGCTGCCAATGCAGTATACTAGGGTTCCCCCTAATCCACTTTCTACATCTCTGAACCTGGTCTCCCACTTCGTATTCAACATCCTGCCCTACCATCTGGCCTAACCTATCTTTACCATCTATCAATCTATCACTCTATCAACCCATCCTACACGTCTACTCCTGGCCTTTATCCTTTTCTTTTTTTATCTTTTCTTCTCTTCTTGCGCTCCCTTGGTTTGCCTCTCACCGTCAAACCCATCACTATCTACTTATTGCGGAATCAAGTCAATCGCATAGAAGTCCTGGGTGATGACTTAACCGCTTCCTTTGTTCTCTGCAACAATAGTTACCATTTTTCTCCCTTAAGGAGGTCCCCGCCCCTTTCCGGCTGGGTGGTACCCTCTAAATCTGAGCATCTGTCATCCTCTCAAACATCCCTTGACGGCGGACAACCCGTCAGTCCGAATTTTACATCATGGCCGCCGGCAGCGCGCGCATCGTGAGATATATTCTCTTCGCCTTTTTCGTAAGTCGTCCTTATTTGTTCACGACTCGTGGCTACCTAGGTCGAATATGAAAGGCTAATGGCAGTTACCATCTACAGTTCCTCGCAGTCCTTTATTTCGTATCCAATTCCTCTTACGAGGGAGTTCAACAGCTAAAGCCTTCAACATTCGGGGCTCCCAAAGGCTCGTCTTCGACAAGTGCTGATAAATCAACAAATAATGTTGGTGGATCGTCCTCATCTAGTTGGGGAAGTAAGCCAGACGACTCGGTCAATAGCGCGTCAGGATCATCGAAGGGTTCGTCTACAAGGCCACTCCCTGGATCACCTAAGCAGAACCCAGATCTTGCGGAAGCCCCGATGCCATTAACACCATCGGACCAAGGATGGAACGATCTCCTAGGAACTGCTCCTGGCCCTCGTATGAATGCTACATTTGTCAGTCTTGCTCGCAACAGTGATGTATGGGAGATTGCCCGTTCGATTCGACAAGTCGAGGATCGCTTCAACCGTCGATTCAACTATGACTGGGTTTTCCTAAACGACAAACCGTTTGATGCCACTTTCAAGAAAGTGACTAGCTCGCTCGTCTCCGGAACAACCCACTACGGCGAAATCCCGCATGAGCATTGGTCCTTCCCTGATCATATCGACCAGGACAAAGCGCGAAAAGTTCGAGAGGATATGGCGCAGCGCAAGATCATCTATGGCGATTCCGTTAGTTACCGACACATGTGCCGTTTCGAGTCAGGTTTCTTTTTCCGCCAGCCACTCATGCAGAACTATGAATGGTACTGGAGAGTTGAGCCTAGCATTGAGCTATTCTGCGACATCCACTACGATCCTTTCCGATTCATGGCCGAGAACAAGAAGAAGTACAGTTTCGTGCTTAGTCTGTACGAATACGGCGAGACCATTCCTACACTATGGGACAGTGTCAAGAAGTTCATCAAGAACTACCCTGAGCACGTCGTTGAAGGAAACTCCATGGGCTTCCTTAGTGATGATGGTGGTGACAGTTACAACAACTGCCATTTCGTAAGCAACGTGCCCGTTAAAGTATAAATACCAAGAAATAGCTTTACTAACTGCCCCTTTAGTGGTCTAACTTCGAAGTTGGAAACCTTAATTGGCTGCGATCCAAGCCGTATGTCGACTTCTTTGAGTCGCTAGACAACGACGGAGGCTTTTTCTATGAGCGATGGGGAGATGCACCGGTTCATTCCATTGCTGCCGGACTCTTACTGAAGAAGGAAGAAATTCACTTCTTCAACGACATCGCTTATTATCACGTTCCTTTTACTCACTGTCCTACTGGTGAGAAAACGCGACTGGACCTTCGATGCCACTGTAATCCTAAGGAAAACTTTGACTGGAAAGGATATTCTTGTAAGCATCCCGCTTAACCCAACTTGCGTTTCGCAATCCATATATCACTAAGATTACTAACTTACCCTCCCAGGTACTTCAAGATACTTTGAGCTGAACGGACTTGAGAAACCGGAGGGTTACGAGAACCAGCAGGATTAGATAAAAACAATACAGACCGATCAAACATGGTTGTAAAGTAAAATGCTAACTATTCTCTAATGACGGTTTATTATAACGCATTATTATCGAATGGCATAGTGGGTACTGACTAGGAGAAAGGGGGGCGGGTGTGGCGTCTACGGAATCATCATTCGGTGATGAAAAATACTGGTTTCTTCATCTGTTCTGTAGATACATATTCATGGTGTCGGCCATCTGAAATACAAATGCTGAAGTTATACTTGGAATCATATCATATCGCGTAAAAAGTACAGATGAAATTTCACGCAACGTCTTTCTATGCCGTGTGTTCTCTTACTCCTGTTCCATTTAAGGTCCTTTATGAGATATGTCCTTATGAAATATTTGCTACAATATCTACCACTCTGCCCTATGCGCCGACAGATGCCTTCTTTGGTTTCTTGGTTCCGTATTTGCTTCGACTCGACATACGATTGGAGACACCAGCCTGTATGGATGAAAATGATTAGCAACCTGTCTTATTCATGCACACCTTGTTCCCCCTCCCCCATCCCCACTCCATATATATATATATATATCTCTAGAACTCACCAAATCCAAAGCCCCACGGACTAAATGATAGCGCACACCAGGACAATCCTGAGTGCGCCCCCCGCGGACGAGGACGACGGAGTGCTGCTGGATGTTGTGGCCCTCGCCCGGGATGTAGGCGGTGATCATGCGGCCGCTCGAGAGGCGCACACGCGCCGTCTTGCGCTCGCCCGAGTTGGGCTTCTTCGGCTTGGTGATGCCGACTTTTAGGCACACGCCCTTCTGCTGCGGGCACTGCATGTCGGATAGAGCGGGGGAGACGGCGTGGCGGGCGCGCTGGGGTTTACGGCATTTCTAAGGCACGGGGGGGTTTGGTGGTTTAGCTTGGTTCGCGAGCTTTGTCTTGTGAGGTCTTTGCCGTTTGGACTTGGGATGGGGTAGGTAGGAGTGGAGGGGGGTAGTGAGTCATGTATCGAGATGTTTCTCGGTATATGGTAGGTAGAATGGCTGGGGGGAGAGAGAGCGTACTCGTAGAACTTGGTTGAGGGTTGCGTTGGGTGACGGCGTCGTCGCGAAAGTGCGTATGGAGGGGAGCTTCGTCGGGATAGAGGTGGATATTATTGCTGGCTGCCTCGCGATGGAGGGCCAGAGGAATCTGAATAGTGATGTGGCCATGTTGGCTGGTGGTCGCTGGTTTTCCTCCAAGCTTGCTCAAGCTATAATGCCTCCTACCCAGGTAGATGGGTACGTAGAGTTGATAGTGCAATTGGTTACTGCGATTGTTCTTCAATTGGCACTATGCGAAAAATCAAAGTCAGGTGACATCGGCCCGGTAGATCCCTGGTCCGTCTTCCGTGGGTTTGCTTGTGGAGGGTGGTGCTGACATAAGATTAACTAGACTCTAAAACGAAACTGGACGTTCACATGTCTGACGGGTTCAACGGTAACACCCAAACAGCTTCTTGAAGCAAGTGGATAACTATCCGCTAAGTCTCAGGAATTGGATGTGTTTGATTCGCCCTCCCCGGATTTAAGGTCAACTTTATCGACGTCAGTGCTGCTTCCCCAATCTTCAATTTATCAGAAGCAATTTCAGGGTTCTGACATTGACTTGTTTTTGATATGTTAATTTTGAGAACTCCTCATTTAAATCATCTTTGATGTTTAATAAGCAAACAAAAAGGCAATTCTCTTCTTCAGCATTTACATTGTAAAAAAAAAAAAAAACAAAAAAAAAAAAAAGGCTTAACTACTGCATTTATTTTGGAGAAAATTGGAAGAATAAGCAAAATGAAGAAAAGCAAAAAGAGTCGATAATGCTGGGGCCCACAGCTCGGCTCATGTCTTCAGGTGGCTATCCTCGGCAGACTGAACCCGCTCGGCGAGTGCGAGTTCAAGTCAAATCCGGGGAATGTTTAGACGTCAGATCCAACTTGTTTAACTCTCACCTACCTTGTCAACTTAACCCTTTTCTTTCTAATAATTCCAATACAGCCTCCCAACCATTGTGTTCCATTTATTCTCGAGTCCCTAAACCTTAACAACTAGTCAACAATTACTGCTTCACACAATGTCATCACTCGCCAGGTTTCTGCGGCCGGCCTTACGGCGGAGCGTTGGTGTTGTACCCCGAGTCTCGCTGTCGACGCGATCTTATAGATTGCCTCGGAATCTCAATGCGCAACAGTGAGTCACACTAAAAATAAACCCTGGCACTTATAACATGCCTATGTTAACACTCCTGCACCTAGATTAAGAACCTTTTCTGCCTCGCAGCGTCGTTTCACCGATATATCGGAGATCCCACCTACCCCTATAACGCACCTATCCGAGACAGAGGCAGCAATGCAGGAGACGGTCTCCAAATTCGCAAACGATATAATTCTACCAAAGGTTCGCGACATGGATGAGGCGGAGAAGATGGACCCAGAACTCGTTGAGCAGCTCTTTGAGCAAGGGCTGATGGGGGTAGAAATTCCCGAAGAGTTCGGTGGTGCCGGTATGAATTTCACATCTGCCATTGTAGGCATTGAAGAGTTGGCACGTGTAGACCCTAGTGTGAGCGTCATGGTGGATGTTCATAACACATTGGTCAACACAGCTATTCTCAAATATGGAAGCAACGATCTTAAGAGGCGGTTCCTCCCAGCACTCGCCACCAACACAGTCGGTAGCTTTTGCTTAAGTGAGCCGGCCTCAGGGTCCGATGCTTTCGCCCTAAAAACCAGAGCTACCGAGACTGCAGACGGATTCAAAATCTCTGGGAGCAAGATGTGGATCACGAACTCGATGGAAGCAAAGTTCTTTATCGTATTCGCGAATTTAGATCCTAGCAAGGCTCATAGAGGTATCACGGCCTTCATCGTCGAGAAGGATACTAAGGGCTTCTCGATTGCCAAGAAGGAAAAGAAGCTTGGCATCAGAGCCAGTAGCACATGTACTCTCAACTTTGACGACGTTGAAATTCCCAAAGAGAACCTGCTGGGCGAAAAGGGCGAGGGTTACAAGTACGCCATCGGACTATTAAACGAGGGGCGGATCGGTATCGCGGCACAGATGACCGGCCTGGCTCTTGGCGCATGGGAAAATGCTGTGAAATACGTTTGGAACGACAGAAAACAGTTCGGAAAACTGGTTGGCGAGTTCCAAGGCATGCAACACCAGATCGCACAATCCTACACCGAGATCGCAGCAGCTCGCGCTTTGGTATATAACGCGGCCAGGAAGAAGGAGGCCGGTGAAGACTTTGTTCGTGACGCAGCCATGGCGAAACTGTATGCTTCCCAGGTAGCAGGACGTGTGAGCGGTCTCGCAATCGAGTGGATGGGCGGCATGGGCTTTGTCCGGGAAGGCCTTGCCGAGAAATACTGGCGCGATAGCAAGATTGGTGCTATCTACGAGGGAACCAGCAATATCCAGTAAGTTGATTTGTTTTGATTATTAGGGGTAAAATACTAATCCAAGGTCTAGACTGAACACTATCGCCAAATTACTTCAGAAGGAGTACACTACATGAACATAACGACAGGCTCAATGACATAGACTAGTCGATTGTGTTCCTACATGAAAATAGGATTTATATTGCGGATGATAACGGAGGACCGTTGAAATCAAATATGCTTGCGCATGGTTTTTACCAAGGTATTCGTGCCATGGGTTTCAATCTGAAGCGTATTAACGATATCCGATCACATGTCTTGAGTAACTATTACCTAAGTACCTTGTCAATATACCAATCTAATCATAAGATATCAAACGATATACAGACGTACGAGTCAACGTGTATATGGAGTGTAATATAACTATAGGGCACTGACATTACCATGACCTCATGTCTCCTTACGAGAAAGGTCAAATACAACAGAAAGAAGAAGTCCTCAGAAGCACTTGTCCATCCAAATTCTTTACTTTTATAGAACGAGAGGGTGAAAGTAGGTAGGCAGCTTACAATGTGCGACTAGGCCAAATCGCCAAACTAAGCATCGAAGGAGCATCAACGAAGCGAGTCAACCAATCGCCAGAAGATCTCTAAACCCTGCATGGCATATTTAAGCGTAGACTACCTAGTACCTAGGTTAGTCTACTATGTTGACATTCGCAAGTTGCGTGCGTCATTGCGTAGGTAGGTAGGTAGATGTTACTAGTTACTACAGCATCCACGAAGTTCTCACCAGCTCCCCCCCCACACACACTAACATCTCGGGACGGATAAATAACGCTAACCTAGCTGCTAGGTAAGGCTCCCTTCTCTCTTCACGCCCGATCGGTGGTAGCTAGGATAGGTAGGAAACGCGCATGGGACGGGATGGGATTCTAAAGGACGGTCCCGTTTTGCATAGGCAGACGTATGTATGTAGGTTAGTAAGTATCCTGGCTAACTTCCAAGTTTCCTTTCTATCTAACCTAGGTACCTACCTACCTACTAGTATGTACATTGCCTACTAGGTAACCTACATACCTACCTACTACCTAGTAGATGCCCAGCTCTGCACTTACCTACCTAATAACTAACACATAGTTACTCCCACAAAACAGCACTGCCTGGAGAGTATCTATCTATCTATATTAGAAAAGCAGCTCTAGATTTTACCAACAACATCAAAGGGAAATATTTCGATACTGCCCCTTACCGAGATCGGTAGACTTTTTAGTCATAGGTAACGGACTTCGACGAGAGATGAAAACAATTTTTTTTTAAAGAGGGTCGTTACATACTTATGTAACTACTAGGAAATGGAGATCGTACCCGGTCGATCAAAACACCGGGGGGAGGGAAGCCTGGGAAGGAGGGAAGTTCTAGACTAAGCACCTAAAGTATTTTGCTTATACTATACTAGTAGGGGTAGGTAGAAGCATCCACATACGATGAATATGTTGGTTATGAGAAGAAGAAGAGAACAAAAAAAAGGGATCATGAGAACGGCTGCATGTTTTTCATGGGTTGAAAAAACATTTTGTGGGAGTTGATGCTATCCAATATTTGCTCAGTCACGTAAATAAATCTGGGAGGTAAGATTCATCAAGCGACGATGATGCGAAAAAGATTATAATTACATATGTAATACTATTTAAAGCATAGCAAGTTCCATCTAAAAAAACCAATCCCCATGATTCCCCATGCCGCCTCTGCCAAGAAACCAATCCTCCATCTGAACGGTCTAGAATTCGCAACAATCCATGGGGGAATATAAAAACGGCAAGCCACATGAACCTATCAATATCAATCTATGCCCCCTGAACGTTCAGGGGAGCTCTCACTGATACCGACCCCTCAAACCGTCAACGCCTTGCTTTTCGGCAAACCACCGTCAACCAACAAATGTAAAAACAAATAAAAAAAATATTGATCTCGAATGATCGTGGTATATCCAATCTTGGGGTATTACCAACTGTAATAAACGTAAAAGGGGCAAGAAACAAAGTCGTCGGAAGAACATCAGCATGCTTAGTGAGCTGCCACCGGCCTCCGATGCTGACGAAACTCTATATCCGCGTAATCGGGTAACGCAGAGCCAGCTTGAAAATCGATCGTAGGTATATTGGTGGAGTATGGTTGCAAGTAATCAGCCGCATCAGCTTGTTCTACCTCCTCGAAGCTCGGGGGCAACACTGAAAGATTTGGGTGGAGCTCTGTAGCCTCGACGCTGATCTGCAATGGCACGTTAAGGGTGATATGTGCACTAGCGCCACCGGATGAAACCGATACGGTGAGCGAGAGTACATAGACGCGTGAGGTGATGCAAGAGTGAAATGTTGGGATGAACGCCTTCTTGTGTGCCGGCAACTGGATCGGTACTTGAACGCGAGAAGTGTAGTATACCGGCGATGGCAAAGAGCCCTTGCTCTTCTTCATAGGAGCGGTCTTGGGAGTTTGGTCAGAATCTGACGAAGACAAGCCTTCGCTACCGTACCCGGAATCTCTTCTCGCGTTCATCGATATATGACGACCCCATCGAAGCGCTTCTATTGACCCAGTAGACGCTGATACTGTGCTTGAGTACGAACCGCGCCCATCTGTGCTAAATTTCCGGCGTCCATCCTTAAGATTAGGGTAATGGTTGATTCCACAGGCGCTGAAGAAGGTAACTGCGGCGACCTTGGATGAAACCCCGGTGATCTTCGGTGGCTGCACGTCGGTTGCGGAAGGCTCAAATTCAAGAGTCAGGGGTACCGAGGTCGTTGTAATAGTCTGCCCATCTGGACTGAGAATAGCCGCGCTCGGTTGCGTCGCCGTGATCGTCACTGTCCCTGATTTCGGAGATATGATCGTCTTTCTCAATGTCTTTCTCTTTGACATCTTGTATAGGTCATCGTTCTCGGTGATATTTAAAGGGGCATCCTCTGGAACAGCAGGCAACACCCGAATCTCCTGACAGGCCTCCAGAAGCTTAGTTCCAAGGCTGACGCCTTCCTCGTCTTTGTACACCCGTGCCTTGACTGCATACTCCACACGGCTCATATTCGGCGAGAAGTCATCCTTCTCCCAAGAACCTACGGAGGGAGGCAACCTCACGTGATGCTCCTGAACGGAATCATTGGCAACGTTGTGATTGCATGCGTTCAACGTGAGGGTGCTGGGGATGACAAACGTGAACGGTACTGTATAAGTCATGCCCGCTTCGAATACTCGTGGTATCGGATATGCAGATTCTGGAATGGGCATTATGAGCTTGAGGAAAGTATGTGCCGTAGACTGGGGAATATTGACGGCATCTAGGCGAGTCTTGCTGGTGCCGAGCAATACAACTTGTAATGTGTCGAACCGCACGTCCACAGGAGGGTTGATGGTGACATGGCCTGATACTTCTGAGCCAGTAGTGTAGACCTTGGAACGGTAGTGGTTCTTGATATGAATGTGGATGCTAGATTTGGGGGTTATAGATAGTTTTCGAGCGTAGCTACCAAATGAGCTGGTTTTGCTGTTCTCTGAAGGTGTAGCGGATGTCATTTTTTGAGCTTTGCCTCCAGGACTGGAAGCTTGAGACAGAAGATATTATCTCAATTCTGATCAGATTCAGCGTTGCTTTGGATATGGTTTCACAACAATCATGGAAATAACCAGGAATTAGGTGTTTTGCGAGGTTGGGCTGGAGCTCAAGGGGCTGGTTATAGGTGCTTTCTGCGTAGATATAGCGCCTAGCTAGTAATTTGAGCTAACTGGATGAAATTATATATGAAATTATTAGGTGCTGGAAACAAGATACAGCTTCAAAACTAAAATTCAATATGCGAAGATTGTCGACGTAGGTGTTAGGAGTATGTCGGCGTGATATCGATCAGGTGTTAAGCTTGTTGTAGTGTTTGAGCTGTAGGTAACAATGCTGGTTGGTACCAAGGTGACTTATACAGGTGCTTATAAATTAATACAACGATATAGAATATGGAAATAAGGGAGGATATATAAAGTGATGTAACCTTATGCTGGAATGTTCAAGTTGAGTCATAAAAGAGATGCTAGATACATGTACGATATTATAAAGATGGGTGTCACAGAAGAGTTACCTTCTTTTCTGACGTAAGGAGCGTAGGTAGGGGATAGATCATGCCGCCCTTCATGTCTTTTGCTTGACGAGCTTGATGAATGGAGACATGGATGGAGACGTGGATGGAGTAGATGGAGACCCTAGTGGCCTGACATGGAAGCGCATCTGTGTAGACAGGGGTTATCGCGCCATCCATGGATCGTAATAGCGAAAATCAAATCGAGCTGCAAGTTTTTTTTCTTCGTTTCTTTCATCTTCCTTGGTTTGGGGTTCTGGAGCCCCCTTGAAACTCGAGTGCGTTGAACCTCGAAAAATCCTTTGATGAACGCTTGGCCTCTAAGGGTGACCAGTTCGAGACCTTACCTCCAAAGGACCCGACAGCTTGTCTTTCAAAGATAGATTTTGCCTCCAAAGGAATGCCTCTTCAATAAAAGTACGTAAAGAAAATGTTTGCAGCTAGCTATAGCATTAGGGGACATAGGGGTCCATGCCCAAGCTCTAGCCTTTGGGGGCATTCGAATTTCGGGGGCTTCGGGGGAGCTTTGCGCCCTTGAAGATGTCCTTGTAGTTATTAGCTAGCACACGCCCTAAGAAGATACCTCGACGATCTCCCGAAGGATGAATCTGGTCAGTCATGCGGCTCGCAGTCAGCACCGTTATTCGGCTTTTGCTCTTATTTTCTTCTACATGTCTTTGATAGTTAGTCACCGGGGACTGTTAAAACGGAGCAGTCAATGTCGTTAGCTTTTCCCGGGAAACCGTCCGTTGGACACTAGACTCTTAGCCCTCCAGCCCCCAAGGAATTTAGTGTTAAACAACAGTGGCCACTGGCTAGTTGGTGGAGGCCACAACAGTCAACTGTTAAAAAGGTAGAAATTGGTAGAAATTGGAGTAAATAACTAAAAAAAAATATTTTAACTCCTTCATCCAGCAGGTAGGCGAGATCCACTTTGGCTTCTAAAACAGCCCGCGGAGCAGGAGCACATTGTCCGTGCTGTCATCTACTATACAGAGGTATGTAGTGTACACCTAGTACCTGGCAGTTAGTGCACACCTCTAGCACTGCGCCCTTCAAGCTTAAACATTTTGACATGCATTGATGTGATTGGCCAAACCTGCTGGATCCATGGATGCTTAAAAGGCGTAACCTGGCCATGTCTGGGTACATCAACCTATCGCAATTCAGCATTGAGACATGAGAATTACTTGATCGGGAATAAATTCCCATTAACTACCCTACTTATCTCGATCGAGGAGTCATCGATGGGGTCAATCAATACCATAACACAATAACACAATAACACAATAATACAATATAATAATCTATTGCATACATAGTACGACATTAGCGAGAGAATGACGCCTTACTCGAACCAACAATACATGTACAGATACGATATATTGCATTATTAATGTAGGTATTGGTAAGTTCAAAGGCGTGATCAGAAGGTCATATCAGACACATACCCAGCCCAGGCCTACATAACCTCGAATCCATCTGCACAGCACAGCACATCTACCTAACCACCCGGGCAGCTAATAATTGACATTGACTTGGTATGCTAGGCTGTCAAGGCACCACAGTGACCGCACCCTCAGGGTCTCGATCAATCATTAAAGCAGCAACGCAACCAAACGACCAGGTAGGGATTAGCTCCCCGGAAAGGTGTGGACGATGTTTATTTCAACTTAGGTAATTGAATCTCCGACTTCGGCTTAACTACTATTATTCTCCAGGTAAAAAAAAAAATCGCAAAGTAAACAGCAACGCACTCTAGATGGTCAGAGACAAGTTACAGAATTTGCAAGGTCAGGTTAGTAGTTAGGTACTATAGGTACTAGCTACTAACGAAGTCGGTGTGACAGCTTAGAAAGAAAATTCTCTTCATTGTTGTGATGTGGATATACATAGCTCCTTACTGGATTTCTTTCCTCTTTTTCTAAATACGGGCATCCATTAATATATCGTATCGCGTAACTATGTAGTTGTAGTTGTATTTTCGGATATTGCCTATGTGCTGGTGGTATTATCAGATGCCCCCCCTTTTCAATCAATCTAACCTAGGACATTCTCCACGTCACGAACAACGCTCATGGATCTATCTCGCTCCATCTCCCGAACGTTAGTGATACCACGTGGACTGATCTAGTAAATTAAGACATCGGTCGGTATACAAGGAAAAAAAAACATATGGATGTGTGCTGTAAAAAATTGCGAGTGTCCAATCCAGATCCGATAACACACATGTTCCAAACCGGGACTCCTCGCATGCAGGAACCGCTACCATATGAGATCTAAGCGTTCTCTTGGCCAAAGAGAGTACTTCTATGTAGGTACTATGTAGTTATTCGATGGGTTCCCCACCGCATCACGGCTTCTTACGGATACCACAGGCATCCCGAGCGAGGGATGTTTCCGCGTCGAAACTGCCGCTGACAAACGTGGGAGAAATAAGCGAATATAGTAATCCTCCCTTCTTCTCCAACTAGTGTGCCTAGTATATATCCCCTTGTAGTATTCTATAAGTGGACACCCACCCCTCTAACCTCTATGAGATAGCTCATGATTAAACATAACCCAAGCCCAGCCTATATGACCAATATGCCATCATAATCAATTCCACGAAATGTACAACATGATCCCGGCCCCCAACGCAATGGCAGCAAACTGCACAAGAGTCTTTCGAAGCTCGAGGGCCTTGTTCGGTCCAGTCTCCAGAAGCTCTGGGATCACCGCGACCGTGCCCACATACAAGAAGGTACCAGCAGTGAAGGGGAGCAGTAGATCACCATATGTCAAGCTGGTGCCCCAGATGCCTTCCGTCATGCCAATTCCGCCGCCCTCAACATTGCTGCCGCCGAATTCTTGCACCGCGATGCCGATCAATGTTCCTAAGAGAGCACCTAGAGCGGTCACGAACTGAGCCCCCATCGCCGCCCGCTTCGAGAAGCCAGACTGGACGAGAAGAGCGAAATCGCCAACTTTGATGGATAAATGTCAGCATCAGCAGCAGTAACTTAAAAGAATGACGAAAGATTATGTATAATGGGTAAGTGGTTTAGTTACCTTCATGAGGAATCTCGTGGAAGAACACAGCTACCGTAGTCGTGGCGCCAATCGTAGGTGATGCATAGAAAGAGGCAGACATGGCTAGCCCATCCGTGATATTGTGCGTGAAGTCCGCGCTTTTATACCAAGATTAGCTAGCAACCCTTGACAGAAATTAAACCCACCCAAAGGAGTCCTCGAACTTACATCAGGTTGAGATACCCCCCCAGCTTAGCACTTGGGTTGATCTCCTTTTCACTCTCCTGCTCGCTTACTTTGACATCGCCCTTGCCGCCCTTCTTGCGCTGTGTGACACTTTCACTCAAAACCTCCACAGACGTCGACGTAGCCTTCGTCTGCGCCAGAGCATCATCATGAGCGTGGCTCCCATGACTATGATCATGTCCCTCCCCACCCGTCGCGATCCGCAGTCCTTTGTCCATCGCCACGAACGTCATAAAGCCGATCATGATAGCCACGCCGAGAATAAGGTTGCGATTCGGCTCGACGAGGACAAAGCGCACGTGTTCGGGGCTGTCCTCGCCGAGGAAGATCTCGGGCAGCAGGTGGAAGAGCGTGTCGCCGAGCAACCCCCCTACCGTAAACGCCACCATGATAGATAGCGACGAGGGGTCGATGTTGGGCGGGTAGAGCGCGAGTAGGAAGTTGGGGGGCCCGGAGATGTAGAGGGTCGCTAGGAGCGCGTTGGTCGCGGGGCTGCCGGGAAACAGGACCGCGAAGGCCCGCTCGGCGAAGCTGGATGTTTCGGAGGCGCTCGCGAGTTTCTCGGCGTTGAGCTCTTGGACAACGGGACAGGTCTGGTATATGTGGGATTAGGCAATTGGTTTATAAGATAGGTGGGTATGTGAATGTGGAAAAGTTGCATACCTGAACCAATTCGTCCAATTCATGCAAGCTTAACAAGGCGCGCGACGCAGTTACCGAGCTCTTGTCAGCTGCGACTCCGGATGCGATTGCGATGGCTATGAAGAGCAGCAGCACGCTCCAGCGGTTTACTATTGTTGCCCTCATTGTCGTGTTCAATTATTTCCAATCTACGGTATAAAATTCCCTCTCACGACAGTTTATACCATTTGGTCGAATTGGTCGAAAAGAAGACAAATATGTACAATTCCTTATCAGATCTGTGTATGTAATATGTATTACTAGGTAGGTATTGTATGTAGCCCAAGTCGAGCTAAGGGCAGAGCTATCTTGCTGACTAAACGCTACCCCTCCAAACCCCGGAAATACGGTTACATCATGGGGCCTGGACATCCCGTCTCGACCCCGTGGAGCCCCACCAACAGCTTCGAAGGCCGCCGATGTTTTAGGTTTGCCGAGACCCAGCACGCCTACCTATCTAATCGGAAAAGGGGCGAATCGGAAAAGGGGCCTTTCTAGAGCCACATAGCCATACATAGCTGTAAATCGGAGCATTACTCAATATTTAGTCGTGAATTTCGTCATGCCGAAAAAATGATTCACCTTCTACCTATATGCGTACATACCTAAGTAATACACAAAAAATCTATGCCAATTCCCATTTCGCAAAGACCGCCCAGGACATGCTATACCCGCCGCCACTTTTCGTCCTAAAAAACTCCTCCTTCGTAACGCCCCTCGCGTCCTTGTTGTTGACCGTCGTGAGAGCATATAAAAATACGTTTTGCCCAGGGGCGCCTAGATCCCTCGCCGGGATGTCCGTCCACCACCAGAACCCGTCCGTCTCCAGAGGCACCATGTCCTCTTTCCTGCCATCTACCCCCTGAATCTTTATCAGAAGCAGATAACTCTTGCCTTTCCCGTGCCGTTCGGGGTCCCAGTGCTCGCAGATCTTCGAAAATTGGAAACGCACGACCTCGCCACTGTAGACGGGGATATGCTTCTCGGCGGGGCTGAATGTGTATTCAGAGACACCCTCGTCCCCTGCCGTTCCGTAAAACTCGGCCTTTTCAGCCTGCATCGGTCCAATATAATACTCTTCCCAGGTGGGAATACGACCGTCGCTGCGGAAGAAATATGCTTCATTCGAGGGGAAATGCTTGAGTCCAAACTGTTCATTGCTCAGACAGAACATTTTTGGGTTGAACCCTTTGTGATATTGTTGATTGCCTACTGAGCCTGCACCCCAACACGCGTCAAGCAATTTCCATTCTCCATTATCTATACACACAGCGTTCCAGGCATCTGTGACACATATGAGTTAGTATTCTCCACTGAAGATGTTTTGGCTGATGCATGGAAATTACTTACGACCGGTAGGGTTTTTGCGTGGTGGTGGCTCGCCACTCCCAAGAGGCGTGTAGCCGTAACCCTTTCCATGGCCACTAACTAACACGCATTGCAGCCCAGCACGTTCAGCAATGGCTCGGTATACTTCAGCATACCCTTGACAAACAGCTTTGCCATGAAAAATGGTTTCATCTACGCTCCTACCCTTGATGCACTTTCCAAAAAACTCTTCTACATTATAGGCGATGTTGTGGTGGCACCATGTAAATATAGCTCTCGCCTTGTCGGTAGGCGATTGGAAGGGCCCACAGAGAACACTCGCTAAATATCCGACTGGATCATGTCTCGGAAGCGAATGACTGGGGTATTGCGCCGCTACACTGTCTGGAGCCGAGAAATCTCGGCAAAGCAAACAACTCTTGACTTCATTGACGCTTGCGCGAACAGTCACTGCGTCAATTTGGGCAAATGTCGGTCGCGAGCTAATAGGGACCGGCGGGGGGGCCTCGTCGCGAGGTCCTCGACTGGCCGTGCTATGAGTTTTCAACGATTCGAAGGTGGAGGCTGGGCGTACGAATGCTGAAGGTGGTGGTGGGAGGCGCCGTGATGATACAGACGAATTTCCGTCGACTTGTGAAGGGGCTGGTGAGTTTCCAGGCCGCGACGGCAATCTAGGGGGTAAGCTAGGTCGCGATCCAACATGGGGAACTACCGGGGCAGATCGTGTCGATAGTAGAGGAGCCTTAATAACCTCTGCCGCTTCCCTTTCCGCAGCTCTTTGGGCAGCCTGTACCTCTCCTTCTTTTCTAGACGGTGGGAGGGGTGGCAATTTCGCCTGGTCTAGAGCTGGAGCGAGAAATCTTCGCGTGGGTTGGGTTTCGGTCGACGTCGTGCTTGTGCGAGAGGATACCGGGTTTAATGATAGATTTGAGATGGTTGAAATATGCGACACATCTGATGAGTTGGACCCTCTTCTGCTGGGGAAGGGTTGGGTTGATGCTCTACGGGCCGGTAGAGCGGGGGATGGGAGGGTAGAGTTCTTGCGACCTGGAAGAGGAGGAGGCGCATCACGCATAGGTAGACTCGGCGAATTCTGGGAGGTTGGTCCTGATGTGTTTGTACGTTGTGGTAGACTGGGTACGATTGGCTTTTGAGGCCTCGCAGGTAAGCTAGGGCTTTTCGACGTGACGAGTGCATTCGTGTCCGAAGCTATGACCTGGGCTATCGGTTTACCAGGAGGTGGCGGCGGAGGACGTCGTCGTGCAGACGGGGGTGGCGCAGTGAAGTTTTTCTGGCCATTCAAAGCTGCTATACGATCGGAGAGAGAATTGAACTTGGGTTCTTCGACGTCGGCCATGTTTGAAGCGACAGATTAGTTTATGGAAGTGTGCTTTGAAGGGTTTAGTGTTCAAGGGAACGATCAGAAAAGCAGTTCTTAGGTAGTAAGTCAACCTGAACGCGTAAGTAATAAATGTGATAGCGTTGACCACATTAATAGACAAGAGCAAAAATAAAACGAGAGATATCTGGATTGAGACTATACACAAAACATAAAGGACTTAAAACGAGTATGAAATGAATTATATTTCTGTCATAGACTACGATGAGGTAGAAAAGTAAAGAGGTAGTTACATGAGTGAGTGTGGTTTGATGGTAAATTGGTGGTAAATTGGTGGAGCCGAGGGGGAATAGGCACATAGGCCCATAAGCACACAGGCAGGCACAGAAGCTAGCACAGCCCTGTGAGAAGTGGAGAATAAACGATCCTTCGGGCCCCTCGATGCTAATTCCGTACTAATCTTAAATGGCCTAGACAACAGCGGTAGGGCTAGTATGAAAAAGTACTAGTGGAATAGCTTAAGTTATCGCCAATAAACTCCATGCTTTTTGCCAGGGTTCCCAGTCGATCGGGAATTCAAGAATTGAGGGGTTCAATTCTTGATGATAGCGGTAGTTATCCCTAGTACCTACTTCAAGGTTGGTGGAGAATCTGGAGATAAAGATTAGATGAACCCAAAATGCCATTTCCTGTCCTAATATCCTCCTACCTGGTGTTTAGTAGTACTTTGATGAGAAATAACTTTTCAAGCTGCATTTGAAAAGGTCCAGAGGCAGATATTTGTTAATTGGAAAGATATCGTGGAGATCTCCAAACATACTTACATTCTACCTACCTAGTGTATGTAGGTACCAATATTGATAAGATGAATGGCTACGGAGTATCAATCGGCGACTTGCAGGCAACACAGGTTATTAGCGTCTGGGCCGTGCCGTTGTATTTGATGAGCATTGAATGTCCCTTGTTTAATAGTTGGCTCCTTGAAAGTCCGATGTCAAGCTTCTGGTTAAAAACCTAATTGAATTAAGTTTTAGGTGGTTATTGAACAAAAACGTCCCAGTACTGAGAAGTTAGAGTTCTACTCTATGTATCCCACGAAGAGTATGTAGTAACATCCCTCTGTACCTACAGTGTAAGCAGGCACATACATGAGAAGCTCTGGCATTTGTCTAGCGCGTCATGTGCATAAGACAGTTAGTTCCCTCCCCACCACTGTCTAAGCTGCCGATTATCACTAGGTTAGGTAGGTAGGTACGCTAGTTTAGTGCCTACCTAGTACTAACTATGTAAAATACAGTACCCAATTGACCTGTCTCTCCCTTTAACCCCCACATGCATCCATACAATACATCACACATGACATATCATACATACATGTGCTTTCTTCATTTCATCGTTCTACTTTACAACATACATCTCTAAAACCCCCTCGCTCTTCTCAAAGTTGTCTAACACTTGCAGTTCATCCATTTTATGAATAAATTCAATTGACTTGCCGTACTGAATATCGTTTGAGTCCGAGACCTTGGCAGAGCCTCAATATCTATCTTAGTCGCCCAGTTTACTTCACTCAACTTTTTCGCAATCGTTGCGCCCGAGTAGAGTATAAGTAATTTCTATGGACTATTTCTAGAATTGGTTCATTTATAGCCAAGGTGTCTTTGGTTCTCATTCTATTTCCCGCTAAAAGGGCAACTCCTCCAGCTCTCAGTCGCTATCAGGTAGCGAAGTCACCATCATGGCACCCAGTGTCCGCAATTCTATCCGATGTCCCTCTAAAACTACCAACATCCTCGATTTGCCTGACGAGGTTCTTAAGGAGATCTGCATTCACGTACGTTTCCATCTGTGATTGGCATCCAACTTAATCTATCAGTACTTATAGTGCTTATCACTAACCACTATCTTCACAGTGCCTCCAATGCGATTGGATCTGCCTATCGCTCGTCTGCAAGCGCCTTCGTAAATTCGCGGCCGCCCAGCTCTATCGCAATTTCCATATAGTCTTCCCTGACGAAGATGATCCCTTCTTCGACTCACCCATTGACGGCCTGGCAGGTGGTTTATCCACTTTCGTTACCAGCGACTATGACTATGCCAAGCATCTGCGAGACATATCCCTTGACACGCTTAGTGTGGGTGCGAAGGCTGAGGCAGCTTACAAGCCATATCTTGCCAACGTTAGCTGCGGGAAGTTCATGAATACTTTGTTACTTCTCACCCTACGCCGAGCCAAGTCACTCAATACCTTCCGCTGGAATATTAGGGTCGAGCTAAGTAGACCCGTATACAAAGCCCTCCACAATATCGAGTCTCTGAGACATCTTCATGTCCGCTTACAGGCCGGCCCTTCTCTCCACCAGCCCCCTCCACCCCTCCCTTTCTCCATACTTCCGCTGTATACTGAATACACCACCGAATGGAGTAACTCCAGTGGTAGTCTTCCTGACGCTGTTACGCTGTATGGACCTCCTCCGGTCTTGACGCCATCATTACCAATATCCAAACCCACCTTTAGCCCTAGAGCTTCGAAAAGGTCACGCTTCACTGAAGAACCACCGACGATTGCTGGTTTTAAAAACCTCGAAAGTTTAAGTGTACTTGACATGGATAACTTAGATATTATTGACGAGATTCAGGCATGCATACACAATTCCTCATCGACGCTGAAAAAGCTAAAGTTGTCGTTCTCTGATTCTCTTGCAATGCAAGCGAGGCGTCCACGTACAGAGACAGAAATTGACTCTGAGGGCGAGGAAGTTATATCCCTACCTACATCCATATACCACAATGGTTCCAGCAGTGGGCCAGTAAAGTCTTTCGGAGCTCAGGAGGAACGAAAGAAACAGGAGTCAGTCCTAGGTCGTATATTCGGCGTTGAGCGTGGAAAGAGCCCCCAGAGATCTACCGAAGACAAGAATGGGGCTGAAGTTCAAGAGCAGCCAACTTCGCAGGAGGGCCAGCGCTTCATTGACGATGTCCATAGAACCTTCCAACGAATGGCCGAGCACATCAATGGCACACGTGATTTTAAACATCTAGATCAACAAAATGCCCTGGACACCATTTTAAAAGCCGCCAAGATATATGTCGAATCCGAAGAATCGAAAGCTAAGGCTAAACCCCAGTCTTCAGCCCAAGAGATTCCTCTTAGTGAAGATGCACAAACATCTAGCCTGGTTGAGATTGGCATGTCGTTGGGCGATAGTACGGGAAGGATGGCTTCGCCACATAGTAAGCTATCTAAGTATCACACTAAAGCAAAGGGCGTTGCTTTCGATATGGACCCGGATGATATTGATGTCGCAGCCCCAGAAGACGAGTCCCTAAATGCTGATGAACAATCAATCCTTGAGACACAGCTAGATTTTGAGTCTCTTTCAACAGTTGATACACCTCAAAGGAATGTTGCGCGGCCAGGAAAATGGGCAGACTCGACAGAGGTGGAGCGATTGCTGGAGTATGATGTTCACGATGAAGATGTCTCAGGTCGATTAGAGTCACCACAGGAACGTCCAAATTCCACTAGTCACGACCTACAACATACAGACGGGGATGATAACGCGGCAACTACAGACATAAAAGACACTCCTAAACACACAGGAATAGCCACGACAGAGGAGGAGAAGCTTCACAGTCATGTCTGCCAATATGTCCGTGACACACGAGGGATTGCCTTACGTTCTCTCAGTATTCATCTTATACCAATCAAAGCATCGGTTTTGAGGAAGGCCATAGATTTCCACACACTGAAACGGATCACTCTCTTGAATGTCGGAGAGCAAAAGAAGTTTTGGACGTTAATGATGAAGGAGAATAACTCGAAACGCCTTAGTTTGAAAAAAGTCTTCACCGACGATGTGTGCCTCCCATTTTTACAGCTTATTTCAGAGCTTGACTTTGTCGACGAAGTATTCATGTTACAGCGGTCGCCAAAGCATAAGCCTGATCCCTTCGCCCCTAACCCAGGAATGACGTTGGAACAGATCAATAAGTTTGTTCTGAGGAAGCGTAAGTATTTCATACCTATATTTTAGACATGATTATGATTGTTTTGATATAAATGGGTTCCATAAAATACACTGTAAAAACGTGCTAACTGTATAATCTAGATATGCACACACTGAAGCGCCTCATGATCAAGAACCAATCAGATGGCTCATGGGACCTGAATGAAAAAACAATCCAGTTAATTTGCCGGCGAGGTAGATCGCTCAAGGAGCTAGCCGTAATCATGGGCATGCGCGCAATAGTAAGTATCACTTGAGACGCCGTTGCCACCTTTAGGAAGAAATTGCAGGTGACTAACGACCTTCAGCACACCTTTATCCAGCATATGGTTGGCCTCGTGAATCTCCGTGCGCTGCAGCTTATCTCGTTTAGAACTGAGGATACATGTCTTTCAGTCATGCGAGAGACGCGTCAATTTATAGTTGACGCTGTATCTTATCATCCTGACTTGAAGCTGGAGTACCTCGCATTAGGGGACGAGGACCGAGCTATGAGAATCGTGCGGAAGCTGGAATCCTCGAAGGGTCCGAAGAAAATATCATTCAACGGCAAAGAAATTGCTACCGACGTGGTTAGCAATCATCATTTTGGTATATATTTCCCTGAGGCACCGATGGGGTGGTATACAGTAAGTGAGAGTGAGGATGAAGAAGATGATCCATTGCCAGGCTCAAAGCTAGAGGTGATTGAAGGCTTTGCATTCTACGATATTTATGGCATTCGCATCTTCAAGAAAGAGATCGTAAGTGGCCGATTGTGAATAGCAAGGGTTCATGATACTGAATAACACGTGGCGAAGTCTCACAGGGAGTATAAGGTCTTTCATTTCTTTTTTTATTCCAACGTCAGAATACCCTTTGCGCTTGGTAGGTAGGCGTTCGTTAGGCATTAGGTAGTAATACGGAATATATTACTGGTACGTAGAAAGAGTCTCTGGATACTTTGTAACAGGTATTGTCCTCTCCCATCGCAGCTATGGCGTTTAAATGCCTTCCACACCCCACCCCCCCCTTTCTCTTCAGCAATCTCCTGCTATGATATCATCCCATCGAAATTTACAATGAGAGGGGACTCCGCGCCCCATAAATGGGTAATAGGAGGTTGTGGGCAGGCTGTTACCATTGCCGCTAATACCACCACTACTGCTGCTATCGCCGAGTATATATGTCTCGGCACTGGGCCCGAGGACGAGGAAGAAGCCGAGGAGCTGCTGCCAGTCTGCGCGCGATATACTATGCTCGCGGGCCATTGCCGCCGTACTTGTGGTGGTGGTCGTACTGTTGCTGTTATCAGGCGGTAGCCCTCTAATGATCTGCAAACCATTTACCACATGCGCGAGCGCGGCATCGTCGTTGCACCGCGACGTCTCGATGCAGACAAAGACTAGGCAGCAGACGAGCGTCACCTCAACGCTTGAGAGTGGTGCTCCCGGTTGCACGTGGCGCTGGAGGTGGTAGATGGAGAGGTTGTATTGCTGGATTGTGAAGAGCTCTGGGTTGTCGATGGAGGTTGAGGATGAGATGCTTGAGGAAGGGGTTGGCAAGGGCGAGGAAGTGGAGGTGGAGGTGGAGGTGGTGGTGGCAGTAGGGTATATCCACTGCTCCTGCTGCTGCTGCTGCTGCTGCTGTTTTTGCTGCTGCTGTATGCTTTCGTACGCGGCACCCAGAGCGATCAGCGCGTGTCGCACCGCGCGGTCCGTACTCCCCAGCTGCGCCGCGAGCCGGAGCCAGAACCCGGGCTCGACCCCGGGTACGTGGATGGCTGGCGGCTGCAGTCCGTGGTCGGCGGCGAGCCAGAATCGGTGGAAGAATTCCCGTTCTTGGGGCGTGGAGGGTATGTCGGCTGCTAGGGGGCGTAGGGGGCGTGGTTGGGAGGAGGAATTATTACTACTGTTGCCACTGCTGCTTCGACGGTTATCATGAGATGACGCTACGGAGAAGACGTGCTGGCCTGGTTCGTGGTGCGGTCTTGTTGCTGCTGCTTTGTGGTGGTGGTCTTTTCTTTGCGAAATGGTGATATCGGAGGGGCAGATGGTGATTGAGGGTGGCGAGGGCGATTTCGATTTCTTCCGCCGTAGAGGAGCATTGCCATCATACCCGTCACATTTCCTCCCCGTGCTGGAGCACCGCGTGCAGGCTGGTTTTGTCTCGTCGCATTTTACACGTCGGATTCTGGGTTCATTAGCTTGGCCCCTGAATTTGGCAGTTGAGGTCGTCTTTTTTCTTTGGGGATGGGGGGGGGGATGGATGTGACTGGTAGACACTCTGCCTCTGTAGTACTTACTTGCTATGGAAGACGCGTTAGCAAGAGAGGAAGAAGGCTGTCTTGGTCGGGCACGGAATACTTACCATGTGATGCACCCCGTTCTAACCTTGGGCTTGCTCGTTCTCTTACGCTTGGTTTCTGCTGGGGGGGTGAGAGAGCCCTCGAGGTATGGTGTATCGTCTACGACGTCGTGAACGAAGAATGTTGGTCCGGCTAACCATTCTTGCATCTTCATAGGCACCATTGCTTTCAACTTATAATGTGGTGAGGTGGGAACTACTGATACGGGGTAGAGTGTTATCTCGATGGCCTATCTAGAGGTCTTTGTTGACTTTCGAAGATGTCGATCATTTAAATGTCAGTTCAGCGATGCTTCTTCTTTGGAATTGCTATTTGCTATTAATATTCACCAGGCGTTACCTTCATCTGGTTAACAAATGTATGGCGCGAGCACTTCGTTTTATTAGAAGCAGGATCACAGGCTATACCTACCATTCTCCCCCTTTTTTAATCTCCGTGTGGCCAAATATTATTTGTGTAGATACAAAGATCCCACGGTTCAACTTTGCTTCGATGATGCGCATCATGCTATTCATACTGCAGGCCTATGCAAAAGTACCGAGATTTTGATACCTACTAGGTATCCGATGTTACATGACAACCCATCTACCATATCTCACCCTCCTTTCCCTAGGCTGTCCTTAGGTAAGGACATGTTAATAGCCTTTTAAACTACGCGAGAACCCTCGCTTAGGACCAACCAAATTTCTGGGACGAGCCGAGGTATCGTCGAATATATAATCATGAACCCAGAATTATGCTACTAAGTAACCAAGGGACGTCTAAAAGCTCCCCTACCTTGCCTTGAACGGTCTAGTGGCAAAGGGGGACCCATACTGACTAAGGCCATCGGGGTCTGATCTGGCGGGATTAGCGCAGGTGTTCTAATTATATCTCCAGCCTTACCAAGCAAGCCAAGCAAGACTCCATGGGGCTTGTACCAGGTATTCATGCGGCATCGTAGCAAGCTGGGAGGGTAGCCATATGGCTTTTGTGGAGCACTCGGGGGTGGTGTTTGGTTTCTATTTGGCATTGTCATCACAAAAGATTAATACAGATACTGACCTGGTATGATATTTCATCTTTACTACCCAACTAGCCTGCCTCATTTAGCGAATCACGAGACTGGGATCATGAGATGGTATCTTAGGTGAGTAAGCTACCTAGCCTTAGGTAGATAATAATTTCTTTGTTATAACCGGCCTTGCGGTGTAGACTGAGTCTTTACGTAATTTCGAGCGATGCAATAGTATATGCATGTTGCTTAGAGTCCCATATTGGCGGTAAAGCTTATACACGTACGAGTAAGCTGGCACGTCTTTCTCCTACAGGTCCCGAGTCAGGTATTTTCTTGTCCATCGTCTACGCATTGGCTAAATTCACAAAGACCCCGTAGAAACATGATAGTTATGTAGGTGGAGATATACATGTTATTCCGTCGAGATGTCCGAGGGAGTCAAGTGATCTTCTAGATTTCAACTAAACAAATTTCTAATTAGGGCTGGTAACTTGGTGTTATTGGGACCTGCGTGTATTTGAAATAGGGGAATGACTTAAACCCCATTAATTCGAAAACCAAACGGCTATAGCTGCAGATACCTTGGTAGGTAGGTAAGTTCATTACAAGCACCTTTGAAGAAATTCAAAACTTCCTCAGTTAGAGGTTCTAGTTAGAGGTTCTTGCCATCACGTTGATGCGTCCCAGGTCCCGTGGTACAAGGCACAGTTCTTTGAGCTTCTACCGTTACCAAGACGTATTATAAAGCCCCTGCGTCCTCCGTATTTCAAGACTTCCGAGTCAATGACCGGCGAATGCTCGTTTGGCCTGGCATTACCCCTAATGTCCTTACGTTACTCTACGCCAAAATATACACTCAAAGGTAGCCAGCTACACAGGTCAGCGACCAAACTACAGAGAGTTCTCATGCTTCAGAACCGTGACTGTAGACATTGATGTCGTGGCAGATCCTACAACCTTGCATTTAAGTTACGATACACGCTCGCGTCACCACCGTAGCCCCAGAGCCATAGCACTTCGTAATCCTCCCTGCCCATCGATTCGAGACATAACATCGCTACGCACATCGGTTTTGATTTAGGCCAGGATCAGCGTTGATTGTTCTCAGGACAAGGCTACCTGCACAGCCATCGAAAGAACCGAGATATATATACGGTATTAAATGGGATAGGGGTTAGGCATTGCAGATACGATGATGGCGCATATCAAAAAATATTCCCAAAGCTACCTACTGTAACGTCTGGTTGGTTAATTAGGAAGCTTACTTCGCCCATGGCAACTGCAGCTTCTACAATCAGCCACAACGCTTGCAGATACCACTACTACTCTACTTGATCCTCCGCCACCTTCATACCCTGTAAAGCCAGATACCATAGCTGGTGTATCTCAACCGAGTAGAATGATCTTCGGCGTGAACTAAATGGTCATCATATTCTCGCATGACTGGCATTGTGGCCTAGGATAGTAGGGAGTTGCTACGTGCTCTAGCTCTTAGTTAAGCTATTAGAGCCCTAGAATAATCTGTATGAGTAAAGCGAACCTTTAAGTTTCCCTTTATTTATTATGAGAGAGCGAGCCAGGGGCTAATCACTGCCACTCCAACGGTGATACATAAATACTTCAGCCTTGAAGGTAAAGGAGTGATGCTTGGTGCGTGATATCTCGTGTCCTAAGTATTCGCATATAGGCAGGTAGTAATCCCACTCCTTTGGCCTACCTAGTACTGGGGATTTTCACTTGTGGAAAAGAAAAGGGGGAAAGGCGGGGAGTGGGTCTAACATGCCATTAGCACCCCTATTATGGCAGAGTCTCTGATCAGTTCTCCCGGAAGCTAAGCCTGCTTATGGCTTAACCCTTCTGATGATACCATACCACGGACGCCTCCAATGCATATAGACCTTGCTGGCATTCTTCTCTTAGGCAGAGGCTAATTATCTACATGCCGTGGCCAGCTCAGAACGGTAGCTGGAGAAAAGGGGCAATGATCTGCCTCGTCATTTCATATGCGTTACATCGAGGCTTAGATGTTATCGTACAGTAATGTGTTATTTACTTCTAAAAGATGGAGTGGTAGTTTTCTAATTATGTACTTGTCCCAATTATATCCTTGACAGGAGAGGTTCTTCGTCTATCTTCCAACCGGAAGGATCATGCATACCACAACGCCATCGCCAACCCAGATACCGATGACGCGAGTGAATGTATCAATCCTTCAAATGAGCCACTGACTGCTCAAGAATAGACTTGGAACTGGATGCTATTGGGGTTTGATCCCGTAACTCTTCAGATCCTCTCTCTTCTTTGGTCGGATGAGTCTGTGCATCATTCTCCGTTTGAGCCTGAGTGGTCGACTTTATCTCTCCATCGCTAGGCGATGGACCTTTGTTAGCGTCTACTACCCCTGAGGGCTTTCCTCCCGGTGGGAAACCTGGCCCTGTCTTCTTGATGTTTCGCCATTCCATGAAAAGAGCTGCTACTAGGGCGACAAGTGCCACGCCCATACCGCAAAGGAATATCCTCGAGATGGCGTTGTTATATAGTTGTTTTACACGGGGTCGATAAGCCGGTAGAACATTGTCGACGAGATCTGTAGCGCCTTCACTAGTGACCTCGGCGGGATTGAGGCCAGGGATATCTGCTACGTGTCTAACCATATAACTGCTCAGGAGGTTCTGGCCCACAGACGTGAAGATACCACCTCCTAGCTGCTGACAGAAAAACATTATGGAGATTCCAGTTGGAATATCTGGCTTGGGAAGAACGGCTTGAGCGGCGAGTCCAGACGACTGCATACCTGTTCCTAGCCCATAACCGACAAGAAACTGGTACCCGATCCAATGAGCAGATGTCTCGCCTACTCTAAAAGTGCTCATCAACCCTAGGCCCGTCGCCATGATAGCTGGACAAAGTATCATGACAGGAACGTAGTAACCGATCTTTTGTGTGAGGGCTCCGGCTAGGATACTGGCTACCACCATGCTAAGGACAAGGGGCAATGTATCAATACCGGATTGCACGGCGCTCACGCCTTGTACCACTTGGACTATATCTCAATGTAAGTAGGGGACCTAATCATGGGATGTCTCTGAGTTAAGAGAAGGAGACACTAAGATGAGAAAAGACTTACACCACAATGGTAAAAAATAGATGGACAACATCATCGCCCCAGCAACTGACACCATGTAGCAGGCTGCAGCCGCGATACTACGTTGAGTAATCACTCTGACCGGGACTGTCGCGGTATTAGGCATCAATACTTGTATGGTGGCGAAGGCGCAGAGAAGAACACCAAAGAGGACCAGCAGAAGGATTATTCGCCAACTATTCCATGCGTAGGTTGACCCGCCCCATTGCAGTGCGAGCAAGAGGCATACGATGCTTGGGATGAAAAAGAAAGTTCCGAGGGGATCCAGCCGAGTAAAATGCTCCCATGGTTTTGCGGACTCGGGTGGCTTCGATGGAATTTTCACCAAGAGAAGGCATAACACTGCAACGGCTCCAACTGGAAGATTGACATAAAAACACCATCTATAGGGCAACGCTTTTTCTCAGTATAATCAACATGTACGAAAGAAGAATTATTGAAACTTACCTCCAAGTAACACGGTCAGTGAATGCGCCACCAACTAGAGGGCCAAGCACCGAACTGACGCCAAAAATAGTACCAAAGATGCCCTGGAACATTGGCCGTTTGCGAAGGGGTACCAATGGAAGCATGATGAGCATCACACCGGTGAAGATGCCTGCTCCTCCCAAACCTGCAATGGCGCGACCGAGAATGAAGGCGATCGAATTTGGTGCTGAACCACAAATAGCCGAACCGATCTCAAACAGTGCGACCGTAACAAGAAAGGTGCTGGCAAACGGAAAGAGAGCACGGGTTAGCGATGTAGGCGTAACTACGGAGCGGGTGCGAACAGCGAGACGGCAGACTTACCTCTTCACATCATAGAACTTATAAACTCTTCCAAACACCAGCTGAGATGCGGCTGTGGTTAACTGGTAGGCCGAGCCATACCAACCAATGTCTCCTAAACTGTCAAAATCATGTGTGATTTGGGGGATCGCAGTCCCGATAATGGTTCGGTCTAGGGCGACTAGAAACAGGGCAATGTATATGCTAAGCATAACAGACCAGAACTTCAAGGTCTTGGGCTTGAAGTTCTCCTCGGCATCATCGACGAGTTCTGGCGATGCCTTCTCTACATCGTTGGGCGTCACTTGCGCGGAAGGGCCACCCGTCTCGGAGGTCCTCCGCGACGACTCGGCCATTTGGTTAGGGAGCAGGAGATGAAGGCTGTGTTTGCCGAAAGGAAGAGTATTTCAAGGGGTCAAAAGGTTAGAAGAGAAAAAGATCAACGGGGGAGGAGAGACAAGTAAGTAGTGTCACATTTACTCGATGGCAAAGCAATAAAGAGTTCGATAGCGCTCATTACCACCGGTTACCGACCTAAGGAGGTGGGGAGTAATAAGTTTGCGCCTGTGCTGAGTTACAAACAACCTACCAGGCCAACGTTTATTCAATATCGTAGAAACGGCGATATATAAGCCGTGTACACACCAAGATAGATATAGTCGTTTACCAGATTTTCACGATTCGTCATGTCCTACCTAGATTTATCCAATGATGGTATCTAGTCTGTGCCGCGATGGGCACTGACCCATAGCACATACGTCCGTTCATACTAGATAGGTAAGTAGGAATGTGCATGTGGTTTGTATTTTCTTTCTTTTCCATGGCGAGAAGGACATCTGGAGAGACCCGGCAGGTTGGGGAGTCCCGAAGCGGGTGGAATTCGGGAGCGATGTAGAAAGGGAGAAAACCGAACATTTTGTATTTACAATACTAGGAGGTAGGTACCTACATGTATGTACCTACATACTCACATCATGACACAAGGGAGCTTAGGTAAAAGATTGATTGTATCACGTGCTACTACATAAAGCTTTAAACTTTAAGCGACAAGTCTTTGGCTGTTTCCAAAATTTCCGGCGGACCTCTTTTTGATAAAGGTGCTCATAGCCCCACCGAACTAGTCCATAGATAGTTAGTGGAACTACTTCAACGTAGTACGTACCTTTATCCTCAAAGCCCGTCCGGTGCCGCCCCTCCTTTAAAGTACAGCAGTTGTACTAGTAGTACCAGCCCTAAAAGAGCCTTACAGGGCATTCGGTCCCGAACGATGAGATTTCGTGACCGAACACCTGCAATTTGCCAATTCCACCTGCAATTCATCAATTGGAACGAGAATCCAGGCAGCAACCAAAAAAAAGAATCCAACCAAACAAGTTCTCTCCAGCCTTGCCTCGTCGGTGGTCGGTGGTCAGTGGTCGGCGGTCGGCGTTTAAGGTATGTATGTTACAGCATGTAATGGATCAATCTCATCTTGTATCTCGTTCTATTTCAAGGGCTTGTGTGTTGTTTGATTGCCTTGATTATGTATTACTATTTGCATCTACATATGCTAACCTTACATGTCCAGGTATCCAGTACTACTAGTAGTAGGTGTACTACCTAGTATCTTGAAGTAGTATCGATACGAGAAACATACATATATATGCGTACTTACATGTACACATACTACATATGTAACTACATTCTTAAAGGTAAATACTGACTTTCAAATCAAATGTATCCGTAACAATGACTTATTTCCTTCTGGTTTTGTATCAATGAAGATCCATTATCCATTAATGATCAATGGAGGGGGGAGAGAATCATTGGGATGGATAGGATCTATACGCACATTTCTTTTCCTTTTTCATCTGACCTGCATAATTCGTTCCCCCCTCCCTCGTCAAGAGTTCTAGATACCTATCCTAGAGGTTCAGGTTCAATGAGACGGTCTGATCTAACCCTCCCAGCCTCCTTTTCCCCCATCTTCTTAATACCCTGTGCTCTCATGTTCTCGTGCCCTTATGTTATGCCCTGGCGTCCTCGTATCCTCTTATCTTCTTACCCTCTAATAGCAATCTATCTACTATCTATCTATCTCTCCCCCCCTTCTTCTCCAAAGCGGCACAACAGCCAAAGAACCTGCATGAGCCCGACTTGCAAAGACATTATTGTCTTTTTATTTCATATTTTTCTTACCATGTAACTAGTTAAACCCCATCTCGGTCCCGAAATTCCCGCATTTTCCGCATTTTCCGCATCAACACCATTGTATTTTCGCCTGATTGCCAATCAACGCCGCACTGGGCATCAAAGCTTCTCGTCTCATGTAGAACAAGAATCATTTCCAATTACCTAGTTGAGGTCTATTGATCCGCTAGTTATACCACAAGCGCCTGCACGCCCACGCTAGCGGTGTATGAACCCGTCCCATTCGGGACCGACTGAAAAACCTCACTATGCCCCCAACCCCAGAATCCCAACATGGCGATGGCTCGGCTAACAACGACACTACGTCGCCAGCCGGCTCCTCGCTTAATAGCTCTTTGCCCAATCCAGATCCTTCCATGGTAAAGGTTACGAGAGGGCATAGCTGTGTGTTATGCCAACAGCGCAAAGTCCGATGCGACAAGCTGAAGCCCTGCTCTAATTGTAAAAAGGCTGGAGTCGAATGTCGCGTCGTGGCACCCCAGCCGCCGAGGCGGCGCAAGAAGCGCATTCCCGAAAGAGATTTGGTGGAGCGCCTCCGAAAATATGAGGCGCTCTTATCTCAGAACGGCATCGAATTTGATTCACTAGGTCCGGATGTCAAGATTGTAGATCCCGGCTCCGTGGAAGATGGCGATGAGTTAGAGCCCGAATTTATAAGGCAGAGGAGTAAAGAATCTCCTGAAGGGCTCGACCCTGATCTGATCTCGTCCCCTGGCGAGACTCCGCATATGCCTAGGTGAGCGCCGACCAAGTTCAGGCCAATCCTGCCCCACCTATGCCATTACCAAGACTAAAGACTGACACTCTACCTTATCAGGACCTTCAAATGGTTTCCTTTCCAGAAGGAGGCTAGTAGTAAAGTCCCTACGTCTTTAGGACTGTGAATACTAACATCCTTGTAGTTCCGTGCCACAGAGGAATCTCCTAGGGACTCTTCTGACGAAGAAGACGTCGGCTCGTCCATTAACCAAGCGTACGATAAGATGTTCGATAACCCTACTGGCTTCCCTTTTGTGATTGGTGGCCAGTTCGAGAGTGTCACTCATCAACATCCATCCACCATCCATATAATTCAGCTATGGCAAATCTACCTCGACAATGTCAACCCCCTCCTCAAGCTGACGCACACGCCGACGCTGCAAGTGCGGATTATAGAGGCTGGAGCCAACCTTGAAAAGGTTTCTCGTCCTCTCGAGGCTCTTATGTTCTCGATCTACCTAATGGCTATCACAAGTATAGATGAAGAAGAATGCCAAACTCTATTCGCCGAATCGAGGACATCATTGCTGGCGAAATACTACTACGCTTCGCAGCAGGCCCTCCTCAACGCAGGGTTCATGCGTAACCCAGACCTAACCTTGATACAAGCCTATTTACTTCATCTTGTAAGACAAAACATTTGGTTCATATATAATTGCGATCTAGATCTGACTTGAATTAGTTTGGCGTTCGACAATATTCTGACCCTCGGTCACTATTCTGCTTGACCGGGATAGCAGTGCGCCTTGCACAGCGAATGGGCTTACATCGTGACGGTGCCCAATTTAAACTATCACCATTTGAGGTGGAGGAGAGAAGAAGGCTATGGTGGACCCTGGCAGGATTCGACAGACGAATTGGAGAATTATGCGGTTGCATCATCACCGCCGTATCGAGTGGTGCTAACTGTAAATTACCGCTCAACATCAACGACGCTGACCTGCATCTCCATGCTAAAGATCCTCCATCTCCTCATACGGGCGCAACTGAGATGATGTTCTCTCTTGCACGTCTCGAGTTCGCTAAAGCACCAGGAAACGACAAAATGAAGGGCCAAATGTCGGAAACGAACCCACAAGCGGTGGCAAGCGTTGCTGACCACAGGTTATCAAGCTACCTGGAACGAATGTCTGTTTATATGGAGGACACTTACCTCAAATATTGCGATCCTAAAGTTCCTCTTCACTACATGACCCTTCTTACGACCCGAGCAAACATATGCAAACTAAAGATCGTGGCGGGCTTCTTTCGCGTCGCACTTACCGCTCCTGCTCCCTTGCCCGAATCTGAGAGGGAAGTTCTCTTCGTCGAAGCCATCAAGATGATTGAATACGACAGTATGATGCAGGCCCGCGATAACCTGAAGCGTTTTCTTTGGTATACACAAATGCATTTCCCATTCCCGGCTTATATATGCCTGCTCTCGGAGCTACGCTTCCGCACAACCGGCAATTTATGCGAACGTGCGTGGAACACTATCTGCGAACATTGCGATTTGAGGAAGATGACAACGCATGCGCGGAGCCCCATGCACCTATCCTTTAGCCCCCTTTTTGTAAAAGCGTGGGATGCTCGCGAGGCGGCGGAAGCCGCAATGGGACGTACCATAGCACCGCCTCGCATCATTACCCACATGAGACAGATCGCAGCTCGAATACCCCAGGCGACCAAGAAGCAGACGCCCGTACCAACACCTTCCCCCAAGATTCCCGTAATAAGCGGTGCCTATGTTTCGACGGCACCAACACCACCAGAACAGCAAATGCTACCGGGCACTATGCCTCTATATGCCGAAAACGACGTATTCAACGGCATGCAGCAGATGGACATGAACAGGCAGTTTGCGACCGCATTTCCGGACCTTAACATCGGAGGCGAGATGGATTGGAACTACATAATGCAGGAGTACGGCGGGTTTGTCGCACAACCCCCGCAGATGAGCGCCTACGCGAACCAGCCGATGCACGATCCCACCCAGGCCACTACATGGCAATAACTATGTATATCACACATTATTATCTCCATTCTGTCTTTTGTACATGAGGATATATGCCCAGGGGGGACAGGGGTAATTAACGGGCTACTTATTTAAATAGGACGCGCAACACACGACACGCGGCACATGCATATAACTCAATCACCTCCATGGTAACATATACTAACCTAGGTACTTACCTATCTATTATGTATATATACAATATATATGAACTTCTTTCCAGACGCTACATACTGCGAAAATACGGAACCACGGAATATGGTATATGGAATACGGAACTACTGGTTTGGTCCGAGGTGTGAGGTTGAGGAAAATAATGTGTGGCCTTGAATAGGAACATATATATATATATATATATATATATATATATATCTGGCCTAGGCTAACTAGGTAGAGGTCACTTAAAAAGAAAAGAAAAAAATCAGTTTATCATGCTGTAGCTGATGCCGTGCGTTTAGTACCTAGTGAGGCTGACTGGAAGACGGTAGCTGACGATGAGGGTGTGAATCAGGATAGGTACCATGCTCTTGTACATACCCATGCACCCCTACTTCCACCTTCCACCTTCACCATCAGTTACTGCTTGCTAGGTAGGTATTATGCATGTATAAGGGGCTGCCGAGGTACGGTGCCTACGTGTATGTAGTATTCACGTTCATCTATGGATTGTAAGGGTACATAGGTAGGTAACCTAGATCAGGCACCTAGGTACATATCTAGCAGGCACCTAACCTAGGTGAGAGTCGCGGTGGTTGCGGATCTTAGTATGGAGGGGCTACGAGGGTTGGGGGGGAGGGTCTCGAGATCCTGCCGATTCTTTAGATACCAACTAGCATTGGAAGCCTTGCGCATATTAACCTACCTAGGTTGTGTTGCGTCGGCGCTCCAAGATGGAAGGCTGAGTGGCCCATCTGGGTTGGGTGGTTGGAGATACAATCCATATGTGCATTGACAGTCGTGATAGTATCGTCATGGTACCATGTATAGAGGGGTAGTAGGTAGTAGTACACATGGCAGTAAGCGCTATACTAGGTAGTGCGGGGGTATTTTCAGGGCTTCTAGGGCTGTAGGGATGTACGCAGATGAGAAAGGGTCGATGGGTAGGTACTGACTGCACATCAGGTATAGCAAGCTAGGAGTGCTGTAGGTGCAACACTACAGGACAAGATGGGGAGGCCAGGGGAGCGATCAGCTAGGATCATAGGTACTAAGAGAAAAGAAGTGGTGGATGTTTTCGTGTGTAAATGGCAATGTATTCATGCAGTCACCTCACTGAAGCCTGTCGATATTTACATAGCAGTGTGTGTACCATGTCTGTTAGCAGCGAGGTGTGCCCCTGTAAGTATCTGTTTTGTGGTACATAGCTGTGTGGGGATAGCATCACTTGGCTGAGGCTCTGTCGAGCTGTTACATGAATTCAATGGTACATTTCCATAAGTATCTCCCAAGCAGTTCCTCCTCTCCCCTCCCCTCCCCTCCCCAGTGAAACCTGAGTCCCCAATCCCTAAGTCCTCCAGTTGCCCTTTGCCGAACCGCACCCTTTTCCTAGTCCATTGATCATGCTTGTGGTGCCCTGTTATCTTGGTGCCCTTTTGTCTTGAAGTAGTAGGTAGGCAGTCGCCAGGTGGGGTTGTAGAATTGCTATCAATATCTAAGGATGTTAGTTACTGGAGATTAGTGTAGAAGACACCGTACCTTCAGTCCTTGTAGGTACTGGGCTGTATCCATGGGTACGGCTGGCATTGTGGGGTTAGCCGACTCGATCAACTTTTGCTCTTTGTCATTCTCCAGGGCCACTAGCCACATTGAGTCAGACCATTCCTCGTGATAACAGCATGCAAACCTGGTTAGTGAAGGCCCGTAACTGTATTGCTGTGCCGTGCCCCAGAAGATTTCCCCCTCATCGCATTAAATCATCTGCTTGGCGATTTGCAGTGCTGGAAGCACGCTCGACTTATAAGGCAGGATGAAGTCGCGGCGTAGCAGAAGAAGAGCCATTTGCTGTCACAAAGACGCTGGAGTTCTCTGCTACTATGCTTGCGAATCAGGTTAGTCTTCTGGGAGGTCATTAGCCAGTCTTAAGGTTGCTTCTCTATACGCTTGGAAAGATGGTGTTGGAGGTAGGCTGCTCTCTGCGGTTAGTGGTGCTGGAGTGTAGACTACCTAGTAGATTCTATAAAACTGAAGTGTTAGTGAAATGAAATAATTGAAACCTTAGATACAAGGAAGGAAGAAAGACTTACCTAGTTGCGATCGAGTCGGCTGCTGTTATCCTTGTTCTTTTTCTTGTCTTCGGTCTCATATTGAGAGAACTTCCTTTTTGGTGCTTTATTTCGTCCCTTAGGTCTCATGTTGGGATACCTAAGGTTCAAGTAAGCAATTACCAGGGTGGGCGAAGGTGGTTGTTCTTTCGCCTTGTGATGATAACATGATTAATGATCGATGATTGAAGTGATTGAAGATGAAGATGAAGTAGTAGTGTAGTAATAGTAGTATAGTAGTAGTAGTAGTAGTAGTAGTAGTAGTAGTAGTAGTAGTAGTAGTAGTAGTAGTAGTAGTAGTAGTAGTAGTAGTAGTAGTAGTAGTAGTAGTAGTAGTAGTAGTAGTAGTAGTAGTAGTAGTAGTAGTAGTAGTATAGTAGTAGTGTAGTAGTAGTAGTAGTATAGTAGTAGTGTAGTAGTAGTAGGGCAATATGGTAGTATGGTATGAGGGCACTGATCGGATTGAATTGCTATGGAACGAAAGAAAGAATGAAAGTTTGGAGGGAGTGGACGGAGGTTTAAATACTTGTGGGTGGGGCGAGTGATTCTGGGGTACGCTAGTCCAGATCTAGGTTGATGGGAAGATCTCGATTGGCTTTCTGGGGTAGGTGCAGGGCAGAGCCGCACTCAAATCCAACTACATCCATTTTTTCCCCATTCTTTCCCATTTCCCACTGTTCAACCTTATTGTTTGCCTGATTTCGTGCCTTACCATCGTTACACTTTCCCCTTTTGGATTAAATGAGAATTTTTTGATTTTTTGAGTTTACGCTTTGGGCCAGAAAGTGGATCCGTTCTTGCCCTGATAGGTAGTAGCAAACATCTCATACATACCATAGCGTGAAAGTATGAGTGGCGGAAATAATTGGCCCCTAGGAAATGGCTGGAAATAACTCATGTTCATGACTTAATTGGCAATCATTTACAATTGGCAATCATTTACAATTGGCAATCATTTACAATTGGAAATCATTTATGTTGAGACATTATTTACATTTGGAAATCAATTCAAATTTGGAAATTATTTTTAATTGGGACATTATTTCTTTATTCAAGTATTATTGGATTATATGTACATATCCACCACTTCCACTTTCCATCTTATACATACCTTACACCATACATATATATAGACAATAACAACAGCTTCACCTATCCAATTAGGATACCCACCTATTGATCAATAGGACCTGGTCCATCCGCTAAGTATCGTTTTGATCGATGTAAAAAATCTTCTAAGTTTTTTTATTAGTATTATTTGATTGTTATATTCATACATGTAGGAATTGAAAGATTGAACTAACCATTGATTTTAGTGAAAAGTAGGTACCTAAGAAAATTTGTTGAAATGGTAAAAGTTAGTAGAGATTCTTTTCTTATAAGGTAAGGATGTACGTACCTGAAAAAAGTAATGTGTTGTGGTGGTGATGAAGGTGGTTATTGAAGATGGTTATTGAAGGTGGTGATTGAAGGTGGTTATTGAAGATGGTTATTGAAGGTGGTGATTGAAGGTGGTTATTGAAGGTGGTGATTGAAGATGGTGATTGAAGGTGGTTATTGAAGGTGGTTATTGAAGGTGGTGATTGAAGGTGGTGATTGAAGGTGGTTATTGAAGGTGGTGTTGTGTTTTGGTGATGTGTTGTGGTGTTTTGATGAAGGTGGTGATTGAAGATGGTTATTGAAGGTGGTTATTGAAGGTGGTGATTGAAGGTGGTTATTGAAGGTGGTGATTGAAGGTGGTGTTGTGTTTTGGTGATGTGTTGTGGTGTTTTGATGAAGGTGGTGATTGAAGATGGTTATTGAAGGTGGTTATTGAAGGTGGTGATTGAAGATGGTTATTGAAGATGGTTATTGAAGGTGGTGATTGAAGGTGGTTATTGAAGGTGGTGATTGAAGGTGGTTATTGAAGGTGGTTATTGAAGGTGGTTATTGAAGGTGGTGATTGAAGATGGTTATTGAAGGTGGTGATTGAAGATGGTGATGTGTTGTGGTGTTGAAGAAATTTTTTTTGAAAAAGAGTGTGTTGTAGTGTTGAAAAAAAAAAGAAAAGGTGGTGTTGGCCAAAAAATATTAAAGAAAATATAAAAGTGGATACCGGGATTGGGTTCTTCCTGGATTTATATAAGAAATGATTGCAAAATATGAAATAATTGCATATAATGCTATTATTCAGCCTAAATTATGGTGTTTGATTTACAAAATTCAAATGATTGCCATCTTTTGTTTGATCGAAATGATCAAACAATTGACACTTGTACCTACCCTAAGAAATAAGGTGGGAAGGTACTTCAAACCTTTGAAATAATGTCCTATTTTTAAATCATTTAAGGTTGTAAATTATTTACTCCACACGTACTTTCACGCTATGGTACGCACCTTCCTTGGGTTACTTTATTCATGAGTCAATGGTACCTACTAGCGTTACAGGCCTGTGGTTCCTTCCATGATACTGCCACTGTGCAGTCTGCCATAAGGCCTAGGTAGCGACTGCCACATTCAAAATGTGCATATCAGGTGTGTACCTAGGTACCTACACTCCGAGCACATCATACATCTACTGGTGCTATACCTAGTACAGAATGTATCTAGGTAACTAGGTGCTTGCAGCGCATATCAATGCCAGCAATGAGATACAATACTATCACTGTAACACTTATGCACGCCTACTTTAGTATTTCAAAGTTCTATAGAAATGAGAATCTCTATTTATAATACTAGATTGCATGTAGGGACTCGCTGCGAAGTTGAATACATATCATACCTATATACGAGTGAGGTTGACGCAATTAGCTTTGTGGATTTTTTACCAGCCCAAACAACAAAGGTATTGACATCTTTCTCCTACCGAGTGATCTTCTGCCTAGAGATTGTATTTGATGTCCTCGGGATATCATGGGGTTACATATCAAAAGATGAGAAACTTGAGCTTCGAGTTGATTCCAGACAATGGCTGTAACATAATGTTTAGTAATAGTCGGGAAACTGCCTTGAATTCAAACGGCATTTTCCCCCTGAGTTCAAACGGCAACGGCAACCACTATCAAAAGCGTTCGCTCTTTCCTCACGCCCAAACAATTGCGACAGAAAACGCAAGCCAATGGATCCATATGAATCAAATAACCAGAGCGAACTCTCAACAAGCCATCCGAATTGGTGTAGTGGTTAACATTCAGGATTCTCATGTGTTACGCTGTGATCTCCTGGGCCCAGGGTTCGATTCCCTGATTCGGAGATTTTTTTTTTTTTTTTTTTTTTTAAATTTACATGTTGTATTTTCGACTGACTATTATTCTGAAATGAGCATTCGCACATAGTCCACATGAAGTCGTCACAATAGAAATATTATGTCGAAGTCCTCAAGTTTCGCGATTGATGATGTTGATGGGAACGTACATGATAAGTACCTAAGTACCCAGGACAGGGGTTGTCCATGCCACGCTCCAGCCACGTGACCACCCTGAGCTTGACACAAGTCAATGACGTTCGGGTTGGATGCCTTACCACTGAAATCCGTAATACCCATTTCCCAATTAACTCAATTATCCTTTCGAGTCTGATAAATATGTGCGCGTTGAGCAGATTATGCGTTTGCACAGTTTCACATGTTTATTATCTCTCTATTAGGTAGGCAGCGATGCATGTAAAAAACCTCCATGTCATGATATTTATTATAACCCAAACAGAGAGTCGGATCATCGAGTATAGCTTGCTTTGGAAGTAGGTTGGTTTTAATGTGTTCAGACTTGAAGACCTATAATTGGTTACACGATATATCCGAAGCTACCGAAGACGGCCTTCGGAGTCCTATCATCACTCTTCTTGGCATGTATGACAAGAGTCCGAGAATCCTATGGTCGGATGAGACATTCACCGCGAGTGCCGAGCATCACAGTTCCCAGAGATGATACATCTTGCGAGCGATAGGACTGAGTTGAACCCCCATAGGGCTGAGGTGGGGGGCGCAATTTTCATGAAGCGTCTTTCTGCCCAAGTCTTTATATCTCACTATACATACAATACCTATTCATGACCAACGGAACCGGCCGGAACCCTCAATCTCGGGGATAGTAACTTCTCACACAATTGAAAATGAACTGATTTTCCATAAACGCCGATTGGGTTTTTTCTCAACAACTTCGGCGCTCGAGGAATGGCGCCGTGTCGCGAGCTTGGCTGATATGCGTGATTAAGCAAATAGGAGAGCAGAGATTGGTTAGTTTGCATTTTATTACTTTTTTCGGGTCCCCAATCGGTTTCGTTTCATCGTCTGATTCAATATGACGAGCTGACGGGCTGACGGGCTTGAGTCTCTCGGGCCCGGATCCATCCTGGTCGTGTCTTCCTACACGGTAATTATCCTTGCCTCCCCCACCCCCCTTAGACAATCGTTAGAGGAGAAATACGGCTATGGGGAAGCATCGTACTTGAATGTTTATGTTTGTCCCAGACATCTCCAATGTTGATCTTTCGCAGAGGAATCACATTCACGAGTGATGCTAAGGTACCTGCTGTTTGTATGTAATATTATATGTTTCAGAAAGGGTAATATGCAATGTAGATCATATGCAGGCAGATGCGACAGAGACAACTCGGCAAAGGTAGATGATGTTACATTACATACTACCCGACTATGTAGACTACATACATGTCATATGTACATATCTGTGAGGGGAGTTGCGAACATTGAAGTACGAACTCATAGTAACCGATCATAGCACAACAGTTCTAGCTGAAAATAAGGCGTTTGGCTAACGCTGTGTGACAAGCGGCTTTTGTGTACTTAGGTATGTATTGCTTCTTTTTTTCCATTTTGTTTTTCGTATGACCTGACCGCTTCTTACGTGTTACACAAACAAGTCTCTACCTATACCTTACCTAGGTAGATAACTAAGTCAATGATATCAACAACTCCACGCCAATTCATTAGGTAATAACCAACAATCTGACACTAAGAGTAGTTGGCCATAAGAATTAGGCAGATTTGCGAGGTAGAAATTCCGTAATCAGCAGATTTTCTACACGATACGGAAATATCGCCTCTTACATAACGCCGAGGGAGGAATGCTCACCTTTGCTTGTCATTGGGGGCTTATCGGGAAATAAAATAATGCTTTCGACAAGTAGTCTAGACTCATTGTTCCCCGAGTGGCACAACGCCCCAATATGCCACACGAAATTAGTGACATCAACCGAAGTGGTGCGCGGGGGGGATTTGCGAAGGATACTCCGGCGCGAGTTTTGCTGTTGGCTGTTGGCTGGAGGAAAGGGGGGCGTTAGGTAGAGGCCGCCACCATTATGTCTCATTGGCCGACTCCCTCTCGAAGCCTTCTCTCCGCTCCATCGTCGAAAGGTAGACATACAAAAAGGAGGCTCTTCGGCCTTGCGAGAATTTCACGTTGAGACAGCGCTATTTCTTGTGTCCCACCAGAAGCCACCTCTCGCTAGCCACCACTTATTCGTCGTCCCTGTTATGCTGCACATGCGTGTGAAGATGAGAGAAGTAATTGAGCCGACCATGACCAGTGAATCGGGCTACAAGCCGAAGGTCCTAATAGTCGGCGGTGGCCTAGGCGGCTTGACGCTCGCCCAAGTATTCCGCAAAAACGGCATCCCGTTTGAGATCTTTGAGCGAGACGAGCATGAAGTCGCTAGAGCGCAAGGATGGTCCCTAACACTTCACAGGTGAGTATCCTTCTACCCCAGGTTCTACGATACCACAGCCCTAGCGGCGCCTAATGTCCTTCAAGCTAACTTGTCAGTGTTCTGGACGGGTTGTTCGAGGCCTTTCCGGATGACATGCCCAACTTCCGAGAGTCCGTCCACCACCTGAACCCCCTCGACTTGGAAACGCAGGTCGTCTTCTATTTCAACAACGAACGTATAGGCACAGAAGGTTCTCCGGCTACCCCTCTGCTACGAGCCAACCGCCTACAGCTTCGGAGATGGCTATCCACCAAGATCAACGTCCAGTACGGCAGGGTTGCGAGCAAGGTGGAGAGGGTGGGTGACAAGATGGTCGTCACCTTCAGGAACGGCACCACCGCCATGGGCGACATTGTAGTTGGTGCCGACGGTGCAAATAGCATCGGTAAGATCTCCGTATCCACGGCCCGTTTAATCGAACATCATATTTGATCCTAACCAATCAATAGTGAGAGAGCATATCTTAGGGAAGCCGAATAAGGAGATCCTCAGGAACGTCCCAGTCGGCTCGATCACGGGAGAAGTCAAGCTCAGCGGCAGAGCTTTGGCGCGCCAATTAGAGCTCGCCCACAGCATGGCCATCATCCCGGTCACCACCGCCGACGCGTGGAACCACTTATTCTTCGGACTGACCGGGATATCGCCCGACGGGCAATCGGGCGAGTTCTTTTGGCTAGTCTCATGGCACGACCCGCTAGCCTCGGCGACCGGCCGCGTCGCCGTTAACGCGTTCCCGCGGCACGAGCGCCTCGAGATCGCCAAGAAGATGGTCGCGAACCTAGACCCCAAGTTCCGGGCCATCGTCGAGGAGACGCCGGCGGAGGGGATCCGGGATATTGGGTGGGTGCCGATGGACTGCCATCTCGACGAGATTCCGCTCGGGCGCGCGACACTGCTCGGCGACGCCGTACACCTCATGATGCCGTACAAGGCCGAGGGCGGCATCCATGCCATGCGTGATGCCCTGCACCTCGGCAAGCTGCTCTCGAACCTCGAGTCCGGAGACGACGCCGCCCTCCACCGCGCCCTTACCACCTTCTACGGCGAGATGCTCCCGCGCGGCGCCGAGGCTGTCGAGACCTCGCGCACCTTCCAGCACGAGTTCCGGAAGGACAAGACGGGTGTGCATGCCTGGGGACACCCCGTGAGAAGCCTGCCGGATGAGAAGATAGAGATCGGGCCGGAGGGGGTTACCAAAATGTCGAAGGGCATATGCAAGTTGCAGATAGTACCAAGTATATGATGATCTGCGTTTCAAATCATGTATAAACAAATTTACTTGCAAGTTTCTTTCTGGGTACGGGGGTGTTGGTAATATCATGATACAGAGAGAGGAAGAGGGAGAGCCAGCTTATATACTTAGGTTTGGTAGGTACATGTCAGACCAAATCTCGATTATTGCATTCGAGTTTGTCTGGTGACTAATTTTTCGTTGCCTCATTTCGTGTAAAAAATGGCACAATAGCACCTAGTTGTTCTGTCTAATCTGCTCCTAAGAAGGTGACCTTGACTGAAATATTTGCAGTTAATGTCTACCTAGAATATCAGGTCAGCTCACACATAGAACAGCTGCGTAGAAAAAGATTCTTGGCCGATTTAGGCTGTGTGAAATGTCACTTGAAGAAGCCATTTAGTTCTTGGGTCAGGCTAAAGGAGAGGGCCGACAGCCATAAGCCATTATATTGACTAGCTCCCTAAACATGCACTCTCCATAGCTTTTGGGTGTTTGGTATCATGTCGCTACGATTTCTATGCTGATGTAAAACGGATGAGATATCTGAAAGTCAGCGCTGGAAAAGCAGGGTCCGTTATGACGACTTCATGGTTTACTTCTAAGCCCAATCCATCCTTGAGGGTCTTATCGAGATTTGGTCGTGTTTGCTCCTCAATACTAGGTGGGAATTGCATGTATAGAGTTCTTCCCTCGGCTCTGATGGATGGCTTCTTGAGTTGTAGATCGGGCTTGATCGCAAAAGAGTCAAGGAGTTCCCTAAGAGTCCACTTGGGATCGACGTGCAGCGGCTTAGCCAAGTCGCCACACACCGCACAATCTTCTTTCTTGTCATATTTGAAGGTGTTGGTATAGATGCTGTCGTCGCCAGAGTACATCATGTAGCTCTCTTCAAAACCAAGTGCTGGGGCAGCAGAGGTAGATATTTTTAAGGCCTCATTGCAACAGCTGGCGGCAATGATGGCATTAGTAGATGCTATGGCGGGAATGATGTTCTTGACAACGCCCTGGGTGAGCGAGTAAGTGACACCGGTAATGCCGAATTCTTGGGCACGTGCCAGGGCTTTCTGGTACAGCCAGGTGATGTGCTCAGGATCGTCCTTATCCAGAGCTGGGAAGGGTTTCTCTTGATCCCATGCGATGATATGTGCCCATTCTATGCAGTGCTCTGGCTGACGCGGTATGGTAGCTAAGGTGCATAGCGGTACTGCTGCCCTTGGGGTATAAAGGTCGAGTTGACACTCTATGCAAGGTGTCAAGGTGGGGAATACCACTCTGGTCTGTCCCTTGAATCCTGCCCGTAGTTAGACCACCTTGGCTCCAGGAAACAAGTATGGATATCGAAGATACCTTCTGTCCCACCATCAATCAATGGCTTCAACGAGTCCTGGTCGTTCATGTCGACCATATTCACGAGGGTGGCATTGATCCATCGCCGTGCTTCGATGCTGTCGAGACCGCAAACAACAAGCTGAAATTGCATATAGAAATCCTCATCGAACTCTTGTATTCGGCAGTTATGAGGTGTAATCTTGACGCCCTTGACTCGCTTCTCGACAAATTTGGCGGCGACTTCTGCCTTGAACTTTCCGACGTCGTCTTTGCGAAAGAGAAATTGGCGGTTAAGGTTCGATATATCGATGGTGTCTAAGTACAAGTGCCAACGTGCTTGGTTAGTATAATCATGGAAATAAATGGAACTGAAGTATGCTTACCCATATCTATTACGTGTATGTCCTTAAATCCGGAAAGAGCGAGGTCCTTTAATATCTCACACCCGAGACCACCAGCGCCAATTACCAAGATCTTGGCCTTGTCCATCGTCGCGATAGCTTCTTCACTAACATCTGACTCTGGAGTAAATGGACCGGGCGTTTTGCGAATTCTGTCCAGGTATTGCCAACGTGAGGCGCCGCCGCCAGCTGCGACAGCCGCCATATTGTTAATCGTTAAATTGCTGGGTATCGTGTGCAAGTAGATAGTTGGGGTGTTTGTGTTTGGAGGGTAGAAAAGAGTTGAAGGAGTTGAAAGTGTTGAAAGTGTTGAAAGCGTTGAAAGTGTCAAGACCTTGGAGTTACATATGCTACCCAGGGTACCACCTACCTTGGCAGCTTCAATGTTGGGTAGGTAAGTTAGATAGAATCTGATAGATGCAGGGCCTAGGCAGCTAGGTACTAGGCAGGTACGCTAATCCAATTGATGTCATTTCTTATCGCCGATAGGCAGCTAGCGGGACACTAAGGGTGGGATGAAGTACCCACATTTTACCACCTTACCAGTTACCACATGTGCACCTTACAAGTTACAACATTGAACTTTACATCTTCGCATCTTTAATCGTCGCTTACGATGGTACAGACCAACATTGTCTAAGAGCTTCCATTCAGGTACCTACATGTACCTTTACAACATTATGCCAAAGAAACATACCCATATATAGTACTTGGTCTCACGTAAATGAGCTATTGTGAAGCTCTATGAGCTCATTCGGATAGGTATAATCCATACCAACTGTCTCTACCGATGAGATAACATGGAAGAGCTACTCACTCCCGTGAGCCAGACTTATCGAAAGTCGAGCCAACAAGATGAGCTGTTCCAGCTCTCTAAACCAGTTGAACGAGCGCCAGAAACAGAACCCCAGTTTCGTGGCTCATCACCAGAAGAGGCTCTTCAGACTCTCAAAAATCAGCCGAGTTATGAAGTTCTCCTATCTGTATTGAAGTATCTTCAAAAAGGTTCCCAAGCCAGCCATGAGTACGACATTAGGAAACCTAGTCCACAGAGTGCGCAAATAGTACATATACTAGTCACAGAGATCGTTCCCAATTATTGGACTGTATTACGGGATGCATCGTCAGGACCTAGTAAAGGAGATGCTGATGTGCTGCTCACCTGCCTACGGAGTCTTACGGGTATCAATGCCATATTGGCCCATATGCGTGCTCTTTTAAAAGAAGCAAAGTCGGACTCAAAATCCCTAAAAGACTCCCATGTTACCTTTAGTCTGACTTTCGTTCTAGAGATGCTGTCTCAACTTCTACATACTGATAATAATATGAAACGCATTTGGCGTAGCACTACTTTCTCAACGAATGAACACCAGACCCGACCCATGCGTCAGGAGTTCATCACCCTATTTGCCAGTGGGAAGATTGTTTCGTTATCTTCCGAGGCAGAAGATATCTGTCGACAGGCAGGGAAGCTGAAGGATAACATGTGGATAAGTGATGCAAAGTCATACATTGACTGGCTTGGTAGAAATATGGTACGGTGGATGCGATCTGTGATCAACGACGACGACTTGAAGTTGTGTGCCGAAGTATCAGCGCGTGCAATACGGCTTGGCAACTCTGGTAAGTCGTCTGCACTCTCCAAGAGACACACTTACTGATGGCCACTCCAGAATGCTTTATCAATACACTCTTCACAGGGTTACTTCTTCAAGATGCAGACACCCATGCAGTATTTGCAAAGTTTCTGGGTTTCTTCCCATCTCTCGAACAGCGCAAGGTCGTTGATCTCATTTTGAAGTTACTCACGGATAGCTATCTTGTTAACGTTGACAATAATGCTACGTTGGCTGATTCCCCTATCATGTCAGCTGCATCAGATATTGTGAAGTTCATAATAGGGAACGACGAGATACGGAAAAACAGTCTCGTGAGTTGGTTAACCAGCGGATCTGGTGCGGGAATTGGCGAAGGCTGCGCTATCAGACGGGTCGTCGTGTCTGTCTTTGCCGAAGACAAGGAGTTTATGGCGACCATCTTGGAGAGGAGTCTAAACCAATTCGGCGATCAACTATATATCAAACACGCACCAATACTTCAGCAGGATGGTAATTTCCCTTAAGCCACAATATACTTCGCTTTATATTCAAGCTAATCATGAAAACTAGCTCATGCTCAAGTGTTACTCCTCAGTGCCGGATACATCCACAAACTCGCACCGATAAAACTAACTCTATCACTACGATCCAGCGCTTATCTAAATGCCATTTCCAACCGGATAGGTGCGTCCCAAAGCCGCGCTCGTTTCTTAGGAATGGTCGTCGGAGAGGCGCTCTCCGGGCTAGTCCATGGAAAAGAGACCAAGTTGGATTTCAAAATGGACGAGATGGACACGGAAGAAGCACGATGGTATAAATCACTTGTCCATATACCAGAAAAGACGGATTCATTAGACTCATTTAAAGACATTTTTGCTCTGCGAAAAGATACAAGTACACCAAAACCTACGAAAACGGCACATACTAAAACCCCAGTCCCAAGGCCAAGGAAAATACCACCTCAATCAGGTTTCATTATTGAGGAAGTCGAGGATGATGAAGACGATGAAGATTCAGACTTGGTACCATATGCGAAGCCTGATTCAGACGTCGATGATTCGGATGATGACCCAACACTCATTAACCGCAACAAGCCTAAAGCCCCTGTTTACATCCGGGATCTTATTGCATGCTTCCGAGATACGGAGAGCTACGACCGACAGAAACTTGCACTTAAAACTGCCCCGGCCTTGATCCGTCGCAAAGCGAATTATGGTACGGAGGTTAGTTCTCATGCAGAAGAACTTGCTACCCTTCTTGTCGGTCTACAAGATAAGTATGATCTCGAAGGCTTTGACCACCTACGTATGCAGGGAATGGTCGCCGTTGTCGTTAGCCAGCCGAAGAAGATGGGGCAGTGGTTCGCGAAGACATTCTTCGATGGCGATTACTCCTTGTCCCAGCGGGCTTCTGTGCTCATCGTGTTGGGCCTCGGTGGTCGAGAGATTGCTGGCTTCGAAGCGTCTGAATACGCTTCAGCTGAAAAGTTCCCATCAAAAATGCTTCCTGCCAAAGTCGAAAAGCACTTTATCACATCTTCCTCTGCAAAGACACTCGGGTCCTCGGCTAGTCAGCTGAAGGCCCTTCCCCCGAATGCGCTTGATAGTCTAGCCAAATCCCTCTCACAGACCTTTCTGGCCCCCCTAGCGGCAGAGGCCGCCGACGTGGCAACCGGACCGGACGCCCTCAAGCTCTCGTCTTTCACATCGCGTTTGAACTCGCAACCCTCCCAACTCGGGAAGAGCAAAGCGAAGCCACGCGTGCGAGCCATCCCCAACACCACCGCCTCTCTCATCGCCTCCTCCTTCTTCTTCCCTCTGACCTCCCGCTTCCAAGCAGCAATGCGCTCCGCATCCGCCACAACGCGAGGCATCCTCTTCCAACCGTACCTCCTAACCGTCTACCTCAAAACCCTTGCCCTCCTCCTCCACGCCGCCGGCCCCAGCACCCTGTCCCTCCCGCAGATGACCGCCGAGTTCTGGGACCTGCTCCTCGGCGTCCGGGGCCAGTGCGTCGGCGACCACGGCGTCACGCAGGCCGTCCTCTTCGGCCTCGTCGCCCTCCTCGACGTCAACGAGGCCAACATGCGCGGGCTCTGCGAGAGCCAGGGCCGCGAGGTCGTTGAGACAGTTGAGTGGGTGAGCGGGGTCTTTAACAACACGCGTGGTGGTGATGTGGGGAGTGGTGAGGGAGGGGGCGAGGAGAATGAGGTCAAGATGATGGCGGCGGGGGTCCTGATTAGATTGCGTGAGGCGGTGGATAAGTATCAGGCGCTGTTGATGGGGGATATGATTGGGTTTACGTAGGTGTCTATCTAGGTAGTTAAGGAGAGAGGGGTACATGATGTAGGAAGTATTTGTGTGGTGGACGCGCTACCTAAAGTAGGTAGGTAGATAGTACAGAGACCAACTACTCAACCTCTTCTCCTAGATCTTTCCTTTACGCATTGAAGACATGAACTTGTGTGCGGTTTCCATATATATAGGTAATTGACCTGTCCCTTATCTATCACTCGCGTATGGGGTTGGATCGATTGGCCAGCACCAACATATCACCAACTACCAAAGCAGTCACAGTAAGATTTCAAAAAATAACAGCATCATATATACCATTTATTCTATTCGCCCCGGTGGGGACCTATAACAACAATTACAACATTTTTACTGCAACTACCTACTACTTCTATATTATACCGTACGACGAACTAGTGGTATCTCGAAAGGCAAGGAAAAGGAGAAGAAGGGGAAAGGGGGAAACGAAACCGACTGCCACCACCACCACCACCACCACCACCACTACAACAGTAGCTGAACAAGCAGTACTATACTTATACCGAGGCGAGATTCGATATAATCAGGCCATGGTCTACATATACGCGCGCACACAGGCCATCAACCATGAAACGTCAATCATGTCCAGAATCCTCTATACTCCATGCATCTACATCAGAAAACGCGGTAGGCAAAAAAGATCAAAATGTCCCTTCCCGCCAAAGTAGGCATCAATTACTCAGGACCATCGAACCCCCTCCCAGCGCGACGAGGTTCCATGCCACCGACCTGCTCGCCAATGATAGCCAAGTGTTCGCCCAAGGTACCGATGAGTCTCCTCATCTCATTCGCCACGTCACCGGCGGTGGCTCGAGCCTCCATGACGCTTGTCGAGGGTGGGGGGATAGGCGGGATGGGGCGGAGACGGTAGGGCTCGAGGCTCTGGCCGCCGTCGGAGCGGTACCCGGTGCTGTCGTCGCGGTCGACGTAGGTCTCGGACGAAGCGACCGTGAACTCGCTTCCCTGGTGTTGGTGCTGATGCTGCGAGGTGGGGTCGTGAATCGCCGTCATGATGCCCGGGTCGGGCACCTCGCCAGCGATCTTATTGGCTACTTGGGTGTGGAATTCCGAGCCGTCGGATACGTAGATGGATGGTTCGCGACTAGTAAGATGGGTAGGTGCGTAGACGGAGGCGTGGCGTTCAAGTTCGAAGGGTTCTCGTGTGCCAATATCAGATCCTGTGATAGATCCGATGTCTGAATTCGCCGTAGACGGCCGCGTGAGTTCCGGTAGATTTGGTTCAGGCATACTCATATCGAGATCGATGAGACTGGTCATAGACATGCGGTCATTTGCCATACTTGTGCCCTGCATGTCATAAGATTGCGATGGTAATGATATAGGTTCAGTCTGATGGTGCTGGAGGCGGGGGCGTTCATCAAAACCATCATCGTCACCGCGATCGTTGTGGAATGGAAAATGAGGCGTTTCGGCACTGGCTGACGCAGGTGGGATACTAGTTGGCCAAGACCAATCTGGCGGTGCTTGTCGGCCGGTATTCATATCTGCGGGATCGCTTAAAGGTGCTTGCTCGTAGGAAGATGTCTCTGTCGCTGACGAGAATGACCAATTATTGTCCATAGAAGCGCGCGGTCCTGGTTTTGGGCCCGGTCTTATCGTACCCATATCGACAAAGCTTGAGAGATCGCCGCCACCAAGAGAGGCATCTAGATCAATCAATGATTCACGCAGGGTCGCATGAAGTGAATCGTCGCGTAATGGAAGATCAGATGCTGAGAGTTCGTTTGATGGTTCCGCCATGTTAGGAAGCATAGGACGCCCATAATACATCCTAGAATTCTCATCATAGTTTGAAATCGTGTTAGGGTCAAAGACCTTTTCTAGAGGAGCTTTGATTTTCGATGCGGCAATGGCTTGTGGCGGGGGTCGTCGTCGTCCCTTTACTTGGGGCTTGGGTCTTGCAGTATCTTCGCCGAAGGTGCTAGGGAAATCGACAGCTGAACCATAAACATCCCGGACTGCCTCGGCGTAAGATCTACCGTCGGAAGCATCGTGGAGCTCTTCATCGAAGGCAAGAGTAGTGGAAAAGTTCCATTCATCTGTTGCCAATGATGTTGAACCCAGATCAGTGGGCGCCTGTGCCCCCCCTGCTGCAAAAAGGGATTTTCTACTTCCGCCGCGTTCCTCCCACAATTTGAAGGCTTTAACAAGATTTGAAAGAGATGAGGTAGGGTATTTGGAACTGGTATTAAAAATGTACGGATGTTGTTGGACAAATTCGATGGAAGGTCGTCTCGCCGGGTTTTCCTCGAGGCAGAATGCGACAAGATCTTTTAGTTCGTCCGAGTATTGATCTCCGTCAAGGCGTGGGAGATGTTCTCTCAAGTAATCTCCTAATTGAGGGAGGCCTACATTTGCCCTTACATTTGGAGGCAAACCGGATGCTATCTCGTAAACCATAGACCCAAATGCCCATATGTCAACCTCGGTTCCATATTGTGCGTTTTGATCGAATAGTTCTGGAGCCATCCAATGAGGTGTTCCAATGAAAGTCGATCGTTTATCGAGCTTCGTCTCCATCATACCAGCAACTCCGAAGTCACATAACTGGACCGCCCCAGTCTCAGTGACTAATACATTAGCGCATTTAATATCTCGGTGTATAATACCCTCCTTGTGAACCCAGTAAATTGCTACGGCCACTTCCCGTAGAATAGGGATTATCCATTTCTCCTGTAATCCTCCCGGTGCTGTCGGTTTCATTAAGGTTGCTACACTACCTCCAGCACAATATTCCGTAACCATCCACATGGATTTACCAACGGGGAGGGCCTCGATAACATGGTTGATGTTCTGCGCGCCGGACTGACTCAATCGATGTAGCGCATTAATCTCCTTGAGAATCTCACTGTACGTGTCTGCAAGCTTGGGATTTAGGGTATCACTCTCGTCGACGTCTATAATCTTGACGGCTACCACACTGGCAGTTACCAGATCGTTCGCCTTGTAGACACGACCGAAGCTCCCCTTGCCGATCAGTTCTGTGAGGCGGTACTGTGGGGGAGGCTTTCCTGACTTGGCGAATTCTTCTTGAACAGCCTCTTCCATTTTGCGGGCATCTTCGAGAGCTTTTTGACGCGTAGTCGCAGGTCCCCCGCCAAAAACTTGAAGAGTTGCCATGCTGTGCGTTGCTCAGGGACGAATCTATAGGATATGGTTAGTGAATGATGCTCGACATGTGCAAATATAGAAAAAGACGGAAAAGAAAACAAGGCTTGGCAGTGAGAAGGACAGCAGCGATATAGATTATGAAGTTGAGTATGGATAATTGAAGCATATGATGCTTAGCAGCGAATCGATCGCAATACAGTATTACTTGCTTTTTCTCGGGGCTTGGCTTGCGAAGAGGGATGTTGAGTGGGGGGCATTCCACGAATGCCATAACAAACGGACCACCGCGGAGACCTGGATTAGGTGCCAGCGGAATATCGGAGTGCCATGCCGGAGTTTCTTCATCATCCATGAATATGTTCATATTTGGCGGTCCAGCGGGGGAGTCCAGGTTGGGGGACGGCATGGCAGGAGAATTCATACGGGACGGCATCGCAGGAGAGTTCATTCGAGACGGTCTGGATGGTGGCCGTCTGGGAGGTAAAGGGGAAGACATCTTGAAGAACAAGCGGCGATGGCGATGAAATGAAGGGTGGAGATGGCATAGAGAGGTAAAAGATGAAAGAAACTAAGAGAGAGAACATACTTACGGATATGTTTCAATTGAGGGGACAAGACCTTAGTAGCTACTAGGTAAAAAGGGTGTCATATGAGACCTGTGTTAAAACTGAGCTGTAGATACAGCCAACTTGAAAGGGATCAAGTTCATAAGCCAGTATGCGATTCTATCCATACAGCCCTTTTACGAGATGCATAAGCGGTCAACGCTACAGGGGCCCAACAGCGCCGGAAAAAGTTCAAGTAGAGGGTATATTGAATTATTTATCAATATATTTATTTTCAATATTTATAACTTGAGGTTTGGTGGTTCCTGGGCTTCCAGAGCATTTGGCATTGAAGAGAAGTTGACGGAGATAATGAACAGAAGCGACCTAAAATGGTTTCGAGATGTAACTGGGAATTAATTGGGACTTTACCTGAATGGGCCCAATGGGGCCCCAAGAGTGGGTCTGATGGTACTACACTAGTTATGCACTAGTGCTGAAAGGAGACAAAGTCATCCATTTCACCAATTAGAACACTCCCTTCTAACTTCACCATCATGCAAGGCTCCTCAGCCTCGTCTACTGCTGATTTACACTGTGAATTAATGTCTGACATTGGGAAGTATCATGATTTTGAGAAACACCCCAAAGGTGCATAATACTAGATATATGAGATGGATAGCTAATATATACTTCATTATTATGTATGTAAGTAAATTGATATATCAAAACTTTTTTTTGGCTTACGCTTTCCTCCATCTAAAAGCTCCTTAGGTAGATATATATATACTTTGGTAGGTAACATAAGGAGTCATGCCTACATGAGACTACTGCGTCCACCAACTTCCATGCTGCCTTGTCCATCGCGCATTTCACCGCTGCGTCCGACTACGAATTCCTTGTATATCCGCTCTAACCTATTCTTCTCCTGGGGACTAATACTGGCCCTCGTAGACCCCAATGCCTTTATCATGTGTTTCCAGCCAATCAGGACTTCGGTATTACTTCCTTCTTTGCCTTTTCCAGCATGCTCTCCAGCGGCGTGGTTTGGTCCCTTTTGAACCATTTTGGTTTGCTTTCTAGCCGTTTTGATTTCGGCGAGCTTGGCTGCAATCGCAATGTCTTCGGCCAGTTGAGCCGACTTGTTATATCCCTTCTTCGCTCGGTCTTCTGCCTCAGCTAAGGCACTCTCCAACCCGTATCGAAACTGCACAAAATTCCGGGCCCGCGCTGGAGTTTCTGATTTGGCCCGGGTATTTCCAGCTCCACGTTTGGTACCTGAGTCTTGTGATTCCATGTCGTTCAGTACATCGTGGATAGCTTCCAGCTGAGCATTCGACATAAGCGCTTGCAAGTCGGCACCAGAATAGCCTTCGGTGCGTCTCGCAAGTTCGAGGAGACCTTCATCCGACGATAGAATCTCCGGATTGAGCTTGACTTTCTTACCCAACGCTTGCAAGATATCGATTCGATCCTCTACATCTGGAAAGCCACATAACAAGCTCTTATCTAAACGACCTGGTCGAAGTAATGCTGGGTCGATCAAGTCTGGTCGAGATGTTGCAGCCAGGACGTAGACACCAGACAGACCCTCTGCACCGTCCATTTGCGTCAAAAGTTGATTTACCACCCGATCGGTAACACCAGTTGAGTCATGCCCTCGCTTGGGTGCAATAGAGTCGAACTCGTCAAAAAACAGTACACATGGCTTAGCAGCCGAGGCACGCTCGAAGAGATCGCGAACACTTTTCTCGCTGGCACCGATGTACTTGTTTAAGATTTCTGGGCCCTTGACTGAGATGAAGTTGAGACCGCATTCACCAGCCACAGCGCTTGCTAAAAGAGTCTTGCCGCAGCCAGGGTATCCGTACAGCAAAAGTCCAGACCGCAGCCTGAGAGGACATTGTGCAAATATTGGTGCATACTTGGTGGGGTATTGTAATGTCTCGAGTAAGATTTGTCGTGTTTCCTTTAGACCGCCGATTGAGTCGAAAGTCGTAGTAGAAGTTTGCAATGGAACATTACGAAGAGATGCTGGGGTGAAGCCTTTGAGAGCTTTATCGAAATCGCCACGACCGAGTTGAACAATATCAAATGGTTCCTTAGACAAGTCTTCGGTGACTGAACGTATCAGAGCTTCGTTCCGGGCTCGGGATACAAGGAGTATGAGGTCTCCTGGCATGTAGCCATCAGTGTCTCCAGCAAGATCAAGAAAGTCAAGGTCAGGGTCCAGCAGAAAGCCATCCGACCTTGGTCCAGGAGACGCTGAATTGCCGCGGCTACGTTGGTCGCCCCCATCCATCCAAGTACCATTGTCATCACCACCTACACTCCCATCCGCAGTCGTGGGGCGACTTCCATTCGAGATAGGCGCTCGCATAGCTTCAGGAGACACAGTTTGTTGCCTAACAACCGTTTCCAAAACTTGTCTCCGTGCTTCCTTATCAGGAGCCTTTAGATCAACAATCTCTCGAACGACATGGCCTCCAATGATTACATTATTAAGCGAGTCTTTCCCCTGAGCTGTTGCGAGAAGAACAACTCCCTTATCGCGCCCACAGTACTGTCGCACAATCGAGCTGATTGTCTCGCTAACTTGTCGGCTCCGGCCATTGTCATTTCCTACTTGCAATTCCGTCTCAACCGGACACAATTTATCTAAATCATCGAGAATAACAAGTGACTTCCCGCCAAGCCTCGCACCCCAGCTTGCGCTCATAAAGATCCTATTTAGTCTTTCTTTGATGGTAGATATTCTGCTTTCGTCGTTGACAAGTCTTCGGCATGGAAAATAAGTTGTATGAAATAGATGCTCGTCTCGTAACGTCTGGGCCAGAGACTGGACAACCCCTGTCTTGCCGGCCCCTAGGGCACCGGTTAAGAGAACAGAGGACATGTGTGAGAGATGAGATTTCAAATCGGTAAGGAGCGAATCAATCCCAACCAGGGTCGAGTCGCCCAGTAGAAGACTTTCGCCTATATCATCTTCGTCCAGCCACGCCGGGCGGGGAACCGGTGGTTGCATTTCGATCGGCACATTTTTGTCAGATGCAAGATACCAGTTCACGTCCTTGGAGCCCGAGTCAATGTTTGCAGCATCGAGTTTTGCAATGCCACCTTCCCAGCCGCTGGATAACTCGAGGCTCGCGTATACCGGTAGTATCATCCCATCTGTCAAAGGGCCGCGCAAAAGGCCATTGGTCCGGTCTTTCTGGCCATATATTTGTAATATGCGTTTGGAGGCTTCCTCTTTTTCAGCCTTTGACTCTCCTCCAAATTTTAAGCCATCTGAAGACTTCGGACTTTCATTTGAAAATGGAGACAACTTCAATTTTTGAACGGCGTTGCGCGATAGAGGTGGTGGTGCTGGCTCAACTTTTACAACGCCCCCAACAATTTTTGGGCAGCCAAGCATGGCACACAACGGAGTCGAAAGAGCGATAGTCTGTGTGCTGGGAGGGTCATCCCATGGTCGTAGTTGCGCAACGACCCTCTCAGCCGCTTTGACCACATCGGTATTGGCGATATTTTCTGGTTGTTTCTGAGGATCCAGTGGAGGTTGAAGTCCAGCTGGCTTGACGACATTGACAACAACCCAAGTGACACCTCGGAAATCCTTCGACAGTAGAAGGTCTCGGTCGACCCACACACTCAAATCCTGGGTTGCAGATTCGTCGTCGAACCATTCCGTGCACAGTTCGCGATCAACCCCTCTCAAAAACATGGCAGGTTTCTTCTCTTCACGGGCATTCTTTCTACGAACTGTGCTAGCCGAGCTCTTGGCACTTCGTCTAGATGTGCCCCCTACACTACGGTCCTCGCGGCCATTTTTAGATGGCTTGGATCGAGTTTTAGGCGCAACAATGACCTCGGCATCGGGAGCAATCTTTACGAATGGAACGTCTCCCGCAGGAGCTGGATCGAGGGACACGACTTTGATATTGGCTGTAGAAGTGGGTGAGAGGTGGAGGGTCAACGGATGCGGAATAGGAGGTTGGCCCGGTGTAGCGGTATACGTAGGGTTCGGTAAAGCGCGGATCTGTGAAAGCAGATTCAATTCCAAGAATGTCGCATGCAACTCAATAATCTCCCAATCTTCCGGGGTTAGTGGCTCGATATTAATGGTGTGCGCTAACGGGGGGTCGACGTGTATTATAGCCATAACCTTCTGGCCGTCTGACAATCCTAGAGTGGCGGCCAAAGTAGCATCCAACTCAACTGAGGCAACCTCTTGGTCCCTACCGCTTCCACGTGAAGCACTTATACCATCACGGTCTACTATAGGGGCTATCTTGCGTTTACTCGGCATTCCTGTCCATCCAAGATAGAGCGACCGTTGCGATGATGACGTGCCATTGGTTTGGGAGGCGCCGTTGACGGGCGCGGGAACGCGATAATTAAGTTCGACGACAACATTCTGAGCGGGCTACGAAAGTAGTTTAGTATATGTTATAGGGTTTCTTTTTCTTTTTCCCTTTTCTTCTCCAAAACAAAAAGTAAATTATAGCTTACCGTATTAATTGTTACAAGTAGGTTCACCAAAGACGTGGGAAGGTTGACGAGACAACTCTTGAGGTGAAGGAGGGAGATCTCAGCGGCGGTGGACGGCGCGTTCTTCCGTTGAACTGGCGCCATGTTAAGTCAAAAGTATCAGAAACGAATGGGCTCGAAACCATCGGATGTATTCTGTATTCAGTATCGTGACACGAAAAGTTTAATCATTGAAATTCATAATATCGTTTCTCGGATCTCAAGATGTTGTTGTTTGTTGTTATTGTTGAAACTCAGAAATTAGGTACAATACCTGACCAGTGAAAATAGATGGATGACTTAATGAAGAGCATGTGTCTGTGGACCGAGGCACGATTGAAGAGCATACATACATAATATGTGCATAGTACATGATACCTGCATAAAGTTTAAATATGTAGGCCTGTTTTGATGTTATACACATGCATGTAGCCAATCATTTGCTCAATTCATTGATTGCCGGAGGTCAACCGGTAGTTACTTGGATACCGATACATTTACACGTATCTTTGGTTGTACACGTCAATTGGCTTTTTCCGTGGGTCCGAGCTTCGTGCCTTACTTTAAATCTGCAGTCTGCAGTGGCAGATCCACTATGCCATGTGTTGGTGGACAGGCAGGTTGGTGTTTGCTTAGCCACAATTATACACCGGGGTTGACCCTAGAGTTTTAATGAATGAGGCTGGTGATGGGCGCGAAAATTCGCGTCAACGCGTATTCGTCGGTTCTTCTCCATTTGTCTGGCACCTCCAGCCTCACCAGTTCCACTTCAACATTTTGACCGTTCAATGTTAAACCGTTAAACAACAATTGCGGCTCAACCGAAATATAGTCGCAACTCTTCAACCTCCCACCTCAACCCACCGACATTCTCCACGAATAAATACACTTAATTCATAATGGCACTTCTCCAATATAGAAATATCGTCGATTATGAGGCGCAACAAGGTCAGTTCGACATATCTATTTTCCTTCGCTATTCATTATCCCACCATCTAACCCAATTTGTCCGACACAGTCGCTTTCGAGAATTTCCTCCAGGGATTCAAAACTTCTCCGGAGCAGACCTTGACGCATGCTATTGGTCAGATCAACATTGACGAGGACGACTTGAGCGATGAATATGATTTCATGGATGAAGATGATGATCATCATGAGCAGCGCAGGAGGGAGAAAGCTTCGAGGTTGCCACAGCACAAATACGCCGACATGATGCAGAAACTTGCAGATCGAGCACTGGACGAGGTCTTGATAGAACTGGATGATCTTACTCAAGTAAGAATTTACATATTGTCTGCTTGTCTATAAAAGAAACGCAATTAACATAATTCAGTGGGAAGAGGAGACAAACGAGGGACTGAAACTTGTGGAATCCATCGAAACCAACACCAAGCACTATGCCGAGATTATATCCAGAGCTATCGACAAAAAAATGCCTGCTCCTACTACAGGTGTAACGTACGGTCAATTATATATCCTCTGTATTGCCTCGCCTTGCTAACCCACATCCTAGATTTAAAGATGACGTTTTAGATGTGATTATGGAAAAAAGACAAGCCCGAAACCGCGATCTTGCTGAAGCGGCTGCCAACACAAACAACCCCGACTTGCTCGAGTCTACATTTCCAGCTCAGCTGACGAGACGATATACGCTCGTGTTCAAGCCGAGAACATCAACCAAAGAGAAGCCAGTCAAGGCTCTTGCAGTTAGACAAGTACGGGGAGATCATCTAGGCCATCTTATCACTGTCCGCGGCATTGCGACTAGGGTCTCGGACGTCAAACCTGTCGTTCAAGTAGGCGCTTATACTTGCGATCGTTGTGGCTGTGAAATCTTCCAGCCCGTGAATGACAAGCAGTATTCACCTCTTACCAACTGCCCCTCGCAAGAATGCCACGACAACCAATCCAAGGGCCAACTGTTTCAATCCTCTCGAGCATCGAAGTTCTTGCCTTTCCAGGAAGTCAAGGTTCAGGAACTGGCAGAGCAAGTTCCTATCGGCCAGATTCCTCGTACGCTCACTATTTTATGCTATGGCAGTGCGGTCAGACAGATCAATCCTGGAGATGTTGTCGATATATCCGGAATATTCCTACCTACTCCCTATACGGGCTTCCAGGCAATGCGAGCCGGGCTACTGACTGATACATATCTAGAAGCGCATCACATCACCCAGCACAAGAAAGCATACGAGGAAATGATTATAGATGACAGGCTATTGAGACGCATCAGTACCTTTAGCCAGTCGGGTACCGTATATGAAATGCTAGCAAAGTCGATCGCACCAGAAATCTTCGGTCATCTAGACGTCAAGAAGGCTCTCCTCCTGCTCCTTGTTGGTGGTGTTACCAAGACAATGGGTGATGGAATGCGAATTCGTGGCGACATCAACATTTGTTTGATGGGTGATCCTGGTGTTGCCAAGTCCCAACTGTTAAAGTATATCTCGAAGGTTGCCCCCCGTGGTGTATACACGTCTGGTCGTGGTTCAAGTGGTGTTGGTCTTACTGCCGCGGTAATGAGGGACCCCGTGACAGACGAGATGGTTCTTGAAGGCGGTGCTTTGGTGTTAGCAGACAACGGTATCTGCTGTATCGATGAATTCGACAAGATGGATGACAATGACCGAACCGCTATCCACGAAGTCATGGAACAGCAGACTATTTCCATTTCCAAGGCTGGCATATCAACTACTCTCAATGCCAGGACATCTATCCTGGCAGCTGCCAACCCTATATACGGCCGCTATAATCCACGCATATCCCCTGTTGAGAACATTAACCTACCAGCTGCCTTGCTATCTCGTTTCGATGTTCTGTTCCTCCTACTCGACACGCCGACCCGCGATGGCGACGCGCAGCTGGCCAAGCACGTAGCATATGTGCACATGCATAGCAAGCATCCTGACACATACGCAACCAATGCTACTGATGGCTCGGCCGCAGCACAGCCCAATGTCGTATTTACACCACATGAGGTACGCGCATATGTGGCACAAGCGCGCACATACCGCCCAACTGTGCCGGAGACCGTAACGGAATATCTAACAAAGACGTACGTACGACTTCGGGAGGCGCAGCGCCGCGCCGAGAAGAAGAATAAGCTGTTCACGCACACAACACCACGAACACTACTTGGTGTAGTTCGTCTCGCTCAGGCTCTAGCTCGTCTGCGTTTTGATAGCGTTGTCAACCGTGACGATGTGGATGAGGCGCTACGGCTCATGGAAGCTAGCAAGGAGAGTCTTGCTGCGCATGAGGGCAATACAGGTAGAAGAACCCTTAATGCCTCCAGCCGAATTTATAACCTGGTCAAGAGTCTTGCGGATACTGGCGCATGTAGGGCTGGAGATGGTGATGAGGATGAGGACGAGGATGAGCCAAACACGGTGGAATTAAGCTTGCGCAAAGTCCGTGAGCGTGTGGTGGGCAAGGGATTCACGGAAGATCAGTGGCTGGATGCGTTGGAGGAGTATACCCATTTAGATGTAAGTTTTCCTTCCCCTTTCTATGCTTATTGGGGATCTAGCTTACTAACATGTCAACACAGGTCTGGCAAACTGCTGGCAATGGTACGAGATTGGTGTTCATCACTGCCAATGACAATGCGGAGAATGATGACGATGAATAAGAATCAGGAGCAGCAAAGAACCATAACAAAGTGACCTTAGGTACTTACCTACCCAGTACCACAAATATGAAGACCCAAATGAGCCTCGGCGTTCAAGGATTCCTGTGACTAGTACCAGTATAAAGATGGATAATGGATGAAGTACCAGCAGGTTTTGATCCCGCTGTTTTTTTTGCCCTTCACAAAGCTTGTGCTCGTCTAGATGTAGATGTACTGGCTGGGGCTTATTTACCAATAGTATGAATGAAAGAATCACATGTTGATGAGAATAGACCTTTTGCATTGCTCGTCTAAAGTAGACATGAAGTTGCACTGCGTGTTTGGTAGTTTGCTATCTGAATGCGATGAATGCGAGTATTGTGTTGTATTGCGTCTCACCGTCCGATAAATCCTTAGTTGTTGGTTAAGGGGGGGGGGGGGGGGGGTCAAGGTCATCATGCTCCAAGCCTGAAGACGCCTTTTGTTGTTGTTGTTGTTGTTGTTGTTGTAATCGAGTATAGGTAGATGCATGTTTCTAGTTGTGTTCCTGTGCTCGGCTACCAACTTGTAACGTGAGACTCTGTTCCGAGGAAAATTGAGTGTCTTGACTGACATGCTATTTTTAATCAGCGATTTAACTATTCTGTGCCCGTGATAGTTATCCCTTAATTACAATAGACTTTGGGAAATAGATCTAGTACCTACCTACACATTACTAGACATATACTTACCTATGTAGGTTGGATGTACCATCACTCCCTATGGTATATGGTAATACGATGCGATGCTTCCCACATTGGTTGACTCTAATAATAGACTTGATCTCTACTCTGCGTTTATCTCGTTCTATGCTACGTACTTAGGAGGGTATGTACTAAATAAGGGGAAAGGGGTATTCGAACTCACCTTTAGCATTCATGCTGGATCTGTTACTTGGTTCTCAGGATTGTATCATGGATGGACATTTCTTTCCAGTTTCTTACAGAAGAGCAATACAAGTATTTTCTCCGTATGTGTTTAATCCGACGTAAACACAGACAAATAGCGCAGCACACTCATATCACGAAATATGTATATTTCTTCTGCTTTTTTATACAATCGCACGACATCGCTTCCATCTGAAAGCTCGTGCTTCTTCTATCCCGACTGTTTTATACAGCAAACAGGTTTGAGTGGGTAGGCTTGATACGTAGTTTACACAGTCGACCTTACATCAAACAGGGTAACGCGCTCCATCTCGCCGAGGTTGCCGTTGCCGGCGAGCGTCCACTTCTCACTCACGTTCCTCTCGTCAACGCGCATCCGCAGGATCCCGCTCGCGGCCCAGTACTCGAGGAGCGAGCGCGCCTCGAGTTTCGACACGCCGCCGAGGTTGAGGGTCTTGACGCCCTTGAGCGCGTCGAACACGTGCTCGTCGTACTTTCTGTAGAAGGGGTCCCGCGGAGGGATCGGCTGGCCGTTTTGGGCTGCCACGGCTTGTTCTAGGGCCTTCTCCATCGAGGGGATCACGGGGGAGTTGCCCTTGGTGCACAGGCCTAAGATTGCCGCTCCGTTGGGGAACTGGATCTTTCCGCCCAGCGCGTCTACGAATAGGCGGACTAAGGCGAGATCGTGGCTGTGGATAAGCTGGTAGGCAGGTGACCGGTAGTCGCTTATTCTCATTATGTGGCTGAGGCCGTCGAGACTAAACAGGATTGGGGGCCGGCCGGGCAACAGCAATTCCTTCCAGAAGGCTAGGAAAACGGGCCAGGCGAACTCGGGTTCCTTGGTGGCGTTAAGTAGGGCGACGAGATTCATGCCACGGTTCACGGAAATAGGGAGATGTATGTGATCGAGCTCAACCTTACATTGAGATAATACCGCGTGGTTGGCCTTGGAGATGGCCTGGAATAGCTTGACGATGTATACAGGCTGAGCATACATCTCGGAGTTTGCTATTGGGGAGTATTCCGTTGCCCCCGTAGTTAGTTCTTGACCTAGATGCGTGTGAGGAAGTATCAGTCTCTCGGTACATGATACCCTACAAGTGTAAATGGTATTTACATACCCTCTGGGATATTAATGACGACCCAGTTATTCATAAACCCAGTGGCCAGAGCCTGAAGGCCAAGTAAACTCTTCCCTGTCGATCTGTGGCCCGTAACGACCAGTCTTAACGTCTCCTTTTTGCTGATAGAACTCGAGAGTTGCTTCATAAGATCCACTGTCTCTTGTCTGATCAACGTATGCGGCGATCGAAATAGATTCCAAGTTTGCGTGGGCTTGAAGGCCTCACTAGCTCTCAATTGATCTATTAGGTCTGGCGAGAGGCCAACTATCTGGCCGACCGAAGCAGCATCCACCACTTTCTCGGGTGCTATAGGTTCCAGGCCCGGTACTTCCAGGGCATTGTCGTTGGTGAGCTGGATGCGCTTCCGGAAAGCTTTTCGTTCTCCTGGGCCAGGAGGCTTGGTCTTGTCTGGTTGACGTTTCTTTCCTCCTAGTGTTAACTGTTTTCCTGCGCGAATATGCCGTGACATTCCCGCCTCTGGATTTTTCTGAGCTGCGGGGCTTGCTATTCCCCTTTGCACAGCCGAAGTCGTGAATGCCGCTGTCGCTGCTGCTGAGGAGGAGGGTGGTATCAGGGATGCGGGCACAAGCAGGCGCTGCGAGGGCCGTGCTAGGCACCTCCAGCAATTTGCGCTCGCCATTGGTAGTGCGGGTCGAGGTCGAACGTGCGTTCCTCGGAAGGGTTGGTTACTCGGGAAATCGTTCAAAGTCGAAAATGGTCATCTAATTCAAGTCGCAACTAAAAATTTACGAATTTACGATTGGAATTTCGATACCTGCATATTTGCATATCTGCACGTCAGTGCATAAGACCCCCCCTAGTCGAAACTTTAAATCAAGTGTTAGTTAATAACGGAGCGGAGAAATCAGAGTTCCCAACCCACTAGTTATCGATAGGGTGATAACCAGTATTATCAGAGATCCCAGTCCCAAAAAAAAAGTTCCCAGATTCTATTGAACTTTTTTGGTCCTTAATTCCAATTATTATTCCAATTATTATCCAGCTCTACCACCTTTACAATCACAAACATACAAAGGTCATATTTTTCCGACAGGTAGTGTTTCCATTCAATAGCTACACATCCGTCAATCAACCCAGATTACCTGCGAACTCTACTCGCAATGGCGCCGACATCCAAACCCAAGCTCGACGTCGCCGTCACCAAACCCACACCCTACACCTTCGACCTCGGCCTCCTCCTCGCCAACGACCCCAACCCCCTCTCCACCTCCACCCCCAGCGCCGACGCACCCACCGACAGCATCTCCCCCTCCGCGCTCGAAGCCCAGCTCGCCGCCACCGCCCGCGACGGCGCCCAAGCGCTGATAAACCAGATGCTATCCACGCTCCCCCTCTCCGCCACCCAAGCCGGCGTCCTGCTCTCGCTCCCCGCCATCACCACGCCCTTACCCCGCGAGAAGCCTCTGCCGACGCTCAAGGCGCCCACGAAGTGGGAGCAGTTCGCGGCGCGCAAGGGCATCAAGCCGAAGACGCGGGAGCAGCGGCACGCCAAGTCGTCGCAGTACAACGAGGACACGGGCGAGTGGGAGCGCACGTGGGGGTACGACAAGGGCGGCGTCCGCAAGCGCAAGGAGGAAGGCGCCGTCCAGCGCGACTGGCTCGTCGAGGTCGACGAGGACAAGGAGCGCGAGGAGAAGGCCGCCAAGCTCAAGCTCAGGAACAAGAACAAGAAGAGAAAGGCTTGAGCTGGATCTGCATCGGCATCGGCATCTGCAACAGTATAATAACTATGGACCAAACAAAAACAAAATGGGGCGGGGTTGCTTATATATCTCGACGACTTTCTACTACATGTGTGGTGTGGACATATCGCCAACTCGATACGAATGGGGGGGGTTTTATACTATTTCTTGGGCAAACGCTTTTGAGTGTCACTCGGGGGGTTTCATTATGAGAATGGACTATTGGCTTCATCTATAGTACATGTGTGATATGCCAACTACCTCACTATCAGTAGAGGTAGTTGTCAAGAAGTTTTTAAGGGGCACTTATTGATACCCATACATTATGAATCACAATAGACACAAGGCAGGCGTTAGGTTGGGGGGTGTTAATACATTACAAACTCTGCAACTCGAGAATTGCACTGCTTCTGGGCTGTTTCCTCTGATGTATGCTGTATGGTACAATTCCTTTTCTCATTCCCTATATTCCAGACTCCATCGCTGCACCTCCTCTCACCCCCCCCTTTCACAACCAGACGTACATGTAGCCTTTACTTTTAGTTCGAAGTACGAGTCCGTTTGTCCAGCACGGAGCTGGATAACAAAAGGAATACCGATGGCAGGCCATGCCACTGCACCACCACCACCCTAAAAATTAAACCGTGTGGCGTGCAAAATTCAGAACAAAGCTCGGCCAGGATTAACAATCTCATTCTTATGCGAGGGTTGGTGCCACCTAGTGAGACTAAACCTCTCATACGTCCCAAGATTCCCCACCGCCGACAAAAGAGAATGTAGGCAATCCGCTTGCCATTCGTCCACGATGGCAAGCTTGGAATAGGATCATTCGCAGAACGCTTAAGATAAAAGGAGAAAAGGGTTGAAAATCGTCAACGGAGCGTAATATCGTCACAACACCTCCAGGCCAAATGCCGTCATATCCACCAAGTTCTTCTCCGGGGGTATTATCAAGACAAAAAAAGGTATCACCAGATCGCGACTGAAACCCACCCTACCTCCAACTGCGTGCACCGTGGCCGAAATGGGCGTTCAAAAATTCATAGGGGATAGAGGCTTGATCGGTGAAAGCGGCCTTATATTTCGCTCTCCAGATCGATGTCGCGGTGTATCGTGCTCGCCACTAACTGTCAGGGTCGAACCAGTCGAGTAATTAGGCGTCATACCATTCGATTGGCCCGTTGTCCCCGTTTTCTTTTTTAGTTTCCCGTCCTGTTGTTGGGTAGGGGCTGCTGAGGGCTTACTACTATCCGACGAGGACAAATTCCGGTCGTCATGAGTTTCACTTCCGGCATAGCTCCGGGATTCCACCGAACTTAGCCCTTGAGGCAGCGGTTGTTGGAATAGTTGATATTCCTCCTCGATATATTTGGCTTCGTTTTGACACCCTTGCCAACACTTTCTCCAATCACAGACCAGAAATTTGAAACAAAATGCGTCGATTTTCATGCAGGGTTGAAAGCATATGCATAAGTTGCGGAAATCCATCTTGTTCTTGTCGGAGTGTGCGAGGAGTAAGCTAAGATGACACGTGATAGCGAACAGGAGGTAATAGTTGAAAGGCGATAAGTTAGAAAGCTCTTCAACCAATAACTGTGGGACTTCTTGCGCCCCGGCGCACTGTCGGGAGATTCGTTCCTGGGCCTCTTTCGGGAATAATTCGTCGGGGAGTTCACGAAGCCAAGCCTTAAACATGGAACCGATGATATTGATATCGTACAGATCCTCTTGGGCAAAAAGGTCGACGTCGTATTCTACTCGCATGTAAGTAAGGCTTAACAGAAATCATGGGGGAAAAATAGGTTCACCTTCGTCAAACTTCCTTTGCCATTTTTTGATCTGAGGTCCGCTCCCAGGAACACGATAGAGACCTTCGACATCCGTTCCCTTAAGGTTTAGATAGTCGATCGCGCGCCATGGAAAAGCTGGCATCCAAAACTCCGTCTTGTCTCGGGAATCTTCCAGTCGTTTGGATATCCTTGTTAACCGTGTTTGTTCGACCAGTGGTAGGTTGATAACCTTCAGGACGTAATGTTCATCATCAATCAAGTCTTTGTCCGACGTACTAGCACTACGAACACCCCTTCCGAATAATCCTTTGCTGATCATATCTGCCGCTCGACTTCCAGAACTTCTCAAGCCGTTGAAAAATGTGGAACCAGCATTATTATTTTCCTTGACGGGAGGATGAGGCCTATTATAGTCTTTATCGTGTCGGTGGTCTTTGTTCGCTGTTCTGTGGCTGGGAAGCGCGCGGTCGGCAGAATGATTCCGTGGTGTTGAATTCATCATATGCCCAAAGGACCTATCATAGCCATCAGTGTTCATAGGAGCCGTCCTCAAAGGTTGCACGTTCGTATCTCGCTCAGGTTCATTCAGCTTGATTGTGATGGACTCTTTGGGACCATTGATATCATTATCCTTGAATGACCTGTTACGACCTAGGATGGTGAAAGGGTTTGGCTTGTTCTTCTTAGAAGCAGCTGTCTCGTACTCTCCAGCAGACGTCAATGAAACCTCAGATTTAGATGGCAAAGAGGCCACCGATCTCTGGGCTGAGGAGTCGGCAACTGAGAGGTCTAATTGACAAGGAAACAAAGAATTAGTATCGGGAAGTGGCGTAAAACCTAGCAACACTTCATTCAGCTTCTGATCTAGCGTACCTGAATGTTTAGAATTTTTACTCGGGACCCTATCCGGAATGGTGGTATTTTCTACGCCACGGGACATGGCTTCATTTGTGCTCGCACTTTCTGCGTGGGTATGGTATAGGTGATTTGAAGATTTCGATGTCTTACCAAAGTTGAAAAAGCGACTAGTGCTTCTTGCATGTTTCTCGCCTTCGGGACGCGATGTTGTGTCGCGGGCGGTCGATGCCGGGTTGTACGTAGAAGAGTGCGTTGGGGGTCGATATTCTGGTTCGCGGCGTTGAGGAGAATGGTGTCGGCGGTGATTGGCAACTTGCACGTCATCAGGGGACTGCAACGGTGGCACTGTATCGGCAGGATAAGGCAGATGATGTTGTGGCGGGGGCCTCCTAGTCGTAGTGGTGTTTGCGCTATGGTTGGTGCTCGCGGGACCTGTGGTGCTTGTGGCCGGAACGGTACTCGGAACAGGACCGTATTTACCAAAGGGGGAGCGAGGAGACCTGGACGACTTGGAAGAGGTTGGCGAGGTTACTTGCGAGGTTACTTGAAGTGTTGCTTCGCTGCTCGGTGTTGGACGTGGACTCGGGCTCGGGCTTGGTCTCGGTCTTGGTCTGTCAGCTCCTGGGGCATGAGGATCGGGATACTTATGGGCGCGGGCATCGGCAGAGGATTGTTCGCCCAAGGAATCCGTCTGGTCAGCAGCAAAAGACAGCGGGTTGGGAACTGGCTTTCGGCGCATTATGGATGGTATGTGTTTCCTCCCCCCTTTATCGACCTCCAGTTAAACAGACGAATCAGATCGGGGGATAGCAGGGAGGAGCTTGATTCGCTCTCTACCGCAGGAGAATAAATTAAGTCGTGCGCGATGGAATGCTATATCAGGAAACAAGCAGGTATCAGATATTGGGGTTATCAAATTGATCGCGGCAGGATTTGTGTCAAGGTAAAATATGGGCAAGCTTGTTCAACCTGCAACACGGGGCCGCCAGAACAAGGGCGACTAGGGATGTTCGGAGCGTCTCATGGGGGGGTAAAAAAGAGAGATCAATGATGGGATATTATTGTTTACACCTACATATGTAGGCACGGTAGGTATGAATTATGTGGATAACGGATATCGTGGATAAAAAAAAAAGAAAAGAAGAAAAGAAAAAAGAAGACGTTCCAAAGATTCCAACACAGAAATTTTCCAAGGGAAAAAGGAAAAGGAGATAGGTATTGGATGGGATTGGAGTTGAATTGGATTGAATAGAATTGAATTGAAGTGAATTGAATTGAATATTTCGAGATTGAAACTGATTTGACGAATTGATGAGACTCTGGGTCTTCTGGGACTGTCCTGGCAAGGGCACTCCGACAGGGGAATACTCTGTACCTTAGGTAGGTATGTACTACATAAGTATCCACATGCACATTCCAATCATGCAGCCATTACAGCCATGGTATCAATTCCGTACCTGCCTACGCCTGGGACATAAAGTGGTTTGGGCGCTCGTACCTACCCTAACTTGCTAGGTATCGAGGGGGGGGGGGAGCACGCTAGTCCTCAGGGGTATGTATGCGACTGAACTGGGGCTACGTAGGTTGTACTACCAATGGTGTCCACTCACCCACTCGCCCACTCACCTACATTCATCCATCATGATATGCTGATAAATATCATGATACATACTACCTATTGGATACATATGCAGTTATGTGTCGACTCAAAGTTATTTACATGTGCAGTACATATATGTAGTCAGTAAGTCACCTATGTACATCTATAGATATGTAAAATCCTTGAGTTGTTTTCTAGTGTATAAATTATATAAGAAATGCATTAGATTAAGAAAAAGGCGTTGAACTGTCGATCAAAGTGGCAGCTATCAATACCTACTCACTCAGCTGCTTCTTAGTTTGGCGCTCTTGCTGGTTCAATTTGGTGTTGGACCGGACTAAATAAGACCTAAAGATTTCATTGCGTTCTCAACCTTGGAACTAGCACTGCGCAGCTAACGCCATCCTTGCTTTGACAACTTTGGTCCCAGCGTTCGGTCAATGTTGTGTTTTGGTCTAATGTCATATGTAATAGTTGTTCAGCCGTTAGAAACCAAGCCACATAATAAAAGAAAATAAATTGACATATGCATTCCCTTTGGTCGGTAAGGAAAGCGGGAACTATCTGGATCTTTTAGTGACCTACCCTAGGTATCTATCCTGGGCACTGGGCAGGCTACTAGGTAGGGAGTTTTATGAATACCCGAGTCGTCCTAGCGGTGTCACAAATTCTTTAGAGTCTATAAAAGTAAAACCTATAATTATGGTAAAACTTCCAATTATTGGCATCACCAATCATTTATAAAGCATTCAACACCCGCACAGCTTCCATACTCTACTAATCCTATATATATGTATGGTATAGCCAAGGTTAGTAATTATCGACTATCGACTACATATGTATCAATTGATGTGCACATGCATACTACACTACATACGTGCTATAGTGACATATGTATGTAGTATTATACCTATTATACCTACCTACATATGTGCATGTGGTATGTAGATGCATTAGCTCCACCCAAAAGCGCGTAATAAATAACCTTGAACTTTGAATCTGAAACAGGCTGCCACGCACGTCTGTTATATCCACCTTTCCCGCTTTCCCCTCAGCTATTCTTCTCTTTAGGTACTCTAGTGCCGGAGTTAAAGCATTCTATATTCTATATAGATGGCTTATCGGCCGGGTGTTTTCATGTCGATGTTGTTACAGTCATAACTATAATTTTTACATCATTGTTGCTTGATTATGGAACCAGCCAGTGCCCTAGGTCTGGTTACATACCTGTCAACTAAGGCTACAAGCTTCAGGTTCCATAAATATCAATTACTAGATAAGTTAGGACATGTATAAGTCTTCATTCTGTGGGCAGCACTAAACGGAACTCTATACTCTGCATTATACGTGGTATTGTCAGTAGATAAGCCGAGCGTCCGAGATTAAGCTACCAATCTGAATGTGAGTATCAATATATATGTCTACTATCATTAGCTACCTACTTCAACATTCCTTCCCATGGATCGAAGCCGTGCTAACCCTGACATAGTAAATATAATACCTAATCATCATAAAATCGCACAGCAGAACTCGAACCACGCAGAAATTACTGGTATAAATGGATACCACATGGCTAAGTTTCCCCCACGTTGACGAATCCTAGACAAACCAATGTCGGACATCATTTCTGGATCTTGCTCCAATCTAAAGTTGCATGTCAAGCTCAAGCTCAAGATCCAGATTCTCCTTGTATACGTTCTGTCGTCTTTGGTAGGAGAAGACAGCTTGGAAACATGTACAACCCTGTCATGTACGAGGCATGTTTAATCGTCTTTACTTCCCGAGTCAACCTCAAGAATACAACGTGATCAAGCAGAGGGGGTTCGCATCGCCGAGGTTGGTTTAAGGCTACCTGTAGGGAGAGGACGTGATAGAAAACGTTAATCAAAGGTTAAGTCACTATGTCACACTCTTAGAATTTCAACTAAAAAGCCGGTATGACACTTGCTCCAAACTGAGGAAGAGAATTGAGGGAAAGGAATTAAAAATAGCAATGTGGACTAAAGTGATGGTTTAATGTTTAATAATGTTTAATAAAGCTGGACAACAACTTATTAATTCTGCCAGGCGGTAAGGTCCCACATGACTACCCCACACGCGTAGATATAATTGATCATTGTAACTCGGCTGCCATTGCTGACTTGGAAGCTACCTATCTGTACATATATTGCCCAACGTGCCTTCAATGTTCAATGTTCTTCATGGCCCCTAAGTATTAATATGCATTTAAGTACTATACTATACATACTATTCAAACCTTAATACATATTCCTCTACCACACCATTTCCTATTCCTACCCTCTTCCTCTTTTTTTCATCCTGAATCCTTTCCTATTAAGAATGTCGGAGGTCCAAAAGCTACCAGACGAGCTCCAACTTGCGACCGCAGCACACGTCAAGTACATCCAAAGCTTAGATACGAGGAAGGACGAATATAATTACTGGCTGACCGAACATCTTCGCCTAAACGGATTGTATTGGGGGTTAACTGCACTCCATTTACTCCGGCATCCCGATGCCCTGCCTCGAAATGAGACCATAGATTTTGTTCTCTCGTGCCAGCACGAAAATGGTGGTTTTGGGGCTGCGCCCGGCCATGACGCGCACATGCTCTACACTGTCAGCGCCATACAGATCCTTGCTTTGGTTGATGCCCTGGACGAGTTGGAGAAACGGGGTAAGGGTGATGGCAAGGCTCAAGTGGGCAAATGTGAGTCAGCAGAACCATTGTCCTACCCTCACTCACTTCCTCGATGGCTTGTTTGGATGGGGACTAATTATTGCTTCAGACATGGCAAACCTTCAGAATCTAGAAACAGGTACATTTGCTGGTGATGAATGGGGAGAGGAAGACACCAGGTTTCTATACGGAGCTCTAAATGCTCTCTCCCTCTTGGGCCTAATGCATCTCGTCGACGTCAACAAGGCTGTTGATTTCATTGCATCATGTGCTAATTCCGATGGCGGGTATGGTATCTGCCCTGGAGCCGAGTCCCATTCCGGTCAGATCTTCACGTGCTTGGCTGCCCTGTCTATTGCTAATCGCAAAGACTTGATTGACGTCGATAAGCTCGCGGGGTGGCTGAGTGAGAGGCAGGTTGCCTGCGGCGGTTTAAACGGGAGACCGGAGAAGAAGGAAGACGTATGTTATAACTGGTGGGTACTGAGCAGCCTCGAAATGATCGGACGATCACATTGGATTGATCGGGAGGAACTCATCAAGTTTACACTAAGTTGTCAGGACACTGAACATGGTGGCTTGTCAGACCGACCTGGCGACATGGTTGACGTCTGGCACACGTTGTTTGGCCTCACAGGCTTGAGCATGCTGAACTACCCTGGCATGGAAGCTATTGATCCTGTGTATTGTCTACCGAAGTACACCACAGATCGCGTCTTCGGCAAAAGGGGTTGAGTTGGTAGAAAGTGCATTGATCCTCTATTTCGGCAACCGGATAATGGCCCTTTCATTTCATGGACAGCTACTCCCTCTAAGCCGTGACCTTCAGCAGGCGCTCTATACGTCAGGTATTATCAGACAAGCAAGTACAGTATCACCATTGCCAAGGTTGATCCTTACGCGTAAGCGAGCCAAGCCACCACATACATTGTCTCTTGCAATCTAATAACCTACTACCTCATCTAAAATGATAGATAGGATACAAGGCAAGAGTAGATGGATCCCAGACCACTTCCTCTCGATCTCAAGTCTATCTTCACATAGCTCGAGATCTTGGATCTGATCTGGACACTTTTCAATGCCTATTCTGCTAACCTTTAACAACATCACATGGAGTTAGTAGCCATCAAGAGCAGTTGAAGCAAGTGGTATCTTTTATTATTATTCTCCCCCTTATGACTATTCTATGCCGTGTCCCTCTCCCGCTGTCCACAATAGAAGCCAAGCCCATAGTCTTCCGTGGTAAATGTGATCTTGGAACCCTTGGGGAAGTAGAGTACGTCTCCAGGAACTGCGTGCACCTTGTTTCCTGCTTCGTCGCTAATGTCAAAGCTGCCCTCGATGATGATTTTCACTGCACCACCAATAATTATTAGCTGATCTGGTTCTATTGGTTGGGGAGTTTTATTAAAGCGGGATGAGCTTACTCTCGTGGTAGTGATACGCGTACACGAGCGGAGTTCCCTTCTCCAGACGATAGAACCCCGCTGAGATGGGCTTCGCCGGGTCGAGTTTGTCACTACCAGACAGTCAGCAATGCGCAAGATATATATTATTCAGATGCCTATACATCCGCTGGAAAGGCTTATAGGAACTTACGACGAAGAAACATCCCCGAGGAATGCGTTCTCATTCGCAATCAACGGTGGCTTGACGGATTGCGCTTTGGCATAGTACGTCAAAGGTACCGGTTCTGTAGTGGTTGATGACATCTTTGTTTTGACTTTGCTGACGATTGATCCCATTACTTTCTCGAAAAATAAAGACTCTTTGGGTGATGCTATGTAGGTGTCTAACCTTTAGTCCACATCCCCAACCTTGGAGAGGGCACCGCAGGCTTATATAGGTGCCTATCTTACCTAGTGTATACTGTACAATACATACCTACCTACCTACATGATCAACAACACCGAGAATCTCCGAGTAACAGCTGTATAGCGAGTTCGGCCATGATCGTCTTCTCCGCAGATTATCCATTTACCTCCGGTCAGGAGATAACAGCAGAATGACTTACGGATTCCCATAACACACGTGCGAATGGCGACCAGCGGCGTATATCTAGGGCAAGGCGTTCCCGTTTACGGCGGGGTCGACGGCTCTGGTTGGCTAGCTGCTTGCGCAAGCCCCCCTGCATTATCTATTGCCCAGCTCCCCAAGATCTGCGCTTCAATTCATCCTCCCAATTGGATGGGGATGATTCGGTATCGTCACTTCAGATAAGTATCATACGCTATACGCTATACGCCATACATATACTCTGGGGTTTGTGATCTTCTTTTCGTTTTCGTTAAATAAGAAAACGCTAGGGCTAGACGCATCTGCCCCGCACCTTGTTCCTAAATGCATCTGTGTATGAAGCTGTAATCGGATTAGATATAGCTACATTTTATTTGTCAGATACTGAGCATCGATTTTTAACTGTCTATACTAATAGATTGACTCGGAGCCTTTCGACAATTCCGAATTCTCAATAGGTTGTTTGTCTACAGTTATTTTTAGATGTACACCACTTACAACAAACAACACATCCCCGTATGTGCTCTTCATCAACCACCCAGGTACTTTGGTAGATAATGCTACAAGCCTCCTATGCATACCAAGACGAACACCTGTATACCAACTTTGAGGCCGAATCAAAATTTACCAAGCTCCGGGATTCAAATGCAATATAGTAACCTTTGAATGGCTGAAAGATGGTTCCTACATGCGTGTCAAGTCCCTTGATCGGGGTAAAATCGGAAAGGGCATTTAGCAACCCAGCGAGTTCCTACATACATATATACTCCTCTTCTACGCCGTGCTACCACATTAACCTAGGCATGTTTGAACATACGTAGAAGATGATGAGTGGCGAAGGTAAGAGTTGGCACCAAGACCTGCAAATGCTGGTAGATCATAGAGCTACTTTGACTTATGCCTACCATACATACATACCGATGGAGATGAGCATAGGTAATAGTACGTTGTCATCTTCATATGTTATGGCTTTAATATCCACCTAGGTAAATATAGTAAGTACCTAGCTATGGATATATGTACGTACCTGCTGAATTAAGAGAATAGAGTTGCCTGCAAGATCTTGTATCTGCCTTGGCATGAGCGTTTCAGCAAAGCCGCATTGGAAGATATATTAATTGCTGCTATTCACACTACCCAGTGCTTACACCGACATCTAAGCTTCAACGGAATACGTTCCGCTTCATGATAAAAGGTGCAGCGGTATGTTTCAAATTGATGAAGTACAGTATGTAGTGAAATGGGAGAAATAGGGGCAAATACTAGGCAATAGCAGGCATATGTGCAAATGCATGAATTAATATCGGATCGATAATGCGGAAGTGTAATTACGACATAAACGAGTATACGCCTGAACTAATTCACGATAGGACGATGGGATAATGCGTTAACTAGTTACTAGGTAAGCAAATAAGTCTGAATATGGTAGTGAATTATGATGCAAGTGCTAGCTAAAGGTTCTATTATACCCTAAGTAGCTTTTCTAGAAAGTGACCAAGATCTGCCGATTGGGTACTACTTTATGAGATTGCCTGAGTGCGCACAACACCAGCCGGATCCTTGGTCTCGGTATCACCCCAAGTCGCATCCCAGCCATTCTCCGTCAAGTAAATCTTCCACGCCTCGTCGTCCTCGTTGAGTCGCCGGGACACGTCGGGAATGACAAAGAGAGCAATCAGAGCGCCGAGGACCGCGAAGCCGGATCCGATCAGGAAGGCGACCTGGTTCCCCTTGGACGGATCGTCCGTGTAACTGTTTAAAATCGCTGTGAAAACCTGTGAGATGACTAGTAGTTAGCACTGACAGCTCAATTTGCTGAGAGAGGAGGGGCTGAGCTGAGAGGGAGGGAAGGGTCTTACCTGTGTTCCGATGGCTGCGCCTGCTTTCGACCAGGCCGAGACAAACCCCATCATCTGTCCTCTGATGGACGTCGGGAAACATTCCGATGCCGTCAGTACGACCGTGCTACCAGGGCCAACCTCTCCGAGGGTCAAGAAAATGCCGTACAGAACCACAAACAACGGGAATATCTTCTGAATCGGCTCCGCCGCACCACCGAGAACGAAGCCGAGGAGGGCCTGCAACCCGAAGCCCAGCGCCATCGTCTGCCGTCTTCCGATCTTGTCGGAGAGGTAGCCTCCGAGGAACGGGCCGGGGATGTAGAAGCAGTTGATGACGACGCCCCAGCCGAGATTCTTGACGAGGCTGTCGCCGACGTTGACGCGCGTGATGATGGTGGAGCTGAAGATGCCGAAGGGGATGCTGATCCAGTTGTACAGGAACCAGGTGGCGCCGCAGCCGATGAGCGGGCGCCAGTAGCGTTTCAAGGCGAGCCAGTACGGCGTGCGCTGCTTGCGCATGGCGGACTTGCGGTACGCGGTCGACACGGCCATGCGCAGCCGGAACCAGAAGATCACCAGCGGCGGCACCATGCCGAGCGCGAACGACGTGCGCCACACGATGCTGAACTTGGACTCGCTGCTGCCGACGCACAGGAGTAGGAGAAGCGGCACGAGACCGCCCCACACGTACCCCAGGCTGCTCGACAGGTCGGCCAGCATCGCGAACATGAACCCGCGCCGCTTGCGGTACTTGTCGCTCTCGTCGGTGGCCTCGGCCGCGCCCGCGCCGGAGACGGGGTACTCGCCGCCGGCGCCGACGCCGGCGATGCCGCGCGCGATGATGAGCATCCAGAACATGCCGGTGGGGGTCTCGCCGTTGGCGGCGGTGGAGAGGATGATGCCGAGGACGAGGAGGGCGGTGGTGGCGACGGCGCCGGTCTTGCGTCCGAGCTGGTCGACGACGACGCCGAAGAAGAGCATCCCGATGATCATGCCGATCAGGAAGGCGTTCGAGAGGCGCTGGTAGATGGACTTGGTCAGGGCCTCCGGGTAGAGGATCGCGAGGAGGAGCTCGACGTTGCCGATTACGGCGGCGTTGCTGGTGGGTTGTGTGTTAGTTTTCTTGATTAAGTCATGCTGCTTGTTGGGTAAGGGGGTCGGTTGGAGGGCATCTTACTAGCCATCGGACCCAATTGCCAGTCCAGAGAAGAGGACCATGAGCCAAACCGAAACTTTGCTGTAGTAAGTCTTTTCCTCGCTCGGCAAAATCTCGCCATCCTCGACGTCGTGGGTGTTAGCGGTCGCGCCGACAGACTTGACGTCCTTTAGTTCCATGGCGCTCTGGTCTTTTGGCGTTGGATCTGTTGCCGTTTCCACGGCCGAAGGCCTGATTTCTTCAACGGCTGCCATCGCATTGGTTGGTCATTGATTTATGACAGAATGATGAGAAGCGAGAAGCAAAGAAGCATTCTATCGATCTAAGGTTACATAACTTATATTAATGTAGGTAGTAGATATAATAATATCTCGTCGGAGCCGAATATATTCTTATCATGACCGCGGCCCAGCGTACGACTAAGTTGGGATGCCCCGGTGATCTTATCAACAGCTCCATACGGCAACGGACGGAAACAGGATGAAGCACCGGGGCCTTACGCTTTTCGGAAAATGTAACAGTGCTTGGACGGGGATGGATTCATGACGGCGCGGTTTTATACCTGTAATCGGAACATCTAGGGCCGACTGCTGGATATTCCTTGATATGCTAGTAGGGGTTTCTAGGCTTGATTGGGGATTGATTGGGGATTGATAGGGCATTCTAGGTACCTAAGTTAGAACATTGGAGATATATGAAAGTGGGTGGGGCGATGGCCGGGGTACAGTCGGCGCTATAGATTAGGGGTTGTGGTTGGGAATGCGGAGACGAGATTGATACTTTTTGGGGTAAAGTGATTTTGATGTTTTTCAATGTTCTTTTTAGTTCTTTTTCTACTTCAAAGTTAGTTACATGTACAACTGTGAATGTTATACTTGTAAGTTACAACTTTCAAAAAGTTACAACTTTGAAAGTTGTAACAGTCTGCACTCAAACACCAAAATCTGCACCATGGAGATAATCGAGAAAGGAAAGGCTAATCATGAGCCTCAAAACTCAACAACGCCACCACCAACAACACCAACAGCACCAACACCAACTCGTCGGAGGTGCCGACGTCGGTTTCGTTTACCCTTGATTTTCTTACTATTGCTCAGCGTCACTGCTTGGTTTCATCTGCCGCACTTCCAATGTCGCCACAGTTCTGATGCGCACTCTGTACAAAAATGTGCCATCGAAAATCTTCATGCAGACCTTTCATTCCTTGATTCAGCCAAACCTATTGAGGCAGATGAGTTTCTTACGCGGCGGGACCGCTTAGCTCAAGCACTCGCCAAGTCTGGCGTTGATGCTTTCGTGATCGAACCGGGTTACACATTTCAGTGAGCAGTTTATGCACCATTATTCCAGCAACCGTGGGTTAAGTTGATGGACCATGACTAATTAGTTCTTCAGGTACTATGGCAATATCTCCCAAGTAGATTGGGAGCCATGGGAGCCAGAAGAGCGCCCTTTTCTTATGTTGATTCTACCTCAAGTAGAGACATCTGGAGAGGTCACTGCTAAGACAGCGTTCCTATCACCCCATTTTGAGGAAGGCCGTGTGCGTATGCTAGGTATTCCATCTAGAGAAAAGGATCTCGACATCGTGATTTGGGAGGAGCACTGGAACCCATACGAAACCCTCATGGACTCGCGTTTGTTTGGAAAAAAGGATGGACCTGTACCAAAGCTTATGGTGGATGAAGAGATGCGCGACTATATTGTCCGGGGGCTTGACTCCGCTGGCTTCCAGACGGTTGGACTCAATGCCGATGTCGAACTTGTACGACAGCAGAAGAGCCCTGCAGAGGTCGAACTGCTTCGCGCTGTAAATACTGGCACCGTCGTAGCGGTAAGGGCAATGCGACCATGCCTGGTGCCTGGCCTGACGGAGAATGATGTCACCACCATACTGAACAACGCACTTTTATCCATTGGATTTGATCTTTTCTTCAATATCGTCTTGTTCGAAGAACACGGGGCTTTACCCCACGGTGGGTTCGTCACAGGCTGGAAAAAGGTAACTCACGATAGCATGATTGTTATCGATGTAGGAGCCCATTATCTTGGTTACAGTTCCGATATATGCAGGAGCTTTTTCATTGATCCACCGAAAAGCGCGAAACGTACGATCTGGAAAACCTTGGCAAATCTTGTTGGAATTGGAAGACCCTTGACGCAAGAGGGAGAGGAATCCACCACGCGAGATGCGGGTCTCCATGCTGAAAAGCTAAAGGTCTGGGACATAGTGCTGGAAGCACAGACCGCGGCGGCAGCGGCTTTCAAGCCTAACAAGACGGCCGCGGGCGTTGATATTGCTGCTCGAAAAGTAATCTCAGATGCAGGATATGGGGATGCCTTCACCCACCGTTTGGGACACGGCATTGGAATTAAAGGTTAGCTTAACTGCGAAAAACTCCATTTTCCTCCTGACACCGTTTGGGACGATGCTAACCGCTGTAATAGCACACGAATCCCCGTACTTGAACAAGTGGAACACCGGAATCCTCCTTCAGCCTGGCATGACATTTACCAATGAGCCTGGTATCTATCTCGAGGGAAGATTTGGTGTTAGACATGAAGATATCTATCTCGTGAAGGAGGATGGCGAAGCAGAATTGCTCACAGGACAGAGAGCGAGGGGTCCCTTTGAGCCTTAGAGATACATACGGTTCTTTTTGGTTCTATGCGACAGACAATGCGTCTCACTACCTCGGGAACTTTTGCTGCTCAAATTTGCCATTCCTTGGACACGCTCGCTCGCGTGCACAGGCATCTATGTACTTTATGTAAATCATTGTTCCTCTGCTGAATACCTAGCCATGAAATAGTTAACTTGGATAGCCTATTAACTCCATACCACCTGAAAAACATGCTAGTGTAGCACTGGTCATTTCTGTATCCGTTCTAGTATTCTTTGTATCCATGGGTTGAAGATTAATATTCGAGTATTCTAGGAGCGCCTTCTAGCAACTCGAATTACTGGTACTAACAATATCAGATACCTGATGTGGACTAAGATTCAGCCGCGCATCTGTAAGTTTACTACCTAGTAGCGGGGAGTGTTCATCTAAGGTAGGTACTGCATGTGCACGTTTTCCAACCAGTAGCATACCCACCCACATAGTCTGCATGTCAACTGCCATTTGCCCTTGGAATGTTAGTGCGATGTCTATCGATGAAGTGTCGTGCGGCTGTTATGCCAAAAATACATGCCTAGAACGATCCATAGCCAGCTAGGCTAGGCGAGTCTGGGATAGGGGAATACCCTCGGGAACTAGGCTGTGATAAGGCTAGTGGAAGCGGAACGTCCGACATCATGAGTGCCTACAGGCCGTAAAGGGTGGTCTATATGAGATGAGGTTCTTCCTCTGCCGAATCTTACACAAATAGTCATCCCCGTGCGACGTCCGTATCTTCCAAGCTCTAACACTGACCTTGAAGCATGAATCGAGGATCGTCATCATTGTCGTCGTCGCGCGCCCAAATTCGAATGGGCAAGGGGCTCTTTGGAAGGACATGGTAGTTTTGTTGGTACATGTAAGCCATAGGTTACAATTTGTTTTGGAAAAAATGATGAATGCTCTGGCAACCTTCGGTTCAATAATAAAATAGGAGATATCGCGGAGGTGAGCTTCTTAAGTAGACGAGAGAGGACCTAGACAGAATGGTACCTTTACCTGTTAATCGAATCCTTTTTTGGAGGGGCGGGGAGGAGGCATAGCTGGAAGAATATGCTAGGGTACCAAAATATGAATGGCTCTTTAGTAATAGGGATAACAGGCCTTTTATCTTGCGATATGTAATCTACGTAGTTCAAAGTTGAAATATCATGAATGAAATGCGTCGTAAACCATTTTTCATATTTTCGATTCGAGTCTTGCGTAGTCGACTTTTTTTTTTCAAGGGGTTGTGCGGTTGAGTCAATTATGGTGGGAATTATGGTGGGGTAAAAGATTTTTAAAAGGGGGGAGCAAGACACAGTGCTAGCATGGCTTTATACGGAGAGACATGAGTGCACTTACATTTCGATACATCCAGTTTCCTGCCTACTCCCAGGACCTCTGTAGACATGTATTGTCATTCTATGGAGGATGTATATGAAGGGAATTTTGTTACGAGGCTTATAATACACCTACCTTAGGTGCCTAGTAGAATATATGTAGTTGAGGAATTGGAAATGATTAGTACTATGGTGGTGATTCTGCACACCCTACTTATAGCACTTCTTCACTTGAAATCCCTCCCTGTATCATAATACATATATGCCTTAAAAATATCGACCTACCAATGCACCTATCTAAACATCCAGTATATGACTGCCAGGTGATTATCTACTGCTCGGATGACCATGCATGACTGTCAGCTGGCGGGATCACTGTAGACTGCCCAGTGTGTACTTTACCAGGTACCCTAGGTATGCAACCGTCCGATGTCTATAGTTAGCGCCTCCCCTGAACCAATGCACTTTCCCATCTTTTCAATATCTGTAATCTATATAGGGCTTAGCGTTCTAGTGACGTCTGTCAGAGCCCACTTAGATCTGTTAGCGCGACTTCCCCCATACCTAGGTACCTGCTCTCTTTTCCTATTCGAGCTTAGAGTATCATTGTAGATCTGCCAATCCGGGGAACACTTTCCTCGACATCAGCTGGCGATGCCTCGAAATGAATAATTTGAAGGCAGTAACGAGCCGTCCTCGAACCTTGTGGCCTGTATGTAGAGTAGCTTGTAACAAAATGTAGCAAAATGTAGCAAAATGTAGCGCTATCAAACCAATTGTGCCTGCCTTTTCTTATCCTTTTTAAATTGCATTTACAATTCTCCCTCTTTCCACATAACCCTGTTCCATCATCCGATATCCTTTCATGTCACTTATTTCAATCCCACCCCTTCACCTTAACAATCACCTTCACCTTCACCTTCTTCTACCGGATACACCACCCGCTACCAAACTTATAACAAATCAGATGGATAAGTAAAACTTCCAATCACCCCATCTCTCAAGTTTCTGGAGCACTTCTGGGCCCAACGCCTTCTTCCGCCTTCGACGGAAAGAATAAAGAATCCACAACGCCAACCTAGCCCATAGCGTAAGGTACGTTGCAATTCATTATCACCATGTTGGTTTCCAACGTTCCAGTTTCAAATATTATATCAATGGCTTCTCATCGTTGAAAATTTCAAGTCTCATTAGCAGCAGTAATGTCATTGTCGTCACCATCCCCCCCTGGTATCCTCTCCGGAACACCTTTCAGTACATATTCACTACTCCTTACTCTTGGCATAACAATACTGCCAAATTGTTTTTCCTTCTCTCCTACTTCGAACTATTTCTTTCTTGGAACCATGCTTTCTATCATTGGTCGCCATGGAATTTCCACCAGACATTCGCCTCATCCATACCCTCAATCAACTTCACAAACCCACGAAGCCAAACTATGCATCATGTTGTTCTGTACTCTCTGGGACCCTCTCTGAATGAATTGGAGTTGGTATATATGAGAAACCCCTGACATCCTTGACTTGGCTGCTGATGCTAGTCTCCTCTTCTTCCTCTTTTCAAAATTTCTTTCCCGAAGCCGAGCCTATGCGGATGTTGTATCGTTATTTCTAATCGGCCGGTGATCTCTAACCCGAAGTTTCACAGGTACCCAGGAACTGTCAAATCTGGACTCGCCAGCATCTATCCAACAGCCAAGTCTTCGATATTCCAGCCAGAGATCGCAATTTCATAGCCATGATCCCAGAGACAAGGCACTGATTTTTGAATATCGCATAACGGTAAAGGGATTTATCACGGCCCAAAACGTGCAGCCCTGAGTGATATTCATAGGTACGGACATAGGCAACTGCTCATATGAGTTTATACTAATTTTATCTTTGTATACAGTCGCCTTTCCAATCGGATTTGCCCATATTCAAGAAAAGGGTCACCTTACCTTACGAATTCCGACTTCCGTGATAATAGACTTCCTGGAGATTACGCTCAAGGACTTGTACAGCTTCCGGTAACGACTTGAGCCATTATTACCAGAATCTGAACTAGTTGTCATTGGCCCTAGGCAGTTGAAGGTTGCCATCGAAGGTATCTCGGGATCCCCATTTTGTAAAGTCTTCTCTTTCCATCCGAAAATGCAAACAGAGTTCATTGATCCTCGTTTGTTTATACCATCACTATCATGCCATCATCAAGACTCGGAAGAAGAGAATCTTCTGTTGCTCAGGATATGATTTCCTCTATCCAACATTTGTTTTGGCTACTGGAGTGGAATATCGCAAACAAGCCCAGCTTTCGTATCCAATCTTCGTCCTCGATTATACATCCGATTTACTAACAATATTCCTCACAGAAATGGCGAACTATTCGCAGATGGCTCCGGCCCATATTCACGGAAGCCATGATATGAATGTTCACAGCACTCAAGTGATAGACAATTCTCTCTCTTTGACACGCTCAACAGACCCATCACAGATCCCTCTCGTCTGTTTTGCGTGTACGGATGAACCACGCTTCTCAGACCTCTCCCACCTCCTTACCCATGTGGGCTCAAAGAGTCACTTATCGCAAGTCTTTGAGCTACGTATCGCGGGTATGACCGACGAAGAAAGCGCTCAACGGTCTCGTAAGTTCGAATTGTGGAATTCCACTTACCACATCGATCGACTAGTATGGCAACGTAGAGAGGCAAGAGGCGAGAAAGGTGATCGATCTCGACGACGTAGCCAACCCGCAAGAGAGACACCCATCGGTCGAGTCACATCTCGTGGTAATCGTGGTGGCCGTGGTAGTCGTGGCGGCCGTAGCGGCACTGTGAGTTATTCCCACCACACAATTAGATATCAATTTAATTGTATTTCACAGAGCACTCGCAGTCGCGCCCGCAGAACCAACCAAGTTGAACAATCCAAGTTCGAACCGGAGGAAACCATGAATTTCGGAATTGGTTACAATGATGGTTCCCCAATTCATTCTTGGGCTAACTCATTTAGCACACTAATGCCTCACAGCGCCCATCTTCAAGGTATGGTACCCCAATCAGACTTTGAGCAGCCGGGAGACGAACCTGGTTCTCCCAAATACTCATCATCAGAGACCGGAAGCTCTTTCCCGTCTAATATGACGGAGTCCACCGAGATCAACGAGGACACAGCCGTGCCGGCTCTAAAAGGCACACGCTTTCCTGGAATGGGCCTTTTTGATGCTGCCGAAGAGGCACAACGACGCAAGAGAAACCAGAAGAAAGACCCCGCGGTTCTCCAGAAACTCGAAGTTAATTCTGCAATGATAACCACCCAAGAGGAAGTATACAACTTCGACTTTGAACTTCTGCGAACTAGAGACGTCTATGACGATGCATCCACTGATGGAAGCGATGTAAGTAAATAAGAGGAGGAGCTGGTTGAGGATAGGCTTACTCACCATGATGTAGGATGAAGAGGAGGAACAGGAAAAAGACAAGAAACGCAAGCGTCGAGCATCTCAGGGACCCAATTCATCAAACACCCGGAAGAACAGTACCACGCGTGTCATCAGAACAGCGGCCCAGGATGAGCCAGCATCTTCGCAAATTTCCAGAGAGGCCTTTGAAACCAGAAGCCGAGCCTTGAATGATCAAGGTAGAGACAATCGACCAACCATCATCCAAGGTTCAATGTCACAGGCGCAGCTACCTCTTCATAACCACGGGTTTGGTGGGAATACTGGCCTGTTCCATGACAGCATGGGCACAGATAATGAACCAGGTTGGCAATTGCCCCGACTCTTTACCGGAAACATTCCGGTTGATAATGAACAACAGATGCTGCCCTCAGTCCTCGCGGAAGACGAAGACGGCAGTGAGTCATGGGACCTGTATTCTGGATGGAAGTATAATCTTACGTTCGATGACAGACACGATCGTTTACCTGCCCTCGCCCTGAGGCCCGGCAACCCAAACCTCTCTTTTGCGTCGCCGAGCCCCGGTATCAAACGATCCCCGTCACAGTTCGGTGGGAAGGAGAACGACAATATGTCCCTCAAACCGACAACCTCGTCGTCCAATCCATATCTAAATTCGACCGAGACTCTTCATAGTGAGAACTATAACCCTCTCTATGTCCAGCCTCGAGACGACCTTGGCCTTCGCTTGTACACCTCATATAATGAGGGTATGAAGCCAACCGCGGCCGGCTTTCAGCCGATCAATAGCCACGATGTATTCAACTCGTTGCAGCTGCCTCACCAAAATGCTAACTTCCCATCAAACCATGCCAATGACAACGACTTTTGATGTTGAAACAGCTAATGTTCAATTCCATTGAATGCATAAATAAATAGGACCGGGAAGTGCGCGATTACATCTCTGCCCAGAATACGACGTATTATACCACGAATACTTGGTCGGACGCCGTCTTATACGAGGTCGTACCCTTTGCACTCGGAAGAGAATTTTCGAATTCCTCACAAGAACAGTTCAGCAAATGATGTTTTGCGGACTTTTCCTTCAATTTCTTATACACACTCCGCCATCTGTTTCACCCAATTTGCGGGGTTCACTATTATCGTGAGTGGTTGACAGAAGGGTTGAGACTCTTCTCTGCGATTCATGATCAACTTTCATTTACGTCCACCACAACCACCGATGGTCTCCTTTGAGCACCAATAACTTACCGGGACCATCATACCATTTACATATCATGGGTTTTTCGACATGCTTTCGTCGACGGGGTACATTTGAAGAAAGCGATTACTTACGCTATAGGCTTAAATATTTATATCCGGGTTTCTCGACTTGTGCTGGTACAGGTCATAAAATTAGCTTCTTGGCTGGGTTTGATACGATGCAAAGTACTCTGGCAATGCTTGAGGAGTAGCGGTCATATCAGGTTCAGGGTCTGGGACGTTTTTATTGGGAGTTGATGACAAAATCAACATGGGCTATATATCAGTTCTTAGCTATTACTAAGCCAATACGGCGTTCATGCGTTCTACTTATTACGCAAATTGCAGCACATTCCGTCAATAAATTCAGTGTCTCCTTTAAAGTGAATACCTAGTACGTATAGTAAAAAAACCCATTACATATATAATAGCCCTACAGCTGCTCAATACTTGATACAAGGTGATCTAATTGATCAGGTCCATTTTGTAATACATCGGCAAGAAGCCTTGTGGCCCCATTCAGTCTCCGTATTTTGATCTCCTCCTCAAGTTCCCTGGACTTCTTTGCCGCCACCTCTAGCACTTTTCGCGGAACACGAGCTAGTCTCGCGACATTTAAGCCATAGGACCTGTGGGCCACACCCTCGCCAACCTCATACAAGAAGGTGATGTCCTGGTCCTGATCGTCGTCGTCGTCGTCGTCGTCGTCGTCCCCGTCACCATCACCATCGCCTTTGCCGGCGTGATCAACGCGCATATTTTTATCGGCATCGCTGTTTCCCCCGTCTCCTCGCTTGGTGGCGGTGAACCGCATGTGCACGTTCTTGCAGCGGCCGGCGAGGCCGTCGGCGACGCGGGCGAGGTTCTGGTAGTGGGTGATGAAGAGGGTGAGGCACTTGGTGTGCTGGACGACGTGCTGGAGGACGGCGCTGGCGATGGCGGCGCCGTCGTGGGTGCTGGTGCCGCGGCCGAGCTCGTCGAGGACGACGAGGGAGCGGGGGGTGGCGGAGCGGAGGATGCGGGACGTCTCGGAGACCTCGACCATGAAGGTGGACTCGCCGGCGAAGAGGTTGTCGCGGGCGCCCATGCGGGTGTGGATGGCGTCGGCGAGGGTGAGGGAGAGGGAGGTGGCGGGGACGAAGGAGCCGACTTGCGCGAGGAGGACGAGGAGGGCGACGGCGCGGACGAAGGAGGACTTGCCGCCCATGTTGGGGCCGGTGATGAGGTGGGCGAGGGGGGTGGGGGAGGTGAGGGTCGTGCTGAAGGGGATGTAGGAGGTCGCGAGGGTCTGCTCGGCGATGGGGTGGCGGCCCTCGGTGACGGAGATGGTGGGCGGGGCGTCGGATGGGAGGAAGGTGGGCTTGGAGTAACCGGGGAGCGCGGCGATTTTGGAGAGGGAGAGGAGGCAGTCTAAGGTGGCGAGGGAGGAGACGGCGTCGCGCAGGGGCTGGTAGTCTGCGGCAATGTCATGGAGGAGGGACGCGAATGCGGCGTCGCAGGCAGCGGAGAGGGCTTCCTTGTGCTGGTCGCGCTCGGAGATGAGGCGGACGACCTCGGGGGTGTGGAAGCGCGAGAGCTTTTTGGTGCCGCTTATCTTGATCCAGGAGGCAGGGACACGGCGCAGGTCGGCATTGGGTACCTCGACGAGGTACTCGATTCCGGCGACGGTGGCATAGGGGATGGGAGACTTCTTGCCGAGAGTCGCCGCAGCATCCTTGCGGTGGGCGTCGAGCTCTTGCTCCACGAACGCAATGCCCAGCTTGTGCTCTGTGATAGCCTCCGTCTCTTCGGTCTCCCGGAAGAAAGAATACTTGTCATCCTTGCGTGCTGCATCGGCGTTGATGCGGTCGAGATATGATAATACAGTGGGTAGTACAAGGGGTAACGAGGAGATAGCAGTGCTAATGGCTGCGGATTTGAAGCCCGTGTCCGTCGTTGATTTCACGCGTCCAAATTCCATGGTAATCCTTTGCATGGTCTGAAGAACAGCCAGGAGCTCCGGACGTGTGCACTTCCCGTAATATATACGGATCAGACTTCTCTCGAGGTCCGTCTTGATGGTTTTTAGTAAGTGCTCGATTTGGTCAACTTTGGCGGTCGAAGCATTCTCAAGTAACTCTTCGACGGCGGCCACCCGCTCCTCCAGACGATCCTTGTCTAATAGGGGGCGGCCGATCCACTTACGCAGCAGTCTCTGACCGAAACGAGTAAGCGTCTTATCAAGGGCCCAGAAGAGACTGCCCTTCTCGCTATGATCGGTTGAATTTCGATATACTTCCAAACTCTCCAGAGTTGTGCCATTGATCAACATATGTTGACGAGCACTAAAAGACTGGAAATACTTGGTCAAGTCGAATATATGTTCGAGGCCGTACTCTGTTAGGTGATTTATCATAGAAGACAGGCATATCGTAACCGGTTCCGGCAACTTTAGAACCTTGTCTAACAGAGAACTGGCTTGTTCATTGTTACCATCAGATGCCTCTTTCAATTTGGCAGAATAAAATTGAGCAACGTGCGAGTAAGCCTCAGCGACAACAGTTTTGGATTTTGGAATCCTCTCTACTCTGCTTCTGTCTCCGAATACATTGGTAGAGCTGCCAGACAGATGTTGGATGAGCTTGTCCGTAGTTTTGGATAAGTCGCCGACGATCAAAAACTCGCAAGGCGAGATGTGTAGCAACCTGGTCTCGATTTCATTTCTCATGAAACTGTCCTCGAAGCTGTCGTATATAATATCGCCCGTGGCAGGCTGGACCGCGATAATGCCAACATCGACTTTCTCGTCGGTGCCCCAGCCTTTGGCGTTTGTCTCTGTAATACAAAGCAGGTATCCACCCGAGGGAGCACCCGAGCTACCCCCTTGGTCTAGCTCCCCAATCTCGTCGACATAGGTGCCTTTTGTGTAGACGTTTGTGAGTTTCCTCGTAAAAGGAGCGTTGCGGTTGTCCCCGACCTTCTTCAATGCTGCCGTCTCGACTTGACGAACAACCCCAACCTTATGGCCGGCCGCTACTAGCCGCTTGGCATGTACGGGTAGTCGGTGCACGGGGATACTGGCAGAGGCGAACCTGTCGAGATGGGCTTCGGACGGGTGCTCATCATACCTAAACTTGCCGGGGATGCAAACTATGCTAAGCTCCTTGGCAGCGACACGGGCATCCTCACCAAAGAATTTGAACTTGTAGCCGACTTCGACAATCAACACCGTATCCATGTGCTTTCTCTTGATGTCCAAGTACTGAATCTCCATTGGTGTAAGCTTTCCCGTCTTGGAACCCCTCTTTTTGCCCTTTGTGGATTGGGGTGGTGGTTCTTCCTCTTCGCCGTCTTCTGCATCCTCTTCTGCAGCATGAGCATCATCATCTACGCGCCCGGCTCGATTTCTAAGCATGCTATCCGGCCGGCCTAGCTTTTGTACAAACTTGCGATGCAGCTCTTGCCTCTTGCGCTTCTGGATAGCATCTTCGTCATCTTCGTCCCCGCCTTCAGGTGCATTTTCGCGGGAAGCTGACCCGTTATAGAGGTAGCGTTCCGTGCGTGTACCCGGTCTTTTCAGGGCCAAGGTGGGAGAGCTATGATGTGGACTTTCCAAATCATCATCATCCTCGTCCTTATTCTCTACACCAAGCGCCTTTGATCTTTTCTTCAGTGGTGGTGTATGATTTCCATTGTCTATATCTTCTTCCAACGGTCGCTTTCGTAAGCTTTCGAGGGTTTTGTTGGGTATTTCGGGTTCTTCAGCGTGGGATTGGGATTTCTGGAGAGAGGAAACTAGGCCATTAACGGTCTTTGGGGTGAAGAAGCTGGTGAGGGATTGTTGCTTCTTCCCTTTTGGTGGATCGGGCATCTTGAGAAGATTTTTGTATAGATTTTTGTATAGTTTGCTCGCTAAGCGAGTAGTCGAAATTTTTATATCTCTTTCGCAACGTTTTATTGGCAAGTCTCAGTCTTGATGTGATTTAGATAAGTACCTAGGTTACATACATGTAGGAGGGTAGGTATGGTAGGTTAGAATTGAAGTTGAACGCGTCTAATCTAGATTGTTTGACGCGTTAAGTGATCTGAGCACAGGCCACACCCAGCTGCAAGACGGTTACAGGGATTATCCTCCCCTGAATTTATGATGCCTGTACTAGGTACTGAATAAAGCTTTCAATGTTCTTGATTAATAAAATGCCAGTTACTTGCATGTTACTCTCTTTCTCATCGTAATTTCTGCACTGCTTCCATGACTTTATACCAACTTTCATTTAGTTTTAGCATATCAGCAAAATGCTGTGCATCCTTCAAGTGTTGCTCTTTCTCCCGCAACATTTTCGCCAGCCTTAACTCGATATTCTCTCTTCGCAACCTAGCGTTATCTGCCCGTAGCCTTTCCATCTCTTTAAACTGGTCCGCTGACGTAGCCCGCTTGCGAGTCGGCTGCTTGAGCTGGTCTAGCTGGTCTAGCTGGTCTAGCTGGTCTAGCTGGTCTAGCTGGTCTAGCTGGTCTAGCATTGTTCCGACACATTTGACAGTGTGCTTTATCAATTTTTTCACTGTTGGGTATTGTCTGTTGCATAGGAAGCAAGAGCATTCCAGATATGGCTCAGCGATCCGTGGTGAAGGTAGTGTAGAAGGCATAGGCTTGGCGAAGTTCGAACTCGTGAGTGACGGCGTGGACTCGAAAGAGGTGGGTTGGAAAGGCGTGGGTCTGGAAGAAAGGGGTACTTTGTTGGTAGGTTCAACTTCCGGTTGTCGATCTGACTTTGTCATTGGTAAAAGCAGTTGGACTCTCTCGTTCATCTCCTTCATTTGTTTCTCCATGCCTCCGACCCTTTCGGCGAGTGCAAGGGTTGCTTTTTCCTGTGCATCATATAATTTTACCATGTTGGCGGCAAACAAGTCAGTTCGGTCTTGGATACCCTGTGTGATGCTGCTGTAGTCTTTTGGACCTTTGGTTGACACGGCGACGGCGATGGAAGGGGTTATTATACTGTGAGTATGTTATGACCCGCAAGGCTCTTCTGATAGCTGACGAGGATGGATCCCTACATAGGTATGCAGGATTAATTTGTCGGAGTGTTGGCCCTAGGATTGTATATGAGTCCTATATCTACCTAAAGTGCCCATTTACATGCATAGTATGCACTCCAGGGCTTTGTATGGAATCATGTGGTCGACTGTCGTTGCCCCGCACCTCTTCCGATTCTGCAGTGCTCCGTTTCTCTTTTTCTCTTCAGCCAACAAGCATAATCAGATGCATATATGTGCTCTAGGATGAAAGAAATCGTCATCTTTGGGCATATGGTAGGTATGTTGCAAGTATTTCAAAGATCAACTATATTCTATGTGTATTCTATGTATGTATAGCAAAAGTCTATAATTCTTCACTAAACTTGCCCCTTTGTCTAGACATCTATCTGGTACGCTCTCGTCCGGACGACACTATTCAATCACCTTCTAACCCCTCCCTTCTATGTATGTATTCACTCCTCACTTTTCAGTCCCTTATTCCAAAATGACCAACAACCCACTTACAACTCAGCCTTGTTCCCGTTGAAGGCAATCAAATTCGGGCTACCCTTGGGATCCTGGACCGTGTTTGGAGTTCCAAGGCTGAGAATGCGACTGGTCACATTTCCGGCCCCTGATACGAGTTCCCGCGACATCAGATACGTCGCAAGACCAGCAACATGCGGGCTGGCCATGCTGGTCCCGCTCAGGGTTTGGTACGCGGTGTCGCTGTCGTGCCAAGCTGAGTAGATGTTGTTGCCTGGCCCGAAAATGTCCACGCAAGTGCCCCAGTTGGACCAGCTGGGCCGGCTGTCGGACTCGTCTATGGCGGCCACTGTAATCGCCTCGGGGGCTGCAGCCGGGCTGTACGTGCAGGCATCCGCGCCGTAGTTGCTGGCTGCGACCACCACCGTCATGCCTGCTGCCACCGCCTGCTTTACTGCGTCATCCATGGCTTTGAACCTGGGACCACCAATCGACATGTTGATCACGGATTTCCCGATCCTGTTCTGCGTTTGCGCGTCGTTTACCGCTGCCCGAAGCGTGATATGTCAGCATCTAGTCGGGATATAGGTCTACTAGGTATATGTACTTACCCCATTCCATCCCAGCAATCATCCCCGACCAAGATCCAGATGAATTCTCGTCCAGAACCTTTACGGCAATGAGTCTGGTACTGTTGTCAACTCCAACTGTGTTGCCACCAACTGTTGCCGCTGTGTGGGTTCCATGGCCGTTGTCGTCGACATCCTAGGAAGACGGTTAATAGGTTGCCTAGGATCATTTTTATCTGGATAAATTACTAACCTGAGCTCCGTCGATGAAGTTCTGGCCGAATGTTGCACGGCCACCAAATTCCTGCTGCGGATTAGATCCAAGTTTAGATCATCAGGGGGAAATACCATCGTACCTGATGAGTTGTGCGAATGCCGGTATCCAATATATAAGCATGTGTCGAGGCCGCTATCTGGTCAACGTAAACCGAGACTCCGGATTTCCGATGAGAAATGCGACCTAGGCCCCACGTGTTGCCCGCCGAGGCTGCCCTGGGGACTTCGTGGCGGATAGTTGCTTGCGCTGTCACTCGACCGTCTAGGGCAACGTAGTCGACCTTTCCTCCTGTTAGAATACACTAATAAGAGATACATGAGTAGGTAGTATTATGCACTTACGGCAGAACTCTTGCGAATGGTCTCAAGGGTGGCATTATCACACTCGATGTGGTACGCGTTGAACCCGGGGATCTGGTAAGTCCTCACGAGGCCTTTCTTCCCGTAACTGGCTTTCGACGAGTTGGTGTGCACCTTTGTATAGTGCGCTTGGATCGTGCTGGGGTCGGCATCCTTCATAACTACGATGTAGTTATCAGCGATGGCGTGCGGGATGTCTCTGTTCACAAGAGGCGCTCGTGCTAGGGCAAGCGGAGCCAGAGACACTAGGAGCGAGCTGAAGACCTTCATTATGGATTAAGTTTTATAGGAAGGTAATATGAGCGACTGAAATCAAGGAGAATACTGTAAAGTACTAGGTAGCGAGTGTATTTGGCGGATTGTAGCTGGGAAAGCGAAGTGATTGTTCGATGGGTATTCATTTCTGGTTCAACTAAGCTGGATTTGAAGCTATTCTTATACTCGGCTCGAGAGCGGCGATGTTCCCAATGTCTTCAGGTAAGCGACCGATGTCATGGCCAGAAATTCAATATCTTCCTCTACTAAACGACTAATTTTTCTTCGCTCGCCTATTCCATTGGCATCATACGAAAGCATCCCCCCGAGACTCCAATAGCGAGCTCGGCATCACGAACCGAATACTAGGTATCGTGTGTCTTGAAAGCACTCCGAGACTTTTCTATCCACCAGCGGTGACTCCATGGAAGACTATTTTTCTTGGACAGACTCGAAAATGTAACTATTCTGAGAGAGATGCTGGTTACTAGTTACTAACCTAGCAAAACTTTCCTGTATATTTGTGGCATTGTCTCACGGATCTAATCGGAACTATTAAGCATGTGCTTGCGTGACAGTCTCACGACAGCTACTTACCTAACTCTGCTCGGGTCATACGACAATTGGTAGGGCCTCGAGAATGGTAGGTCGATATGGCTTATATATCAACGCTGCTGGTAGAGTTGTCTCAATATTTTATGGGCTACTACGTGCTACTGTCGCCTTATCGATTCGGGAACCGAGGCACTAAGTATTGTGTAGGTAAGTCTATACTATGTCCTCTGATGCGGCGTGGTAAAGGGGAAGACGGGGTTCTATCTTCTGTGTAGGAGACATAGGAACTAACCTGTTGTTCAAGGTTGCTTCCAGGTTTTCAAGAGGAAAGTATAGGTAGGGAGACTTCGGTAGGGCTACCTCTGATCGTCATGTCATTCACGGAATAGCACGTCTAGGCTATTGAATAAACCCTTAGAGTTGGTACGTTAAAGCCTTGCTGCGAGTGTTCCCGTGACTGATCAAGCGCCAAGGGCGAATACTAACTAGGTAGTACGGTACCACATGGAGATATAATTAAGTCGCCGATCACTTTTTTTTCGCCTTCCCGGGAGACCGGGAGCCGCCTTGTCGAGTCCGGTGTACAGGACCCAACCTTACGACGTTGTACTACTTGTATCGGAGACAATTGGGTGCCTTGTGCTTGTGCCTGTGCTAGGTAGTAGTACAAAGAGGCTGAATTAGGTAGGCATTTTCTGATTTCGCAGGAAACTTCTTCAACAGTCTGTAACTAGTTTAACCAAGTTGAGCTTCAGCTGAAGCGAACAGCCTAACCTAGTCAGCTTCCTATCTTGGTCACCATTAGTACAAAGTGGAGTTGCCCCTATATTCTAGGTAATCTTCCGATTCAGATATGTCGTAGCCTCGGATACTTTTCATGTAGGATTTAGCCCTATTTTCCTGGAATACATACGAAAATGTTGTCTGACGTCGCATTGTGAATCCGAGTAGGGCATTATACCCCCGTCGAAGTACCCTGCCATGGACTTTGAGAGCCGCGATGGCATCACTAAATAGCCGATTAGGACTAGGACCTGTTACTTGGCAGTCACGTATGATATCGGCCTCACCGATCTCACCAACGTCACTAAAATCTCCATCGTTGATTTAGTGTTTGTCCTTTGACATGATGAGACTCCCCTTCTTAATGCTGGGGCCCCTTCTCTTGCTGTTGGAAGATACAGTCGAAGTGATTACTCAGCTCGTATTCAAATTCATTCATTAACAACTTCTGTATACCAACTTCCCCATTTATTGTCTCTATACTTAGACTCCAGCTCTCTGAAAAGGCGCAACTGGAACCGTGTGAGATGTTTGAGGTCTTGAGCACTGAGAGCTGACGTGTTAAACTTTTGTAGATCTAGTACCAGCGTCTTGATCGCCCTAGAAACCGCGATGTAGAGAACCGAAAGTGGACGTGGAAGCTATGATGTCGAATTCCGAATCTAGTCGTTCTGAGTTAATTGTTTGAGCCCACCTATGTAGGGTGAACTTTGACTGGCCGTTGACCAAAATTGAAGGAGACACGGGAGGGGGGATGGGTAGGTGGGCAGAGATGGATAGAGACGTAATAGCTCTTGTAGATCAGTTGTATGGCATGTAGTCGGGTCAGCATCAGACTAGATATCTTCATTCTTTATAGTTGGCTTGGAGAGCGCCATCGCGACAATATGTGACAGGCGAGTAAGGTTGGTGCGATATGCAAATATGCAAGGTTCGTGGCTATCATATAGAAAAGGGGGATCGAAGAAGATAGTATGGGATGCCCCCTAACTAATGATACCACAACCTTGGTAGATCAGATAAGACAGCCATGTAAAGCACCCCTATCACGCGATTACCGCCGTACTTATCCCTTAAGTTACTTCAGTGGACTGAACGAGCCCATCACATCTGCAGAGCAGAAGAAGAAACGTTCAAGGACGGTATAATGGCTATGTTTCTCTTGACCATAGATGCTTTTTAGATACATTTCGTGTGCTGTGTCTCGAAAGAAGCCGAAGACCGAACGTGGCAATGGTATCAATCTACGTCTCACAGGATCGGCAAGCCTTCCCAAGGCCCGCTAACCTCATAGCTACGCGACCAGATATAACGAATAGATATAATTTCCAGTGGCTTGTTGATATACCAGGCACACAATCGGGAACCGCATGCCATGAGGCGTATGAATTCACCACTGAAGGAACGACGTTCCCTTACTTATTCATGGAGTATTCGGAAACCGGAAGCGAGAATCAACTTCAAACATCTGGCGCTGCAGCGCTCTCGGCTACGAAAGAAGAAGGGCCATTTGAAACTCCTACATTTATCCTTGGGGCGCCGAGTTATTTTAATTTGGCTATGTATGACGGGGCGATAGGCTTTCTAAATGTCTTGACGAACATACGTTATTGGGGTTTGATCCAACGCAGACGTTTGGTGGAGTTGAAGGCGGAGCTCGTGGCGCGAAAGCATAGGTTAGAAGATGAAGGCAACAATGGATTATGTCAGCAAACTTAGACTATGTAGGCCTGGTGGGTTAGGTGGGTATTAGTGAATTAAAGCTTAACCTAGGTACGAAGGTTGTGGCCAAAAGTTTAGACCAAGATATACCTCCGCCCCACAGTGCGCTACTCTTTTTTGGGCCTCTACCAATAATAGGTATACATTTAACGTCAAATCCCCCACAACCATTAAAAGTATAGCACCTTATAGCACACTTAAGCGCTATAATGTGCTATAAACTTAAAGCCTTCAGTCCTAAACAACCTTAGATTCTTATACAAATATTTACATTAATTTAATGAAGAAACAAAATTACAGAAATTTTTATTATTAAATAAACTAATTAAATAACTTAATAGCGTATTTAATATTTATTAAATAAATTTATAAGGCTTTATAAGTAGGTAAGTATGTTGGCGATGATATTTCTTACAGTGATAGAAAAGTGGAGGAACTGTGGGGCTGAGGTATATCTTGGTCTAAACTTTTGGCCACAACCTTCGTACTACTAGTAGTAGTAGCTTAGCACTCAAATAACCAACGGAATTAAGCTTTTAGGGGGTCCCGTTCCTAAATACTAATCGATCCCGCTGGTACTCGTATGTATGTATGTATGACTAGCATAATCTTACTTGAAAGAAGTGGCAACTGTGATTGCCATTGGAAGTTAAAAGAAGATGGAGAAACAACGATACACGAATATGACGTATGATAGATTGAGCCCAAAAGACCGGTACGCTACCTATGACGTTTACAAAGTATCTTCAATCACATAAGACATATTAACTACTACATATAAGTAGGATCTTAAGATATAAACTCTCACAACTCCCATCAATGATTATTCCTAGTATTTACTTCGTATCCAAATAACCAACACCTATCGAACCAGATACAACCTGTACTAAACGATAATCAATTCCACAATGCCTTCAACCAACTTCAGCTACAGCAGCTCTTCCGTCTCCTTTTCATCTTCTACAGCCCACAACGGCGAGACTACTGGGTCTCGATACACTGAGCATACCGCAAGTAACCCGTCGGGCACGACCACACACACCGCTTCACAGCGATTTGGCGAACCTATTCAGCACGAGCGCCGCGATTATGATGCTTCGGGACGTTTGGTTTCCTCTCAACAGAGGGCTCTGGGCGGTAGCAACATAGACTCCAACCGTCGCATCGAAGATGTGTCGGACGAGCAAAGAGAAAATGATAAGCTGTATGAAGAGCGCATTGAGGATGAGTATGCTAAGAGGGAGGGTGGTGCGTAGGTAAGAAGACGGAAGACCGCTCAGGTGCCTAGGCGGTGTCAAAGCACACCCTAAGTACAATACCTAATTACCTACATATTGACTACACTCAATGATATCAATATACAATACCGAGAGTACCTATTTCTACACCAACTTCAATCACTCAAGACTGTTAACGGCATCTAAACACTTGAATCTCCTAATTAGTAATATATCAGTTCGTTTATTAGGTGCGACGCTTGCTTACTTGTCACATCGCATTGAATTTTTGGCATTGGGATGGCGATGCTTGGTAGCATGTACAGCTAATTCATTGATGCCAAATGTAGAAGTAGTGCTGGGCTATAGTGCCCAATGCGGTATAGGAGTAGGCTATTAGACCACTAAGAAGTCGCTGCGTATGTGGCACATGATGGTTATGCCAAATCCCTGAAACCTAATCCGTACAGGGTATCAAAGAACGTCACTCACTGCTACATGACCCACTATAGCTTTTTACTTGTCGCGCGAACTTCCCGAGCGTCAAAATATTCTTCTTCTATTTGTGTACAAGTACAAAAATCTATCCTTTCCCCCCTGAAATACTGAAATACAATACTTACCTATTTAAAACCTGTCAACCCTAATGTTACCGCCTCGTTACGTTCCTGGCATCGCCACCCATCCCAGAAACCATGCATTCTGGTGATGATGTGCCTCCTTATTGTAAGGGAGAGACGGCCGCTGGCCCTGGGAACAAGGACATTTTCGTTCAGTTGGTCATCTCCCTTGCAATAGGCATCACCGCATTTGTCGCCTTCTGCGTATGTCTTACCATAGTGACTTTCCATATTGATACCCAAGTTAATTGATTTTTTTTTTATCGCACAGATCCTTAGACCGCGATGGAAAACCCTTTATTCCGCCCGAAGGCGACATAAAAATCCCGAGATCGCGCTCCCGACGCTTCCCGATAGTTTCTTCGGATGGATGCCAGCCTTGTATAGGGTGACGGAGGAGCAGGTTCTGGCATCGGCGGGCCTAGATGCCTTCGTGGTATGTAGTATAATAGATAATAAGTTCGAGATGATGATCGCTCATACATTGTCAATAGTTCCTGTCCTTCTTCAAGATGTCGCTTCGATTATTTACTACCATGCTCTTCTTCGCCTTATTCGTCCTTTGGCCTATTCATAGAACTTTTGATGCTGGTGCGCCAGGCGACTCGCCCGGGAACGACACCGTCTATTCGCAATTTACACCGAATTACGAATCCCACATCCTATCAACTTTCGATCATCTTTCAAAAGACAAGGAGCCTGAAGATCAGAGTTTCAGCTACCTACGAGCGTACTTCGTCTTCACGTGGTTCTTCAGTTTTCTAACAATATTTTTCATGGACTCAGAGACTATCAAAGTCATCAAAATAAGACAAGATTATTTGGGAACTCAATCAACTGTAACCGACCGGACCTTCCGACTAACAGGAATCCCCCGAGATATTAGGTCGGAGGAGAAGATCAAAGAGTTTGTGGAGAACTTGGAGATTGGGCATGTACGGAGGGTTACCTTATGTCGAAATTGGGCTGAAATCGATGGCTTGATGGCCGAGCGACAAGTTGTATTACGAAAGCTTGAAGAAGCGTGGAGTGCCTATTTGGCTCAAGTGCCAGTAGGAACAGAGGCGATGCGGTACGATCAACGAGACCGAACGGTGGGCCATATCGACTCAGAGGATCTTGAGAATGAAGATGAACCGCAAGAAGATGGACGTCTTATCGCTGGGGACAGCCTGCGTGATCTCATGGCCGAGAGAGAAAGACCAAAAGTGCGTCTTCGGTTTGGCTTTCTCAGAATGAGAAACCGTAAAACAGATGCCCTTGACTACTACGAAGAGAAGTTGCGTCGTCTAGACGAGAGGATTCGAACTGCCAGGAAAAAGGAGTATACACCTACAGATACGGCATTTGTAACGATGGACTCTATAGCAGCCTGTCAAATGGCTGTTCAAGCAACGATAGATCCCAGGCCAGGACGTCTATTATCAAAGCCAGCACCAGCCCCTTCGGATGTGATCTGGAAAAACACGTACATCCCACGATACAAACGCCAACTGAAATCTTGGTCTGTTACCATCTTTATCACAATTCTGTCTGTTGTCTGGTTCTTCCCAGTGGCAGTGTTGGCACAGCTACTTAGCATTTGTTCGATTGCTAAGGTGGCACCGTCTTTGGCTGATACCCTACAGCGGCACGACATCACGAAAGCCTTTGTGCGGACTGGTCTACCCACTCTCGTGGTTTCGTTGCTTAATGTATTGGTACCGTACCTGTATGATTATCTATCAAACATACAGGGAATGGTTTCACAAGGTGAAGTTGAGCTGTCTGCGATATCGAAGAATTTCTTCTTCATATTCTTCAACATCTTTGTCGTCTATGCAGTCTCAGGTAGTGCAGCCCTGTCAGACTTTTGGGCGATACTTCGAGACTCGTTGAGTGACACGCGGACCATTGCATTGAAGATAGCTGGCTCGATTCAGAGCTTAAACAACTTCTACCTAAACTTCATCATGCTTCAAGGCTTCGGCTTGTTTCCTTTCAAACTTCTACAGTTTGGAAGCATATGGCTTTATGCCATCTATCGTATGGGAGCCAAAACACCAAGGGACTTCGCCGATCTCGTTCAGCCGAGTCTATTCAACTATGGATTCTATCTTCCAAGCGCCTTATTGGTCTTCATTCTATGCTTGGTCTATAGCATACTTCCCGGCGCACATATCGTCCTACTACTCGGTATTTGCTATTTCTCCCTCGGATACTTTGTTTATAAATACCAACTCCTATATTCAATGGACCAGCCACAACACGCCACCGGTGGTGCGTGGCCAATCATTTGTGGGCGGATCATAGTTGGCTTGGTCGCCTTTCAAGTTGTCATGATTGCCTATCTCGTCCTCCAGTCTGCCTTTATAGCTGCGGGGCTTATTGTACCCCTCGTGGTCCTGACTTTCTGGTATAATTATTATTCACGGAATCGATTTACTCCGCTCACCAAGTTTATCGCACTCCGAAGCATCAAACGAGCCTCTGATCCTGGATCGGAAAGCCGCCCCGATCGAGACCCGGAACAAGTGCAACCGGAAACTCGACTGACGAGGCACATGAGTACAATAGACGAGGATAGAGAAAAGGGTATGAGGTTCATAAATCCAAGCCTCATCGCTCCTCTGGAGCAACCTTGGATTTATCAAGATCCGCCACCGCCAGTCGAAGTGTCGCCCACCGAATCTAACACAGGAAGCGTGAGCGGGAACGAGGAAGGCATCGCAAGAATTCCACGAAACTTTAGTACCGGACTAGGTAGCGTTTCTAGTTCCTTTAGTCTCGGAGATACCCATATTTGGCGGGAAAATGGCGACAACAATGTATGATGATGGGCCCAAGGGCGAGAGTAGTAAATTGTTTGTATTCAACGAGTACATGAAATAATGAGATTGAGAGCGTTGCCATGATATCTCCACCCTTTATGAAGTATATTACCTAGGCATAGGTAGGTGCATCGGTATATGTATAGATTTGATTAGGTAGGTACTAAGTAGTCATTACTTTACTATTCTTGAGCCTATGCCCACATTCCGTCAAACATAAAGAGCCAATCATCCCAATACCGGTCATAACGGCCCACAAGCCAGCTCCTCCCATCACCCCTCCCGCCCACCTTCCATGGACGCGTATACAGGCCCTCCTGCCTCAAGTGCCGCTTCAGCGCCACATTGATGCTAAAGCTACTCGGGCTCACGCCCACAAAGTAGTCGCAGCTAAGCAGCACCGCGAAATCCACAAGCGCCTGCTGGTCCCAACTCAGCGCCTCCAGCCTTCCTAGCCTCTCCGCGTCCCCCGCCAGCAGCCCGTGCTTCGACCGCACGTCCAGCTGCAGCGCCGCCATCGCATCTTTCTGGAACCTCTCCGTTTCTGCCGAGGACCCGGATGCTAGGTACGCTACCCGCCCCTCGTACCCTTGGCTCGCGGCCTCGCGCAGGTATGCTTTGGTTTGGTTCTCGTAGGACGGCCACGCCGACAGCGCGTCTGCCTCCGTGCGCAGGTGCACGCCGAGGAAGGCCTGGCCCGCGACTGCCTCGTTCGCTGGCGTCGAGGCCGCGAGGTTCCGCATCGACGCCACTACGGCGTCAGCTAGCTCGAGGATGTCCGGCCGGATTTTCAGGAGCCCCCCGAACGTGGCTGCGAGCTCGGGACCGTCGCGGTACACGGGCCAGTCCCAGAGCACGCCCCAGCTCAGCCGGATCAGCCGCGGGGTGTTGTCGGCCCACCCCCGCTCCGCGGCGGATGCGTGCAGCCACGACCGGAAGGCGGCGCCGAAGCGGTCGGTATGGCGGTTCGGGTCCCGCGCGTCGCAGCCGGTGCGGCTGCCGCCGAAGTGCTTCGGGGTTATGCGCTCGATTGTGCGCTCGATGCTGCCGCCGCTGCGCTCCCGCGCCCGCGAAACCACCCCCGGCACATCCTCCACCCTTGCATACACCCGCATCCCCGGACACGCCGTCCCCAGCGCCTCGCGAAAGTGCGCCGCGTCGAACATGTAGTCCAGGCCCTGGTGCTCGGCGAACAGGTTCGCGGGGTCGGATGGGGAGCGAGTGCGGATTCGGGGGACGACGAGGGAGCGGGCGCCGGAGGCGAGGGCGTATCGGATGCAGGTGAGGATGTAGTTCCGGATGTTGCCGGGGCCGCCGCTGTTGTTGTCGCAGAGGAAGGTTAGGTGGGGGAGGGGGGAGGTGAGTTCGGCGCAGAGGTGGGAGAGGGGGTGTGGGATGAAGGGGGCGTGGGGGGTGGAGAGGTCGATGGAGTTGGGGCTGGTGGGCTGGTGTAGGAGTTGTTGTTGCTCTTGTTGTTGTTGGTAGTGTAGTGGTTCCGCTGCGGCTGGTACCCCGGAGGAGGAGAGTGGTGGAGTAAAGGATAGTGGGGTTCCCCGGTCAGGGCTTGGCAGGATTCGGCGGTCCCATAGAAGGAGTAGTAGTATGGTGGTTGAGCAGGCGAGCAGCGACACGGCTGCGTGTCGGCGAGTGTTTGAGATCCTAGGCTGAGGGATGGTCATTGTTATTCATAAGGTAGGCATTATATTATTGTCCTAGTCTAGGTACATGTCTCTTGCGACTCGTTTTCGCACTATAGATGACAGCTCCTGAAATTAAACACGGGCGGATGTCGCGATGCTCAACAGCACCTATTCTTTATTCGTCTCTTCTTGATTTTTTTACTTTTAGTAGAGGAAAGGAGAAGCATAGCTACTTATTAGAGCTCAAGCTAGGAGTAAATGTATCCCCGCCTGCGAATGGAGGATGGTGCCCATACCAATTTGGGGATCTGCGGAGTACTGATACCGAACGTGTGGGAGTGCCGCGCCCTCAGCAGTGAGGAGAAGTTGCATCGATTGCGACGACGCCAGACTAAATAGGCAACTTCTCGTCTTACAATGGCTTGCTTTTCTTTTCTTGGTTGCGCAGGTGTAGATGGGTAATGGTGGGAAGGCAAAATTCCCATTACTTCCTATTTGTCTGTCCTATACCGGGATTCTTGGTATCTGCTTGTCTCTCTCTCTGCCTGCCTGAAAGTTCTCTTTAAGGAAGTAGGGGTAGTTAGGTAGTCATTCCTCCTTAGGAAGGCTTCGCTACGGAAACACTACCAAACTTGGCACCGGCATCGCGGGCTATCACACCTGTTGCGCCTCCAGCAAACGAGTCGTCCGTATAAACGATCTTGGAGCTCGTCAAATCGTTCACAAAAACATTAATTTCGGTGCCAATGGCCGTTATTCTGACAGAATACTCTGTCGCAGTGGTGGCATATCCAGATGTGCCGACTTCACTTAATGAGGTCAAAGTACCCGCGTTAGCTTTAATAAGAGAAATGGTACCGGTTGACGAGATGCCCGCGTAGTACCCATTGAATCCATCAATACTCAAATTCGTAGCGCGGAACAAGAGTCCGGCATCGCCGCTGCCATCTGTAACAGCGACTGTGGCATCGAAGACAAGATCGGTGAAATTGTTATCGAGCAAAGCTCTACCCTCGGCCGTGTTCGCGACTGTAAGTCGTTGATCTACCACCGACCAATTCCCACCGTACGTCTTCCAATTGAACATCTGGCCATCGGCGAAATTGTCCTTGACGAGCATTTTAATGGGCTCGATGGTCCCATCTTCGTTAAAGTACATGCGGTCGTACGCTAGAACGCGATGGTTACCATCTGTTTCGCTGAGCGGTCGTCGGTGGTATACGATGTAGTATATATCAGTGTCCGGAACGTGAATCACACCGTTATGGCCACTGCTCCTGGCCACCTCGCTATCCTGCTGCAGGATCTTGGCGAGCCGGTTGAACGGGCCTAGCGGCGAGTCGGACATCGCATATGAGACTGAGTAATCCGGACCCGTCCAGCCTCCTTCCGACCACATAAAGTAGTAGATGCCGTTGCGCTTCATCATCTGCGACCCTTCGACGTAGTTCTCGGGAGTGATTTCTTTGAACTGCGTGCCGTCGTCAAAGGTGCCAATGGAGATCATGTCTTCGTTTAGCTTTGCCACATTGGCGTGCGAATGCCCCCCGTAGTAGATGTAGGCCTGCCCATCAACATCGTCGATAAAGACGTCTTGGTCGATTGGCTGTGCACCATTGTGGTAGTCCCCGATCAGTGGCTTGCCGATCGCGTCGACGTATGGACCCTCCGGCTTATCTGCAATTCCCACTCCAATGCCGCCCACTTTCCCCTCCGCGGCTTCGTCTTCTTGGATGTCGTTGGCGCCAAAATATATGTAGTACTTGCCGTTGCGAGATATTGGCGCTGGAGCCCACACGGCCTTGGTGGCCCAGGTCACGTTGGCTATGGTCAGAATGTTGGGGTGCTTGGTCCAGTTGATTAAATCCGGGCTTGAGAATGCATCGAGATATGTCTGCTCCTCGTAGGCGTACGAGGCGGTTGGGTACACCCAATACAGACCATCGTATATTTCCGTGTCCGGGTCGGCGTACCAGCCATCCACGAAAGGGTTCCCTGCCTCCGATGTGCTGTAGTCCGGCGTCGCTTGCTTCGCCGTGGGTAATGCCTTTACGATTTTATTTGACATTGCGAACCCCGCGAGAAGATAGATGATGGAAGTTTTGACACGAGTGTCGGGCCAAAACCCCGCCAATTGCCGAAAGACTGCGGGTAAGTTAAGGGATGAACGGAGTAATGCCATTCGCAGCAATTTCAAGCCGGATGGATATAAGCGGGTTTGTGATGCGGGGAGATCTGTTCGTGAATGCACATGTAGATCTATGCACTAACTAGGTGCATAAATATGTCTACTACTAGCAGTACCTACAGTACCTAATACTATTAGATAGACAAGTTCTATAAAGCATCTTTAATATTTTAATTGCAGGTGAACATGAGTAAATCTGAAAAACTTCAAGGTTGGAATGTGGCTTGGTAGGTATACATATTTCTACTGGTAACCCTTAACATACTTCATTCAGATCCCTTACCTACTGATACAGGTCTTGGGTGTGACCTGCTAGGTTAGGCACATCATGATAAGACATTCAGATACCATGGCAATCATACTCTATGCCATTACCGATTATGGGAAACTAGGTAGGATGATATGGTGTGTAGGACTGATCAGGACAGCCGTCGCAACACATACATAATAATGTGTATCCAACCTTCCTCATTAAGAGAGCTGGTGTGTTGAGCTGTCACATTCAAGTCACTTGATTGGGTAAGGACGAGGTAGGCTCTCGTGCACACGTAAATTTGAGGCTCGTCGCCATTCCTTCCCTCCCCCTCCCCACCCCTTAGCCTCCCCCATGACGAGAAACATGTGAGGCATTGTACCTTTGTTGACCGTCATATGAATAAAATGGCAGATCACCCACCACTTAGATAGTGGGAGCCCTCATTTCTTAGCACTACTTGGTATAACCGTCTCAATATAGTCCAGTTGCGATTGAAGTGCTTTTCTATGCTCTCGGAGAGCTTCATGATATCGAGGGATCAATTCTCCCGAAGTGCTCGGGGCTTCTGCGAGGTACCGCCTAAGCATTGGTGGGGGGTTTCGTGATTGGGCTCTACATGTATTGTTTAATGAGTTGGTGCCAAGACATGTAACTATAATAGGACAGACAGTAACTTACGCTTTGCCAGTAGTAACTGATGGTGACGGTGATTGAGATACTGAATCCATGACTATTTAAGGTAGTAGAGATCTCACAAACCGAAACGAACAAGGCTTCTTTTGAAGTATGGATTTCAAGGCCACTTGGGCATGTGAGGAATTATCCATCTAGTCATATCTGCCGTGTTTAATTGCTTTATACTTGAAGTTTCTGCACCAACTTGAGCTACTACATTATTTATCGAGGGCATTTCTTCAAATCCCTTCTACGTACATTGCTGTCAAAGCATATCGCGAACGGTTCTGGACGCTTACCAGTTTTGCGCAAACTGCGCAGAACGACGAACTCTATAAATACGCATATAGCTGATTGGTGATAATTTCAATGCAATAACACGCTGGCATGTAGAGACGTCGTAATCATTTTTGAGGCCTCTTACGAAGGGGCCTATATTGGTACCTTCGGGCCATCCTTAGGTACCTAAGTACAGTAGGTAGCTAGGTAGGTAGGCCAGGTATATAGACCCCGCCTGGCCTTGCTTAGCTGTCATGATCATGATGCCCTTCCTATTTCTCCCCTTCACACATTTGTCAGCTCCACGGCTCCCTGTGATTATCAGCTACGCCTTACATACTAGTGATACACACATCAAACAATCTGTAGGTAGATGAGGAATCACCTACGTTCAACCCGCTTCCGCTAACACATAGCAACGGCCTAGTTAATACATAACTCATCGAGAAGCATCAACATTTCTTATCCAATGACAAGTGGATATCATCTCACTCTCTGCTACATTCTGTCGCTCGTGTTATTTTACAGCAGAACGTAGTTTAGCTTTGGGGCTTTGCGGTGGCTATAAACCTCAGTCTGGGACAAGAAAAGAGACTTCAAAATAATTTTTTAATAAGAAATAGTAAAGAAGCAAGTACCAGAGGTAACAATGCCTTCACCCGCCATTCCGGAGGCCCTAGGGCAGCCGCTTCCCAAGCAGGGCCTACCCCTTTACTAGCCTGTCCTTATTTCAAACATAACCCAGCGAAATACGTTGGAACTTCCTGGAGGAATTGCTGTGGGCCTGGCTGGACAACAGTCCATCGTATGAAGTAAGTATTCTACCAAACTCACTATATACTGAAGTCGGGCTCATAAATGATTGCCTGTCTAGGGAACATTTGTATCGAAGACATAGACAACCAAGGCATCGGTGTAAAAGATGCGGCGAGGCCTTTGAAGACGAAATAAGTTTGGAAGAACATGCTAGGGCAGAGGAACCGTGCACACTAAAAGAGATAACACAAATGGATGGCTTCGACTCCAAAAAAGAGATGGAACTCAAATCGCGAAAGAGAAGGGTTACTGAATTATCGGAGGTTGGCAAGTGGAGTTCTGTGTATAGGATTTTGTTTCCTGACGTGCCGCAGACTGACATCCCATCTCCCTGTGCGTACCTAACCTGGTTATAAGAGGGACAAGGTAGCTCGTACATCGGCTCTTATACTGACCAATGCATATAGTTTACGATTACTTCGAGGCTAATTCGGAGGTGCCTTCGGGTAGTCTGAGTGACTACGAAGAATATGCCCACAGAGAAATTGATCGCGGATTACGAGAAACTTTGGAACATGAATTAGAGACCGATCTGCAAATTACAGATGACTTACAGAAAGCAAAAGCAATTCGTTGGTTTAAAAAAATGCAACTTCGGCTACTACATGAGTTCAAATTGTCTCGCGGCTCGGATTCGAACTCCCGAGATACATCGAATAGCCCCCAGGACGTGGAAATGGAATTGTCGCATCCTATATTAGAATCCGACCATGCCTCTACTGCCTCGTTCTTAGAAAGGCCTCTGCATAGTGTCAATGAATACTGGACATTGGCTGATCAAAAACTTTACGGAGAAGAATTTGACTTCAACCTCGACATGTCACCCCAGATACCATGGCTTGGAATGGCTGTTCCATTCACAGATATACGAGACGCGGGGCTATCTGAACCGGAATGTGGGATAATGAGTGCGATGGGAGGTAATACACACCCACAAGGGAGTTAGTAGTGGGGTTAGTAGTGGGGATGGGGGGTTTCACAAGCACTTCTATCGATTACGTGACAAGGAATTGAAGATTCCTGAATGACTGTCAGCGGCTTGTCGAAAGCCAATCTCGTCTATTTCTTATATAGCGTAGCCTATTATCCATATGAGACTATCGCCAACCTCACTGGCGCTCTCTAGTTTCTACGAGTCATGAGGCGGAACCTAGAAGACGCCAAACAACATCGTCACTGCACTGGGATCTCTAACATCATGCCACAGACTACGGAAACTACATATCCATGTAAGCTCTGTTTATTCTACCTAAGCCCCATGTAATGCCCTGGCAGATCCTTGACACTACTCCTCGACTAAAGCTAACGGCAACGCTCTGGGAAAACCCTCTAGTAGATTCGGTTCTTGTGCCATTCGAACAACATGCTAAAGTATTTCTTCAACCGGTGTTGTCTTCTAGTTCTATGATGGCGAATGTGGAGCTGAAAACGTAGAAACCCATAGTACCTAGTCAGTCTGAAAGGTACATAATTTGCATGAAGTAGAGCACACTAAGCTCCATTGCCATTGAGCTATCCTACAACAAACGAAATTGATTTAAATACACCTAGAATTTAATGCATATCCTATTTGTCAAAGACAGAAAGGATGGATGTTGTCAACGGTATGTACGGGAAAGGGGCAGAAAAGGGGTATCACGTGACCACCTCCTTCTAGAATCATAGCCTCCTATAATGTTGGCATATAAACTTGGAACATGGACAAACGGGATAAGCAAGTCAAAAAAGCCCGTGACGTAGTGAAAGGTGAAATTTTAAGCTTTGAGTACCTAGTTACTGCGTTTAGAAACGGAACCCTCTGGTCCATGAGCACGCGCCAATCAGATTCACATTTGCACATAAAAGCCCACTAGCTTCTATTTCAAGCCTCTTCAACTGACGCCTTATGTTGCTTATTCATTGGAATTTCTTATCCCTTGTTTCTCTCCACTTCCAACCGAGCGATGAAGTATCCCAGCAGCTCCCCCGCCAACCGGCCAACCCCCTCACGACCACCTACAAATACATCGACAAATACCCCGGCGGCGGCTCATCCGACAAAACCTTCCTCTCCACGCTCTCCCCCGTCTTCTTGACCGGCGTCCTCGGCGCGGGCACCTGGCGCTCAGCCTGCCAGCGGACATGCCCGTCCCAGTCGGCGCAGCGGCGCTTGTTATGGTCGTTGGCGACGGGGACGGCGATGCCCTCGTACCAGTCGTGGGTGAACACGGTCGCGTCGGCGGTGCAGACGACGGCCTGGCGCAGCGCCTCGACGCAGTGGTCCCAGTGCGAGAGGCGCCGCGCGGCGGACAGCTCCCACACGACGCTGCGCGAGGAGTAGTACGACTGGTGCAGGCTCTGGTGCAGGAGGTACAGGCAGTGCAGCTGGTGGTGGCTCGACAGGTACGCCATGTACCCGCCGCCGCTCTCGGGGGGCAGGCGCACGGAGTGCGGCGAGCCGCCGATGAGGGAGAGCTCGGTGGGGGTGAGGCCGATCATGCCCACTTTGTTTTTTTGCTATTGTGTTAACAGGATAGAGATCTATATCGGCTGATAAGGAGGCAATGGCGTTGCTTACAGCGCAGGATGTTTGTCCAGTTCCCGTCGACTTCTTCGAGGGTGCTCCCGCTGTTGGGGTTGTAAGGAGACCAGGCCGTGAAGTTGAAGTGGGTAACGCGAGAGCCGGGTTTAGTGGCTTCGAGGGCGGGAGCTAGATGGTGGCCATTTGGGTTAGGGAGGCAGTGGGCTTGGGAAGGGGGGAAAGGGGAAATACACACAGTAGTAGTAGTGGTTCTCCATGCCGGAGCCGCATCTTCCCTCGTATCGCCAAGTGACGATGATGGAGAAAATGAGAACGGTGGTTAGGAGAGCGTTGATGAAACTGTGGATACGGCGGTAGCGTTGGGACTTGGTCGGCGAGGTAGCAGGTGCATCGCCGTCATCGCTGCCACTGATCAAAGCCTCGTTCTCCATATCCCCATCGCTGAGGAAGTCTTCTTCTCTGTGTTTGCTACTAAAGTCCATGGTGGAGCATAACTACTCAGAAGTGGTGATGTGGAAAAGATGAATGGTGGATAACAAGTGCCCAAGTGAGTATAATGAGAGATTTCCTGGAGTATCTCAGCCGATAGCTCTGCCGATGCTTGATCGTCGGTATCACCAGCATGATATTGCGCGGCTCATTAATGTATGCGGTCATCATGTGTATATGCGTGCCTATGCAGTTGAACCTCGGAGCTGTTTTACAACTGGCCTGCTCCTACTGCACGACATTGAGTGTTACAAGCACCCATTGGGCGCGTAAAGAAAGGGTCAACATTAGGACTGTTTGTATGGTCAATATAAGAGATAACTCCGTGCGTAACGGTAACGCGAAGCATGCAATATGCTGCAACTCCAACAACCAGCCTGCTTCAACAGCGAGCCTACTTCTCTCGGAAGATATCCAGGATGTCTCAACTAGACTGACTACGTTATTCAGTGGCAGTGGAGCAGATTTGGTATAAAGGCCAAGCTTGTCTACTTAGCTCATATTCGATTGGATCTTGGAGATATTCACAATCCAGAACAGAACATCAATACTTCTCACAAATAATATACAATTTTGATAATCAGTCCTCAACAATGAAGTCCATTCTCGTCTTCCTCGCGTTAGGCGTCCTTGCCTCAGCGGCACCCATCAATGGTACAGTGTTTGGAAATGTGTTATGTGTATGAACATGGGCTGACACTACTACAGACATTTCCCGTGTAGTCAAGAGAGCAGACGTTGAGTGAGTAAAACTCATACAAGTCATTACCCCCAACCTTAGAATCCCAGATGACCAATATTTGAAACAGTACTGAGATCAGCGACGCTGGCTTCATCCCCGTAAGGACTAATGCTCTTTGGTGTGCTCCTCGAAGTGTGGGTCGGGATAGCGTTGGTGTAGAGAAACTAGAAGCAGACTGCTAATAATAAATGGTGGCATACGGACGCGAAAGAGGAGACAGCTACCTAGGTACCATATCAGCAGCTGTTGGTAGCTTACAATCATTAAATTTTGATCAAATCATCAACGCATGGCCCATTAACTATAGAAATCGCTCTTTGTCACAGCAATACATTAGTTATTAATTGAGTAGGAAAGTCAGAGACGGGGTCAACAGATCTAGATGTTGCTAATACAGATGCTGACATATATGTGTAATATACGCGTATGCGAACCTAGTTTAAGATGTCTTTAACGAGGGAAATTGGTTTATTGAAACATAGAAGGGCTATTTTAGTGAAGGTGGCCATGATTTAAACACTATTATTTGTCCTTCTCTTGATACTGGTACTGAGATATCTTTGCCCCATATTCGTCAAATCTCACTGGATCGTATTTCTGGGGATTTTCGGGTGTAATAAACCGGTCCAGTGTTGCTATAGTGTGTGAGAACTCACACACTGCGAAGAAGGGTATCGAATAACGTGGAGGTATACCCGACTCCGGTACAGCGTCGGGGTCAGGGACAGCCACCTGGTGGAGTGCTGAGACGAAGTAATCTGTCTCGGATTAGTCTAAGATTTCGAAATATGTGAGGCAGCATACCGTTCGTGAATCGCTGCAACATGTCACCAACGTTCAATACCAGGGCTCCTTCTTCAGGTTTCGCTGATATGAAGACGCCAGAGTGGGGATCTTTGAGCTCGAGACCACCATTATCATCTTGAAAAAGCAAGGTCATGGTACTACCGTGGTGCAGATATTAGCGCCACAATGCAGGTAGATACTCGCCTAGGTAGGTGTTGATCATGGGCAAACTTACCCCCAATCATTGTGTGCCGGCAGCCTTGCCAAAAGTTCGGTTTCCAATTTATTCTTTGTCACCTCCGGATAATGTAGAAGACGTAGCTGACAACTTCGATCAGAAATCAACTTCATGCATTCTGTATACTCATCGGCATTCAAGGAGAGCCCGATAGCAATTGCTTCCAATATGGTTTTGCTGACGCCCAGTAGCCTGTCGTACAGGGCTGTCATATAAGCCCTGTAACCTGGGAGTACATCTTCAGGTAACCAGATATTTTGCTGTACAGGATCCTGTTCATGACCAATTTCATAACTTTCCTGGTATTAAGTAAGCTATCAAAAGTGATCGAAAAATGGATCGGAAAAGGGGTGAGCTCTTGTGAGTGGTACCCACCTTGAAATCTGAGACATTGCGCAAGGACTGTCCCACGTTGCCACTCTTCTTGTGGTTTTCAACGTCTGATTGAGAATATACCTTCTCCTTGCCGATACTCGAGTATCCTCTATGGGGCATAGGCCCAGGTGGATGAGGGGCCTTCATTTTCTCCTCGAGCGGTAGGTCGAACAATCTCTTAGTCCAGGCTAGCGCCTCTGTGATATCGCGCTTAGGAAAGCCATGTCCTATGATCTTAATGAAACCGAAGCGGTGAAGTGTTTCAACGAGGCTCTGCCCGACCTTGAGGCGCTCCTCATGAGGTATTTGTTGTGGCGACTCAGTCGCGAAGACAGAAAGGTCAATGGTTGGAACAGCACTTCCAGAAAAGGTTTGTGCCATGGTTCTTCGTGAAACGAGTTGGGACCAAGGGAAAATATTGAAGGCAGAGCATTTCCATAAAGAGGCAGCTCTTAATACTTGCAGACAGTCGGCGGGGTAATGTGGCTTTGTAAGTAATATGAAAAGGTTCCAAGGTTAGCAGTGGCAATACCTTGCGAGGATCATTCTAACCTTAGGTTAGTAGGAAGCAAAGTGTCACAGAAAGTGTCACATCACAAAAAAGTCAGATGGAAATTTAAGTTTTGATTTTAGTCAATGATTCCGTTAGATCAAGTTCTGTTAAGGGAGGAGTCTCTAAGGGAGTATGGATAGACTGGCCCTTACCTCCGCACTATCTCCGTATTCCCTTTGTACAACTTCAGATACACGAAGAGTACCTAGGTAGGTTAGTATAATGAGCCTTAAATGAGGCCATTATTTGTTACACAGATGACTTGGCAGATCCCGATCAAAGACCACATGTACTTTCCCCCTAACTCTCCCTCGTGGAGTCGCTCACTAACTACGTACGTACGCAAACGCCACCCAATGGCATGTCTCGCACATATCAATATACAGTCTCCCTGCGGAACGGGAACCCAGAGAAACCCCGGCTACATGCCTTAGGTAACCTAGGTGCTAGCCGACGGTAGACAATCTAATCGTTGTTGTGTATATGTATCGTCGGGACCGGACAGACCGGGTAGTCATGTACGAATCAAGTCACGAGCGTTCATATATATTGTTTGCTACCTACCTATACATAGTATGATCTATCATTCCTTGTTACTAAAATAGTATTTAATTTGGGCATCTAATTTGCAAATGTAAATACGGCTAAGGTTAGGTACCCAGGTAGGTAGGTAGTGGTGGCGTACGCAGTTTACAAATGTCGCTATAAACACCACTTGTGACCCTACAGCTTGGCATTAGCCTTTCGCCTCTTTCTTAGACTCGTCATCATTATACATACCCATAATGTCTGATGCAGGTCAGGGTATTTCGGCCACAGGCCTATTGGTACGTCCTTGAGTATTCATATTCCTAATATTCCTCAACTAACCACGGCTCTATCATCTAGGTCGTTCTCTGGGTTTTGACCGGAGTGGCAACCATTCTTTTCATAGGCCGACTAGTAATTCGCGGCGTCCTTCTGAAGAAATTCCATCTCGACGATGCATTCGGCGCTTTGGCCTGGTTTCTCCTATTGGTATCAATGATATGCGCCACCATTCAGACTCCCCTTACTTACCATTTCTCGTCTATACTCATTGGAGAGACCCCAGCCCCGTCCGAAGAAGAGATGGCGGATATGACCATCACGTTGCGCAGATGGAATGTCGCTGTTGAGACACTATTTTGGACCTCACTCTACTCCGTAAAGCTCTCTTTCATGTTCCTCTACCGATACGTCCTACGATCCGGGGGCCGAAACAAGCACATAGCCGTCTGGTCAGCCGCTCTGGTGTATATCATACTCTGCTACGGGATATGCCTCATTGGTGTTTATGGGCAGTGTGGTGACGTGCGCAATTTGTTTACATATCGTAAGTCTCCAGAGATTATACGATACTATGAATCCCCCGTATTAATTAGTAATTTAGAGCAATGCATGACTCCATATGTTGCATCGCTCATCCCTAAGCTCATTTGGATATCTTTCTTCTTCAATGTTACCTCAGACCTGGTTGGTGAGTTTGTCATATCTACCTAAGAAGTACCGGCGGGCGGGGGGTGAACGTTACTAATTCTGTTATGCAGTCGTCATACTCCCGATGCCCGTGATTTGGTCTTTACAGATGCGTCTTCATCAGAAGCTTGCCGTGTCCGGCCTCTGCAGCCTTGCAATAGTCACAATCGCATTTGAGACAGCTCGATCAGTGAAGCTTTACGAACTGAGTAACTCCTTCACCAATCTCTATAGTTACCTGGAGCTTATTATATCTGTTCTTGTCGGTATGTTGCCGTCATATCGGTTCCTGGTCTCGCCAACAGATAAGGATCGAGAATATCGGCGTTTATTTTGGAGTCGAATCACACTGAGAAGCTATAACTCTGGCTCTTCTAGTTATTCTATGCATTAGAGTCTAGGACAGATACTCATCATAGGTAGCATTCAACATAGTCTGTGATAGCTATCGACCGGAGAAACATTGCCCACCCCTGCCGACCCACGATGAAAGAGGCGAAGATAGATGGATAAAGATCAGACTACATTGGCTCTATAACATAATACATAACCTACCGTCGATCGATCATTTACCTTTTTCCGTGGCTGACAAGTTTGACATTTACCTACATTTATAATCTCCACGTAGCTAGGTATAATAGGATATAATAACTAGATAATATTTATACGAATGAGCTATAATCTATTTGAATGACTGGGAGCTAACTTCTAACAAACAGTGCACAGTAACCCCGTAAGAGACTGGGTTAGAGCGAGCCTTACAGACTCAATGTATACTAGGTAACTTCCATCAGAGGCACAAGCTATCGGAGAACCATAATCAAAGATTCCCAAATACCGATATGGTTGTGATCATTTCGTCACCTTTATCACCGCTGAGAATGTTACCACTCCGAAAATTCTAACGTCGTGGGATTTATATTAGGGGGCAACAGAAATTTCAGCTCGTGCATGTTGTCCTTAAATCCGGGATGTAATGGTAGCTTGGGATCATCCAGTGCTTGGCGGGAGAACCACCCAAGTGCCGTGATCTCGTTCGTGTCAAGCTTAATTTTCGTCAAATCGAGGTCTCCTTTATGCTCAACGCAAAATGTAAAATAAAGCCAGTTACCGTGGTCGGCGGTTGTCCATGCGGTGATCCCAAAGTGGGTGCGTTCCAGTCCAGTTTCTTCAAGTAGTTCACGAAACGCACCATCCTCGGGCTCCTCATCCTTATCCAGAGCCCCTCCTATTGTTGACCACGTGCCAGGCAAGTCAGTGCCCTGCGCTCGTTGACCAAGGAGAACTTCGATGTCGCCTGTCTGCAGATTCCTTTGATATATGAGTACCCCCGCCGCATTGTACCTACCAAAGTGTTTGTGCCCTTCTTGACAGGTTATCCAGTCATCCATATTGAAGTTTTATTTAATGAGATTTAATGCGAATACTTAGGGGTATGGGTATGCAAGAAGGCAGCCGTAAAGTGGCGGCCATAGATAGTTTATATAATGTACTCGTACAACCAGAACTTATATACCTGTATAGGAAGTAGTACGGCAACAAAGCCCTTGTTTCTGTGTCGTTCTCTTTATTTCTCTCCTGTAAAAAGATAGATTCGTTTTAAAGGGTAATTGTTCTGCCGTACATGTATACCATAGCCAGGACAAATTCGAAAGTAAACGATGGTAATATTGGTTCATAGTTAACCTAGGTACTTCAATGGAGTAAGTGGAAGATAAATGAAACATAACCTTGGAGAATTACAACTACTATGTAAATTATTTCAAACTGTATTTAGGTACTATTACAAGTGTGACTACCCACCTGGATCTTAAGAAAGCCCCTACTGTCGGTGAACAAGGTCTACCGACACCTACCATTTTGCTACCAGAACAAAAATCGATAGCGCACGGAAACAACAGACTTGTTATGTGAATAACACTTCCCGGGACATTAGCCTACACACACAAATACCCTTCTTTGTTCTTTACTACACCCTATACAGCTTCTTATGTTACTCACACCATTGATTTACTTTCAATCACATCATGAGTAAATGCTTCATGTGAATTTTAATGCTTACAACTATTTGTATCGGTAAGGTAGGTAGGTATATAGATATAACTTATGCCATATGAAGCTCAGCAGAGTCTGAAGTTTGCGATCAGCCATGCCTCTAAGACCCAAGATATGAAACATAAGATCAAAGACTATGAAAGCTCTACTGGATATCATGTTAGATATCCAGATACGTGGTCATCCGTACTAGTATACCTGATCGGAGATCATGTCTTAGCTAAGGACAACGGTCAATAAGGCCAGCACACACTGCATCAACTATCTTACAAGTCATATAAAAGCTGGCCTAGTAAAACGACAACTCCATACAAACAGGAAGCAATCGTTGTGACTAATATCTATATGTCTCAATCTTAAATAAATAGCACTCCTAACCCAACTTCATCCAGTATGCATCTCTCTCTCTACACAATAGGCCAGAAAGTCAACCTGCACCGGATCATCACAGGCACATCAAATACACGACCGCTTAGTCTTAGATACTGATAATATTGGACATTCCAGTAAAATCAAACTTCCCAAGTAAATCTCCCGGCGAATCCTCCTCCACCATGGCACCCGGCAACGACGAACCGCTCTGGCGAGAACAACTAGGCCCAACCGACCCCCGCGTGCACAACAGCCGCTATGTATCCGTGCAGCGGTACAAGAACGAGATCAGGGTCGACATTAGAGGGTACTTCTACGACCACAACAACGACAAGGGCTTGCAGCCTACGAAGGCGGGCATCTCCCTCACGGCGCACGAGTTCCGTTCCTTGGCTAGATTGATCCCGCAGATACAGGAGGAGCTTCGGATGCGAGAGGTTTAGTGGGATGGAATGGCTTGTATGACTGAGCCTTGCAATGAAGGACCCTTTGCTTGTCAAGATGGACGTGAGCAGGGTGGTAGTCGGAGGTGGGCAAATTGCGGGGGTTGAAGGTATACTGGGTACTCCATAGACGGAGAACAATTCCAATACAGAATCTGATAGTTATTCAGCTAGAGCTAGATACTGAACATGAGTATGGTTTGGTACTAATGATTGTACTTCTAGAGAGTGAGTTGATGTGTGTGAAGCTCACAGCGGTCACGTGAGTAGCGCCAAGCAAGCCTTGGCAAGAATTTGTGAATAAAGTCATGTGATCTATTAGAGTACGTGAATAAGGTCTACTTGATACCCCGAACAGGAACATATTTGCTTGCATAATTTGCTAAATACACTGTAGTTATACTTTCTCTTCTTTCTTCAACTGAAATAATAACAATATCTGGTCTGCGCTCCTTTTAGCTAAGTAGTGTTATGGCCTTCACACCTTCTTTCGAATCCAGTAGAACCTGCGTCCCAATCATTGCATTATCTCGCACGGTCGTGCACACTACTCCAACGACCTATATATCATCAAAATATAACTCATGTTAATAATGAGAATGGGTAGTATTCTACGAGTATAGCTTTACTTGTGTAACTACGTCATAGTGATAATAAGTATTCTGTCGCAGGGGAATCACATGATGACTTCTCACGTGACTCAGGTGTATTTATCGCGGGGTCACTTACATAATCAAGATGTGAACATTAGCTCAATCCCAGCGACCAAGCCCGCTCGTTGCTTTCTCTTTCGAATACAGCGCTCTTTAACAAGACCTGACGATCTCCTTACTATTATTGGCCATGCACATATAAATCCATGCAACATATTTATTGCAGGTGCCTCAGGCACCATAGGCTCCACTAGAGCCATATGGCCCATATGGCCGTATGTTGGCACTCCGCCACTGTAATTAGGAATCAAGCAAGCTTTCTTCCTTTCCTCTTCTTCTTGGTTGCAGCAATAGCTGCAACAATATTCAATGTTGTGTCTTGGTTTCGTACATGATACCAATTTGTTTTCTCTTTCAAAAGAATACCTATTAGTTATCCCTTGCGTCGCTAAACAGTCAGTACGAGCATGTCCATGAGTCCACCCTACCTCGGGAGATGTCGCTATATTAGGCATAGTGCATCAGCATTTAAAGGTTACAGGGCTTGGAGGATCACTAGCCTTGTCAGCTCCAACATGTATGTAAGAATCCTTCTACATCGGACTACGACATCATTAAACAATGTGTATCTGGAAGATCGGCAGTTCAGCTGGCCCGACACCCTCCTGGTCAGATATCGTTGCAATCGATCTGTAGACAAAATGCTTGGCATCGCCTTATAAGTACCTATTGTTCAAATACGTAAGGTGGGGGTTACAATTCGTACATTATCTCTACTCCATCCAGAGGATCCCCTGCTACCTACCCACCCGGGCACTTACATCAACATATAATAATTCCTTAGTAGAAATAATTTTTGGCAATGCAACCCATTAAAACGTTGATTGAATGAGACATTGAAAGGCTTCTGTCAGCATTGATATGTAATGTAATATACTTTGATACTACCTTCACTACTTCACTCCCAAAGTACTACTTGAAAACCTAGCCCTTTATATTCTATATGATACTGAGCAGAGTCCGCTAATCACCAAGTACCGCAACCGAGTCACCTGATCTCAAAGTTTGCCAAAATCGATTAAATTTAGCTTCGTTATGTCCCTAAGAAATGATGTATATGGCACAATAGCTTAGTGAGGCCACTGATTCTCAGTCCCGGTTACGTTATCGTCTACTTTTCTGTTGGTGGTGCAAACCATATACCCAATTCCTACTTCACCGATGTAATCCCCAATACCGGCCGGTGAGTAGCACGCTGCCGCACAGGTGGGTTGCCCAACATTGGAATATTGAAGCGACGTAGTAGCGTGGCCAGAGAACAACAGTTACACAGTACGTCTCCAAGAGCCTACCGCTGCATTTTGTGTGACCACCACCGAAGGACCTCCATAGCGGACCTTTCGTGAGCTTCCAGCCAGCTTCGGTGCCGAGCTAGCGATGCGACTCTCAGGCCGTATCTACTTGTACCTAGTATTGTGCTAGATATTGTAACATTGGGTACTCCAATCGGATATAATAATATGTTCCAAGTCATGCTCAGTGGGTAAGCTAGACGTCAATCGCTGCCAATCATGTTTGAATCGTACCCCCATGCGCCCCCAAGCAAGTGGACAAAAATGACTAACACCAGCGCAAACCTCTCTGCTGACTAATCAAGCCCCTATTTGCTTTACCTCACTTCCACACAGGTGTTTCCAGCTCCTCAAACACCAACTCCAAATCACCCGGAAGCGCAGTCATCTGATCCTTCATCTCCTTCTCCACAAACATCTCATCGGACGTCCCTGGGGCGAAGGAAATGGAATACTTGGAGAGGAGTATGGAGACGGTAAGCCGCATCTGGGACATTGCGATCTTTTTGCCAGCGCAGCTGTTACGACCTACAAAAGAAGACTTAGTTTTGACTTGTATTCTCTAAGATAGGTATCGTGGAAATTGGAAGCCTCGTGTAAGTATTCACGTACCCATGGCAAAAGGGGCAAAGGCTCTCTTGTCCTTGACAAGCTCGGGCTTGCTGTACCAGCGTTCAGGGATGAAGTCGTGCGGGGCCTCGTAGGCTTCTTCAACTGAGGACAAAATAGACCATGTCAGCAGTGATTACCTATAACTAATTGACTCAAAGATGTCTTACGCCGTCCAATACTGTAACGTGGCGCTATGACTTTGATATCGCCGGGTATGTGTACGTCATCACATTGGAGGCCCTCAGGCGGGGTTTGCCGCGATCCAAAGGATGGCCCCGCGGGGTATAGTCTTAGAGACTCGTTGATCGTCGCTGTGATATGTGGAAGCGCAGATAATGCCGTCATGTCGTTGTAGTCTACATTCCGCAGCTCTTGGCGGATCTTCTCTGCGTGCTCGGGCCAGCGGGCAAGGCAGTACAAGACTAGGATGAGAACCGGGCCGGTGGTACTATTGAGATGTTACTTCGATGTCTGACTATAATTGAAGTTGAGAAATGAACCAACCTTCCTGCTAGGATTAAAATGCCAGAATCGCCGTAAACTGCTTCACGACTGGCCCGATCTGCGTCCTTGCGGTGGGCATCCTCAATGAGGAAAGAAGCTACGTCAACCGATTCTGGCTCGTTCTAATGCGGCTCTGTCAGCTCAATCGACATGTATAACACAAAAAGGTAATCCTTATACCTTCATCCTCTTCTCCACGATACCCATAGTAAGCTCGATAAACTTGAACCAGTGCGGAATCCTCCAGACGCCTGGGAAAAGATCAAATGCAATTCTTAGAATCCAGGGCGAAGGAGAAAGAGGTCCAAGGATACTGAGGGAAGACCCGATGACCTCAGCGCCCTTCTGGGCCTCGATATCCATCGTACCAAAGCCTACATCTTGGAGCACGTCAAACGTCATCCGGTATATCAGGTCGTTGATGACTATGGGCTTAGCTTTCTTCGCGCTGATTATTCTCTCGAGTGCTAAGACATGGGTGGTGATCTTTTTATAGTACTGCTTCATATCTGCGCGCCCATGTTAGCTAAGAAACAGCCGATAATCCCAGACTCAAAGGCAATAAGCACTTACAAGACAATGACATAGCTTTGTCCCAAACCTTTCGACGGGAAACGTGAACCGCAGGGTCTCTACTAAACACCTGGACACTTGGTAGCAAGAGATCATACCAGTCAGACCTGGCATTGCGATTCAGGGGCCCGTCTAGCCACTCTTGTCCGGCAGGGTGAAATATGGTAATCTCGCTCGGACCTTGTAGGCTGATTAGTGGACGCAACCAGGGGGTTATTGATCAGGAAAACACTGACCAGTCCTGACAAAGGCCCCATACTGCTGACGCCACGAGTCCAACACGAGGTGGCTCTGCGAGTTTCGGGACAACCAAGCGTGCCATAGCTTTGACAGTGCCGCCAGGCGGGGACCAGGGAAAGATCTCAGGCGGTGGAAGTAGAGTCTGTATACGGCCATGCTGGCAAGAATGCCACAGAAATAGGCCAAGAAAGGTAGAAGGACTCCATATGTCGGTGCAGGTTCAGATATGAATTGTTTGATAAGCAGAGGAGTAAAGACAAGCGCATGAGTCAAGAATACACTGGCGGCATGGACGTGCCATTCACCGCGGATGAAGAGACCCAGGTGTATTATTACACCGAGGCAGAGTGGCGCGACGACCTGTGGAAGCACTGGGGACATCATAGTGCATATCTTAGGTAATATTTAATATGACTTAGAAACAGAGAAACGACTCGGGATATAATGCACGGTTGAGATAGGTGTTTTTCAGCTGGGGAACCCCAAGAGCATATGAATGTCCGAATTTCCTCTGGTCTTGGACATGGTAGACTGATTATAATTATCAGGGTCGTACTACCTACACCTCTGCTCTAGGAGATACAAGGAGTATAATCTCCTCGTATAACGCACATCCTAATGATTCATGTATCTTCCCTTCAAAGGTTACAGAAGTTACCTATACAAGTAAGTACGTATACTCCCTCTGTGTACTCAAGTGTTTTTTATATCTTCTACACATGATTACGTTATCCTTGACCATCCTGGCGGAGGTGTAGATCGCCATGTTACATGTGATAGTGCTTTTGATGTTTGCTGACACAGAAAGGATTCACCATCGATTCCACTTAGTCTTGGAGGTATCCGTGGATGCATACCTATTCGGTACCGTATAAGTAGCTGTGTAGTAAGTTCCGCATCGATCCGCACTCCTGTGTACCCCGGCCCCCTATATCCCAGAGAGACCCGTAGTTATCTAGGGCTGCTAGGGTACCTGGGACATGCCCCAGCCCCACATGTCTATCATTTAGACGCTATGGGAAGCCCCGCCGCATACATAGTACTATACTTTATTTTGACGTTGTATTTGAAGTATCTTGTACGTTACCTAGACCTAGACCTACTCCCACCCCTAATCCGGACCCAAACCCTGACATCATGTTCTTTACCGCCTGCCAAGAGTATCCCATCCTTCAACCTGTTAGCGCCTGAGTATGCCTACTTTCACCCACTGGGCAGAATATAGCATCTTGTAATCTTTAAATTTCGAGATGCGTCATGCTGAATATGAATAGTTGTACAATTATCTACCCGGGCACGGCAAAACCAAGGGAGGGCTTATGTAGGCACGTATCTCATTCTCAACGATCGTCGGTGATTAAATATACAGAGATTTGGTGCTTTTGGCAAACGATAAAGGGACATTGTCTCGAATCTAGGTAGTTATGCATAAAACCAAGGTGAATAAGCCCGAATCTCTCAACCAGTGGAACGGTTTCTTTCAAACATGTTTGATAACGCCTCTGCCCTCATAGCCCTCTTCTTCGATCGTCTTCCTGCCGCCTGGCATAAGTCTGCTCGATCTGGCTCGTCTTCAAAATATTGTTCTGGGCGCCGCCCTGGTTGGTGGAGACCACGGCTTCTCCCCCGCTCTCAAAATCTTCCATCTGGCTATACGCCACCGGCGTAGCCACACCAGCCGTAGCGGTCGATGCGACATGCTTGCGCAGCTCGAACTCGTCTTCCTCATCGTAGCCGCCCTCGGACCCCAGCGTGGTCATACCAGTAGCACCACGCGGACCCATGTACTTGGCCAGCGTAGAAGTTAGCTTGTCACCCTTGCGATGCTTTCCAGTCTTTCCAGACGAGCCGAAGGTCACGATTCCAGATCTGGAGCTTGCAGTGGTGGTTGTGGTAGGTTTGGGGCTGCGGAAGTGGTGGTAGAGCCGGGAGAAGAAGGGCATGCAGCCGACGAAGATGACGATTGAGATCTCTGTGGTTCTAGGCAGTTCCCAGAGTCAGTATTGAGGCAGTTTGAGTGGGAAGATAAACTCACGCGAACAATGCAAGCTTTGTCAACCACCAAGTCTCATCCGTATCTGTTAGGAGCACTATGCGGACATACATGCCTCCAATGCCTATCGCGATTGCACTATTTCGCTTAATATTAGCCATAGAAACGGTATATACTAAGCACTTAGTAAGAGGCGTCAGACGTACATCAAACTGACGCCAAAGACAGACAACGCAGCCAGCTTGCGCTTGACAGGCATTGACAGGTGCCAGATAGCCCAGGTCGGAATGAGCAGGGCCTCGACATCTGATATGATATTGAGGATCCCCGAGCTGAGGTTCACTTGTGCCGCGTTCGTGCATGTGCCTGCAACCGTCTCGCCAAGCCATATCTTCTCTCGCGGCCAGCACTGGAAGACGTAGGAGAAGAAGAGGCCGGCATAGAAGACAACATTTATCACGATAGAGACCGCTGTAGTCTAGTCAGTTGGTATCGCAAGTTGTCAATTAATTCGCCCTGTGTATGGGTAGGTACGCACCTTTAACCCGAAAGACAGCGTTGTGGGTGCCGGTCGTGAATATGGACTTGAGCTGGAACAGCACCGAGAGTTTTGCGGCGGCGGTAGGGACGGAGTATATGCAGTATACGATATTGGTCCAGTACAATAAATTCGGAATCTGCGTAAGAGTGATATCGTACAAGTGGCGCGTGAGGCCCATCCCCGAAAGGTGAAGGATGACGGCGACATAGGGCACAAAGCAAGCGAAGGCAAAGTAATTCAGGTAATCCTCGATTCGATGGCCGGGCACAATAAAAAACCTCACGAACAGGCGGGCGGATACGCCTATTGTTGGGAGCGCAAGCACGAGTGCTGACGTGACATACACGGCTACCAACTGGTCGGGCGGATTGATGAAATTCGGCTGTGTCCCATGCGGTGGGGGGATGACGGATGTGTAAGTTGGGTCCATTGCGGCGGAACTCTGAACCGTGAGCAAGGCCTCTCTATACTGGGATGATGCGGAGACTGAAAGCCCTCATTGACATGAAGTCCGAATAGAAATTTGGGGGTTGTTAGAATTCGGCCGGTAGGCTTATGTTATTAACCATCGTATGGATCGTGTCTTAAGCCGAAAAGGGGCTAATAGCAATTGGCAGTCGCATTGATGGATGCCATAATGTAACAGTAAGTAGTAGTATCGTGAACACCTAATTGATATTTACACCGTCACTCTTATTGTTTAACTGTCTCTTTTCTCCTCATTGTATTGCTGACCACCTAATTTCATATCTCACCACCTGTACAATCGGCCAATGGCTGTTGCAGCTCCGCTCCTCTGAAAGTAACCCTCCTTCGGATACCAAGTTAAAACCCCCATCTTTTGGGCCTGCAGCCAAAAAACGGCGGATTGGATGGAGTGCATAAATCTTTAACGGAGGTGCCATTGCAACAAATCCTAGAATGTGTAACATTTTCCTTCAGTTTCTCTCTCGGCACCGATACAAACTGGATTTTTTATTGTATGTATGTACACACTGCGACTAAGTCCTACACATTACTAGGTAGTATGTAGGTAGGTACTCAGATGAAACGTGCAAAGCACCTACATATCGTGATATTCCTACGCAATGCACCCAAATGCGCCACCAAAGAACCCTAAGACTAAAAAGAGTAGGTAATGCAAATAGGAGTAGCGAGGAAGATCAACTGGCGCAAGTTATTGTAAGGATTCATGATTTCCAACTATGTACCTAGAGGCGATGATTCGGCACCCTCACTACCCGGGACACTGCCGCGCACCCCGCTAGACCTCGATGCCCCTGCTCCGTAGTCTCTTATCATTTACTGTAGCCGCTTCCTTACGACCAGGGGTGCCCATCCTTCCCCAGCTTGGCGTTCAGGAACGCGCGACCGAGCAGATTCTCGCGAACAATCTGATCCTTATGCGCCTCCATCTCCTCGAGATCCCCTTAACAACGCCATCCCATGTCAGAAAACGTAGTAATGTTTAAGCACTAGAAAGAGGGGACTCACAGTTTACGCTAAGTATGCCACCGCGCATCCATTCAGCACTCGGAGTAGACAGGAAGAGCGTCCAGCTAGCACTTAGATCGGGTGTGTCCTTGGCATACGGCTTCAGCGCCTCGACCGTCATATCGGTCTGCACAATCCCCGGCATGAGCTGGAAAACGCGGATCCCCGGCTGTTCGGAGTGCAGGCTATCCATGATGCGGGCAAGCGCCAGCTTGGACGCCGTGTAGCCCGCCATACCCGGAAGGACCGCGCCCATGGCGCCAGTCGTTATGGTGATGACGGTGCCGACTCCATCTGCCTGCGCGAGAAAGTTGTGTACCATCAGGTACGACCCCAGTAGGTTGACCTGGAAATCGTTGAAGAATTTGGTGATATCGACGCCGCCAATAGGGCCTAGGTGCAGACTCCCCGCGCTGTTGATCAGCACGTCGATCTTGCCGACGGCCTCCTTGGCTGCGGCGAAGAGCGCCGCAACCGAGGCTTCGTTGGTGATGTCGGCCGCCTTAGCGAGGATCTGAGTCTCCGGCGGGGCAAGACTCCGGAGCCGGGTGGCGATGCCCTCTAGCACATCGGTCTTGCGCCCGGTAATAACGATACCGGAAGCTCCTGCAATAGCCCATGATTCGGCAATGACCTGCATACATCTGTTTGGCCCCGCGAAAAGATAAGAAGATGGGGTGGGGCCCCGGAAATGGTGCTTACCTTGCCTATCGCCCCGGACACACCGGTAACAAGTACCGTCTTTCCCTTGGCCGATAGCTCTGACTGGGTTGGCTCTAGCCGTGGATAGACATCACGGCGAACTTGCTTGGTAAGCTGGTAGGGCAGGGTGAATGCGTTAGGGTCTGAATAGTCCATCGTACTAGGTAGTTGAGGGTGCGTAATCTGTAATCTTTTTCCCCTGGTAGGAGAGATGCGTGAAATAGGATGAGATTGTGTTAGGTAGAATAGAAGTATAACTAGAAGTAGAAGTAGAAGTAGAACTCTGTATCCGGCACGTCTCTAAGCGGCACCACTGCTTCCTGTGTAGGTATATGTAGGACGCTGATGGATGCCTGGGATGGACGTTGATGGTTGCCTGGAATGGACGCTTAGGAGTCTTTGTCGTATATAGGGGAGAGCTAGGGAAGCTAGGGAAGCTAGGAGAATAAGGGGGAGAACTAGGAGAACTAGGAGAACTACATAAGGATCAGGGTGGGGTCGATTATAACTGTTAGGGCATATGCATATGTACCTTAGGTAGTATGTATGTATGTACATGTATTACAAACATTGGCGATATTGCCAAGACCATATACATACTAGTCTCATCAGCGAATCAACAATTACGTAGGGCTAGGGAGTGGATCCTTTTACCCCATGTTACCATGTTACAAGGACCACCCACGCTTTCTCGTATCTTATCCCTTTCGTCAAGTTGTATGTATCTTGAGGATCCGGTGGAATGACTAAGCTGCAATGCAATATTTACTTCTAAATATACATTATTACCTAACATAGCACTTATCTTTTAACCTCTACACCTTTTAATACAACATCAAAGCTTTGAGAACCACTACGCAGACCACAGTGCCAACCACAATGGTACTAACATCGTCTAAAGCATTAAGTAGCGATCATGCAAAACCCTACTGCTTACTAGTACCTTGTATTCCCGGGGGTTGAGTGAATGTCGAGACCTCCAGGACCTATCGTCCGAAGGATTATAATACACCTATTAGCCCTACCATATAGTAATAGTAAGACGATAGGATGATACTCTCTAGGTATGTTCGCACATTCTCCCACCATTCAACTTGAATGTAGACGTAGTGTGTCCGTTCATTATAGACTGCCTTTTGTTGTCTGCTTGACGAACGTTTCAACTTGCGCGTAACGTAACCACGTCTTCTGCAAGCACCCCCCCTTCATCTACTTGACTATTATACTTATCTTGTCTACTGCTGTTTGCTGCCGACACTTCTTATTGCTATGACTTCTCAGTTCTCTCGAGTCGAGTCCTTTGCGCCGGTTCTTCAAGAGTCAATATGGCACCAGCACCGTGACCTAGAAGCCTCATCCGTGGAGGCGAGAATCAGGCTTGCATATGAGCGAGCCCGAAGTCTCATTAATTCAGTGGGTTAGAAGACCTACATTGTACTTGAGGTGTGATCAACGCTAAGAGGTATTAACGTGCCATTAGGAATGACAATCGAGGACATACGCTTGCTGAAGCCGAAGTTCTGGGACTTTCATCGCCATGGTCTGAGTTGATCCATACCTACCCACCCAAACTATTTCACTACCTGGACGGTCTGGCGCTCATATTTCACCAGCAATATCCCTCGACTCCGGTACCTGGACCATCCTGTCCATTCATTGGAATCTCTGCATGGGCACAATTAGCACCTTTCTTTCCGAGCGGCCGGACCTGCTGCCTTTGCTCCAAGCCTTAGAACGGTTCGATACCTGCGGCGAGTTTTTACTGACCGAGCTGGGTCATGGGCTGGACGTGAGGAACCTTGAAACCACGGCGACCCATCAAGCCGATGGCTCCTTCGTACTTCACACTCCCAATCCTCGTGCAGCCAAGACAATGCCTCCAAGTTCTCCGCACTCTGGAATGGCGCGCACGGCTGTTGTTTTTGCCCGGCTCATGGTAGCTGGTAAAGACCATGGCGTAAGTCCATTTATCGTGCCTCTAAACGATGCGTCGGGTGCGATGTGCCGTGGCGTTTCATGTACCCTATTTCCCTCTCGTCCAGGAGCCAAGGCTATCGATCACGCCATGACGAGCTTTAGCCACGTACCGCTGCCGGCTGAAGCCCTGCTCGGGCATCTTCACAGCCCACCCAAGAACGAGCGAAAAGAATTTTTGCGCGCTATCCACCGCGTGACCGTCGGAACGCTTTGCTTATCTACAAGCAACGCCGCCGTCCTCCGCTTGTCAGGCTGCATTGCCGGTCGGTACAGTACCCAACGACAGGTCGGTGCGCCGAATCCAGTTCCTATACTTTCCTTCAGTACCCAGTACGGTCCCATCGCACGAATTCTTGCTCATGCCGTCGTCTTTGACAAGTATGCACTTGAGGCGACGCAGATCTTCATCCAAAACTTCGGAAATCTAGACACGCAGAACGTTATCGCTGGCGTTTACAAGGCTACCGTCATCGACTATACACAGAAGGCGCTAGGCGAACTCGTTGAAAGATGTGGCTGGCAAGGCCTTTTCGCTCACAATCAAGTCAGTAGACTCCAGGCCCCACAACTGAGATGTCCCCGCAAGAATTAATTAACATGTAATAACCTTGTCCAGATTAGCGAACTATGGCTCTCTGAAAAGGGTAATAGCATCGCCGAGGGCGACTATTTGGTCCTCTGTATCCGACTCGCGAGCGAGATCTTACTTGGGAGGTATGCCCCGCCAAAACCGCGCGACCCGCAGTGTCTTCTGGCGCGCCACGAGTCCGGGGTTTGGGGAGAGGCCCGGCAAGTATGTGCGTCTCTTCACGGTGGGCACCGCGGGAAAGAGTTCAATACCCGCCTCCTACCGCTGTCTCTGTCGCTAGTCCGGGCTACAGGCCAGCGCATGACGTACGAGGCTGCCAAGGATGCTATGGTACATCGAAACGATGATGGCCTGGGTGTGACGCCGCAAGTGTTGGCCTTGTATGAGTCGACGTGCATGATGGAAGACCAAAGCTGGTATGTTGAGAACGGCATTATGTCTCGGCGGGCGTTGTTGGATCGCGATGTCGATGCAATGAATTCCGTGTTGCCGTTGTTGGAAGGCATGATCAACGATCCGGCCGTTGACGCCTTCATCAATGCGCCAATGGTTAACCAAGATAGACTGGCTGCCTTTTTCTCCAGCTTGCCGTCATTTCAGGGGCCAGAAGCCGAAGGGTTTCAAGCCAAATTATAGACAGCATTGTTACCAAGTATCAGGGGTGTGGGTTACTTGTAGTGCTTAAGTTTCTCAGAAGTGTAAGAGGCTTAGGTTGGCTCTATGGTGCAGCATAGGTACCGAGTAAACCGCTCTGAAAATGGGTCTCATACGTGATAGTAGGCAGTCAATATAATACTCAATAGACTCGTTCGCTGATCGTACATATTCAACACCCGAGATACTTTGAGAATTTAGACGACGAAGGATATGCTATTATTCATCCTCATTTCTTCATGAATGATGGAGCGACTTCCATTTTCGCCTTTGGTGAGCAACTTCATCCATGCACTTAGGCACCCCTCATGAGACACCATCGCGGGGCCACTGCACTGCGCTTCGATGCTAACAGCTAACTAGGGGATGTCATACCTAACCGAATCTTCCCCCTCATTTTCTTTCCAACGTACCTCTCTTATCCAGTTTATAAGGTATCCAATTGGAGCTTGAGTAGTTAAGCATTTAAGGTAGACTGTGCAAGGGGGTTTCATTCTTTCCGCATGTTTTCGACAGCTAACTTTACCTTCTACACTTCACTCATGCTCAGGAAGCAGAGAACCCTTTTATACCCAATGACAGCGGGAAACTCCAAGGGCACGATCCTAGTGACGGGTGCAAACGGCGGACTTGGCACAGCAATTATTCAGAACATTGCCGCCGACCCAGACCTAACTTATCACGGCCTCTACACGTTGCGAGACGTAAGTACATCAACCTCGCTGCAGTTAACTCTAGCATCTACGAAGTCTCACCCACACGACGTGTTTCAACTCGACCTGTCCAAATTGTCGAGTGTGCGTGAGGCAGCGGCAGCTATCAACGACAAGGTCTCGGCGGGAGAGATCCCCCGGATCCGTGCCCTGATTAGCCTTACGCCTTCCTCTTTTCGAGCGACATAGTCTATAGGTAAGTACCTACGTATTTAACATGCCTTACAGCCCCGAGCTCCAACGCCGCCTCGACTCAGACCCAGCGCTGCACAATACATCGATCCTAGGCGTCGACCCGGGGATCATGCCGACCAAGATCACGACCGGTCCTCTGAGCCTCCTCGGCCAGCTCGTCATGTTCGTCCTATCACATATCGCCAGTCGCGTCTGGCCCAGCGTAGTCCGCCTGCCGCACAAGTCCGCCAGAGACGTCATCGCTGCTGCGTTCGGCACAGGCCCGCCTTTAAGCGAGCGCCCCAAGGGTTTGTATCTGAATGGGACTGAGAAGAAGCATATCAGTGCTGAGGCGAGGGATCCAGAGAAGAGGGCGAGTGTACGGCATGCTGGGCTCCGGGAGGGGGGGACGTGTCTGATTGACTGAGCGTGATGGAGTCGGCTGTTCTAGAGATGTATAACAGTTTCACGGCACGTAACGCTCTTCACACTTTTAGCCACGGCCCATGTTGGCGGGATTGTTGGTAAACCGTAACGTGCCCAGTACACACCTAGGTACCAAGAAATCATGTAAGTACTAGGTACATACCTCGGTGCATGCTACCTAGGTATCCATCACAATATTACTCCAGGTTAGTCAATTATTCTTCTACCAACAGTTGCATTCACCTTACTGAATATCACATATTATGTAAGCTATCCATTGTTGCGTGGAGAAAGTGAATATGTAAGTTGGTGTTGCGCATATGCAGTCAGCGAAATCACCTCCGAACCTATTCCCTTCTACCCTAGGTACCATCACACACAAGCGATCGGCAAGGGATATAAGCAGGCTGCAACTATGTTGGTAAGCTGGTCCTCGGTACGATGCGAGGGATACGCATACTGCATACATAGGTACATTATCCCCCCTTGGCCTGCATGCCACCTCCCAGTGCTTGAACTTGAAGTCCTCTAGTCTAGGATACCTACTACTAGTAGTATGTAGCCGATCACGATGCCGCTCATCCGCTGCCACTAGTGAGGTGGGGATGGTGTCGTTCGGTACCTACCTATGTTGTGGAGGTCAAGCAAGCGTGATAAGTCACCTTGGCTCAGCGAGACTACTGCAATACACGGCACTTCATGACAGTCGAGTAGGGTAATCTTACTCAGAACCTATCTGGGCCTTAATCTCTGACGTTATCGCTACCCTAGCAAAGCTCTCAGATCAGCCCCTACCCTACAGTGCCGGCCGGGCCCTATTTCGTAACGGGCGGCACCAACATCTGAGTCATCGTCCGGTCATCCGTCATCTCGGAACCGTGTATTCACCGCATATATACGTACCTAAAGTTTTCCGGGGTCGGTTCCGGAGTCGCTAGTCTATCGCGCCATGATCCATGATGCCCCTAGGTTAGTTCGTTTGACCAGGAGAAGCGTATGTGGCATGCGTTGCGCCAGATGAACGAAAATTGAGTGCCAAGTAGGTACCTAGGCACGCCGTGACTAGGTATCTTCTCCAAATTATCATGGGCCATCTTCGAAACAATAGCTCTTCCTTTTCCCGATCAAAGAACGGGCAGAGCATGTGTGCATGTTCGCCTTCGCCTTCTTTAGACAGAATACGGCGATAGCTGTCACACATTGGTATTATATTAGAGTAACGACGATACTGGATTTGTTGATGATGAGTTCAGTGGCCTACGTAGTCGCTAAGTCCCCTGTAGCCTTCCGGGGAATCACTACAAGCACTGTATTTTCGGGTGCTTAGGGGGGCATCTATGGGGAATCCTGTGCCTTCAAACATGGATGACCCTGTTGGAAGCGACAAACGATATGATTGGCTATGGACCCCTGCCGATGTCCTTAAACGGCATGTGGTGCTACTTGGGGGCAGCCACCCGGTGCTAGTGAAGTGCTCGAGCCTACGCCGCTTCACTGTCAAGTCTTGTTAGAGTGCGCTGCTACAGAATTCTCAGTGCTATCCAGAACCTGCCTGTCTGATTGCCCACCTGTAAGTTGCACATAAGTACCTGCGGACCTCTCCAACTCAACTTTCTAGAATTTAATTGGCTGAAATGATTTCAGCTTTCCATAAAGAGTAGATTGAGATCTTCGAGGTTGTGTTTGATGCAATCCGATTCGCCAGTCCTAGGAACTAGGCATCATCCCTCCAAGACGGCAATAAGGCCTCTTACTCCCATGCCAAAGTAAAGACTGTTGAGTTCACTCGGTGAATACCTAGCTGTTAAATATAGCTTGGAAACGCGGCGAATCGCGAGCTGGACTTTAGCCTCTTATCTCCGCCTAGCTGCGCTTCGACAGCCGGACATATGAAGTCATACATCTCGAGATAGTTGGCTGCTGTCATGAACTCTCTTCTAGACATATACAAGTTTTGGGTCATACGTGTACATACATTTCAATCATCCCACTCATCGCCACAAAAATTATGGCAGCTACGCGACCTTCCACATGGTTGATCACGGGCGCCTCTTCAGGCTTCGGAAAGTCGCTAGCTCTAGCAGCTCTTAACGCGGGACATAAAGTCCTCGGGGCCACTCGCAGCATTCCCGACGCAGAAAGGTCGTTTCCCGAGTTTTCCACCAAAGGCGGTATTTGGCTGAGCTTAGATCCAGGCCAAAGGGATTCCTACGAACAATTTGCCGAGGTCTCGAGAGAGCACGATGTCGACGTGCTCGTGAATAGTGCAGGCTATGCGTTTATTGGCGGGGTTGAAGACACAGCGTTAGTAGCTTCCCGCCTACCTGCCCGGGCCCACATTACAGCTAATATCTCGACTCGCGAAATGGCCTTTTACTTATAATGGTTGTAGGGAAGAGGAACTTCGTCAGCAGATGGAGGTCAACTTCTACGGGCCCCTTCGCGCCGTTCGTGCCTGTTTGCCAGTCCTGCGGGCAAAGCGCTGTGGTAGCATCGTTCTCATCAGCAGTGGTGCTGGGTACGTCCAATCTCCCCTATCTCTTCTCTTGCACTCTCGCTAACGAAACATTTTACGGGGTGGTAGATTCCAAGCTCTGCCCGGACGAAGTGCATATGCCTCCAGCAAGTTCGCGATCGAGGCCATGCACGAGTCGCTTCGCCAAGAGGTCAAGACCTTTGGCATCAAGGTCCTCATCGTGGAGCCGGGCGCATTCCGTACTCCCTTCTCATCTCGCCTCTTAACTCCGGCTCAGTATGAGAGCACCGATGGCTTCAGCCCGGATTACAAAGGCACTGATGTCGAGCGGATGGTTATGATGACCAAAGGGTTGAACTCTATCCCAGATGCTATCAAAGGATGCCCTGATAAGGCGGCGACGGAAATACTCAAGGCTATTGACGGTGGTCATGAGTATCTGCGCATGATCTTGGGGAAGGACTGTGTGAGGGCAATGGAACAGAAGCTTGAATCGTTGCATAGTGACTTGGAGGCTACTAGGGCCATTGCATCGAATGTGGACATCGATTGACCTAATCTAAGTAGTTAAGCAATAGTTATATGGATGTAATAAGAGCGTGCTTATTTACAGCCCTGGAGATTTCATGGATATCTCGTACACCAAACATATGGCTATTATAGCGCTTTTTACTGTATTAATTTAGAACCAGGCTTGGATTCTATAGTGACTTATCCACTAAGGCTTAGGGTGATCACCACTATATACAAACGATCCAACCAACTCAATTACAGTGCTTTAAGATTATATGTACTATAAAGCCGCAATTCATGTTGTCCGAAATTTGTCGTGCACGCGAAAGTCATGGCTTCCTGTAGTTACTAGTACCAGCCAATCAGAGGACGCCTCTTATCCCAGAAGGGAAACTCACACGGCCGTTACATTTATTACGGGATTGGGGATCATGAAGAGGCGCAGCATCGGTAACACATCTTGAAACTATCAAGCATTGAATATATACTAGCTAGAGTGTCATGGTCTAGCACATTATTTAGTACTTACGGAGTGGCCGACTCTTACGATACACTGACAAAAGCAGTGTTGCCAACAAAGTGGGAGCACCAAGAGCATCACCAGATCTGCCTAGGTTACACAATTCCTAAGATGCACTAAAATTAACGAGAATGTGAGTGATCATATCAGATTCAGATTACCACTATCATGTTGTACCTTGCCTGTGCGAATCGGAAGTCAAGGAAGAATGCATATAAGACACATACATAAGGGGAAGGTAATCAAAAAATTCCGATGATGCGTAATACGCCAAAGCCTATAGAGCCTCTACATACATCCGTACCTAGCACAAGATCCAATAATAGTATACCGAAGTAGGTAGGTCGCATATCTCTGCGTCGTGTTGTGAAACGTATCTTCAATAAGGGCTCGGGACTCGGGGCTCGTTTGAATTCACGAACTCTCCGCTGTCTATTTCTTCAATGGGTGTCGAGCATGCCTACTAGGTAGGTATCTAACCTAGGTAAGTGTCTTGCGGAGCAGCGCGTGATAAAGGGGTGAGGGGCGTATCATACCAAAGATGCAATGTAGGTACGAGACACAACCCCCACTTGACTTCGGTTTCTCTTACCGAGTGAAAATCGCAGACATATCTCATAGGGGATCACAGCTATTCGAATTTTTGATATTCTGGAGTATCATGTGGTTATTGCTAAGTGGCCTTCCCCCCCCATTCACACATATTTATTTCCTCCTCAGCAAGATCTCCCCAATAGCAAGTCTAACCTAAGCCACAGCCTCCCTTTCCGAGGTATGTATATACCTATTTAACCCTGTGGCCCAATTACTCGTCAGCATTCTTGCCGACTTTATAGATTTTATGTGTACCTACAGTTAGGCGTGCGGATAAGATTGATAGGGGAAAGTGTACCAGGCATATACTGTCGTTTCTCTACCGCGCCTTCAAGGTCTTTGTGGATTTTATACGTAGGCCTGTACTGCCTCTCTTCCACCGCGCCCTCGAGGCTCTTGTGGATCTTATATGTAGGCTCATATTGCCTTTTCTCAACAGCACCTTCGAGATCAGCGTGAATCTTATAGGTGGGCCTGTATTGCCTTTTCTCCGTCGCGCCTTCGAGGTCTTTGTGGATTTTGTAGATGGGCTCATACTGGCGCGAGGATAGTTCTGACGATACCTAGAGCAGTGTATTGGTTAGACTTCTAGAGTCAGATAGGTGAGTGCGTGATGATGGAGGTGAGATGGTTACCTCAATAGGTGCTGCCAGGGCGATGGCAGCCATGCCAACAAAGGCGAGTACGGAGAAGCGCATCTTGAGTTTTAGGGGTTGAGATTGGGATCGAAACGGAATCGGTGGGCAAAGTGATGAAGAGGACTGTGAACAAACTTCAACCAACCAGGAATAAGGCCTAGGGTAACTCGAAAGCATGCGAAGAGACCTCTACTTATGAAGATCAACCTGAGATATGTGGCTCCCTCCGGGCCGAAGGTCCTGCTACCGCAACCCTGTCACCGGCGTCGTTACGTTAACATATGCGCTCACCCGCGGCCCGGTTCAATGGATACCCATCCTTTAATATACAACCGTTGTCTAACAAATGCAACTCATTTTCCATTTTCATCTGCAGGCGCGGTTTCACTTATTACGCCAAATGCTACATGATCTAATATACGTGCCTGTTAGTCTCTCAGCCCACCTTCCCCAAACAGCAACGAGTGTCGCTCTCCCGGGCCTTGACTAATCCATCACACGTTCATGTGCGGTAATGGCCGGCCTAGGAGAATCACGAGTGTAACCTCAACAGGGCAGCACCATTATCTACCAGGTATCTTTCTGGGATTTATAGAAAGGCCAACACTAATGCGGGTTGGTGAGCGTCCTAGGTTCCAGACAATCCGATGTTTATTTGCCTCTCCGTATTTACGAGATTCCGGTGCCGGGAAACCGTCCGTAGATAGGATTCCCTCATCCAATCTATCAGACCTTCAGAAACCCGTCACACGGAAATTCCTTGCGTAAGGGCCTGCCACATTCATATTCATCTCATACCGCGCTATCTTCGCGTCGCAAGGTACCATAGACATCTGTCAAAATTTCAGGCTATTAACGCTGTAAATAACTTATCATAGTAAACAGGGCATACCTTAAGATTTCATGTAGCCAATTCGACTATGCCCTCCCCAAATGTTACATATGCGCCTTCGCGCATATCAACCGACAAGCTACCAAATGAGTTCCCCTCACCAGTCCCTTTATTCAGCGAAGGGGGTCCAGATGAGGAAGGAGAGAAGCTACTGGGCGAGACTTTGCCAACTCGAAGGCAATTGGCACAGCGGCATTCGGGGCGACATTCAAGCACCTATGTCACCATAGTGATCACGCTGGTGAACATTATCATATTCCTGATATCCCTCGGGCTCTTCGTAGCGTCACGGGGTCCCAAGTCCCAGCTTAATGCTGAGCTGCGGCGGGTGTCTACTTACAGTACGTAGAGACCTAACGAAGTATTTTCGGCCTGAGTAGCGTAATAGCGGGTGACAGTAGATAGCTAACACATCTTAACAGGCCCCATCTTCGACAAGCTCGACCTAGATCTAAACCCACAGAAAGTCCAAGGGACACTATTCCCTTCCAAAACCGGCGCCTCCATCGCGCGGGAGCTGCCGAACCCCACGGCCGACGAGCAATGGGAAGAGTGGGAACTAAGCCGGTTCCACCCCCTAACGCGATCGGACATCAAGCGCATGGGCAAGGACCCGTCCACCGTAACAAAACTCGAGGACGCAGAATGGGGGCTCGGCGACGACGCCTACGTCGGCGCCTTCGACGTATACCACCAGATCCACTGTCTCAACTCGCTGCGTCGGAACGCGTACCGCGGCTACTATAACCTCACGACGCGCAACCACTCGGTGATGGGCCTGCCTGAGATCCACATCAACCACTGCGTCGATATACTCTTACAAGCGCTGCAATGCAGCGGTAACGTGAATATGATGACATACCACTGGGTTGCGGGACAGGAATATCCGCAGCCCGATATGTAAGTTCAAAATCGCTCCCCGTACTGGTAAAAGGAGGGGATATTTACTAACATACATGTGCGTGGGATGTAGGTCTATTAATCGACAATGCGTCGACTTTAAGAAACTAACCGCATTCCGAAAAGAGAATGGACTTGATCTTGATAAGTACGTGGAGATCATGAAGAAATCGCTGCATCCTGGGGTCCAGGAACGGCATCAAAGCGACGCGTACTACTACTGGTATAATGAAACGAACCCGAATCATATCAATGGAGCAAACCCTGGAGAAGATTTCAATATGTAGCGGAATAATAGCTTTGATTGAATCATCAACATATTGGAATGGTGCCAAAGGTGCTACTACCTAAGTTGCAAGGTAGGTAGTTAGCCTCGATATCTTTGCGAGAGCTAAGATTTTGAGAAAGCAAGGAGCTAGAATCTCAACCTATTAGCGGGCTAAATAGGTATGTTTAAAAGTGTCGGCGTAAGACTCTTTGAATGTGATGGTATCATTTCACTCCGCCTCCTCAGCCACCTCGACGAACTTGTCTTTGCTTACTTTTCCATCACGTTCAATGTCATCCATTCTAGATATGAACTCATCCTGAAGCCTTCTCATAAAACTCCCTAGTGCAGCATCATCCATGTCAGATTGCTGTAGTTGGAGAAGCGTATCGTGCAAATTCAAGATCAGCTTCCGACGCCGGAGTAGCTTTCTTGACTGGGAGGTTTGTTTCTTCTTTTCGATATTTTCTGCGAGTGTTCTTGAGACATTGTCTGCAACTTCAATGAATCGTGTCGGAAACCCGATAGCCCGTGCGAGATTCAGACCGTAATGCTCTTCCTCAACAGGCCCCGATGTAATCTTATACAGCATTGTCATCTTCAAATTTTCATCATCCATAGCATTCATTTCAGTAGCAAGGTGTAAGTTTAAAACTCCTGGTCTACTGCCTAGTATCTTTGCTACATATTCAATCAGAACATGTCTCCTTCATTCAGCACAGGGTCACTCACCGAGTTGCTGAAAGTGGGTAGCAAACCAAACCAAGGAACTGCTCTGAATCAAGGCTTCGGATATAGCAAGTGCAATTGCTAACCCGTCTCTTGTGCTAGTGCCACGGCCAAGTTCATCGATGATGGCTAGGCTCTTTTCGTTAATGTTCCTATTCAATCGTTAGTAAACGTTGGCATATTCATTCCAATCAGATTCTCTTTACCTGAGTATAAATGCCATTTCTCGCATTTCGAGTGAAAAGGTTGACATGTTGGCTTCGATGCTGTCATCTGTTGACATTCGTACGAAAAGCTGTTGAATCACAGGAAATGCCGCATACTGTGCGGGAACAAAACAGCCGACCTGAGCCATTACTTGAAGGAGTGAAATCATCCTGATATAGGTGCTTTTGCCACTCATGTTACATCCAGTGATTATCTGAAATCGGTATTGCTCATTTGCAAAAGCATCATTGGGAACAAAACGCTCAGGGTTAACCTAGACTTTGTGAGCTCCTGATCGCAGTGTTGATGGACATATACCTACTCGTTCGCAAATAGGATGTCTGGCACCTTTGAGAGCTAAGGCATCACTGATCTCAGGCCTTATGTAGTCCCTAGTAGTAGCAGCTTGTCCAAAGGCAGCAATCATATCCAGTAGAGCAACGCTTTCGCAAACACGGAAGAGGTTTGGTACATGTACTCGAATCGCATCTAGAAGTTCTTGAACGACTTTGTCACTTAGCATGATAGCCTCATTGTGAGAATCCGTGATACGGTGGTTGAGTTGGACTAATACCAAAGTTTGGCACTGGATCCACGCCCCTTTGCGCACCCTGTTTATGAGAACGTCTGGAATTTCTCTATCATCAAAGTCACTCTGTCGAATTCGTAACCAATATTGTCGATTGGCATCAAATCGAAGATCTACTAGAAGGTCATGTTCCCCTGCGCAATCAAGTTAAAACTACTTTGGCAACAGTAGCTAGGTACCACTTAAGTAGAGCTTACGGTTGATGTCTTCTATATGTTGGTGAACATCTTCTGTAGCTTCCTTATATGTCTGTCGAGCAACATCTAGGAGCCCATGAACTCCAGACTTAAAAGATTAGGCATCCATTGAACTTTGCACAAATTAGTAAAAAGCTAGGTAGCTTACCTTAACAGCATAAGTTCTTTGATTCCTCATATCAAGAGGGGATTTCATCGCCGTCACGTCTTCGTTAATCGTCGTTGTGATGAGATCCGTGACAGGTTGAGTGAGCTCCGGGCGGCATATTGCACGGATCCTGGTCAGCAGATCTGTACGTGCAGTCCCTAATGCCTCGAAGAGAGTGGGAACGGCGGTGATGAAAGCCTTGACACTGAGGATATTATTGACAGCCTGCTCCGAGGCATATATTGATGATTGATTAGGCACAATAACAAGCTTCATGTTGTCAGCTACCTAGTGGATGGCAAGTTTTAGCACCTAAAAGCTCACCGTAGTCAAGAGCTTTTCCACATCCGCAAATCCTTTGAGAGCTATTGTAGATTAGCGATAAGTATGAAGAGGATATTGCTACTTCTGACCCTTTCGAATTTCAAAGAACATGTCTTCTTTAACGGTAAGCTCGTCAAGTGCATCGTAACGAGGGGTCAGTGTATTGTCAACCTGGCATGAAGGCTGGAGAATATTGCTTCGCAGCATTCTCGACCCCATGGGGGTGAGAGTTTCGTTTAGCAGTCCGAATAGACAGTCTTTTGATTTCGCATTGTGAAGATTCTGGATTAGCTCGAGAGAGTGAATAGTCGAGATATCGATCATCATGGTATTTTCTGATGGTTGATATCGCACACGTAGGGAGTGGGACATGATTGATACATGACAAGAGAGCTCTATATACTTGATAGCCTATATGATAAAATTAAGAGATGCAGACAGGAGAACGGGTCAAATCTCACGTACCGCAGCGAATGAGCATGTAGCATAGAAGTTACCTTCGATAGCCACTTTGATGGCCTCTAGATCCTCTCTGAACGCCAAAGTCTGAATAAACTCGAGGCCAACATTTTCAGACCAATATTTACGATCAAGTGGTTCGATTGGTGTATCGGGAAGTTCTTCCTCGATGATAGAAAGCAGACTGGATTTGGGATTTGGGGGAAATGCAGTGTTGACGATTAAGATTGTAGACGGTTGATACATTTGAATTTTATGGATAGTTTTGACATAAAATTGAGAATCACATATCTGACTTATTACAGCCTCATTGGTGGTTATGTTGACAAAAGCAAGACCAACGGTAGGAGATACGCCCCGAGCTTCGGAAACGCTGCATACAATCTCATGGGAATCTGTGCCCCAGACTGACGAGGTGGTCCGGGACTTACGGCCCGAGGTAGTACTAGCATGGCGGCGCTGCCCTGAACGTTGCGACAAGCTCGTTGCAGAACGGCTGCCACTGAACGAGGTAGACAAGCGCTGAGTAGTCGAGGTGGTCGGTCTAGGTAGCACACCATGAGTAGCACTTGGATAAGGGGTTGAAGATGTAGTGCGTGATATGGAATGGTTAGAGGGGTAAGAGGTCTTCCGTGAACGAGACGGTGTTTCTTCACTTGAAGACTTATGAGGTCTTGGCGGAATAGAGGAGGAGGACTCCATCATTGGTGGACTCACTCGACAGTTATGTAAAACCAGCCAAGATTGATGACATTAGAATACCCATAAAGAAGTAACTGAATGTGATGAATTGGAAGAAATTACCCAGTACATAGTAGACTTCTATTGAAGGTTCAATGTTGCCTTTTGATTACATTTGGGTCTGATATTTGAAACCACTACTTAACCTTAGTAGGTATGGAAAACAATGTTTCAATTTCATAAGGTTTACGGGGAGGTTCACTTGATAATCTGCTAGAGAAGGCCATTTCTTTGAGGGCGGGATGCGACTCCCCATCCTGCCATCTGACTTGAGGCATCTGCGACTGCGATGATGTAAGGTCACCCAGGGTTACAAAGTAAAGATGGCCATCAGGGTCCTCGATCAACAAAAGAGAAATATAAAAGAAATCGATAAGATAACGATAAGAAATGTAATTTTTTGAGTTTTCAAACTTTCGGGATATTGCCCCACCACCCCACGACGACCTTATTTCTGATATAAACATTCAAATAACAAAACAACCAAAGATCTTACTGTGATCGCGCATATTCAATCTAATTATTTTTGATATCGCCAAGTGTTCCATCTGAACCCCAAATATTTAACTATATAATAAGTGTTGGCAATTTAACAAGAAACAAGATAGAATGGCTACTATAGCCCCCCCACCATCGAAGCGACAGCGTCGAGAAGCTTTAGAACGTACTCAGATCCAACAAGATGTCACCCCACCGGTTATTGAAGCAGGATCATTCAAAGCTCGATTCATAGATAATGATGGGAACCAACTGGCCGAAACAATAGAGGTTCCCCTTGCTGATGCGACGGAGAAGAATGTGTCTCTATTGCTCAACACTTTGCTGGGAAGGGTATGGAATATGCATTAGATGTTGCGCCCCGAACAAGAACCAAGAACTAAGACCTCGTTGATACATAGGAACGTGAAGAATTTACGCCATATCGCTTTCGTATACATGTACCTGGTTCCGACATAGTAATTGATAACTACCCGACGCCTTCCGAATTTCTCGCAGTCCTTCGCAAGCATGGCGTCGAGAACCCCTTTGAAACAACGATCACGTTAGCTGCGGAGCCCCAGGCAGTCTTCAAAGTACAGGCTGTGACGCGCATGTCAAATAAGATACCGGGACATGGAGAAGCTATCCTAGCAGTGCAGTTCTCTCCCAAGACGAGCGGTCTTCTTGCGACTGGATCCGGCGACAATACGGCGAGATTATGGAATACAGACAGTGGAACACCCAAATTCACTCTCAAGGGCCACACTGGTTGGGTCTTGGCATTGGCATGGCGTCCTGATGGGCAGAATTTGGCAACTGGTAGTATGGATAAGACAGTTCGAATGTGGGATGAGTCAGGCCAGGCTGTCGGCAGACCATTCAGTGGCCATAGCAAATGGATTACCAGTATAACATGGCAGCCATTTCACCTATGGCGTGACGACACGCCAAAACTAGCTAGTGCCAGCAAAGATGCTACCATTCGGATCTGGATTGCGAACACTGGCATAACTGAGCATGTACTCTCAGGGCATAAAGTGAGTAAATGGCTCAGACCATTAAGGTTAAAAAAGGCTAACCGTGATGTAGGGTAGTGTGAGCTGTGTTAGATGGGGTGGGACGGATCTGATATACAGTGCCAGCCAAGATAAGACCGTCAAGGTGTGGGATGCCGTCAACGGAACCTTGAAGCATACGCTTGCGTCACACGCACATTGGGTGAACCACTTAGCGCTCTCTACAGATTTCGTGCTTCGAACAGCATTCTACGACCATACAAAGAATGTCCCGGTGTCCACAGAGGAGAAGCGGGCTAAGGCGAAGGAGCGATTTGAGAAGGCAGCAAGGCAGCAAGGCAAGATAACGGAACGGATCGTCTCAGCTAGTGACGACTTTACCATGTATCTCTGGGACCCCGCGGAGGGCACCAAGCCGTTGGCGCGAATGCTAGGGCACCAGAAACAAGTCAACCACGTTTCCTTCTCGCCCGATGGGAATCTGATAGCCAGCGCTGGTTGGGATAACCACATTAAGATATGGGGCCGGTAAGTCATCAACTCTGTATCTCCCTCTGCAAGATCCGGTGTCGTTCTAGTGTACGATTCCGCATTACCGGATAGAGTGACGCCTAAGGCATGTTGAAAGCTGCTAATATGACAAGCAGCGACGGGAAATTTCTGGCAACGTTACGGGGTCATGTAAGTCGGCATCTTTCCAATAGCATTCCAGTCACTGTCATCGACCTACATATTGCTTGCATGGCCTAAATCGGAGCTTGTGAGGATGAAATCAATTACTAATTATAAATAGGTGGCGCCGGTCTATCAATGTGCCTTCTCAGCCGATTCGGTAAGTGATATTAAATTCTCTATCTAGAGAAATATTTCCTAAGAACATCAAAATTCCCTCAGGGGGACACACCTCCTTTGACTCATGAGTAACAACTGACTGACATGTGATTATCAGCGCCTCCTATGTTCTGGATCGAGGGATACTACGCTGAAGGTATGGGACATGCGATCCTTCAAGTTGTCGGTCGATTTACCCGGCCACGAGGATGAGGTATATGCGTTAGATTGGTCTCTGGACGGCCGTCTTTGTGGGTCCGGGGGGAAAGACAAAGCTGTACGGCTTTGGCGCAACTGATTGGTGAGCGAGGGTAGAGCTGAGTCGAGATAAGCTCACTTGCCGATTACCACCCAGCCTTGATTACAATTTAATGGCCGAACAATCCTACCGTCTTTCTACGTACCCACCACACCTCAACCTCCAGATTGCATGACTTTTCTCATGGCGTGGTTCCCGTGGAAACCTTACCGTTGATGAGGATTCCTCATTTACAACTTTAAGATGAGAGAGTTTTTGAAAAAGATAGACAGACGGGGATAGATGGGGACTATGGGGGTTGGGGATTGCGGGAGAAACATCCGCAAGTACTTACATAATAGAGGATACCTACATTCTCATTTTCTGAGCCTCGTAACAACATTTATCATGTACGAAGTACTGTCCTGTACACACAAAATGGAGACTTGAATGCAATGGGACATGCTGCTGGAGTACATACTGTAGTTTATTCACTGTAGGTACCCTATATTCCCCAAACAACAACAACAATCGATGGTGGGGATTTTTGAACAGCATTAGAGCCTGACGATCCAGCCAAGTGGCACACGAAATGCGGGCCGTTCCTGCATAAGTGAGTGGCGGTCTTTTTTTGCGCGCCGTGACCCTTTCGGGAGTGCAGCCGAGTCGACAGATTTAACTCTAGATCCGATTTTCAAAACAAGTCATGATGTTATCACACATCGGTCATATTCCTTCTGTGCCCAGAAACTCTTTTTTTTTTCTTTTCCTTTTTTCTTTCGGTTTTGGTTCTGACAAGCGGAAGAAAGAAAACTTACCTACGTACGTACATGCACTACTTGACTCGCGCTGTTGTGCAAGTATGTATGTAAGTGCAAGTGTGTACGTATGTAAGCCGGCTATGCTGCTGAATAGTTACTAGTACGCGCGGACAAAAGTTTGTGTGCTGCTAGACCAAGCGCTTAGTTATTTCCGCTTTTTGCAGTCGCGCTTAGGTATGTAGGCTAACCCAGCTGCAAGAGAGACCTGCCCAGGTGGCTTGTCTGCGGCCCATCTGCAGGTCTAAGAACATCCACAGGTCAGTAGGCAGGTAACACGCACCAGGAGACTAGGTATACTAGGTGAAGATCCAGAAAGAAGGCGGGGTAAGCCACTATGTAATGCACGTGGTTTGTTACGATATAGAAATCGAGTAATAAGCCTTCGAAGGGGTGGGCTCTCTAGGTATGTAGGTATGTAGTGTACTCCTCCGTATGTGCATAGCTAGGCAGCTGAGAGATAAACCTGATGGGCTGGTCTCGACATGGACAATGCCAAGAATGTGACATCCAATCCATTTACGATTCGAACCTCTTTTCACGATCAAATTGGTAACGGGGGTTTGTACTTTTGCTCTCTCCCTCAGGGGGTTTAGGGGGGGCAAGTGAACGAGTCGCACTGCGGATGGGAATTTCTCGAAAAGGAGGTTAGCGACGTTTGAAGGTTCTCAATTCTATCGAGCACTCGAGCCAATAGGGAGGTTCCACATAAATAAAGGTCCCTTTTTAGTGCCTAAAGATCGTGTTCATGCTTCCAATGTTGTTTCTTGGTTGCAGCTAATAGCTGTTGTTCCCGGTAGTTGCTGGATATCGATGGATATATGGATGGATCACTCGTTACCGCGTGATCAAAAATGTTGGAGCTTTCTGTCTACGTCTGGACTCTGGATACCTATTCTTAGGTTGTCTGTCTCCTTTTGAAATCCAACCCAGGTAGCGAATGTGGCTATTGCTAAGTTATTGCAGGCGGTTGTGATTCAAGTCCATCAATGATTAGTCCATTAGTCCATTAGAGCAAGAATTATCGACGCTGACAAGCCTTCACCCAATCAACTCAACCCATCTAAGAGTTTCGCACACCCCCCTGCATAAATCTTGGTTGCGAACCTGGTCTAAGAAGTCTGCGCCAGCATGCGAGCTTTTTTTTTCATCGAAGCTTCTCTTGGGCACCAAAGGAGTTACCATTTTGGGCAAGCCGCATCGAGCTTATATGCGATAGCTTGTCGCATGTGTTATGGAAGGTTCTAGCCTCTGTACGGCCTCCCTACGACGTTCAAGGCTGTATGTGTGAGACGACAAGAGTGCGAGGTGAAGGGTAGATAGTCAGATAGTCAGATAGTCAGATAGATTAGATTTAGATGGGTGCGGCTTAAGGGAACTTCATTTAGGTGCTCATGCAATGTGATCTTGGTAGGCTAAAATGGCCAATTGTCTTAACTTTCCGCCGAGCTGGTCTGTACCTTTCTATTGATGTAGGGGATGTGTAACAAATGCTCATGATTAGACAGATTGAAGGATGGATGACCACGGGAAACCAAAGGTGGATTTGATGACTGCCATTGAAGCTATCACGTCTTCAAGGTTCGTCCGCAAAGACCCGAGTGAACTGGTTACATTGAGGGGCATGGCCGGGGTAAGCTCAACGTATGCTCCGGTGGATGTTTTGAATAAACCAATTAGACTTGTTGAAAAGACAATGTGCTCTAACGTACAATTTACAGAGGGGGCTGTGATTTGAATGTTGTATGCAGCAAAGAAGGGCGTTGCTAAGACCGCAACGGCTTTGGCACACTGTATGTTGTAAGTGGAGAGAGACCAAAGAGAAAGAAAGAAGAAAAAAAAGGGACAAAAAAAGACGGGAATTTCGGCATATGCTGGAGTGCGGGAACCAAAAAGCTCGGGCGAAAGTCTGCCACGACCATACAGATCCATGATGCGTTTTACCTACCACGTTTATTGATCCTTGGGTAGTGGAGGGGAACTGTTTCTCGGTAAGCAGCCAAGCTGGTTATCCTCAAATCCAGGCGTTTTACCTACCTGAAGTTTGGGGTGTGGATTTTGTGGATGGTAGGCAGGTATACGATAATTCATGTTAATTACCTAAGTACTAGGTAACTTCGGACCAAATTCTCCTGGGCAACCTGAGTAAAGGCTATGTATAAGCACACCGGGCCGGGTTTTGGTAAAAGAAATGCTAGAAATCTCGATCGTCTCATAGATATCTGATTCTCATTGATTTTGTTACTTCGTTGGTTGTTTGGTTCAAATGAACCCTTGTGTTGGCTTGTCGTTTATATTGGATAATACAGACATACAGATACTACTAGTAGTATTCACTCAAATCTAATCCAGGTTCAAGTTGGTTATGTTGGATGTGCGTGAGCTATGTAAGCTTTTGCTAGATGGAAGTGAATTAACCCGTGACCCGTGTTAGACGCGAATTCCTTTTTGTTGGACGCGAATTGCATATTGAAAATAAAAAAGTGTATGAAGTCATATACTTAAAGAAACCTTGATATTGATATGGATTCTGTTCATTCCTAATGTTGAAGGAGCTTTCCTTCCAACGTTCCAACGTATCACTTGGCTACGTCAAGACTTGAGATTTAATTTGTGAGATGGAATACAATCGACTTTGCGATCGATTTCTAGAAGAAGAGAAAAGACGAAAAAAAAAGGTATGGCTATTTTTTTAAGTGGAGACCTTTGCATTTTCGACTCAAATTTTCTCTTACGGGCGTTACATATTATTACAGCTCCTTAACGGCTTGTCGGCAAAACCAAAAAGCGCCGTGGGCCTGGGTAAGCTTGAAGTGCTGGAAGGTTAGCTGCAACGCTCCGCTAGGGCCCTGTAACGACGTAGCAAGTTAACCCCTGTCGGAATGGCCTTGGTGTGCTTGGTATCTTTTACTTTTGAAGTACGTCACTGGTCACCTATTTTATTAGTGTTTAGTGTGTCCAACCGTTGTACAAATCGACTTGCTATCCAAATTTAGTTCCAAATTAACACAGTAACTGACATCAATTTGGATTTGGTCCAACAAGCTCCGCCGCCTTTTATATATGTACTGTACCCAGCTTTTCTTATGCTGGCTCTCATACATATGAATTCATGCCTCACACATAATTTATACTTTTTTGCGTCACCTTGACCTACCTTTCTTTTTTTATCAATTAACTTTTTCAACTAACCCCTCCCGGCAGTATCCCGTTCCTCTCCGCCGTCTCCCCAGCCCGTTACCTAGTAGGATCATCCGACTCTTAAAGGAACGACGTCCGATCTTCAGACTTCCAATTTTATTATTTGGGCTTCACCTCAACTGATTCAAGCAAAGCAACTGACAACTCAACCAAGTCAATCTACACAAGCTCACTACAAGCTATCATACCTACACATCACAATCCTGACACCCGATAATCTTCATAGCCTTTCCTATGAGCTTGCAATTTCTGTTTACAACGCTTTTTATATCCAGGCTGCACCAAGAAATTCCAGTCTGAGTCTTACCAAGACCAATCTGCAGCAACAACAAATTTCCGCAGCTGTTGTATTGGATAATATCACCACAACTTTTTCACAATGACTATCTTCTTAGCCTCGCTGTGAGTACATCAATTTTATAATTACAATTTTATAATTATTAGTTTCTATTTCAGTTATATCATTTGTGCAATCCTACTTTCTTTCCATATAACCAAGTCTGCTCGCTTGGGGTGTTTTCCCATTGTTGGGAATTCGGCGCCTGAGTTGTTTTCAGACTTGGTCTTTGGTCTTAGGTCTTAAGGAGGCCGGGTAGAGCCGTAGTACTTTTACGAGCGAAAAAAGATCGCCCAGGCGGATATCCCGCACGGCCACCGCTTATACACCCATGTAAACAACAATTAGCTTACTTGCTTCTCATTAGGTTTCTCCCGAAGACCGTTTACTTCAAACTACCTAATGCGCCAGCTGCGAGCGAGCGCCATACTCAAAGAAAGAGTACCAAAAAAGTGCTGAAACGACCTCCTCTAGAGCTTCGCACTAGTCTCTTTCCCGACCCCGCAATCACTCCTCCCAAGACACCCGAGGAGGAGACTACCAACCTTAGTGATGCCCTTTTTGTAAATGAGGACGGGCTTCGTGTGATTAACGTCTCGGACGACGAGGAATTTAGAGCGCCAGCGCCGACCGACAAAGAATCACCGAAATGGGGTGGCCGAGCTAACCAGCCAAAATCTCGAGCGAATTCCCCTCCTCCAGCCTCCCTCTTAGATCATGCTAGGACCCTGGAAAAGGCCAAGGAGCTTGGACGACAAGGCATTCTTCAACCTCGAGTAGCAAGGAGCGATAGCCATGACAGGGTCTTCGCGCATGCCAATTGGCGCATAGTGAATGCGGATCAAGGCAATGGAGGTCTTCGCAACGCAGCCGAGGCAGCAGGGCGCGATGGGTATAACCAGGAATACTCATGGGTGGGCACTTTAGGGATGCCCACGGATGCGCTCGAAGGGACACAGCAAAAGCAAGATATCACCGACAGACTGGTGACTGAGTTTAGTATGTACCCCGTCTTCTGCTCCGATAAAGACTTCGACGGACATTATTTGCATTTCTGCAAGCAAATTCTTTGGCCTGTCTTTCACTATCAAATACCCGACAACCCGAAGAGCAAGGCCTACGAAGACCATTCATGGCAATTCTATGTCAACCTGAACCAAGCCTTTGCCGACAAGATCGTCAAGAATTGGAAACGAGGCGACACGATATGGGTCAACGATTACCATCTGCTACTGGTGCCAAGCATGATCCGCAAGAAGCTCCCGGATGCAAAAATTGGTCTGTTTTTACATGTTGCCTTCCCATCTTCCGAGGTCTTCCGATGTCTCGCTGTCAGAAAGCAATTACTGGAGGGCATGCTCGGCGCGAACCTTATTGGCTTCCAGATCCATGAGTACACTCGCCACTTCTTGCAAACCTGCAGCCGCCTCCTCTCTGTAGAGGCGACTCCCGATGGGGTGCAATTGGAGGATCGGTTTGTGAATGTGATGAACCATGCCATCGGTATTGACCCTGTTAGTCTCAACGGTCATCGCCAGGATGAGGAGGTGATGAAATGGATCGAAATCATGAGAGATCGATACAAGGACAAGAAGATCATCGTCGCCCGTGACAAGCTCGATCATGTTCGTGGAGTCCGGCAGAAGCTTCTCTCCTATGAGCTGTTTCTTAACAAGAATCCTCAATGGAGAGACAATGTCGTTCTCATCCAAGTGGCTCTATCTAACGGCGAAAAGACAGACCTTGACGCCGCAGTCGGCGATATTGTCACTAGGGTAAATTCCAATTGGGCTAATCTCGCCTATCTACCTCTCGTGTATCTGAAGCAGGACATCCCATATTCCCAATACTTGGCTCTTCTGACAATCGCGGACGCTCTCATGATCACCAGTCAACGTGAGGGTATGAATCTTACATCACATGAATTCATTGTCTGTCAAGATGGTGAATACTGTGACAGGAAGCATGGCTCTCTCATATTATCAGAGTTCACTGGGACTTCGTCCCTTTTCGGCGGAAAGGAATTATCTGTCAACCCGTGGAGTTATCGGCAGTGTTCAGAAGCAATCAAGCAGGCGCTTGAAATGCCTGATGAGGAGAAAAACGAACGGTGGACAGCACTTCGTGAAGTCGTCAGCCAACATACCGGAGGCCAATGGTTCTCCAAATTCATAGCATCTCTCAACCAGGTCTATGAGGAACAGCACCGACATGATCAAACATCTGTACCTCGACTGAATTTGAATGCCCTTGGTGCCCGGTATTCTCAAAGCAAACGTCGTCTGTTCTTCCTTGACTTGGAAGGTACTCTAATCCCCTATGGACCGATGAATGAAATCATTCCCATGAACCCTCAGGTTTGCTATCCTTCTATCATATTATCTTCGAACATAGTCGGTGCTAATAAATGAGTAGCGCACTCTAGACGTCTTGAATGATCTAGTGGACGATCCTCGCAATACCATATACGTAATGTCTGGACGTAGACCTGAAGAGCTCGATCGACTTTTCCGCTTAGTTCCTAACTTAGGCCTCATTGCGGAGAATGGCTGCTTTATCAAGAGTTCTGCCGACGGAAATTGGACTGAAATTGCAGACCACAATCGAGTCTCTGCTTGGAAAGAGTCGGTCCGGGGGATACTCCAGTACTACCTGGAGCGCACACCTGGATCAGAAATTGAAGACCGCAACTGTTCATTAATTTTCCATTACAAGCATGCCGATGATTACGCCAATGCGGAACGACAAGCAAGCGATTGGACTGGGCATATCAACGAATCCTGTGAAGAACAGCGCGTGCATGCTACACAGTTAGACAATTGCGTCGTTGTCGAATCGATTGACTGGACTAAAGAAACTGCTGCTGCCCAGGTATACCAAGATGCCATTAAACACCCTCAGGGTGTAGAAGCAAGTCCAGTGGATTTTGTCATGGTCGTTGGAGACGGCCGTGAGGACGAGAAAGTCTACAAATGGGCCAACAGCCTGAAGACGGCTGGCGGCGATGCTCAGGTAGACAACGTCGTTACCGTAAGCTTGGGTAGCCGGAATACTGAAGCTACTTCTACATTAACTCAGGGTGTGAGCGGTGAGTGAAACATTCAGCACATTCATACATTATCATATGCTAATCAATGATTCTAGGTGTTCTCGTCACTTTGCAAAAGCTTGCTGGACTTTCATAGACAGAAGTTTTCGCAACCTCGACAATGGATATTGCGCTCCATGATATTATAGCTGGCGTGTCTGGGGTACTTTGAGCTTGCTTGGGAGTCCCGGCGTTTGGCTTGGTGTCGTGCCCTTAGTGGCGTGGAGCATGATGATTATATGATATCTGCGTTTTTCGTAGCTAAAAAACAGACTCCTCGTCTTGACTAGAGTCCCTGTACATCATGGAGAGATGCGCATTAGAACGGAGTTGGGTTCTCCCTTTTTCTTTAATATTTCTTTATGAGTCGCCCCCGACTTTATATTTCCATGGATGTATTGCAAAAGTCTTCAAAAGCTACGAGGGGGGTTGGTTTGATTATGGATATGTCCGCACAGGACAACACAAAATGTTTTCTTTTTTCCTTTCTTCTTGGAACAGGTCCTATATTTTGGAGGGATGTTATGTATCATCATGATGAATAGGACGATGAGACGACGTTCCGGGTATGCTTAGGTAATGAGCCTCGGCCGATATTAATGAATTCACGGAGAAGCTTCACAGTCGTTTATAGAATGGAAGACGAATTGAAAGGCTCAGGTTTATATTGGTTTTTGTTTTCTGTTGTACATAGGTAGTTAGCATAGGGGGCGTTGATGTTCACACGCAAGGACTTACCTAGCTGTGGTGTGGTTGGGAAGTGTACGAGGGATGAGAAATGAGACAACTCCTTTCTTGATTTGTTGGTTCGTTATACATGTGATATGAGTGAGCGCCCCTATGCACTGAAGGGCCACGCCTAAGAACACATAACATTGAATAAAACAAATCAATAAGGTGCCTAAGACCTATACCATGTCGGCTGTGCTTCCACCATACCTTGTGGTCACTGTGCTATATTTCCGGCTTCAATTGCTTTACCAACTTTCGTAGGTCTTAGATGTATGTATCCGCGCGCTGGCTTTAGGAATTGCGACCTCGAAGGCTTCAATGTTCTTTTGTATCCGTATCACCTTCTCCACATAGTTAGCATCTGTCTACCTAGGTATGTATCCATATGCTATTGCCTACTATTAGATACCCCAAATGTTCCGGCTTAACTATATCCATCTAATCGTATGTTTACGACAGACAGCAGCCTCTCAAAATCAAAACCGCGATACCCATCCACCCCACGAAAGGAAATTGGACCACGGCGTGGTGTGGTATGTATGTATGTATGTATGTATGTATGTATGTGTGTCTTAACCTGGGATAACAAGATGGTATGAGGATCATATCAGACACATCACGCACCATTCACATCGCACACCTTACACATAACTACGTACACACATTTAGGATGGTGGTGTTGTTGTTAGGTGGGTATTCGTCATCTATCCTCCGAGCAATTAAGCCGCATCAAACTAGGTAGCTAACCTCGATCGGACGACACACCAAAGATTAACCAACGTCTACCTAGCTAGTTAGGTGTTGTTTGGTTCACAATGGCTTGATGCCGTCAGCAGATAAAACGTCTGGGCATCTTAAGATGAAGGGTTCCAATGTTTTTTTTAAGCGAAGGGGGGGGGGAAGAGGAGGTGATACAGCATTTGTTATTAGATGATGGGATGCCGGAACGTCGCTTTGTTGAGTGCCGGCATGGTTCTAGATGCATGCATACATGTGTATGTAGGTAGATATGTATGCAACATAGGTGGGCATGCATGATGTTGTGCGTGGGGACGGTTGCGGTGCTGTGGTCGATGGATGGTAAGGTATGGTTAGGGTATGGCGTGAGGCTCATACTATCCTTGACATTAAGCCGAATGTGACAAACAGACCGAACTCCTCTCTGAGTTCAATACAGTGCAGTACTGTGTATAGATGGGGGGGGATGGATGGTGGCTTTGGAGTTTTGGAGTTTAGGTATAGGAAACTCCGCATTCACATGCATGCGATACCTAACCTACACTATATCGCGGGGGATGGAATAGAATCACGATTCACCGGTAGTTACTCAAATGATCGTCAAACCACCACATTGAGCTCGTACTAGACTGGGTAGCATCTACCATAGATGTGCAGACCCCCCCCTGAATATAGCATCCTCTTTAGTCAGGTTGATTATCGACGATATAACGTAAGCGACCAAAGGGACGGTTCTACTCCAGGTTCTTGTTTGGTTCTTGTTTGGTCGAGAACGTGCTAAACAGGGGTTCCAGTCGCTACCCCGGGGAATTATGGGTAGGGGTCCGGTAGCGCTGCACATCGTTCGCGTCTCATCTGCTCATCTGGCGTTTGGCGGACTTCCGAATAGATAGCTCCGAACTACGTGTGCAACTCGATCCATATCCCTTGGACGTCATAGACGGGGCACAGGTTATACAAATACCTGGGCTCTTCCACTGCTTTCTTCCGATGTAGACCTTCTCATTTCAATTTTAACCCAGAAAAAAGCCATCCAACATTGCTCGATCTACCTGCACTTGAAGCTTAGTAGGGTGACTGTGCCTCGACACCTACCACACACTCCAGACGAAGATCCTTACCCCAATATCTGGCCCGGAGTTCCGTCGGCTGCGCGACCACGCCTACTTACCTGTGTACACGTGTATGTTGGTTCCCGCAGCTTGTGCGGGGACGTTGTACATAAGAAGGGCGTTGGGGTCATTCAACTTACTCTTTTACCCCAGACTCTCAGACTCTCAGACTCCCAGATAATCCGGGGAACCCAAAATCCCACCTGAAAACTACGTTGGGCCGGAAGGATCGTACTTGTGAATAACTAGTTCACCGGTGTAGGATTTAGTACGCAGAAGCCTAGTGAGATACTCATAAAACAACCCGGGAACACAACAGCAAAACGGGCTTATTTCTTTTGCCAACGACGATGGATATGGAACCGGCAAGCCCTTCGAGCCCCTCACCGACTGCTGATTCGGACCCTTGGTTCTGGTCATGGGTTTCGACTTCATATCCCAATTAAACCAACCACGACTCACTCACTCACTGCAACGAATCAAATGACTGCCAAGCATGACTGGCTGAGATAGAAGGAAGGCGGGCGTCGCGCGAGGGAACTCGCTCGAGCCCGTGGCTTACTTGGCTTGTGTTGAGGCTCAATGTGGCGAGAGCTGAAGAGCTTGTAATGCTGTCAATGCGACACGTTTCTACCGGCTCAGCACTTGCGCGATAGTGGTTGTATCATTCCCTGTTCTAGGGAATCCATTTTCAACAAGTGTAATTCCGTCCTTGGCCTTCGCAATGCGTGCGGGGGAAGGAGGAGTCTACTTTCCCTCAACAAGAAAGATCTCGCACTGCTAAAGTCTTGAAATGAAGGGATGTTCGCAGACTTTCAGGCCATTTTACCTGGGTACATTGCTGCGCCGAAAGGGCTGCTGCAACTATTGGGTATCGGCATGAGTTTGAACGATGGCTACGATAACGAATGTCCTGGAGGGTTTAACGTGTCAATCTCACTGTATCCTGTATCCATACTTCGGATGAGGAGAGTGCTAGCGTGACGCGTAGGTCGAGATTGGGTTTTGGGTATAGCTTGGTCAATAGGGCAAAGGGATGGATTCTTGGTGTCAAAGTTTGCAGTGTGTTTGAGCGGACTTCGTATCAATCCAGGAGGGCTTGGTGCTTAGTGGTTCGGTTGACGAAATATGCCGCCGAGTAAAAAGTCAAGTCAAAGAGTCGATGCAAACAAGTTAAGATGTCAAAGGGGGAATATTGATTAAGGAGACAAAGCCGTGGCCGATTTTGCGTGTATTTCTGTCTATAGGGGATTGATGTTAGCCCAATCTGTTTCGTATTTCAATGTTCAGCTTCCAGTCGCAACAACACATTGGATATTTTCATGATCGCTCCGTGAGGCATCGAATGTTAAGTTGGTAATTTTAGCTCATGAAGAAAATCCAAATCATATGAGAAACATTGAACTGAGACAACTGACTAAGCCGATCAAGGATTTAGGCAGTAACAGGTAAGGGTGCTTTCCAATATCCTTATATCCCCCTGTGGTTCCGATTGTCGGAGTCATGTATTTTATCTTGACGGAAGGAACGAAACTGGGACACACCAAAAAAATAGCAGAGCCAATGAACTAATTGCATATTCTCAGCTTATTCACAAAGATTTTCTTAATTGTGGCCTTCGAGAGATTCTCTGGAGTTTCTTCTGTAACAACGTCGAGTCCGTAACTGCAATCAATCAAAGCTTTCACTGCCCCTCCAAACCAAAAAACCATGGCTCAGTTCCCACCCCCACCAGTTAATACTATCGACTGGCCAAATCTTGGCTTCAAAGTGCGCGAGGGTAAGTCTGCTGTATCACTACACCAGAAGAGGTATAAGCCAATAAATTGACCCAATATCTCCTTGGTTTTAAATAGTGAACGGGCATATCGAGTCGCACTACTCGCTCAAGACCGGAAAATGGACGTCCCCCGAGTTTGTCGCTGACCCATACATCCGCCTCCATGGTATGGCCCCAGCCATTAACTATGGTCAACACGCATATGAAGGCCTCAAAGCTTTCCGTACTCCCTCTGGAGACATACAGACCTTTCGACCGGATCGAAATGCTGTCCGCATGCAGCACTCGGCCGAGTTCATATCTATCCCTCCTGTACCTTCCGACTTGTTTCTCGATGCCGTAAAAGCAGCCGTGTCTCTCAATGCCGAGTATGTCCCTCCTCATGAGATCGGCGCAGCTATGTATATACGACCGCAAATCTATGGATCCAGCGCCCAATTGGGCCTGACACCTCCCGAGGAATATACTTTTGCGGTCTTTGTCATGCCCACGGGAGTGTACCACGGTGCGCATCCTGTCAAGGCTCTGATCTTGGACGACTTTGATCGCGCAGCTCCACATGGAACCGGCACTGCAAAGATTGGAGGAAACTATGCGCCCGTATTCAGGTGGAGTGAGAAGGCCAGGAACGAAGGTTTTGGCATTACGCTTCATCTAGACAGCGCGACCCATACAGAAATAGACGAATTCAGCACGAGTGGATTTATCGGCGCTCTTGTCGACGGAGACAATGTGACACTTGTGGTACCCGACTCCCAGAACGTGATTCAGAGCGTAACAGCGGATAGTATCGTGGAAATTGGTCGTAGCTTTGGGTGGAAGGTGGAGAAAAGACCTGTGAGCATCATTTGGCTGATCAGACAGTGGTTTTTCAATCTTGCTAATTCCATTCCAGATTCAATACACCGAGCTACCTAAATTCTCTGAGGTCATGGCTGCAGGAACCGCTGCGGCTATTGTGCCAATACGGTCCATCTCGCGACGCCTCGACCCCGCGTCACCACAATCCATCACCTCTGTACTCAAGGAGCATCCTCGTCTGTCGACCGAGGGAGAGTTCGAAAAAGTTACATTTATCCCGGAGGCGATTGAAGACGCAGGCCCTATTTGGTTACGGCTTATTACTCAACTCAAAGGGATCCAGCTAGGCAAGGTCAATGATGATTTTGGCTGGTGTTTCCCCATTACCCGTGAGGATGGAATAAAAGTGACCGGTGAGAAAAACGGCGCGAGCAGCAACGGAGAAACCGTCGACCAATTGGACTAATCAAGCCAATGGACTTCGAATATTGTTCACTCAATTCCCATACAAGGATTTTAAGGATGCGCTGATGGGTAAGACAAAAAAAGTTCGAAAACAGGAGAAAATATAAGACTAGATAGACGAAGATTCGTTCCTTTATAATCTAAGACACATGGATGTGTTGTTTCAATGGGATTTGCGTCTCACTGCATACATATATAGGGTCATTTGATAACTACCTACCTAAGTTGGTAGTCGTATGTATAGTCGCATTGCGTTGAATATGCGCCTGTCTTATCAAACCTCCAACGAGAACACGACAATCAACAGCGTATCGTCTGCGACACAGAAATAGTTAACTGGAGCGGTGGAAACACGAGCCTGCTTATTTTTTATTTTATTTTCTCAACAAGCCATTTCAAATATCATCATCATCGAATTAAAAGTTAACAGCTAATAAGTCGTTCATTAACTTCCGCTAATATCAATTAAGAAGTCCTAACCGTTTATTTCAAGTACTGCATAGTAACGTAGCCAGGTTTGGATTTTATTCCTGTTTTTACCCAGGTATGTCTATTTCACATGTCATCCAGAAGCGTTGGAGTTAACTTGGAGACTAACCTTATAGTATCCTAGACTTTGCATATTGGATGAGGCATTTTTCTCCAGCTATATTCTTTTTATTGCCGCTGGGTACCTCATCTGAATCCATCGAAGTATTGACATGCCGTAGGTACTGTAGCTGGCTAGATACCTACCTAATCTAGTAACTACCTAGGTAACCAGGTAGGCTACTCTAGGTAGATCCATATGCAAACCCCGTCCTCATAATGAGCACTCGTCTTACGAATATGTATTATCTCGATATTAGGTCCTCTCTATCATGAGGCTGGCTCACGATAAGGAAACAAAAATCTCCAATTCGTCACGTCAGTGAGTCTGTCATACCCCCCCTAGACATCAATTCGTTGGACTGGATCTTGGCTCCGCAGCCCCTTATCGAGAGGCGCCCTGTCCCAGTCCAAACTCCAAATTGTGTTGACACTTACGCCGGAAAATAGCGGGCTCTCTTTCAACTCATCTCCTTCTTCTCTACAACAAAGCAAGCTTTCAACAAGCTTTGTGCACAGCCCCTGAAAATCGAGATCGACACTAATGCTAGGGCTTTGTTTGAGTCGGGGGGAGCTACTCCAACGACCCCAGTCTTACAGTCTCTCCCCCTCCCCCGTTCGAGAACCGATATATCATTTCTCACCGGCAGAATTAGCTTCTAGCTTCCACAGGCTAGTACCACGCATCCGCTTTCGTTCTTTTTGTCGGCTCCCACATGCTCTGTACGAAGAAGAGGCCTCTCACTCGTCTTCCCCACGCCGATCTTTCGTCTTATCATGACCCGGGCTTTGGATCCAGATGATTCCTTCAATTTGGTGGATGCTCTTCCCGTCAGCAAAATTTGCGCCGACCTAATCCTTTGGCGCAGTGTGTACAGTTAGCTGTAATAATCTAGTTTTACTTCTTTCTCATATAATTAAATCACCTTCACCATTTGCACCATTTGCATCAGGCTAGATCAAATTCAAAGTTTCAGGGCTTTTCCTCCTGGTCATGTGAATAACACCTAGCCTTGCGAAGTAAATTTTTTTCCCTTTGGCACGCTTCTTCGTGTACCTCAAATAGGACTTGACTTTCCTTTCCATCTATCTATCTCTCTTTCGTAGGATGCAGTTTGATCATCATGACGGCCCCAACGACAATCACCATTGCTGCGGATGACGACGTGTCCGGTAAGCCGGACAGCTCTACCAACATGCCTGATATTGGAGGCATCTACCACTCGCGCAACTTCTCGCGGCCCCGTAGATCGCGCAGTAACACGCACGGGTCTCACGATAGGCGGAGCGATCACCTCGACGTCGAGGACGAGGATGATTGGCTCCGCGACGATGGCCGCAAGAAGCAGGTTTTCAAGGGCGCTCAGCTACTCTGGTATCACAACTCCTACTGTTCGCTGGGTGATACGGTCTGACTTGATGTATGAGTGTTCACTGACTGTTTGTGTTAAAGGCTGGCGTATCAATCTATTGGTGTCATCTACGGTGATATCGGGACCAGGTACATAACCATCTTTTTCCGTGTCCTCCTCGTCTTTGTCTTTGAAAATTCGTCGCTATAACTGAAGGATGTTAGTCCGCTATACGTGTATTCGAGTACCTTCACCGATCAGCCCAGCTATGACGATCTCCTCCAGGTGCTGTCCGTCATTCTGTGGTCCTTGACTATCATGGTCACGCTGAAATATGTGTTGATCATCCTGCACGCTGATAACCAGGGCGAGGGAGGCACCTTCAGCTGCTACTCGCTGCTTACCCGATATGTTAGTAATTTCTGGGATATTACCTATGCAAAGTCGTCAATTTTGTGGTTGTTAACAACATGTCCAGGCCAACATCACGGATCGCGACCCGCGAGAGGAGCGGCTCGTGAAGATGGAGCGGTTCCAGACAAATGATATGCGCCCGAGCAATCGGACATTGCGATCCACCATTGAGCGAAGCATATTCACGCGCGGTCTGCTGAAGACCATCGGCGTCCTAGCTGTGTCCATGGTCATCGCCGACGGAGTCCTCACACCCGCCCAGTCCGTCCTCGGCGCCGTGCAGGGTCTCTCCGTTGTGAGCCCGGACATATCCAGCGCCACCATCGTCGGCACGTCGTGCGGCATCCTCGTCGTCCTCTTCCTCCTCCAGCCCCTCGGCACCACCAAGCTCGCGAACACATTCGCGCCCATCGTGATGCTGTGGCTCGCGTTCAACGCCGGCTTCGGCATCTACAACCTCGTCATGTTCGACCACTCCGTGCTCAAGGCCTTCTCGCCGTACTACGCCATCCACTTCTTCGTCGAGAAGAAGACGGCCGCGTGGCGGATGCTGGGCGGTATCTTGCTCGCGTTCACCGGTGTCGAGGCGCTGTTCGCTGATCTCGGCGCGTTCAGCATGCGCGCTATCCAGATCAGCTGGCTGTCGTACTGCTACCCTTGCCTGCTGCTCGCGTACATCGGCCAGGCCGCGTATATCAGCGTGCATCCCGAGGCGTACTCGAACCCGTTTTACAATTCTGTTCCCCCCGGTATGTTGTATCCTAGTCTTGTGGTGGCGATTCTGGCAGCTATTGTGGCGTCGCAGGCTATGATTACGGCTGTTTTCCAAGTAAGTAAATGTGCTCTCTACTACTACTGATTAGTCGGTGGATAAGATGCTAAGTGTTCGTTTCTGCAGCTCATCAGCCAGTTGATGAAACTGTCGTACTGCCCCCAAGTCAAGATCGTGCATACGTCGACGAAGTTCTATGGGCAGCTATACGTGCCGTTCGTCAACTGGGTCTTGTTGTGCGGTACCATCCTTGTCACCTGCATCTACTCGAACACGACTCGCCTCGGTAACGCGTACGGGTAAGTGAACCAACAACCCCCCCTCCCCTCCCCAATAAGACCCCCATCTTATTAACTAACCCCTCAGTGTCTGCGTCATGTTCGTGACCTTCTTCGACACCTGCATGGTGACCCTCGCGTCCCTGATCGTCTGGCGCCTCTCCCCCTTCCTCGTCGTCCTCCCCTGGCTCTTCTTCGCCACCGTCGACGGCCTGTACCTCTCCTCCTCGCTCATCAAGGTGCCCGAGGGCGCCTGGTTCACCATCACCATCGCCGGCGTCCTCGCCTGCATCTTCCTGCTCTGGCGCTTCGGCAAGGAGAACCAGTGGCGCGCCGAGGCCGAGGACCGCTTCCGCCCCGGTCAGCTGCTGCACACGACCGACGACACGCCTGACGGGGGTTTAGTGATGACGGCGCGCTGGGGGGGTGGGGGCGTCAGTAGGATTCGTGGGTTCGGTGTGTTTTTTGACAAGACGGGCACCCTGACGCCGACGGTGTTCACGCAGTTCGTGACGAAATTCGGCACGATCCCCGACGCGATGGTCTTCTTCCACCTCCACCCGGTCGAGGAGCCGTCGGTGCCGGCCAGCCTGCGCTTCGCCGTGTCGCGCATCCCTGCCGTGCCGGGCTGCTATCGCCTGGTCATCCGCCACGGGTTCATGGACGAGGTCATGACGCCCGATCTCGCGGCGCTCATCTACGAGCAAGTCCGCAAGTTCGTCGTCCGGAAGGCTTCGCCGCCTGCTGGCGATAACGCGCGCGAGGTTGCGCATGATGGGGACAACGCGGACGCTACCGAAGTCCACGACCACGACGCGGCCGGCGCGACCGCAAGCACCACCACCACACCCCCCGCCACAACCGCCAGCGCCACCGCCCACGACAAAGCCGCCACCCTGCTCCTCCTCTCCGACGAGGCCGCGCGCGAGGAATTGGGTAGATTGGACCGCGCGTACGCGACCAAGGTCATGTACGTGATCGGCAAGGAGCAGATGCGCATCAAGACGCAGTCGGCGTCGGTTTTCCGCCGCGTCGTGCTCACGACGTTCCTGTGGATCAGGGAGAATACGCGGGCGAAGATTGCGAATTTGAGGCTGGCGATGGATAGGGTTGTTGAGGTCGGGTTTGTGAAGGAGATATAACAGGAGGAGGGGCTGTGGACTACCTGCTGGGAAGAAAGGTAAAATGGGGGTGGAGGGTGGAGGGTACACATGTGAGGTTGGTTGGTTGGTTGGCTGGCTGGCTGGTATATATAACACCGAGGGTAGGTGAGGTATATACATGTTGGATGGTGTTGAATTCTGGGATGAGTCCATTTTGGGGGGATTAGGATATTTACTTGGAACTATAGCTTCACGAGTTATAGAGTCACAATTGGATTCTGCCTAGTAGTTTACATGCATGACATGGTATCGACAACGATACTGTATAGACAACCATGTACAGCCTAGTCAGACTACCTTTGTTCCGACCCATTATCATCATCAGCATTCGTCCTTACAGCGTGCCCCATTGAATATTCCCATCGGTGACAACCTCAAGTTTACTCCTGGATAGGCTTCAACCAAATGCGAGCCTGGACTCGCATGCCGTCGGTGTGGTCATCGAGCGATTCGCCTCGTGGGTTCATAACGTCCATGAGCATGGCTTGCATGCAATCCGAGGCATGCTGCATACGTCGAATTTGGGCATGGACATTGCATGCCACCTCCGGGAGCCCGATGAGCTCGTCCAAGTAGAGGTCCAAACGGCTGGTGAACAAGTCCGCGCGCACTGTGACAGAGGCGCTGAGGTCCGTGGCAGCTTGGATGCTCTCCGCAGCCGCCGCTGGGAACCAGGACCAGTCGTAGCTTGCTTGGTCTCCGACCTTCCCCATGATGAACTTGAAAAACTGCAGGTTGTTGCGGGTGCGGAGCAAGGCGGCGGTCATCTGCTCGTGCTCTTCAGCAATCTCGGCGCGGATGTGCGAGATCCACAAGGGGCAGATCATGTCCGCCGCGTCCTCGCTGTCGGCGTGACCAAAGTCGCTCTTAGCCTCGGAGTTAGTCGTGCCGGCATCTTCGATATCGGCCTCGTACGCGGATTGCTCGGCGTTGACGTAGTTCGCGTCGTAGTACTGGCGGGCCTTCGGGTCCTTGAGCACCTCCTAAGCGCTCTGGACCGCGAGGAACTTCCCGTGAGCTTCGGCGTCGTTGCCACGCTTGTCGGGGTGGTACTTGAGAGCAGCTATCTTATAGGCTTGCTTGATCTCCTTGGAGGAGGCGACGGGGGCAACGTCGAGGTCGCGGTACAAGTCTCGCTGCAGAATGTGGGCAGGGACAACGGCAGCCATGATGAAGATGAATAGTTTGCTAGTCGAGGATATTTCTGGTGTGTGCTCGTGTTTGATACCGTGTAGGCACTCGAGATGGTGGTTGATCTGTGATGAGTTGTGTAAATAATAATGTTCCAGCTATGGTCCGCTGTGAATAGACGCGTGCTTGGGACCGTAAACAGACGCGTATATGAAATAGTAGTCAACTGACAGCGAGCTAATGCTTTCGCAAGTGATAGATCGTAGCAAAAGACAACGAGGATAGAAAATAAGGGAAGAGGTGAGGTGAGGAGGACAATTTGCTAAGCTAGATGTAGGCCTCACTCTCTGCAAAGTTGTTGGAGGAGTTGTTGAAAGTAGGTGGTTGTGGGCTAGATGAGAATGTGGGCAGACCTTTTATATCTTCCTGTGGAAAGAACTTAGGTATCCAAGGTAGCCTTGGGCAGCATACATGCTTCAGCAATATATAGGTACTTCGGCAGGTACTTCGGCAGGTAATGAGCAGGTTTTCAGTTGTCTAGGAGCTTATACACCTGGTTGTAGAGCCCTCCAGATGGCCAAGAAGCTTCTGAGGCTTCTGGTTGGTCCCCGTTGTGTGGATACGGACGCAGATGCAACAGTGCCAACAGTCGATAAATAGACCCGAATGGTATTGTTTGCAGGGCCCTAGTTGTTGAGGTATGAAGGTTGAGTGCATAATGGACACTTGGCATGTGGCTGTCTTCAAGTTTAGTGAATGGGATGAATGGCATATTTCACGACGTGGCTGATATCGAATTGTAGCTATGCACTAAGAACACCACACTGCAGAGAATGGTTGTGACTTGAAGATAACGAATACAGACACGCGTTCACCAAATACATCAACAATATAGCATCTTGGGAGACCGGTTACAATCATGTGGCTACCCTTGAAAGACTTCAAAAAGACTAGATAGATACCATTGTGCTAACAGAACATAATTCAACACACAGCCATTAAGAATCTTAAGGATTTCGCTGTAATTTGATGTTTGGCAGATTATAAAGCTAATATGTTGTCCCGAACCCCTATTGCGAACCAGCTGGTTGAACACGAAATAGAAAAAGTGCGCACATAAATTAGTACTATGCCAAGAACACTTAAGATACTTGTACACCAGTGCAAGTTGTGATTTCTACCGCATCCTATGTTACAATTAGCTCAGTTGTGCGTGGATATCAACGTAATAATTGGAAGACTTACAGGTACACCACTCGGTTCCCACCCCTCCACGAATTGGCTGTCGTATATCAGATTAGGGTTTCCCTGCTGGAAAGGCTCATCTTCGCTATCAAGCTGTCTCCTTTTCTCCTCCACCGTGCTTCGGACGTATTTCAAATAGGGGGGGTTCCCCGGCTTGACAACTGCGAAACGTATTAGAACTACTGAATAATTTGATTCGATCAATAGAAACTAGACTGACCATTATCTGCTGCCAATATAGTTCCAGCTCGAATGAAGTCCAGATCCTCGCAAAGCTTCAAGTCAGTTATGTAGGATGCCTTCTGGTGGTCGAGGAAGAGGATGTCAATATCCTGCAATTTCTGTTCTCTGCGGAGTCGTAGTAAAGATTCGGAACTGGCGCCAACGATAACCTTGACAATGTCACTTAGTCCGGCGAGATCGACGACCATGGATATTACAGCGGCGAACTCGGGGTTCAATTCCAAGCTGAAATATCGCTTGCCTCCAGAGTCTCGTAAGGCAGCCCCGAAGGCGACGGCGGAGTATCCAACGTACCCACCTAGTTCGACCATGACATTTGGTTTGTGTTTCTTGATGAGGTCCACGATCGTTTTCGATTTGTATTCGCCTATGTTCACTAGGAGGGGTATAGGGGTTAGTAATGGAGCATAGGAGGCAAGTGTAATAGCGAGTATGGCCCGTCACTAGTTGTGCAGGAGAATTAGATCGAAAAGTACTAGTCAGAATGCATACTAAGATATTTCTCTGTCTTTCCATATTCATCAATAGCATCGAGGACCCGCTGAGGATTTCCTCGAATTTCGTCTAGATCAGGGTGTCCATAGAGGAAATGGAGTAAATCAATCTCTCTTCCATCGTCGAACTAGACGGTGTTTCGCAGGTTAGTCTAGGAAAATCGGGGATAAATTAATTCTTATTAAGCGTACTAACGTAGGTCTCTTCTTGAGCTTGGTATGCTTCCCCCTTAAAGGACTCCTTTTCGAGTACCATTTTCTTGAGCTTACGATGTTGTGTCACTTGGTGCGTTCAATGAAGCCGAAGACGTTATCGGTTTTGTCAATATGGAGCAGTTCGACAATGTTATGTTGCCCGCCGTCACTAGGTACAGCTATTGATTCATATCCGAGTGTTGAAGTCATCGATTGTTGCCCGGATTATCCTCCGACATATATCTAACCTAGTTTGCGGATATGAGTAAGGGGCAAGGATGTTTTTGGGCGGTATGATCCGTTAGCAGCAGATATGTAGATATGGAGCTTGTATTGGAGGTATGGAGCCCATCCCGCACATTCTTTACTGTAGGTGAGGCCATTGTTCCAAGTCAACGGTATAGTTCGCTGCGACCTGAAATCAATGAATCATTTAGTCAATACGAAACAAGGTGCCCCCTAAAAAGACTAAAACGATAATCTTAGATGTCATCTTTGCACTAAGTGCTGGTATGTGAGATCTATATCTGGCTAATATTAGTTAGTGCGAGATGTTACTGCATGCAGAGTCGAGGAAACAAGGGGTTCTAGAAGCCTATTTTTTTTCTTGACATTAAATCACATGCTATGTTGCGATGCCAGCTTCTTAAGGTCTGAGTAGCATTGCAACGACGATGACGGAAGTATATGTACATAACTGAGGATTGATTGGGAGCGTGCAAATATTGCGAATCTTTGTATGAGCAGTAATGACGAATTCAGCTCAAGATATGACAATCACCGACTTGAAGGTTCCTGGTACTTGAACTACATATGTATGGCATTCCCTTCATTTATCAGGGATGCATTTAATTAAGAGCTCTAGAGACTTCCATGATCTGATATCATCCACACCCTGAGTGCACATACCTTCTTGACTACTTTCTCTACCTCTCGTCCGCCTTGCAATGTCTGACCTTCAAGCAAACGTCCAGGAGACCAAGGATGGCTTCCACGTCGAGGGTTACGAGAAGATCGAATACGATTTCACGTTCGTCGATGGGATTTTTGACATCGCAAACTCAAATCTCGCAAATTGCTACAAGAAATGGGGTCGAGTTCTGGCGGTCACCGACAAGAACGTATACGGTATATACGGGACGAAGATGAAGAACTATTTCGACCATTATAACCTTCAGCTTAAGGTTCATCAGACTTCCATTGGGGAGAAGGCGAAAACGATTGAAACTTTCCTGGAAATAGCTGATAGCATGACTGAGTTCGGTATCATCCGAAAGGTACTTGATTGCTCCCTTTTGATGAGTCTTTTTGAGGTGCTCGCTAAACATGTCGCTCATGTGATAGGAACCTGTCCTCGTTGTTGGCGGTGGACTCGTGACAGATGTTGCCGGATTTGCCTGTGCTGCGTACCGTCGCAACACGAACTTCATCAGAGTGCCTACCACCGTGATAGGCCTGATCGACGCAAGTGTCAGCATAAAAGTAGCTGTCAACTATGGCCGATATAAGAATCGTCTCGGTGCATATCATGCCCCGCTCCACACGTTCCTGGATTTCACGTTCCTTCGAACTTTGCCCATTTCTCAAGTCCGAAACGGGTTCGCCGAGCTGATCAAGATCTCATCTTGCTCCCATACACATGTGTTCGATTTGTTAGACAAGTTCTGCGAACAATTAATCGAGACGAAGTTTGGTCGAGCTGATGGATCGACAGCCGAAATCCGTAGGGCTGCAGACCTTGTACGTTTTTACCACTCCTTAGGCCTTATCATGGAGTACAGGTAGCTAACATAGTTCTAGATCAACCGCGAAGGTATCTTCGAAATGCTCAAATTAGAATCTCCTAACCTTCACGAGATCGGCCTCGATAGAGTGATTGCATATGGCCATACGTGAGTCAATTCTATCACATGGTTCGTGGCGACAGCCTTATTGATGAACATTCATAGCTGGTCACCGTTGCACGAACTCATCCCAGAAACTCCATTGCGACACGGGCATGCAATCTCCATCGACATGGCGTATTCCGCCACTCTAGCCAAGGAACGCGGACTGCTTTCAGAGAAGGAACATCGCCGACTATTCGGACTATTCTCGCGAGCCGGGCTATCTATTGATCACCCTCAATTCGACAACGAAGTTTTGGAGAAGGGCACGGCAGCTATCCTGAAGACGCGCGACGGATTATTGCGGCTTGCTGTACCGAGCCCTCTAGGATCTTGTGTTTTCTTGAACGATGTATCCGTCAAAGATCTAAAAGATGCGCTTAAGAAACATAAGGAGGTAGCGAAAACGTACCCACGACAAGGCGCTGGGATTGAAGCGTATGTCGACAGCAGCGATACTGGCTACACTGACCTCGAAGCGGAGAATATGAGTGTTCAAAAGAACGTGAAGGAAGCGGGAGGTAAGAATTTCCTTTGCGTCTTTTCTTTTTTTTCCTTATTCTGCCCCGCCCCCTTTTATTCGCGCCCCGCGTAACTATACCCAGTGCCTACGTTTACCCATTTGAAGTTCCGATATGTTACGGGTGCTAACACTTCAAAACTTAGTATTTCACGAAAATAACGGCATTATCGATGGTATTCACGATCATGGAAAGGCGAATGGACATAAGCGGCAAGACTCTGGCTGTCAGTTGATCAACGACTCTGGTATTGATGACCACCCTGACCAATACCTCATTAACCTCTCTGACGTTCCTGTCAACGAGGCGCCAAACGGCATAAAGGCTCAGGCATAATTCTATGAAGCATTTCTCGGTGTTTAAAACTGCCTACTCTCGGGGCTTAATTTCTAGTGCGTTGTATATACTTGGTAGTCAATCATACGTATGTAGTATTATGACAGATTAAAAGTTTAATTTTGCATTTCGTATCTGAGGAATCTTGACCTAATTCGACACAGTTATACGATGATTTCCTGAACTCAACCTCTCATGGAATTGGGACTTATCCAACATCTTTTCATGCGCATCCAAACTCTCCTACAGATTCTCGTATTAAGTGGTGACGTCTTCTATCTGGAACATTGGGATATGAATCAACGAACTCATAATTCACTATCAATGGAATGTGAACTATATTTCTATTACGTCAGACACTACTACCTAGAGGTAGTAATTGCAATATGTAACATTTTAGGGATATTGATCAAGTAACCTACCCCCTACCCACTACCTTCTACTCATGATTCCGGGCCCTGGGAGCTAGTTACATCATCATCGGGCTACCCATCAACACACACTGACATGGCAATATCACTGCCCAACCCAGACTCCCTCAAAATCTTCAGCCTAGTACTTCTCAGCCTCCTCCTCCTCCCATTTTCCCTCTCAGCCCTATTCCTCTCTCTCATCGCAGGCAGAAACCCCCCTTTCCACAAATCATGCACCTCCTCTCCGCAACGACGACGACGAACAATCCTCGTCACCGGCCTAGGAATGGCCAAGGGCCTCACCCTAGCCCGCTCCTTCTACCTCGCCGGCCACCGCGTCATCGGCGCCGACTTCGAGCACCCTCGCATTCCCTGCTCGGGCCGGTTCTCACGAAGTCTAGCGGCGTTCTATCGACTCCCGCGCGTAGACGGCGATGACAATGATGATAGCGAAAGCACGAAAACGAACACCAACACCAACACGAACAAAGTTTACAGCCGTGCCCTGCGCGACATCATCGAGGCCGAGAACGTCGACCTCTGGGTGTCCTGCTCCGGCGTCGCCAGCGCCGTGGAAGACGCGCAGGCGAAAGAGTTCGTGGAGTCACACACATCGTGCAAATGCATCCAGTTCGACGTTGCGACGACCGCAAAGCTGCACAACAAACGCTCCTTCGCCACCGCGTGCAAGAAACTCGGGCTCTCGGTGCCGGAGACGCACGAAGTGACGTCCAAACGCGACGTCCACCGCATTCTCGCGGCGTGCGCGAAGTCCGAGTCGCCGCTGCGGTTCATCCTCAAGCCGGTGGGCGTCGACGATGCGCATCGCGCGGACATGACGCTCTTGCCCCTCGCTACGAAGGTAGAGACCGAGAGGCATGTGTACGGGCTGCCTATCTCGGAGACGAGTCCGTGGATCCTGCAGGAATATATACCGGGCGGCGAGGAGTACTGCACCCATGCGCTCGTGGTGCGCGGCGAGGTGAAGTGCTTTGTAGTGTGTCCGAGCGCTGACATGCTGATGCACTACACGCCGGTATCGCCCGCCTCGCCCCTCTGGCGCGCGATGCTAGATTTCACGGCTGAGTTTGTGCGGCGCTCGGCCAGGCCGGAGGATATGACTGGCCATCTTAGCTTTGACTTTATGGCGAGCGAGGGGATGGGTGGGGATGAGGGGAGGAGGAAGAAGAAGAAGAAGAAGGAAAAGAGGGTTTTTGCGATCGAGTGTAATCCGCGTGCGCATACGGCGGCGGTGCTGTTCGATCATCGCGGCGAGGAGGCGGAGGCGATGGTGCGGGCTTATCTCTCTGCGGTTGAGGGGACCCAGAAAGGGGAGAAAACGAAGTCACTCGCCAGTGCAGAAGATTCATTAGTCGTGCCGTCTAATAGTACACGATCGAGATACTGGATTGGCCACGATGTAGTATCACTTCTCTTGTACCCCGGATTACGATGGGGTATGGGGTTTACTGGTTTTCGATGCGTTTTAGCAGCTGTGCTTGATTTAGTGTCCCATGTTCTTCTGTGGAAAGACGGCACATTTGAGATATGGGATCCGCTCCCGGCTGTATTATTGTACCATGTCTATTGGCCTCTAGTGATGATCGAGGCTTGGTGGTATGGCAGGCGCTGGAGTAGGATTAACGTTAGTACAACTAAAGTTTTTGGGTGCTAGTCGTAATAGGTATTATAGACGAAATATAAGTAAATATTAGAGAAAGATTCCGGAATGTATGACCGTCTATTTAGATCGCTGTGTTCCAATGTGATATGCATATAATCCCACATGGATTAGCATGTTTACTCTCGCTGAAAGGGGCCTCAAGTTACCTAGAGATACTCGGATAAACAAGGAAATCCATCAAGTTTACATGTGATAATAATATGTTTTATCAGGCCAGAAGAAAGTTTACATATGTGCCTATCTAGGTCGATGACCTCATGAACCTGACGACTGTCGAGGGCTTCTGTGTTGACCGTTAATGCTTCACATCCGCGGTACTTACATTTCCGCGACACTGCTTTCATGTATCTATGGCGGATCACAGAGTAAATTACTTCACCTGCTCTTTAGGCCATGCGGCCCGACTCAAGGAGCATAGCGGAGGTCGCGTTTCTTCCTTCACCACAATCCTTTCCTTGATCGATACTCAAGCGAGTGAACACCCCGAACTCACTGCTATCGTGTTCGCTAACTACACATCCAATTCGTTAGATGGTCAGCGTGAGCGCTTTACCCAAGTATCTGTTGTGTTTATGGTGCGCTTCGTACTGATAGTCTACAGCCCCTGATCAAATCGCCTTTTCAGACCTCCGCGACTTTTCGCGAGTCGCCGCCACAACGCTAGCAGATCTCCTTGGCGTCGATAACCAGGAAGATGAACGACTCACTATTGGGCTGCTGTGTGCGAGTAACCTCAATTTTATTTTAACATGGCTTGGGCTGATGCGATTGGGACACAGGCCATTTCTTCTGGCGTAAGGAATAACGGAACCTGTTGGATTTGCAAGTACGTTTTGCTAAAAGATTGCGGTCGTTACAGGCCTCAACTAGATGTCCGCGCGATAGAACATCTCTGCGATGTGTCCAACATGACGACGATCATGGTAGACGACTCTCAAGCAGATATCGCGAGACAATTGCGTAGTTCAATCCGTACCGTCAAGATACCATCGTTCCCCAAAATACAAAACTCGAGGAACGAGTACCGCGATAACGACTTGTCCAGAAGTGCGTCTCATGACGTCGCCTACCTCAGACATACTTCAGGCACCTCATCAGGCTTACCGAAACCGATTGTACAGACCCAATGGGGTGTCGTGGGCTGCTTGCCCTCCTTCCCACACCCGAAGCAGCCTGCGACGTTCTCAACTACGCCCCTCTATCACGGCGGCTTAGCGGATTGCTTCAGGGCTTGGACCAGCGGCGCGATGATTTGGCTGTTCTCCGAAGGCAGGATGCCCATCACAGGGAGAAACGTCATCGACGCTGTAGCATATGCCCGCAGCCAGAGCTCAGCGGCCGTGAAATACTTTTCGTCGGTGCCGTATGTGGTGCAGATGCTTGCCGACGAGCCGGAGGGCCTTCGGCTCCTCCAAAGCATGGACTTGGTCGGTGTTGGCGGTGCTGCGCTAACTCCCTCCGTGGGAGACGAGCTGGTTGAGGCAGGGGTTAAGCTCGTCTCGCGGATGGGGAGCGCAGAGTGCGGGTTTCTCATGTCGTCTCATCGTGATTACGCGGAAGATAAGGAATGGCAATACCTTCGGCCAATCGTGGATTCTACGTATTTATCGTTTGAACCCAGGGGCGATGGCCTATCGGAACTTGTCGTGAAACCGAGCTGGCCGCTCATCTCTAAGACGAATAGGGACGATGGCTCATATGCTACTTCGGACTTGTTTGAAGCGCATCCGTCGATACCGAATGCTTGGCGATACCATAGTCGAGCGGATGCCCAGATTGTTCTGGCTAATGGGAAGAAGTTCGATCCCTCTCCCATGGAGGAAGTGATCAAGGCATCAAGTCCTTTGATTCAAGACGTTCTGGTCTTCGGTACAGGTAAACCATATGCTGGTGCTTTATTGTTCAAGGCTTCAGACGATCCTTCGGACGAGGATGTGATCAATGCCGCTTGGCCGACGATACATTTATTGAACGGGAAATCCCAAGGGCATTCGCGCTTGGCAAGGTCAATGCTAGTTGTGGTGAAACTAGAAGATGAAGATCCGATTGCGAAAAGTAGTAAGGGAACAATTTTAAGGCGACAGGCAGAAGCTCGCTTCGCGAATCTAATCGAAAGATCTTATGAAAGTAAAAGGGTTGTTTGCCCAAAAATCGAGAAGATAGAAGATTCGGAACTCACCTCCGTACTTAAGGATTTATTTGCACAGATCTTGGGTTGGGAGGCCGATATTTACCAAGATCTCTTTGGTCAAGGGGTAGACTCAATCGCATGCATTCAGGTGAAGAAGCTTATCGAGTCCACCATGTTTCCCGAGAAATCCCCACGATTGCCTACGAATATCATATATGACAGTGGTAGTATAAGTGTGCTGTGTGAAAACTTGAATCGGATAAAGAGAGATGGGTGTCTTCGGAACACAGAGGACGAGATCGGGGAATGGGAATTAATGCGAGATCTTTCTGAGAAATATGGAGATTTTACCTCTTGCAGTACTACCTGTTCGGCTAAGAAGCACGGCGATGTTGTGGTGCTCACGGGTGCTACTGGCACTCTAGGGGCACACATTCTGTCTACGCTGTGTCGCGACGTTAATATCCGAAAAGTATATTGTCTGCTTCGTAGCCAGCTGCAAAGCACACCTAAGAAACGCATGGCCGATTCTCTTTCTAGGCGTGGCTTGTCCGGAGAAGACAAGATCAAAGGCGGAAAAGTCGTAAGTATATATTGCGAGCTTTCTAAGCCCCATCTCGGTCTTTCGGACGAAGATTGGACACGGATAATTACCGAATCCACGACTTTTATTCATGTTGCCTGGAGCGTGAACTTCAGTCTCCCACTTGGGTCTCAAGCCTTCGTGCATCACATCGCGGGAACCCGAGAAATGATCAAGGCAGCGGTGGCAAGCGGTGCACGATTCGTCTTCGTAAGCTCAACCGCGGCTGTCAACTCTGTTTTCACGGCTATTATCAAAGAGAATGTTTCGCAGGACCCGTCGCATGCGTCCCCTCTAGGTTACGCGAGGTCAAAATGGGTTGCCGAGCAAATCTGCTCGAGTGCCTATCAACAGTTGCCTGACGCGAGTATCTCCATCGTTCGCGTAGGACAGCTGTGTGGGAACGAGGCAGGAGTGTGGAATATGAGCGAGTCGTACCCGCTGATCCTATCGACAGCTAGTCTGGCGGGATGTCTTCCGGATTTACGGAACCAGTCCCTCAATTGGCTGCCAGTTGACCAGGCCGCAAGTGCAGTCCTGGAGATCACGCTGTCGGCCGGTAATGGTAAAAGAGAAAGTTCCCCGGACATGCCGGTTTACCATGTCTTGAATCCTTATAGATCCCCGTCATGGAGTCAATTGCTTTGTTGGATTTCACACACACCAGGAAGCTCGGAATTTGAGATAGTCGAACCTGCGGAATGGCTGCGGCGAGTAGAATCGGCTTTGGGAAGTTCACACGCAAAACATCCGTCTCAAGCTTTACTTGGATTTTGGAGAGGGAGATACAGCGATTGCCAAAGTAAAACTGTCCAGTTGCCATCACAATTTGAGATAGATTCAACTTTGCAGTCCTCGCCGACGATGAGGGGCTTGAAACCGTTGGGTCGCGATGAGGTGGTAGGAATGTGGGATTGGATTCAGGAGAATGCTAAAAAGTTGTAGTTAGCTGGAGCCTTGGAAATGTTGGATTTAGTACGGGTTTAGAATGGCAAGCCCCTATATATTAGTGCATCAATTCCGGGTTTTCAGGTCATTTTCTCAGGTGCCCCCTATAACTAGGGCCATGATAGCGGCTAAATCGCTAAATCGTAGGTGGCTGACCACTATAGTTTTGGGAGCTTACGAAGAAGTAGTTGTGACTAGGTAGGTACTAGGTACCTACACCAGCGCAAAGTATGCGCCTGAGTACAACATCATCTCTATGATAAACATTGAATAGACCAAGATATTATGTAACAATATATTATGTAATAAACGTCCCTTCAAGTTAGAGGCATTTCCGATGACTCCCGAGTAAAACCCGGACCAGAAATCCGAGGCATGTATGGTGTAGTAATCACTGAGATAATCACTGAGATGTTTACCCGATCTCCTGCATCGGATTTCCTCGGTGTGCATACATCATGTACCTACATACGTAAAGTAAGCACACATGGCTGACTCCGAATTTCGAAAATTAAAGCCCGACGCGTGGCAAGAGGCGTTTTCAAGAGCGCAGCGTTGGAGAGAGGTTGGGTGTTGTGAATGCAATGCATGGCGGCACGAAATCACGTGGTCTGGGGAGACAAGAAGCACACACCCAATCGAATCGGCCATAGATAACCTTAAAATCTTTAAATTCGATGCGCCTATCAAAAGCGCGGCACGAAACCTTAAATCATGCAAATGACAAACTTTCAATATTGGAAGCGAAGCTTAAAAGTGTATATCACGTGCCCTAGAAGACCAGACCATGTGACTATGTAGGTTAGGTTAGGTTAGGTAGGTAGGTAGGTAGGTACCTATAAATCACTTGACTTGGTTGGATCTAAGCTAATTCAGTTCTCAGCTGAAAAGAGAAGAGAGAAGAGAAAAAAGAAGGGATTGTCAGGGCGCATAGACTTGATGATTCATTCTATACCCTGGGCCATCTTACTCCCGACTCAAGGAGAAAAAGCAGCCCCCCCCTCCCCATCTTTGAAGAAGCCGGAGTCCCCGTTGCATCCAGGGATTTGAAAGTCTATCATACCGAGAACGCAGCTTTTGGGTATGCCAGATTGGCAAATCATAATATCGATTTCTCATACGATTACGTGCCCGAATCGTTGGTACTGACTGGTATGTATACCTACCTCCATACCAGCGGCGGCGGATCCAGTCATGTCACCACCCCTCTTGACTGACCGCGTGTCTACCTTTGGCAAGTAGGTAGGTAGGTATCAATAGGTAGGTAGCAGACATCGTGACTATCAGCGTTGACAGGGTAGGTAGAACCAGTGCTACTGTTGTGATACGGCGCCATGTTCAATATGCGTTCTTGTTGGGGTATGTAGGTAGGTTGGTAGGTTGGTAGCACAGGGACCAAAGGATCCTCTGTTCTGCTCTGTTCTCTCTCTCTCTCCACCCAAAAGGTCACCGCAGGTCTACCTACCTATGTTCCAGACTCTCTCCATCTTGCATATAAAACCTCGTGCGCTTATTTCATTGGCCGCGGAGGTGAAGTTCATTATCTGCACTTAGACGTGGAGTTTCGATTGCCGTCGGGATACGACCCACTACCCGCCAGGCTTCCCGGGCCCTGTTTCTGTTCCCAGGGTCCTCCTCTCTCTCTCTCTATCAAGCAAGCGCGCCTGGGTCAACTTCTGGGGCATTGGGTCATTGGGTATTGCCCAATTGTGCCTTACTCCACCAGTACGTCGCCGTCCTAAAGATGAATATCAAGCGTATAAACTGCTGCACATAGTAGTGTGATAGGCTAGGAGGTGATAGGTCATAACAATACTTTGTCATCGACGCGCAGCCATTTTCTCGTTTAGGTTGATAGCGGCGGTTTCACCCCGCATTATATGCCCCAGGAATCCCAACGAGTCCTAGATAGATCATCAGATTATCTCAGAAGTTATGATAGCAAAAGACGATATCAATTCATGATGTGTACCTGTAGGTAGGTACACACATTAGAAGCTTAATGATTGGTTAGAATCATTTGGTATACTAGCGTCACGATAGTATGTGATAGAGGTAAAGCATTTTGTTATGCAAGCAGCTTTGTCCAATGCGACCCTAGTCACTTGGTGGACCATTAGGAACCCACCGATATCTCTCCGCACTTACTAAGGCAGGCCAATGACATCGTATCTACATGGCGGTAGACATGAAAAGTGACAAGACCTAAGTGGCGGACGATCTCCATCTTCATTGATAGATCAGCAGGGAGGAAGAGAGATTCATCTGGGGATCAACAAACCCGGCCTCAAGCATTAACCGTATTTCGTATTTGTCCCTACCATAATCATGTAGAGTCCACATGATAAGCAAAAGCTGGGCCGCAGGTATAAAGGCACTGGATTCATCTAGACACCTAGCTTTATCTCCGTTATCGGGCGTCGTACTACCAAGCCGTCTATACCGACGGAGATAGCTCGCATGGAGGGCCTGCAACGTGACGGCAACCCAAAGACAATATTCGAATATGTCAAAAAAAGATGCGATCGTCAACACTCAACAGGACCGATTTCATGATATAGTAAGTGCCACATCCGTTTTTGCGTTGACTGAAGTATTATTGGGTTGCCCGACGGTCACCATATGCTGTGAAATGTGAATAGTGTACAGTATATATAGAGTAGTATGCACATGAAAGTGTATGGTACACTTGGTTTATCAATTACCAAGTCCCGAATCTCAGTGGGGATGCTGGGGAATCTGAATGTCCAAGAAGTTACCAAGATATCAAACTAATTTGGGAAGACAAAGGAGTAAGTTCTAACTCAGTCCAAAATTGGCCTTTTTTGCCCTTACTTGCAACCAACATGGCGAAAACTAATGTGCAGCCAGTCTCGGGGTTCGGTTTCTAATTTCGAGCGGCGTTAGGTAAGTGGCACATCGCGGCTCTTGTTATCCCAGGTGGCATCGCATCTAATAGTTTGGATGCCGCTTTAATTATGTCCGGTAACGCTGGGGTCGCCCCTCCACACCTTTCAAACCTGGTAACCTCCTTCGCCAGGTTGAACTGAACCACGTATGACGGCGAGGAAATTGTATCGATATATGCTTCAATCGTAATATGTTGATTGGAGAGTAGGCTGATAGGGAAAACGGACCAACCCGTCCCTGTCGCTGGTTTCATCGCGGTGCTGCTTTATCTTCAGCATGTTGGGGTGCCTGACAATGGACACATTCACAATGTCTTGTCTATCTATCGTCGGAAATACCTAAGGATCAGCTAGATTCGTCATAGACGGTTCCTACTACGCAGATATTGGGGCCCCGTTGCTTCGCCATTGGCGAGAGAAAATGAGCTATCAGTCAGGGTCAACACACTCGAGATAAGAGTTTGCCAAATCCTTGACCGGCTTCATCATGATAAATAGATGTCCTGGGGGCACCTTCTCGACCTTCTGATGAGTTAGTGTTCATTGTTATCAAGCTTGAGGTTTCAAAAGCCTAGAAAATCGTCTTATACCTATTCATCAAGGGCCATCACTCATCCATATACTCCGGCACCCACATCTATCATGGCGGCGGCAGCAGTTCTACCAGCCTCAGCTGATCAAAAACGGCACTGGATCCCAAACATCGCTCCACCTAAGCTCTCGGAGACTAAGAATGATGTATTCGATCCCACACGGCATCTTGCCTTCAAGGAGACCCCCAAGGTCTACACAATGAAGGATATAGGCCTCCCTGAGGACACGGGAATATCACCCGTTGCCGTTTCAGAGCCTTTCCCGTTGTTCACAGAAGACGCCGTGATGAAGATGAGGCAAGAGGTCCTAAGCCCAGAAGTGCTTAGCAACTGCCAGTACTCTAGCAATCTAGCGCACTGCCAACTAAGAGGGTTCGCAAATAAGTAAGTGCTCTACTTCATATAGTATAATCCTGCAAGCATAATGCTAACAGTATAATCACAGATACGCGCCCTTTGTGTACGATGTATGGAAGAGCCCCGAGACGCTGGCTGTAATATCAAAGGTCGCTGGCATCGATCTAGTAACCGAGATGGACTTTGAGATCGGTCACATCAACATATCGGTCAAGTCTGAGGAGGAGAAACAAGAAGAGCTCCAGGCATTCAATGACAGAGCCCAGTATGAGGCCGACGAGGGCATTGCAGGCTGTCCATGGGAGGACGACAAGCCAATTGTGGACTGGCACACTGACAGCTATCCCTTTGTTTGTGTAACCATGCTCAGTGATTGTACTACCATGATTGGTGGCGAGACGGCCCTCCGCACTGGCACGGGTGAGATTATGAAAGTAAGGGGTCCTCAAATGGTAAGTGCTCCCTTTCTAATCAACTCTTTACTCTTCGGTTAAGATTCAGAAATATGAAGTAGGTAGCTAATAACTCAATAGGGCTGTGCTGTAGTGCTACAAGGCCGATATATTGAGCACCAAGCTCTACGAGCCCTTGGTACAGCAGAACGAATTAGCATGGTAACATCATTCAGACCGCGCTGCCCGACAGTTCGCGATGATACTGTGCTAACAACGGTGCGCCCGATCTCAAATCTTGCGGACTTGTACAACCAATTCAGTGAGTACCGGCTTGAGATACTCGAGGAGCGCGTACGCCAGCAGTTAAAGGAGCTGCGAGAGGCTAATAGCGCCGGTCGCCGGGTCGCTACTCGCAAGCTCAAGGCATTTTTCACTGAGCAGCAAGAATTCCTTGCGCATATGAATCGCGAGATGGTAGACGACGAGGAGGTAATTCGGGGAAATATCGACGATAGTCACCTACTGACTAAGAAAGCAGAGGCTATGGCCTCTTCAGCGAAAAAGGCTGCGACCGGGTCGAAGAAACGCCCGCGTCGCTTTTAAAGGAGCCATGTGAAGAAGGATAATACTCTACCTCCAGCCTTCCGCACATTTCTGTGCTGCTAGAATGGGGACAATAGCAGCCGGAATGGTGTTCTTGTTTTAGCACCCAATAGTGGTACCGTCTATCGTTCGAAGCTAGCGTTGTAGCGTTCTACTTATCAGTTGCCAATTTTAGCTCTCATATCACTGCCCCGGTTTAGCTCGTATCTTCATGAGCTCCTGATGACTTGATAAGTTGTGTACTTGGGTAGCTAGTCCTTAGTTGGGACCATGTCGAAACGCATATTTGTACAATTAACAAGATGGGTGTAATAAATTAATTACGGATCGACCATAGGATCCGAGTGATTCAATAGGTCTAGGTTTTCCAAGTCTTGTCATATTGTGCCGTTGTGGGCAAAATTGTGTTAGATGTGAAGCCCCTTTAAAGGCATGACAATACTCTTCAATATGGTGGAGGATCTATCGTAATGACTAGTCCGCTTGCACTAGGATTGTCTATGCGTTCAAATATAAGCGCTCTTGCTCTTTGAAGCTCTTCCCTTGCTGATTGTAGGGCCACTTCGTTTATGTTCATCTCTTCCTCGGCATCCTGGTACCTTGATTTGGCTAGAGCGATCTGGTCGCGCAGACTTGCGCCGGCACGCTGGAGGCTCGACAAAGAATCCTTGATCTTTTCATGGAAAGCCATGTCGCTAAAAATGTTGTCAAAGAAGACATCGCCCATCAGATTGCCGGTCGCGATGTTAATAGGTGGAAGATCCTGTACCATCGGTGACATTCGTTGTGCCTGGCGTACAAGTAGCATGACCTGGCTGATTTGGCTGTCAGCCTTATCTAATGCGTTGCGCTCCATCATGTCGTTGAATGTTCCTCCGCCAAACATATCCATTCGGCTGTGACTCAATGCTTCCTCGGTGTAACTAAGAGCCTTATATAGTCGGGTTTGGGCATCTATTAGGAGATGTCCTGTTTGCACTTCTGTTTCCATCTTGAGCCGTGAATTACGGTAGGCTTGTAGAGCACTTTCCAAGTTCTCTTCCAAGTAGTCTTCTTCGGGGAAGGCAGGTGTCGGTCCTTGAAATATGCTATTATACAGGGTATCTAGTTGCTCCTGGGCTTCAATATGACGGGCTACTCCAGCTTCTAGGTCGGTTTGTACCTCTAGAGCCTTGGAACGCATGGCCTTGAGGCTCTCCTCCTGTTCTTTAGCTTGTCTTTCCTCCTGCAAAACTGAAAAATACTCTCTCTCTTCCTTTTCAGCTTTGGCCCGGAACTCGTCTGTCTTGCCACTAACTCGGTAGGCAAAGCGTTTCATAACGGAGTCACGATATTTCTTGTGCTCTTTGAACTCTTTAACTCGTTGTTTATCCAGTACGGAGATGCGTCTCTGGATAGTGGACAGTTGGCTGTTGAGATCATCGACGTATCGTCTCTGCTGTTCTAGTGACGGCAGTGCGTGATCTGTTTCAGATAGTGTGGCTAACAGCTCATCATTTCGGGGTATTGCCTCTTTGATCTTGTTTGCAAGTGAAGTCATGTTGGGCGATATTACTATAGTAAATTGTGTTCTTGTTTGGTGAATGATACCGGTTACTATCTTCTATGTAGGTAGATAGTTTGTGTGGGAGGGGATTGCGATGTTTCACGTCTCTTATATACTGCTTTTAGCCATTATAGTCTCAACATTGCCACCCTAAGGCAGTCTTTCACCTTCTGCATATACTGTACATACATAGGTACCTAACAGCCAAGGTTTACTTGAATTCATGCAAGGCGATATGAGGTGATGTTGAAAGGTTGAGCATTAAAATGATCTGCGGGGTCCGATAATGTTCTAGGTTAGGTTAACAGGTTTCGGGATAGAGTGGTGGCTGTGTTTATTGTGGCTGTGACTGCTCTGCGTAACGCCGTAGTACGTACCACATGGCAGTGACCAGTGATACCTAGTATTCTAACCTAGCTACATACCTAGGGTACATAACTACATATGTGCCTAGGACTTGGTAACCTCACAGGCTCACACACCTATTGACGTCAAATTTATTACAAGGTTAAACACTTTTTTATCTGGCTGTTGCAGGGGTATGTATGTAACATGCAGGGTCCATTCTGCGTAACATCAACCTTCCTCCGCCCCTTTTTTCCTTTCGCATTTTACATTTCAATTTAATTTTCCATTCTTCATTAATAACGCCGTACTTGTTGCTAATATAGCGCATAACAATGATATCCCTGAATTCTGTTAGCGCTCGTGATACCTTTATATCCAACGAATAACATCTAATAACGATCTCACCATGGCTATATTCGAGGCCGCGAACGTACGCTTGCGTCACGACTCGAGCAATTCCTTGTGGTGCCTCGTCAAGATAGTCCACGCGTGCCATAGCTTGCTTGATAACCTTCATCGAACTTGTTAGTATAGCTGGACTTTTTGCACTCAGTATTTAACGACATGGAATAGACTCAACCTTTTCAGCTTCATTTCCTTCTATACCGAGATTGCGCAATCTCGAGGCCAAGTCCACCGGCATTATTGCTTGCATCATCGCATTGCCAGCGGCCATGCCTAAGATTGACCCGATAGGGCTCGAAAGGAATAATCCTGATATTGCCACAGCCTTGTCTTTGGGATCTATTGCCGCCTGGAGAGCGATAAAAACCGCACTAAGGGATATGCCAGTACCAAAGCCGCTAGAATACGCCCAGTGTAAGTATAGCACACAACTGCTCACTCCTCTTGAACTTACCCAGGCGTTATATAAAAAGATTCTACCCAATTCGTATCCCCCTTCCATCGAAGAATCAAGAGCACGTAGCTGATGGACGAGATTACCCCCGCAAGCACCAATGGCGCTTTGAATTGGCCGGTTCTTATAACAGAATGTCAATACTTATATCTGCGACAGATAAATTGGATTGTGGATTATCGCGAGTTTACTAACTTTCGTATCCATGCGCCAGTCAAAAGGCCGCCAACAGTATTGCCAATAACAGCTGGCATCAAGTGGGCCCCGGCAACTGTGCTAGATGACCTTTTTGTCACTTGAAAGTATAATGGGACAGATACCATCATCTGAAGAATCATGTAAGCACATAAGTGTTGCGGGAATATGTTTGGACTGGAAATACTTACACCAACTTGGGCGGCTGTTTGACAAATTGTGATGAAGTAGCTGAATACCACTTCTCGGTTATTCAATAACCTCAGCGGAAAGATTGGCTCGGTTGCCCATCGCATTTCTGTCACCACAAACAACGCTAGCAGGAGTATTCCCGCTGCAAAGAGTGATAGAACGATTGGACTGATCCATGGCACTTTTTGCCCCCCAATCCTCAATGGTAAGAGCAGGGCAAGGAGGCCGGTGCCAAGGAACGCGGCACCTAGGAAGTCTATCCTACGCAGTCGACTGCTCGCAACCTCGTCATTGACTTGAGTATTCCTAGGTTTCAGATCAGGTAGGACAATACCACAAAGGATCATAGCGAACAGAAATATGGGTGCCTGGCCAAAGAATGACCTAGACGTCAATGTAAGCTTTGGGCCGTGAGGCTCTTGCGGCGCGGTTAACTTACCATCTCCATCCAATCGTATCGGCTAGAAATCCTCCAACTGGACCACCCAAACTTCGGCCGACAGTAGCAACGACATTGAGATAGCTTTGCCACGACGCAACGTCTCTCAGAGGTGCTAGATCTAAACAGACTGTCAACTTCCAACACTCTCATCGGATTGCGAAGAAGCTTGGAATGTATTCACCAGTTATAATTACAGCCGCCAAGGCTATTATACCAGCCCCTCCAGAGCCCGAGATCACACGTCCAAGAATGACCTGGCCCATGGATTGGCCGGCTCCTCTAAGGGGTCTATCAGCATGGCGATACGCCTCAACGTTCAGCACGAGAGACTCACATCAAAGCACTACAGAATTGGTCAGTCTAGCTCCCTCATATAAGATTTCACCAATTTTTCAACTTACGATCCAATGGCGAAAAGTGCATAAGAGACCAACAACACAGGTTTCCGGCCATATATATCACTGAGCTTGCCATACTGCATTCCACTGTGAGCAATTCTCCAGTAATGGGCGTGGCTGAGGATTTCTTACCAGCGATTGGGTCGCAGCTCCTGCTAAAAGGAAGCTAATGAACAGCCAACTAGAATTTTCGAGATCATGGAACTCGGATGCGATAATTGGATGCGTCGCAATTACTAGCGAACTATCTGCATTCGCGGTAAAGACCCCTTCGCGAATCCGACACATTAGCTACTGCTAATCAAGGGGGTCACGGGTTGGCCCAATTCGCTGACCTACCGACGAGTAAAGCGACCACGACCCTAGTGATATAGCCATTGCTATACGTTTGGGTGCTGGGCACATGTCCTGGATTGCATTGCTCCTCTTCATCCGGATTTGGCTTTGAAATTGTTCCATATAGTGTCGCCGAATGAACGCTGTCGACGAAGCTGCCCCTGGATGATTGGACTGAACTGTCAGCATGAGAGTCAGTATCGGCTATATCAAATCCCAGAAGTCTGGTGGTCTCATCGATGTCTTCTTTTGGCATTGAATTGACTGCCATGGTGACCTTGTTGCACACAATATCCCCTAGCAAGACACGACCTCTCGTCTTCGATCAGCAAAACTGAAATAGGCAAAGAGAAATAACTTGGGGTCTCATTCTTTTGACTCACATAGGTTCAAAGTTCCTAGGTTCAGCAAAGATGGTAGCCTATCTAAGCAATCAGTAGGCATTTTGGGGAGCGCCGCAGAAGTCTTATTGGACTAACATCGAAGCGACGAGCACGTCATGCTCCATACATCGCACACCATTTTCTCTCAGGCTTATTAAACACAACAATCGCCCACAGCTATTTATTCGCCAAATGACTACCTATCACTCTTTTATTCTTTATTTCAGGCTGTGAAAGTGCCTAGTCAATGGTTGATTCTATGTACTATTCCCCGACTTACGTCTTGGCACTATTTGCCAAGATGAAAGCCTAGGACACAAACGTATAGGTACTACGATACTAACTATGCACAAGTGGCGTTATCATAACGGGCATATGGGGTATCACGAGTTGTGCGGCTGTGTGACCCTCGAAGTGGTGTCATTCATTTTGATGCCCAATTGAGGCAAAGGGGTTCAAAGCCATCATAAGCCTCTCGTGTATCATACTATTCTTTACATGCACGTAGGTTATCTATGTAGGTACCTATTCATACCTAAGACGACCAGTTCCAAAGTCTACATATAGCTATACAGTCGGCGAACTTCATGGGCTAATTTTCTTATTGCGCTCTTTGTTCGTGAAGCATGGCCTGGTAGATTATCTCGCTGGCAATCTCTTCTAATAAATAGGAGGATTCAAACGACGCGATGTGATTCATACCTACGTACGTAGGGTAGTTATGGAGGGGTATAACGCAGCGCTGTGAACGTGAAAATTGACGACATATCAGTTCCTCGGTTCCGGGCTTGGGACAATACAATCTTAGTTGGCAGGATACCTTTCAGAGCTTTCCCTTCCAGGACTTCTCTACGACCATGCTCTCCGCCGTGGCATGTACGACTCCTCCGGGTCCTTCCATAGTGGCATAAACCATAATCTTGCCTTCGGTTGATAACTCTTGGATAACCTGAGTCTTCATGACTGTGGTAACTGTGCCGTCTGGGCCGAAAAGTAATGGTTTGATAAAGCGAACGTTCGTATACGCAGTGTAGACTTGCTTCAGTGGATCGCGATGCATCCAAGCGGTTTTCCCGCACACGCCATCGGCCAGCAGAGTCAGGACCCCGCCGTGTATCGTCCCCGGCACGGCTTGGAGGGAATCGCCGAAAGTGAAAATGTCTACGTGCACTGGATATTCCTCCTCGGCGGTAGTTTCCAGAGAAGCAAGTCTCGTGTTCTGGTCTGGCTTTTCTTCACCCGGGCCTCCTATGACCGGTTTGTCTACTACATGGAGTGAGGGAATGGTGCCGGGATCTGCCAATAGGCTCGCGTGTCGTAGCACGCCCCCTTGGCGGAACATAAAGCCATGGATCACGGGATCTGGGCCTCTGTCGCACCGCAACGGGGAGGTCACTTGATAAGGCCTGATATTTGGAGAAGAAACAATCTTAGAACACCACGGGATAGTGCGAAAGTACTTGAGATCTTCCCTTGACTCGGGTTCCCAGCTGAGGATGCTGTGCACTGGTTTGCCAACCATTCCGACGACGCGTATCCAAAAGAATGTGATTGCTCATTAGAAAATGTCAAGGAACGTGTAAAAGAATGGTATAGAATAGAGGCTGATACTTGTCTCATGGATACTTGTCTCATGAAAGAGAAATAAGACAGTGAAGTGCCTGCTATGGAGGCAACTACTACTATGTATTAAGTAGGTGACAGGCTTCGTGCCGATTCCTCAACACGATTTGCCCCGCATTAGTGCCCGCATCTCAGAGCATTGAAATTACCCTAGTACGGAGTAGGTTAGTCTCATTTAGATCTCATCCATGATCACGTGCTCTTCAATAAATACCACGTGATACACGGATATGAGGAAATCCTCCATTTGTTCAGATCATTCTTCTCTGTATGTTACAGTACTAATCATCATCTTCCATCTCCTCATCATCTTCCATCTCCTCATCATCTTCAATCTCCTCATCATCTTCCATCTCCCCATCATCTTCCATCTCCTCATCAAATTCCGACTCATCATCAACATCCATCTCATCATCAGCCAATATATCAACAGCACTTGAGCTGCTGTCTGAGTCTTCTCCCTCCGTGGTTGGCAAATTCTTAATTGGCTTTGTAAACTCGTGCGCAATCCACCATTCCGATGCTGGCTGTGCTCCTGTTCCATTCCCCAAGATGGACATGCCGATAGTACCAGATACGATCGTCACGTATCTTCGCACACCAGCATCTACATCCACGATTTCCATAGGGAATGTACTGATGTTTCTTGGAATGTTTGAAGTCACTATCAGTGGATAAATCTTCTTGTTTAGTATTAGTCGTTCGCGGTTCGGTACAGTATGGTGTTGCCCTGGATTTCTCGCTCTCCAGTAACGGACGGTCGCTTCATCCGTTCGACGGATGTAATCATCTCCGTAAGGCCCGAAACCTCTTGTAACCTTTCCGCTGTTCTCGAAATATGCGAATGCTGTGATCCAGCCAGATAGCGTGCGGACGCCAGGAACAGAATCGTCTATGCCTGTCGCGTACGCGGCATGACGCCAGAATTCCTTGATCTCCTTCGTATGTCGCTTATTGAAAGTTCTCAATATATTATCAATGACTGGGAGCAGCAGAGTAGCCCACTTCCGGCACTCCTCGCCACAATTGTGTAACTCGTTTACCCGCGTTCGAACCAGCTTCCAGTCTTCTTGGCTCCCCAGCAGTATCACCCTAGCTAAGTCGTGTCCACTGTTAGGTAGTTTATGCCCTTGACGGATGTCATGCATAGAGCTAATGTCGGTATATTCGACGTCCAAGGCCCGGTCTACTCCCGAGTGATGTTTCTGTGTGTCCCTCATATGGCTATTTTTAGTCGGTCCAACACCTTCCCAACTTTCACCAGGAGATCGAAGCCAGACTGTGAATGTAAAGTATGGTTTCATCATCCCCATAAACTCGAGCATTGCCAAATTCTGGTCTTGGCTTGTTGTGGTAGAAAAGTTTGGCATCATCCACAGCCACATCTTGTTATCCAGAAGGTTATGGAACAGGATGTCGAAGAACACTCGGGTTGCTTGGTCCATGTCAAATTGACAGGCAGACATGGCTCTGAAGCCGATGGCAAGCTCACGCGTTCCTGCGTGGCCGACGAACGCGTACCGCATGCGCTCGGCATGCGTCCTGACAAAAAGGCTATATTGTGAAATGATGGCCTGCCAGATATCGTCAGGTCGGAGCGTGAGGTCGAGGTTCTGTTCGGCGGCACGAACGACACCTCTTACAAAACCATTCTCATATATGGATATAGCGTCCTCGGCGTATTGCTCTTTCGTCTTAGCTCTGCCATCGAGGGAGGAGGCAATGATTGGGAATCCGCACAAATTGTTCGAGTACAATCCAGACACCGTCGAAGGCCGTGGTCGGGGCCGCCGTTTATTCCCTTGATACGGGCTGTCGCAGTATTCGGTAACATAATCGAAAACACCCGCCATATTTTCTGCGTTCAATTCAATCTCTCTGTCTTGATTCTTCCCCGGTTTATGGGAGCGGCGCGTCGTCAAGGTCGGCATCCTGCCCTAAAGCGATCTGCACCCACGCAGGTAGTAGTGGGATCTAGAATAATTTAGTTTGGTTGAAGGTATGTCTGTAGGTATGGCGTCCTAGATGATGGATGTCAAGGGGTGCTAATCTTTGACGTGATAACTAGGACATGTTCTTAGTAAGGTGTAGAAGCAGCGGTTTAGATCCATGGATGTATTAATTGATGTGAATTCAAAGGTCACAAAATTATCTGCCTAGGTACTTAGGTACGGTACCGTACCTACCTATGATAGCGAACTTCCAACATTGAAAGCCCTGGAGCTATTATAAGCTGCCTGAGGTTGCCTGAGGTTGCTTACATGCAAGATGGGTCGCTTAGACACACCTACTTAAGTACTTACAAGGACATTTCTTTCTCTGCAAGCCCCGACTGATACATCCAATGGGCTCGTAACAAAATGGGATAATAATTGTACAATACGGCCATTCCCTCCCATTTAAATTCTTAAGGGTTACATATGAAGTGTTGAATCTTTCACAAATATACATAGTGTACTGATCTGGTCGGACAGAGTGATTCTACGTATTAGGAACAAACTTGCTCAGTCTACTAGGTATTGCACATTATCCTAATTATCTACCACCGCTGTATTTACCAACCACCGTGTCCTCACAATACGCCCCCGAGCCGAGCAAACGAAATTATATCAAGAGGTAGATATCAATCACTCTTCATTTAGACCCGCAGGGTATCCCTAGCTCCCACATAGCCCGACAAGATCTGTTCGACTTTCTGGGCGCTGCGAGGCTGAAATTCGCAGGGGTAAGGCAACGGCTCTAAGATGACATGGGCATTCGTCGCTTCGCTATCGAAGTCGATTACCTCACCCGTCTTCGGGGATATCTTCCTGTTGAGGTTGAAACCCCACAGCACGGCCGCCATGGACACGAGCATTTCATCATCCACGATATGCTGGCCCAGACAGGTTCGGCGGCCCCAGCCAAAAGTGTGCATTCCCACCCCTTCCCGGAAGTTGGGATACTGAGAGAGCGGCTCCTGGTAGGTCGGCCACCCCTTTTCTAGATAGCGTTCGGGGTGGAAGTTCTCGGGGTCGGGGTACTGCTCCGGGACACGGTTCATGCTCCACTCGCACGCTAATATAATGGTGCCTTTCGAGATCTTTTCACCGCGAAACTCGTCGTCCTTTTCAGCTTGGTGGGGAACTCCTATTCTTGGTGTTAGTACAATATGCCGATTTGTCAGTAGAAAGGAGGTGGCTTACCAAGAGGAACACCTGATCTCCATCTAACTGCCTCTTTTAGGCACGCTCGAACGACAGGTAAGTCGGCACTATCGCTCGAACTCGGCACACGATCACCACAGACCCTGTCGATTTCCTCTTGCGCTTTCTTCTGCCACTCGGGGTGGAGTAACATCGCCATCAAGAAGAATAACATAGGACCGCTCATAGTTACGACGCCAACAAGATTCTGGAATCCCAACATGCAACTAGCGAATTCTTCTTCCTGCGGGTTCTGCTCTAGGTCTAAGTTGCCCTGTTTCTGCAAGCCTGTGAAGTACCGGTTCGACCACGTGTCTGTCGGCAACTCTCCTCGAAGGAACCTGTTTTTCGCGACTTGGAAACTCTCGAGCCACCACGCTCTTTGCTTGTCTTCCCGCGCTCTTTCGTATTTCTTCCAGGGGTTCCAATTCCATGGAATTACCCATAGCGGAGTCATGGTGTTGACGATGGGTCCTGATACTGACATCTGGGTCAGAGTGCAGTCAGCGCTGTCGCCGTTCTCCTTGCCAATTGAAGCATCGTCCCATGCCAGTCGACTCATGATACGCCCGCAGTGCTCGCGCGTGTTGGCGTGGAACTTCGCGGGGTCGAGTAAGAGTACCGCCAGGTATCGCTTGACCTCGTTTTCGATGACACCGAAGAAATGATGCCGATGGAACTCGGCCATCGCGGCGTGTACCCATTTACGTTGGCGTGTCCATATCTCTTGAGATTAATAAGTCAGCAATCGATAACCAACATTGACGGCGATGATTAGATAGATCTCATACCGTGTCGATCCATCAATGCGACATAGCCAGGCCCCGTCTTGTGGTCAAAGAGCGCCCTTATCTGAGGGCGCCCAGAGTATATGTGACCTCTCTTGACGAGAAGCTCCTCGGCTATCTTCACATCTGATATTATGATAAACTGCTGCCCCAGCATGCTCGTCCGGTAAATAGGTCCATAGATATCGGCCCATTCTTTGAACTTCTTCCACATACAAAATCTATCCAAGTCATGAACTCTTCCGACAATAGGGAACTGCTGAGGTCCAGGTATAGGTTTGGTCAGGCCGTCGCCTTTCTTCCTCCAGGAGATTATTTGGCGCAGGACGGAAAACAGCAGGCTTGGCACTGCCAGATATAAAACGAGTACCCGGATACTGTCCATGTTCAGCAAAAAACTGTGAACAGACTGCGCAGCTCTAGATGAGACAAAAGCATATTCAGGGAGAAAGGGGACAAGGCATATCCAGGTAATTGGCACTTATATGTAGCAGCAAGGCTGCCTCTGCCTGGTATTCCATATCAAACCTATGCTTTCCAGCCGTCAGCGTAGGGTTCCCTTGGTGCCCCTCCACGACCCCTTGGTATCTGCACTCATGCAGCAGCAATGTGACCTCACTGGCAGGTTGTGGGGCTTGGCATGCTTGTCCGCCACCCCGGACATAATAACAAGCACTGTTTGCGTCTTGGAAATCTGAGTCCGAGATTCAAGATATGATCCGCATCGTACGTGCAGATAGCTGGACTTGATAGGGTCAGGGCGCCCGCCCCAACGCCCCTCAACCACCCGTTCAATACTATCCCGGAGTACAGAACATATCACGGTTATGAGCTGGCGCCCGCATGCTTCACTTTAACATTTAAACCGCCCCATCGATAATAAATAACTTCAGCACTCAAGTCCTTGAAGTACTTGTATCAAGTATAACGATTTATCATTTGATTATTTACACATGTCCCTATCCTTATTACTGCCTTACAGTCACGTTCCTCTTGTCACAACATGTCATTCATATTGCAAGGCCCCAAAGCTATTTCCACCCCCTGGCTCATTTGCCAATTGAACATAGACATTGAACACGATAGAGGACACCACCAATTCAACCTCGTGGGGATTTCCGGTCATGATATCGTCCGAATTATCATTCTCCGTAGCTACCTACCTATCTCCAATCGTCGCTCTTTTCCGGGATCAGTTAAAACGAATGGTTTGCATATGCCCGCCTGACTATTTATACGGCTAGACTTATCGATTCCGTTCCGAGACCAGGTTCGGACAGAGAGAGGTAGGAGTTGCCTAGCACCACCAAGCAGGCTGTTACTGAGGCAGCAATTCTTTTTTTTTTTTCCTCTGGTTCGCCTGACTTCCCGGGGTCGCACATCGAGCGCCCCTATTCGCTGCTGTGCACGCCGACACATCGATGAAGAAATAAGGACAATGCCGATGGACTAATCACAGCGCGCGTTCGCAGCAAGCCCCGAATGATGTACTCCACTCCCACTCCAGCTCATGCAGAAAGCCACGGAACTCTGGCCCCCATATTGCTTTTTATTCGATAACTTTGAGATATAGATGTGACATTCAGTTTCTGGCCCCGTTTCAACCATAACATCGAATATCAATCATCAGCTGCTACTTTTGGTATCTACACATGCCTAGATAAGGTTCACGATGTGTAATGGGCTTATAGATCCTTACATACCTACCAACCGAGGTGGCCTAGTGAGTATTAACTAAATATAGACAAAGGTCCCGAGATACAGGTATTCGGTCTTCACGACAATGAAGAAGCTGTGACATCATTGGGGAGATACTGATTTTCGTCCGACGCCTGTTTCTGCACAATAAGGGTGCAAGGCTTTTCGTATCGCGGGATACAGTCATTGTTGTGACTAATCTCGACATGTGTGGATGTAACACCGTCATAGTTCCCCGATCCGTGTCCGATCATACAGAAAGGGGCTACAAATCGATTCAATACCATTCTCAAACCACCACATACCTCCTTTCCCTCCATTGAATTGCGAACTGATGATGGCCCATACCAATCATATATCAAAGTCACTTCAGATCAGGGTTTCGTACTAGGTACACAATACCTATTTTTACGTGGGATGGATGTTGATGATAACACAGTAGCTTTCACCTTTCCCACAATATCATTTGCTACGTAATTACTGCCTTTGTTGATAGTGCGGCTCAAAGGAACACGAGCAAATAAAGGTAATGTCCATCGATATATTATGGCGAAAACCATCGCCAAAGGCTTTGAAACTCTATAACCATACAGTTAAACAACTTTCTTTAGTGTGGAATACATAGATATCTTGACTCTTGTCGTAGAAAATTACATTAGCAGCCTTCAATGACGCAAATTATATAGATATTAACCAGCCAGAGTTGTATTAGCGCTTCGCTGTATTTGCGTAGTGCATCTGAAACCTTTCAACACCTACGTACTAACAAGTAACCTACAAGCCTAGCTAGTCCATTATACCACTTTTAGACAATAGCTGCCCGATATTTTCTATTATCCCCTTGTTCCAGTCATAAAGCCACTCCAGATCAACCATGGCAGCAAAGCGTGTTCGTATTCCGCGCGAATTAATATTGAATTATCCGCGTGGCTTGGACTTGGATCTCCCTCCCGACTTGGCAGCCAAAATCCCGGCTAACTTGGATTTGCTACCCCCAAATCGGTTGCTTCAACTTTACAATGATCTAATTGACTTCCCACATGCTTTAATAGAGATTACGCTCAGGCGGCCGGAGCTCTTCCTCTCCGATAAGGTAAACATCGCTCGAATAAACGCCGCGGAGGTGGTAAAAGATACGAAGCGAAGGCCACTGTTCAGCAGTGTGATCGAGCATCCGGGAACGCCGCTCTGGCTCGTCCGCATGTTCATGAACGAGCTGGAGACTATGAGTGAAGGGTCTATCAACGCCGTCTTCCCCGAGTCGTGGAAGCTGGAGCCGCCCCTCCATACAGCTGTCAGGTCGGGCAGACCGGACGTCGTGGAGCTGCTCTTACAGCATCCTAACATCAACGCTAACATGGTATACGATAGCGGGGAAATAGATCGCCCTGGACTTGAGGACTGTCCGCAGAAGGGCTTTCCACATACTGACCCGTGTGTCTCACAAAGTCCACGGTGTAGCGCTTGCCGCTCGGCGGTCGAATACGGCGTAGATGAGTTCTCGCGGCGTCCCATCGACTCAGAACTGAGCAGAAATATCGAAAGCTGCACGATGACTATCGTAGCCTTTGGTATGTTTCCCAGTCCTCTCGAAAGCAACACTCAAACCGTTGATAAGAACTTCGCCATGGCAGTCAAGCGGGGTATGAATAGATATGTGATGGCCGTGTTGGAGAGACTCATAATACCGACCGTAGAGCCCTATGCAACCAATCTGATAAACGGCGGACTGGAGAACATTTTCAAGTGCGCTGCCATGGGCGTGGATGATAACCCGGTACTCCAGGATCTCATTGATTTCGCATGCGATCTCGATATCCCTCTTTTACCCATCGATCCACGGGTGGTTGGCGGCCAACACGCCCTCGAAAGAGCTATTACTTGTCCAGAATCTAATAAGCCGAAGAACGCCATTATCATACTCCAATCGCTTCTCCGGCTTACATCCTTTGCCATCCCCAAGCCAACGCAGACAACCAACGCTGGGGAAACCGGGACCAGGACTGCGAAAGGAATGACAGCGGTGGAATACATCTCTTTTCTGTTCGAAAACTCGCCGTTCAACAGAATCGTGGGGAGCGACGATGGCAATCACGAGTACTTTGTGGAACATTTCCGATTCATCAGACACCTATTAAACCGGGATAACATGTCGAAAACGTGCAAGGCGAGGCTTGAACAGGCGAGGGAGGAGATGGCCAACTTCGCAATTCAACAGTTTGAACGCCACGAAGCACCGCTTAACACCATCTATGCCGTTCACCATGGATTCGCCACGGTTCCGGCGTTGAAAACTGCCTTGGAGGCTGGCAACTTCACGGCTGTCAGCGCTGTCATTGACGTCCGGATCCAGAAGGGCGAGTGCATGGAACAGAGCGCCATCGCCACGGACGCCACTTTCCTGGAAAGCGCCGTGAAAAGGAACATGGTACCGATCATCTTGAAACTAGTCGGCGCGGGGGCCGACCCGTCCAAGGTAGGCAGGAGTGCGTGGGAAGGGCTTACGCGTGATCTTTTTAGTGCCTACCACCAACACTCGCATGTCGAGTACTACGCCTTCAAGTACTTCGGCATTCGCCCAGCAACCGTGGGCGGATACGACGCGACGAGGGAAACCACTAATCTGGTGACAGATCAAAGATGGCTGGACGAGGCAAAGGCTATGGATATTAGGGGTATGATTAAGAAGGTTATGGAAGTCAGTAAAGTTGCTGGCGCCTACTTCCCGGATGAAGTACGAGTCATGTAAAGTGCTCGGTAGAAGAGTATAATGGCAGAATGGTTGCCACCTACACTCCTACACTCTTCGCTAGATACTTCAATGTTGTAACCTAGGATGTTTTAGGTGTAGGTGTAGGTACGTACCTCCATGAAGGTTGTTGCTCTTCGACGGGGATGTACGCTAGGTTAGAAGATTCATTTCTTGTTTATGAATTAGCTTTTTATTCTAGACAGCTGATGAGATGCGTTGAATGAATAAGTTAACCTTTGTTTCTAGTTAAATACTCTTTGTGTCAAAATAAACTCGTAGGAGTGGACGTGATTTGAAAATGTTTATTCAACAAGAGGGGCTTCAAAGGGGGCGACAGAACAAAAAAGGGGTTTGATTCCTTTGGCTAATACATAACTTAGGTGTATTAAATTGAGTCATGTGACGCTCCACCTATCTGCCCTTGTGGGTCACGTGATATACTGATGCGTTATGTGGGTACCTAGTACTTGTAGAACTTACCAAATCCTTCCCCCCCCAGATATGTAAGAGAGGGTAAGAGGCGGGTACCTTAGCAGATATTTATGTTCCTCATAATAATCACCTGGCTCAAGACATTGATACATCTGGTATGTGTACTTCGTCATACTGGCCAATTAATGATCTTCGATAAGATAAGATAAGATCTTACCACCTCCATCGCACTGAGGTTTACCTACCTATACGACTTACATCCATGGACGTACATATATACCTGTCTGTCTACAGGACCTGTGCTGACCTTGTCAGAATGACAAAGGGGGGATATGCCATGCGCAGTATTAAATAAAGACTATCATATTTTACGTATAGAAATAGTTAACTAATTTACCTATTGTCCCAACACTAACTCACGTATTCTACCTAGTAATACAGCCTTCATCACTTGACCCAAGTATGCTTCACTACCCAGGTCTTTCCCTTCTCCCTTCCCATGTCTTGATATCCATTAACAAAGTAACCAAAGTAGATGATGTAATTTGCTTAGAATAAACCCCCTGTCTAGGGAGGATGCACATCGCTGCTTTTCTCCACGATCCCCCGCACGCGCCACCGATGTGACCCGCGGAATCCAAAGCGCGCCCACTTGCTAGTGCCTCTCGGAGGAATGCCCCAGCGAAACACTCCCTCATCGACACCTTACCTTTGTTATAAGTGCTGATTCCCTTTTTTTTAATCTGCACCTCTCATCTTCCTGCCAAAGTTGGATTGTTGAGGGTTTGGTATCCTCGATGTCCATATAGCGCGAAAGAGTTACTTGGGTATTATTACTCGTAAAAGGTTAAGATGGCGTTCAATAATGGTGGTGTAATATCGGACCCTCCAAAGACCAGCTTCGGACATAATGAGTACCAAAATGAGGTCGACCGTATCGACACCCTCGCTACGTCCCCGGAGGTAACGCTTGAGTCGTTTGCTGACCTGGACGAGAAGAAGATTCTAAGAAAGGTACGGAAAGCTCCCCGCGTTTGGAGAACCTACAAAATATCCCATACTAACCTCAAAGAACTTACTTAGATGGACTTGAGGCTCATTCCAATGCTCGCTCTGCTTTACTTGCTATCATTCCTAGATAGGGGAAACATTGGCAACGCAAAGATCGAGGGCCTCCAAGAAGATCTGGGAATCAGCCCGGATGAGTATAATTGGTGTCTTACGGTGTTCTTCTTCACATATGCCGCCTTCGAAGTACCGAGCAACTTGCTGCTAAAAAAGCTACGCCCTTCCAGGTGGTTACCTTTCATCATGGTTATGGTAAGTGTAGTATTATTCCCGATCTCAGAGTCGCAAGCTAATGCAAGTCGCAGTGGGGGGCAGTAATGACATTAATGGGCATTGTGAAAAACTATCAAGGTCTCCTGGTTTCGAGGCTGTTTCTCGGTGTCACTGAAGCTGGCTTGTATCCCGGGTGTGCTGTATGTGTCCACCACCATATTTGAGCCGTATAAAACTAATTCGCTTTAGTACTATCTCACTATGTGGTATTCTCGCCATGAAATACAACTTCGACAGGTATGACATCTGACAATAGAAACGGCTCCAAAGGCTGAGCTGGGTTACGATTGCTAACATTGAAGCCCCTTTCACCAGGCTATGTTCTTCTCTGCTGCCTCTATAGCTGGCGCATTTAGTGGGCTGCTAGCATTTGCCATCGGAAGGATGGACGGTGTCGCTAACTTGGAAGGCTGGCGTTGGATATTCATTCTTGAGGGCCTCGGAACTGTGAGTCGGGCCTTTTACTGGTAAATTTCAAAGAAAAGCTAACTGAGTCTTCCAGATCATCATTGCAATTCTAGCATTCTTTGTGCTGCACGATTTCCCCGAAACTGCCTCGTTTCTCACAGAAAAGGAACGGCAATTCGTAGTCTATCGTCTCAAATACCAAGGGCAGTTGCACGGAAAAGAAGAAGGACACCTACGTGTCGCACAGGCAGAGGAGTTCGAGTGGAAATACGTGTTTGCGGCGTTTAAGGATTGGCAGATATGGGTAAACATTGTGGTATATTGGGGCGTAAGTTTTTCACTCGCCTCCCACACTTATGAAGCTTTGATTAATCTGGTCTGTGCGTAGGTGGTTTGCCCCCTTTACGGTATCAGTCTCTTCCTCCCAACCATTATCAGGAATTTAGGGTACTCTTCGAGCACTGCGCAACTTATGACCGTCCCAATCTACATCACAGCGTCAATTCTCTCTGTCGTATTCGCATTTATTTCGGATCGCGTTGGAAAACGGAGTCCGTTTATTATAGCCTTCTTTCTGGTTATGATAGTTGGATTCTCAATGTAAGCAGACCCCCGAATACGAGGCAAATGAAACGATACTAACATCTGGAAGGTGTATAACGAGCACCAACCCTCGAGTAGTCTATGCTGGTGTATTTCTCGTAGCTTGCGCCATCTACCCAGCATTTCCAGGAGTGGTCACGTGGCTGTCGAATAACATAGCAGGCAGTTATAAGCGCAGTGCCGGGATGGCCATTCAAATCGGCATTGGGAACCTTGGCGGGGCGATGGCATCGAACTTCTACCGGCAAAGGGACTCTCCGCAGTATGTTCTAGGCCATACTTTAGAACTAGGATTTATCAGCGCCGGTATCGTCGCAGCGTTTATTCTGGTCATATCATACGTCTGTATCAACAAGAAGAGGGATAGGATTGTCCAAGACGGTGGAGAAGCTCAGTTTACAGCTCGAGAACTATCCGCAAAGGGAGATCGGGCTATTACTTTCAGATATATGATATAGGTTTGCGTGGCAAACGATGACACCTTCTTAACCTATAAATCACAAATTTGATTGATATATCGTCTTCCAAACGAACAAACAGAGCCTTGATAGAGGGGTGATATCATTATGAATACTGCGTACTAGGTACCCAATATTGCCCCAAGTTGTAGACAAGAACCTTAGAAATGAAACGGCTTATGATGATTCCGATAGAAAGGGGGAGAACCAGCAACAAGGCACACTCCAAGATTCTTTGTTAGCAATCCTAACAAAAGGATTGTTTAAATCTTAACAAGAAAGAATATAAGGCCTATTCCCCTTGTCTATACTCAGAATAGCTGTTTCATGTGGATATTAAATGAAATTTCTAGCATGATCAATGATGTGATGTCCCTTATATACCCCCGGACGAGGTCATCTGGTATCGACAGAGACATGCATACTTCAACTTCTGCCCAAAAGTCGAGTCCTTCAAAAAACAAAAATAAAAGAGATGGCACATTCACCCCTTTTACGAACAGTGATGCGATCGAAGCTGGACTTCAGAAGTACAGCATTGGTAAATTATGAGGTTACTATCGAGGGTCTCGGTGCCAGCCTGGAGCTGCCCCCCAACAAAGAATATTTCGACGAAAATCAATGGACAGACCTTCGCAAAGATTACGACTCTAAATTAGTTCGGCAAGCCCATCGAAACGATTGTGAAAAGGCGTATCTCGATGTGATCAAGTCAAAGAGGAGGCGCGAACCTACTAGGGTTGGTTGGGATGGGCCGCGATATTACTTCAATCTACTTCAGGCATTGAAGAGCCTCGTTCCAAGGAACCTTGTGCAGCTCAAGAAAACGATAGCCAAGTCCGGGTTTCTCGAATGGAAACCTCCCTTGCTATCAGACAATCTTCTCTGTGAGCAGCTGGTTCCTGACCCTGTACCGTGTGGCCGCGTCTGCGTTGCAGAAGTAGGAATTCTTGACAGGCGACTACTTCACCACGCCATATCTCCCAAGTATGTTCCAAAGCCCCACTTCAAAATGGAGAGAAAGAGACTAGCGATCAAGTGCGTTGAATTTGCCTCCTTCGTAGAGAAGCAATTAGCGAGCGGGCACAGTATTATACCCCGTCCCGAGGACGAGTCATCTGATGAAGGCCTCCTGACTGAGAATGAACCGTTTCCTCTCGGCCCTGGTAAATCAAGCAAGCCCGGCAAGACTCTCGGTAAGCGGAAGCGCGGAAATGACGCTCCAAAGAATGTGCGAGCCAGGAAGAGACCCGCTTTCGTCAAGCTTTACGACTGCAAGGCGCACGACCGTGCTCAACTCAAGTCCCAGGGAATGAACCGATTTGCTTTGATGCAGCAGATAGTACCCCGTGTCGAGAGCCCGGCCATAGAGCGAGTCAAAGGGACTACTACTAAAGACAACTCTGATGTATCAATCTCTGTAGATATCGAAGAAGACCCTGCCATGGAAGAACTCAGGGTTTACGGTATCCCGCTGCCTGCGCGTTTGCCAGGCAGTCAAATTGACGAGGAAGAGGAACCAGAAGAGTTGACGGCGGAGGATATAGGAAAATACCGTTCTTGGAGATCACGAGCGAGGCCCTTTTTCCAGGAGCGAGATCGATACATGCAGCATAGGCTGTACCGGGAACGAGCTTGCGATCGTGAGATATCCTCCGCGGTTATGTCTCTAGTGGGGTTCTGGGCCAAAATAACAGCATAGCTTCTAGTATATAGATCAGAACCTGCCTATTTCTTACCTTCTCAAACACTTGAAGGTGAAAGAGTTCTCGATCAACTCTTCTCAACACAGTCTTTACGATGTCCTTCTTTAGAAAATCAAAGAACCTTAATAATATTTGATGCACTCTTTTTTTTTGAAACCTTTCAATGATTTTCTCATGCATATACGATATGAAATTTTAAATAACGTCTAATATCATTGTTCAGAAAATGCCAGCATTCATAGGAGTCACATATACATCTATCACACTTCGGATTGCTTCATAAGAGGGTAAAACACACCACGATTAAATCCCTTATATACTCTGTACCTAGTTATACTATTCCCCCTTTACCTACCTAGGTAGTTAGGACGTTAGATGCGTGCTGGGATGTGACGTTAATGGGTATCACGTGATCACGATAAATCCAAGATTCTTCATCATAATGTCTTGCAAATTAAACTAACTATGTAACAATAAACCGTATAGCACCTACCCACAACTAGGTATTTAATAAACAAAAATGGCTTCAAACAAGTTAGCAAATCATCACACAGCACTTGAAAAACTACTATCTAGCCTAGTGTACTACTAGTAGTACTAGGGAAGATATATATCACCATTCCACCCACTTGTCCGCTTCTATAATATATGCTAAGGAAGGAAGACCCCCATCATATAAATGCCGGTGACGATGAATCTAACAGTTAAAACTTTAACCCTGATAAATCTGCTTGTGACGGTGAAAGAAGAGGCGAATTTTCAGCAGGGTTAGAGGATACATCTATAAGCACTCCCTCGTCAGGCCCAGGTTCGGGAGGATCAGGTTCAGGAAGCCCAAATAATGACGGTCTCAATGGTCGTCCAAAATCAGTTACTTCGGAGTCGCTTTCCTCGTCTTCCAGACGCCGATTTGTTGCATTAGTAAAACCCATCATGTCCACCAGATTCCACTAAAAGAAAAGTTAGCATACAGGTTGCAGTATCAAAGGTGATCGAGTTACGTTAGTGAAGAGAAGAGAGAAGGTAGGTTGCTTACGTCTGTGGTGGTTTCATGGATATTCGACAAATTCCATCTCGTATATGGGGAGATATCTACTCTACCCACTTCAGCGTCTGGAGCATCGAAATACCCGCCTCTAAAGTTGGCGTGAATTGCTGGGACAAGGGAACGTGGGTACCTGGCATCAGGATAGTGGAAATTGCACCGCCAACTACATACGAGCAGATTCAGAAGAGAGAAACCGAACCACTGAGACCAAATGTGTTAGTTAGCAGATTCTTTCGATGATGAGGAAGAAGAAGAGAATACGAGATACATACATGCCGATCCTCTGGGCCTGCCGCAATGACATGGCTCCAGAAATATTCCTGCCAACCCCTGGCGTTATCTGATAATATATCATTAAGTCTCAGGTAATGTTGTCCCCTGAAATAAAGGCTAAGTATAAATCGGATTGCATGGTCCTCATGCGACCACTATACAATGGTTAGTGATTACTTCCTTAAGAAGCTGAGATAACCTCGGAACGCTAGGACATGAATCATCTGAAAGGAGAGAACAGAAAACCGAGCAACGCGGATAAGGGTCGGGATACGTACGATTGTTTTGTCAATACTCTCTGAGTCAGGCAAGAAAAAGCCGTAGGTACGAAGCACCGTATTTCGCAGATTGGTATCTGCTAGGACAGGCTGTATCTTGTTCCATTTTGGGTTTCTTGTTTGCGGGTTGAATCGCAGATAGCTATCGCAGTACTCTCGAAAGGGCTTTTGAACTGCTGGCGATTTTAAGAATAAATCAAGTTCATACATCTGTGAAGTTACCGTATTAACTGTATCGTGACCGTGCCGAGTGAAGCCATTGGTACCAGTCAGGCTATATAGGAGCATCTCCGAACGTAATTGATGCTGGTTCTCGGACATTGCCAAATGTCGGAAAATGTGTGAAACGCGCGTCCAGTAGGCGTATGCTTTCTGTACCCTGATTCGGGATCTCATTACCATGAAAAAATTGATATTTCCTCGATCATAGAAATTTCCTAGGATTTCTTGGTTCCCTGGAACGCCTCCTCCTGGTTGGAACCACTGCTAACGAGTCAGTAATCTTCTCTGGAAGGGGCAAGATTCAACTTCAGCATTACTTACAGCTCGAGCTACTGTTTTCATCCAACCTTTAAAGGGGTACCAAACTTCCTCCTCAAAGGACGGCTCTATAAACCTTTTAACACTGATCTCGTGAGGTATTCCGAAAAAATGGTACCACTAAAGAATAAGTTAGTGATTATCTCTTTCCAAAACGCGTCGGTATTCGAGTATTTCTCAAATCCAATTCAAATATAGCCAAGGGAGTGGGAGAATCATACATCACGTCGCCTCGGATCCTCGAGATTTGAGTAGGGTGGTAGGATAAATCTACCTTCGGGGTTGTACAGCTCTACCTCATATTTTGGCCGGATAGGAACCCGATACAGTGGCAACCTGAGGTCATATATGCGTTTGGTCCATTCTCCTATCGCCTCATTATACTCCTCATCCTCCTCATCGTCATTGCCACTCGTCTCATCGCCATCGTCACTCATCTCACTCTGATAATCCATCTCCTCATCACTCTCATAATCCATCTCCTCATCACTCTCCTCATTTCCAGGGCCACTCTTCTGAGTGCCAATCGTCTGACTCTGAGAATTCATTTTTGAAAATTATTCGAATAGTAGGTGTATTTTGTAACAATATCACCTGGTCGTCGAGAACCCTGTCTTGCGAAATATACGTGGGACCATATGTAATTGGTTATGTGCTAGATAAGTACCCGGAGCATAATCAGTGTCAAAGTATACAATATCATTCGGCCATTTATTCTACAGCTCAAGTAGAATATTTGACAAAGACATTTCCCGACAATCTCTTTCTTCTCCACGAAGCTTAGGCAGTGTTCATATGAAAGGCCAATTAGACACAACTACTAGGTAAAGTCGTCACTGTACCTACCTACTAGGTACCTAAGCATGACAGTTCTCTTCATATAGGTCACGAGGAAAAGAGTGACCTGACAATGGGATAGGCAAAGGAGTTGATATTATGAGGCGGATGCAAGACCAGACGAGTAGAAAGGAATGTAGTCAAGAATCACGGTTCTCTTTCTGTGTACCTACCTCCCGCGAAAAGCAATTTTCAATGCTACTTCTCTTAACGGTGTTCTTCGTCCCAAAATCCCAGTGTCAAACAATGACTCTCGAACCTAGGTCTTAATTATATTCGCAGCTACCACGATCGCATCCGCAGTTTTTTGCACAAATTCCGCTGCTAGTGATATATTGCGAGCCAGCACCGCCTCCGTTACTCCTGGAAATGTCGTTGGCGCATAGCCTAAGTCAGAAAGCGTCAGTCATGTCCCTAAGTGCCAAGTATCTACCCAAGTATCTTCCTCGGAAAGCTTGGAGAGAGCACGGCAGTAGTAGAGTCTAGACGTACCCGTATCAATTCCAGGGGCAAAGATTAGATGCTTGTAGAATTCCCGATTTGGTAGCCCGCCTTGGGATACGAAGCCGCGCTGGAAATCCCTGTACTTGTGGTTTACCAGAGTGACGAGGTTAGGGTCACTGGTTGCCGTTGCCTGGTCCTCGAGGGCCTGTACATCTGTTGCGCCTGTCTGGAAGGTGTCTATTGCGCTCCGTAGCGCAGACGTGTCCAATACCTGTGAGGTGGATTCTATCGTAGAGAGCAACTCTTCGTAATATACTTCTAGTTGCTGGGCATAGTTCGGTAGATCAAATTGTATTATATCTTGATCCGCAAGGTTATAAGCCAGGAGTGTTAAGTACTGTAAGAGGCATGGTCAGTACTCGATCGTTACGTGTTTCTGTCCAGTCTCTAAACGCATGCAGTCATACCTGGGACATAGATTGGTGAGCCCTAAAGCCAGGATCTCCGAAAGTCGTCATCTGTAACACAGTTAGTCAATAATCGCCCAGGATATTTTGAGGGGGGGTGATAGCCATGTCAACTACTGAGTAGAAGGGTCCTCACCCAATGATAACTATCGAAATTGCTGTGGTAATGATAGACGGGATCCGACGAGCCTCCGCCTGAACCAACATCGATCTGTAAATTATTAGCAATACCGTAGTAGACAACGCAGATGTCCAAGTAGCCACAAGCTGAAATGCACCTACCGAGCCAATGCCTTCGTGAACGAAGGAGGTGTAATCAGAACCGCTGCCCAATACGCCAATCGAGTCTTGAGTGTACTCGGACCAGACATCATACATGGTATGGTCCGTGTCCATCCACAATATCTTCTTCATGGTATCTGTAGCGATCGTGTGCAGCTCAGGCGTCGCGCTGATGTAGGGCCAAGGTCCAGACGCGCCGACATCCTGCACAATTTTGAAATCAGCACCCCCCCTTCATCCAAATAGCAAACCTAGCCTGAGGGTGTAACTCCAAACTCTGCTTACAATATTCAAGTAGGACACCGCGCTCTCTTTGAGCCAGGGAATGTACTCCTCCACCCATTCCGTCGACCCCACGAGCCCGTACTCCTCCGCATCCCAGGAACACAGCACGATATTCCGCTTCGGCCGCCACCCCTGCGCCAGGAGCTTTCCAAAGGCTCGGGAGAGCTCCACGATGATCGCCGTCCCGCTGTTCGGATCCGCCGCGCCTCCAATAATCCACGCATCGCGATGGTTCCCGATCACGATCGTCTCGTCCGCAATCGAGCCGTTGATTATCCCGATCGAGTCCCAGATCGGCGTGTACGCGTCCTCCATGAGGTTCGCCATGCTGATCGTCGTGCCGGGGGCCGGGCCGGTGCTGTACGAGACGTTCAGCGCGCCCACCCACCCCGTGCGGTTGACGTCTGCGCCCGCAGTTCCGTGCCCGTCGAGCGCCGCGAGGATCGGGATCGCGTCCGCGTAGGAGATCGGGATCGACGGGATGTGCGGGACCACCTGCGAGTGGTTTGCGCGCGGCGAGCCCTCCTTGGACGGGTAGCCTGGCGTCGTCGGGTCGCCGGGGTATGTCGAGAGGAACTGCACGCTGCCTCGTTGCACGGAAGACGGGTTTCGCGCGGGCCCGTCGGGATACGCGGCGTACCCGTTCGCTTCGGTGATATCGCCGTCATCCGACGTGTCTGTGAAGATGACCGCGCCTATCATGCCGTGTTCTTGCGCATTTTTCACCTTCAACCCTCTGAAGGGTCCGCCGTACTTGGCTAGCGCAACTTTCCCTTCCAGTGGCACGTTCAGCTCAATCAGCCTGTCAAAATCGACTTGCTGGCCTCGCCCAACGTAGACATACTCGGCCTCTGCGCTGCCGCTAGCCGAGTACCCGTGGAACGTGGGGATCCGATCGGGATAGCTCGACGTTTCGTCCTCGTCCAGTACATCTTCCTCCAGGAGCGGTGCGTAAGTGCTGCCATTAGAATATGTCAAGCTCAGGGACTTGCTGACCGGATAATTGAGGAACACAACATAAGACACGACAGAAGAATTCCAGCCATTCTCCTGGAAACGATCGGCCGTCCACTGCGCCATAGTCAGGTTTTTACCCGCCAAATGCGCGCCGTGGGTGTAGTAGTACGCCCATTCTGAGATCGTCGTGTTCGAAATAGCCTCCACAAGCGTTGTCTCCTCTGGGCTGAGGGAGACTAGAGGGGTGCTCTGTCTTCTTGCCAGGTCTGGATGAGTGGAGAAGCGTGTGTGCAAACACGCATTAGCGAAAGTGAGGAAGAGGACGACAAACGCCTGGATTCCATTGCTATGGCGCCCCATCTTCAGTAAATTGTCGTGATGGATATTGTTAGCATATGCGACAAGAATTGCGAAGCCTTGATATGATATTCGAACTTTCTATATAAAAATGCGGGCGAGATCGGCCACAGTAAGCCTCGTACCGAGCCCTGCCGAATGTCGTCACAAAACAGCATGGCAACATATGTGCCTACTGCAACGCCGGGAGCTGCGGATAGAACACCGGTACAGAAGTGGAATATCCCCAATATTGAACCTATCTGTGATTCTGTGGAGGCTTGATAACCGGATGCGGGGTGATGTCGTATTGGCAATGTTAGATTAGGCGCATACCGATGCAAATCACAGTGTCATTGATAAGAGCCATGTTAGTATTAACCTGTTCCAACTTCCAAGACAGCCACTTAACCGTCAACTTACAAGTCAATTGTTAGTTAGGTAGTTACTATGTGTTAGTCTTCGTGCCAAGTTCGTGGTACATGCCCAGTACTTACGCAAATAAGCTCAGCCAATCATGATCAAAAAACAGCCCAGGACCTGCCATTTACAGAATGGTATAACCCAAAACATCCAATCAGCTTCAGGGCGCCCTAATGCTTAGGTACCCAGAGTAAATAGAAATAGCACTCCATAAGTGTTCACTGTTCTCTATTGTAAAGGTCCTCGTCGTCTTCGCCATTTGTTGTGGCATCCGTTAGAAGGTAGTTATCGCTGTATGGATTTTCTTGTTGCGGCCAAAGGTCCTGCAAATTTGGAGCTGTGGCTAGACTGTGTAGAAGAGGCTTTACAGCACTGTATTTTACTGGTTAAGCTCCCTGAAATAGTGTTAGCCACGCACTAAGCTGGGGACTCTATAGTGGCCCGCCCACTGTAAGCTTAGCTAGTAAAATACTGTGCTTATATGAGCCTTGGCATACTGTACATGCGCGGCTTTCAATTTGCACGACCTTTGGCCGCAACCTTGCAAGGTTTGTAGGCGGGACCTGCCCAGATAACTACCTAGTATATATGTAGGGTCGCTATCGCGTTGACGCGTTTGCTCTTCACCTTGGTACTTGCTCGTAAATATTACGAAGGTCGTATTCCAGGCGTCGTCTTATGCCGCAAAACTCGGAAAACTAAGCGTCTAGTATCTCCTACATATGTAGCTAGCATAAGCCAGTTCAATAAAGTTATTGTCACGGTCAATGGGACACTAAGCATGGATGCCAGAATGATTGCAAAACCCCTAAATACACGTAGGAAAGAATACCATATCACGGTGCGGAACTACTCGAGAAAGTCGGCGATCAAGTTTTCATTACAAGCTACCTAGTGCCTGATTGTATACCTCCAATAGTTATATCAAAGGCGGTGCTTCCGTAATGCATTCGTACCTAGTGCCTATCTCATAAAATAGGCATTCCTGTTAGCTACCTGAGAACCCGTTCCTGCTTGCGAAATTTCCTCCGTACAGCTTAGTCAATTTCCATCTTGTCTGGAGACGCCTGGGTGTTAACGCCCATCGTATCCTCAAACGGGGGGTTGACAGTGCTCTCCTTGTCCTTAACCGCAGGGGTGTCAACATCCATCTGATCGCCATCCATGCCGCCGTTATTGTTATTGAACAAGTAACCCGCGTTGTTCACGAACTCGGCGGGGAGACTATTGCGGATGAGGAGGACCTCGGCATAGAAGACGGGGTACGCTTGAACGGCACGTCTCAAGCTGGGGCGCTGGTCCAGCACCGTCTTGGCCTGGTACGAGGCGAAGAGCGTGGCGAGGGAGGTCTTCAGCGACTGGAAGTGGTCGGGTCTGCTGCTGATGAAGCCGAGGATCACGGTGAAGGGGGCGGCGAACTTCAAGCCCGGGGTCTCGTGCGCGTCGATCGTGCTGATCTCGCTCTCCACCTCGATGTAGTGTTGGAGCTTCTTGGCCAGCGGCGCCGCCACAAGGTCCTGGAAGCCCTTGACGCCGTAGTCGAGGCTGAGCTTCATCACCGAGAACACCAGGACGAAGAATTTCTTGAACGGGTTCGTCAGGTCCCTGTCCAGGTCAGGAGGCACTGGGTTGATTTCATTAGCTACCGCTTGTATGTATTGTGGCGAATATACTTTTCATTGGGAATCCCGCCAGAGGATAGAAGGCATCCATGGATAGGTAGCTTCGAAGATGGGATATGCCACTTACTTGTGCCCTCGTACATGTACTGGATGAGCCAGTCCAGTTGATTGGGATCCTGGTCGTTGACAACGACGACGGAGTCAGGGTCAAACTACGCAATTCCTCGTTAGCACGGACATACCTGTAGGAAAAAAAGAAATAAAAAGACTGATTCTTACCAAACTCATCGTATTATACTGCTCCGCAGCCTTTTTGAATATTTCCGACTCCATACAGATGATGTACTGGTGGAGCTTCCAGACTCGATTGCGACACTTGACAATGATATCGAAATCCATGCCGGTGCGGAGCAGGCTACATCCAGGTCAGCATAATTACTTCCAGTGACAGAAGCCTCTATCCAACGAGGCGAGGTTATTGCGACTTCGAAGAAAAGAGACAAACTTACTGAGAACGGTAAAGATAGCTATCGCAGCCCTGCTGGGCGGCCGTGTTCACAAAGGCAGGCAGCATGACTGTTTCCTAATTTTAAAAATTAGTATTCAAGTTACTAATTTCGGAGATATAAATTGACGGATGGTCCATTGAGATAGGAAAGTATTAGGTGGTAGATACCTGCGTTTCTCGTTTGGGGTGACTTGAAGAAAGGAAGAAGGAAAGGTAAGGAAGGGAAGGTGAGAGATTGCAAAGGTAGGAGAGGAAGAAATGAAAAGAAATGGGTTGGTGGGAAGCAAAAATACTTCTAGAAAGTACCTTTCGACCTCAACGACGACAACAGCTGCGATGAGAGACAAATCGATCCTAGGGCCAGCTGGCGAAGAACGAGTTGACGACCGACGAGAGGGTTAACGGTCTTGCCGAGACAAGTTGACGAGGTCGAAAAAGGGGGGTCCGCTTTTGTGAATAAAGGCATAGGGACTGGGCCACTACTTCCTTAAAGCCCCTACTATCATCTTTATAAGCAAGGCCATTAGATGTCTATTCAAGTGAACCTAATAACCCTACTATCTACGAACGTGGAAGTATTCAAATAAACTTGGGCTAGATACCTCTTGACACGGCATTATACCGATAACATGGCCAAAGCTCGTACATCCTCTCGAGTGAGACTTTTAGTTTCTTTGGCAGCCTGAGCTTCAACAGCCAGGAAAGGGGGGAATGATGACATGAGGGGTGAGAGCAAGAACATTAGGATAAGCACGTATATATAGTAGGTGTATCTAGCGTCCATCATATAAAACGATCTTGTAACTAGGTGCCTACTTTTGTACCTTAGTAAGATATAGGTGTTCAGAAGTATAGACAACTCAAGTCATAGTAAAGCAATCAGGGTGAGCTGTTATAGTAGCGATAGAAGATCAGGTGGGTAGAGGACTTGGTAAGAAAACTCTTTGAGCTTATTTAACAGAAAGGATCAGCCTCAGCCTCAGCTTCCATTAATCAGCTACCTACGTTAAAGACAAACATATAAAAAGAAAAAGCCATGATGTAGATGCTATTATGCCCACAAACCCTGGGGCCATATCCCAGAACTCCTGTACCTCTCTGTACGGATATCATATACCCAAGCACCAGTAGACCGAGACCACCACTGCAGCAATATGTCCCTATTCATACATCAAGATTAAATCATCCCGAGATGGATCTATCCTATTCGTTCCGTCCCCTAATCCTTCCTTCCTAGATGCTCATCAAGCGATGATCCCTCCGTCGACTCGGGTGGGGTGTACCGGGAGTTGCCGTGGCCTGGTCGGAACCCATCGGCAACGAATCCGGAGTCCTCAGACCCTGCATCATAGGCAGGAAGCTCCTCGTCAACCGATGCGTAGTCTGGGAACGCCGAGGTCGGGCTCGGGGGTGTCGGGATGTTGCGCTGCTCTTGCATCTCACGGGGGTACTCGCGGGAACGTCCCTCTTCCGCAGCGACCAAATGGCCGACGACGCTAGCAACGGCACGGAATTGTGCGATATCCTGCTCCATGGTTGTCGAGATGTCATCTTCCTCGTACTCGTTGTCCGACTCGTGCAATCCTCTCATGATGGCTTCCTTCTCCTCATCGTCGGCATCCTGGCGCCTTAAGCCCTCCTTTAACCACCGGAGAATTTCGCTGTACTTGTGGCCGAGAGCACGTGGGCCAGCCCAAGCACCATGACGGTGGCGACGGGCCTTTGCAGCTCGACGTCGCCCAGCACATTTACTCTTGCGAGACGCAGTGCAGCAGCGTGTGCAGATGGCACTTATTAGCAGGCCCAGGAGGACTACTACAGCCCCGATGTGCACCAGTGGTAGCGCTTCGAATGGGCCATGGGGACCGAAAGGCTAATTCATAGTTAGTAACAAAACTCAATAGGAGGTCACTATAGTACATACCGGTGGTGGAGGTGGAGGATGCGGGCCACCTTCATGATGAGGGGGTGGTGGGGGTGGTGGGGGTTGTAAGTGGTGGTGAGGATGAGTTAGGACTGGCGGAGCATCGATATCATCCTCAGGTACATGCATTGGTCGCCGGGTCTCATCATCCTCGAGGTTCTCGGACGGATCCTAGAAAAAAAGTTAGTTCTGCATGGTTGGATGTTAGATATCCAGTCTGTCTTACCTCCATCTCGAACCCGGGAATTGGTCTGGGATGTTTGTGAGGTCTGTCAGAACCTGGGAATTCGTGGTGCGCCGGTGGTGGTGGTGGTGGTGGAGGCGGCGGCGGTGGTCCTCCGTGGAAAGGGGGTGGCCCATCGAAGAACCCCGGGGGTGGCGGCGGAGGCGGGGGCGGTGGTGGCGGCGGGGGGCCACAATGGCAGAAGGGCGGCGGGTGGTGGTGCGGTCCATCGGGAGGGCCATGAGGACTATGAGGCGGTGGGTGTGGGTGAGAGTGGTTGTCGTGTTTGCCATGATGCGGTGGGGACCAAAGAGGAAGATGGTCAAAATGCTTTCCACCTCCGTGGTGTAAAGGCCAATGAGGTCCCGGGCCCTGATGATTAAAAGGGCCGTGGCCTTCAGGGCCATGCCCATAAAGTCGGCTAGCCATGTGCCTCGCTCTTCTGTACATTGTCTTCACAATACACTTGAGACTGTCACATTCGGAAAATGAATGGAATCTGTGCGGCTGTCTGAAATCGTATGTCTCGGATATATGCTGCGCCTTGGCGGAAATCGCATGTTCAAGTGCTGCAAGTTGTCGCATCATTGACTTCAATTCTGCCAATTCATCGTCCAAGGAAGTCGAGGTATCCTTATCCAAACCATCGTCCTTGACCTTCGTAGTAGTGGTAAGCTCTACAGAAAGTCCGGTGCCATTGGCGAGCGAGATCGAAAGAGGTGCCATCTGTTGAAATTGAACATTGAATCCAACATCTTCAACATTTTCGTCGTCCACCGAAATTACATCGAAAGTCATAAGCTGACCTTGAAATTCATTTTCAAGATGTACACAAGTGAATCCCCAGGTAGCGAGAATGATGTTGCCATTCTCAGTCGTAATTGGTCCGAACCCCTTACCATTCTCGTCTTGCGCGAGTGCTTGGTCATTGAGGGTCACATTTCCATAACCACATGGAGATGTTGACTCGAGAATGTCGAGACGAAGAGTCTGAATGCAATAGCCTTATTAGTCGCGACTTTCTATTAGAGATCTCAGAAAGATAGGGATAGATGGCTTACAGGTCCCGTGACAGCAAGCTCATCTTGAGTATTATTGAGCTCGAACTTAACTAAAACTTGGGGTGTGGTGACTAGAAATAACAATTACGTGTCAGAAGTATGTTACAATCTTCATTGATGTATTGGATTTCACCTTCTTGTCTCCTGGGAAGGGCTGCTACCAGCACCGGTGCTAGCAGCAACTGGGCCGCTAAGTGGCCAAGCATTGTTTGGACAGGCACCAGTTAAAGATTGTAATGAAGATCAAAGTTACGAAAAAAGATTCCTTATACGTAGCATGAGACGATTACGAATTGGCCTCACTTGGCGAAAGAAGAGGATAAGGAAAGAAACACACAAATTGGTTGCCTACATGGGCGGGCTGTGAGTAATATGTAAAGACACCCGGGCTGTCCGCGAGGCGTGCGGAATAGGGTGGGGTGCCACGCGGACACTTTCACTTAATGAAAATATGGATGGAAAATATGCCCACAGTTCTAACGGCAGTGATATCGTGCCGTCTCTTTTTTTCTCGCAGGGTAGGTATGTATTACTTACATATTAACGGTAGTCTTACCTATGTAATTACCTAGGTTAGGTTAGTACCCAGTAGGGAAAGGTGGAATATGAAACGGCTCTGATTACAGTGATTAGCAGCAATTCGCCGTCGCCCTAGAGAAGTCGTCTAGTTCCGTTCCATTGGAGGCGGTGCAAAGTCCTACATAATACCTAGCAGCTATTACTCTGCCCACCCAGTAGGTTAGGTGGTTCTCAATGGGTAGGGGTGGTGAATGGCGTCAACCAATAAACGTCAACTAGCTGACGAGTCCTCTAACCTGGCCTGGATTGAAGCCGATTGAGATCAGGGGAAAGATTCGTACGTCGCAAGGAAGCGCAAGAAAACATGCAATGACTCGGCCAATCATCGATACTTGTCTGAATAAACAATATCACGACGCATCCTGGCCATTAGGTAAGTGTAGATGATCTGAATGTATGAAGAAACTGCTAGAGCTCAACATTGAAAATGAAGGACTGCTCAAAATACCCAGTATTGTTACCTACTAACCTCAGCGATTTGGAAGTTCATGAGAGTCGAGTACGGGTAGAATAGCAGCCAAATGTTCAATATCTGACTTTTTATGTAAATATGCTTCCGTGAGGGTTGGTGTTTTGTATCGATTACTTCAATGTTCGTTCAAAATGCATTGGACATCGGAACAAGCATTGAAGCCGTTCAAATTTAATTTCAAATTTAATCTTGCACCTAACAATTTTCTAACCGCCGTGACTAAATGCTGTGGCTTGATTAGACCTTCAGGACTTAGGTACTAGCGTACTTAGCCACGACAGTACGATCTAGATCCGATTTCTGTGGCTTCAAGGTTGACTTACTAGATTAGGTAATATATGCATGGTCCCCACCAAATTCTTTCTACTAGGTAGCTTGTCGCTGCAACTGCTAAAACAAAGTATCATCATTGCTGTCATATCAACCAAGCAAAGATTCATTGTTGCGCAATTCACATTACAGCACCATATTACCCTGATTCTTGATTGCGGTTCATTCAAAATGGTATTATATGCAATTATCTCTTCTCTCATATTCGTACCTACTAATGCGCACGCTTTCTTAGTTGCCTCTCGGCCTCTTGAACGCGGCCCAAGGCCACCCCATGCTTGTCGAGCTGAAAAACGGAGAGACCTTGAACGGTCACTTAATACAGTGCGATACGTGGATGAATCTGACGCTCAAAGAAGTCATCCAGACAAGTGCCGTACGCAGTTAACCACTCGTTGCCTTCCAAAGTAAGCATCATAGCTGACTTCGTAAAAACAGGACGCCGACAAGTTTGTCCGTCTCCCGGAAGTATACGTGAAGGGCAACAATGTAAGTCCCATATTACCTTTAATAAACCCGTTTCTTGTGTTTAATGAAGCCTTTTTAGATCAAATATCTCCGAGTACCTGACGAAATCATTGACCTCGCGAAAGAGCAGCAACAACAACACGGCCAACAAAGTGGGTTTAGAGGTGGCCGAGGAGGACATGGCCAACAAAGAGGAGACCACGGTGGCAGAGGCGGCGATAGAGGTCGTGGGCGAGGCCAAGGAAGGGGTCGTGGGAGGGGCCGCGGTGCGTGAGGATGATTTTATCCTACAGCAAAAATGCAAGATGGCTGCCAATGACGATGGCCACCGATACATATGAACGCGGCACTCGGAGGGAAATACTACACTCCCGAAAAGTCAGCGAAGTCAAGATGAAGTGACAGCTCTAAGTCGACAGTTGCTATGGACGAGAACGATACCCAGCCCGACGAGACAGAATTAGCGCAGACAATAGGTATTGAACTTGTGCGAGGCACAAGAGGATAGGTACCTGGTAGAGATCCGTGGCAGCAACGAGCAACGAGCAACCAAACTCCACAACCTTTCAAGATAATCCAGGGATCAGAACCCGATCTTCAACCAGATACCTTCCTACTATGTAGGTATATCAGTACTAGGTACTAGGTATTTGTCCAGCTTTCTCAATGATAATGCAAATAAATACCCAGCAAGTGTAAGGACCCAACGAACAGATATTCACATGATCGACAAGTTCTTAATAGTCTATCAATAAACAACTACTTTTGCAAGGACCACATGAGCACATCTACCACAAGATTACACAATTTCAACGTATTGATGCAATTCAAGTCCACTATTTATGTATAATACAATGTACAAGTATATCCGCCTATGTCACATTGGAGCATAATGCTGACATCGGACGCTAAAAGTCGATCCTGGCAGCTGTCACCAACTGAAACTAGCGCCACAAAATAAGTGGCATGTAACTTATCCCTGTACCTATTTCGTAATTTCGAGATTTCTTCTTTCTGCCGCTTTATTCTTTTGAATATTTTAAATATTTCAATGTTTTATATGCAACTACGACTTCGCACACCACCTGTCCTCCGATCACGCAATGCGAGGGGAGCGCATTGTCATCGATGGACTATGGCGATGTCTATGCCCCTCGGCAGACATTGCTACCATTTCTAAACTACTTGGTCCTCCTCATAATCCTCCACAAAGACCAATCCTATCATCATCTAGTCGCAATGCCCAGATCACCCAAAGCCAAGGACGACGAGAATACCGAGCAATCCCCTCTCCCCCAAACGACCCGAAGCGAGATGATCACGAGTATCGCGAACATGAGCGCATTCAATACCTTACGCGACTAGCGAAACGAAGCCCGTGGATTCCCGACGCTTTATTTAAAGGCGTTGATAGTTTCATTACCAAGCTTGACAGGATCCCAACCGAGACTATATATGCCTCTTTGAAAGAACTTACAAGGGCTGAGAGCACTTATTTCTCAATAGTGAAATTGGTCGAATACTTGATAACAGTGAGGAAAGAAAAGCCAAATGCCGTACTCTATGAGAGCCTCATAAGGGCGAATGTCGATAAGAAACATGGTTCTGCCGAAGTCGCTAGTAAGCTCCTCAAGGAAATGGAAAAGCTACGCATATCAATCACCCCCCAAGTATACCAGGCTGTGTTAGATGTGAGATGGCCCAACTAGTGATCCAGTCTTGCATGAGTTAATATAGGGACGTAGGTTACGGCTGTTCATCCTGATTATGTCCTCCGAAATACCGCACTCTTTGAGATGAAGAATCGATGGTATACGCCAACCCCAGATGATTTGATCAGCATCATCATTGGCCTGCTACGGGATAATCAGTACGAGCTTGCTCTGGAAAAACTGGAAGAGCTACAAAAGGACCCCGTTTATGTGCCACTTTGGCTCTATGACATATTTCTTTATACATTCGGAGATTTGGGTTTTCAGGATGAAGTGCTCTCGATCCTCAAACATCGTTTAAAGGTTTCAAACTTGACTGATGAGCCACTGTCTTTGAATACGTGGCAGTTTCTACTCGACGTATTCAGCAGAGACTCTTTTTACAGTGGCATCAAGTACATATGGGACCATTCAGTCTCCCTCGGCTACTTACACCCTCCTGATGGCGTTGTCATGGGTACATTGAATGCGGCATCGAACCATGGGGATACAGCCCTGGCTGTAAGTGCAATCCAAACCCTTTCGCGACGTGGGAAAAAACTTGAGCTACATCATTACGAAGCTCTGATGGACATCCACGTACGGCAAAAGGATCTTGCAAGAGCATTCACGACCCTATGTATCATGGCCAAGGCAAATTTATATCCTGACCTGTCTAGCACGCGGTCTATTTTTAGGGTTCTTCGTGAATCATCTTCGGATACGAATAATTCCATCGATATCTTGAATGAGCTGAGGTTACATTATCAAGTCCCTCCTGCCGCATTCAACGTCGTCCTGGAGACTATTCTGATCCATCGTGGATTTCAAGTTGCCTTGGACCTATACAGAAGCGTGCGCCAAATCTGTGCAGGTGGCCCTGATCTGGAAACCTATCATGTTCTCCTCGCTCACTGCACGGCAAGAAGATCCATGAACTTCCTCTACGAGGAGATGAAGGCATTTTCTATAGAGCCCAGCGAGACCGTGTATAATCATTTGATTCGCATCTCCAGTATGCAGGACAACTATGAGCAGGCGTTCTATTTCCTCGATAAGATGAGGTCTAGCGAGACGGCGGGCCTGAGCAACAATTGGTTTATGAATAGAGATTCAGCTCTAGCACTGCTCAGGAGGTGCATACAAGAAGAAGACATGAGGGCACATGACCTCATTGAGGAGTGTCGCAAGCGAGACTTGAACATTGACGCAGAAGTGCAGCAGCTGCTTGACGCCGTCCAAGCACAGAAAGAAGCAGCTAAATCAAACCCCAGCAATCGTATTAGATCACCTCCACGAGCCGACGCAATGTCAGGCTGGGGCTAGTTCATATCTCAAAAATCAAATATCTCCAAGTTCAAATACTTCAGTAGTCATATTGCATTAAAATATTGCCTATGTCGAGCGTTGCCTAGTTTCTTGATGTACAGACCCTCGGCTGTGAATTCGAGATGAAGTGATGTTTTAGTCTGATAACCTTGGGCTGCTTGTCCGTCCTGCCTAGATGAGATTTGTAGGTGCCCCTGAATCTGATTGTAGCTCTTGACATGATATTGGTTAGGGGGTTTTCAGGATGGACTCAAGTCAGGAATGCCATAAGTAAGCCTGCTGAGCGTCATACTTCTTGATTATAACTACCTAAATAGGTAGGTAAGTATAAACGTTTAGGTAATTTAGATTTGGATGGGTTTACTGCGTCAAGGAATCCATTCGATCCTTTCGTAGACATACTCACGCTTCAACCGTACTTACTCCCTTCGGTGGTGAAGAAACCCAGGCGAAGATGACTACCACAATAGAGCTAACACTGTAGAGCGAGGCTCTTTCTGTTTGTCATGAGAGAGAACCTCTACGACGCAGAACAGCATCGTTGCTGTCCGAGGATCTCTGGCATTTCCCCGAAGACTATAGTGGCTACATATACATGTAGCCGTCTTTGCTCTAGCTAGCCCCCAGGTAGATACTTGACACTCACAGTTACTAAAAGGCGTCGGGTGTTGCTGGCGCCATGAGCTGGAACGTATTGAACTACTGCTTCGATTGCTTCTCTTCGTAGACATACATACTATTAGCTATTAGCTACGACCAGGACGAGCTTCTAATCGTGCGTTTGGTCCTCGGTATGATGTATAGAGGCTACCTATACCTGGGAATACAAGAAGTAGTATTTTAAGGCATCGCAGATTCCTAACATCTAAGACTCGAGGTGTTGGCAATCGCCAGCAATAACTACATCAGCCCTACACTTTCCTTTTTGTGTGATATGTGTGCATGGTAAATTGGTCTTTGATAAAGGAAATCTATCCCCCTGGTGTCTAAGAGATGATTTATGACATCCGTGTTAGGTCTTGTGTTCCCTTAGCCATCGGCAAGGAAAGTTGTAGACATAGATAGACATCTATGTAGATGTGCGCTGGAACATACTGTTTATCAGTATTAGAGATACGTGAATACTGTGCGAAGTCAAGAAAAGTTGTTGGAAGTTATCATAGAATTTGAAAGGAAACAGTTGACATATGTAATGTTCATCCCATTCAGGGGGGGGGCTGGCTTTCAACTTTCCTTAACTACTGTGTTGCTAAGCGGTAAGGAGGAGAAACCTGCTACGCTAATCAGGAAGACATCTATCAGCACCTACCGATAATCGGCTCTATATCATCATATGCATCAACTGAGGAATTGATCTCTTAGTACATTGCATGATGGGGGTGGCTCAGTATTCTAAGACATGCATTCTGTACTAGAAGTATGCATACCTAAGTTGACTTACATTGGACGATGGCTTGACTATTATCATACCGCCTTAAAGTCTGCTGACTACTAATTCTCGACTAGCAATTGTCACGGGTGAACTAGCATGAGACCAATGACAAGATAGAAATGGCTTGAATTTACATGATGAGAGTCTGGTTCTTACATTATCGAGACCTATCTTTAGTCTTTCCAAGGGACAGACATTGTCAACATAACAATGGGGGTAGCAACAATCTCGTCGTAGATTCGATTTCACATTTATAGAAACTACGTGTAGGGGTTGATAGACCAGGGAGTGTTGTCTAATATATATAGCATATCATTTCTTGTCACTACTCCCAATATCTGGATGGAAGTGTCGTTATTCACGACTTTCTGGAGATCCAGATAAAAGGGGTCGGAAGACGGAAGAAATAATTCCGGGATATGCACAGGCCCTAACAACTTGAAACTTAATATTTATTACATTGTACGTACCTTGCATTGCATATCGGAGCTTATGTAAATTAGGCAGAGTGGCTTCCCCACAAACAACATGCCATCCCACGCCAAATTTATGAGCTTTTTGATTACGACCGGTCACCAATCAGTTTGATGTTGGATTGCCTAGGCCTACTATTTGAAGTACCCAGTAACTATTATAAGTACTTAGTACCATGTACTCAAATGCTGTACTGGTGGTTGTACTCTCTCCTTGCTTCCCTTTTTCCTGCGAACACGAGCAATGGCCGGCACGTATGCACGTACTGCTGCAATAGTTATTGGTTATTGGTTAGGTGCTACGGAAATACGAAGTATAAACGGAGGTGACCTGCTTATGAACGTTCTGCGACTATAAAAAAAAAACTCCTCATCTTTTAGTCGATAATTCATTCATATATAACCTACCTTAGTTTTTGATTACGTGGGCTCCATCATGTCCTTTACATACAACATATGTATGTTTACTATTCGAGCAGTACTAGTAGTACAACTTGATTATGAGTGGAGTTTTTGATATGTACATGCAAGTAGATACATGCGCGTGTACCGTTGTAGTATCATGTATGTACAATGTATGTATGGTGAACCCGACGCGTCTCACGGGAGTGGATTGGGGCTAGTACTTAAACAGGTACTTAATAAGACTTCACCTTGCCGGTGAAACTGCCACTATCCGATTCAGCAATCTAAGGTTCTGCCTCTGACGATTGGTTTCGTTCCCACTGGGGCAGTTTTCCCCGTACTAGGTTGGATTGAATATAAATGGTATATAATAATTGAAATGAATGAATTTAACATTGAACTATATATGTAAGTATATATACTTATATGTAGATAAGGTATATAATAATGTAGGTAGTAAATAAGAAAGTCCCAAGGACATGGAGGACATCTGGATTGGAAGAGTAATTGATGATTTTGAAGTTGTAGAATCAAAGGGAACAGAGAAAAGGAAAGCAAATCAAAAGAGAAACATCAGGTTATGATGAGGTGGCAGAAGAAGGCTTGCAAGTTGCAAGAGCCGACATCTGCAGTTGCAACTTTGAAAAAAACAAAAGCTCCAAGCTGGAACCTCCAGTTTCAACGTTCTCTGCTACATTAATGTAGTTTTGTACCCGTTGATTAAAATCCTCCGCCCAGTTGAAGATTTAACCCAATCAACAAGTTCAAAGTTAGTGAATATCCCTGTAATTAGACCCTTACGGCAAAGATCCCCTAGCCACACACTGACACCCACGAGTGCTTGGGAGCGCAGCATGCATCAATGAGTGATCATGGTCCATGGATGCATCCTTGTCGCACACGGACCTGGCACACCAGGGCACACCAGGGCACACAGGGCAGTGAGAGGGCACACTAACAGTTAAGGTACATAACACTAACTACACTAGTAGGGCATTCTAGTTGTTATTTGGTAGTGCAATCGTCGGTTACAGCAGTAAACATTTGGAAGTACGGCATAGTAAAAGGCCTAAAAAAGGGGCGCTGGGGTACATTCACGTTAGTATCGATGTACCTGTTGAACAACCAGACATTAAACCCTGAAGTTCTGAACAACCTTGAATAGTACTCAGGTACATGCGGGCATAGTTCAAGGTTGTAGATGACCCCAAGCCCCTTTTGATGCAAAGGCCAGGGCGCCCCAAATTTGATTTTGATTTTTTTTTTCTTGATTGAGGAGACCAAAGAGACAGGAGGTCGGGTCGCACACCTTTCAACAACCTCATTTTTCCCACGTACATTGTAAATCTTTCTTCCTCCCGTTAAACTACAACCTCCTAATTAGGTAGTTTGGCTTTTTTTTCTTCGTTCTGTCAGCCATTCATCCCAATTCATCTTTTTTCTAACTTACTGCAAGTCGACATTCTCTAGATTCCAAGTCCTCTCAACCACCCCACCCAAACGAGATATCGGAACGCGCAGAGTCGGTCCCTTTTTTTTTCTCTTCCTTCTAATTCATCTACTTCTTTTCACTCGCTTCATCGACAACACATACGTTTGAACGTCCTGCGACGTAGATAATTGAGATACGCGACTCCTAATTCATCCTACTGGGTATGTGAACACATCGATATTTCCCTTGCAAGACGCGACATCGATGGTCTAGACCTCCTTCCATCGGACTTCCCACATCACTTGCTACTCGTTGCTTGCTCCATTGCTAGCTTGTTGCCCGTCCTTCGTCCCGTCCTCTACCTGTCGTGTCGCATCCTATTCCCTTCGCAGTATCCTCCATGCTGCCACGCGACCTCGCAACTCTCACTCTCCCTTCTCGAGTTCAATCAGGACTGACCTTTCCGCCTCTCTAGATTAGACATCGCGCTTTCCTTTCTCCATATCTTAGGACTTGACATCTATTGACTATATTCACCATGGGTAAGCACTTTCTAACTGTTATTGATGCAACCACCTGTTTCATCCAAGAGAGCAATATTGCAAGAGTCGCCCGTGTCGTTGAGAAGGAAACAACATTGGAACGGCTTTGGAGTTTGGTCTCTCATCACCATTCTCTCCCAACTTGATTTGATGGCTTTTCCTGGACTTGTCACCTTTCTTCCATCTCATCCCATCTAAACATCACCAATACACTCGTTTACCGAACTCCACCTTCGTTTTTTGGTTGATCTATCACTTCTTGGGTCTCGTCCTTTTTTTTTTGGTTCTTTGGAATATCTGGCCATCGTTACGAACAACCGTCTCTATTCAAAAAACCCAAGCAAAAAAGTTGGAAAATAGAAAGAAACGACCATTCATACAATGCCAGCTTTCCTTAACGCCCACTATAAGGGACGAGCACGTAGTGTTCAACTGGACGGTCATAGCTTCATGGAAGGGTTCTCTATGTCTCACAAAGACGCGGAAACACCTTCATCTCGCGCAACTCGTTCCAATAGTGTCCTGGATCAAGAAAACCAGCCTCCGTCCGTTCGTCATTATCGCAGCATGTTGGTTGTGGACGCTCCATCTCTTGGTCCCCATAAGCCCATTTCATACGATGAGCTTTACGTTCAACTACCGCTGGCTGGTACATTTCTTCGGACACGCTCTTGCAATTTGCTCTCTAACATGCCCATACATTTGTGCGTGAATACATGTGCTGACTTTTGATATTTTCTAGCTGCAAACGGTTCGATAGCATCGCCTGCGCTGGCTGATAGCAAGCTACCTACCCTTCAACCTTCGTCGCCAACGAGCTCTGACTTGATGCCTTCGGTATCTGTCACTAGCTCTGGCCCGATTGTCAACGATGCCAAGGATGTTGTGCGAAGAAAGTTGACTGGATATGTCGGGTTTGCAAACCTGCCCAACCAGTGGCATCGCAAGAGTGTCCGAAAGGGCTTCAACTTCAATGTCATGGTAGTTGGTACGTACATGGAGTCTTGTTACGTATAATCATAGAGTTACTAATATGAATCATTTTAGGTGAATCTGGCCTGGGTAAATCCACGCTAGTCAACACTCTGTTCAACACGTCTCTATACCCCCCCAAGGATCGCAAGGGCCCGAGCCTAGACATCATCCCCAAGACTGTCTCCATCCAATCCATCAGCGCAGACATTGAAGAGGCTGGTGTTCGTCTTCGTCTAACTGTCGTTGACACGCCGGGTTTCGGAGACTTTGTCAACAATGACGAGTCGTGGAGACCCATTGTAGACAACATCGAACAGCGTTACGACGCCTACTTGGATGCTGAGAACAAGGTTAACCGAATGAACATTGTCGATAACCGCATCCATGCTTGCGTTTTCTTCATCCAGCCCACTGGCCACTCATTGAAGCCTCTGGACATTGAAGTTATGCGTCGTCTACACACCAAGGTCAACTTGATCCCGGTCATTGCCAAATCGGATACTCTTACCGATGAAGAAATCACTGGCTTCAAGTCTAGAGTACGTTCATTGATCAGCTGGTTTTTCAAGACGTTAGCTAATTATTCTTTTAGATTCTCGCAGACATCAAGCACCACGGTATTCAGATCTTCGAGGGCCCTCGATACGAGTTGGATGACGAGGAGACGATTGCCGAGAATAACGAGATCATGTCCAAGGTTCCATTTGCCGTTGTCGGTTCCAATGATGAGGTTGACAGCCTCGATGGACGCAAGGTTCGCGGTCGTCGATACCCGTGGGGTGTTATCGAAGTCGACAACGAGGAGCATTGTGACTTTGTCAAGTTGCGCCAGATGCTCATCCGAACGCACATGGAAGAACTCAAGGAGCACACCAACAACAGCCTATACGAGAATTACCGAACTGACAAGCTTACTGCTATGGGTGTTGCTCAAGATCCTAGTGTCTTCAAGGAGGTCAACCCAGCCGTTAAGCAGGAAGAGGAGCGTGCTCTTCACGAACAGAAGTTAGCCAAGATGGAGGCTGAGATGAAGATGGTATTCCAGCAGAAGGTAGCCGAGAAGGAGAGCAAGCTGAAGCAGAGTGAAGAGGAGCTGTATGCCCGCCATCGGGAAATGAAGGAGCAGCTAGAACGTCAACGGTTGGAGTTGGAGGAGAAGAAGGCAAGGATCGAGAGTGGACGACCGATCGAGAAAGAAGGCAAGCGGAAAGGTTTCTCATTGCGAAATTAACCTGTCACGACCCAGCCTTTCTATCTACGATCTACGCCCAAGCCTTTATGATGCCGTACTGTACCAGGCTGCCGCGTTCTTTCACTTCGTGCTTCTGTTTATTCAACCACTTTTAATTACTCACCACCTAATACGCCTCGCCATATGGCCGTCCGTCTCGATAGTTGGACGAGCACCTTCTGGCCGTGGATCGTGGTACTATCAGAATTACTCGGCAGCCATCATCCCAACGACAATAGGCGGGCTTCAGAGAGGCGAGGTTACTCGATACCTGGGGTTGCCTTGTTGGCGTTCTTGAACATTGTGGCGAGATATAGTTGGTTCAGGATGTTGGCAAGCTGTATCTTAATCCTTCCGACGTTGCACATTGAACCGCCTTATACGTCTCATTACACTATCCCAAATACCCACATGTTAGTTTGGAGAAGGGCAAGAGATATGAGCTATGGCGAATAGGCACAAGAAGCATCGTCTAATACTTCATTTTTGTGGAGTGGCCCGTACCGCAAATCAAAAAAACTCCTGACGGGCCTCATGGACCACAGGCCCCTTGGTTGTCCCTCCTGGAGTATCTGTTCTACCATTCATTTCCCTTCACGATCATATGTGCTTGTTTTTCTCAGCTGTTATGACAAAATACCCGGAATTGGCGGATAAGTCGATAGGCGGCTCGGTGTGTTCGTGGAGGAATCGGAGGGAGAAATGTCAGAACAACGCTCCCCCATATTAGATGTCTCTGTATTTTAGGAGTAATCTTTCTGACTCGTAGGATGGGAAATCGCAAGTCTCGCTGGCTTGTACCATCCGACGAGGAAGACCACTCGGCACCCACACACACATCTGGCCACCCAATTGGCCTTCTATTGGTTTTCTTTTATGTCACACCCCACAATCCTGTGTTTTCCTTGTGTTTTAGCCTCGGTGTGTTTCTCAGCTTAGGTCGTCTGAATTCAAAAGGATGATGTTTTTCTTAGGAACTGAGTTATTCGCCGTTTAGTGATGAAGTATAGTAGTAAATGCTTATTACCTATAATGTGTCCTTGACTTGCTTCTCTTCTCTCGTGCTCTGGTTTCGTGCTCTTGCTTCACGTCCTTGTCTACATGTGTAAGTGGGTAGATATCTTTGAACTCGTACATCTATCTACCAGGCATTCTCTAGTACCGCGAGGACAACGGATGGACTTGGTGGAAACATTGTATGTTTGCTGTCGTGTACGTACATAGATAGGAATAGATGCCTAGGTACCTACCTAGGTAAGTAAGGTTAGACAAGTGAAGATGGAAACGAGAGTAGGTAGGTAGACTACGTACCTACTTGGTTAAGTAAGTACCTAGGTTAGGCAACTAGTTAGATAGGCAAGGCGTCTGTTTGTCTGTCTGTCTGTCTATATTGATGGCCCAGTACATAATATCTCTCCTGATTTCCGGTGTTTCTTCTTTTTTTCACTTGCTGTTTGTTGTACATATGCCCACATGGGAAGTAGATAGGTACTTGGGTTAGGTACCTAAGCTACTGGTTACAGGTAATGTATCTACAATACTAAGTAGGTACTAAAGGAGTAATGAATGGATGTGTACCTATGTAGGTAGGTAAAGAGATGAGGGAGACATACATACATATAGTTCAAGGTTGTATAGCCCCTATGTACTACGTAAAGTAAGGGGTCTGCCCAGTGCCTACATGTAGGTAGGTAGGTACCTATCTACTAGGTAATTACCTATATGTAGGCATCATTACGCTTTGAAACTACAATGACATGCATACCTAGTATGATGCACGCGATAACGACCCGAACGGTGTGATTTCATCGTATTATACATGTTGTATATGCCCCTTATATAAGTAAGTACCTGGCCCTACCTGGTATCAAGTACATGTAGTACCTAAGTAGGTAGGTAGACAGGCAGGTATATACATAGAGAAGGATTTTAACCTAGGGCTATCTATCCCTTTGCCAGGACTTCAGGTGCCTCCAAGTCATATATCACTGGCAACGCGAGTGTCCCCAGTGAATAAAAACAAATAGCACATCGGGAAGCTTTCCGAGGCGGGTTGTAGCATTGTATAATACAGTTAGTTCCTTGGACTTCTTTTTTTATTCTACCTGTGGCATCGTAGGTAGTAGTGTCTCTCCCAGCTCAGGCTATTCCCGCATGCCGAGCTAAGGGGGTGGGTGCCCGGGAGGCTACCTTTCCATCCCTTCTTTCTTGAGTTTCATGACATATGAAGGTCCTGGACCTCATCTATGTCTCTACCTTCTTCTCAGGTACCAGTTGAAAGCCAACTGGTTGATGTTTTCAGGGAAGGGCGTGGGAACCTCGGCCTTGCCGAGCTTGGCCACGGGATGTCGCAGATAGACGGCAGCGCAGATGTTGTGGTTGACCTCAAGGTACTTGGGGATGAAGGCAAATGGCGACATGTAAGGACGAGGGCGCCACGGCGTCTTGTAAGGTTTAGTGGGGTCATGCGGGTTCTCCTCTTCCTCGCGCTCGTGTTCGGCCATGCGCTTCTCCAGCTTCTTCAGCTCATCCTTGCTGAGATCGCCAATGGGATCTGGCCGCGACGAACGTTGCGATGTGGACTCTATCGTATTATTTGCGGCTTGTTCGTTGGTAAGAGTTAATCCTGAGACCAAGGACGAAAGCTCCTCAGAGATAGAGGCCGGGGTGGCGCTGGATCGACTAGTCCGACTGAGTAGAGATTTCATGTCCTTCATTAATGCCCGAAGCTTCTTCTTCTGCTTCACACCGAGAGCTTCTTCTTCGGCAAGGAGCTTTCTGCACCGCGCGGCAAATTCCTGGACCTGTTTTCGCGTGGGCTTCATGTCTACTGGAACGGGTTCTGGCGCATCTGTTGTATCGGGATCTTGCTCTGCTGCCTCCTCGGAAGCCTCTTCGGCAGCCGCCTCGACTTCCTCTTCAGCTGGCTCCTCGGCACTGTCTTCTCGAATACTGCGACCGAAGCGTCTCCTTTTATTTTTTTTCTTGTTAGGATCTAGTTTGGGTTCACCAGTTGCGTATAGAACGCGCTCGGGCTCGACCTGGAACATATCGCCGGGGTTGAGACGGTAGGCAGGGTATGGCATCTGTTGATGAGGAGGTATGCATTGGTTAGTGGGAATCTTTATTCTTTTTATATTATATATGATGATACAGGAGGAAAGGAGGGTTACTCACTACTTTGCCATTGACCTTCACAGCACCGTGGACACAAAACTGCCTAGCCTGCCTCGTACTACTTGCAAACATAGCTCTGAAGACTGCGATATCTAATCGTCTCTCCATGGGAGCGAATGTCATCTGCATGTAGGGAGTAAGGTTGCGCTTCATTACCTTGCTATGCTCCCAATTCGGCGGCTCGTCCTTTCCAGATCCTCTACCAGCTGCCATCTCAGAACCATCGAACTCGGCCATGTACTTGGTGTCCATGTCGACGACACCGAGTAGACGTCGGCTGAACATGCGAGTCCATTTGCGCTCGACGACATGCTCTCCGTGGTAGTGACGGAGCAGACCTTTTGCTCTCCATTTCTGCTGGAAGAAAGTTTCGTTGTCGGATGTGCCGATCTTGGGGAGAGGATACTTGGCAATATTGAAGAGATTGTATTTGTTCCAGCTCTGGCGGAGTTTCTATAATATGGTACGGATGATTTGGTGGTGAGCTAATAGGTTCTTCTTTTTATATATATACATGCATATATACATATTTTTGATTCTTTTTTTGTAAAAGATCATGTCAATTGGAGAGTGAATTGAAACTTACCGGTCGTTTCAGACCATGATATCTTCTGGGCTTCATTGCGGCTGTTGTTCCGAGCAAGAAGGCGAACAAGAAACAGTTCAAGAATCGCGGGGCCGAAGAATCGCAACCCAAACTTTTATTTCTGATAAGATGTGAAGCCGCCAAAATTTTGATGATTGGCCATCACGTGCTATGATTTACCTAACATAACGTACTGTACCTGCGTAGCTGCTGCGTAATTACCTAATACCTAGTAGCCACATAAATGAGGTAACTTTGAATATTGATAACCGATAAGAAAGAGCTTGGACCACTCCTCATCGTCACTTTTTATGATTCGACTAGGTTGGGTACTTATAGAAATTCAAAACCAAGAAAGTCAAATTTCTTTACTATAAAATGTCTATTGTGTTGCTGCTCGGATACCTGTATTCGACTACATATGTATACATATATTGACTTGGCTCAATGGTACAGCCTCAAGGTTGTGGTTGTAAGTCTTGCAAATCTGTAAATCTATCGTATCGGAGAATTTGTATTCAACATCTTCTCTCCGTTGGCCTGTTCAAACTTCACCCCGATGGTATCACGCTTAAGCCCTTTATCTCCGCCTGTCTCTCCGCCTGTTTCTCCGCTTGGTCATTCAGTTGTTGGAATACATCCATGGACATTAGATCATGATCTCCTACGTAAGAGCTTATGTATCTACCAATAGCACCTACCATTCCTGCTTATGTAGTATCTACATGTCTCTCTCCTAAGTGCCGATTACCCTGCTCCGGGTTGCTCACCTACATCGGAGTATCGGATATCTACACTTTAAACTGCTGCCTTGACCGGAACTGTGCTGGATTATGTTCCATCCTTTAGATCTTACCTACCCACATCTATGTATCTCCCTTTTTCCCACCTCGTCTTTCAATAGGTCAGTCAGGGCTCCGTCTATGGTATCAATTCCCGTCTTGTTCCCTTTCCGCGGTTCCACCGAAATACCCCTGAGCCGAACATGCAAGATAACTTAACTTTTAACCTATGTAAACGTGATGTGCCATTCGTATAGGGAATCGTAGTAAGGTAGGTATATATAAGACCGCTTAGCCGCAAGCTTTACTCGTAGATTCTTGGTTCGCTTTAACCTAGCTGCCTACCTAGATATATTACCGGCGAGAGAAGCTTGAAGTAAATAGAAAAGGAGGCAGCCGTCTCAAATCCAGCAAACACTCATCGTTTAAATACTTGATTGCTCGCTCCTATATACTCTACTGTCACTGCTACAGCTAGGAGTAGTCTATAAATTACCGGCAGTAAGGAATTGAGGGCGTTGCGCTTAGGGGTGATGGTGATGAAGGATTCGGCGATAAGCAAGGAGACCGACGATGCATCAATCCGAGCTCCGGCAAAGACCCAGTACAAGGAAACCCATGACTTGGAAAAGTCAGTGAGCCGAGAGACCACAGGAGGACGGTCCGACAACAACAACAACAACAACTCCGAAACCGCCAGCGCCACATCCAGCCACTTACGGGGAGATGTCCCCTCATTGCGAATCATCTCGCGGACCGTCTCCGAAGTTCGCGATGGGATCGAGTCGTGGCGGGACCTCGACCTAGCGCAAGACCAGCCGGCCGAAGACGGAGGCGAGAAGACCTCGTCCCCGGACCCTGACGACCCTAACCTCGTAACCTGGACCGGCCCCGACGACCCGGAGAACCCGAAGAACTGGGCCTTCTCGAAGAAATGGGGCGCCGTCTTCATCGTCTCGATGTTTACCCTGGTCTCCCCGATCTCTTCGTCGATGATCGCCCCGGCGCTGTTGGACATTGGTAGAGAGCTGGATATTCCTGAAGGGTGTAGGTTTGATATCATCCCCCCCCCCCCCTTTCTTCTTGGCGAAAGTTCCCAGCTCACACTACGGAAACCCGCTTCCTTGAAGTCGAACAGAACCTAGTCCTCTCAATATTCATCCTCGCCTATGCCCTGGGACCCTTAATGTGAGTACAGACGGACCTTCCCCACCCTCCATTCTCCATTGTCTTTCCTTTCCCTTTTCCTTTCCCTCTCCGTGCCAAAATCTAACCCACCATAAAAAGCTACGGCCCCCTCTCCGAGATGTACGGGCGCGTAATAATCCTACAACTCTCGAACCTCAGCTTCCTCGCCTTCAGCCTCGGGTGCGGCTTCTCCCGCACAGCCCACCAACTCATCGCGTGCCGCTTCTTCTCGGGGCTCGGCGGCTCCGCGACCCTCGCCATCGGCGGCGGCGTGCTGAGCGACCTGTTCGTCGCCGAGGAGCGCGGGCGCGCCATGTCGATGTACTCCTTGGCGCCGCTGCTCGGCCCCGCCATCGGCCCCATCGCCGGCGCCTTCATCACCGCGAACACGACGTGGCGCTGGGCGTTCTGGGCGACCTGCGTCGCGGACGCCGCGATCCAGGTCGCTGGTTTGTTTTTCCTTAGGGAGACGTACCCGCCGGTGCTGCTGGCGCGGCGACGGCAGCACCTCGTTACTTTGACCGGGAATATGGCTCTGCGCACCCCGTACGATGACAACGGTAGCAGCAGCAGCATCTGGGCCAAACTGCGCGTGTCCATGACGCGGCCGTTTCGGCTGCTGGCCACGCAGGTGATTGTGCAGTGCATCTCGCTGTACATGATGTTCGTGTACGGGCTGCTGTACATCCTCTTCACCTCCTTCCCGACCCTGTTCACCGCGCCGCCGCCTCAGGGTTACGGGATGAGCGTCGGCACGGGCGGGCTGAACTACCTTAGCCTAGGACTGGGCTTCTTCTTGGGCGCGCAGATCTGCGCGCCGCTGCAGGACCGGATCTACGTGTATCTGAAGGTTCGGCGCGGCCACGGGGTCGGGCGCCCAGAGTTCCGGGTTCCTATCATGCTGCCGGCCGCGGTCCTTGTGCCCGTGGGCCTGCTGGTGTACGGGTGGACGGCCGAGTACAAGACACACTGGATCGGCCCCGATATTGGCGCCATGCTCTTCGCCGCCGGCGGCATCGCGGCATTCCAGTGCCTGCAGGGCTTCCTCGTCGACTCGTACCAGCGGTACGCGGCCAGCGCTGTCGGCGCCGCTACCGTCTTGCGCTCGCTCGCCGGCTTCGGCTTTCCCCTCTTCGCCCCGTCCCTGTACGACCGCTTGGGGTACGGCTGGGGAAACACGCTCATGGCGCTCTTGGCTGTCGTTATTGGAATTCCCGGTCCACTACTGCTGTGGAAGTATGGCGAGGTGTTGAGGAAGAGGAGTCCGTTTGCTGCGGGGGATTAACAAGTCGGATTCGGTGGGAGCACAACAGGATTGCAAACGCTGTCTTGACACCCGAAAAATAAAACCAAAGATGGTAGCATAGCATAATCACCAAATTCAAAATCTATTTGCAGTCGTTGATTTAGATTTAGTAAAGTACCTAGCAACTATCATTGTTGATGAATCTGCCTAATGTATGTAGTTGTAAAAGAAATGCCGTGAAACGCCTCATCCGAGCTATACCGAACCACTGCCGTATTCGTCCTGGAAGTGTGTATATGGGTGTATGTGGAGCAACTGTTGAGACGAAGTGATGTAATGTAAACAAGATGCATCATTCGTGCATTTTAAATAATCAGTAATCTGTGGCCGTTCATGGGGGGTTGCCTCAAGCCTCTTTGACATCTACCTTCTTCGCTGGTGGGACACTTGTGGCAGCATCGTCCTCCCGAGCACGCTTTCCATTGGATTCTTTCATGATCTTTTCTCCCTCCTTACTCGTATGAATCGTAGGTCGTTCATTTTCACGAGAAATGGCCTGGTCTTCCGTTGCGCGACCATTCTCATTCGGGCCACGATCTCTGCCACGTCCACGGCCGTTGCCTCGACCTCGGCCACGGCTTCGGCCACCACGGTCACGGCGGCCTCCACGGTCGTTGTTTCCATTTCGTTGATCGTCATCGCGACGCTTCTTCCAATCATTGGAATCTGAGTTTCGATGATTGCCTCGAGACTGGCGGGGGCCTCCTCGTCCAAATCTGCCACCGCGCTGACCACGATTTCCGAATTGGTTTCCACCTTTCATCTGCACCTTGCCATCACGAATTTCCTGGGCCTTCAACTTCTTGTATTCAACCTTGGAGAGAAACTTCATTGGATGTTCCTTCCAAAGGGGCTTAGGTTCCAACGCCAGGAATTTGTCAGCGGTCTCCTTGTCGGCCCACTCAACGAATACGGAGCCTTTGAAGATGCTTTTTTCAGCAGGGGAGGTACGTCGAAGACGAATTGACTTAAATTCTCCAAATTGAGTGAAGAATGCCTCAACGTCAAATTGTGTAGACGATTGCTCTTCACCAAATCCCTTAACATAGGTGCTGCGCTCATCGACCTCGCGCTGCTTATCATCCGCTTCGATGTAAGGTTGCTTTCGACGGACTGTTTCTTCACCTTCCGAGCCTTCTACTACGAGGTGTTTGCTAGCCTTGAGGGCCTCAACCACGGCCGAGTAAGGTTTGAATCGACGCATTCGAGAGAAGCTGCACAGTAAGGAGAGTAACACGGGCTTGTTGTTCTCGCCATCCGTCTTCTCCCACAGAAACTTATCAGTGGGCAGATTGCTGTCGCTGAAGTAAAATTCCACCTAGAACATAATGTTAGCATGTTTTTGGTGGTAAGAGAGCATATCGCGTCATTAGACACTGACCTGTTTACGAATGGCCTTGGGATCATCCGAATCTGGAAGAACAGAGGCATCTGATCTCTGCCTGCTGCCCATCTTGGTGACTTTCAACATTTCTTTGGGAGTATCTTTGGTAGAGGAAGGCTCTTGAGTGACCTTCTCAGATTTCTCCTCGACACCATCTTTGATGGTTTCGGGCGCATCAGTGGTCTCTCCGTCATTGACTTGGACTTGGGCAGTGTCTTGGTTAACATCCCCAGCGCCGTCCTGGACAATGTCCTTCTCGCTATGTTCCTCGGCCTTGGCATCGGCAGCCTGTTGGACCTCGGGCGTATCGTTGGTAATTAGAGATTCATTGTTAACTCCCTCGGGGGCTTCGACCGCAGCCTCGACGCCCTCGGTGGGCTTATTATTTTGGTCAACCATGCCTGCGTTTGCGCCTGAGGAAAAGGTCGAGGGTGGGAGGCGAGGGTGTTTAGAAAGTCTATCAGAAGAAATCTGATACTGAAAGAAATAATTCAGTATTGGCAATAATTCTCGGTGGATTCAAAGTAGAGTAAGCGAGCTTTGAATGTGTAGATAATAAAACTGGTAGGTATTGAAATGGGCGAAGAAGAGAATTGATGGTGGCGGGGCAAGGACCAGTGACGGTGGGGAGTCACTCGAGTAGGGATTCTTCTCGCGCGATATGTGACAATATGGATAGAGTGTATGGATGTTTGCGAGTGTATTGGACAATCGCGACACGAAAAAGGACCCTGATGTGTTTGGAGTGATCACCAAGTTAGTCCAGTCGCTTTTGTGTACAATAAAATTTTGGAGTTGGAAAAGGAACGAAGCTTGTTGCGTTTGTTGCGACTTGCAGAATTGAAAGTGGATAGTAAGTTATAGTGGATACCTTAGTAGCTTTAGTGCCAGGGTCCGCCGAGTATGGATTTTTTTTTTCGCTAGGTGGGGCACCAGTGAAGTCAAATTTTCATTCGAGGTTGCCAGGGATAAGCTTCTAAGCTTTCAGAGCTCCGAGTACCCCGCCTTCATATGATTGGTGGATGAAATGGTATCTACAAAGCAGCTGCAAAGGGAAGCTTCAAAGTTTACCTTCTCACCCAATCATGTGATAAAAAAGCCAATTCAGAATCCCTATTCTGCAAGTGCTAACTTAGGGTACTTGCCTCAATGGTAGCCCTGCTGCCCTGGAGACTACAAAGTAACTATATTCTGTCCCTTGGCACTTTCTGATAAAGTTCAACATCATTGATGTTTCTAATACATACCTAGGTACTATGTAGATTAGATCAGGATCTATCCATCTACAACCTGGTTGCCATAGTAATGAGTTACTCTTATCTTATGCCTCTGGCTTATTGAATCAATGGCATTATCGTTGTCACCGTTCGAGCCAACATAGCCGTATAGTAATCATCCTTCAAAACACCACTCGCGTGGTCCTTCAAGTTCCTGCCTCTACATCCCACGACTCTGGTCCCATTTGCTTCGAGCCGAAATGGCTATCCTGTGTCCGATCGATTGGCGGCATGGCTTCGCACGCTAAAGCGCCAGTGTAACCGATCTTACGCAGTGTCTGGATGATAAGGGGCCAGTTGAGGTTTCCATCTCCCGGGGCAAGACGATTGTTATCACCAAGATGGAAGTCAAGTACCTTTTTTCCACACTTGCGTAAGGCGGTGATCATGTCGGATTCTTCAATGTTGAGGTGAAAGGGATCAAAGGCGACACCAAGGTTTGGAACATTCACCTCATCAATGACCTGCAACGCCTGAGATATGTTGGTGATCAAGTATGTTTCGAACCGGTTCAATGGCTCCAACGCTACACGAAGCCCCTTTTCCGCAGCGTAAAGGGCAATCTCTCGCACACACTGTACCACCCATTTCCACTCATCCCGCGAGTCTGCGCCGGGCTGCAGCTTTCTCACCGTACAGGGGACTAATGCCACTATCTCTCCTCCTAATCCTGCTGATGGGTCGACCAAGCTCTTCATGTAGCCGATCGTAGCTTCTCGGTCCCCTTCACTTGAAGCGGCCAAATTTCGGGACCCGTACATGATTGTAACGACGCCCCAACAAGTTAAACCATATTTCTGCAGGAGGGCGCTCGTTCCATTAACAGTATAGCGGGATGGCTCACCCGCTAGTTCAATTGAGGTGTAGCCAAGTGATGACGCCCTTTTTAGAATTTCTTCGAGGGGCTCAGGTCTCATCCAGGTGTTAAGAAATGCATACTGATAACTCAAGTCGCGGGGGTTGAATATACCTAGGTAAAACTGCTCGACTGCGAATGAGAATGATCATGGAAGTTAAAGTCACATTTGCAAGTCTGTTCATATTAACTTTCTTATATAGATGTTTCCTATTCTACTTGACTAATAACATGGATGATCATGTAAGAATAGGTAATATCACAAATATACCAAGGATGCCAAAGATCTACGGACTTGCCTTATTAAGCGAGCCCGCGGACTTGCTCTTGATCACCACCGGAATTGATCATTGAGAGTACCTGACCCCACACCATGAAGAGAATCAGATGTATCGGGGACCACGGAGATGGTAATGGGTTGAAACGAAGACAAGTGCGGGCGGCTTGTTCTTCCTGCAGGAAGGGGAAACGCAGATGCCATCACAATCCTGAGAATGAACCTCCGAAGGGATCTACGAGCGAGGTAACGAATGCGCTCACTAGCTCGCTAAGCAGTATTGACTACGTCGACTCTACAATTCATGAGAATGAGCAATCATGTTCGCCTGTTTTTGATTCAGGGTCAACAGCTCTCTTCATTGGGCCTTCCTCAGCAAACCGTCTTCTACTATCTGCATGCATATCTCCCGATATGACGGGAATTGGCATAGAGCTGGATGCGGCGCGACAGCTTCCTTGCTCTCGGATCCTGCGCCCTTCTCTTCAGGATATGAAAGCGCCTGCGTCGGAACGCCGACCGGGCGTCGCCCCAGAATACCTTCCCATGGTGGTAAGAGCAGTGTTGCCATACCTAGAAATCGAGTGTCTTCGAGTCCTACCCCCTCAGCAGGATTTGGATTCGCTTATACAGATTTTCAAGCAAGAAATCCACCCTATTCTACCCATTGTAGACTTTACGACAACAGCACTCGCAGAACCTGTCAACCGCGAGGATGCGGCATCTATCACACTGAGGCAGGCTATTTGTCTAGCTGCTTGCAAGAACACGTCAGCTAAACAATATCTCAATCTCCCAAAATGCGAAAATGGGCCCATTGCCCAGAGGACGCCTCGAGAGTTTGCTGACGCGACTTTTAGCGCTCTCAAAATCGCCTTGGATATCGGTCTTGTCGATAACAGACTGGAGCTTGTTCAAGTCTTAGCCCTGATGACATTACATTCCTACGGTCCCGACGGCGACGATGAAGTATCCCGCTTATGTGGTCAAGCTGTCCATTATGCTTACTCCGCCGGCTTACACTATCCTTCGCGGCCGGAAAGTCCCCTTTCAGAAACTCGACGTATGGAAATACTATGCTCTCTCTTCGCCCTTGACAAAATCATCGCCATGGTCACGGGCCGTCCGACAATAATCCGAAGTAATGAAATATGCTTGCCAGCAGAGAATGATGATACTTTGAGAACTCTTCCACCTGGTCTTCAGCTCTTGTTTTGTCTGTGCCAGAGGCTTGACCGCATCCTCGATCTTTACCGAGCCCGGCCACCCCATGAGATGGAAAAAGAAGAATGCATCTGGGAGACATCTTGGCAGGGGTTCGAAGATCTAGCTAGGGACTGCAATGCTCACACCATGGAGGCGCCCCTCCAAGTAACCCTTGAGCTTCTTTGTCACAGTATGAGCGTCATATCTTATCGGCCACCCAAGGCTTTACCCATTGATCATCAAGCCCCTGAAATCACACCGTCTCCATCAATTCAGAGCTCAAGAATGGGGCAAAAGTACTGTGCCCAACAAGTATGTCTCCTCCTTGAGCAAGAAATAACCATGCTTCCCTTTATACCATATGCAGCATCTCTTTCACTAACGGTCGCTCTACGTACCATACGGACAACCTTCCTGGAAAGCACAAAGCGGATTGCTAAGAAGGACGCAGAGAAGAGCCTACAACTGCTTGATAGGTTAGCAGATATTTATTGGCACGCGGAATCGACGAGTATGGTCGGACGTCGGATTCTTCAAAGTCTTTTATAAGCAAGTAGTATTAGGCATTCGTTGGTTTACTAGGTTGGTGTCTACTCCGTGTTGATTGCTAACATGACTCCGAGTTCGTCTCTCACTGATATTCAATCGTAGGTAGGCATATAGTACATATCCAAACACGACACTTGATAGCTTCTTACCTAGATCATCGTGAGTTTCGGTACATACTAGGCAACGGCTGCTTCTCAAGCTGGTCCTTTGCTTTTTCTATCCACTTTTTTACCCACCTCTTTCTCCTACATACCTAGGTAGTAGGAAGCGCGCGCGATTTCGAGTCCACAGAAATTTGTAGAACTCGAAATAACAGTTTCCTCCAATATTTGGATAGGTCCTACTATTAATAGATCGATTCGAGATCGAAATATGACCTGTTATTATATTTCGATACTCGCGTTTTGATATTATTTCGTGTAACTCACTCCACTTGGAAGGCGGCTATTAAAGGAATGAAGTACGAAGTCTGCGTTACACAACAAAAAGGGGCTTAAAACTTCACCTATACTACTATATACCTATCCGTGAGAGGATATTCTAAGACTATTCAGCGCCTATTTTCAACTAATCCTCGTTGTTTAGGTGGAACTTGTAAGTCTTCTGAATCAATTTTCTTGGGCAAGTTCTTAACTCGTTACCCATGTCTTAACTGCTCAGCTAATCATAGCCTGTAAACTCACCTAGCTAAACGTACTGCATGGCGTTCTCTGGGGCACATGATGCGGGCCAGGTTGCATACGAGACAGGGCAGCAATGCATCAGATGCGGGGCCTCCATGTCCGCCAATCCGACTATGGCGATGTTGGTAAATGGAGCTGGAGACCTCGTAGCCTTTGATCTGGCAAGTCATAAATATGTATAGCCGGCTTTATCTCGATATATTCGCCCTCTTAGCGATGAGTCGTGGAAGCACACTCTCCTTTCAGCGCTGAATTTTAGCACCCAATGAGGCTCGTCAATACTACTACACTTTGCATTGAGCCTCTTAGCGATGCTCAGGTGTCGAAAACCCCTTATGCGATTCTTTCCCATGTGTGGGGCCCTGATGAGATCTTGCTCCATGAGGTGCAAGAGGGCCAAATTGGCATCAAGGATAAGGCGGGATGGAAAAAAATGGCCAACTTCTGTGCCACGGCACGGAAACATGGCTACGACTATGCGTGGATTGATACTTGCTGCATTGACAAGCGCAGCACTGTCGAATTAACCGAAGCAATCAATTCTAACTACAAATACTATTATAACGCCGCGGCATGTTTCATATATCTTGAGGATGTGCAAAAATGGTCTGTTGATAAGGGCGGTGTCGATGGCAGTGAGGACGGTGATAGTAAGATCGATGTTAGTAAGGGCGTGGCGGCAAGGGGTATATTATATCTCTTCTTTTTTCAACTACTAGGACTGTTGTTCGGATGGACTTGTTTGTTGGCCGCTAGGAATCGATACAACAAAATTCGGGATGATAGTAAAGGTCATGTTGTTGTGGCGTCAGCAAGGTCGGAAGTATCGCGAGATATACTCCTTTCTGCGATACGCAACACTCGCTGGCTATCGCGTGGTTGGACATTGCAAGAACTACTGGCGCCTTCACGACGCTGTTTCTTCGCGACCGACTGGTCTGAGATCGATGGTGGAGATGACCTACTCGATACACTGGCCGACGCTACAGGGATTGATAAATCATTGCTGCAAGATAGAGACTTGCTTTCTACTTACTGTGTTGGGGAGCGTATGAGTTGGGCGGCTTTACGAAAAACTAGCAAGGGAGAGGATGTCGCTTATAGCTTGATGGGCTTGTTTGGTGTCTATATGCCTATTATGTACGGCGAAGGAGCTGAAAGTGCCTTCAAAAGGCTGCAGCGCGAAATTATGCAGGCGTCTTTCGACATGACGATTTTTGCGTGGAGAGCCAACTATGAGAGCAGTGGGCTCTTAGCTCGCTCGCCTGCCGATTTTACAAATACACCTTCCCTAGGACTCTGGGCGCCGTGGAGCCTCTCATCTTTCGCAATGACCAACATCGGGATAGCACTTCGGTTAAATATTGTACGGGAACAGCCAACTTCGGGAGACTCATTGGCCAAATACCCTGAGAATTACACGTGCCTTGCAGCATTGCAGTGCGACATCCAAACGCCAATGGGTGAATGTCAGGTCCCCTTAATATACCTAGAACAGGTGGAAGGGACAGGATTCTTTACCAATGGAAGAAAATACAATGCCTACCGTCGAGTTCGATGTTTGGAGTGGAGGACGTTGCCTCCAGAACAAATACGCGACTGTCCCTCCGAGGATATTCTGGTTTTAACAGATGAACAACATCAACTGGTTCGACGTGCTACGGAACGACATATATCCCGACATAAGGTTGAAAGCGGCATAGTACGATCAAGGTAATTATCATCCTGACTGCCTAGTGTGTTAACGAGACTGCAAATACTAACATGATGCTTGCTTGATAGTACATCTAGGCTTTAACTGCCCAAGTCTACGGTATCGTTACCTATCTAATGCAACAAGGTTTGTGGTCCCTTGGAATATGAAGAGTAGAACTCTCCGGGGATTGTCTAATCCGCCATTCAGACAAACACCAGCTCCTAGGCATATTTTACAGACTTGCCCTGAACGCCAATGAACGCTTTTCCGCGGCATTTTAGGGTGCATACAACCAGATACATGTCAAAGGATCTAGAGCACCCCATCTTGTATCATCTTGGTGGGCGATCTAGCAAGCGGCTGTATCGATATGTAGGCTGCGGTATATTTCTGCGCATGGCGGCAAGACCCCTTTTCTGGTACCAAGGAGAAGGAGATCTAAGCTGATCACTTGAAATTTTCTTGGTAACCCCGGAAAGCATATCCAAAAATCGGAATCACGTATGTTACGGACTACCTCGATCCGACGTCCATAAAATTGGAGGGGGCGACCTGTTTCGTTAACGACAAGTTTGCCGCCTTCTGACGATATGAACCCCCTAAGTACTGTCTTCAAGTGCCTGTGCCCCGCCTGGTAGCGGTAATATGGCCTTCTGCCACGACAATACGGAGTTGGTTCGGTGGATGAGAGAGATGGACTGCAATGATGTCTCGCAAAGTTTAGAACAATCAGCGAAGTACGATATATTCATTGTTGGCAACTTGTCATGTTGGAAAACTGGAACTGAAAGAGTAGCTGATGAAGTACCTAACACACTGAGTAGCTCGGCAGCCTCGGCTTACTACGAACAGTCGGTCATCGTAATAGTACTGGATATACATCTAAGCAGGGAGACCGAGATTGAATATAAGTAATACCATAGACTTGGAGTACCTACTTTAGTATCTATCAAAAAAATAACTACCGCATGATATGGACCAGAGTATGTGAATACCTACCTCCTACGGCACCTAGAGAAATAGGAGCAAAATCCATGCTTGTTAAGTGGCTGAGAAGAAAGATCTTCAACAAACGCCTCCTTCAGAAATCGGGGACGATTATTATACGATATCAAGCAACAATTCCTATTCATAATATTAATAGTAGATAGTAATAAAGAAAAGGGGTAGATCAACGTTGGATGAAAACAGTTGAATTTATCCTCCAATGGATTTTATTGGCCGAGATGTCGGTTAAAATCCTCCCTTCCATGACTAATTCGATTACGACAGCACACACTTTAACATAACAGACTGAGGGTTCTATGATGAGAACTAACTCATGCCTACTTCCTCGAAGATTTTCGTTGCAGATAATAAATTTGGATGAGAATAAGACACGAGGGATTTGGCCTGAGCATCATGGCATTGTTGGTAATTGAGTTTTGCCTTACACGGCTCCATATAGACTTGAGTTTCATATGCCTGCATTCGTGAATGTTGTTTGCCTTATAGCCGGACAGCTTCTACAATGGGCAGAGTCAATATTGAAGTTCGTAAAGGCAGGAACAGCGTGGCAGCGCCAGTTCTGGGTTTGATCAACCGAGACTTAGCCGTCTTGCCGGTGCTCTAATAGTTGTATCTAGTGGTCAGTGTCAAATGGTTAGTGGCTATTCTATTAGTGGCTGTCCCCACTTGGCACTGGCGCATTCGTAGGCTAGACCCCTTGGCCTATCACGTATCTCGTAAGTTACCTCGTATAACTTATTAGAAACTCATGCATGTCATCCGTAGACACATTCCATTGAGTTGATATTGTGAATGCCTATTGTATTTTTGCTTTTGCTTTGTCAGTCAATTAATATTGACTGTTGCATTGTCGTACCTTAGACAAGCATACCTGGCACCTTAGTACCTGCATTTATGATTTATTTAATGTATGGAGTACCTACATACAGTACTACCTCAGTTCAAATGATGTTGTATTCAATGTTATCTAATTGAGATACGGACGGACAACAACGTTGTGAAGGTTTAATGTTGTAGTTAATACCCACATGTGCATCCCTTTGCAGACTAACCTTGGGAGTACATATCGACATGAGATCTGATGATAGCGTGGGACATCAACCTTGGAACTCTGATTGACTTGCATCAGCGCACCTACCTTCAAGTGGAGGATAGCACGCCAGCAGTAATATTCCAAGGCTACACAACACTACACTGCCTGGACAGCTGGAGACGTTGTGCGGGAACCTGCAGAAAGTTGTACCATAGTACCATAGTACAGTCCGTACAACGCATGGGTACCTGTGTCACTGATACCTAGATGGGGATAGTCGCTTGACAAGAGATCGGGCTAGTGGCTGATCTAACTGGGGTAGGCTAGAAAGTCGCTTGCAGGTTCCCTCGAATTATGCCGACGCGCCCGTTCTCACCGTTCGAGGCATTGTATTGTTACTATTGTATCGTACCTTACGAGCCCATTCTCCGTTGTGCTTGGCGTAACTCAAGGTTCCAGGTACATACTTTTATAGTTTTTTGTTCTATTTTTCTTCTTTTCCCTATTTTATTATGTAACCCGATTTCCTGTCCTGTTCCAAGCCCGTTGAATCCGTCCAAGCCGTTGGAGCCGTTCAAGCTGTCCTAAACCCACCCAACTTGGCAGCGGTTCCGTGTCAGTTTATCTCTTTCAATAGGTCACACGCCTTCTTTAACTGGGCAGACTAGAAATAATCTGGAATTCCATTCACTAACACACACAAGACCACAAGACTGGACCAATCATTCGTTCATTCATCCTCTCTCGGTTACTGCATTTCCTTTCTTTCCTTACCCAGTACCACCCAATAACTCTTCTTCCACTTACAAACTCTCCATTCTTCTCACTCTATCCCTCCTTCGCTCGACCTCATCCAGCTTCATCTAGCGTCACCAATCCTGACTGTCGCATAATCTCAACTATCGTAAAAACATTCATTCGTTTGGTCCCGAGTCGAAAGCAGAGAAAAAAGAAAACAAAGGAATACCGCGACCATGTCGCAGAATTGAATAATAAGATAAGGACAATAGCCAAGACAACGGGTCTCCCCTCATTCTTTTCCATTTCGCATTCCGTAGAACAACGAATAGACCCTGCCGATCTTTCCGGTTCGACGACTCGCGTTTCCACAGATCTGGTTCATCTTTTTGGGGCCTTGCTAGGTGCAATCTCGACCACCTCCGCGTCGTTGCCACGATCACAATTATATCGAAGTTGGTGTGTTGAGAGGACTACGGCACACGAGCATAGTTGTAGTCGTGACTATCTTGGTTGACTTGTTCGATTCGTTCGCCAATTACGTCTCTACTTTAGTTGGTTGGTCGGTCTATGACGACGGCAAACATTACACAATCATTCGCCTCTTTCGCTGTCCCGTTGTCCCGCTGTCGTGATACCATCGAATAGCATAGCGTCGAGCGCTGCGTGTTTTCCTCCAATCCTACGAGCCGGAGCCTGCTGCTTGTGTTGAATTATTCGCGCCCTACAACGATCCCTACAACATTTGAATAAAAATATCTCGTACCTGAAATATACTGTTACACATCAACCACCTTTTATCATGGGTATGTCTCTTCGTTCTTTGTCCCATACTTGGGCGGGACTCGCTCAGTCTCTCATAGTCTCAACAGAGACTTGAAGTCTTACAATCAACAAGTACTTGTCAACTAACAACCTTCATTAGCGACTCCTGTGACGACCATAGTGCCTTTTGCAAGTCTGCCTTCGTGTGCGGTTAATTGTGGTGCTCTATACGATGCCAACGGTGCTTGTGTACCTCCGGCAGCTCCATCCGGCTCTGAAGCTACCTACGACACATGTTTCTGTGCCTACAACTCACTTCAAGCCTTCAAACAAGGTCCGACAGGGGTGTGCGACAGCAATTGTGACTCCGCTGGGCTCTCAAGTATACAGAGTTGGTTCACCAGTCTATGCAACAAAGCTGCTACTGCTACTGCAACAGCAGCCTCGGCAACAACTACAGGCGCGAGCGCTGCAGGAAGCAACCAAGGTGGTGGCGGGGATTGGTAGGTTTCTGTTAACCTGAGGTGATCTAAGTTGCTCTATAAAACTGACTTCCCTTCCAGGATATCAACACATTGGAAATGGGTTGTCATGATCGTCATCATTGTTGTCGGCATAATAGCCATCTGGGCCGGCGCTTGTATTTGGCGTCGCAAGTACCTCAAGAAGAAGGACCGAATGTACGAACTTGGCAAAGGCCTTCCGAGTAGCGTTGCGGTCAATACGCAAGGGAACCTCGTTGGCACTGGTGCAAGGGATAGCAACTATTCCAATCAGGGCATGTTTATGTCAGGTCCCGGGGGCACTGGTTATGCGGAAAAACCAAAGAAGGAGCGCAAGAGATGGATGGGAAGCCACTGAACATGACCGACATGGCGAATGGTAGAACTGAATCTCTCGCACTTAACCCCGACACTCCTTGCCACCGATGCATCGTATCGTTTACCACATATTTTTATTACGTCGTGTTCTACCATCCTACAATTGTGGGATTATTCCTTTGCATATTTATCGTCGGGTTCAAATTCCGCATCGAGGGCGTTCAAGGACGGAGAAGTGGTGTTATCACGACAATACCAACGTGGGTTTCTTGGTGTCTTTTGAACAATTTAGGCGTGGGAAGTTTTGGATAGACCAAGAAAACAGGCTAGGCAGGATTGGAAGATTTTGATATCACTTTGTTAACCCTTCCTCTTCAAGACAGGAAGGGGCTTTATTTTAAGGGGATGAAAAGCCTGCAACGGGATTGTGTTGGTTCCTGTCTCGCTGGAACGATGGACACGTATATCATGGAGATAAGACTTGTGTCTTGCCTGTACAAATTCCAAATACACGAGCCGAGTGCAAATTCTTCAAGGAGTCTAAATGCTCAGATACCAACCTAGGTACCTAGGCTGATATCGTTGTTCTAACTGCCCGACCTACATACATATGTAGCTTCGAGTTGCTACCGGCCCGGAAGCTTACTTTGACGGATATAGTTGACGTGTCACCGATGATAACGGAAAGATCACTAGATGCTGGCATAGGGATACACGGGTGACAGATACATCTGGAGGTTGCCTGGCTGTTACTTCACTAACTGGTAAACAGGGGGGGCAAATGACCGGACCCCAAATCAACTCAAAGTCAGACTCTTCTATATACCTAGGCACCTACGACGTGGGGGCGGTATTGTAGACTACTGAAGGCGTAAAACACATATACATACTTATGTAAGTGTATCTACTGCTTACCCAGTTTACCCATCAACCTACATATGTGTGTACTACCCTCGCAGGGGCATTGATGTATGTGATACATATGTGTCACTGAACGTGCATCTAGCACAGCATATACAGTACATGGCTAGTTTACATAGGTATACGACAAATACTAACTAGGTAAGTACAGTACGATCTTCATGGTAATGATGGATGACGCCATCCTGCCCACCAGCGTACCTACCTACCTACCTACCTAGGTATGTGGTACCTGAGAATATAGGTAGGTAGTGTAAAATCAGAACCTGGCGAAAGGTCTTCAAACTTCTGTAAGAGAGAGAGAGAGAGAGAGAGAGTTGGCTCGAATGTACGTAATGTTTGATGTGACAAGAACGGAACGGGGGGCTCTTGAACCTACGTACCTAGGTAGGTATCTATTGTTATGATATAGAGTTCCAAGGTAATGAATGAACTTGATGATAACCTTAAAAGTGCGCGTGACTAGTCCCGGATATCTTAAACTTAGGTGGTTGTATACCTCAACCAGGGGGGAAACATGAAGGAGGGAAACAGTGGGGGTCTCGGGGGGTCTCGGGGGAGGCTAAGGGGTGGGGGCCCGTTTCCCATCACACTACCCAGAAGTGAAGGTGCTTACTGAAGCTATGTATATACCTATTTTCCATACCATAAAAAATCCCAACCCAACGTTACATTCTTCACTCTTGAAGGGTGATGTGACGGACAGTTGAGTGTTGAGTATTCGCGTTATACTCTCCGCCCTCATTCGCCATTCGCCTTGCCTCTTCCGCTGTCTAGGAATTCGTAAATCTGATAAGAGATAGATAGCTATAGGTTGGTAGGTAGGTAACTAAGTTACTCTTCCCCACGGACTAGACTTACACATTGTAAATAAATATATTAAAAAAACAAAAAACAACGACAGCATTGAACTTAATTATCAAGGTCCGCCAATACATTAAAACTACTAAGGTAACCTACAGTACCTGATCCATGCTGGGAGAAAGTAGCTCGGAATGGGTTGAGTAGGTACTTATAAGTTCCTACTTAAATATCTAGGTGGGTATCTAGAGTATCAAGTAAAAAGGTGTAAAAGAAAGGGGGGTCTAACGAATTGGATTCCAGGCGTCCCTCCAAGGTTGAGGGGCCTAGGCAAGTAAAGGCACCAAACGTGGACAACAAGAAACCTCGTATTTGCTTCTTCATAACATGTATTCTCTGTCTGTCTCTCTGTGTATTTATCTACCTAGTTGCGTGTATAGCAAGGTTCATATCTCTTCATAATCATCAAAACGAACTATTTATATGCTTTTCTCATCACACTTCTTCTGCTTCTTTATCTACACCCATCTACTTCTGCTATCATTACGCAGTCATGTAGGAAGGTTACTTCATCCCGTACTCAGCCGCATCCATGTACAAGTCAATAAGACACCCGGCACTCCACGCTTGCGTGGGACTCGAGTCGCCGCAGAATTGGCCATCCTTCTGCGTGAGTTCCGTTAATCCTGCCCACCAATTCTTTTCAATCATCTCTTTGCACCCCCCCAGGCGCCTCGTGACTTGCTGGAATGCCTCTACCCGGCCTTCCTGTGAATCTCTTCTCTTGAGATCGAACTTGAGGAGGGCACGCAGGAAGAAGCCCGTAGGCCAAAGCCACTCGGGTCCTTGGTGGTAGTTCCGCCCCTTGGACGTCGCGAAGTCGGTCGAGTCTTCACTGTTGATGTAGTAAGGCCGATAATTCATGTCGATCGGGTCTAGCGTCGCCATTCCAGTCGGTCCACGTAGGGCTTGGTCCGCAATAACGAGAGCACCCATGGCGTGAGTGGCATCAAATAGATCGGGAGCCACCGTCATGGCAATGGTGAAGTTGGGTCGGAGTTGGTAGTCTTCATATTCCTTTCCGGAGCGGTAGAGGTCCTTGTAGATACCACGCCGGTTGAGGACGCTCGGGTTAACATCATATAGCGAATCCTCTGCCTCATCCGTTGGCACGTAGTAGCTGCGCTCAAAGTTTGACTCGAGTAGGTCTGCCCAGGCTGAGAATGTGATTTCAGACTTGTCTGATTTGGTCACGCCCTTGTGCGGATAGTGACCGTCGGCATTGAGCTTGGCTAACCATCGGAGGGTACTATAGAGTAGGCCAGTGATCTCAATAGCGGCACCATCACGTGGAGTACCCGGGATGCCCTTGGACCCAGCACGCTCACTCTCTCCCATCTTGTCCATCCACGTACCGCAGTTGAACTGATTACCACCAAAAATTATACCATTCGACCAGTCGACGTTGACTTCAATGTTGAAACCTTCATCGCGCATCTGAGAGTCAATGGTTGGCCCTGCGTTCGCTTCACGGAACTTCAACCCAGTGGCGTGTCGTTGCATAGCTTCTTGGATAACCTCTTGGATTGTGCTTTCCGTCGAATACGCTCTCGGGTCCTCCGAGTCGAACCAGATATCATCATAGGGTAAGAATCGCCGTTTGACTTTTCTGTTCAGGAGGCTTAACCCATCTGATGCATACTTGGTGTAGTCTTGAATGCATTGTAGGAAGAACCAAATGGAATCTCGGCTGTTGTATCGCGGAAGATTCCCACTGCCAAGAAGGTTGGGGATCATGCCATGCTTGAGAACGCTGGCAAACGCAAAAATGTGCTCCGCAGCTTCTTCAAACCTGCCGGTTCCAAGGTAGAGACCGCGAAGGGAGATGAAGACGTCACGACCCCAGCATCGCGCCCATTCTACAGCAAAGTGTGGTAGTCCAGCAGCTAGCGAGGGGACGAGCTTCTTGGGCCAGAGTGAAGCGGACTTTACTAAGCCCGTCATTTGAACACTGACCAAGCCCAAGCTCTGAAGGAACCATTGACCGGTTTGTATCTTCTCATTCATGAGCTCCAACCCTCTCGCCCAGGCAGCCTTATAGGCGGTTCGTATCACAAGCGTGAAGTAGCGTGGTAGAAGGAAGTTGGGAATGCCACGGATCGCATCGAAACGCTCCTTGAGCCAAGCTGCTATCCCTCCAAGGCGAGAAAACCCAGCCTGCTGACTTATTCTCTCCAGCCGTCCCACGGTATAGTCCAGAGCCCATTGACCATCACGAAGGTTTTGGCAGAGTGGATGGGCCAAATTATTTTCCTTAATGATGTCTTTCAAAAGACTCCACCAGCCCTGGAGACCTGCGTACACAATCTTGCCATGGCCCGGAATGTCGTAGGTGCCATCTTTGCCACCACTCCCATCAAGCTCTTCGGCCTCGCAACGGTACAGCAAAAAGTTGAGGTCGACCAAATCTAGTTCAACCATGGCCTCCTTGGCTCCGGATGTCACGTAGGTATCTAAACCCGATGAATGCTCGGCTGCTGGAATCCAGGTTTCGAACAAGGCGATGCTTCCAGGGGGAAACTTCTCACGCACAGTGATAACTGTCTCGTCAGACTTGACTTCCAATCGAATACCTGGCAGATCAAGCACACGACTCGGGAGACCCCGTAGATATTTCTTATCGTTCTCGACTTCTTGCTTAGCTTCGTCATTCGCGTCAACCTCCAGCATCCAGCTTCCTAGGTGTCGCGCCTTGGTGCCGCTAAGGTGTACGGGACTGAATGTACCACGGCTATCTCCGTAGCCGGGATATGCAGTATGTGCAATGAGGAAGTATCCTTTCCTCGACTCGGGATGCACTCTGTGTACTGTGACATATTGATCTTCGTGATGGATGTGGGTTTCGTCATACCCATCCTTCCCCATTAGAGTGTGAATTTGGTTGAGTAGCTTCTTGATGCCGCCGATGCCACCTTTTCCACCGCCAACTTTGATCTCCTTGGCGACGGATGATTCAGACGTATACAGCCTGGTCTCGTTCACAAGGTCGACCAGCTTGGGGTATATTTCGTCGTAACCCATGACGCTTCCGGTAGCGCTAGCACACATACACACCAACGCAGCGTTTGGTAATGTATCTCGAGCATCTCTCTTTTGTGCCGGAACCTCGTTATCGTGAGTGCAATCCATAAAGAGAGCCTGCACCGGAGCGGGCTTAATGGTGCGGATGACTTCTCGCGCAGAACTGCCATTCAACCCAGGACTGGCAAACCCAGGACTGGTAGGAGCACTTCCAAGGGGGGTTTTGGAAATCTCATCCACCTCAAAACTGCCGATAGGGCGTCCACCATGACGGTGTACCAATCTGCTGAGTTCGGCTGTGCTCCAAGCCTGCATGGCTTCTCTGATCAACGAGCTCAAGCCTAGCCTCTTCACGAAGACATAGTCCATCTCCTCCGATCCGGTGAAAAGTTCTGCCACCACGTAAAGGTTGGGCCGAACACGGCGAGCCTCATCAAGGATGTGTTCTGCGACGTGAATAGGGGTAGAGTGACAGTTGTCGATGCGGAAGCCAGCAAAGTACTTTGCAAGCATTCGTGCATACTTAGTCATGTATTCCCAGAGAAATGGGCTGTCCTTGGGACTGCTTCCGTAGCGAAGCTTGACGCAGTCGCCCCAGACAATTACTTCGCGCCGTAGATAAACGCGCGACTGAGGACCAGCATTGTCCACCAGCGCGTTTCCGGCCCACACCCATCCATTATTGACGAGAACCAAGTCTTCGGGTTTGAATTTATCAGAAGCCTCTGACTTATTCAGGCGAGTGAAATAGGTTTCGATTAGAGGGTTTGCTTGATTAATAGGGCCCATCTTTGGGCCATGCTCATCAAGACGGGTATACTTGATCCTATTGAACAACTGCTGGAGGATTTCTCCAATCTCCTTGTCGTACTCCTCGTAAAAGCGAACATTGACAACGTCAAGTATCTGGGTTAGCTTAGTTCGAATAGCCGCCTCATCCGCCTCGCCCCGGTACTTCCCAAACAAAGTAACTATTAAACTAGCTGCAACATTAGGGTCAACGCGCCGTCGGAATCGTTCACCAAGTCTGTCGTTCCCAGCCAGGCCCTTCTCAATTAGATACAAAGCTTGATGTTCCACATCAACATCCCTGAGCTTATCAAGCTCATCACTTGTAGACCCCTCGGGTACAGTTTGCTTCCCAGCAGCCCATGATTCCATGGCAGCATCAACATCCCTCTCCGTATCAATGGTGTAGTACTCCCACAGACGAATTTCCGAAATCACATGCTTCTTGATGCCATCCATGATCTTGATAAGATCGTCGGTAGTTTCAAGGTCTGTAGGGTAGCCAAGCTCCTCCAACTTGGAGCTTAGGAGCAAAAGCTGGGTGTCGAGGGCGTAGGCTGACTCTAGCCACGGCGCCGTGGTCAGATTGTACCCTGCTTCTGGATGCTCCAATAGCCACCCACTATTGTTGGCGGTATGGTTGAGAACTATGTCAGTCAGACTCAGGAGAGAATGTTCCCGCTCCAGACTATCCACCATTTTCTGTACGTCCTTCTCTCCCTGAGGAAAGCATTCGGGGTCCCACCCAAGCTGATTATATAAACTATACGGGGAATTTGAAGCTCCACGAATCTGTAAAGGGGTGAAATGAATCATATTATAACCACGACCACTAATACCTCTCAGATGCTTCTCCCAGTCAGATGGGTACTTTCCCATGAACTTGCTGATGACAGAAAATACGGACAGTGCCGAAAGAGGCAACGGACGACTATCTAATGACAACCTAGGGGCAACATCGATATAGTACAGCGGTGTCTTTTTGGACGCAGAGGGCGTGTCAGATTTAGAGGTAGTGGACAAGCTAGGTAACTCGGCGTATGTAGTATAAAACGCAAAAGCACCAGCTTCATAGATGGGGATCGATATCTCAATCGTTCTGTTGAAATCGGGATTCAACCTAGAAAAGCGGTTAGTAAGCCAACATGTTCTGATACCCTCAAACCCCCTATGTAGTATGAATAGGCCGGGTTTCACTTACTTGTACTGGCGGAACTGATCTCTGCGAAACTCGGATCCTTGTTCCGGAATGTTGACCCATAAACTGCCCTGCCGACATATCGACGAAGTACCCTCGATCGTAAACCGTATCGTTACATGCTCCTTCGATCTCGGTGCCAAGTAGATATATTCCCCCGCAACATCAGGAGCACCATCATCCTTCAAAGGCAGTATATAGACCTCATTCGAGGTCACTGTCCAGGGGACCATGTCTACTCCTTCAGATGGTACAAATCAAGTAGGTTAGGTAGGGCAGTCGAGTACAATAGAGTAGGCAATGTAAGATTGACGGGGAAAACTAACACAAGGAAAAGAGTATTGAAGACAAAGGAAAAGAAGGAAAGGAAAAGGGAAAAAACAAAAGGAAGAAAATAGTTAAGGAGTGGACAGGGTAGCTACATATGTAGGTATGTACCCAAACTAGAGATGTAGGTACTGGAGTACCTAGTACACATCGGGATAGACCAGACTGTCTGACCAGTTGAAGAGGGCAAGTGTACTCCGATGTCTGTGTATGGATGTTGAACATTGAAGTGAGTAAGTGTAAGGTGCCTACTGGTACCTAACGCATATAGGTACTATGTACATATGTATGTACATATGTAGCTCTTTCTTGCAGTTCGTTAGGTCGATGTCGGTAGTACATATGTACCTAGTATATTCGTAGGCAGGTACGTTTACGTAGCTCACGCACACTTCAATGTTTCAATATCGATTGCAGTGCTGAATGTTCCATCGGCAGGGCGGGGTTGGTTCTTGTACCAATGACGTAATGATCTGGCATGCACCCATGCCTTATCGTGGATACCGGTGGGTACGGTAATGGACCAATAAAAAAGGACAAATCTGCTGACTTGATGCAGTTAAATGGGATCAAATTGGATCGACTGGTCTAGACCTGGTGTTTACCCTAAATACACCCGGGGTTCTCCAGAATCGTTGAGCCACAGCATGGCCAGCGGTCTTCCTTGACCACAGGAGTATCTTCTAAAGTCCATTGGTTTCGCTTAACGACCTCTACGAACAACAGCCATTCGGAAGTATGATCTAGATTAAAAAAAAATTAAACGCGTTAGCAATCTGACTTTTGTTTTTCTTTTTTTAATTGTAAACTCCTTCCTTGGATCTTATACTCACGTCGTATTCGAGGACAATCTCCTGGGTCTTCTGCCCGCAGGTCAAATAGGTCGCGACAAAATCGACAACTAACCATGAGAGGAGGAAGTCGGGGAGGAAGTGGAGGAGCAGCAGCAGCCGTAGTACTGCTAACACTTTTCGTTGTATCTTCACCATTGGATTTATCTTCACCCTTGGATTTATCTTCACCCTTGGATTTATCTTCACCCTTCGAACTGGACTTCTTGCTCTCATAAGCTTCTCGCTTAACGAGGGGAAGTTCACGTGGATCAAGTGTAGGGCTGGGTTGCCAATCGTCGAGCTCCGGAGCCTTTCCCTTCTTGTATGGAGCTCCTCGCCAAGGAGTAATGGTCTTTGGCCCAGTATTCTTCGTTCCATCAGGCTTCGCTTGAGAAATCTTCCTGCGCTCAGTGGCCTGTTTTGTGCTGCTAGAAGGGGTAGGTGCTAGCAAAGCAGGACGTCTCCGTCCTGAATTTGCTGGACTGCTCACGGGACTTCGCGGCCTTGAACTTGGAGGCTCCTGAGGAGTTCGCTTCGGAGCATTTCTATAATACGTGGGATCACGTCTCAAAAATGAAGAAGGCCTACTATATGCAGGAGAATCAGATGAAGATCCATCATCTGAAGCTGTGGGGCTTCGGGCGCGACGCGATAAAGGTCGGATATATGAACGTTGAGGGCTCGAAACATGACGGCTGGAGGGTTTAGAGCCCGAAACATGGCGCTTTGAAGGAGGTGTTGGAGAAGATTTCAAAGGAGAAGCCTGTAGATTTGAAATATCTCCATGAGCTCGTTTGGGATGTCGAATCTCCTGTCGAGCTTTATTGGGATAGGAATCATTTAGACGAGAAATTCTGCGTCGCCTGGGAGAAGAGTGTGGCGGACGTGGTGCGGGTGAAGGTGAAGGTGATTGGTTGCGAGAGGCCTGATAAGTAGTCAATGAAGAAGCCTCGCCGTCTCTGGATTTCATGCCTTCTGGAATTCCAGCAGTCTGTGGCGGCGTGCTTGTGCGATTGATGTACGGCAGAAAGCTGTCATTTCCTGTTCCTCTTCGGCGTGCCAGAAGGCCATCCATCGTATCTGGCATAGGCCTGACATTGCTCAAATCTGGTGTAGCCGGTCTGTTATCAGGCGACCTTCTACGATCATTCGCTCTTCGAAGTCGACGACGACGAAGCGAGTTCGTGCTATCGCCAGACGCCGAAGACTCCACGCGTCCAACCCTGTGTGGACCTTTCTTCTTTCTTGGAGACATGATCAATCAATAAATATCTTCAGAAAACTCAAGGTTAACGTGAAGAAAAAAGAATGAAAAGATATAAGTACTGGTGAACCAATACTTGACGGTTGTGAAGGAAATTTCTAAGCCGGAGGAAGAACTGAGAAGGAATTTTTTTAAAATGGCAGAGTGCAAGGCAGAAATATAAATAAACAGACACAAGTTGGGACCTAACCTTAGGAATCAGGCGTTCGTAAGTAATATTCTTTCCGCCTTCGTCGGCACTGTTTAAGAAGTATCCACATAGTTATGGGGTCCTAAGGCGAAAGGAATCGGGGCATGAACGAAAGCATACGGGGGACTAGCTAGGGGAAAAGTAGCGCCTCAGGTATCCATGGATATTCTCATATGAGATATGGCTGAACAGTGTTCCTCAACTCTTGACCGCCTCCTTATGGCAGCTAAGCGATCTGATCACGAGCTATCACGAGTTATCACTCAAGACATTTCTCAATGAAGCTAACTAGGTAGTCTACGATTATACATAGCCAAATGATACTACGAATCCTTTCTATAAGGTAGAAGAAACGTGGAGCCTGACTTGGACAGGAGAGGGCAGTGAACCGTGTGAACTGTATACAAAGGAGCATCTAAGCGGTAAGGGGGCAAGGCTCATGATATTTCTAGATTCTTAACTCACCTAAAACCACACTATGCTATATCACTGTATTTTCCCCCTATTTGTGTACCTTCTCCTAAATCCTTTAAGAGCCACCATACATTTTTTCCCAATATATATACTTACATGGTGCGTAGGTAATCTCAATATATATGTACTTATACTGCTGCAAAGTGTCGTTATCCAGACTCTTTCCATAATAATAACTTTGCTTACCACACGGTGCGACATGTTAATTTAGGCCCTGCTACCCGCCGAGTTTGCTGCCTAAGGCGAAGTACAGTGTATTATGTATTTTTATGGGAAAAGAATAACCGATAAACCCGGCGTGAAAGGGACAATTAACACGGCCATGGCATGCAAGTGTTAACAGAAAACTAGAGGATAGCTTAGACAGGTTGAGCTATACTAACATCAGCAGGCCATCCCCTTCTCACTCCTTTATTTGTATATGAATGTATGTGTTTTTTTTCTCCGAGTGTTACAAATTTGGCTTATCCTACTTTATGATTCTAACGCTCTTATTCTCTTCTTCAGCCGGAAGCCTTTACACAATCTGATATCTGAGTGTGTCTGTAGGTACCTAGTATATATATATATGTGTGTGTGTGTGTGTATGTGGAGAGAACTTTGCGTGGAATTCAACAACTAATCGACTATAACTCAAGAGTACATGCGTATCAAACAAGAGATAAAAGCTACAAGAAACCAAGTTCCCAAAGCCCACCGAAATCAAGCCAATACCATCCAACCGCCCAATCCATAGCCAGCTGTCAAAAGTCAAGACACAAATACAACCACTTCAAGTGCAAAATAACGATTACACCCACCGAAACCCCCAAATACACAAAGCCATAGTCAACCCAACCCAACAGGCAATACCCCCCCCTCTTCCACAAGAAAAAAGATAAAAAAAAAGATGAAATCCACCTTCCTCACGAATCCGTCTTCGGCTTCGCCGACCCCTGCGTAGCAACCGACGGCGTGACATGCCCCGAAGCCGCAGCATCAGCATCAGCGCTCTGCTCCTCCGTCTTCTTGCCGTCGACCTCAGCGATAGCGTGGTATGGACCGTCCTGGTCCTGGTTCTTCATCCAAGCACCCGTGGCATCGTCGCCGCTGTACTCGGAGTCCTGCCGAGCCTGGCCGCCTTTCTGCGTCCATTGGTCGCGCGAGACGGGGATGGCTGTGTCGGTGCTGGACTTGTCTGTTGTCGTGTGAGTGGGTGTGCAGGTAGGTAGGTAGGTAGGCGTGGAGAGTGGGATATGGAGATATGGGGCTGGTTGGCTTGCTTACCGTCGGGCTTGCTTGGGGTTTCGTCGGATTTGGAATCCTGGGGCTTGTTGTCTGCAGACATGTTGACACCAAGGTAGATATCTAGTGAAGAGGTGGTTATATGGGTAACTGTGTAGGTAGATGAAGGTGTGTTGGTAGGCAGAGACGTATCTTGGCGAGCCTCTTGAGTACTTGCTTGCTGATAGTGATTCTCTGGTTCTTAAGCAACAACACGCCTGCAGACTCCCACCCTTTTATACCCTCGCTGGAGTCATACAAGTCATTGACGACGGGCTAGAAAACCACCGAATATATTCGGATGGGTGTGCCGACGGCGCATCTAGATCGCAGAGTACCTCGGTACGCATAAACTCATCAACACCAAACATCATCCCAACACGCGAGGTTAGACAGGGCTAGCGCAGGCGGGCAGTCCTTTCTACCTACAGGAGCCGTTCCTCGATAGATCCGGAGCGGTGGCACCTACCGCCACTTTTTTGCTTTCTATTCCTCCCTTCCATACATACCAGCTGCCCTTATCAGCTTGTACCATATCTCTCTCGCGATCCCAGCCTTCTGAGAGGTCTTCTCCCTAAGACGTAGGTATCGGATGATCTCGGCTAACCGTCAAATTCGCCTTGGCAGGTAATACAACACCCATCTGTCTTCCATCATCGTCTAATCATACGGGGCACGACGGCTAGCTCAGATGCCACCCGCGGAGGAAGCGTCATCATCATACCTATACCCCTGAATTGGCACGCACGTGGTGAGATATGCAAGGCTCGGAGAACTCGCCCCATGTACGTGGTAAGTATGCCCAATGAGCCGGCTCTCGATATCACCCTCTGTCGTTGATGATGGGATTAGGATTATGACTCTTTCTATGATTAGACAGACAGACAGACAGACAGGCAGCCAAAAAAGAAAAGGAAGGAATAAAGAAAGAAATTAAGAAATCTGGCGGATATGCAAGGAGACTATCCGAAGTGTTTCTGCTTGTACGTTGCCCCCTGCTCTGTCGCCGAAACTTTTGTCATGACTCCTATCGGATGCGTTATAAGCTCACTGACATATCTACACTTTGGCGTCGCACAAAGGACGTTGTCGTGCAAGGACAAATAGACAGATAAATGCGTGTGTGCCCCAGCCCAACGCTACATACCCCCGGCAGAACTACCCGGCTCATCATCCGAGGCCTAGGTAAACTGTACAATGCTTGCATACATGCTATGCAGAGAGCTGACCGCTCGGGTCAGTGGGAAGAACCGTTAAGGTGCAGCCTTAGTTCGCAAACTATCGAGAAGCGCCCATCCAATGAAATATTCCAAGAATTCCAAGAAGATTGTCGAAGGCTTTCTTCTTCTTCTTTCTTTTGCAGGGGGCTATGTATGTAGGTGGCTTGCAATGCTTGCATATCGATGTCCTGGTTGCCAATTCGGGAAATCTATCCAGCTCTCCCGGGGAGCCAGTGCATGCAGGAGGAGGTATGACATTATAGGTGCGGAGGGCCCATCCGTGTCACCCGGATTCTGGGGTCTGCATAATCTGCATGCGAGCCCGGCAATCTGCATAGGTGCCTACACGTAACCAATATCTTGGGGAATAATCAGAGAGCCATATTGCTTGCTGCTCGCCCTATCTGGTTTCCGATTACCTGTTTGAATGAGTAGCCATGACCTCGGCTTCGTAATCATCTCACATACTTGCAAGTTATCTCAAGCGAATAGGAAAAGAAAAGAAAAGAAAAGAAAAAAGAGATATAGACCGAGGAAGGGGCAGCGAAGCGATACACTTGCGCCATCGACCCCCCTTCTCTGCGAGGACTGGACTGAGACATCGCAAGACATCACAAGTTTTTTTCGGCTCAGGATGAGCTTTTGGCAGCACACAGCGAAATCGGTCACAGTCAACTCTCCGAGACTGTATACCTGCCAGCCTAGTACTTACCTGGGCAGTTACCGATATCAATGAGCCTGTGTCCCCGTTCAGTAGCACTGATTAGATCTTCGGAATTGTAACTCTGATGTAATTCCGGAGCTAGCAAATTCCCCAATAAGGGAAGAGAGTTTGATATGAATGTATCCTATCACTGGGTCCACAATGAATACATACCTAGGTAGGCGAACATCATGATCTCGGTGCTTCTCGATATGAAGAAGTCATATTCATTCGACTCGGTCGCTTAACCGCCTTATGAATAGCGCCAATCAAGGCAGGGAAGAATTAACGAGATCGCAATCTCAGGGGGGGGGAAGTTTACCCCACGTGAGAGTTGTCTGTCTCGGGACAGCCCAGGCACAGGGGGCAAGAGGAAGCCGAGCTTCGTCCTCCCCCCTTTTTTTCAGTCAGGCATTGGTCAGCTGCATGTCAACATTTTGCCCGATCGTACAATGTTACAAGAGCCTCGCTGTGTTATTCAAGATGACGTATACCTTGCTTGCCATGTTTTCAACGTTGCTGCTCGAATCGCACCAGGGGACCGTACGGTATCTGCTAGTCCAGGATAGGGATACCGGCCGCGGGATCGTAAAACCTTTGGAGGTATATTTGGTCTTACATCTCTACCTATCTAAGCATTGAACTTTCTACCTTACTAGGTACTTAGGCAGGTAGGCAAAAGAATCATATGAAGATCGAAAGAGAGTCACCACAATCAAACCGTTGGCGAGAAGAAACATCTAGCAATAGGTTACGTCTTGGGAGGGAACATATTCATCGTCCGATATAGGGAGACTTGGAGGATAGCACAGATTGGCCTGGTCAAACGCAGCATGCTTCATTAAGCGGATCGGATAAGTAATCGTCTTCTTCTTCCAGTTCAGGATTAGCAGCTATGAAGCGGAGCGAGCGAACGCGTCTATCACGTCACCACAATGTGGCCTCAGAAGGGATACACTTCCCGCAAGCTAAGTTTTGACAACACTCTTTCGCCTTCGTTTACCTCTTACAGCTTCATATACGAGTTGCAAGTGAAACGCGATGGCGTGGAGTGGCGTGTGGTGATCCGCCGTCTGATCTATTCCTTCTTCTCCATGGCTTCCTGCACCAAAGACGCGTCGGGGGTCTCGTAGGTATCCGTCTGGAACTCTGCTGCAACAACGCCCAACTTCGCTGCTTCCCTAGCGGTGAAGGTACCATAGACATCGGCTTCGTCGTACTCGCCCAATCCTGCCACCGGAAATAATTTGTTGAGGATGTAGAAGAGAACTCCACTGGTGAAGAAACCTGCATCACACGGTTAGATTTACTCTACTCCTGTGGGTCAGTAGGAGCTGATCATGCTCACCTATGAAGAATGCCATATAGTATAGTTCAAACCAAGCTCTCGATGCATTTGTATCACTATTCACCGTAGCGACGAGTCCACCGATGGTAGGAATCCAACCGCAAACCCACGACACTATTGCTCGCCAGTTGGCCCCCTTCCAATACCAATACGATGAAGTGTTCGGGTTATATAAATGAGACAGGCGGATCTTGCGTCCACGTAGGAGGTAGAAGTCAACTGCCATGAGACCAATCATCGGCGACAGGAACACCGAGAATGAGCTGAGCACCTGGATGAAGGTAGTTGCCCTGTTGACGAGCTGCCAAGGCTGAACCACCCAAGCAGCAACAAAAGTGATGATGGCCCCTCTCCGTATGTTGATATAGTGGGGCCAGAGGCCCGCGAGGTCGATCCCACCAGCAACTGCATTACCACAGATGTTCTCGAACATGCTAGTCAACGCAAACCCAAAGGCCAGGAAAAACACACCAGCCCGGGCGGCCGAGGACCCTTCTCCGTTCTCCATCATCCGCATCAACAGATCCGGTGGATTCCAAAACACCTCACCGTAGAGCTTCTCGGCCGCACTGGTGGTCACTAGTCCAATGACACATACTAGGACGCCGGTGATCCAGCCCGAGGTAATGGTGCCAATTACGAAAGACCTTCCATTCTTCGAGTACCGGGAAAAATCAGACCCGTTCGTGATTCCCGCCGCAATGCCTCCCAGGGTTTGATTGACACCGGCCATCATAAGCCAGGACACGTTCCACATCGAACTCTGGGGGACGCTAACGCCGGCGTACAAAAGGGGGCCGGCTCCCTTTGCAGTTACCAGCGCCCATATCATTATACAGAGCATACCTAACCCAGTGTAGATAGAAGTAACCAAGAAAGGGATCTTGAACTTCTCGGGTGGGATCCATAAGAGCGGTGTTGACAAAACCCAGATGATAATGAAGCCGACAAACTCATCGCCAGTAGCGGGAAAGCTCTCGGGTAGGAAGTTCCGCATCCTGGCGAATGACGGCCAGATGGCGGTGATGCATACCGCTGCAAGCCGTCCGCCATTCCAGACTTGGACGGCGTTCCAGATAAAGTTGAGCAGGATGCGCTGGAGAAGGGGGATGTAGCTGGCCCGCATTCCCCACGTGAAGCGGTTCTGGATGGTAAAGCCGATGTGCCATTTGATGCCGCACCAGGCAATGAGCGTCGAGAACATCACTATTAGAGCGCGGCCGACAATAATGATGCCCAACGCTTGTGCAACCGACAATCCTTGGGCTACATCGACGAAATGCATTATGCTCAGCAAAACAAGCCATCGGAAAAAGCAAAAGGAGCCAAGGGGGAGGAAGAGGGAGCTTTGACTTACTCAAGAAACTATTAGGAGTCTGCCAATTCGCGATATTCAAGGACGAGAGAGTCCAGTATCCGAAATAATGGAACCATCCTAAACCGCGTGGTGAACAACATCAATGATTAGAGGCCAGGACTGACGAGGTACAGCATTTTGTTCAATGTTGACTTACCCCATGTTCTTCTGCTTGGCGGAAGAGGTATCAAATCACGATTACTCCATTTATCCGTCTGCTCGTGTTGAGACTCGTCACCGTGTAGACGAGCTTTCTCTTTGACACGTTCAAAACGAGCTCTCAAACCGGTGTCCTCCATCGCTTAAGTGAAGCCCTGAGTTTCGATGTGAGAGTAACCAAGGACATCGGAACTTCCGACGCGGATTGGATGTGCGATCTTGCAGGGTAATATACTACACACACATGCATGTAGGTATATGCTGTACCTACCTGGGTACTATGTATGTTGTTCAGCCACCTACATACAAGCATACGTACTAGGTATTGTACCTACATAGTCTGTTTGTATTGCCTTCTTCCGAAGCGGCGTGTCCCCGCCCTCTCGGCAGGTTGCATCTTGTCCAGGAAACTGGATAGGTATCTTGAGATAAACAGCTGATTTCCATTTTTTGATACGTTTTGATAGGGGAAAGGGTCCCTGACTCCTATACTCTTATATGCTACATATCTGGTTAGACCAAGCAGTTCCCAGGTGATAAACAGCCAAGATAGCCAAGCTGGGTATCGTATTAGATGATAGCGTTATGAGTTCCGTACCCCACGTTGTTTTAGAGTCTTGGAATAGCTGGAAGATAGGCGGGTGTCTCTCACCTAATTCGTTCACGAGGAATGCTAGGGTAGTATAGTAGACATAGAAAGTCCGGCACTAGATATATTTGATAGTACTGCCCAGGTATGGATGCAACGTTGAGTAGTAGAGATATGTATGAATATGTATGTATGTACTATGTAGTAACTAGGAGCCCCTTGACCTGGTTCTCAATGGTTCTTATCATACTCCATTCCAAGGATAATCATTTTTTATCTTATCAATCAAAAAAGGGGCCAAATCAATTCTCCATATAAATACTCCACTTTGCCGCTTCGCTGTTACGCAGTATTTTAATCGTCGATGCGCGTCAATACGACCCGATGCTACAGTACATAAATACTTTAGTATTACCTAAGCGCTTTTCAAGAATACCTATGAAAATTAAATTTCAAAAAAAATATTTAAAAATACTTCAACTCAAACATACATATGTACATTTTATGTAAGTGAGCAGGCACTCAGAGAGTAATCATTCATATCAATCTCCAGTACCTAGTTATATCAACTACCAAAATGTCAGCACAGCAATTTGCTGCGGGAGACCCTGGTACCAGATACGGTAGGTAGGCCCTTTAGGTCGAAGGATGGATGGACAAGCGCCTCCAAACCTGTCGCATATGCCGAAGCCGGCCATAGTAGGCACATTGACATATAAAGAGAGCTTGGCTTACCAGTCTCGCCTCGCGGTGGCTACGTAAGTAATCAGCACCTGTATAGATACCTAGGTAGGAAGGTAAGAATAGTACCTAGCGTACGCAGACCTCACGTTGCCAAAATGACACCTCCCCCCAAAACCCTACGCATCGGCGTCGACGTAGGCGGCACCAACACCGATGGCGTAATCCTGGACCCCTCGCGGGCGCTGGAGCCGAACAAGGGGATAGTAGCCTGGCACAAGACGCCGACAACCAAAAACCCAAGCCTCGGGATCAACGACGCCATCACCACCATGTTCGGCGCCGCCGACATCAACCCGGCGCAGGTCGCCAGCGTAACAATCGGGACCACGCACTTCGTCAACGCCGTCGTGGAGCGGGACGCCGCGCGCCTCTCCAAAGTCGCCGTCCTTCGTCTCTGCGGGCCCTTCTCCAAGCACGCGCCTCCCTGCGTCGACTGGCCCGACGACATGCGCGAGCTGATCCTGGGGTACTACGCCCTTTTAAAGGGAGGGCTCGAGGTCGACGGGTACGCGATCTCGGACATCGACCCGGCCGAGATCCGGGCGCAGTGCGCGATCATCCGGGAGAAGGGGATCATGAACATCGTGGTCAACGGGGTCTTCAGCCCGATTGACACGGTCGCGCAGCAGGAGACTTCCGCCGCGGCCATCATCCGCGCCGAGATCCCGGGTTGCGACGTCGTGTGCTCGCGGGACGTCGCGAATCTCGGCTTCCTCGAGCGCGAGAACGCCGCGATTCTCAACGCGTCCATCCTCTCCTTCGCGCGCAAAACCATCCGCTCCTTCCAGGAGCCTGTGCGCCGCCTCGGCCTCGACTGCCCCGTCTTCATCACCCAGAACGACGGCACCATTCTGTCCGGCGACATGGCTGCCAAGCTGCCCATCCGTACCTTTTCTAGCGGACCCACCAACTCCATGCGCGGCGCCGCTTTTCTCGTGGCCAACGAGCTGGATGAGGCCGTCATGGTCGTTGATATTGGTGGCACGACCACTGACGTCGGTCTGCTACTCGCCAACGGGTTTCCGAGACAGCAGGCCGCGTACAGCGACCTCGCCGGGGTCCGCATGAACTTCTCGTGCCCTGACGTCAAGAGCATCGGGCTCGGCGGCGGCTCCATAGTTCGCGGGAGCGGAGAGAACCTAACCGTAGGCCCTGACAGCGTAGGCTACAAGCTCACGGAGGAGGCTTTGGTGTTTGGCGGCAAGACGCTGACCACCACCGACTGCACGGTGCTGGCCAACAGTACGATCGATATCGGGGACAGGTCATTGGCAAAGGGGGCGTTGGACGAAGAGGGCATTCTCAAGTTCAAGGCCGCCGTTAAGCACAAGATTGAGAAGATCATCGACACGATGAAGACATCGCCTGAGGACCTCCCAGTCCTTCTCGTAGGAGGCGGCGCCGTAATCGCGCCCGACGAACTGAAGGGGGCGAGCAAGGTTCTCAAGCCCAAGTGGTCGGAGGTCGCGAATGCCATCGGCGCAGCGATCGCACGAGTCAGCGCTGTGGTGGACACCGTCAAGTCGACCGATTCGAGGTCCACCCAGAGCATCATAGACGAGGTCTGCAAGGAAGTGATTGAACGAGCTGTGGCGAACGGCGCGTCGAGAGAGACGGTCAAAGTGGTCGAGATGGATTACCTGCCCTTGCCTGTAAGTTGATCCCCTACTCAGCCCTATTCATAGTGGGTAGAATATCTAAATACCCATCTACTAATACCACTACCAGTATATAGCCAACAAGTCACGCTTCACAGTGCGGGCAGCGGGCGACCTGGATTACTCACGAACCGAGTTTTCGAAGCTACATTTCGACGATTCCTCAGCAGAGGCAGTCGACGAAATGGACGAATACTCAAAGGTTACTGATACGCCGGAGACAAAGACGAAATCAGCACAGCCTAAGGAAGACATCGACATCGACAACTATAAGCCCGTAGTCCAGAACCGCGTGTGGCTGGTCAACGAGACCGACCTCCAGTGGATCACAATCGGGTGCTACATCCTGGGAACGGGTGGTGGCGGTAGCCCCTACGCGTCCATGATCCGGCTGCGACAGATGCTGCGGCGGGGCGACGTTGTGCGCGTGGTGAGCCCGGATGACTTGCCCGACGGCGTGGCGGTGGCGACGTGCGGGCACGCGGGCTCGCCGACGGTGGGGATAGAGAAGCTTGCGGGCGACGAGATGACGCAGGCGCAAGAGGAGCTATACAAGGTATTCGGCAGCAAGCCGACGCACATGATCTCGATCGAGATCGGCGGCGGCAACGGGCTGCAGAGCATGATCGTCGGCGCGAGCACGAACATGGACTTGCCGGTTGTCGACGGCGACTGGATGGGCAGAGCGTACCCCACCAAGTGGCAGACCACGCCGGTTGTGTTTAACGAGAGACCTCTGATTTGGTCGCCTGTCGCTATGGCCGACGGCAATGGGAATGTTGTCATTATGCCGACCGCTACCTCAGACTTGCAGGTGGAGCGCATTCTTCGAGCAGCCCTGAGCCAAATGGGCTCGTCCGTCGGAATGGCCGACCCGCCCGTGACCGGCTCGGAGTGTAGGCGGTGGGCCGTGGAACACACCATCTCCCAATCATGGCGGATCGGTCGCGCAGTTGTCAAGGCACGCCAATCGAACCGCGTAGACAACGTCGCGGAGACCATCCTCGCGGAATGCGGAGGGCCGGCAGCGGGTAGAGTGTTGTGGAAGGGCAAGATAGTCGGCGTAGAACGCACGTTGCGCTTAGGTCACATCTACGGGGAGTGCCTCATTGAAGGCGCAGATGTAGTCGACGATGAGACCGCTACGCATATACAGTCTACGTCGAAGGAAGACGGGCCGAAACAGCCCCAATTCCAGGGGATTATCAAGATCCCATTCAAGAACGAGAATATCGCTGCCATCAAGATCTCACGCTCGGTCGTGGATGGTGAGGTGGTGGAGACGGAGGGCGAGGTCCTGGGGCTGGTGCCCGACCTGATCACAGTAATCGATGCGCAAAATGGCGAGGCCATCGGCACCCCTGAGTATCGGTACGGGCTTTTGGTTATCGTCCTTGGGATCGCGGCGAGCGAGCGGTGGACCTCGGAGAGAGGCATCAAGATTGGTGGACCTGAGGCCTTTGGCATGGATCATCTGACGTATAAACCATTGGGCAAGTTCGTCAAACCAAGGAGCGTGATTGATGAATTCGATGTTAGTTTATAGGTAGATATCTCGACCGGAAGGGGAACTCGAGGCTTGAAAGTCCTAGACACGTAAAGGGGTATAGTTATTAGGTAACCTATATTATCTGACTTTAAAGATATGTGAAAAGCACATTCATCTGCTGTCATGATTTGGTTCAATAGCCACGAAAATCATTGGAATATCCAGATCCACCTCCTACTAGGCGAACCCCTATCTCAGTCTTCCAGCCATACCCCTGTTTTTATAGGGCTACTAGGTACCTAAGCATCAGCGCTAGAAATTGTTCAAGTTTAGGTGAATACGACGTAACTAACTAATCCTTGATACAATTTTCAAAGCTTTCCCAACCATGTTCGACTTTACCATCTTCCGATTATACAAATCGCATAATTGAGAATTGAAAGCTGTCTTTAGCTTGTGATTCGGTCCCGAGGATCCATTTCTATGTCTGCCTGTCTGTCTGTTGGTTGTTCGAGATATACCTTCTTAGTTGTATTATTGAAAGCTGCAGGAAAAAAAAGATCAAAGAGGCATCTTCCAGCGAGGAGGTTTCGCTGGCCGTGCAGCAGAACTCAATTCCTATAGGAGGTAAGTTATAAGTTATAGGTGCTAACCCGGGGTAAGGTGCCTGGGGAAACTTTAGCCGGGTATAACATCTTCATAAGTTCATACACTATTGCCTCCAGATGCTTCTATTTCTACCTACTCTTCTTTGATCTATTCAGCTACTACAGAAAATGACATGTCATAATCATATTCAATATTTAGGTAATAACCCATTTCCATTCTACCGTATATTTTCGGCATTATGGTCCTCTTGTTAGCTCCACTTATTTGTGCACCTTGCCCAATTTGGTTAGTTCAGTGCTGAGGCTCTGGTACTAGTGTTATCAAAATCCACGTGATCCTAATTTTACCTATCTTATTTCTATGTTTTTTCAATAAGGATAGGTTTAAAGTGTTATGCATTAATTAAGAAGCTTCAAATATTCATATATCTATCAAGAAATAACAGATAAACGTAAATATTGGAGAGCAGGTTTCACGTGCCGACACGTGACATTGCGTGCTAATATTGCTGGAATCGGATAAGAATCCCTCCGAAATGAGGTGTAGTTGAATAAACCTTGGGGTAAATCACCCTAATTAAGTAAAGCGCATTAATAAGTGGAGCTAACAAGAGGACCATAATGCCGAAAATATACGGTAGTTACCTACAGAGTTTTCATCACATGAAACCAACAACTCAACCCGGCTATAGTTGGCCGGTAGTAGCATGTATTGTATTGTACAATACCTATCCAGGTATTTATACTGGCATGCTGGGTAGAACTGCACCTTTCATGTCGTCAAAGCAAATATCATCCATGGCATCAAAACACCTAAGCCAAGGTATCATCCTCATCATCTCCATTGTAATTAGATAAATACCTAATTAATTACACACGATCCCCTTCACAATGACAACAATAACACCATCACCACCCAACGACCCAGACCCAGAGCGTGAGCCCTTCCTCCGCCCCTCATCTCCCACCCTTACACAAACCAGCAGCAGCAGCAGCAGCAGCAGCAGTGACGCAACAAGCCGCCACCACCATCCCCCCCCATCACCCACCCCCCTCCCCCTCATCGCTGCCTCCATGCTCTCCTTTACCGTCCTCGGAACCATGGTATCAACCCTCGGCGTCATGGTGCCCCAATTCGAGTCCCACTACGCCCTCTCCGACCTGCAGGTCTCCTCCGTGTTCCTCGTCTGGCCCGTAGGCTACGTCGGCGCGGCCTGGCTCAACGGCGTCGTGCACCTGCGGTTCGGGCAGCGGGGGATCGCGGCGCTCGGCCCCTTCTTCCACATCGTGTTCGCGGCGGCCGCGGCGCTGCACCCGCCCTTTCCCTTGCTGCTGGTCGCGCTGGCCGTGGGCTCGCTGGGGACCGGGATCCTGGACGGCTCGTTTTGCGCGTGGGCGGGCGGCGTGGAGAACGCGAATGTGGTGCAGGGGTTCCTCCACGGCTCGTACTCGGCTGGGGCGGCGCTGGGGCCGTTTCTGGCGGGCACGATGCTCGAGGCGTCGCATTTGGCTTGGTATACGTGGTACTACGTTCTGGTAAGGACCCATCCCCTCAAGAACCCCCCCCTTTCGGTCAGATCGCCGTCTCCTTGATCAAGGCTTAGGTACCCTCTAACCCGGAAAACATATGTCCAGTTAGGATTTTCCATCCTCGAGTCCATAGCCCTCCTCGTCGCCTTCCGGTCCGAGGACTCCTCGAAGTACCGCTCACAGCACAACCAAGAAGACCCTCATCCCGCAACACAGGCCGAGCCCCCCACCACCACCCCCACCACCACCAAAGCCATCTTCAAACACGCCGTAACCTACATCTGCGCCGCCTACTTCCTCGCCTGCATCGGCACCGAGAACTCCGTGTCGGGGTGGATCGTCGTCTTCATGACGCGCGTGAACCACGCATCCCCCTACCTCGCCTCCCTCTCCTCCTCGGGCTTCTGGATCGGCCAGGCCGCCGGCCGCCTGACCCTCGGCCTCGTGACCGAGAAGCTCGGCGTCCGCCTCGCCACCCTCGTCTACCTCTTCGCCGCCTTGGCCTTCGAGGCCCTCTTCGCCGCCCTCCGCCTGCCCGAGCTCTCCGCCGTCGCCATCACTCTGCTAGGCTTCTGCCTCGGCCCGCTTTTCCCTTCTGGCGTGTTTATGATGACGCGGTTGTTGCCGAGGGAGCTGCATGTCGGCGCTATCTCCTTCGTGGTCTTGATCGGTCAGGTTGGGGGGGCTCTGTTACCGTTTGGTCTGGGTGCGCTTGCTGAGACGCTTGGGATCCAAGTATTCCAAGTCGTCGTCTTCGTTCAGTTGGCTATAACGCTTATGATATGGCTCACTTTCCCAAGTTTGCCATCGGCGAAGGCCCCTTATACGGAGGTAAGAAGAGATAGTTATAGTCAATGATAAAACAAGTATTCTCTTCACCAAAGCCCCCCATAACCTCACGATGGGTTTTGGTATGTTGTAACCGCCATTCACGTAGCAAGAGCTAAGTCGGTATATACAAAATGCATAGTTGTAGAGTAAATTCTATATTGCTGCCATTACCATCTACGAAGCTGATGCACCTAATCTAGTACCTTTCTAGTATCTTTAAAGACAACTATTATAAATAAGCACCAAATCATAAGCCCATGATTCTTCCCCTTATTAAGACATATCAATGAGAACGAAGATCTTTGAGTCGTCCGACCGGCCCTAGCAAATCACGATTTCTTTTTAAAATGTCAGTAAGCGCTACTATTAGCAACTAGATCAGCAAAGCTTTGGCGCCAGGTGACGGCGAGGGTGTGCTAGGTTAGGTAAGGGTTCAATGATAACTTTAAGTCAATGCTGCTTCCTCTTTAGCCACACGAAGTGCGTTTTTGACCTTGGCTGTTTGCCGTTGCCATTCTACGTATGCCTGGTTGCGATGTTTCGTCAGGCATTTAGAGTGGAAGTCATGTGTCTGTGTAGATAGCTCGCCGTATAACGATGTTAGTTCCAAAAGCTTATCTCTGGTTGTAGTCGACGCCTCGAGCCATTCTGCGGTTTGTCGCTTGGTCAATCTCTTTGATATTTTCATCCCGTTGCGTCTATACTCCTTAACGATAGCAAAAATACTTTCCTCTCGAGTTCTCAGATGTTCGAGAAGATTCTGTTCCCTCGTTAGATAATGCTAAGCTAAGCCAACAAGACGATGCACTCACCGTAGAAATATGGTGCAGGGCATCTATAACCCCGTCAGAAGCGACATTTACTGCATTTTCCCACCGTTCCTCGTTTCTAGGTTTCGACTCTAGATCGCTCGAGCGGCCTGATCTAATAGATTTGAGAGAGGCACCCCTATGGTTATCTCGGGGGTTTGCTGAATCTTGTGGTCCCAGCCATGTGGGTTTCCTTGTTGATCGACAGGTCTCTGTCTCATTCGTTGTTTCTTGGTCGACTTCCTCAAAATCGTCCGCTTGTTTTTGTTCTTTGGAAATCTTGGTTGCAAAGGCTATAGATTTAGGATGAAGTTGGGGAAGCACATATTCCTTTTCGTTCCCCCCTACAAAAGTCGCAGTCTTGCTTAGGGTTATTCCTACGTGAGGTTTTGAATTCAGCTTGTGTCGACATTCCACTGTGTCCTGTTGTGACTGATATTCTGGACTATGAACCTGATACCGAATATGGGTTGGCTGTGGTGGAGCATGTCCTTTGGGGGGTAAGGTCTCGAAGTCTGAAGTAACCTGCATAGGCTCAGGAATGTCATTGTTGAGAGACATCCAAATATTATTTGGCACACTATATCGGGGTTGATCGTGAAAGGATTGGTGGACGCCATCTGGAGGGTTATTTTCACGCTTTTCAGCATTACCTGCGACTACAAGCGAGGGATTAGAAGGACTTCCCAAGTCACTAGTCACTAAGCGCCGATTGATTCGTGCTGCAGTCCTATCAGGCAGTTTATAGCTGTTCGCTTTGATAGAAAGGAATGTCGGGGCATGTTGAGACTCGCCAACATATACGTGCCTACTTGCCGAGTCTTCTTTTACGTTCCTCGTTTGAGATTCCCGGCCAGAGCTAGAATGGTAAGCTGGCAGTGATGAAGTGGCTTTCCCCATTGGCTCGGAATTTTCCTTGCTGTCGATTTCCCCATGATTATCGCTTCCATTGGTGACTTTATCGACTGAGAGTATCGTGTGGTCGTCATGGCAGGTTTCTCTTACCACATTTTCTGATAAGGTTTCTGCCATGGCACTCTGTTGATTGAGACTTTCTTTGGGCTCATCTAGGACTTCAGGGACTTCAGGGGCCGCTGTGGGTAATGCGATTTCTTGATCCCTGTACTTAGCAGTGATTGCAGTAAGTGGCGCGGCATGTATCTGTTCCTCGGGGGGAGATCGAGCGCTCCTGGCTTCCGCAAGCCCTGGAGGTTCCATAATGATGGGCCCTTCCTGTTGTACTGGAGCTATCTCAAGATCTTTCTGGAGAGCCTGGTCTCGGGGAATGGTCTCCGCTGGTGCTTCTTCTGAGATGTGTGATCGAGCAGCTGTTTGCTTGCATGTTTCGTCTGTGCCTTCTTCAGCATGGTTTAACGAGCCAGGGTTATCTAATATATATATTGGACGTTGTCTGGAGGATTTGGCTTCTTCTTGCTCTAGCTGTCTCGATTCGACTTCCTTGGATCTTTTGTTGCGTTGTGGTTTTTGGCTCTTCGATGAGGCAAAATATTTACTTTCATCAAGATCTTGAGGTGAAGCCCTTCCATTTTTGTATGCTGTTGCCTTTGCTGCATTCCTCGTCTTCGTTCTGGGCTGTATTGACTGCAATGGCCTCCGCTTCTTCTTTGAGTTGGGGCTTATTACCATGTCTGGCGTGCCTAGAGAGTTTTGGTCTTCATTAGCTTTAGCATTTGGCTGTGAATTTTGCTTGCGCTCTCGAGGCGATTCCGGTATATACCAAGGATCATCGTCGTTCCCATCATCATCGTTAGACATCTCAATCGGCGACACATGATGATCAGGAACCCGTCGATTAGAGGATCTCTTGTTGTCTTCGTTTGTATTAGCTTTCTGCTGAGACTTGACACGATTACTAGTACTCTTTGATGCCTGTATTGATGAGACATCATCCTTCACTTCGTTATAAAAAGACTTTTTGGGGACTCTTGGGGCTAACTGCTTTGGCCTTGCCAGGTTTTCGGTAGGAAGTGTTTGAGAGTCCGGAACAGTCTTATCCGTTTGCTCAATGTTTCCCTCTTTGACGACTTGGGTACGTCGCGTTATGCGACGGTGGTTAGTTATTGTTGAGTTAGCCGAATCCTTGGTAGCAGAGTTCGGCGGACTTGTAACACTAGTCACTCGATTGGTACCTTTTGAGATTGGCTTAGATATTGCCTGCCCCTTCTTCGAACGACTTTTCGTGGTTAGTGCTGGTTTTGATACCTTGGAGATCGACAAAGGTCTCTGTGTGCCATTCTTGATCACAGCTCGTGGTTTAGTGGTAGCTTCGACACGATCTTTCTTTTTCGGAGCTCCCCTCTTTCCTCTCCGTTGAGGTTTCCTTTCCACATAGGAACTATCTGATTCTTGCCCATCATTTTCAGCCGTTTCAAAGTCCTCATCGTCTAGGTCCCGCTTGGAGACCGCATCCTCCTCCTCGTCGAGGTTACCATTGTTAATTAAGTCCTGGACCTGCATGTTTTCCAATTCAAGCCTCCGTAATACAATAGAGTCATCAACGTCCGAAGAGGAAACTATACGCGGAGAACTTGGCATGAGCATATCTTCAGCCCTGGGAAGATTGCTATCGCGGGGAATAGGCTCCGTTTCCGCTTGCGCAGCATATGAAAAGGGACTATCTTCCATTTGACGTGCCGGCAAACCCCTTGATTCTTCTACCTGCTCACTTTGCACGGTTGGTGATGACGAACGCTCATCTGGATTTGAGCTCGATGTATTGATGGGGTCGTCGAGAAGCTCTGAAGGAGGATTGCTCTGTGTCATTTCCCACTGATCGTGAGATCTACGTCGCCATTGGCAAGACATATTATGAAGCTAGTTCAATATCATCATAGTCAGTACGCTCTTTGTAAATACACAGATATACTACTGGAATAATTGATAACTCCAAAGGGCGTAGAACACAATTCTGAAAACTTGCCTAAATATTGCTGATAGAAAAGGGGGGGAGGTCAAAGAAAAACTTACGAATGAACAACACAAACATGTGATCCTATAGAATAGCTATAATATTTCGGACGTACAGTGACTATGTTCCTTTCTAGTGTCCCCCGTAACGTTCTCAGTTGGCTTGAAATATCCGTAAGGCTTTGGAACCGTGTAGAGAAAATGAGATTGTGCTCTCGAGATGGTAAGACCCTCGAGGATCTCAAGTGAGAGCACAAAAGTCGCACAGGGAGTTACTTAAATTGCGGAAGAAATCGTGCTCATATATTAGGATTGATTATAGACAGACACATATCGAATGGGGTATTGATAGGGTAGTTGGATTGAATATATACCGGTAGTTATCAATGCTCAAAGATGCGTCTGCCAGTGAAACATGAAGCGTGCGAAAAAGATGAAAAAATGAAAATGAAAATTTAGGAAATAAAGATGTGCCTACTGTGACATCCGAACTCCTTGGGAAAGAAGGTGCGGTTTGATCTTTGTGGAAAACGACCTCGTAACTTCTCTCCTGAACTTGTATATCTGACTAGCACCTACCTGATATCCAAGACCGCTCTCAACCGGCAGCACTACCACCATGGTGTAAAGACCACCACATACGTGTTGGATACATGTATCTCATATGTTCAATCCGCATAGATGCTGTCCATGATGATAATGGATGCGTGCCCAGCAGGTATCGTGGAATATCCACTCATGCCCATGAACATACAGACATATCACGTGTGGTTCGGGGTCCTTCAATGGGTGTGCTTAGGTTCGTCATCGAAATCTAGAGGTAGGCCGTATATATATGCCACATTGCCCTAGGGCGACTGAGCAATGTACATCATAGTAAGTACTGAGGCTACCATCAGAAATAGTAGAGTTAAAATGTGTCATCACTTGTGTTCATTATTACGTGGGAAGCCGGCAGCGTGCCGGTCGGTCTCTGAGGCCGCAGCTGACTTAATTCAAGTCATGCTAGAAAGACGAAACTACTCGCCAGTATTCAGTAGATACAAGTCCATGAATCGTTTTTGTCCCAGATCCGCCTGAATCAATGCATCCAGCCAACGCCGTGTAATTGTTCCATACCGTCCAATATCTCAGAGAATTTATCGGACGATGCCGTCGAAGCGCTGCTTGAACCACTTCACGGTCTCATCACGGTTGATGCGGTGGCCAGCGCCAATCTTGCTCTTGCATCGTCGTCGTCGGGTGACGCGCTCACCAGGGCGGGTCATGCAGCAGTAGAAGTCCATGCCGTAGATACCGATGGCGGGGTCGTACTTGATACCAAGATCGATGTGTTCGTTGATACCGAAACCGAAGTTGCCGGTTTCGCTGAAGTTGCGCTTGCGTAGCTCGTACTCCTTGACCTTGAGGCCACGCTCGAGGATTTCCTCGGCCTTGGGGCCACGGACAGTGACGTGAACGGCAATCTTTTCGTTACGTCGGATACCGAAGGTTCGGACAGTGTAGCGGGCCTTGCCTAAGAGTTGCAGTGCGGTTAGAAAAGAATTGTATTGTTGAGGGCATAGCTAATATCCATTGGACTTACTGTAGACAGGAGTCTGACCGCTCAGCTGCTCCAAGACCTTCGCGGCACGAGTCAATCTGTCACCAGATTCACCAACCGAGATGTTGAGGACGAGCTTTTGGATGCGAAGCTCTCGCATGGGGTTCTGTGCCTTTTCCGACTATTGCGAAAAATATTAGCAGCGTATTTAATTGAGACATTGAATGTAAAACGTACCATGATAACTGATAGTGGTTAGTAGTGACTGCGATCGTGGACTTGAACGGTGTTGTCGCTTGGCTCAGATTTCGCGATTTCGCAAAGTTTGGAGTTGGTAATAGGAATAAAAAATCACCTTCAAGATTTCTCTGTGTAAAAGGGTTTCTTGCCCTACTGCAAAGACTAGGGTCTGGACAGTGTGGATAGGTGTGGCTAGTGCTAAGCGTGGCTGATCTTCAATAAACTTTGGTGGGGTACTTGAACCGTGTGTGGAACGTTCAAGTCGAAGCTTTTTTAAAGCCAAGTACCGAAGTACTTCCACACCTTACCTATTATGGATTAGACCTTCTTCAGTTCAGCCTTGACCATGTCGGCCTCGTCCAATTTTCGTCGAATGAAGCTCTGTTATCTTCCATATCAATACCTCAAACTTTAAGCTCCCACGCAACCTGCAACCTACGCGACGTGACGAAAAACACATTACAGTGATCTCAACGTGCAACACACAATCGGACATCTTTATCCTTACTTGATAAGCTCCATTGGAGCATTTCATCGCGAAGATGTCGAACAAACAGGGAAAGATGGTATGTCGCTCTCCTTCACCGATTCATAGCTTCCACGTTGACATCGCAGGCTGACTAAATGGTGTACTTCTAGGCTGGCTACGTATGTACTCCCTCTGTCGCATTAACATCTGCGACATAATCGTAATAGACAATCCCGTACGCCCACTAACTCTTCTAGATCAACTACCGAATGAGGGTCACGTTGATGGACGGCCGCCAGATGACTGGACAGATGCTCGCGTTTGACAAGGTACGTTATATGTACTCTATGTGCCCTTGGCCTTGGCCTTGAATGTCATTAGCTAATTACTTTATAGCACATGAACCTCGTCCTAGCCGACACCGAAGAGTTCCGACGCGTTAAGCGAAAGCAAAACAAGCCCACGGCTCCCGGCGCATCTAGCTCGGCTGCTCAGACCATTGAGACGGAAGAGAAGCGTACTTTGGGTCTGACAATCCTACGCGGTGCTCACATTGTGTCCCTATCAGTCGAATCTGCACCACCGGCCGATCCTAGCACGCGACTTGGAAAGAGCACCCCGGGCGGCCTAGCTACAGGTCTAACATCCGGTCCGGGTGTTTCTCGTCCTGCTGGTCGTGGTGCTGCTCCCACGTCTCTTGCCGTAAGCGTTTACACTTGATTCTGAATAGTATCATTGCTATTATTTTACTAACACTCACCAGGGTCCAGCTGCTGGTGTTGGAGGTGGTGTTCCTCCTCCGTTCCCTCAATTCCCTGGGGCGCCCGGGTTTCCTGGTAGAGGCGGCCGTAAGTAGTTCCCACACCCTTGACTATCAAGTGAAAATAACATTGAAATGCTAACATGTAGTAGCCCCCGCTCCCGGCTTTCCTCCTGGTGGATTCCCTCCAGGCTTTCCCCAGAACGCACCCGGACAGTTCCCACCTCCGGGCTTTAACCCTGCCGGTGGTCCTCCCCCAGGATTCAACCCCCCTCCACGAAGATAGTGAACTTGGACGTGTGGGAATGTTAATACTCGAGAAGAAGATGAGGAGAAAAGCCCTACAGAAGAACGATAGGGGATACCAATGGCGTTTAGGGTGGTTGCTGAAAAATCTATGGATAGCACCAATGAACTATTTGTGAACTTCGCATTCTGTACTCTACGATAGACCAGGAGGGGTTGCAAAATACATACAACACCACATTGCGTCTCAAGGACATCAAAGGCTATTATATTCTGGCTTCTCATGAATCAAATTGACTAAATGAATTCAAGTTGCCCGTACACTTCAAATGTTGTATGCCTAAACGTACATAAATATAAATGTACTGTACCTAGTTACCTAAGCACATGCAGCTAGGAACATTCAAGTTATTCAAACTTCAAAGTACTAAAAGTAGTACATACACACCTGCCAGGTACAACTTTCAATGTCATAGATAGGAATGATAATAAAGTGGGACCAAGTGAGATGCAAGCTGAAGATTGGTTGGTCCCTTGGAACCCTTGGAAGTTTACAAGTGCCCAGCTGATGCTTAACCAACAAAATTCCAAAAATTGGCCCGCCAAAAAAAGCAATTGCCCCATTAGAAAATTTCCCATGAGTTCCGAGTCGGACTCCCGTCACTTTCTTTCACCGGCGCGCCAATTCACCAACGAAATAAACGTCAACGCCAACGACAAAACCAACCGCTATTGACTTTTTGTCAACTTTTCCACTTCCTCTTGAATTGATATTGATTATTCCAGTGACAACTCAAGATGGCCGCCTTCTTCAAAGCAGCCAATGCTAAGATTCGATCGAATCCCACTCTGAGCTACTTCTGTTCAACCCGTACGTGAATACCTAAGTGCCCCTCCAGGTGCGCGGACTTTATCCTCGTAATGTCCGATATCATCCTCATCCTTGACAATATTTCGATTTGTTGTCTCTTTTCTGTTCAATTATAGCACAACTTGCTTCTAGTAGTCTATGATGCTGTGCCACTTGAAGATGGTCAAGCTGGCTCTATGAGAGAGGGGCCATTGTCCGCCCAATGTGTCGTCGCTATTATGTATTATTCAGCTGCTGACCTTGCTGATATATATAGACTTTTGGGGTCCCGCATCGAACTTTGGTATCCCGGTTGCCGCTGTCATGGATGCAAGAAAGTCGCCTGAGCTGTATGTTACCAATCTACCCATCCTACGCCGCTTGCTATGATAGAAAAAATATCGCACACTATATCGCTCTGCAAGGCGACAGAGCAGCATCTTTCTATGCCCCGTCCGTTCTAAGCAGGATCGTAAGCTGACCAGTCTCTCACTACAGGATTTCCGGCCAAATGACTTTCGCTCTCTGCATCTACTCAGCAACCTTCATGCGATATGCCCTCGCCGTGACCCCAGCGAACTATCTCCTCTTCGCCTGCCACTTTATCAACGAAGGTTCGCAGTTGTCACAAGGTTACCGCTATCTGAACTGGTACTACTGGGGAGGCAAAGAGAAGGCCGGCGTTCAAGGCGCCATCGAGGGGGCGAAGGCGAAGGCAGCTGAAGTCAGTGATAAGGTCAAAGAAGTCGCCACTAAATAAAACCACATCATGGTCTCGAGGTACTCATAAGGGCATCTCGACTATCTCTTTGTCTTGTGAACACTATCGTCGTCGAAATGATAAATTCAACTAGAGGATTTGCACAATTGCGTATAGAGTGTCCCGGACTCTTCTACAGAAGGATCGGGAAGGACGGTTCGGCTGGTGGGAACCATGCCTAGGAAGGAAGTGCAATGGCCATGTAATTCTATTGCATCGAAAGGCTCGCAAAATCATGTCTATGATAAACCCCTGAATCAAAAACCTGTTAATTTCAATCATGTTAGCTTGTCAGTGTCATGTCGAATTTTCAAAACTCCAAAGGAAACGGGGCTGGCTTCAGGGTGGTTTGCAGATATTCGAAAGAATGGTGTTGACGGATCATAGTCATCGGGGTGGATACATTCGTTTCATAATGCGCAAAGGGAACAAGTGTCTAAGTAGGTAGTGAACAAGAGTAAAACGAAGGTCAAGCAAGCCAAGGCATTGAGATCGTCGCATTAGCCATTATCAGGTCCAGTAGGAACTATCTATATTTATCTGTTTCTCGGGATGTTTCTGCGTAGGGTGTGAAGCACATACATCCGATGAGAATGTACTCATTGTCTCCAACACGTGAAGGGCTCGATTGGTGCTCACTGTTCAGAGCTCATTTCCAGTTTTGGAAAGTATAGCAATATTATATACCTCCTTTCGGGGCAATGTAGCATTGCCGACATGTGCGTTAAGGGGCAACACATTTAGGAGCTTAAATGTTTCGCTACCTGTCTACATACAGACAAGCAAGCAAAGCAATTCGAGGAATTATAGCCTACATCCAGACCCTCTAGGGTTCATGCTATGCACAGGTAGTAGCAATGTCTTCGACGTAACGGAAACCCCCACGCTTAAAACAAACAGGCACCTAGCCTAGTCCATGGCAGTTGGTCACATGCGCTTGCTGACGACGTTGTTTCGTTTCGTTGATCATATCATAGATTCGGAGGAGGGTCTTATGTACTACACAAACCCACTCCGGCTGACTTCTTCCCTGCCTTCGTTCGAGCTCAAGGTTTCGACGATGCCCTAGCCCTCAACACCATCTTTATCAAAAACAAGCCGTGCGCTAAGACTTGCTACAGTTAGGAAAAACTTCCTTTCTGACTGACGCGAGTCAGAGTAGAATTGCATCCCGTTGTACCGGTTGTACTTGCCTGTTGAGATACATACCTGCCTACATGATATGTAATGTTCTAATGTTGGCAAAGGTGACGAGAAGCGAGGGATATTACAGAGGACGAGGATGGTCTACAGTCCAATCGATGGGCGTGTGGGGTTGTCGGATGGAACGTTAGACCAACCACAACTCTTCACTCGACCACATTGTCTACCCGGTAGGTACCTACTAGATATATTACGCGGCCAAGGCTACATATGTACCTGAGAAGGTGTATTACATATGTACTATACATGAATAGGTACTATCAAAGGGCAAAACATAGAGACCATAGACTTCACTCAGCCTCATCGATATCAGACAAGCTAGCTTAGGAAGGTTTTACGTGGAGGTATCACGAGCTCTTAGTGTTTCGCCCGAGAAAACGAAACGTCAGGCTTGGTAGGAAAGCTTGCGGATAGGAGAGATGATGTCGCCGAGGCGGCCAGATGCATGAGATCCGTTGCTTGGCAGCTAGGCACGACAAGAAGGAAAAAGAAGAAGGATAATAGTGTAGAGAAGAAAAAAAAAAGCCTCTTAGGATCGACGGTCATAGTTGTGACTGTACTAGTCTCGCCAAGCGACTGGCGAGTAATTAATAGCGCAAATCTAGATAAGCTGTCAGATGGAGGCGCTCGTTTAGTATCGCACCCGCAGTGTTGGCGCGCACTATGATGCCACTAAGACATAGACAAGATGCAAAAAGGGCTACCTATACCTTGTGCATAAGATAGTAATGTTGATTATATTACACTTAAGCTCAAGGGTGTGAGCCAAGGCGTCGGATATATACAAGAAAATAGTGTGGGTAAGATCCATCTACTGCTAGTAGTCTGCACTATTGTTTCGTACTATATAAAAAGTAGAGCCTCAGCCATCTCGAAACAAAGCAAGATTCGAAAATAACGTAGAGCCAAGATATATCAGGTCTCCAGTCTCTTCACGAGTGATGCTTGCAAAACATATCATACGGTCCTTCACCTTCTTCACCGCCATCTTCCCCGTTCCCCGGAGTATCTATCTCAGATGCCTCGAGCTTGGCTGTTCCAGCCAGCCAGGTATGGATGTATGTATGTAAGTACAATGCAATACATATACGATGGGTGTAGACGATGGATGGTGGGGCACACATTGATACCTACATGTATGAGATGCACGTTGCATTATTTATTATTTTCACTCCTGTCAGAACCATATGTGCTCGCCTCAACACGTTATAGCATCCCGGTACTATACCTGGGATGATGTAATTGTGCGATTTTCGGGGTCAGCAGACTACCCGAACAGGTAAGTTGTCCCTCATCTTTTTAGAGAGATGCCAGAGGCCAGAAGCAAGCATCTCTCAATGCTACTGTATACTTGACCTTGTCTACATAACCCCTTTTAACAAAATACCAACAGGTAACTATACTACACGAGCATGTAGTATAACAAGTAGATTCATCCTACATACATAGTTAGTATCTACCGGTGTGAATTCATACATGTATTCAAGAAAGTACCATAACCGAGGTAGGTAGAGACAGAGATCTGGAGTATAAAATGTAGATCAAATAAAATAAGAATAAGAGAATAAACGCGGCAAGCAGCTTCAATAAGCGTACGAATTAGAAATTCGGTAATAAACAGCTACTACATGACAGTAGTTACATGTACTTACATAGTACGTAGTACCCAGGGTATTGTACATAGTATTGGTACTATGTAGGTAAGTTGGGAGACAACTGCTTTATCTGACTCTTCTGATTGGCTAATCTGATGATACACAACAGGGATATCTAGTTAAATAGGGTTCCCCAGTGTGTCGTAGCTGGGTTGAATGAACCGAGCCCCTTCAATGTTCCTTCTGCCCTTTTGCCCACTGCCCACCTTGCCCACCTCTACAGGCACTGGGGTCTACAGGGTATTGAGCCGCGGATGCAGAAGGCTCCAGTGACAGGGATATCCCAGGTGGATGTACGGTATTGTACAATACAATACAACTTACCAGCAATTAATAGCTCAACTGCTCAAGAGCTCGTGCTTGAGGTGTATTTTCTGCAAACTTGTCTCTCACCTCAACCCCGCCAAAAACCCCCGCCATGCGTCACCTCCTACATACCTCCCCCCCTTGTCATCTATATTCCTCCCCCCAAACACTTACTTTCTGGCTCTCCTACTACATACTATGTAGTAACAGTACATAGTATGTGATGCGCAATATCAATTGCACATGAGATACACACATACATCCATACACCCTAGCCTGAATCCAAGACTGAACGTAGTCCAGACTGGTCGCTTGAGGCAAAAACTCTGCCGCAACAAAGCGTACATATCCCATGTCACACACTACTCAATGCTCATACTCAACAATGAAGCTACATAGACATCGTACCTCATACTGTACATACAAACTTGAACTTAGAAGCTCCAGATGTCAGCCCTAGACAGACCCTAATTCGAAGCCTCAAGTTGTGCGAGTTTCCCCATCCGGTCGATTCGGACTGAGTTCGGCAAGCGGTATTGGTTGTTTTATCAAGTTTATTTTCCGCGGCTTAATACATATATAACCAAGGTAATAACAACGACAATGAACTAACCTAGCTATCTAGATTGCCAACCTCATAGTTACACCTTGTCGGCATCTCGTGACTTGGCAGGAGTGAGACAAGAAGCAAGAAGAGTTGATCACCCTTTAGTGAGGTACCCTAGGTAGGCAAAGGGGGGAAAGTGATGAGAAGAAGGAAAGAGTAATCCCCTCAACACCCATACCATACCATCCCATCCCCCTCCTGCTCTCTACACACATAGTATCATATTAGTATGTATGCAGAGGAGTGGTCTATCACCCATGCCTTCCATCTTTGTTTGTACTAGACTGTATCGAGGGTAGTGTAGCCATGGAGAATCGGCACTATACATACTACATGGTAGGTACATAATAGCTATATGTATGTACCTTCTGCATCGTCCTCTTGGCTTTGCAAAGTGGAAACAACCTTAAGAAGCTCTTGGTCTCCTCTTTCCAGACGACTCGCTACCTTTTCATAATTTCTACCCTCTCCAATTTTAGTGATTATTCGTGTGGCACCAACTGGTCGAGGCAAAGCCAAACTTATTTAGCTTGGTACTAGTCTGCGTCTGCTTGTCTCTTCCGAGGTTCTCTGCCTCTTAGCTATTAGACTCAACTTACTTACCTCCCTACCTCTACTTACCTACATACCTACCTACATAATAGGTAATCCACCAGCCTACCTACAACACCTGGAACCATATATATATCCCTCGTTGGCTTTCCGTGCCGTCATTGAAATTTGTGTAGCATTTCCTATCACATCCCACGCTCCTAAAGTACACATTGCCTAGAGATTATCCTACTACATACGTCAGCGCGGACAAAGGAGTGAGCATCGGATTCAAGAAGCAGCTCACTCCGGTTGAGGGACACCCCCACCAAACTAAGCTCGACTTCACAAGCCCAACAAACACCCCCTCGCTTCCTGCGCCATATCCAGGAGCTCCTCCGCAGTTCTCAATTGACTTGTGTGTTGAACCCGAACTGTAGTCGCCATCTACAGTACAGTCATCACAATGGCAACAGACATGGATTTCCAGGATATCCAGGACTTGGAGGCTGCTCGGTTCGCCGAGGCCGCGGCCGCTGACAGCGATGAGGAAGTTTTTGAGGAGGGCGCCGGGCCGAAGGAAGCCAAGACGGCGCACCATATTCGCGCGAACAGCTCCATTATGCATTTGAAGAAGCTGCTGGGTGAGTCACAATATGCACAATATGCCTCCTAAGACTATGTTGTAACAGGTTACTAACGATTCTTCATTTCTTTAATAGTTGCCAACAGAGGAGAAATCCGTAAGTACTATCTATCTCATCATGCTCTACTAAATGCATTTGTCCAGATCATTTCATTAACTTTTGACAGCAATTCGAGTACGATATTACCCTTTATGCAAACTATGGATTACTTGCGACTAATGATTATTGTTGTGGTATTAGATTTTCAGAACGGTATGTGAATGTTGACTCATACATAGAGGGGGAGCTCCCCCTTTTGGAGAAATCAAGCGGCTAACTTTGTTTACTAGGCTCATGAACTGTCGCTACACACCGTCGCAGTTTTTAGGTAAATAAAATACAATTACAATTATAAGATTATATATATTGAGTTTAATACTAATTCAAACAGTTATGAGGATCGTCTTAGCATGCATCGGCAGAGTACGTAGCAATATTCACATCACATCTACACCCCTCATGTCTATACACTATACATGCATGGATCTACAGAGGGGTTATCATATGCTAATTTATGTATAGAGGCCGATGAGGCCTACGTCATTGGAAAACGAGGCCAATATACCCCTGTCGGAGCCTACCTCGCAGGCGACGAGATCATTAAAATCGCCCTGGAACACGGCGTCCAGATGATTCACCCTGGTAAAACTTTTCGCATCGTAATCCAAGATTGACGAATATTTCTAATTCAAATTTATAGGTTATGGTTTCTTATCAGAAAATGCCGAGTTTGCCAGAAACGTAGAGAAAGCTGGTCTCATTGTAAGTGACTATTCTCAGTCGGAGTCCATTGCCCCGATTAAAAAAGAAGAAAAAAGAAAAAAGAAAAAAAAAAGAAACCTAGCTAAACATTCGGCTTCGTCCAGTTTGTTGGTCCCTCTCCCCAAGTGATCGACTCTCTTGGTGACAAAGTCTCGGCTCGAAGATTGGCCATTGCTGCGAATGTTCCCGTGGTACCTGGAACTGAAGGGGCAGTTGCTGCCTTTGAAGAAGTAAAGAAGTTCACTGACGAATATGGATTCCCCATTATTATCAAAGCCGCCTATGGTGGTGGTGGCCGAGGTATGAGAGTGGTGCGCGACCAGGCAAGTCTCAAAGAATCTTTTGAGCGAGCTACCTCCGAGGCCAAGACGGCCTTCGGAAATGGTACGGTATTTGTCGAGCGCTTCCTCGACAAGCCCAAGCACATCGAAGTCCAACTCCTAGGTGATAACCACGGTAATATCGTGCACCTATACGAGCGTGACTGCTCGGTCCAGCGGAGACACCAGAAGGTGGTTGAAATTGCACCCGCTAAGGATCTTCCCGCCGCAACCCGAGATGCCATTTTGGCCGACGCAGTCAAGCTAGCCAAGTCCGTGAACTACCGAAATGCTGGTACCGCAGAATTCTTGGTCGATCAGCAAAATCGCTACTATTTCATCGAAATCAACCCGCGTATTCAAGTTGAGCATACAATTACCGAAGAAATCACCGGTATTGATATCGTTGCTGCTCAAATTCAAATTGCCGCGGGTGCTTCTCTACAGCAGCTCGGCTTGACTCAAGACCGAATCTCTACGAGAGGTTTCGCGATCCAATGCCGAATTACTACTGAGGATCCCGCTAAACAGTTCCAACCTGATACTGGTAAGATTGAGGTCTATAGATCAGCTGGTGGCAATGGCGTGCGTCTCGACGGTGGCAACGGTTTCGCTGGCGCGGTTATCACGCCACACTACGACTCCATGTTGGTCAAGTGCACATGCCATGGCTCAACCTACGAGATAGCGCGCCGGAAGATTCTTCGATCCTTGATCGAATTCCGCATCCGTGGAGTGAAGACCAATATTCCCTTCCTGGCTTCGCTGCTTACCCACCCAACCTTCATTGATGGCAACTGCTGGACTACGTTCATCGATGATACTCCCCAGCTGTTCGATCTTATCGGCAGCCAGAACCGTGCCCAGAAATTGCTAGCTTACCTAGGCGACATTGCCGTCAACGGAAGCAGTATCAAGGGCCAAATTGGCGAGCCCAAGTTCAGGGGCGACATCATTCTCCCGGAACTTCTCAACGATGATGGTTCCAAGCTTAATGTTTCGCAGCCTTGCCAGAAGGGATGGAGACGAATCATTCTGGAGCAAGGCCCCAAGGCATTTGCCAAGGCTATTCGTCAATACAAGGGCTGTCTACTCATGGACACGACTTGGCGTGACGCTCACCAATCTCTGCTAGCCACTCGTGTACGGACGATCGACCTTTTAGGGATTGCAAAGGAGACGAGTCATGCCTTGCACAACTCGTACAGTTTGGAATGCTGGGGAGGTGCGACGTTTGATGTCGCTATGCGTTTCCTCTACGAGGATCCGTGGGACCGTCTTCGCAAGATGCGAAAGGCCATTCCCAACATTCCTTTCCAGATGCTGCTGCGAGGAGCGAATGGTGTAGCTTATGCTTCACTCCCCGACAACGCCATTGACCACTTTGTCGAGCAGGCGAAGAGGAATGGTGTTGACATTTTCCGAGTTTTCGATGCTCTAAATGACATTGATCAGCTCGAGGTCGGCATCAAAGCTGTGCAAAAGGCTGGTGGTGTGGCAGAAGGAACCGTGTGCTATTCCGGTGACATGTTGAACCCCAAGAAGAAGTACAACCTCGAGTATTACCTCAACTTGGTTGACAAGCTAGTGGCACTGGATATTGATGTCCTTGGTATCAAGGATATGGCCGGTGTGCTGAAGCCTCGTGCTGCTACTCTTCTCATCGGAGCCATCCGAAAGAAGTATCCTGATCTTCCTATCCACGTTCATACCCACGACTCTGCTGGTACTGGTGTTGCTTCCATGGTTGCCTGTGCCCAAGCTGGTGCCGACGCCGTCGACGCCGCCACGGACAGCTTGTCCGGAATGACATCGCAACCCAGTATCAATGCCATCATTGCATCACTTGAAGGCACTGATCTAGACCCCGGCTTGAATCCTGCCCACGTCCGTGCTCTCGACTCCTACTGGTCGCAACTCCGTCTCTTGTATTCTCCCTTTGAATCCCACCTCATCGGACCTGACCCCGAAGTTTACGAGCACGAAATCCCCGGTGGTCAACTCACCAACATGATGTTCCAGGCTTCTCAGCTAGGTCTCGGCTCGCAATGGGCTGAAACCAAGAAGGCATATGAACATGCAAATGATCTCCTAGGAGACATCGTCAAGGTTACGCCAACTTCCAAGGTCGTTGGTGACCTGGCACAATTCATGGTCTCCAACAAGCTTTCATCCCAAGATGTAGTTGACCGCGCCGGTGAGCTTGACTTCCCTGGCTCAGTCCTCGAATTCCTTGAAGGCATGATGGGTCAACCGTACGGTGGATTCCCCGAACCCCTGCGTTCCAGGGCCCTCCGTGGCCGCAGAAAGTTCGACAAGCGACCTGGTCTTTACCTAGACCCTGTTGACTTCAAGAAGACGCGCACTGAACTGGCGCAAAAATGGGGACAGGTTACCGAGCCTGACCTCGCCTCGTACCTCATGTATCCCAAGGTATTTGACGACTACAAGAAATTCGTCCAGAAGTTTGGCGACCTGTCCGTCCTACCGACAAAGTACTTCCTTTCTGCGCCCCGAATTGGCGAAGAATTCCACGTTGAGCTTGAGAAGGGCAAGGTTTTGATCCTGAAGTTACTTGCCGTCGGACCTCTGTCTGAGAACACTGGTCAGCGAGAAGTGTTCTACGAGATGAACGGTGAGGTCCGCCAAGTCACTGTAGAGGACAAGAAGGCCAGCGTCGAGAATGTCAGCCGCCCCAAGGCCGACCCTGGTGACTCGAGCCAGGTTGGTGCTCCCATGGCTGGTGTCTTGGTCGAATTGAGAGTCCATGAGGGTTCTGAAGTCAAGAAGGGAGACCCGCTAGCTGTGCTCAGCGCCATGAAAATGGTAAGTTAACTTAATGCTCATTACTCTTTACAGACATATATATACAGAGAATCTAGTACTAACTCTTATGATAGGAAATGGTTATCTCAGCTCCGCACAACGGCAAGGTCGCTGGTCTTCAAGTCAGGGAAGGCGATTCAGTCGACGGGTCAGACTTGGTTTGCAAGATTACTAAGGGCTAAACACACTGCTACTGTTCAGAACATAGCCTATCGTTTCGGGGGTTTTCAACAATGGAGCAACGGTATCGGTTACTCGAAGGGTTTTGTTGGGTGTGTGTTTTAGTTACCTAGGGATGGAATTAGAATGTTTGGTTCGGAGTGGACTGTTCCCGCCGTGCGTGCTCTTCAGTTTTATCCCATGAAGCAAAAGAAAAATACCTAGGTTTAAAACTTATTTTTTTAACGAGTCAAGTTCAAATTTGAATATTCCCTCTTTTATCTTAGATGCATGCTTGCATGATAGTTACCTATTCCCGTGCCCGGCCTTCTGTCTTACTCTACTGCTACTGCTACTGCTACTGCTACTACTGCTACAACTCCCCCCCAAAATCCACATCCTCCAACTCCACAACCGGCAACAAGGCCATGTGCAGCTTGCTGCTCCCGTACGGCACAAACCGCGCCACGAACGGCTCCCCCACCGCCTTCACGTCGAACGTCCCCGGGTCCGCCGCCGAGTCCAAGGCCACGGGCCACTCGATCTCCACGGCGGCGACCCGCAGCTCGACGGGCGGCGCGCCGAGCTCCCAGATGGGGTTCGGGAGCAGCGGGTCGGCGTCGGCGTCGAGGTCGAGGTCGAGGATGGGGTCGGTGTGTTCTTCAAACACGGAGGACGAGGATGATGATGAAGAGGAAGAGGAAGAGCGCCGCACCACCACCTTCACCTGCCGCGGATCAATCGCCACGTTCCACCGCGACCCGGCCTTGGGAGTCAGTCGGTGGTCCCGCGTGTGCCCGTGCGGGTCGGTGGTGTTGGGGGGCAGCAGGGCGCCGGTGCGGTAGGTGCGCGGGGCTAGGGCCACGGTGTCGTGCTCGACGGCGAGGGCGTAGAGGAGGGGGCCGTGGTAGAGGGCCGCGGTGTGGTTTGCGTGGTAGGTTGTTCGCGGGGTGGTGGCGAGGCGGAGGGTTAGGCTGGTTGTGGGGTTGGTGATGGGGATTTTTTGGAGGGAGGTGGAGGGGGCGGGGGAGAGGGGGGTTGGTGATGAGGAAGAGGAAGAAGGGGAAGCGATGGTGAAGGTGCTGAGCTCCGGGTCAGCCCAGCCGGGGATCCGGACGTAGAAGTCGAAGGCGGAGTCGGCGGTTATCGCGTACGTTATCGTGTGGCCGAAGGGGTACGTGGTGTTGGCCGTGACGCGGACGGCGTTGGGTTTTCCGCCGTCGGGCCCGACGAGGGTTGTGGCGGCGGTGCCCGGGATCAGGAAAACGTGCGCTAGGCCGTTGCCGTCGGCGGTGGTGGCGAAGGAGTTGGCGAGGAATTTGGGGTAGGCTTGTGGGTGGTTTACTGTGCAGCAGGGCTGTTTTGGGAGGGGGGTGAGGGGTGGTTAGAAGGGAAGTGATAGGGGGTAAATAAAGGGGGATGTAGAAAAGGGGAAAGGGATTCTTACATAATTCGGTTCAAGGCCAAATACGTTAGAGTACGAGTCAACGTCCTGCCAAAGCTCGCTGGTGCTTAGATTGCGAGACCACGGCTATAGATGGTTTAGTAAATGAGGTAGGTGAATAGTTGGTAGAGATTCGTATACTATATAGGTATATAAGGGGAGAAAGGGTATTAACTGAGATAGTCTGTATATAAACACATACCTGATTTTCCTGCTGAACATACTGATGCGACCACCAATCAGCCGACACAGAGACCGGGAACGCATTGAACGCCGTCTGCTCGGCCCAGTCGGCAATGTCGTTGTCGCCGAGGTACTGGTATATGTACGCGGCCGAGAACATGACCTCGGCGGCGATGCAGAGCTCGGCGCCCCTGGACGGGTTCAGGTCGCTGACGTACTCGTCTCCGATGATGGTGCCGGCGAGAGAGCGGTGGTAGGCCGCCAGCAGGTCGACGGCATCTCGGGTCTGTTGCTTGAGCGCCTCGTCTCCCGTGTTGCGGTATAGGGATAAGGGGTAGCGTAGGCCTTTCAGGTGTTAGCTGACGAATTTCCCCCTTTCTCTTTTTTCGCCTGTTTTTTACCTAGAATGAAAACTCACCTTGTGCCATATTGACCCCGTGGAGAAAGACCCAGCTCAGGTTGAAGTTATTAGATTCGTACAGATCCTTCGGGTAGGCTTCCTCGGTCCAGAAAGTCCTCCAGTCTGCTCCCCACTCGACACCGCCGTCGATCATGAGATCCATAACCTCCCACAGAATCTGGGAGTTGTTTCGGGGATACCGCTCCAAGAGCCACTGCATGGGGATATGCATCTCATGCGTGCGACCGACGCCAAACCCCGCCGTGTCGAAGACGTCGTCCCCGTGCACGATGAGACCGGTGTAGTTGTCCTTGAGCACTGCGACGCGTAAGTAACTCAGTGAAGAACAACAATCCAAAAAAAAAAAAAAAAAAAGAAAAAGGAAAAACCTACTACTATGCGCAAGCACCGCATACCGATGCATCGCATCCACGATCCTCTCCGTCTGCGTCGGGTCCGCCTCCGCGTACTGGACCAGGCCCAGCAGCACCAGACACCGCGCCCAGAGCCCCCGCGTCTGCCGCGTGGTCTCGAACCCGATCCACCCGTCCTCCTGCTGGTGGTCGAGGATGTAGTCCAGGTAGTACTTGACCTGGCCGCGGATCCGCTCGTCGCCGAGCCCGAAGGCTAGCGGCACGAGCCCGTTGAACCAGTAGGGTGAGGCTTCGCTGTATGGGATGATGGGTTAGTCAGTTATGAAAAGAAATAAAAAAGAAATATCTCCTTGCCCCTTTATAGGTAAGGGGTGTCTTTCTTTCTGATTTTTTGCTTATGGTCACATAATCCCCACGAGTAGGTGCCCCCTCATTTTTCAAGGAGTACAAGCATAGGTACACACAAATCAAAACCAACACTCTTAGCAAAAACACGACATAGGTAATAAACACATACTCCAGGTGAGAATACTCCGTCTCCCCCCCGATCCACCGGGAGTCGTGGACGAAGCGGTAGAAGTCAAACATGTTCCCCGACAAGCCCGCGGCCTCGAGCTCGAGCTGGTCCTTGAACCACCCGAGCGGCTTCACCGAGCCTAGGTCTAGGGGGCGGTATACGGGTTGCACGACTGTTAGATCGGTTAGATGCCTCTAGGTAGATAGGCCAGACCCTTTCTTTCTTTCTTTCTTTCTTAAATTTTGAGACAGATGGCCTTCCGCCTTAGCGATGAGTGCAAGGGGACAGAAGAGACGAGAAGAGAAGGAGAGGTGGTAAACACACGATCATATCCATCACGAACCGCTGACCTAGGCGGCGGCACCACTCTTGCCTGCACTCCATCTCCTCCTCCTCCTCCTCCTCCTCCCAGCGCCGCGAGCGCTGCTATGAAAAGCCGCGGAAGTATCATGTCAATAACGATTTAATGATCAACAGATACCTAGAAACTAGCACAAACGTAGACGCAGACTCGGGAGTAAAAAGAAGGGAGAAATGAGAACAAGTAGATAGGTAAAGTAGCGTAGGTATGAATATAGGTTCCGACAATAAACAAAACAAGTCCCCCCGTAGCACAATCCAATGCAATCTTCACACCTCCGACGGACACAAGCTTTCTTAAATGCATCCCATCCCCCTCTATCCTACCTACCTGCCTACCTAGCATACCATCGCACACACATATCTAGTCAACGGGAAGACGGTGCGGCCGCGGTGGATAAATAAAGCACATGCGAGCCTATCAGAACGGGGGTAATGAACCCCCCTCTCTCCTTTCCCCAAAAATTCAAAGTACATATCACCCGGCAAGGTTACAGTAGATAGCCCTGACTGGCAAGCATGTGGCCCACGATACATCCATGGTTAATATAGATACGAGGAGACAGGGCCTGATAAGCTCACCTTCAATGCTACTGGGGAGGAGAACGTAGATGGCCAGACCAGTACATATAGCGGATGGAAGCAGAGTGGTATGGAATCCTACTTTCCTGCCGTAATTGTGCTATGGACTCATCTTACTTATCAGCACCTAGGCGTAACTTATGATCATAATAGGGCTACGTTCACTTAGTGAAATGTCGGACAGTGGAAAAAAGGGTCTTTTTGTACTATCGTAAAAATACAGCATCGTGTAATCCCATCGTGACTAGATCCTTGACAAGCTTGATGCTGCCCAAGGATCAGTCTCTACATTGCGTGTTGGTGCAAACAACTTCTCTACTCTGTCTAAAGACTAAAGAACTCTTCCCCCGCCCTGGATCTGACCATGGACCGGACCTTGGTTAAGATCCCTCGGTTGAAGTTACATTATTCGCAAAATCCACACAACTTTTCCTGATGACCCCCTCAATTAAACTCCACCACATTCGTTCCGATGAAGCCATAGCGACATTGATTTGAGATCCTTCTGATGAGGTACTCAGAATTAAAGTTAGGACATTACATCCATCCTTGCCGATGGAGCATATTTTGGTCTTCCGGCATAGAGCCTGAAAATGGGAACCGACTAGAAGCCAAAGCCGGTTGCCTGCGGTGTGAATCCGTTGGTTTGCATGAACGGAGCAGGAGACATGCTTCCACCCGTGGCAGCAGGTCCTGCAGTAATCATGAGGCGGTTTCCGCCAAGGATAGGCGTCTCGTCCTCATGTTTCTCCTGAGCCGACTCTTTGGCTTTTCGTGCTTCGTTATCAGCCTTGAGCGCTGCCAAATCCTTGGTTTGTTGACATAGAAGATTGATCATGTATGGCATCGTGAAGTCATTAAGACCGTTACGCCATGACAACTCCAGGATAATGTCAGGACGAATGAGATCATAGCATGAGTAGAGCATGCCGACATAGCACTCGCGGCTGCCAATATCCACAAACTAGGGTCGTAATTAGCATCTATGAACCATTCATGGGTGGGCATGTGGGGAGGACTTACATAGCGGAGGAGTTCCTCAACAACGTTGGACTTGCCAGAGATGGCGGCAGTCTCGATAGCATCCTTGTACAACTTGTCTTGCTTGGATAATGCGATAGACTTCTCCCATCTCTTAGTCTTGCGGTAGATGTTAGCGGCGATCTGTCTGAAGAAGACAAGGTCGTGTTTCTCCAAGCGGGCGGCCAGTTCAACCGCGTCATAGTTGTCATAGTTCTCAGCTGAATCTCGAAGAGTCTTGTAATCTTCCTCCTCAATTAGAAGATCGTTGATAGCATCGTTCACTGTTCGCTTGTTCTGGGTCTGAACATTAAGCAAGAACGGCTTGATTAACGGTAGGTTGTCCGACTTTTGGAACATTCGAACAACCCGGTTAACATCAATACGTGGGGTGAGAACCTGGAGAAGATCGGTTAGGAGCGAGGGGTGTTGCTCTAGGTAGAAATTAATGGCGCGATAGTAGATCTCCAAGTTGGCGACCTTGACCACAATGTCCTTGAACTGCTGGTGTTCCCACGAGTTTTGCGCACGTTCCATTACCGCAAGTGCAGCATTGTCAAACTCATCATAGTGGTAATAACAGAAGACCAACTCGGGCCACAAGTTAGCTTCCTCGCAGGCGCGGATCAGCTTAGGCATGTTCATTCTGCTCCAGAACAACTTGATGTGCTCCATTAGTCTCTCGGGGTGGTATTTCGAAAGTGCAATACCAAGCTCGGTGAACATGCCCATATGAGCACGCTCTAGGCCGAGACCCTGCTCAAGGAGATCTATGAGCTCGTCGAAGTAGCCTTCGTATTCGTACTGCTTCACGAGAGCCGACAGCTGCTCGGCGTCGACGATCAAGTTGAGACCGCAAATCTTGGCGAGTCGGAATTCCTTCTTGGAGACACATGCTGCGTGGACCTGGTTCCAGACCTTAATGTTATTAGCTTTGCGCGCGCATTCAACAGCTGCCTGGTATTCTTCCAGGTGAACAAGAGTCGTGGCAAGCTTAGACCAGTTGGAGATGCTGGTATAGAATATCTTGGCAGCTTGATGGAATCCTTCCTCGGCTGCCTTGTCACCAGACTCTTCAATGTTGGCTACATTCGTACCGCGGAGGAAGTCCTCCAACTCTCCAAGCTGATCAAGTCGAGCATAGCAAAAGGCGAGAGCCGTGTCAATCGGAGGTTCTCGGAGAGTCTTGCGGGTCATGCGAAGATATTTGACTAATTCCTCGTCCTTTCCAGCGTGAGTTGCAACCTCAATGACCTCAACGTAGTTACGAGGGTCACCAGCCCGAATGTATGACTCAATGGCATCAGCTACCCGTAGGCCATCAAGCTGGGCCTTAGCAACTCGGCTCCAAACTTCTGGAATATCGACATCTTCGGCATATGCACTCGCTCGGTCGATGCTAACAATGTGCTCTACCAAGACTTCAACAGCCGCAGTCTTGTTGTCCACCTTCTTGTAAATCTCAAAGGCTTCTTCATGGAGACCAACATCGATACACAGCTGCGCGCATTCGTCGGGGTTGAAAGAGTCCAAGCGATGGATATAGTCCATAACTCTACCCTTATCGGCTCGGGCGGCGGTGAGAATAAGCAAGTTCTGTAGACTGGGGTTGTCATTGAATGGCGATGGCTCCAATACTATCTTCTCCAGGAGCTCGATGAGTTCACCGGGGAGATCCGATGCCAAGAAGGACGCAACAGCCTCGGAAACCTTTGCGGGGTCAGTGCATTCAGGGACAGCTGTCGCAACGACCTGGTCAATAACTGATCGGCGGTGAATGTTGTTCTCGCTGAGGACAAACATCCATAGTTCTCGATCCGAACGCTCTAGGACGTAGCGAGCTTGGGCACGGTACATCGAGTTCTCGTTTGTGATGTTGATTAGCTCCAAGTCGTTCTGGCCCTTCTGATATGCAATGAATGCCAAGTTCGGGTCTCGCTTTTCGCAATATTTACCGACGCTTAGAGTGTCGTATTGGTCATTCTCCTTCAAGAATTTCTCGGGGTTGTTATTGGAATCAATGTAGATCTTTGCGAGGGCGTTGTATACAGCTTGTTGCTGGTTGCCTGCGGCCAAAGTCGCCTCCAAAAATGGGAGCAATAGCTTTAGACGGTTACGGGTCTCTACCTCCTGAACCAATGCATCAATAGGAATTGAGCCGGGGTTAACAGTGCCGAGGAGGTTCTTGATCACGGTCTCATCACAGTCCACATCAAGAAGGCCACCAATAACTTCAGGGGTTCGAGAAGGGTTAACGCGCTGGACGTAGACTTCAATGGCATTGAAGCGTTGGTTTTGATACAGGTAGAGGATCAAATCGTGAACAAAGTTGTGTCGGTCACACACAATGATCAACGGAAGCATCTCGCTAAGCTTGGCTTCCTTGAGGAAGTTCTTCACCTTCTCCGGGTTGTAGAAGTTGCTGTCTCTGCAAATTCTTTCAACCTCAGCGAATTGCCCCATCTTGGTAGCTGCTTCAATGTACTTGTAGTGAACATCCGCCTCTTGAGACAAGTTAACAATGCTGCCCAAGTAGAAGAACAAGCCTTCATGGGTCTTGTATTTTTCGAAGAGGTCGATCAAGTTCGTGGGGCCAAGGAGTTCGGAATACTTAGTAGCGACCTGGACAACAGACTGCAGGTTCTGACGAATGTTGGATTTCATCATCGCATCGAGGCAATCCAGCGACTGTTCCACGGAAAGCTGACCAAAATAGTTGACAAGCCACTCCAGGCTAAAGTTAGGAGTGCCAGGGATGCCAACAATGACTCTCTTGATCGCGGCGGGGTCTTCATAGAGCTCCAATGCCTTTTGGTATAAGCCAGTCTGCTCACACAAGTTTCCAATGCGGGCTTTGTCGAAATGCGAGAACAGATTGTTACCCAATATTGCGTCCGCAACTTGCGGCGCATTCATCAAATTCATTTCGAGAAGTCTCGTTTGCAGGTGACCGTGTTCCGGCTTGTTCTCCTTCAACGCCTCAAGCAGGAATGCTGTGGCCTGCTGGACCATGCCTTGTGATTGGAAGACATCGACAACACGCTCGATATCGATCAAGGAACCACCCTGGTGATTTGCTAGGGAAGTTGCAAACTCTGCGCCACGCTCCGGGTTTGTACGGACGATGTGTGAAAGCAGACTAATCCAGTCGGCTTGGTAGCCGGCTTGATCACAGTATGGCAGTATCTTGTCAAACTGGCCAAGCTCGGCGAACGCTGCAACCACCTTCTGAGGAACATTGGCCTTGAGGTAAACGGCCAAGGCTAAGGTGACATCATGTGATCGAATCAAGTCACCGAGCTCCTCAGAAAAGTCGAGTTTACCTTCTTTCGCCCACTTCTCAAGTAAATGCTTGCGGTTTTGAGACAAGACAGGCAAAGCAAGCTCAAGAGTTTCAGTCTTGTTAAGGGGAGTAGTCTTATCGAGAAGCATGCCAAAGTACTGCAGAATGTAGGACATCTTGCCTTGGGGTGGGGGTAGGTTCTTGAACTTGTGGATGGTCTCCGTAGTTCGCAAGAAGCCTCTAGGCGAGTTAGCAGCCACCTTCGCGGCGCCCTCATAGTCACCCGAATTAAACAACTGGTCGAACTGGCGCACATAAAGTTGATCTGCGCCAGGAAGTCCAGCTCGTGAAGCCATCTTGATAGCAATCTCGGTATTTGCAGGGTTCTGAAGGAGGTAGTCGACCATGGTTGTTTCATCAACCGACACAAATAGTACCTGACCTTTCCTATTAATACCATAAAGACCGGTAGAATTCGAGTCGGCACAGGTTGTGAAAATTGTCTCGCTCGAGATGCGGTTCATGAAAAGAGTGGTGCCAGTTTCGAGATCATAAAGGTGGATGAAGCCATACTTGGTTACCATGTAGATAATTCCATATTTCTGAGACACTTGCATGGCAACCGGGAAATCGTTAGTGGCTTCCGGTGGGAAGAAAATGTCGACAGCTTTTTTCTGGAAAGGTCGGTTGCCTTCGGGATGGTCGATCTCGACGATGTGCAGCTTGGCACCTGTCGCAGTACGAACAGCAAAGGAGAAAACCTTGGTGTCTGCTGGCTCGCCCTCCAATCTCATGGTACCGAATGTAGCAGCATGACCTTCGATCGCTTGGCTGATACCTCTGTCCTTAGAATACAACTGCAGACTGCCGGCCACACGGCCAGCTTGCTGAGAAATGCCAACAACTGCCATCCATTTTCCATCGCTGTTAGTTCGATAGTTGATGATTTGACATCCCTAATGAGATTAATATTAGTTACCAAACTTTGAATAGCACAACGTTAATAGCAGTGGAAGGTAGATAGGAATCATACATTCAGATTGGCATTGCGCTTGAACACCTCGACAGGAGCAGCTTGAGAATTGTCATATATGTCCCAGTGGAAAACAGCAGTATCTGTGACCAGGCCCAGGGTTGATTCGCTGACCCACTTCCAGAAGACCACATCCTCGTTCATGGTCGCGGACTTAAGCTTTGCTTTCTTCTCCAAGTCGAAGATTTGCAATGTTCGCGACTGTGCTCGGAGGGCGATTATCTGCTTTGTCCAGTGCATGATGGCACTGTCGGCCTTGATGGGTCGTCGGGTCAAGTTGTTTCCTTGCTTGAGGTCGATGATGATAACTTCGGGTTGCGACGCATCGTTCTTCTTTTCACGTATGCAGATGAATGAATCGGATTCTAGGGTCTGGTGCCGGATATCAGTCAGCTATGCTATCAGAAAGATTAAAGTCAGGATGGGAAATGGCATACGCAGGAGTTAAAGCCAATGGAGCTTTGATCGACGCCGACGTTGGGGAGCGTCAGCATCTCCTGGAACTTGATAGGAAGCGGCGCCATGATTCCAGATCACATGGGTCGGCTAAGGGAAACAATCGTGAAGCGCAAACGCGATGTAGAATAGATCGATTGCTCGAAACCCGGAAAGGTATGTCCCAAGAATGATACACCTGGTTCAAGGCCAATATCGACAATGCCTAATAAACGCGATCGAGTGGCAAGTGAAGGTTACCAAGATGCGTTGTGTAAAGGGGCAAAAAAAAAAGAAGGTAGCAGATCAGAAGAAACCTCCAGGGATTGAATCGATTATGCAGGCGAAGGGAGTAAATAGAGGAAAAAAGCGCGTGGAAGTCGTCTTCGACGAGGTGGTTCAGATGAGTAGGTACGATGATGGTACTACTATGTAAGTACGGGGAAGTATTGTACAAAAAGGTGGATGAAGGGAGTAGTGAAAGTTGATTGATGATTTGTTGATTGTGAAATTCAAGGGTAAGAAAGGTAGAAAGTGGACGGGTTGTTTAAAGTGTTCAAGTGTTAAAGCGAAGAGGTACGAAATAATAATTGCAGTGTGATCCTTTTTTTTCCCAATCAGATCGATGGAAGTTACGGGTTACCTGTTCGCAAGCCAAGCAAGGAGTACCTACCCAAGTAAGGTAAAAGTAGGGTACATAGGTAGCAAGTAGGTACCTGAGGCTGCCTGACGTACTACAGTACTACTACTCCTTCCTACACTGCCAGGTGCTAACCTAGAGAAAACAATCATGGATGGCACTACACTCCAGTCTCCAGCAGAGTCCAGCTTCTGAAACTAGCCTCCATGTACTACTAGTACTGTGTACTGTGTAGAGCACGAGCCACATGAAGGCACTCAGTGCTGCAGTGAGCTCGGGATTGACTTTTCAACGTTCAACGTTCCATGTTCCTAATAAACCTGAATGTACTGTATCTCGGATCCCCTTACGAATTACACCAATTACTCAATTTAATATGGGCAGCATCCATTCCCTGCTTGTTTCAATATCGGGCATAAAACAAGAACATCTCCAAGTGGGTATTCAGGAAGTTCAAATTAGTTAACTATTTCTATTATGGTTATTTAATATCAATGTGTCACTGTCATATTCGTACTGTACTCTGGTGATACGGCCTGCTGGGTGTTATGTTATATACTGTACCTAGTCGTTGGAATCTCGTGCATTAATACTCTTAATAAAGAGTGCAATGCCTCGAATTCTAATCAATGCGTGTATCTCATATCAGAGAGTAGTCTTCTTACTCTAGAGTCACTACCATAATAACCCTCGTAGCACTCTCACGACGATACGATAAGGTAGGTTAGGTATATGTACGACCCAGCGCAAGTAGGAGCCTTGGAAGCATTGAGGTCGTCAACTAATCTCAGCGCTTGAATCTCGAATAATACCAACAGCTTCAATAGCCATACCGTACAAGTCGCGATTGCAATAGGAACCCCCAAAGATATATAACTAGAATTGTGCATGTGTGTGTGTTATGTACGTTCAATCATTGCGATCCTTCCCATCGCCCTCAAGAGAGGACAGGGAAGCACCGCACCCAAGATTGTCCGTTGGGAGTTTGTTCTCCATTCTGTTCGAAAGAACTTCAGTGGTCGTGGACCGCCGTCAAAATAGAGGCTACCTCGCACCGAATATCGTGTCTCGAGAATGTGTTTTTTTGCGTTGTTCATTATTTGAATGAAGAAGAAAAGAAAAGAAAAATTCTAAAATCCAAGCGTCCCGCGAAGAGTTTTCTACATCGGTCAAAACGCCCCAGCCACTTTTCCGTTTCGCGCGCTAAAGTAAGTAGTTAACTAAGCCACATACAGAAAGAGGGCTTGTGTAGCTTAGCGGCATGAACTACCCACATTAAGTACCTAGTACTACCTAGTAGTTACTAGTAGTACGTACCGGAAGCTCCAGCATCGTGAAGTTCCGAGCCCGAACCCGGATCTTGTAGGCTGTAGCTCATTTATTGGGCAAATTATTCCATATTTCGGTCAACTTTTATATCACCCGTTTAAATCATACACACTATCCCTCCGGAAACCCAACTTACCTGAATCAGAGTATAGATATGGCAGGCGTCACTGGAAGCGCAGTTCAAACTCTACCTCGGTTTCTGCTCCCGCGACTGAGCTGGGGAGCGTCTGCTGGGCCCTCGCAAATACTTCGAGTAGCAGCATTCCCCTCAGAGAAAAGACGATCCTGGCAAAGACATGAGACAGCTTCTTTTCACTCATGCCGACAGGCACCCCCGTGCTACTCCAGAAATACCCCAACGAAATCATCTATCCTACTTCAGAACCCGGGCCTGAGAAGGTCCTTCCACGCCACAGCACCGCGGGGTAGAGACCACCACTTCGACACCCTCAAGTTCGTGCAGCGGCTCCAGAGCGAGGGGTTCACCGAGGAGCAGTCCGTGGCCATGATGAAGGTGCTAAATGATGTGATCCAGGAGAGGCAAGCGTGATTTAACTATTCCTACCACCCCCTCCCCCCCCACCAACACCGGATTCGCTAACCCAAGCTCCGCAATTCACAGCATCCAAAACCTGACGCGCACCATGGTGCTCCGCGAGGACGCCGCCAAGGCGACGTACACGCAGAAGGTCGACTTCGCGAAGCTGCGGTCCGAGCTGCTGTCGGCCGACAGCACAGAGTCGAACACAACGCGCGCCGCGCACGAGCGGCTGACCAACGACATCACCAAGCTCAACAGCCGCCTGCGCGACGAGATCGGCCGCACCCAGGCCTCCGTCCGCCTCGACCTCAACCTCGAGAAGGGCCGCATACGCGAGGAGGCCGTCAACCAGGAGCTCAAGATCAAGGAGACCGAGACCAAGATCGAGCAGGAGGTCGCCGCCCTCAGGGAGAAGCTCGAGCAGGTCAAGTTCCAGACCCTCCAGTGGCTCATCGGTGTCTGCACGGGCTTCGCGGCGCTGATGCTCGGTGCTTGGAGACTGCTCATGTAGGTGTGAGGAGGAGACTTGAATATGGAAAGCGTATGTGCTATTGTAGTAGATTTAAGAGCCTCCTCTCGCGAGATAGGTGTCACATAACAGACCATAGTTACTTAGTCTAGGGGATTGAAAACTCCTCGTAGGCTATCCGCAATATGCTTCTCCATGCTCACTCGTTATGAAGCCGTGTACCTACTATGTAGCACCTTCGTTTTCACATCCAACACAGGCGCTTACCTGCCTACCGTATCAGGAACCGCATATTCGCGAGGATGATTCTCAACTCCATCCAATGAATCCATACATAAGATCGATAGGAATTACTCTTAATCTTGTAATGATTTCTCTCAATTTCTATTGATCTTATCCACGGATTCATTCCTCGATGCACGTAATTATTCCTACATGGCTAGAATTACTCTTGGCTACGTAGGTAAATAGAGCTATTCTTATGTAGATGAATAGATTCATTTTATCCAACTTGGAATCGCCAGAATCATTCCTCGCCTATTCCGTAATAAGCCAGACCCATTCTTGCCATAATGCCTACTCCTCAGCTAGACATCTATATGTATTTAAAGGAAGGTACCGATCCAGATGCCCTCGCGATACCAACATGCCGATAAGTAGGTACATAAAGGGTAGGCATTAGATCTGTCCGTCTGTAGTAGCCAGCATCAATCACACCCAGCTACGCCCTATTCCCATCCACGAGATGTCTCGTCTCTCACATTTATCCACCTCGAGAGCTCATCTCCTTAATATCGAATGATTCCACAAGGAGGCCAAGTTAGCCGTAGTAGGCGACCTGCTAAAGCCAGCAACAACAGCAATAGGCCACAATACCTGTAAAACATCTCAGCTTCGCGCTCAGAAGACATACATTCTTAGAAATCCTAGCCCATAATGCTGGAATTGTTTCACCAGACAGTCATCCATCCCTTTGAACATTGCAATGCCTCTTCCTAGAAGCTCATATATACGTAGGTAGGTAGGACACTGCATAAAAACCTCAGATGTTACAATAACACACACACAGGTGCCTACCTAGATTACATAGATAGTCCTAGGTATCTAGCACGGGTAGGTAAGGTACTCGGTTTGTGTGCTAGCTCATCACACGAAACCATGTCTAAGTCTGCCTGTGAGGTGGCTTCATGTACGACTCTACTCTTCCAAGCCTATCTATCTGCTATGTATGTAGTACCTATTGACCTAACCTAGCAATCTACCTGCCTGGCTTATAGGCACATGCATTCCTAAACTTGCTTGGAATTTACCGCGTACAACGAGACAAGCACCACCATGAAAATACACATCCAGGAAGACCTTGATGAAATTACTCCTTGTTACTCCTTGCTTCTATCCCATGACCATCGGAGTATTACTTCTCCACGATGCCCAGTAAGCTCTAAGCTCTCTACTTATTTAAATAGTACTTAATACCGTACTCAGTTTACTGCTCTTGGGGGCCCCCTCCAAATCAAATATGAACAAAGTTCTTCTATTTAACGAGAACTGGGAAAAAACAAATCCTATCGATGTCTACCTACAGGTGACAGAGAATGGTCAACATGACCCTGAATCAAACCACTTCAGGTAGAGCTGATAAAGTCAAAGCCCGGATCTGACCAAATACCTAAGTTTCGCCTTCCAAGGCGGTACAGTAATCTTCTAAGGGCGATACAGTAGACTGGTTTCATCTGATGAACTCCAAGGTTGCCAGGAACTGGATATAATCGTTAACGAACGGCCCAGCCGTTCGTGATATCCACCAATTCATCAGTGCGAGGCGTTTTCCTGTAACACTGATACCAAGTTCATCGTTATTCGTCATATCTGTAAACGCCAGTATTGCAATGCAAACGGCCATGTTCCTTGCCACGATATAGGGGTTTGGGAGGTTCGATACAATGAATCCTCACGTGGCACACAACTTGTCACTGAAGAAGATGGCTTCAACAGGAGACTCGAGATTATAAGGTCGAGAGTGTGAAAGGAAATGGCCGTGGTAAAAACTTTTCAGTGGCAATACACTGATAACAATATTCAGAACAATGTCTGATCGATGTCGCCAAAGGTAAGGCGACTGCCACGAAAAAAAATCGGGCCAAGTGTAAGCAAGATTTTGCAAGGAATCTCTGCTAACAAGGCGGTTCTGCTAGTTGACAATATTCACTCGATTCGGGGTGGTGTGTTGCTGGGGGTTAGGCGGCGTCGCTCGCCCTCTCTTCGCAGGTTCTCGATTATTTTGAGCATTTCCTTGCGGGCTCCGTAGCTATCGATCGCCTTGTGGGCCATGCTCATCGAAATCTTTTTTCCTGCATTGACAGCAAGGAGTCGCTTCATAAGCAGATGTCGCATGATGATACATACGAAGACACCGCAATCAGAGCTATTCTCTTGCTGAGGGCTATCGGGCAGATTGTGGAAATCGAGCTTCATTTGAAGAAGCGAGCCAAGTCGCTCAGCTGCAGACCGGGCGTGACGGGTGTTGCTTCCGTGCATAGAATCGTAATGGAATGCGACACCGTCGATAATGCTCACGAGTAACAAAGACCAGTGGGTCCCGCTCTCACCACCATCGAGGTTTTGGCAGTCGTTAATCGGCAGAAAGATATGGGTGATACCCCGGAAATCGGGCAGGGCGGACTTGACCATCTCCGTGTTGTGGTTCGCCATTAATAGGAAGGCCATGGAGGGTCGCAACAAGACGATATGGGCCTGTGGGTATTTCGAGAGAACCTCGCGTTCCAAAAACTCCTCCCAGAAGGCGATGTTCTGTGTGCAAGAAAAAAAATAAGTAAATATTCATAAAGAAGCTTGATTTCATTAGCCGGGAAGGAACATACGTTATCTGTAAGCCAATCATCCTTGAGGGCTCTCATATCATCCGAAGTCACTGTAATTTACCGGTCAGTCTTGAAGCAGATTCGGATTGACGGAGTGGATAGACGCATACAAAGGATGTCGTGATCTAATACAGTGATAGTCAGCAACAGAAGAAACGAGATACCAAGGGGGATTGTGGATACTTACAGGATAAGTGTGCTCGTGCACGCGACGGCGACGGCGATATCTGGTTTCTTCTTGAGCGCAGTCGCCTTGATATTCTTCGGCGTTCTGGGGGGCTCACGCTCTCATTCAGACGTCTAGTCAATCTCTCGCGCAGCGTCATGGTGATTGCCTGCAATCAAATATCCCTGCTCAAAAAAAAAAAAAGTTGTAGTAATGTCGCTTTCCGAAGCAATCGCGTAACCAGACGCGAAAGGCTGTTGGTATTCAATTCGATGTTGCGGGTTTGCGTTAAAAGGTGTATGATACGCGCGATCGTAAGCGGATTCGTGTCGGAGTGGGAAGGGAGGAAGGGTTAAGATAAAAGAAGAATAAAGAGAACTGTTGATACCAGTGGGTAGTCGTCGGGTTAATCGTCGTCGTTGGGGGTAGTGGTGGTGGTGGTGGTGGTGGTGGTAGAGTTAGGAGTAAGTTCAATCAACGATAGGTTCGAGGTTGGTCGTGATGATCGTGGGTACCTGAGGGTACTAGGAGCTTGGTATCGTTGCTGTAACTCAAGTAAGAAACGTTTATCGACCAACAACGTCACGAATATCACGAATGTCTCAAATGCCTCGACTTTTTCGTAATCACTTCAAGTACTTTCTTCACTGGCTTGCAGGTAAATTCTGTCCCAATGGATCTCGAAATGTTGACACTCGCAAAGTGACTGATCGACTGGATTGAGGATTGAAATGACGAAACCCGAGATGTAACTGAACTCTTGGTTGGTAGGGTCCGGTATGTAGTGCCGAACCACTATGCCGGAAAAGAATGATGAGATGTAAATCTATAAAATTGGTGGGGAGTGTAAAAATGAAACAAAATGAGGAATCGCCAAAGTAGTAGTAAAAACGATAAAAAAAAGGCTTCAAAAGGGCTTTCAAAGAAGAAAGGGAAAAAAAAGATGAAGAACCTTGAGGGGATTGTGACGATCCTAAGTACTAGGTGTACGGTAGAGGTATGCAGGCATTCCCTAGTAGGTAGAATATTTCAAGGTTGTCTTGCTTTTTTTCTCACTATGATCGTACCATGGTATGTAGATCCGAAAGTGAAGAAGGAACGAAAGGTCGGTTTTTTAAATAATGGGAAACCAAACTGCGGGGAGTGGGAACAACCTTACAACCTTACCTTGCACGCTAGCAGGATCAGTAGATATTAATAGAGCTTCTGCGGTACAATGCCGAACTAATACTAGGATATACCCCTCCAGTACTAGGTACATTAGTTTAAGCCAGAATTAGCCAGAATTATAGCAACACCCATGTATATATCTAGTACTATGTACTTACATAGAATCAAAATCTACACACATGTGCACTTTAGTCGATGCATGTGCTCGTCTAACTCTTAAGGTTGCCCAGATACATGGTAAGTAATGACGACCAGCGCTGTTGCTAATCAACATTGATCCCGGATTTTTACGCTTCGGGCTTAGTGCCAGTAGGAAATGATAATTATTATTAAATCACCAACTTCATTATTGGATCAATGGCACCACTACCTATGTACATAGTAAATAATTATGTAGATGCCATATTTGGAGGTCCAAGTAGGCATGTATGGAAGCTAACGCAGGATGACGAACGGTAAGTAAGGCTGAGCAATCTATTTTACATTACTCGCAGTGAACGTTTTGACTTGGAGCTTGGGAACGATATCTATATACATATATAGCAGGTAAGCACTTAAGAACGATACGTCTAAGGTTACATATATTATTACATCATGAGGCTCTGTATGACTTACTGGCCCAAACACACTTAGCAACTAATTATCAAGAAGATCACCAGCTCTAAGATGTTGTTTGACAGGTGCTACATGCCATGCCTATGACCCTTCTACAGAAAGGATAGAAGTACATAATACATATATTTGAAGCGGCTATTCAAATAAATGTTAAATCAGTGCTGCCACTACATACATGTAACACTAGCAAGGGGTACGTACATAAATCCAGGTTTAAAAAATGAGATATCAACCTTAATTCCTAACATCTATCGACATTTCAGATCAACCTATTCCTAAAAAGGAAAAGAAAATGTCCAAAAATCCAAATTCAAACCCGAATAAAAATCAATTAAAAAAAATAAAACCGGAGCAAATAGCCCTGAAAGCCTAACCTACGACGTAGAATCAACTAAATATTCTCGGGGAGAGCGGGAAAGGGAACAACATAAGCCACACGTGTCAATGGGAACTAGTATCTCAAGTACGTATATATGTAGTTACCATATGTAGTACTCCGTTGTATGTAACACAACATCACCCCAGTGACCCCACAACTTATGCGTTCCATTTCAAGCATGTAAATAGGCTTGGCATAAATCGCTGTCTCCCATCTCCAAATTCTCCACACTCGCTTAAGCCTTGGACAACCTCCATGTCCTTCTTGCGATTCGTGTCTAGGAAGCATCGAGTAAGTACACGGTGTATCTTGACACCTTCAATGTTCTAAGCAGCCCTCCTGGCTATGATTGTAGAGATCTAATGAATCGTAAGATAGATAGATCTCCTTTTTTTTCTTTTCTTCAGATCGCTAGTACTCTCTGATATAAACTTAACAAGACCATGTGAGAGCTCAGTCTCTGCTATTTCCATCAGTAGTTCTCGAATCTGGCACGACTTCACATAAAAAGTTATACCCAATATTCCACAATATCAAAGTATCCTCCCTTGAAATTTATACCCAAGACTAAAAGTAGTTATTGGCATGCCAACGCAGAGCTATTTCCCCAGTATCTCAATCATCCACATCATCAGCACACACAAAATGGATAGCTTACATATTGTAGATTTGTAGATTTGTTATGGACGAGACATAATTTCACAAAAGGGATATCCAGATCTTGAAACTCAAGGAGAGGCATCTAACCTAACTATGTCCCAAATATCCCAAGCCCGACTATAGATTCCTTACTGGGTATGAATATTCACCTTGTCTTGTAATACTAGGAGTTTATACAGTAGCTATATCTAACTGGATTAGCTAGATGACATACGGACACCGCAAATGAAGCATACTAACCTAAACCTTTTTCCGACTTCCAAAAAAAGGGTATCTCAAGGTCGATGATACACATCTCCATCCCAAGCCTGTCTAGTACCTAGGTGATACACAAGTTTAGGGCTGAATATTGGTTGCCAAGACCACCAGTGGTCATTGCGAATGCATCCACATGGATGAATATCTACTAATTTAGGTAGCTTGCAAAGCTCCATGAGACAAAACCCGCGTTATTTTTCTAGAATTTACCTATAGCTCCTATGAATAAGTAATATCATCCACATATCTCATAAAAGCAAACACTGCCCATCCGTGAATAGTACCTTTTGAGAACGCGATATGGCTTAGGGATTTTCTAAGAATTGACCATAAACGCAGAAGCATATCGATTTCAGCATTCATTAATCATAGAGACAGATTCTTTTATAATCATGAACTGCTCTAGCCTAATTCCCGTGTAATCGTAAGGCCTAGCATCAACGTTCCCGGTATCTGCCACGCCTCCCAAGCTAGACGCTGACATCAACAATAAATACCAGCTCTAGAACCTTAGTCTTTCGTTCCGGGATTGACCTTTAGCTGCAGGGAATCACCAAGGCTGTGCTGAGAAAAGGCCGAGTTGGACGAATTTCAAAGGATTCCACCTTCAATTGTAAGAGATCTGGACGTATATGTCAGTACCTGACATATTAAATAGAAGCAGAGGCATCTTACCTGTCAACATGCAGAATTACCTTGTCTTAAACCCCCTTTCTATAGTTGTCAATTTTCTCCTCGCTCCTACCAGTGTAGGCAAGTAGATATCCATTTCATTTCCCATCCTTCTTCTCCACAAACGCCGGATTCTGCTCCATAGTCGCCGAAATGAAGCCCCTCAGCGCCGCCCATCGATTCGCCGTCGACATCTGGGGCGGTACTTGCGCCTGATCCTCCGTACCCTCCACCACCATCCCCTCTCCACCTCCATTCTCCCCCTTCGGCACACCCTCAACCGGCCTCTCAGCCACCGCACTCAACCTCGCAAGACTAACCCCAAACCTCTCCACCTCCCCCTTCACCAACACCTCCTTCCTCTTCAACGCACCCTTCTTACTCCTCAAGCTCTTATGCCGCGTCTTCCCCTCCCTCATCTGCTGCAACCCCTCCTCCGTCTCCAACAAATCCGGCAGCGCCTCCTTCAACGAGTCCAGATTCGCGACCAGCTTCTTGCCGGGGCGGCGGCGCTTGGTGCGGGAGGAGGAGGAAGAGGAAGAGGTGCCGGCTTTCTCGATGCGCGAGACGAAGGAGGCGTGCTTGACGGTGCGCTTGTCGCGCTTCGAGTTGATGAAGGCGTCGCTCGTGGCGATGGCGTCGGGGCGGGGGGCGCGGCGCGGCGCGTAGGGTTCTGAGGATGACTTGGCGGCGAGCTTGGTGCGTAGGGAGCGCCGCTTGGTGGAGGGGATCACGGGGGCCTAGAAGGTAGGTAAGGATATAGATTAGTTTGGGTGGTGGTGGTGGTGGTGGGGGAGAAGAGAGAGGGAGAGGCTTTAGACTACGTAGGTACGGACCATATTGTGAGAATTATTATGTAGCTTTGAGACTGATTGAAGTCTATTTGTGTTGGTAGATGTGGAAGTTTACGTGGTTGTGCTCAGTTTTGATACTTTAGAAATGTGAATATAAATGTTGAATGTGAATAGAGAGATATTGAAATTTTAGTGGGTCGTTTATCTTATCAGTTGAATAAATGTTGCTGGCTGGTGGGAACTCTATTGAGCGTCTCCCGCTAAGGTAACTACTAACTACTGTGCGCTAGCATGTGGTAGCATCGATGCGGATATTGAACCCCTGAATCCATCAATTCAAGCTACCTACCCTAGGTAGGGCACCTCCTCATTCTTCCTTGAAACCAATCAATCATAATATAAAATTTACATCCGCGAACAAATTTTGGTGGTCATGCCACAGCAAGTGTAATTCAAATAAAATCTAAAAGTGATGACCTCCTTATACTAAAACGCCCGAGGCTCTGAACGCCGCGCCTGCTCCTATCTAATTCATGGCTTACAAAGTACTCACCCGAATAATCCAACATTATAACCAGTTGTTTTGTCCTCTCGTCTTCAACTATAGGGAGAAAGAAGTTTTACCTCGTAGTACATGGTGTCTCGGATCTATTTATGCAAAAATATTAATACACTGAACAACACATGGATCCTACAGATGTCTGAGCTTCCTGGTCGCAAATACAGCCATAATTGCACTGCAGGCGCCGATGAACAGACACACAGACACCGCGTTGGGACCATCAGTGCCGTGTTGTTCCTCTGGTTTCGCATTGTGAGCTAACTCAGGGCTTTTCCCTGGCTCGAGAAGGGTAAAAACGACGGTGCTGATGATCGTGCCGATGAACTGAGGTATCGTCGTGTAGATGTTAAGAATGCCAAAGTAAACACCTGATAACTGGCCCGTCTGGCCCGTCTTTGAAGAAGCAGGAGAGCTTTCCGAGTCGAGGATGGGATGTTTAGCTAATCCATTCATGTCTCCTAATTCCACGTTCGAATCACGCGACATATGACGGTGCGAGCCGTTGGGTCCGGCTGCACCGCTAAGCTTATTAACCTCAACCCCGAGGAAAGCAGCAGGCGCCCATGACGCTATATTCCAAGGCCTAGAAGGTAAGTTAGATCTCAACTGCCACTTATTTTTAACTCATGTATATGGAATACTTACAATCCGCATATGCAAACTAAAATAGTCGCAAATCTAAAGCTCGTTGCAAATGGTGCGAACAACATGGCTGCCGCAAACGTCGCATGAGCGCAAACCCACGCAGTTAAAAGGTCCGGCTTGTATTTGTTCAATCCTTCCACGATGGGTTTGAGGCTCGCAGGGGGTCGCTGGGTGTAACTCTCGTCATCCGGAGACTTGATAATCATGGGCAGGATCCATGAACCGAAGAACGTGATGATGGAATAGATGATGAAGGCCTCACTTCCGACTCTACCGATTTCTCCCAGCGCATCGCCTGAATCTTTCGCACTATGGGGGGCATCATAACGGAAGTAGGTTTCACCTATCCATGTGGTGCTGTAGAAGAGGAATGGGAACCACCCAATCCACGCCCAAAACTGAGCCATGCATATCGCGCGTATGCGTGGTGGGAGGTTTACAATGGTGAACCAGATCTGACCGACTAGCTTGAAGCCTCCGCCCTGCTTGCGGGAGTCGTGTCTTGTAGCAAGTAGGATTCTTTCTGTCACGGCCCAGCAAGTAACCCCGCAAGTAAAAACAAGTCCAAACGCAGCTATGACGGTCAATTGTTGGAATTGTGTGTTGCCTAGGGAATCCCCGAGGAGTGCAGGCAAATCGATGGCGCCAGTCGCGTAAGCGATTCCATGGCCAATGGCTGACATTCTACTAACTATTAAGTCTATTAATATGCGTTAGCCGAAAGGGAAATGAATCCATACCCCAAGCAGATCCGGTTTGTTGCTTTTCGATTGGAAGCGTATCAACGACGAGACTTTTCGCCGCAGACATCACTATTAGCATTGTTAGCAAAGACAAAATTCGAAACGGGTTGAAGCAGAGGCAGCATCACTAACCCACGTTGATCGAGAAATCAACTGCGTATATGGCCAACACAGCAGTGAATATGGTCATGCTTTGCGCCGCCTTCTCATCAGGAACAAAGTAACGAACAATTTCCTTAGTGAACCCCAAAGTGAGCAGACAGAAAGCTGACAAGATGGACCCGACAACTATGAAAGGCCTCCGTCGTCCCCATGGCGATATCGACTCGTCCGCGAGGGCGCCGACTATCGGCTGGACGATTAGTCCAGAAAGCGGCCCAGCAATCCATACCAAGGAAGTCGAACTTTTTGTGAGACCGAGGGATAGGAGGTAAGGTGTACAATCTGGATACGAAGGTCATTAGTTCGAAATTCGCGCTGGCTATAGGGGGGTTGAGAATCGTACAAGTTTGCTCTACGCCCCAAACGAATCTACAAACAACGGCTTGGTTAGGAAGTATTCTATTATGTAGGTCGCTACTGGGTCTTGAATAGATGGAACGTACGTAATGCCGATAGTGTTAAGCGTCAGCAAAGCCATTCGCATGGCCTCGGTGCTCCCTTTGATAGAGGGCTGTCCCATCCATCTCGACATTTTGTACCGTTTATGAGGGCAATTAGCCCGGGCTTCGTCAATGTAGTTGTCGAATCGTCACTTTCGCGCCCAGGCGTCTTGTCAGCTAGTCAGCTTTGCGCAACGTAGTATCGAAGTAATATGGTTTCGATCTTCGTTGCGATTTTCTGGGATTTTCGGGGATTTTCGTACGGTTCTGTCTAGTAATTCGTTCGCCTAACAATACTTGAAAGGTAGCTGAGTTTGGTTGTTACCCGAGCGTTGCTGCGACCATGATGGACGGGATGGTGAATATTAAAGGGAAACTAAAGTCTCGTGAGAGTTTCCCAAGTTGAGAAATGCATATATTTGTAGGTAATTGTCAAGTTATAGGAGGTCACAGCTGGTAATATCTAAGGCACGACAGGGACAAGGATGTTTTGCGCTTGTGGATCATTAGATGTGCTCCACTTCTGGCTTGGCATTACACTGAAAAGTTGAAGTGTTTGTGAAACACGAGAAGTCATCTCCTGTTATTGTCCAGTTATTGTACTAATGTGTACCTAACCTACATGCTGCAGTAGCAGTATGTCAGACTGAATGGATTGCGAAGTGCTGACGTTGAGTAGCCTGCAAATCACGAACTTGCAAACTGGCAACTACCTACTAACGCAATAGAAAATATTCTTTATCTTTTCCGTTTGCTTTTTTTCCTGGTACGAAGTATTACCACTTTCAAGCCATCTAATCATGAAATGATGACTTTGTGTTACTCAATAGCCTACTGGTGACTGTATGTAAATGAGTATAGGGCTACAAAGTTGTACATAAAAAAACAGTAACAACAATTAGTTAATAAGATAGAACTTTACAAAGACTTCGAAAAGCGGATAAGCGGCAAAAGCCTTGAAGTCAACACTACCTTCCTTATTGACACAGCTACATAGGTGCAGTTTACATACCAAGAAGGCCAAGTATGGGTTGGCACGGCCGCGACTTCTCAGCTGCGGATCATGGCAAGCGTCCCAGCGCATTGGTTCGTTTATCACTGGTCAGGTACGATTTAACCCTTGAAATCTCAATCTCAATAACTAAATAAATACTCCGTAGCAAATACCTAAGGGTAGTACTAGGTACCAAGACCATATTTTTGTATACCTACAATGTCCTACATGTAGCAAATGCAATGCTTGTATCTACTACATTCAATCATTGATGTTGTATTCATATATGTATATAAGAAAACAAAACAAGTAATTGTATATAATGTTATTCTATTACAACAACATTGAAACACATGGACACGTTGGTAAATCCAAGACTGTAATTAGTACTACTAGAGTCTAGGGCTGCTACCTATGTGAGGTACAGGAGGTGGCTCCTCGCCCCACCAGTAAATCGACGAAGTGGGAGCTCCGATTCAGGAACGTGGGGTTGTGGACTTGGGATTATTTTTTTGTTCAAATTTGTTAAAATATTGTTCGTCATCTTCCTATTAAAGCAAAAAGCAATATCCATTTTCAACCCACCATAGGGACCACCAGCAAGTCATCGCAAGCACAGTGTATCGGTCCTGCAGGTAAAGCCAACATTAATATAATCAATTGGCCCATCTACCATTCAAAGCCCACACACCACTTGCACCATTCGTATCCATCCAAAAGCAAAATTCAGTCAATACCCCCGCGAGCTTGACAATATTCCCAGCCATGGATCTAGTTAACCAGTTCGTCTACCCAACCATTTCGTAATGAACATACAATATCAATAGATTTCGATCGATCTTGGGATTTTACGGCATTATGACTAACTTATTACCTGTTCACATTAGCCTAGAAGGTCGGCTGCTGTTCGCCGTTCCCAAAAGTACGTCGTCGCCTTACGACTGATCGACTCCGCAAAGCTGACTCACTAGACAGAGGGCCGATTGAACCAAGCCGCTCTCAACTTATTAGAAGGCGCGGACATACAATTTAGGCGAGAAAACAGGCTTGACATAGCTCTAGTCAAGAACCTTCCCATTGCTCTCATCTTCCTCCCTGCCGCCGATATACCTACCTTTATTGGAGAAGGTCAAGTCGACTTGGGTATCACAGGATGGGATCAAGTTCAAGAGCACGATGCCGGTCTTCGAGCTCTCCACCGAGCACGTCGATTTTCTGGAGAGATCACCCCGGAAGAGGAAACTGAGAAGGTTTCTCGAGGGTCAGGATGCGAAACCATTCTGGATCTGGGATTCGGTGGCTGCAAGCTACAGGTCCAGGTGCCCGAGAAGGGAAGCTATAGCGAACCCAAAGACCTTATTGGAAAGAACATTGGTACCAGCTTCGTCCACTTGGCACGCAGATATTTTGCGAACCTCGAATTAGAACAAGACGCAGCCAGAGAAACGCCAATTGGCGCTCCAACTGGATTCAATGGCAAGCTGCGGACCAAGATTGTTGAGCTAAGTGGCAGTGTCGAGGCAGCTTGCGCTCTAGGAGTAGCAGATGGAATTGTCGACCTCGTTGGTAGGTTCATCCCCATCAACCCAAGGTGGCCATGGCTTGGAGATCTGACACTAACTACTGCAGAATCCGGTGAAACGATGAAAGCGGCGGGGCTCAAGCCGATCGATACGGTTGTGGAGTCCACAGCGATATTGATTAAATCGCGAAAGCCTTCCAATCCAGACCTTGTCGATCTAATAGCTGCCCGAATCCGAGGTGTCATCACAGCCCAACGATACGTGTTGTGTCAATACAACGTCGAAAGAACGGGCCTCGCAGCAGCCTCCAAGATCGCGCCCGGAAAACGAGCACCGACGGTAACGTCTCTGGAGGAAGAAGGATGGGTCGCTGTTAGCGTCATGGTAGAGAAGAAGAAGATCGCACCGATAATGGATGAATTGTCCAAGATTGGGGCAACTGACATCTTGGTATTAGACATTGCGAACACACGAAGCTAGGGATAGAATGCTAAATAACGAAGAACCAACATTGACCGCATGCACACCTACCTAGGTTACATATATCCATATCATTTATCTTTGTGAGGCATACTGGGTAATTACCACGTACCTAATCTCTAAAAAATAATTACCCTAAACTAACAGCCCATAATGAGGCTGTCGGTAAGGGCGATTTCACATAGCTCATTTATCATATTGGAGTATCAAGTTGAATACGCGGATACTATGTACTAGTAGTACGCGGATACGGTAATTAGCTAGGACTGCCCTAGGAGTACTATGTATGAAAGCTTGAGTGCTCTAAATTGGTATTTAGCCTCGGGCCCTAAAAAGGAGAAGAAAGAAAAGAGGAAAAAAAAGATGGAAAGTGTCATGTACGATACATAGTAAATCGGCAGAGAGTTACGCAAGCAGGAGCGGCGCGGGTCGGGCGGAGTATAATAGAGTGGTCGCGCCGCCGCGGGCTTAGGTGTGGACCATGTAACCCCCCTCGCATCCAATCGCCAACTCGCAGTGAATCATTTCGTAAATTCGTACCATTTCGTATATGAAGTCACCCGGGCGGAGCCCCGGCCTAAGTCCGTTATTTTTTTTCGTTTTGTTCGTTCATCTGATCTGTACTATACAATATCTATGGTATATGTAAAGCCTCTTTTGCCCTCCTTTTGGATTTGATACAGCTCTTATAACACAAATCACGAATATCTGCTTACCCAATAACTACCTACCTGTACTGCACTGCTGAGTAATTATTGACGCTCAAGAGAAAGCTTAACTAGTAGTGCCCAGCCAAGTATTGTGTTGTATATCTATCTCCAACAAGCGAGCAACCAAGCAAACCAGTATCGATGATGGAATCGAAAATGGCATCCCGCCATGAAACGGGCGAAGTAGCACATTCATCAATATATCATGTAGGTCAAACCACCATTACATTATCTCACAAATACAATACCTATGTATCTCTCTCTTCCTCCCAAATATGTCAAGATTGATTAGGCTAACAACATCACCCACCCACAGGCAATCATGACGCCCATCAACTTCGTCTCCTTCCTCCTCTCGCTCTACCTCGTCGACTGCCACTACCACGACAAGCGCATCCAGCAGCACTCGGAGCGGTACAGCCGGCTGCCCTCGTGGCCGCCGCTCCCCGCCTGGCTGCAGCGCATGCTGTTCTCCTCCCGCGCGACGTACAACCCGTACGATTGGGTTGGTGGTAGTGGTGGGAGGAAGAACGAAGTGGTGAATAACAGGGGCAGCAACAGGGGCACGAACCCGGACCGCTGGTACTACCACACGCAGCAGGGCAAGCTCATGCGCATGGAGGCCGCCGATGCGTTCGAGCTCCGCCGCGCCGTGCTGGTGGGGTTGAGTGCGGTGCTCGCCGTGCTGTGCGCCGTGGGGCTGGGGTCCGTGGTGATGGGGGCTGTGTGGGCGCTCTGGCGTGTGAGTGTGGGGGTGATGTGCTCGTCGGCGAGGTAGATACCCAAGTTCGGTATTCGTTGTTTGGTGTTTAGGGGGTTCTTGGAAAGGGGATGGAATTTACGGCTTCGATTATTTTAGCAAGGCAAGGATGCCGGCTAGGGGGGGGTACAATGATTTATGACTTGGACGCTGATCACGAATTTGTTTTGTTTGTCTGTTTGGGTATCCATAGGGATGGATGGATGTCTCCATTGTAGGACTTTGGACTTGGCGTTTCGATGTGGATGGCAAGGGATGGGTATCTGGAGGAGAAGACATTAGGTATATACCTTTACCTATTATTTTCACTTATGAGTGCCTACATGCCTGGGTTACTGCATACTGTTATCTTCCTAGGTAGGCATGGAACTATATCTCAAGTATCTGGGACTCCCACGATCTTCTACATAGAGTAGTAATTAAAAAAAAAGAAAAAAGTATATCTTGTATGTATGTCACTAGTTGATTTCGAGTTAGTAATCGGCATATCACCAGGTTTTAATATCCATGGATGCTAGCGAGATCTCTGGATGGAAGTTCAGCGTCGCATGGAACGTCCTTGCAGAAACATGGGTTCTTGGTAGATGGATGATCTGGCGGCGATCAGGAACAGGCTACGAGTTATTCTAGAAAGATATCCTAGAAAGATTTTATTTGGGTTGATAGATTTGACGTCATAACTAGTTGCTCCATGCTAAGCATTGGAAGTGTATGTAACTATTTAACTCTTACTTCGTACTAGTGTACTATATAATGCGTGCCTATACTCAAACCGCCACTATGATGGATATAGTTATACATTTATACACAACACAGCCTAGGACCCTTTAAATTCATTCAGCTTTTACGCCCGTTCTACGGGTACAACCGTAACCGTGCCTTGTGTAACTTGAAAAAGGCGAAAAGCAATGATACAATGATATAATGTCAGTTACTTGTTTAAGTCTTGTTATACATATTATTATAACTACATATACATCTACAAAATTAGTGTTTGCCCCTGGATTCTGCACGATGAAAGCTTGAGCCAAAACCTCGTCTCATCTAGGTTGGCCAGTTACAAGATGTCTCAATCACAACCTGCCCATGACCTTGGCCTTGGCCATGGCCATCCTCTTGGTATAGCATCCACGTACCGACAGATTTACCTCGCAAAGTTCGAGGAGGATGTCTTAGCGGGTACCAAGAGACCTTTTATACTTCCACTGCACATGCTGGGTATATGGATCATACCGACTCTTTATTTAGCTATACCGCATAAGAATCGGCCGTGGCTTTATAGAGCTAGGTGGCTTGTCCTTGCCATCTTGGTCGCCTTCAACTTGGACATCATACTCAATGTCTCTAGCCACAACTTCGGCTCTGCGTACGCCGCTGGCTTGGTGGGATCTTGGAGTATCGTATGGAGTTTTGCCTTGCTGGTGTGGACAAGACCGCAGTGGGAAGCTAAGAGGGTCAATATAAGAAGGAAACTCCATGTTAAAGATCAAACCGAACAAGGAAAACTGGGGAATTCCTTGCTGTCTACGACATCAGGAAACGGTCATGCTGCTGCTAAGCCCATTAATGGAAACCAGCAACCATGTCTAAATGGTGCTTCTCATCAAACCCAAAGCTCGTGTCAAAATGGTATGCAAAAGGAGTCGGAGGTTGCTAAAGCATCTGGGCTCGAGTCAAATGGGCATAAAAGTAATGGCAATGCGCTGTCCCGAAATCCTCAACAAAGGAAGGCGAATATCAGCACGGACTCACCGCTCTCTGGACAACTAGAGATATCAGAGGAATCAAGAAAGCTATTGTTAGAAGCAATACCACCTTTACGACGAGCACCAGAAATAAATCTTGATAAATTAGCTTCGGAGCAGGAATTTGAATACTATTGGCAAGAATACCCAGAAGATGGCTCTTTTTGGGCCCGGCTTGACTGGGCATTCGACATCGCCAGCACATTTCGGATGACAGGTAAGATGCATCACACATGCCACCCCCCTAAAATCATATCCAACTAATTATTTCTCTTTTCTTCAAGGCTGGAACTGGGCCATCTCCTGCCTACCGCCATATGAACCACCCCGTACCATCGGCCCCTTCCAGCTACCCCTGAGCAGCGTCGGTCCGAACCGTAGCAAACAGGGGTTTACGCGGTCCTGCTCGTATGCAAAACTCTTCTTCTCGAGGATACTATTCGTCGAAATCCCCAACTACCTGCTCGTAGACTTCTGCGCCGTCCACATGACCGCCGACCCGTACTTCATCCTCGGGCCCGAGCACGGCCAGCCCTTGCCTCCGCACCTCGCCTCTCTATCCCCTCACTTACTCTCCTCGCAACGCACCACCCTCTCCTTCCTCGGCACCTTGTCCGCCCTACACCTCCTATTCAACGCCGGCGCTCTCGCCCTCGCCCTTCTCCCACTCCTCGCCGTAACCCTCAGACTCCCGTGCGCCCAGATCCTCCTTTTCCGCGCGCACCCCTGGCACCTCCCCAGCATCTCCGGCTCCTTCACGCAGGTCCTCGATCGCGGCCTCACCGGCTTCTGGGGCGCCTGGTGGCACCAGACCTTCCGCTTCGGCTTCGCAGCCCCGACCCAGTACCTGTTACGCCACGGGCACCTCACCCCCGGGACGCCCATGGCAAAACTCGTCTCCGCCTTCTTCGCCTTCGCCACCTCCGGCTTCCTGCACGCCTCCGCCAGCTACAGCACCGTCCCTGCGCACACACAATCCCATCTTCCCCCGCTCTTCTTCCTCCTCGCCGGCCTCGGCACCATCCTCCAGTCCTCGCTCTCTCACCACCCTTTCCTCCGTCCCCGCATACAATGCTTACCCAGACTAGTCCGCCGCGCGGGAAACCTCGCGTTCGTGCTGGCCTGGATGTGGCTCACGAGCTGGGCGCTCGTCGACGATTTCAGCCGCAGCGGGCTGTGGCTGTTCGAGCCGGTGCCGGTCTCGGTGCTCAGGGCGTGCGGGTACTATGGGCCGGCGAGCGATCGGCGCGTGTGGAGGGTCGAGGGGGCGGTGGCGCCGAGGTGGTACTGGGGGGACAGGTGGTGGGAGTGGGGGGTTGGGATTTAACCTAGTTAACTCTAACTTCTCCTCCCTATCTATCCCCTTTTTATCACAGTTGAACCACTTTAGCACCCGAGATATATCTTAGTTTTCTGACTATTTCTTGATATATATATATATTCTTTAGAATAGAATGGGAATGTCATGGCATGGTATAGCGTAGCATAGATAGTGCGTATACAAAAAAAACCGAAACGAGTAATCGTGGATTAATGTAATGTGATTAGCAAAGATAACCGCTTAATAATAAAGGGGGGAGGTGTCTTTAATACACTTTGACTTCGTGCCTATCAACATAACTACATGTATGTACCCCAAGATATACATCGATACAATACAATACAATACAGCCAGCCTACAAACCAGCCGCCGAATCAAAGCTACCTACCTACCTAGGTACCTAGGTAGGTAGATAGATACCTGATCTACCCAGCACAACAAGCCAACTTCATGACCCGCCCATGCCGTATATCTTTCTGCAGACTTAGCTTCGCCATCTCGGACTGGATCCAGTCGAGGGTCGCGCGGTACCTGGACTGTTTCCGGTCCAGCACTTTGTAGAAGGCGTTGTGGGCTAGCCTGTGTAGGTGCGGTGATGTGATTGGTGGTTAGCTACTGCGGTCTAAGTAAGATGGGAGATGGGAGATGGGAGGGGGACAGTGGTGAGGCGAAAAAAAAAAAAACGTACCAGGCTACCTCGGGCTTCTTGACGTCGCAGGTGTACCCCGGGTACCGGAGTTTGCGGGTCTTGCTTATGAGAAGCACGTGTGCTATATCGATGAGCTTTGAGATTGTTTCTATGCGGAAGAGAAAAATGTTAGATCTCGCCGTCTTATATTATCGAAAAAAAAAGGGGGTGGGGGGGTGGGTTATATTTCCGACGCACTGATCACAAGTTCTGCAGCAGGCTGCCTGTGGGCGGGCAAGCAGCGGGCGTACGCCCACATCTTGGTAGCCGTCTCGCAGAACGCGTTGTATATATTGGTCAGCACCGTCTTGGCCGAGTTGAGCTCCGAGTCGAAAAACATGAGGTGGCTTTGGATCTTGAATGAGTCTGTGCGTGGCATGGCATGGCATGTTAGCTCTCACGTTCAAGGTTGTATGTGTGTAGTGTTGGTTTAATTAAGTTTGACTCTTACTCAAGACTTTTCGTTGGAATGTGCGTCCGGGCGTTCTGGAGAAATCTACTATGAGGGAGTTGTATATATCTAGGAAGGAATAAGAGTTAAGGTACTGCGTCTTGAGAAGAGAAGGGGAATATTCTGAACTTACTGCTATCATGTTCCTTCCTTTGGGGTCGGGAGATGCCGAGCGTCTTAGTATCGATGACAGTGCCACAGTAAGGGAACGGTTCGTTGCGGCCGACTTTTTTGACAGGTTCGCCACCGACTTTGAGATCAAAGTTGACGAGTGTCTTTCGAGGATTCACCTTGACTCCATAGTCTGGAACGCCTTGATGCATCGTCTCGACAAAGCGAGTGGCTTTATGCTTGTCCGTGGTGATGAGAAGAAAATCATCGATCAGTCGTAGGAGTAAGCAATCTTCAGAATTGAGGAAAGATAGAACATGAATCTCGAGGTCGGCGTAGAAGTAGTTGCAAAGCGTCGAAGACAATATGGATCCCTGAGGGATGCCCTTACTCTGCCTATAGAACTTCTTGCCGATCTTTACGAGATTTTGCTGAATATGCGAGGCCACTAGCTGAAGTAAATCTGTGGTATCGTAATACTTTTTCCACCTATCGACGAACACAGTATTTTTCTTCCCAGTTACCCGCCCGGATTCGATAAGCTGGAGAAGTGTAGAGTTGTCGTTGTTACTTGTCGCCGCGGAGGGCCATCTCTTTACGGGTTTCGCTTTGGATGCGTCACCTGACTGGCTTGTAAAACTGGTAGCAACTTCGGTATAAGTTGATACTCGGTATCGCCGTTGCTGAGGTATAGAGTTAAGTAGCCTGATTATGGATTCTTGAGGGATGGTATCAAACGCAGCTTGTACATCGAGCTTTGCAAAATAAAGCCTCTCGCCACTCTTGCTTATTCTTGACTTGAAAGGCTTTATTCGCTTGTAAATGTCCCCTACTGAAAACATGGTAGACCCCAATCTTCCTGGATTTATGGCCTATCCAAGTTAGAAACGCGAGACTTGTTCGGAACATGATATCTTACCCTTTCTAACTGAAGGACGGTGTACACTGGCGTTAGAATTTTGTTGATGCCAAGTCCCAATTCCTTCGTTTTTCCCCGTAAAGCGTTCCTCCTGCGTAGGTTCATGATGGGTCGCATACCAGTCTCTTTCGGCAGCAAGCGGATTTGGCTAAATCCAAGAGTACGGGAGTCGAGGATTTGGCGGGCACGAGAGAGGTTGACCTCGGAAAACATTTTGCCCTTCAGAGAGGCCATCGCGGGTTCCGCCACATACCTCCAAACGTCATGGCGGAAGAAAAACAGTCTATACTTGTGGACATTTGACTCTGTTACGTAGAAGTTGCTACGAAGTAGGGGTATTAGTAGAGAATCAAACACAAAGTACAGAAACTCGGTGAAAAGCTCAAGCCGCTTCTGTATATCTGTTTGCGAGGTCTTGCTAGACCTAAGCCAGGGTGGTGCAAGCCAATCTATTTCCGTCACCTGTTCACTGTCAACTGGAACCCTATTTACAAGGAGAAAAGAGCGCGGGTCTTACTTTCATTTCCTGTAGCACTTCATGAAGTGACATGCTTTCAAAACGCCTCAAGAGTATGAAATGGTTGACCTGCTTAAGAAATACTTTCTCGTTATGCTCAGCTGCCGGCCCGGTTCCCCAAAATCCGGTTGGTATAATCTTCCTCAGGACAGCTTGACAGAAGGCCGAGATCGATGCAGGTGGAGTAGCCAGATCAAAAATGGACGACAGCGGGTCCTGTTGAATAGGGGAGGGCTGTCCCTGTGGCTGTGGAACTACATTATCTTTCCGCAGCACGCCTCCTTTGCGTGAAGACGTGTGTACGCATCCGGTTTCACCTATTTCACTTGCTTCAAGTTTTTGGTGGACAAGTGAAGGATGAAGCTTCAAATCATTAGTATTGCCGGGACTTCCAAATAACTAGCCCTTCCCCAGAACTTACCGCGCAGTAGTGCTGGAGTAGTTTTAAGTAGGAACAGCGTTGGTGTAACACCTGGAGCTTTCGTATCAACTCTGTAGCAATACCCCTTAACCTTTTTGGTACCTGGACTCGAGTTTTTGGGTCATTAAGCCGACCAAATTTATCAAGAATCTCCTCTTCTCGTAGAGTATAGTCTTTGAGCCGCTGCGTAGTCTCTCTGAAATTAACCTTGGAGGTAAAGACATTGTGAAGCCCGAATTGACGGGGAAACATGTACATCATGACCCTCAAGGTATGTGCTTGGTTTTGCAGCGTTACCCGCTTCTTGTCATCAGCTGGGAGGCGCTCTATATCATCAGGGTGGGCATAGGTCGACCGATTCAACACATCTGCTATTGTTAGCTTTCATAAATGCTAAGATTCCGAGGGACTTACGGATATGTCTCAGCCCGAATTGTACGAGACCGCGAGCATTGAAAGCGGCTCGGGCGTAAAGCATGCGGTTGCGAACGAAGGCAATTTCCGAAGGAGACTTTACAATACTATTGACGATCTGTTCCGGCTTGTCGTGACCAAGTGCATCAACGTCTGACAGTGGCTTTCCTAAGTTTAGATGAGCATAGAAACTCTTTTCTGAGCATAAGTTGAAGCCACCTACCACTGATTTGACAATAATTATTAGCACCGCCCTTTACTGTCACAAAAATTGCGCACTTGAGAAGTAAGTCTATCATAATGCGCTCTCCCGACTCGCCCATTAACGCCAGAAGTTGAGGCCAGGGCGACTGTTTTAATATATCAACATGGGGATTAGGACGAATGGGCCGTACCCCCAACCCCTGATTTCTGATGTAGCCATCGCAAAGTAGGTGTCTCGGCCACACGCGAGTTTTCTCTCTGGAGAAGAGAGTGAGCACGACGTATTCTAGCAACTATTCAACTCATATTAGCCCCTTTCTGAGATCTTGACAATGAACATGATTGCTCAATAAACAAGCAACCAAAAAAAGTGATATGGGTCGTACAAGTGCCTGCGTCTCGACCAAACCAGCGATACCGTTAGATAAGGTGACGTAGGACTCGTCGCCTTTTTGGGAGAAGGTTTTCCATCCCTCCAAGTGATCATTTTCCTCCAAACTTTCGGGAACACTTAGTATCCCAACCAGTGTGCTGTCAAGCAAATCACCTAAGGAACGCTCCACGTCTGGGATGGCCAAGCCCGGAGTTTTACTAATTCTACCGACAGCACTAACCTTCTTCCTTCTAAGCCTAGAAGTAGAGGGCAGGTTTGAGAGTATATAGTTGCGCAGGGTTAGCACCTGGGTATAAAATTGACTGAGTACGGCATGTTGAGCTTGCGAGGGCACCACTTGATCAATGTGTTTAGGACAAGTCTTTCCTTTCTTAGTTGGCGGCCTGTCGCCGTCTACATTTCTTCTAATGGTGCTCTTTCGCTTCCGCTTCCCTGAACGAGCCATTTTTCTGTCCCATGGTATGTCTGACACCCGATTTTACAGTGACTACTTTTGATTTTCAGGTAAAGGTCGCAGTTTATGTTGTTGGTATTTGATATTGAGCCCTTGTTGATGTCAAAGGACACGCTACGCGTTCAAGGACATAGGCGTGTAGCGCAAACAACAACTACCTGATCTTGGATAAACACCTGGACAGTTACCTACCTACCTAGTACCTAGGTAATTTTTAGCCTCATAAACATCAGATGTAGATAATATTGTATTGATGCTGCCACATACCTTTTATTGGGTATGGGTTTGTGTATGGGTATGTGTATGTGCATGTAATATGTATGGTGTCATGCGCGGAATACGCGTACAATACAACGTTGAAGTTCTTGAAGTTGCAACTTTTAATGGATTGATTCAGCATTGAATTTTCAATGTTACAGGTACAGTTAAGGTACAGTTAGTACCAGTTACAGGTACTCTAGGTACAATACCCAGTACAATACTAGGTACAGTGATTTGTATCCACCGGACTTACCCACATGGGCCACATGTGCACCTGGGCAAGCTCAAATTTCAAGAAAGCTTGGACCCGTTCCGCGCGGCTCCGGTACGGGAAAGGACCGTGCATAATGGGCCAAACTTTACTGAACATTAAAGTGGGCATAAACCTTCAAATTTACGGGGAATCGAATCACTAATTCAATTTTTTCCTTTCTTTTTCTTGGATATGAGCATTAATTGTTCACACATTACCATAATAATACTACTATGTATCTATCAGATACTACATAATTCAGAACCTGGTCTGCTATAATAGTGGTAAACCTATAATAGGGAGGCAACCCAGCCGCGTAGCCTCTATCCATCCCATCCTGTTGGGATATTACGTAGTAGGTAAGGTATTGGGTACCAGTGATATTCGTTTGCTATCTACCTAGGTATCCATCCAAGGTCTCTCTCTTAACCGGTGAGGTCAGCTTGATATCCTAGACATATCTCAAGTTGGGCACTGGTCAATTGACATTGGACATCAAGGACAAATGGTCAACTCGTGTATTTGTACGGTTGTGCTTGCCCGACCATAAGCCACGGCTTGCAATTTGATACGTGCTGCTCTACCGTACTGGATTGGTTCGCTACGCCTAGTATGTAACTGACATCGACCGGGTTTAGATAGTTACCCCCCAACAGCCTACATACGTAAGTACTGGGCAGGAGAACATTGAAAAGAGGTGGAGGGGCGCGGAACATACATGTAGCAACAGAACCATTATCTAATATCCACTGGACCGATCCGAAATGCAAACTATCATGCAGGAAAAGGTCGGGACGAATGAAGTATGCCAATTCCTGCTGTTGTAGTTAGGGGTCCAACGTGAAAGTTCCCGCGTTGAACTGACTGTGAGTCGTCTTCGATAAGGGGATAAGGGGATAAGGGGTAAAGGGGGTCAAGACCATCTACCTAACCTAGTACGTACCTATCCATGGTACGTCTATCGCTGATAAATTGTGACTTGACCTCTCAGTTCATTAATCTCTCCGGTAGCATAGGGAACCTCGAAATGGCAGAGCGAGTGGATGAGATAGAATTATGCAGGCTGCATGCACTCCTGTCTGAATCTATGTCGTATTCCCATTGCCAGTTGGCCAAGCAGACCAAGCCAAGATATTCCTAGGCGTGGTGTTACCAACGGAGCCTACATCAACAACTACATGTGCGGAGAATAAATAGATAAAGGAGGTCAGGTTTCTTGTTTAAGATTTTATAGCAGATGATTTCATCGGCTATTGGACAAGGAAGTTGAGGATCTTAGATTGTGGCTTATTATTTTGGCATAACATCTAGGTATACGGGATTACCTTGTACATAGCTTAATCGCTGAACTATTTGAGCTCGAAGCGCATCAAGGTCAGTTTTCTTCTTCTGCTCGACTTCGACGAGTTTGCTCACCATCGCTGTGCCCCATTACGAATTGAAAGGAATCAAATGATGTAAATACATGTACCTACCTAGTAGGTCCAGGGGTTTCTTCCAATTGTTCATCGTCATTGACGATTTTGATTTTCCCAATAGTTACATTGGTGTACCTATTACTCCAATTTCTAATTTCACGTTCTATATCTGAGGTAGACTATAATAATTGATTGATATACTTGATGATAATGATATGATACAAGGTATAATCTTAACCTTTAGATCCCTTACAGTTCCTCTCAGTTCCTTTAGCTATGACCTAACAACGTAATCTTCCCACGAAGCAGTCTGAGTGGCCGGGGAAAGTTGTCCGATGCCTCGATCGCCGCAGATATGTAGGTATACATGTAGGTAGGCACTAGTTAAGCATTTGGTAACAATATTGAATATTGATCTTGAATTACCTCCATGCTGGTAAGCAAAACGGGCCTACGATCCCCAACCTTTTTTTTCCACCACTAGGACAACCTAATTCATCATTCAATCAAGCCTAGATACCAGAGCTCCGACTTGAAGTCTTGGGCTTATGTACAACTGTTTCAAGTTCAATGTTGGAGAGAACTATTAGCGTAGCTAAGCTAAGAAAGCCGCCAATTTAGATGTCTATGGCGTTTTTTTTGCGTCTTGCAATCTACGATTCCTGATTTCAATATCCATGATCCTGGATAATAAGTATGCACAACATGCATTTACCTAGGGACATGTAGGTTAGGGACATCCCTAAGTGAGGTACCTAGGAGTGTACATCTATCCCCATCTATCCCCATCTATCCACGTATAAATCAGTGGGATTCAGGGCTATTCACGAAGTAGTGTGATGTACAATACAAGTGGTACCTTGTTTAGCTTGGACAGAGGAGCCTGAGAAGGCACATGAAAACTCGAGAAATGAACTGGGTCTTTAGTTCAAGTTCGATTTTAATCGGAGCTAGTACTTAAACTGTCACAAAGATACGAGGCATGGGTAGGTAAGAGGAAGACACATGCAGGGAGGGAGAACATTGAATGATTGAACAGTTCAATTGATTAATGGATGATAGGACCAGATAGGTACTGCTACAGATGTACAAGTATGTACGTAGATACTTACATCAAGTTACATGCACTTCAATCATCAATGTTCTCCAATGTTATGAATACATGGCGGATAGCGACTTCTTCATACACATGTGCATACATACTTACCATACATACAGTACCATACATAATACCATGTTGTAACAGAGCAGGTGCATACACTTTTGATTCCACCAAGGGAAAGCACAATGAGCTGAGCACCTACCTACCTACCCAGCACCTAACATAACTGTAAGTACCTGACATGCCTGTGGTAAGAGTAATTTAGCATTACATACTTCGTAGCAAAGCAATTTAGAGTAGGTAGTCACAACCTTTGAAGCGTACCACTTCAAATCTTCTTGTTCTTGCTCTTTGCTCTTGCTCTTGATCCTCCTCCTCTTGCTTATTGCCTTTGCATTTTGCCTTTTGCATTTTGCTCCTCCTCCTCCTCCTCCCTTTTTCACGTTTCCTTCTCGCCAAAACGGTTCAAAAAATTAACCAAAACCAAATCACCTTGCATGCTAGGCTGCCAGCGCATCAAGTCGGGAGATATCCCACCACGGCCAAACAGCTTTTGAGCTTGCCAGGGGCGGGTCTTCGCATGCTTGAATCATCGAATGGCTTACTGACAATTCTTTTTTTTTTTTTTAACTCCTTCGACCATCTGCACGATTGCACGACTGCAATACTGCAGTACTGCACAGCTGCACGCTCACTCGCTTGTAACTAACTGTATGGCCTGTCCAGTCCGTCCAGTCCCATTCACTCTCCCACCCCCCCACACTCTTCACTGCTACATCACCCATCGCCCATTGGCATCCAATTGCTTGTAAGCTCGACGCCTAAGTTTGCCTAGGGTTAGAAAAGTTCGAAGCGAGCCAAGGTTATTCGACAACGTAGCCTAGGACAGAAAAGTACCCTTGCTTGGCTTTAAACTACCTACTCCTTACATCTGTATCGTACTTGTTACTTGTATGCTACTCACTATCGGCGCCTGAATTGTCAGGGTGATGTCCAGAAAATGCAGGAAGAGGAGGAACCCCTTGGTACGACGCTGGCAACCCATAATTTTGAATCCCAGTCACGTCCGGACCCACGTTCAAATCCAACAAGTCCAACAAGACAACAGCATCGCTATCACCACTATCACCCACAACAGCCACAGCTTCAACCAAGCCCTAATTCAGCGGCCTTTGACGCCTCAGACTACGAAGATTACGAATACAATCCAAATCTCAATATTAGTCACCATTCCACACTATTCTCGCCAGAGCTCGCATCCTATGCCTCGAGTAACTTTCAAGCCGCCCATGCGAACGCGACGACTGTCGAGCCCGTGGGCGTCGTAGATCCGGACCACTTCTATAAGCCCTACCGTGACGTCCATACATCCACTCAAGGCCAGGCCTACAACGAATTGATGGCGTCTGCTTTGCCTGCCTCGAGGCAAGACCAGAACCTTTCCCCACGATCGAACGGGAACGCTACGGGCCCGAAACACCCCGCCTCTTCGTCAACACGGCCCGCTCTAAAGCCAGCTTTTCGCTCTGTGTCGGCCCCTATCGATGATAAGCAGCCCGGCAATGCTGCAAAATCAGGATCTGCAGCCACACCCGCCTACGGGGCCCGCAGTGGTCATCAACCCAGTGTAAAGGATTTAAAGAGAAGATTCGACCAAAATGCGGCGCAGCCAAGCAATTCCACTGCTCGCAAGGCCACCACCCCACGCATTCCAGTTAGAGAGACATCGTCGTCACCAAGGTATCATAGAGTAAGTGGCTCTTCTCCAACGAATGGTCAAACCTCTTACATGGCGTTGCGGTCGTCTGTGACGCGTGATTTGGAATCTGGAACAGGATCATCGTCGACAACGCGAACAACACAAAGAAATAAATCGGTCGCCGAGGATCAATTATCCAACAATTCACAGTCGTTTGCGAGTCGGATAGCGAAACCTCGAGTCTCGGTTAATTCCCATTCTCAGGCATCAAAGTCTTTAAGCAGCCTCTCTCCAAACGCATCACCGACCTCAGCCGTACCAACTCTGCCATCCCGAGGCCTTCTTTTTGGCGAGATACCACCTGGCGAGCGGGATATCGGAATGGCAGGTTATGGAATTGAGGGTACGCGGACAAGACGAACTTCTGATTCCAACCTTCACAATCCAGGTGGTCTGCGTCAGCGAAGCTTGTCACACACAGGTCGTTCAGACGTTGACCCGCCTTCACCGAGTGATTGGTACCGTAGCGTAAATGGAGAATCAGCGATTCATGACGATATCGAAACGAAAAATGTAAATCCCGCTAGACTCCACAAACGGTCGCATAGCGACGTTGCTGGAACTAGGCCGAGCCCAGCGCCGTCGCAAATGCCTCGAGATTCACGTCCCAAACTCCACATAGATCGGGGTCCACCGCCAACGGTTTCGAGGCTACCCGTTTCAGTTCGAAAATTTAGTAGTCCTTCAGGTTCCTCCAGCCCTACCTCGACGCGATCAAATTCGCCCGCTACACGAAGACGACCTCCTATTCAAGGGAAATCAGCCAAGTCAACACCTGTTGCCAGAGCGAAGACCCCCAGTAGCAACTCTAGTTCCACGACGAGACGACCCAACCGCCTAGGTGCCGTAACGCCGAATGGGAGTACGAGGCTTAACGCTTATATTTCAACACCTCCACCGAAACTGTCTCCCCCTTTGCGAAGTTCGCGTCCTCGCCAACCTGTGTCTTCAGCAACTACCGCGAGCTCAAGGATGAAGGCCGTCGAAAGGGGTCGATCACCATCACAGTCTGATTTACGACCCGGGGCGAGGGCTAGCGAGCAAGGACCTCGAAGGCGAAAAATATCGATGGGACCAATCGATTTCGAATCGCGGAGGGAGCAAATTAAGCTGTCATATACGAAGTCTATCCGGGAGAATGAAGCCCGAGCAGCAGCTAGGAGAGCCGCTGAAGAGAAAAAGCGGAAGGCAGAAGCTGAGGCCAGGGCGAAGGCTAGGGCGAAGGCCAAGGCTGAATCAGAAGCTGAGGCTGAGGCTGGGGTTGAGGTTGATGCTACGAAGATTGAACAACCAGATGCCGACGAAGAACGCTTAGGTAGAATCAGGGAAGAACCTTCGTTGGACACTGTTGAAAGCCCAGCGGTTCCTGAAGTACCAGCCACAGATCAAGTGGCGTTAACGATTTCAACAAACCTTCAACAGCCAGAACTGGATGACCTTTCACCGAATTCAGGAACGATTCAGAGAGACTCATCAACGCTTGGCGGCATACCTGGGAGCTTTCCGGCTGCTGGAAGCTCTCAGGATCAGGATGAGGCCCCCCCTTCGGCCATCTCAAACACCACCGAATTCGATATCGAGCCCCAAGTAGAGCCGTCCTATCAAGAAGTGCCCGTGCGTTTAGATATAGCCAGGGCAGGCGATGAGGACATTACCTCAGAGCCAGGATTTTCGAAATCCGAATATCGATCTCCATTCGAGGATGAATGCACCAATGATGATGTTTCGATCAATGTCTCGTTAGAAGCTCCTGTTGAGACGGTGCTGCAACTCATAGAATCTACTGCGACTACAAGGGAGCTCAGTGCGAACCAGGTCATTCCAAGCCCGTATGAGGACGGCGATGATGATGAGGAATATTCTCCACGGCCCCTCCCGTCTGAGCCATACCAAACCAAGGTGACAATTATTGGACGTGATTCGGACTTTTCACCCTCAAGTAGAGTAGTTGATGAGTCAGCAAGTGCAGCCATCTCTAACACTCGAGATTTCAGAGACCTCAACTCTCCATTTGAAGGCCCCAAAATATTTCGCCCATTCCCCTATAGCCGCACAACTAGTCCGAACAACGACCAAGCCGGCCCAAGTGCTGGCCTTAGCGAAATCGAAGAGTTCTTCGTTGGCCCAATGCTCAAGGATGATGTAGCAGCTATCCCTCGAGATTCTAGCCCTAAACCATCGGAAGGAAAAGATGTGGTTAGTCCCAGACGGCCAGTTACAGAAGACTCACGCTTCTCTCTAGAGTCTCGGAGGACCATGGCCACAGCTCCTAGCCTTAATGTGCCTAGAACTTCAAATTCGATGAACAGAACAAGTCAAACGACTGTTTGGACCGATTACTCGATCAACAGCCAGGACGCGTACTCAGACTATGAGCTAAAAAACCGAGACCTGCAAAATCGCGACTCAAGCTGTCAAGACAATCATTCTATATCGGACTCAAGTTCGCTATCACAGCCATACCAGTACGAGCTAGACTCTAAGGAAGTGCATTGCAGTGACGATATACCTCCCCAAGATCTTGAGTCAGTGCATCATGCCTCGCATCAGCTCCCAGAACTCAATACTGGGGATGGCTTCGTGGTAGACTACGTTAACCACAAGGATAGTTCGATTCCAGTTTTACCCGACCACGCTCCACCGCCACCCCCAGACGCGAGTTCATTGCGTGACGTTATGAGCTCTGTGCCACAAAGCGAATACTTTGATGAGACGAGACCGAATAGCTACCTCCAGGTTGGAAAAGATGATCAAAGCGTCTTCTCTGCGGATCCTTCTAGGAGGGAGAGTGAAGATTTTGATCAGTCCGAATCAGGCTCCCGTACAGTATACCAAGGCTCACTCGATATTTCCGAAGGATTACCAGCCCATACGATTCTCCTAGACAGTCAGCAGACACTAGCAGAAAGCGTTGACCAAAGCGAGGAGGGTACAGGTCTTTCAGCGCCGGAGAGAAAGCGACTATTCACACGCCTTGAAACTGTCAAAGAGCTTATTGATACTGAAGCATTTTTCATCAGGGATATGAATATAGTCGAAGAAATCTACAAAGGCACAGCCGAAGCCTGCCCCAAGTTAGACGATAAAACTATCAAATTAATATTCCGCAACACTGACCAGATCATCAAATTTCATTCGGGCTTTTTAACCGAGCTTAAGCAAGGGGTATCTAGCATCTATACTCCCAAGGGACATCGGACTCAGAAAGAATTATCGAGCTTGTCTGATGGCACTCTTTTATCAACAGTTTCCACAACCGCTACAGGTCATTTGAACGATGCCAGAGATCGACAAACGTCGATAGGACCGATTTTTTCCCAGAATATAGAGCAAATGAAAGCGGCACATGAGACGTTTCTCAAGAATAGCGACTACGCGGCAAAACGACTAATCCAGATCCAAGAAGACCCTACTGTGAAAGTCTGGCTGAACGAATGCAATGAAGTTGCGAGAGACTTGACGAAGGCCTGGAATCTCGATTCCCTCCTTATCAAGCCAATGCAGAGAATTACGAAATACCCTACGCTCCTTGTCCAACTTCTTCATGAAACACCTGCAGACCACCCAGATCGTCTATTCCTTGAAACTGCCAAGGCCAGCCTAGAAAATGCCATAGAAGAGATCAACAAGACAAAGAAGAATTTTGAGCTGGTTGGCCAGATAGTTGGTAGAAAACGTAAAGACTCTGATGTCAGGGCTGGCCTGGCGAGGGCGTTTGGGAAAAGGGTTGATAAATTACAAGCCACTCAGAGACTGGCAGATGATCCCGAGTATCTCAAACTTCATGAGAGGTTTGGCGACGATTACCTTCGGCTACAGGTCGTGCTAAGAGATGTTGAGTTCTATACGAGGCAGGCTACTGAGTATGTGCACGAATTTCTGCGGTATCTATCCTCGATGGAATTGGTCATGCGGCTCCAGCCCTCACCCCACCCCGAGATCGAGAGCAAATGGGTCCGATTCAACGTGTCTATGAGAGATATTGAAAAGGTTGCGCTAGAGCAGCATGTAAGTTACTTCATCTATCGCCCACTACAGTCTTTTTAGGCTAACCCGATGACTGTAGCTCTCTCAAGTTCGGAAGCAAGTAATTGAGCCTTTCGAGCTCGTGATCAAATCGTACGGTAACCCGTCGCTTGCTATGAAAAAAAGAGCCAAACGTCGGTTAGACTACGAGAAGTCGGTTCAACTTAAAAAGAGCAGTAAAAAGGTCGACAAACAACTGTCTGAATTTATCGAACAGTACGAAGCTCTAAACGAAGCTTTGAAAAAGGAACTGCCGAAGCTGTCTGCGTTGACCGAGAAAGTTGGCCAAATTTGCCTTGGAAATTTTGTCAATATTCAAGCCCAGTGGTTCGCTATATGGAAGGAAAAGGTCAAAGCGGTACTCGAAGACCAGGAAGTTCCAGAGATCGCCGATATCATCACTTCTTTCCAGCGTGACTATAAGTTCCAGGACGAGCAGATTAACACAATTGGAATCATAAACCCAGCGGCCAAGGGCCGTCCTTCCCAATCAACCAGCACCGACGAGCCTTTTGCAAGAATCCGCCCTAGACTTAACGACCTATCACCCCGCGGCCGAGGAATGTCTTTGAATAGCGATACAGCTCCTAGTTTGCCTACCCCTGATTTCATGAAACGCCATAGCGGTCAATTCACTATCTCGCCGACTGTTGCTTCTATGCCAAGTCCTCATCAATTCTATTACCGTGATTATTATGCCGGGATCAACGCGCAAGGGCTCCCAGGGCCCAGCACGCCACATACCCCTGAATTGTCCAGTGCTTCTCGATCCCTGGGTCCAGCATCTGTGCGACCTGGGACAGGCCAGAGCTATGAATCGAGCGCTGCCCCAAGGCAAAGCACAGAGTCTGGCCTACAGTCAAGGCGCTATTCCAACTCGATGTATCCCTCTCCGCTTCAACCACCCGACACCCATCGCTACTCTGGCCTATTCCAATCTGCGCTCCCCCCCTCGGATAGCCAGGAGCGGCTTCCTCGACCATCCCAAGCGTCATCTCGTGCGTCATCTCGGGAGCGACAACCAATTAACGGGTACAATGTCCTCTGGCTAGCAGCTTCTCTCTTCGAATTCAACATTGAAACCACCAAACACGAAGCCGGATATCCTTATCTAACATACCAGGCAGGCGAGGTACGTTCATCTCATTTACTCATTATGCGGAATGATGTAGTTGCTAATAATCTGATCTCAATAGATTTTTGACGTGATAGCTGAGAAAGGCGAGCTTTGGCTTGCCAAAAACCAGGACGATCCCAGCAACGTGGTTGGGTGGCTATGGTCTAAGCATTTTGCCAAGTTAGCGGATGACTAGGTGGCCTGGTATGTTCTCGGCGGCGCAACGCAACATCTCCTGACACATTGAGTGAGCTTTAGACTTAATGCTATAAATGATATAACAGGCGCTAGGTTACTGGGCTTTCACATTTGTCATTTGCTCTCCAGCCTGAACAGACTCTACTTCAGTGGTAATGGGAGACAATTTTGGTGGAATAGGGTTTTTTTGAATCTACATCTTTTATATGTAACAAAACTATGGCGAAAACTACGTGGTGGTAAGGCCCGCTCTATTGGCGAGGCCTGGGCGAGTATGGCGTTTCTTCATTTTTTGGTTGGCATCATTTACTGTACGACGCGATGGGATATGATATTACCAAAGTACAGGCAGGGGAGAAGAAGGAAATCTCAGCGATGAAAAGCGACAGAAGTATATCTTTTTTTTTGTTTCTATTCTTCCAGCCATGTTATTATTTCCCGGAGTGCTTCAGCTCTGGGGTTCTACATTGGTATTTGTATTTGTTGTTAACTACCCTGGTACCTAGGTAGAGACGAAGTTGTGGTGGTGGTAGAATGGGATGCGGGTATTTGGGCGGATTGAGTGTTGTGCGATGATATCAGATCCGATTTCTTTATCCAGAGATCGTAATATAATAAAACTCATCAAAAGTCACAGACTGGGCCGAGAGAACAGACTAGGAACAGACAGACAAACAAACATCGGCATAGCCTCTAATCATCGTTTCCCTTTGCTATTCGCGCAACATACGTACTAGAGAAAGCCCCCTCCCATGAGCTCGCGTATTGATGCAAGTTGTCCCCGTACGAGTGCAGTCATTGCATCATCATCATCATCATCAACAACATCAACATCAACATCAATATCAATACCTACGAGACTCAATTTACGTAACTATACAAAGTAGGCAGGTGTTGCAAAACCAGATATATCTTCTTCTCCCTTTTCACCGCTCTAGGGTTCTTTCCCCGGCCCTATCGCCTACCCTAGGTAGGTTAATGATTTGTTTGTTTGTTCGTTCCTTCGAAGCCACGTTTATCCCAGTGCTGCGTTTGCTTTTTGCTTTTTTTTTTGCCTTGCCTACCCTGGCCTTGTAAGTGTACTATATATACCTAGTATGTATGTATATGCAAAGTCCACATAACACTCATACATCACGGCCACTTACCCAGTAGTTACTAGTTAGGTAGGTAGGTACTTGTCCCAGCCCAATGGGGCCACGCTTTTTGCCGAGAACGGTTCCACAGGGTTAGGGGAGAGAGAAGAGGGGATTGGGGATGGGGATGGGGATGAGGGGGGTAACATACTCTATTAAAAAAAAAGAAGGGAAAAAAGGGAAAAAAGAAAAGAAAAGAAAGGGAACTAGTGTAGATGTGTCGTTTTAGGTGGCACAGCAGACGCATGAGTTTTAGTTAGTTCCCAACAGCAAAAACGCTGTACCACCTGGCCGGTCCCCCTTCCCCCCCCCCTTTTTTTTTGGGCTTCCTTGCTTGCCTAGCATCCAATCCCTCGGGCTAGGATCGCTAGGTAGGCAATGGATGGCGTATGTATATGTATGTATGTGTGTATGTTTATCCCTCGATGGGGGAAAGGTGGTCTGATCAAATCTACTATACCTACATAGTTGTTCGTGCCCCCCCCCTATTTTTTTTTGGCTGGGCCCGCGACCACGGAGGTGGATGAGGGGGAGGAGTAGACTCCAGGTGAGGGTTCCTTTCTCTCGGGTATAGGGCCTTATGCAAGGTCAGAATTACTTGGGTATAACAGCAGCCTCTGGTTCTGGTTTAGGTAACGGGAATCGAAGGGGTCTGTCTGTCAGCCGCATTTGACGACCGTTGTTGGGTTTAGCCGTGGGTTTGGGGGTTGGTTCTATTTTCGTTTGGGGGGTTTTTTTTTCTTTTTGGCTGGGACGGAGGATGAAAGATGCAGGACGTTGATGGAGGTTTCGTAAGGAGACGGTGGTTAAAATCAATTGGATATCTATCTAGGAATAGCGTAGCCCTTGGAGGTTATAGAAACTTTGAGCTAGGTAAATTCTTCCGCTTGTTCTCTGCTTCTATGTGTCTAACCTGGGTATGTCTTTGACTCTGCCTCCGTCTTCGTCTCTACCTACACTAATAACGTGCCTACTTACCTAACCTAGGTCTAGCAGGTTGCGAAGTTCGCACTAAACAAAGACACGACACGGGAAGCCAACTATATGGTATGAACTAAACTCGAACTACAGTGCCCTCCCCGTTGCCAAGAGAGCCGGAGCCTCCCCTTGCAGATGTAGCGAGCCCCGGATAAGCCTAGTTCGAACGAAGAACCCGACATTGGGGGGATTGGTAGGCCGGGTATACGGCTAGAATTGCTTAGCGGTGATCACTGGCGGTTATGTGGTCGTCTCTACTTTCCTTCTTTATATGTAAGTTCTTTAGGGGAGAGGGGAAGGAGGAGAGGGAGAGTGGGAGGGATGCGTTGTCATCATTTTGAATTTCTAATTTATTACTTAGCAAGCAGGTGATTTGAGCATAGAAGTGACTGTCATTTTAAATAGTGATGGGATGTTTGTTCATCATTTTAATGTTTTTGATTCTCTTTGGTCGAACGGGATACCTAGACGGGAATAGTAATGTAGCCATGGTATCAGGTATAATCAGGTATGGCTATGTGTGTGATACTTGTTGGAGGGGTTTTTTGGGTCGATGACCAAGATGCCCTCATCCGGAACTGAGGATTGCCGTAATTGGATTCGGTATGGGCTTGTGTATGGGTGTATGAGCGAGTGTGTGTGTTGAATAGTTCACCCACGATAGGGGACTAGTTCGCTTCGGCCCTACCAGTGTAACGTGAAACCAGAGTGATGGAATAGGGAATGGGGAATAGGAGGGCAGTAAGCACCTTATTGGTGAGAAAATGAGGAACAAGGAAAATGCTACATGGCAGCTACAGTTTATTATCTATCTACTACGTACGCCTACCTACCTACTTGGTAGTAACTACATGCCTAATATGTAACCTATCCCACCAACGTATGAACTAGTCCTGGTAGGTATACACTTACATACTAGTCGGGACGCCTAGGCACGCCAACCCTCAGGGTTTCAAATCCAACGGCACGGCACGGCCAAATATTCCGCAGTCCACTAACACCTATTCAAGGTAGTTTTTTGTTTAAAAGAAATCAAACTCTTTAGGACCTTGGGGTGAGAGAGCGAGTGATATAGAGGAGGGGGGATACATCAATGCACTGGAACGTAACCTGGGTAAGCCGCGGTTAGCAGATCGGTCCATGACTCGTGAAGCGAGATCCGCGGAGAAACCAAGAAAAATAACACAGATGCATTAACGGTCGATCTTATAAAACGCACGCACCCAAAAGGTATGACGAATCCTATCGAGTGATAATAGATAAACCACAGCACATGTGGGTGGATAAGGGGGCAAAGATGATAATATGTACCGCGTTACCTGTCATACGAGAGAATGTATTTGTTTTCTCTCTCTCTGTCGTGTGTGTCTGTCCCTATGTATGTATATTCCCCTTTTGATAAAAAAACAGAGAGGCTAGATGATTGTCCTGACAAGGGGGTCTGTGGGTTGTGGCGTGGATCGACTGACCGCCCGCCATTCTGTCAATCTAGCTTTAGCGATCCCCCTCCCATTCGATTCTAGGGGCGGGACGCTCGACGCTAGGGTAAGAGGACAAGACATTTAGGGCCATCTAGACGTCCCAGCACAGAGCGGGAAACAGTGGGCCGGGACGCGACGATTACGATTATGTGTAGAGAAATGAACAGACTGGCTAGGTATCTGTTACTACACTGCTGAAATTCTGAATACCTGACCACGCACTGTACTTATAGACAGGGCGAGATTAACACAACATCGTATGTCAACATCTTCAAACTTTCTACATGGCCCTGATGATCTCCACCTCCATCGCCAAATCATAACTCGTAACCCCTTGAGGTTCGGTCTTGGTTCGGGATGCAATGCGATGTTAAAGAGCGGTAGGCAAAGCAACGTACCTGCGTATCGAGAAGCCTAGGTAAGGCACGAAGGTAGGCATAGTTATATTATACATCTAGGAACACTCACAACTAAATCGTAAGTAGGTTGGCAGGCAGCTACATACCTACAGTAGGTTAGGTAATTAGCCAGGGACTCCATTGCAGCACGACATCTGATCAATGTATCATCGTATGGGCGATCCTGGCAAGTCGGGGGCGGGTGACGGACGTGGGTATTGGGAATACGTAGGACTTCCAAGGTTGTTTACTAGGTAGGTTAACCTGACCTAGAACCTAGAACGGTCATGGTTGTTACACTTCTTTTTTGGCAGTAAGCCTGCATGTGATGACAGATACCTACCTACGCAGGGCAACGAGGGTCATCGACTTTTGAATGACATGCGGGAAGCGAGAAACTAAAAAAAACAACTGACAGCCGACAGGAAATTCCCCCAGACTACGGTACTCGGTAGACAAGGCCCGAAGATAGCATTAAGTAGCATTGGTGACATCGAACGTAACGGTGGGATGCTTCCAAAGCCGATCAAGCCCCGTGCTCAAAAGGAAAATAAAAAAACAAGTATGAAAAAATAACTAAGAGCTAAACAAAATAACCCTGGCGCTTAGGTCATCGAGCAAGTCAGACGAGAATTGAAGAAATTCCACACCCCAGGGTCTCACGTCAACAAATGATGAATGGCTCCCGTACCCTCGGGCGGCCATAGAGGCAAGCAATGCTGTGGAGTTTTTAAATACAATGTCATCAATATATGAGGCCAATCTTGGATGATATGGATTTAACTCGTTGAAGAGAAAAAAAGGGGGAGGAGGCAATCCTCCCACGTACCTACGATAGGAAGGCTTAGTCTACAGGTCTGCAGGTCTGCAGGTCTGCATGTATTATATAATACCATGCATGAGGGTACATCGTCATCGATGCAAGGTAAGGTTAGAATAATAAAGACAGTAATAATAAAAAGGGGAGAGAAACTTTATTCTCAAAATTTCGGATGTGACGAGAACCTCGATGCAACATAAAGCGACAACTTTTTTTTTCCGCGGACCCCAGGCTGAACTCTACTTTCTGGTACCGAGTATTTTGTTCCACGGTTTAAGAGTCCTCGTCTAGCAACCGTAAGAGTTGTAAGTGAATACCGGCATAGCTGACCCTGTTCGACTAGAGACAATCCATGATCTATATTATGTAGGTAGGTATATACCTATATATAGGTACCTACCTCACTTAGTAGTTACATAAGCCGAATAGGTTCCCTCTTTAAGCCAACGTCCAACGTTACCGATTCTATACCAACCTTGACTTTAACGTCATGATCAAAGACGAGTAAGTTAAGCCTCGAGAAATAGAAACACAGCAGCTTATCTATCTAGGTACCTACATATGCACATACTTACGTAGGCATTGCAAAAAGACCCAATGTGTGTTCCGAAGAGACTATGATGACACCGCAAGTTAGTACTATATTCTCAGTTTCGGTGTAGTGTAGCTCAAATCTTTCCCATACCTAAGCCAAGGTTGACCCAGCACGCCTCTATAGATATCATTGGTGGCCTCGAGTGATGCAGATGCTGTAGATGTCTCTTTTGCCTTGAGCTTGAGGCTTGAGGCTTGAGGCTTGAGTAACCATGTCAAGGTATACTGCTATAGTTAGAGGCACATATGTATGTCTTGTACATACGTTCAGCTACTAGGCCGATAGGTACGTATTCGGCTCCGACTATACGGTACCCAATCACTCGGCCTCTCGCTCCTTTGCCACTTTCAATGCTTCTCGCCTTACATACCTAGCTGCCTACTTATCTGTACCTAGTGGGTTGGCATATATGTAATATGTATGTACATGCCTACGTTAGTACATCTTACTGCATAGTGCATGTAGTAGAATAGTAAGATGTTCGTATCGGTATTACGTGGCTCAATATAGAGTATCAAATGTGTATTTGATTTTGTATTCAATATATTTATCAGTTGTTTAGATATCATCGATATAAAATCAAGGCTCGTAAGTCGAACGCCGTTTGCCAAATTTAGTTGTACTCAGGTATTTGTAGCCGCTACTGCCCAATGTTTAGGGCCCTGAACCATGCAAAAGTTCCGATGCGTTAAGTGGTACATGCTTATACCCAGGGTTCTTACTAGAATGGATGCCCATAGTCTACTAGTGTAGCAAGGATGAGAAAGGTTAGGCTAACCCCTTTTTGTCCAATTCAACTCGAGGAGATTCAGTTACACGGTACTATGTATGTACTTAAGAGACAATGGACAATTGGACATACGCAGGCATGTACGAAGCATACTGGCTGGTTATGACTGGGAAGGTATGTTGTCTACGCAGCTACATCATGCCTACATGTTATGTATGTGCCATTGTGCCTAGTGTCTACCAAGCTATGTAGTACCTAACCTAGCACTACTAGTAGTAGATGAGAGACAAGGGTAGACAGGGTACCCAGACGGGACAAGCCTAGGTTCATTGCTGTACACTTATTTGACCCTTGCCTCCAATCGGGCTGCCAATCGGCTGGTGGCGCTCTTATTATTTTCTTTTTCTTTTCCCTTTTTTTTTGAGTGTTGCTATCCGTACTCCTATTTTTTGCTATCAGGGCCTTATTCGCACTCCTATACATCCCCTAAAACTTTAAATCCGGGCCTAATTTAGTGCCCCTAGCGCCCCCAGCTGCCCACATCAATCCAATCCAAATAACTCTCTGAAACATATAGCCACAAACGTGCAACCAAATTCAATTGAAAGCGCGCTCAATTCTGAATTGATTGATATAGGTCTCGAATTGAGGCGATACGTGGTTGCAAAGTTATTCAAGAAAGTAGGTGGCAAGCCGGGCGGCACGTGACTAACCTTAAAACCACACTAAGAGCTCTTGGTGTCACGCTAAGGGCCCTTAGAGCCGCCTAAGAGCCCTAGAGCCGCTCGGGCCACGCTAAGGAGTGTCACGTGACTGCTGTCGAGACAAATACCAACATAACTCTTCGACCACGTATCGCCTCAGATTGAAGCTGGTACCAATCAATCGGTAATTGAATTCTCTTTCAATTGAATCCGGTTGCATCTTGGTGCGATATGTGGTTGGAAAGTTATTCAAGGTTGAAACTGCTGAGTAAGGTTTGGGTCTAAGGGCTCTAAGGGCTCTAAGGGCGCTAAGGGCCCTTAGTGTGGCTCTAAGGGCTGTCACGTGCTTCCCGGGCTGCCACCTACTTTCTTGAATAACTCTGCGACCGAGTATCGCCTCAGCTTGAGACCTATATCAATCAATCGGTAATTGAATGCGCTTTCAACTAAATCCGGTTGCACGTTTGTGGCTGTATGTTTTAGAGAGTTATTTGGATTTAATTGATGTGGGCAGCTGGGGGCGCTAGGGGCGCTAGATTAGGCCCGGATTTAAAGTTTTAAGGGATGTATGGGATGTATAGAAGTACGAATAAAGCCCCGATAGCAAAAAATAGGAGTACGGATAGCAACACTCTTTTTTTTTCTCTTTTTCTACTTTAATATAGTTTGCGCCTCTCCCAGTCTAGCAAGTTGACCACAGCAGCTGTCCCTTAAAAGAGTCTGGGCGGGACTTTGTCTTACATAGGTTTTTTTATTTTCTCCAACCACGTTTCTCCATCTTCCAACGGTCAAATCATCCCACCTTAATTCTACCGCAGAGTAAACAAAAAAGAAAGAAAAAAAGAAAAGAAAGAAAAGTCAACCTTGACGGCATACATACATACAATACCTACCTACATACCTACATACATACATACATGACTAGGTGTCTATCTACCTAGTAGTAGTACCTAACCAACAAAGTACATACCCAAGATCTGGGTAGCAGAGCATTTCATACAACAGCATAGAAAAAAGAATCTAGCAAGCACATCGAACACATCGAACTTACCGAACGTATCGATCAAATCCAGCAAATCCAGCAGCTCCAACACATCCAACAAACGCATCAAGAATATCTGGCACATCTGGCACACCTAAACTTGTTACCATTCGATCTACTTCTCATCCCCGCGCAGTTCCTCTGGCTTGTTTCGTTAGATGGAAGGGTAAACTGTGGGTTTTCCCCGTCAGGTCCACCGCTAAGGTACTTCAGAAGTCCATGAAACCTTGCCTTGCCGTCTTTCTACATCTTCCTACCGCTTCCTTTATATTAGGTGCCCTGCCCGCTTACCTCTCTGCATATACTTATATAGTGCTCAAGCCCTTGCCAGAAGAACCACAGTCCCTCTCTTCTCTTCCTGCATCCTACACCTTTTCGAAGACGACGGCCTTCCCACTACCAATCTAGCCTAGTTTGATTCCACTTCCCGATTAGACCAACCCCTACGCTAAAAAAGTGCCCTTTGTTTCCTCCGTCCCTGAAACACTCCCGTCTATAGCTTCCAAGCTTTCTTCCAGGCGCGAGAGACACGTGCCGAAACTGACTACGATAGAAATTTCGGTAGAGCTCGAATGATACATTGAATAGTAGCTAGGTGGGAGCAAGAAGTAGGACAAGAGACAAAATGAGTTCAGGATACCCAGCTCCGCCTATTCATCACTCGCAGGGGTTTTCGCCAGAGATGCCAGGCCCCTCCGCGCACCATCCGGGCTATGCCCAACTGCCTCCTCCCATGCCTTCGAACCCATACTACCAACAAGATCCCATAAGCAACCCTCACCGGGCAAACATGCCTCCTCCGCGAACGAACATGGCCCCGCCCAACATGCCCGGGTCTAGAGACCGTGCTGTCGAGCTCGGCGCAGCAGAGAATGGTGCCAGCGGTTCGGGGCCTAGTCCACTTACTACCAAACCAGGAGCTGAGGAAAAGGACAAGCCAGCTCCGCAACCAATTGAGGGCACCGACGCAACAAGGAAATATAGGTATGTTGATTCTCCCTAAAAATATATAACTTTTTTTTTGGACCGATTATCTTCTGGTTCATAGGATTGACATATGAATCAGGCTCGAGGTTGTTCAACAACCCCTGAGGGCGAGAATGTGTGGCTTCGGTGACAAGGTAAGCGCATTTGAGCCCGTTCTGTTTGCGTTGACTAGAGGCTAAACACAGATTATAGGATCGACGGCCTATTACTCCTCCGCCCTGTATCAGACTAGTGGTGATGGACAAGACTACCGGCAAGGAGGTAGATTGCAAGTGTGTGGAACACAGCCTTGTCACTCTTCAGATCACAACTAACCCTGAGCTAGCGAGGTTGAACACCAACATTATGTGTTGCACGTAGATCTTTGGTCCGAGAATGGGGATAAAGAGGTCAACTTGGTCAAGCACTCACAACAATCGCCGTCTATCTCATCCACCCAGGCATCTTCTTTCCGTGAAGTGATTGAGGGTAGCCAGACTGGGGGCTATGGATATCAGTCGATTGTGCCCTCGAACCGCGATTATGCACAACCTAACCCTGGATACCCTCACGCCATGCCTTACCAGCCAGACCCATATGGACAAGGTAACAACAACAAGACCCCAGTTGTAAATATGTTTGATGGCTCTGTTTCTGATGAATATTTTTTCTAGGGTATGGGTATCCCCAACAAGCCCAGCCATATGGCTATCCTGGTGGTGGCTACCGAAACGATATGGTGCCGGGGGTACCTCAGTTGCCATCTCAGCCAATGTTCGGTCCCCGATTCTCGCAGGATATGTCGGGACACCAGATGACGCACAACCGGCTGATGGGGACACAATCGCCAAATGGCATGTACACGAGAAATCTCATTGGCAGTCTTGCTGCCAGTGCATCGCGTCTCACAGACCCCACCGATAAGATTGGAATTTGGTTCATTTTACAAGATTTGAGTGTTCGAACCGAAGGATGGTTTAGGTAGGTGGCTTATTTCACTTCCAGGTTACTTGTTATGTTGTTACTCATGGCACGCTTACATGGTATGACACACAGACTACGATTCTCCTTCATCAATCTACGACGACCCGACGCAATTCCCAACGGCGGCAGTGACGCGGAACTACTAAACAGGGGTAGAGCACCCGTTCTTGCGCAGGTTTTTAGCGAAAAGTTTCAAGTTTATTCAGCCAAGAAATTCCCCGGTGTTTGTGAAAGCACCGCTCTCAGCAAATGTTTTGCTGTGCAGGGAGTCAAGATCCCCATTAGAAAAGATGGCCAAGACGGGAAAGGAAGCAAGGGCCGAGGATCAGATGATGAAGACGATAATTAAGATGTGTCTACAACCGATGCTCGAATATGAGTCAAGATGGCTCTTTCTGAACAGGTGCCTGACCTACCGACCTACTTACCTACCTACCTGTACCTAGTAGTACATCTGTTGGGTTGGGCTACATACATGTATGTCTCAGAGGACGCAAGGTAGCCTCTTCCCGTTATCACGATGCTATCACGGTAGCACGGACGTTTCAATACCTTTCGGCGGGTATATGGGACGAATGGAAGTCAGTTGGGTTCGGTTGATGTGACGGAGAACCAGATAACTGCCGACAGAAAAACTACGTCAGGTGAACAAAGGAAAAGGTTTAAAAGTTAGCCAGGCCAAAACACATATATCTATGGTTGACTACCTACCTACCTAAGGTTTATATGTTAAGTATGTATGCTTGCAAACCGAGGGTTTAGTTCTAACAATATACCCACGAAACAGTACGAGTCAGATGTCATGGAAAGGGAAATGGAAATGGAAATGGAAATGGATGAATTTAGAAGAAATATGCGCGTCATTCATTGATTGGTCTTGTTTTTTTTTTTTTTTCGTGTGCCTGTGCTGTGCTATGCTGTGCTTGGCCTTTTTAACTTGCCGTGCTATCATGATGACTACATGTCTAGGTAGGCGGGTACCTTATTTTTATTTCCAGGTTATTTTCCTCTTATGCTTTCGCACATGTACGGTAGGGGGCTGAACTTGTCAAACGGGTCTGTACCTTAGGTACTAACCTAGGTAGGTATTCACTCTAATAGTTCGCGGCTTGAGATGAGCTGGGAGCTAACCTAGATACCTTGGAAAGCCTTGATTGGGTAGGTACCTACCTACTTATAGTACTATGTATAGGTATTCAATGTTTGTTTTAAAGTAGGTATTGATTGTAAGGAAGCTTGTCGAGTCGCCTTTCAACCGTAACCGTAACCGTAACTAGAACTCTAACTGTGATTGTGACTGTAACTGTAACTGTCACAAAAGAAAAAACATCTTTAGGTAGATAGCTTATAAGTTGATCTGTTTAGGTATATTGAGTGGTGGGTGGAGGGTGAGGTTTGGATGTCATTATACGAAGAAACACTGGATGACTGGGTGCTTAGGGGTTTTTTTTTTTTTTTTTTTTTTTTTGAGAAACTGTATTTAGGTTAGGTAGGTATATCAGAGATCTACGTCTTGGATATAAGAAGAAAAAAAAGAGAGAGAGAGAGAGAGAGAGAGAGAGAGAGGGAGAGAGAGAGAAAGGGGTTGGATAATATGGGCTGTTGGGTGAGTGGGTGGATTGTATTGTGGCTTAGCCCGTGAATTGAGCGAGATATGGGATTTTCATGGGTCGATGTTGGATAATAAGTAATATATATGGTACATGTAGTTATGTATATTGCAGGTGTAAGTTGTGTTCGTCAATATGAGTATTTTGAGTACCTATTCAAGTTGGGATGCCATCTTGGGAGATGTCTGCTGATCTGTCCTTCCTATCAGATGTAGGGTAGCACGGGCTCTACATAGTATATATACATATATAAGTCCATCGCATCTCACCAACCCCAAGTATTAGCACCTATTCCAACTACCTACAACCCTTCCCCTTAGGAGAGACTATCGTAGTACATCTTCTTCGCCGCCTCAATCAGCTTCTTGACCTCCACCGCCGGGATCTTCTCCCGCCGGTCGAACGAGTACAGGCCGTTGACTTCTTGTTCAATGTCGGATCTAGGGAGATGGTATCGAGGTTGTGTTTAGTATGGAATATATAGGCAGGTACTGAAGGTGAATGGGGTGGAGTAGGATAGGTATAGAAGAGGAAGGGGGTCAGGGAACTCACAGCTGCGTATACACAAACCCACAACAATGCCCCGCGCCCACCACCGCCCGCAACAGCGCCTCGAACCTCTTGAGCAGATCCTTGGAATCGCTCGCCGTCGTGTACCCCCAATCTCTATCTTCTCCCCCTCCACCTTCATTGCCTTTCTTCGCGGGCGCGATGTTAACGCCGCCGAACTCGGTGCATATCACGGGAGCGCCCTCTTTATGCTTCGTTCCTTCGTCGATGATATGTGTGGGGGAGGCGATGGGCCCGACGAAGAAATCGCGGTCGCCGAGTTTCTTCCCGAGGATCCCCTCGAGCGTGGCGCAGGTCTGTGATAGCAAAGGCGCGTCCGAGTAGTCGTGGAAGGTGCTCAGGTCTGTGAGCACGTGCTCCCAGCCGCAGTTGTCGTTTACGGGACGGGTTGGGTCGAGGGTTCTGTTGGGATATCAGTCGTGGTTTGTCTTTGGGGACTATAGGGGGGCGAGGGGGATGGAGGAGGTGGAGGAAGAAAGGGGAAAGGGGGGTTGGTGATAGCTCTTACTTGGTCGTGTAGTATAGCGAGCGGATGTGATTTCGCTGGTCTACGTTATCCTTGAGGTTTGGATACGCCCAGCTCTCCTGCTACTTGTGAGTATCTATGCTTGCAAGCACCACCTTACTCCTCAATACTGATTGGGAGCATGGGGAGTATAGCTTTTTAATAACAAACGAGAAAAAACAAAATTAGGCTTCGAACGTACTATAACACATGTTAGCCACCCCCTATTCACATAACTCCAGAGAAAACTCTTCATTTACTTAGGGATCCAATACATACCATTAACAGGCGTCCAAGTGACGACCGAAGGATGATTGATATCCCTCTTCACCGCCTCAACCCACTCCCTCTCGAACCTCTCCGCGTAGTCCGGCGTGAACTCATACGCATTCGCCATCTCACCCCAGACCAAGTACCCCAGGCGATCGGCCCAGTACAAGAAAACCGGGTCCTCGACCTTTTGGTGCTTGCGGCAGCCGTTAAACCCCATCTGCTTTGAGAGCTCGATGTCGGCGCGCAGGCTGTCCGGCGACGGCGGCGTCATCCCCGTCTCGGGCCAGTACCCCTGGTCGAGCACGAGCGCCTGGAAGAGCGGGCGCCCGTTGAGCCGGAACGTGCGGTCGCCGCGCGTCCAGTCTAGGTGCCGGAACCCCGTGTGCGTACGCGCTTCGTCCAGTAGTGCATCGGAAGCGTCGTACACACGGATCGACACGTCGTATAACGTCGGGTGGTCCGGCGACCACAGCGCCAGGCTCCCTTGCCAGCACTCTGCATCGTCGAGCGGCGCCACCTTCACCAGAGACTCAGGTGCGCTGGCCTTCTGCTCGTCGCTCAGCGCGAGACCCAGGCTAATCGCTACTTGGTCCTTGTCACTAGGCAAGGGCTCGCGCTTCTTCGCAACACTGAGGCCATGGAGGAAACCCTCGATCTCAACCGTATAGGCATGCCCGGCGCGGCGGCCGAGAATCGCCACCGTGGCTTCTAGAACGCCCGAGACGGTGTCCGTGGACCTTAGCACAGTGCCAGCACTGCTATCGCCGACGCGCGTCGGCGGGACGACCTCGAGCCACACAGGCTGCCAGATGCCGCTCGACGGCTTGTAGAAGATGCTCTCTGGCTGGGGCGCCCAGTACTGCTTGCCGCGGGGCTGGGAGAGGTCGTGGGGGGAGTCGCGGATGCGGAGGACGAGGTCGAGCCTGCCCTCGCTGTTATTCCACGCATCAGTGAGATCAACGTCGAACGGCACGTGCCCGCCCCGGTGCTGGGCGACGGGGTACCCCGCGGCCCAGACCGTGACATCGTAGTCGACGGCGCCGAAGCGCGCGAGCACCCTGTCTCCGGCGTCCCGCTCGGCTTTGCTGCGCGGGTCGGCGAGCTGCCGCTGCTCGTACCACAGGATCTCGTGGGCCTCGTTGTTTGCGTCGATGCCCGACGCCGGCGTCTGGAACACGAAGGGCACGTTGATCGGCTTCTTGGTGTGCTCTCTTGCGCGGGTCTTGGGGTCCTGGAACCCTTTCTCCTTGAGCTCCGGGAAGGCGGCTAGTCTCCGGGCTTCAGCCTCCGCTTCGGCGGCACCGCCCGTGGTTGTTGTTGTAGGAGCCGCGACGGATACCTTTTCGGGAACACCGTTGATGTGCCATGCTTGCTGGAGCCCGACGTCCTCGTCGTCGAACAGGATCGTCCAGCCCGCGTTCAAGGGCGTCCACCGGTGGTTGGCATGGACGAAGTCTGGTCGTGGGTAATTCTCCTTCGAGTTGTATGAGTTGTATGAGTTGTACGCCATTGTCCGGTTTTCTTCTTTTATTTCTGCTTTCTTCTCTAGATATATACGAGGAATAATAGCAGAAGATTGATCAATGGCAAGTAAGTACCTAACCTAGGTAAATACTTAATAATTTCCACTTTCTACCCACGAAAGCGATCATCCCTAAATCAACCTCCCCCTCCTCTCAAGTTGTTTGCATACAAAAGTGGTTAATTTCGATATCGGCAGGCATCTTGGTTCCATTTCTATGAAACGTGAGGAGAAGGATTGACGTCATGCTGCGCCAATAATAGCTTGTGTAGCTGGAGAAAACTGGACTCGGAGCTGCATTTTCTGCATTTTCTGCATCTTTTGCATATTCGTGGTGTTGTCTACATACATAACCTACATCTGTACGCAGCACTTACTCCTGGCACATACCTGGTTGGAACCAGTCATGCTTTCAAGGCACACAACTATTAGGTCAAGGTACCTTACTTCCTATTTCCATTTCTTTATCGATCAGCGCCATCATTAACTTCATTCAACTTAGCTAAATCCATAATATCATGCCCCTGACCCGTCATAAATACCTAAAGTAGTCGATACCTACTCCATAGGTAATCCCCAAGACGCCAACGAGTATAGGCAAAGTGCCCAGCCAAGTTGAACCCCCACCATGCAATATATCAGAGTAGCATTTCATATATTATCCCTGATTTACCAGCTTCACGCAACAGTCGTCATCCGCCTCACACTCCTCCTTGCGCCCTCACCACTAATCGTGATAGAACCATCCATTTCAAGCGCTCTCATCACCTCAGCAAAATCGGCAGGCTCGACAGGAATGCTTGCCCCCTCGTTTAATCGTCTGCTAACCTCACTCCATCGTACACTTTGTCCTCCACTGGTCAACTCATCCAAAAGTTGCAAAACTGCTGCTTTGAGCTCTGTTTTGCGTTTACGTTCTGCGGCGCTGGTGCCTTCGGTGAGAAGGCTCATGTCAATGCGACCTTGAGAGTCGGTAGCTGCTGTCTTGAGTGCTGATTGGATAAGACGCTCCGCCTCGAGGACATCGGCTTTGGTGACTACAGGGGCGAGACGCATCTTGGCGTGTGCTTCAGCAAGACGGATCATGGATTCGAGCTGACGAGTCGTGGCAGTAATGCGCTTCTCCGCCGCACGAACGTCCTGTCCTAGTTTACGCATGTTCACGTACGCTTCGACCAGAGCTTGCGAGGCATCTTGGGATAGCGTCGGATGAACGTGCGTACGGGCGTATGAAATATAGGAAGTCAAAAACTCCACAGGCTAAGTAGTCCATTAGTATTGTATAGTATGATATATGCAGAATTAAATAGCAACTTACCAATATTTCGTCGTTAGAGGAGGCAGACTGGGGCTTGTCCTCCAGATACATGGACAGTAAATGCCGGGCCAGCCTTCGATCAGTCGACTCATTGATACGATCAAGAACCAAGTAAACGAGATCAAATCGAGACAGTAATGTAGGTGGTAGATCAATATTCTGCGGGACAGGCAGGTCAGGATTGTATCGAGATCCAATCGGGTTGGCCGACGCCAAAATACTGGTTCTGGCGTTCAATGTTGTGATGATACCGGCCTTGGCCACCGAGACTGTCTGTTGCTCCATAACTTCGTGAAGAACAGAGCGAGTAGAGTCAGACATCTTATCGAACTCGTCGATGCAGCAGACGCCACCATCAGACAAGACCAAAGCACCAGACTCAAGCACTAGTTGCCGCGTCTCGGGGTCACGACTAACATACGCAGTAAGACCGACTGCAGATGATCCCTTGCCGCTAGTGTACACACCACGAGGGGCAATCTTATGGATGTACTTGAGCAACTGAGACTTGGATGTCGATGGGTCACCGCATAGTAAGACATTAATGTCTCCTCGGTACTTCGGGCTACCTCCCTTCTCAAAAGTCTTGTTTGTTCCTCCAAACATTTGTAAGAGAATACCCTTCTTCACATCTTCCATTTCGTAGACAGAGGGGGCTAATGAGCGAGAGAGAAGCTCATATATATCAGGGCGAGCAGCGGTAGCCTTGATCTTCTCCTCCTCTTCGGGGGTAATGTTTCGGACTTCGTCGATGTTATTTTCCGGGTCATTGGTGTCCTCGTCGAGAGTTGAAGGATCCATATCCAATCGCTTGTTATCAACCTTGGCAATGTGGACAACGTCGACAAAGGTTTTGAATATGCTCTTGACCGAGCGTTGGCGCGGGTTCACCCTGACTGGGCTTACGCGATAGATACCAGTAATCTTGACCCGGTCACCGGCTTTGCAGAAATCTACCAGCTCATTATAGACACAAACGGACACGGAATGAGGCGTCTGTCCAGCGGGCACGGCATCGGGAGTTTCCTGTAGTTTAATAACTTGCTTGTCCTCGAACTCACACCTGTTGTGGATAATTTGCATGGAGTTCTTGGAGTTGCACAACTGTCTCGGGCACTCTGTAGGCTCTCTGATCTTTCCTCGATCTAACCCGACTAGGAGCGAGTGACTGCAGACGCTGCATCGGAAGAAAGCCTGCTTCATGTCTGGGATGACGGGTGTCGTGCGAATCACAAGACCCTTGATGCAAATGAGCTTGTCCATATCGGACGGGTTAAGATCCCGAAGGTTGGTGATTTCATCCAAACCAAAGGGCCTGGTCATATACGTCTGATCCATCACCTTTTCTTCTAAAGTAGGACCTTGTGGAGGTCGTTGCGAAGATTGGGGCTCATCACCACGTTCTGAACTCGGAACGTGCATATCGGAACTTGGAACACTGGGTTGCGTGGCTGAAGCTCCATTGCTTTGGCTTCGTTGTTTGACCATTTCAGCTTGGGCAAGCTCAATCATCAAGTCGTGAACGGACTGGTCCATCAATGGCACGATTTCCTGGGGATAATGCTGGATTTGATGCCACATCTTTCTGGTAGGCGGGTATAGCTTGAAGTCCTGAACGTTTACGTACAGGATTCGTTGGCCGAGAATAAGCATATTCTGAAGCTCCTCCCAGTATGGCTTAGAAGTAGCATCAGGCTCAGCATCGGTCTCTTCTGTCGTCATCCCTAAGCTCCACATACGGTACTTTTTGGTGAAGTTTCGTAGGAAATCCTTGAACGCGGCGTAGGTATCGTCAATGGAGACAGTAGTACCCCAGATTGTCGCATTATCTTGACCACCGAGTGCGTCGGCATCAGTGGTGTTTGGATTCAGGTTGGAAAAAGTTGCGGCATCAGAATGTATCTCTCGAACTACGCGCCCAGCATCGTCTAGAATAACACGGCTACCGCCACTTCGTCCAGTGCTACTAAATATCTCCGAATTGATATCACCTCTTCGGTTCACTCGGCTGGCCCTTGGGGTATCAGACGGGCCCACGAATAAGTTGCTGCTTTCGCTTCGAAGATCGGATTGCGGGTTCAAGGCACGGCCTGGACTTGAGCTTGCTTCGTAGCGGATGGGTGACGATTCTGAAGTATCCGTTAGAATCTCTAGAACTACGACTTAGAACAGACACAAACACTCACCACCACCCATCATGGATCGGGCTCTAGGTGTGCGATCGCCATCATTCCCTGCCATATGTTGTAGGGGCGAACTAGGTGCGGCATTCTGATTCGGGTTGGTACTTTGGCTGTCGGTATTGTGACGCAATGCAGGAGAATTTCTGTCATTTCCATTTGCAGGAGATGACTGGTAAAATAGAGGGCTTGATACTAGTTGTGAAGGACGATTTGGCGCTCCATTTTGGGATGAACCTCCATTTGCAGGACTGCTTGAAGGGGCTAAGGAATTTCGTGTGGTCCGGCCTGGAGTACCGGCTTGCGAACTTCGTGTGCGACGATTGGAAGGCGAAGACATGTTGAAAATGTGTCAACGTGATTAGAAGTAATGTATAGACCACGCCGAGTTTCTGTGTAGTTATAGTATAACTTGTCAAAGGCGTTGGTATAATTGGTAGTGGGGAGAAGGTGAAAAATAATAAAAGCACAAGAGATAGTTATGCATGTGCATGCCGCCTAAGGGGGAAACCGCGAAAAACGGGGTAGGAACGCGTTGAAAAGGACCCACACGCGACTTTTCGCGTAAAGTGCATTTTATGCAACTGCTTATCTTCAGAGTATGTACTCAGCATAAATCTTATGCTCGCGTACTAGGTACTGATTTGAGTGTGGGGCATAATTATACATAATTAACTTGAACGTTAATTAACTAAGCATTGAACTAGGCTTAACGGGTCCGCTTAAACAGTTTATCCATCTTCCCTGGTCCAGCCAAATGCCACATGCCGCTTTCTTAGGTACCTTACATCGAACTTCCACAGCTATTAGTTATTGGTATCATTACAAAGTAGTTACTGAAACCGCCGATTACTCCAGAGACGACTTCGATATCCGTATCGCACAACCTAATTTCCCCTTACACAACTACTCAATTCCTTCAAAATGGCTCCTGGCATGTCACTGTCCTCGGTGAATGCCATCATCATTCTCAACATCGACGATGGCTCTAGGATATTCGCCAAGTACTACAACTCGCCCCACCACGCGCCCACAGTCTGTAGGTTGAAGCAATGAGTCCTGAGTTTCCAAGTGAGCGTGTTCGCAGCTACTGACTGAAGCTTTCATACAGCATTAAACCCCCATAACCAACCCAGCGGACCGTTCGCAGATGTCAAGTCGCAGAAGTCGTTCGAGAAGGGCTTGCTAGAAAAGACGGCGAAGCAGACCGGCGATATCATCCTCTATGACAACCGGATCGTGCTGTATAAGATGGAGTCTGACGTCATGATGTATGTCGTTGGCGGCGTTGACGAGAACGAGGTTCTGCTTTACAACGTTATTCTTGCGCTTAGGGATTCCCTGCATTTGCTGTTCAAGTATTTCCAACCCCGGCCATCGCGCTATTATACCACGTGGCTAATAACTGAGACAGGCAATCCGTCGATAAGCGAACAATAATCGAAAACTATGACCTAGTCTCGCTTGCTATTGACGAGATCGTGGACGATGGTATTATTCTGGAGACCGACCCGACAATCATCGTGCAGCGAGTCAGCAAGGCGCCAACACAAGACGTGAACCTGAGCCGTATTGATCTTAGCGAACAAGGCGTGAACAACTTGGCGCAATTAGGAAAGGCCAAACTGACGGACTGGCTAAGACAAGGTCTATGAGGTCGCTTAACTGTTTGAAGCATGGGAGACCTCGAATGAGATAAGATGAGATGAGATGGTCTTAACGTAGACTTTGGCATGGCGTTGGTAAAAAAGTCTTTATTTACTCTTAATGGGGAGCATCTTTTTGCTCAGCCCAGTTATGAAGTGATGGGCTACGACCTAATCCGAGAAGCTGCTTTGCGCAGCCGGTTCATGACCGCCGCGCCGATGTCTTCATCGTCTACTATACCCTCCACAAATATGATATCCGCATCCCTTTTATCTAGTTCCCGTAACGCCGAAAAGAGCCCCTGCGCTATACTCCTGGTGTCCTCCCCTATGCTTACGTCTAAAAGTTTTCCCACGGTAGCACCGCTCGTGGTATCGTGAAATTCGCCTTCTTGGACATATAGCTCGTCCGCCTCCTGACTTTCTTCCCTCACCCACCTCTTCAAGTTACTACAACGCAGTCCGGCAGCAGGTTTCCAATGTCGAGTCCGTATAATGCCGACTCGTAGTGGCCCACCTTTGGAGACTGGTATCTGTTGGGCTTCACGATCCCGGACGAGATCTTCGATATCATCTATTTGTATGCCATCCCTACCCTTTTCGAAAGCTGCTTCGTAGAGAATCACCTTTGCCTTAGGACTGTAATGCTTATACTTCATCCCCGGCGCTCTTGGCGTAGACTTTCCCGTCTCACTGTGATCTTTATACCCCTTTTCGACTTTTTCCCATCCGGCGCAGCAGCGCAATTCGTCTATACTCACTCCACCCGGTCTGAGAATGACAGGAGGATCACATAGACCATCTACCACGGTGCTTTCTACCCCAACGAGACAGGGCCCTCCATCGAGTATTAGGTCAATGCGGCCATACAGATCTTCTAGCACGTGCCCCGCAGTGGTTGGTGAAGGCTTTGTAGAAGCGTTTGCTGAAGGGGCTGCTAGAGGTGCGCCCGTCAGCTTGATGAGTGAAAGGGCCAGGGGCGAATTTGGCATTCGCACCCCAAATGTCTTTAGCCCAGCCGTCACCTCAGGGGCTAATCTCGACGGAGTTGGATTGGGAAGTAGTATTGTCAGGGGCCCTGGCCAGAACTTGTCTATGAGAGGTTTGTATATCTCAGGAATCGGGTCATGGCCACCGTTTGCTGTGCCGTTAGATGTACTTTTCTCGGGCGTCAGGAGGCTGCGAAGCATCTCCAGGTCTGATATATGAATGATCAGGGGGTTGTCTGAAGGTCTACCCTTGGCGGCGTATATACCCTTTACTGCAGCGCTTCTCGTTGCATCCGCTCCAAGCCCATAAACAGTCTCAGTGGGGAATGCGACAGGTACATCTTTGGTTTTGAGATATTCCGCAGCCTCTTTAAGGACCTCGAGACTGTGAGATGGGGTTTCAAAAACTTCCCATGAGTTTAGCTTTTCATGGCCTTCATTTTCCCTGAATCTCCCTAAGTTTCTCTCGGGAACTCTGGGAACAAGTGTCCTTGGGAGATTTTCAGACATTGTGCTGTAGGAGTTGAAAGCAGCTCGAACAGTTTTATATCTAGTCCTCAAGATCTTATACGCCAACTTGCCTGACAATAATTGTAAATTTCGGCGGACAAGTAAGAAGTTAGACTCAGTTTATTTGAAGTGTTAAATATTAGATGAAATTTGAAGACCATCTATACCAAATTTCTCTATCCCTTTAAGAAATTGTATAAATGCGCATAAGAGTCACACAAGAATAAAATAGCGACGATGACGATATTGTCACTCAAAATTTACAGTGGTGCCTATCTTATCGATTACAATTTCTACTACCAAAGCCAGCTACGATGTGCAAGTTAGCGTCCAAGTTTAGGGGACCAATAGCTTGTGATCAGTGGTTAAGACCAGTTTATTAATACCTGCTTAGGTACACACGGTGACATACGCACTAATAAACCTACATATGTACCTACAACTTGGCTACAAGAAAGTTGGTACTACACATCCATTGGTTCCAAGTCCCAACACCATCTCAACCTCGATTCTATTCAACATTGACCAAAAAAAGAGGTGTTCAAGATTGGACTTGACATCTTCATGTCGCTATGCACCCCCAACAACCGATTCCCCTGTCCCAATGTCCGCCAATAATACTCCCAATGGCAACTCAACAGCCCTATCAGCGCCGAAGACGCCCAATAAGTTGAATAGCGCCTCATCATCTAATCCTACCGTACACGATGCCTCGACTCTTTCCGATGTTCGCGCCACCCTGGCCGCCTTACACCTTCGCGAAAGCTCCATAACCGATCGCCTCAATGCGCTTCTCTCATCGCAGGCTGATCTATCCCGTGAGCTAGGCCGACTTGATCTACTTCGCGCAAACCTCGGCTCACAAGTCATCGCAACAAGAACCATCAGCAATGGGATGCTCTCCTCAGCCGCCGATACCGCCGGGCGGCTTTCGAGCCGAGTCAAAGAGCTCGACTTAGAAAAGGATAGGGTGCAGCAAACATTAAAAGTGGTTGAACAGGTTGCAGAACTCAAAGCTTGTGTCCATGGAGTTGTGGGTAGCATGGGTGCGCCGCAAGATTGGGAAGCAGCCGCAGGCTACATATCCCGCGCGAGCAAGGTGCCTGAGTCCATCATACGCGGTGGTTTCGCTGCTTCCATGGTTCCGAGCGTCGAGGTGCCGGATGCCCCATGGGTGACGCTCGAGAATGCAAAAGAAAGTTTATGTGGTCTGTTTCTACGAGAATTTGAAAAGGCAGCCAAAGAAGGTGATGGCGCCAAGGTCACAAGGTTCTTTAAGCTTTTCCCTCTCATAGGAAGAGGTGATGTTGGATTAGACGTATATGGGCGATATGTATGTCAGGGCGTAGCTGGCACCGCTAGGTCAACCCTAAGAGCAACACCAGGGGACACGGGGAAGAGAGATGGGTTCTTTTATGCCAATGCGCTTACGAAGCTATTTGAACATATCGCCCAGATTGTGGAGAATCATGGTGGGCTCGTAGAGAGGCATTACGGTGAAGGAAAGATGGTCAAAGTCATTGAACGACTCCAGATGGAAGCTGATGTACAAGGTGGCATTATCCTGGACTCGTGGAGCGACGAAAGAAACGTTGACCGGAAACTCACTGATGTAAAAAGCTATCCCTTTTCCTTCCTCGTCCAAAGCTTCTTGCCGCCACAAAGGACGCTCGCAGGCACACCGCGAGTAAACTCACCAGCACAAGGCAGTGGGACAAATGCACGAAACAGTGAGGATGAGGGTGTGGATATGAAAGAAGTAGATGGCTTACTGAGCGAAATCTCTGTCATGCTGGGTCGATGGTCACTGTATTCACGATTTCTTGCTGGGAAATGCAAAGTGAGCATTCCCCCTATCCAAGTCTTCTTTTATTGGCAACTAAACTCTACTAGGACCCAAATGCCCCTGATGATGCTCCCCTATCATTGCCAGATGTTGTTATGAAGTCCAACCTCAATCGAAAGGTTTCAGGGAAGCTCACAACACCTTATAATTCCTTAGCATTATTCTTTTTCAGGAGGTCTGTTGAAAAGGCATTTCAACTGGATGAATCTCCTACCGGCCTCTCCTTAAACCCCAACCATCCTATCGATGGAAATGCCCCTTACATTATCTCGGCTGTTGATGATGTGATGTACATCGTCAGTACTATCATACAAAAAGCCATGTCGACATTACAACGCGAAATAACTGCGTCTGTCATTCCTGATGTGGGGAGAGTATTAGGGTCAGATTTTATCGGAATGATACAGCGAAGGTTGCGAGATGAATCATATCCGCAACCTACCGTGCATGGAGGTCTTCCACCGGAAAACAAGATTATATCATTCATCGTACTCACGAATAGTCTCGACGTCGCAAAAGATTATCTAGCTCGTATCATCACTTCACAGCTAGGTGATTCGGCCGATGGATCAAATGGAACATCTCACCATCACCCCCTGGCCACATCCTACCCATTCGAGCACGACGTCACATTCGTAATTTCAGCGCTTAATTCGTTAAATTCGACTTTCTCTATTAAGGCCAGTGAACTGATATCGAACGCGCTAAGAGTTCTCTTTACCAATGTCGTAAAGCAAAGGCTAAAGCCGGTGCTCGTTGATGCCTTCCGAGATGCGGACTATTGGCGTTCTGAAGAGGAGCTGGCAGAGATTGCGCGCCAGAACGATGAAGACGAAGATGAAATAATCGATCGCGTTCAGCGGAGGTTTGAACATGGTTGGGATGCGTTAATGAAGCCTATTGGGCGGCTGATGACGCCGAGGACATTCACGGCTCTCATAGATCTTACAGCCTCGGATCTTTCCAAGACGCTAGAGAAAAGGGTGTGGAGTTATGGTGGGAAAACGAGTGCATACGGCGCAATACGCATGGACCGAGACTTTTCGGGAATAGTCAGCACCGTTGCCAGAGGTAACTACTCTGTAAGGGAGCTGTTTGCGAAGGTGACACAGATACTCATGGTGGCCAATATGGAGGAAGAGGAGTGGGAGGAACTGAGTAGTGAGGAAGGCGAGGACAGTATTCAATGGGTACTCAACGAAGATGAGAGGCGGAGAGCTAGGAATCTTGTCAAATCATGAGGGACAAAGACAGATGCTCAATGTCAATGATGTCTTAGATCTGTGGTATATAGCAAGTGTAGGATTTGCTCCCAGTCTATGGAAGTCATGGTGGAAGACATGTTATGACCCTTCTACTATAGCATGAGAGAGAGGTTCTTGATGAGTGAGCGAGTGAGTGTTTGATGAATAAAAATAAGATCCTACAAGATTGGGAGAAACGTTTTTGAATGTCTAGCACGTAGTACTGCTCTTTAAGCCATAGAATCATGAAAAGGGGAGTAGAAGAATGCATATATCCGAGTCTTGTATATTATCATATATGTATTTATAGCGGCGTTAAGCTTTGGACAATCAATTAGTTATTGATACGGTATGCTATCGATAAGAAAGTACCGTACCGCCTTCTCTTTGATCGACATAAATTGATTGAAACCACTAGGTTAACTAGTTACCAACATTGAACATTAAACATTAATGAACATTAATCATTGAACCTGACAGCATACAACTACAACTACATAGCTACACTTCATGTCTAGATTTCTCAACTTCCATTGAAGCTAAATCCAACTCCACATCTTTCAATCGTAGCAATCATCCATATTCAACACACATACCTTTGTCATAACACCACCATGGCGACCCAAAACTTCGGTCTCCTAGACGAGCGGGACGAAAACGAGCTACACAAAACCCGCCTTCTCAACGTCGAAGAGAAGCCATTCAAGCGCATCACCAAACGCCTCGTCGCACCTGGCGCCTTTACAAACCCCAGCAAGCTCCCCACACCACCACCAGATAGCAGTAATGAACAAGAGGCCGCCGCCGCCGCCACGTCAGCGACCGACATCAACGCGCTAAAAGAGGATATCATCCTCGACTTCGAAGCCTTCGACGCGCAAATGCTGCGCCTCCAACTCCTCAGCACCGCTAACACGAAGGAGCGGGAGCGGTACGCGGCCGAGCGCGTGCGAATCTTAAAAACCATGGAAGAAGTGCGAGACGGCAACGGGGCGCTGCGGACGCGGCTGGACGAGGCGCGCGCGACGCTGGAGGTGCGGCGGCAGTTCGACGTGCTGGCCAACGCGATCACTAACAGCCGCATGCTGCGCCCCCGCGACGAGCAGGCGGCCAGCCTCGCGAAGCTCGCCGAGGAGTGCGAGGACCTACACCGCGAAAGCGAGACGTACGGCGCCACGTGGCGCGACCGCCGCGAGCAGTTTGGGCGTCTTGTTGATGAGGGAAAACGCCTCCGCGCTCTTATTCGGGACGAGAAGGAGGAGGTCGAGCGGCGAGAGGGCATGGACTCGGATGCGGAGGACGGCGAGGCGGGCAATACCCCTGGTAAAGGCGGGCTCGTCAGCGGCAACGCGACGCCCAGAGCCGAGAGCGGCGTCGTGTCGTCTAAGAGCGACAGCGGCGGCGGCAACAACGCGGATAGTCCTGGCGGCGGAGCAGCATCCGCTACTACTCCAGCAGCAGCGGCGGCGGTGGAAGGCGGTGGTGGTGGTGGTCTGAAGCCGAGACTCGGCTCGATAGGCAGCAGCTTTTCGCGATCCGGAAGCCAGGCACCGAGTCTGCGGGCAGGCAGCCAGCAGCCGAAAGATGACGACGATGAGCTGGAGGAGGGCGAGGATGTAGAGATGGCGGATACACCGATGGCGGAGGCGTCGCAGGATACGCCGCAGATCACGGTGGAGGCGCCGGGGGACATGGATACTACGTGAAGAGGAATGCTACGAAAAGGATGGGAGGGTTTATCGAAGGAGAAGAATAACATGGGAGAATTAGCAAGGAGAGTCCATCGTTGTTGAGCATTACCTAGGTATTTATAGGTTTGCTCGGGGCCAGATCTGTCTCCTCGGTCTACGAGTCTAATAGCAGCAGCTCATCGAGCATTGTTAGGGAGAGGCAGTGGGAGATGGAAATTATACCCAGCAGAGCAGAGCAGAACAGACTATTACTTTGCTACATTAATAAAAATCTCGCATAGTCCATTGTCCACATTAATCTATTAGGTACACAAGTAGGGTTTCACCTAATGTGAGTGAGTGTGTGGATGGGTGGATGGGTGTTCCAGCCCTCTCTTTCGAAATAAAAAAGTGGTATCATTTGCATTGTGTTGGTATGTACGTAGGTAGTAAGTGATTAGTTCCTTCTTTAGGTACACTCTTCATTCCGCAATCCTCCTCCTAGCCCCTGTCCATCATACCTCACTGAGGTCTGGTACTCTCTCCAATTGCATCGTATTGATCTTCGGTCACGCTGCCGCGGGCGGCTCCTCGAGCCCCTTGCCCAGCTCAAGCGCTTCCGAAGCCTTCTTGAGCTCGTCGGCGGGCCCGCTCTCGCTCTCGGCCGTGGCGATCTGTTCCTCGAGGCGCTCGACGGCTTCGGCGATGCGGGTGTGCAGGGGGGCGAAGACGCCGCGGGTTTCTTGCATGGCTTGGCGCTGTGTGGTTTGGGGGGTTAGTTTTGTTTCTTGGTTGTAGATAGGTAGGGAGGGACATACCTCTTGCTTCAAGACAAACTCGGCGTTCTGGTCGGTGCTGCTCTGGAGGTCCTTCTCGAGCTTCTGTACGCGCTCCGACTGCTGCGCGAGTTCCTTGCGGTAGTACTTTTCCTCCTTGACAAGCCGTTGGACGGCTTGCGTCGTGATCATGAGGGGGGATGGGGCGGGCATTGTCGTTGTTGTGTGGTGGATATTAGTGTTGTGTGTATGCGTGACTTGTTATTTTCTTAGGAATTGACGAGTTTGTAGGAGTGAGAGTGAAGATTTTGGTCAGTAAGAAGTTTCGTAAATAAATGGAAAGGGTACTACGTAGGAAGGCAGCAGTTCAAGTTCTAAATTAGGGAATATGTTTTGGTGGGGTTGGCGGGGTATCGTTATGGTTATACAAGGAGAAACGGTATGCAAGTAAACGAGGATGAATTCATACTAGGTACAGTTGAATACATGGTAGACTTTACGCTTACATCTTGTGAATAATAAATCTGTTATTAAATTCTACATAATACTGCATGCTATCGGAGCTGTCTGAGTAGAGACTATGTATACCTAGTACACTATCTAAATAGGTACCTTGTGTAGTGTTTTACTGCTCACCACATGCAGCCTTACGAGAACTATGTAAGAACAATGAACTGACAGGCACTTCAAGGTTATGCACCTACCTCAGGTATGCATGTAGATAAGAGCTGTGGCCGTGCAGACGGCATCTTATCGTTCCAGCGTACTGGATACGTACCGAGGCAAGTTAGTTAATGGTCAATCATAAATCGCGTCATACCATCCCATCTTTTTTTTCTGATTACCAATCGCTAAATTCCCAAATCTTCCCAAGATCATCTTGCGACAAAAAAACACCTAACAGCCATCAACCGCACCTTTGACCCTCTCAGCACATCCTCACCTAAGCGCAATGGCGTCGCGAGGTTTCTTTAACTTTCGTAAGATACCAAGTGTCCTTTAAACTGTGCGCCAGTTAGTCTTCGTCGCTAATGTTCCGCAGCTTTCTTCTGGAAGTCTGAGGACAAGCCGGCCGCGAGCCCCGAAGCCAACACTGTTGCAGCTTCTAAGCCCAAGGTTCGTCTTGAATCATACATCTTACGAATTCCTGATAAGTTCCTCCGCTAACCTGTGAATGGGAGAAGCCATGCTGTGTCTGCAAGGACGAAAAATCCAAACGCGATGAGTGTATGCTCTTCTCCAAGGCCGATGATCCCGCGGGCGATTGCCAGAGCACTATCGATCAGTACCGAACCTGTATGGCCGGATTCGGCTTCAAAGTATAAAGACACAAATAATTTTTGATTGAGAAATGGCTCTACGGTCATTCTCGGAAAAGTCGTTGTACATACGAAGCCGATCGAATTGCGGCAAACCGGCGTTTCAGGCTGCAGTTAGGGATACACACTTTGAGACAGGTTGAGCATTTACGGGGGGCGTTCAACGGAACCAATTTACACAAATCCACTCTTCGGTGAAATTTATCGGTCGGTCGGTTTAACTTATAAGAACTGCAGACCATGAGACGATCGTAGTCGTAAAGGGCAGAAGTCTTTGGTGCAGGTATATTAGAAGCAGGTTGACAAATGGTAGAGAAGTAGACCCAACGGATATTTGTTGCTCGCCAGGATGAATAGCCTGGACACATATACCAGGAGTGCCGCCGCTTAATCAATGCAGTCAACAAACCATCTGCGAGATTTCGGGAATAGCCTACATACCTAATAGATGGTACTGTAAGGCGGCCAATCAGCCATGTTGTCTTTTCAGCTTCACTTAACATCATACCTCCCCTGGGCTAGGCATGGATCAAACTGATGTTGGGAGATGCTCAAGGTCTTGAAGAGCGTCCTCGATAACACCTGGGATGTCTACCTTGGTGGCTAGCAAATTCGATTGGACATCCACTTAGAATACCCAATTGAACCGTTGAAGGTAGAGCTTTTTAGAATAGTACCTTTACACATTCTTAAAAATACAATCATATCCCCAACAAGCACAGTCTTTTAATATTTGATGATGGGAATAATAACGACGGATCTACATCAATATCCTAGCGATATTGATCATAGCAGGTTCCTTACGTTTATTGAGGAGAGGGAAGGCTCGTAGTTAAGTTGAACTGGGCTGGGTGGCTTAACTTGGGTTGTAAGGCTATGTAGTATGCATAGATTTGGAAGTATTTGCAGTATCAATGATCGATGATCGATGATCAATGATCAATGATATTGCGCATACAGTACATAATACAGGTGGGAAGGTTAGAAGCTGATGGGTACACGAACAACCAGTGACATTGAAAAAGAACATTGAACCCCCACAATACACCAATGTTAGCTTCCGCTAATGTTGCCCCCTACCGCCTCACAACATGGGGCCCCCCGGTAAATTACCAACGGAGCATTTAGCCGCATTTAGGCTAAATGTCTTCAATGTCCCTCTTTCCACTTCCTCCCTCCTGAATACTTCCTCAATTTACCCACCAACCTCCAAGTCTAGATTCTAGATTAATACTCGGGTAGCTGAAGACGTTCAGTTGAGTAACTATGACTAGATACGTAATCTAGCTAGGTAATTCTGCAACAGTTTACGTACATATGTTGTACGCAGGATGTAGGTTCGATATCTCGTCCGATAGCTACCATGGAATTCTCGCTTGAGATGTTCCTACATACATACGCATTACACAATAAATTGTTAGTGAGGACCGCTAGCAGCTTATTCAAGGTTAGTCCACCTATGAACTTTTACGATAACTCTTCTCATATCTTGTGATAGCGGACCGAAAGCCTATTCCTTCCAAAGTCTGGGGAACCCGCAATCGTCTTCTCCAGGAATTGATCACCTAAGAACAGGTATTTCCCCAGATCTATGCCCGACTAAAAAAGACTAGTAACTATTAGCTGATTATGATCATGACGATCAGCGACTTGCTAAGACATTACCTGTCAGGCGTCTATCTGCCATGTACGTACCTACATATGTACAAACCTACCTAACCTACATATGTAGGTATGTAGCACTCAGGAAGGCAGTTCAGCGTTTTATCGCTTTGATCGCTTCCCACCTACAGTACATACCCAGGCATTTAAAATTAGCGCACCGAGATACGGTAGGCAGTAGGCCACAACCCTTGAACCCAGTCGCCTACATCGTAGGTAACTAGCTAACAAGCAAAGGCTTCGTTCGACGTTTTTGTTCGCTATTTCGGTGCAATTTAATGGCGATAGTACCAGCAGCACGACTCTACTACCTGCTAATAGGTAGATAGTGGGTTAGTTAAAATCGACTTGATGCCTTACAAGTTTCGACCAAGACTTCACGATTCCCCAACTGGGATAATAGGCCATTATAGATTAAAATGGTCTATGGCCATGTGGTTTACTAGGAACGCTAGTTACCACAGCTAAAATCTCGCATTGAAGCCTCATCAGGAATCACCGAGGTCCTTTGCTGAATTCACTTTTTTTCGATTACCCGGCTTTGCGGCACGTTACCCCGAAACAAGACGTCCCCGGAGCTGCTGAGCTGCTAATCACTGGCAACTGCTGACTGCTGACTCTGTATTCCCTGATGCAGGTCCTGGTCGATTTAGAATCCTCCTTCCTGGCGCCATCGTATGTCGTACGTGTGTACAATACTTTACTATTACTATACTGACAGTTGTAAGCCTCTCCAAACCTCCAACCTAGGGTAGTCTCTGGAAGCTTGGTTCGTTAATAATCTACCCGATAGGGCATGTCGTAAGCTTCTCCTCTAAAGATCGAAGGAGGCAAATGCCAAGCATGAATTAAATTAATGCTCCCACCACCGCCGTAGAGCAGTACGGGTCAGATATAGCACCAACCCAACAATATGAAATTGTTTTCAATGAAAGGACCGCAAAGCCCTGAAGCTCTGAATAATGGATTCTCCTGATGCTGAAGAGTTTTCAGCTATAATTGTTTTTACTGGCCGGACACTATGGCACATGAACATAGTACGCATTGGGTAACAACTTCACTTGCTTCGCTGCACTGCAACATCTGTCTTGCCATCTCAACGGCAAATCAATATATCTGGACCAGCTCTGGTTAACTAGTAGGTTTCATTATCGGTAGAAGGTAAAGCTCAACGATTCCCATCTCATCGACAAGGGACTCGATCCCTGACAGTGTATTATCCTACAACCATTCTGACGTGCATAAATCTATATCTGATTACTTCTGCCTAATACAGAAGTCAAGGTAGCGTATTCTAGGCCGTCACCGACGCCACGGAACCTTTCAGTCTCAGCACAGGTAGTCGTGTAGACTTGCGGAATTCGGAACACATGTTGTAGATGAATGTGTAGGAAGGTCAATTTGGCAAAGGGCATGGGTAGGTAAGCACCTAGGTAGGTACCTATCTAGGTGTTGATGTTGGTAGTTGTCTTGAAACAAAGTTATCGTGCCCTACTACGATATTGTCGTCGATATAATATACACCACCAACAAGCCAATGGGAATGGAGTATGCGGCTTGGCCTAGTTTGGCCCAACTTACTTACACAACTCAAGCATTCAGGTTTTTTTTCTTCTCGTCTCGCGGTGGGATCATGGCCAGGACATCGGTGTTACTGACCGAGTATTTCTCCGCAAATTGAATACCTCCAACCAAGAGCAACTCGCATCCACTGCTTGCGAGACGACCCATCGCACGGCAGCTGGTGCTGTTTGTACTATGTATAGCTAGGACGGACATTTATGGTTCTGGAATAGTTCCAGCACGCATGGTTCCAAGTCAACCTGATTGAGTCACCATGTAAAATAACGACATGGTAGGCCGGTCGATAGCCCGGCGATGGCAACCCTCCTGCAGACTTACCCCGGGCACGGTAGAAGATCTACTACTACCATAACGACATGTAACACATGGGCAACGAGTTCATGGCGAAGAATATCTAGGTAAGTATCCATTCTATATAGATGCATGCGTGGTTACCGAGTCCTATTCAACAAGAAGATGTACCGAACTTGAACATACTAAACGGGATGTTAACCTAATAAAGCAAGTGGCGTTTACACAGGTACCTTTAGCTTACCAACTCGGCCTGAGCAGTGAGCCCAAGATCGCTGGTTCTCGGCGTACCTAGGTAGTTTTTTTCTATTCAGATCATTAACCGAAGTGCATTTTCTTCAGGGCCCGAATTTCTAAAAGGTGACAAGGACTAGCCCTAGCTCCATGTCCCCTACCCTTGTCACCCTAACCCCCCGGGCAGCTTTTGTCGAATTCCCCATGGCACCACGGGGGAGACTAGGGGGGTGGGCACTGGGCACTGGGGTTGATGGGGTACGGAGGACCCGCATACGCGCCCCCATTTGCGACGGTGAACATCTCATGGATGTATGTACAGTACCATGAGAAGGATACCCATCTAGATCTCGCGTCCTGGCAGCGAGATGACTACGGCCTGGGCTTAGGGGCGACAAGTTCAAGGGAATCTTCCTCTACCGGTCCGCTCGTCCGCCATGTCCCCCCCATATACCTATGTAAACATATATCTGGGGGTATGTCCCTTCGATTCCCATTTTGCGCTTCCTCTGTAGATTCTCATATCCCTATTTTCCTGACCTCAGCGACCAGGCTACTACTCAGTAGACCTTACCGGAGGACCGATACGTCTCTCTCTAGGTCTAGCACCCCGATATAGGCACCGTTACCAATACTCGTGTAGTCTATAGTTGCGAGACATTGTCACAATGGCGATCGGTAATATCACAAACAAGACGCCTCACAAGGAGGATATCGTGCATGCGCAAGAGGAGGCACCAAGCTTCGAAAAGGTCGATTGGAAGAGGGATCCCGGTCTACGAAAGCTATATGCTTGCTGCCTTGTGCTCTGCGTCGCTTCGGCTACCACTGGTTACGATGGGTATGAGCGAGATTCAGCGCTTTTTTCTACGATGAGATGGATTAGGTATGCTAACGGGTGGACGCTACAGCATGTTCTTCAATTCGGTGCAGGTGTTCGACACATGGAGAGCCTTCTTCAACAACCCTCAGGGTTCTCAGCTCGGCTTACTCGCAGCTCTCTACCAGATTGGTAGCATTGCATCAATTCCTCTGGTGTAAGTGTCTAATTGGGCAAACGGTTATGAGGTATAGGACTAACACACACACCAACAGTCCCATGTTGGCCGATAACTTTGGCCGGAAATTGCCAATCATTGTTGGCTGCGTTATCATGATCGTTGGTGCCATCATCCAAGGTGTTGCGCAAAATATCAATTCCTTCATGGGCGGCCGGGTTATGATGGGATTTGGAAACAGCTTGGCCCAGGTCGCTTCTCCCATGTTACTCGCTGAAATTGCTCACCCCCAACACCGTGGCCGAGTCACGGCTGTATACAACTCCCTGTGGAATGCCGGCGCTATTAGTATGTCCTTTTAACATGCAGAAATCTGCAACTGAAGAAGAAGAAAAGGCTAACTGCGTGGTAGTCGTTACATGGCTTTCCTTCGGGACGAACTACATCCAAAATGACTGGTCATGGCGTATCCCCGCCATACTCCAAGCCCTACCGTCCGTCATCCAGATCATCTTCATCTGGTGGGTGCCCGAGTCGCCCCGATTCCTCATGGCCCAGGACAAGCACGACAAGGCGCTCAAGATGCTCGCCAAGTACCACGCCAACGGCAACGACCAGCACCCGACCGTCCAGTTCGAGTACCGCGAGATCAAGGAGACCATCCGGCTCGAGATGGAAACCAAGACTAACAGCAGCTACATCGACTTCTTCAAGACGAAGGGAAACCGGTACCGGTTGGCTGTCCTCCTGTCCCTCGGTCTCTTCTCGCAGTGGTCTGGAAACGCCATCATTTCCAACTTCTCCAGCACGCTGTATGACCAGGCTGGTGTAAAGGACTCTAACTCCAAGTTCGGTGTAAGTTTCCTCCGGCCCCCACATCACACTCCCCGAGCTGTCCCCCTTTTTCAAGTATCTAACTTGTATATTTTACTATTAGCTTTCAGGAGGCCAGAATATATTAGCCCTTATCGTCTCTGTCTCCATGGCCACGCTCGTCGACCGCTGGGGCCGACGGCCGATGTTCCTGACGTCCACGGCGGGCATGTTCGGCGTATTCGTCTTCTGGACGCTGTGCTCGGGCCTCTACGGGGAGCACCGCTCCCCAGGGGCCAACTACGCGATGGTGTTCTTCATCTGGCTATTCGGCTTCTTCTACTCGATCTCGTGGTCCGGCTTACTGATCGGCTACGCGATCGAGATCCTGCCGTACAAGCTGCGGGCGAAGGGGCTCATGATCCTGAACATCATGGTGCAGGCGGCGCTGTGCCTCAACGTGTACGCCAACCCGGTCGCCTTCGAGGCCTTCGGCGAGGACCACTCCTGGAAGCTGTACCTCATCTACACGTGCTGGATCTTCTGCGAGCTCGCGTTCGTCTACTTCATGTATGTCGAGACGAAGGGGCCGACGCTGGAGGAGCTGGCCAAGGTCATTGATGGCGATGAGGCGGCGGTCGCGCACCTCAATTTCGAGCAGGTCGAGAAGGAGGTCGCGATTGAGACGCACGATGTTGCGCATAAGGCGTAGGGGAGGGAATGAAGAGTGGGTATATATATAGGTACCTATATATATATGTGTGTGGAGGTAGCTCCTTTACATTTTCCAGCGAATGTTTCAGGTCCTTGATTTGATGATTGTTACTTTTACCTACTGTTGTTACTACTATTGTTGTTGCCATCGTCATCGCGAGACGCGCTACCTGCATGCTCAATACCCTCTCTTACACGGAATTGTTTTTTTTTTTTTGCATGCATGCATGTCGCTCTCCTCTCTGGTCATTAGGGACTGGTTTTGGGGGGGGGGGGAATTTATGATGGGCATATGGGGTCTACTATATAGTTAGGTACACAAGCAGACATCTGACGGCTCGTATGGCGTTGGGTGTGTTGGTTTCAAAATAGGAAGCTGAAATGCAATAACGCTATCATTGTATTATTGTTTCTTACCTGCGTGGATACCTAGCACATAAGGGGCTGGGTGTTCAAGCCATTGATACGAAAAGAAACTCTCCTTAACTCTACTTATGAGTGGTGTGCATTGGAATCTTCCATGGCATGTTAAGATAGGGGGGAATAGGAGGTAAGAGATGAACCCACAAATTCTCGTACGGTGTGGCAATTGGCCGGTTTTTTTTTTCAGCTAGCCCTGGAGCTGAACTCTCTCTCCTTTGCAACCATCAAGCGATCACTTCATGCTCAATAATTAGCGATTAATCCAACGGACATTTCAAGTCGGCCTCGGAATCCACATCCATCAAGAGGGCTTTTCATTACATTTTCCACGGCTGCTATTCTGTTCAATTCGCTTCAACCCTTACCTTCCCTACTTAGTTACCTAGGTTAGGTACCTACATAACAACTTATATGTGGATGCGTATAAGTCCAACCTGCACTCAAGTCACGACTTCTACCTAAAGCTGAGGTCAAAGTTATCAAGGGGAGAAGGGGAAAGAAAGGGGAGGGAGGAACGGAGAAATTATAAAGCAATGGAATCCTTCTCGCTCGCTGCGCAGCATGGAGGCGCCATCAACCATGTGCACACGATCCGCCTGGACCCGTCGACGGCGGCGGCGGTGCGGGAGCTGCGCATCTTGGTGACGGTGGTAGTTGCGGGATGGGTTGCGGTGCAAGGGCTGAGGGCGTGGCGTGGGAGTAGGTGATTTAATACATAGTTGTGGCATTACTTCAAGAAGGCGGGACTATGTATAAAGCCGTATGTATGAATCAACCGAGGTATTTATATTCTTATACAAGTTAAAAACTCAATTGAATTGAGACCTCGGCACTTTTAATCTTTCTCTTCATTTACTCTTACCAATAGCTGCTGTACCTAGGTCATTCAACCCTGAGTTCTAGTAAATACACACAGCAAAAATGCGTTTGTCAGGCTTACAGAAAGATGTCTTGTCCTTTTATCGGAGCTGTCTCCGCGAAAGCCGTAAAAAGCCGCCGGTTCGTTGTGTTCCCTCACCTTTGCTCTTTAATCGTTGAAGCTGACCAGTGACGATAGGCGACGCGGCCACATTTTGAAAAGTTTATTCGGTAGGTGATCAATGGTCTTTTAGACTTTCACTGCCATGAAACATATCATCAGTGCCAATGAACTAATTCTAACATATCACCAACCCAGATATGAGTTTCATAAGAGCATCAACTTCGATAAAAGAGATTTTGCTGCCATCGAGTTCTTACTACGCAAGGGACGACGCCAGCTTGATATATATTCATCGCCTGATATTAAAGATATACAAATACCAGATCAGTGATTGTCAATTATAGCACGATCAACCTAACTACCCATATATCTAAAGCCTATATAAGTAGCAGTCGCAGCTACGTCTTTCATCAGCCATCAGCCATCAGCCATGATTTAAGGAAAAGGAAACTGCTCTATGATGTAAAATGAGTAAAAGCCAAACCAACTTCTAGCTCTCATTCTAGATTTCCTAGTCTAGAGAAATGGCGACCAACTAAACTACCCAGCTTTGATTTTATAACCAAGGACGATGTTGGGAAAGACCCCAAGCCTACTTACATGTCGGCATTTAGAAATCTACCAGTTCAGCATTCTACCAACCAGTACCTACAGCTTTTCCACAGCATAACTTTTTTTCCTCTGGATTTTTGGGAATCCTTTTGGAAACCAGACGATGCCTAAACTCAGTTTTCCCTAGAAGGGGAGTCCAAATCGTCGACCGAAAATCACGTATCCCATATCTACGACTTCGTATAAGCAGCTTTCACAACGAGCTGCCGAGGAAGTCTTTCGCACTGCGTTGCCAGAGCCCCTGATTGTAGAACGGCAGCGGCAGCGGCAGCGACAACAACAACGCCGAATAAGCCGTTCCAAAAATGGCATCCATGTTAGCAGGCGCCTTCCGTCAAGAGGAAATGAAGGATCTTGCCACGGCAGTAGGCCATATTCTCTTATGCAAGTTTCCGAGTTTACAGAAGATCATCCATTTTGGGGGACCTTACGGCAGTCCCAAATCCCCGACACCAAACCCGAGACGATTGACATCGCCGATAATAGACACCCGTATGAGAATGGTACTCCTATGGAATTTATTGATAATGGACCACTCCCAAATCCAATAGGTAGCCATGCCTGCCAGACAGATAGGGGTCGGCGACAAAAAGGGTTGAACATCGCGGGGCAAAATCGAGAGTATAACCGAGAAAAGCGGTTTGGTCTTGCAGATCCTGTCGTTTGGGATGCGATCAATAGATCGCTCGGCCAACAACGACGACTGTCTTCTTTGATCATACCAGAAGATACCGCAGTACACCATCCTTTAGAGTCAGATATACCATCTCGCACCCCGAGCCAGCGCAAAGCCTTGAATAAATTCACGAGGCAACTGGAAAAGTATGCGGATGTTGCTGGAGTAGCTAGTAAGCTTCCAGTTATGACACCCACTGAATCGGAATCTAAGGTATCGTATCATACTGTTCAGCCATTGGTACCATATCAGGACGAGTTTCAAGCTGCTGGCCTTGCAGTAACATCTGCAGAGCAAGGTCGAATGGTGCCGATGCAAATGCATAATGAATTTGATGGGCAAGGCGATATTGTTGATAATCGGTCGTGCTCAAGCTCTGGAACATTTATTGAGTTTACCACAGACAAGAATCTCGTGGAGGAACTACCGAGATCCCAATCGAAGTCAAAGAAGAAGTCAACATCCAAGGGGAAGAGAGGGATCTTCCCGTGGCTGAGGAGGAAGAAATCGCCAGCTACAGAACCCCGTAGTAGTCGAATTATGTCACAGCAGGCATGGCAGGCGAGGAGGGATAATCGCACTCAAAGTCGGCCCAAGAATAATGATTCGCAAAAAATAACTGGTCTTCGTCACTCCCGCACTCCTCGAGTCCGACCGTCTCAGGTACCTGAGATCAGTCCACCTGTTTTACGGCCCCGGAACCCAATAAGACCACCTCCCAGTTTTGTTACTCCCAAAAGGCCCCCAGTTGCCGCATCTTCATCTGCCGAGATCAAGCAAAGTGATCGTAAACCTTGCTCAGGAGCAACAATTCCACCACGGGGTTCAGGGCCTGAGGCTAAGCAACCGACAGTTCAGACCGGGCTGCGTAAACGAGATACATCTATGGTTCGCCAATTGCGTCCCGAAACCATTGAGGAAGAGAAAGAGTCATTGCCAAGCTACTACTACTTAGATCAGTCGAAAGTTCAGATATACCCGCGACCGAATCAAAGGGATGCATCAATACATACGACCATAGAGAATGAACATCCTCGTGGGACGTCATCACAAAATACTCCATCAACGGTTCCGTCATTACCATACACTGCTCGGTATGCTCTTAGCCGACGCTCATCATTAGAAAGAGCATTAAACGAGGTTTCTTATCAGCTTGAAAGGATGGAACAAGAAGCGGACAAGACGGCCCGTTTATGTAGTCGCCCCCCGACCTTGACAGAGAAGACGAATCAAAAGGAGCAGGACGAAGAAGTACGCCGTTCCAGCCAACAATATGCAGAGGCTGCTCTTCCACGTCGACCCCAGCCAACTGAAGAGGTTATATTTGTAAACCGGAGGATGCCGCCAGTCAAATCTCCCAGGCCGAAACAAAGGCTCAAGTCCTCACCGCCACCGCCTCCACCTCCGCTTAAGCATACTCGGGCTGCTCATATTTTGGTCAAAAGGGATCCGATACCTAACCCTCCGAAAGAAAAGACACTGCCCAAGACGCCTCAAATGTCCCCGGCTGAGAAGGTTATGGGTGATTTGGATGTATTCTTTAACTACGACGATGCAAACATCAACGACCGAGATGTTATCAAGGGGCTTCAAGTAGCTATACACGCAGCAGCGGATAACACGTATGATGCGTGGATACGAGAGAAAACCGGGTTAAGGATCCGACGATTCTTGGCTGATCTGAAGTCGGTGGGCGAGACGGGACAAGAAAACGCAACTGGCAAGCGCGCGTGAGAGGCGCGTGTGGAACCTGGGAGGTTGTAATGCATACGGGATTGTAAGGGTCTGGATTATAGATGGCTTCTCTACCTTGTAGGTACTTTTGGCTTATCGTAGTTGTGACTCTTGGGGCTTGTGTGCTTGAGGGAAAGGTTCAAGTATCACCATTAGTTATGACTAGCATAGCTAATTCTACTCATCTTGGACGGCGTTAGGTTTTCTCCTTCTTCCCTTTTACCTCCTTTTTTTTTTCTGGAGGATGTTGATGCTCAGGTTTTGACGTTGATATATTCCTATCGTATGCAGCTATGTACTGAATCTTTTGCTACACTTCGTAAAGCTATCTGTCTTTCCTATACACGGAGGCCAACATCATATTGGCATGACTTTTATTATGAGCTCTTTATTATATTGAACGCAGATCTCCTCAGCTGACAGCCTAACAAACAGGGGCTGAGCTGACCCAAGAAACCGACTATAATAGGCAGCCCTCGATATACTAACCTAACCTTAGCATACTACGTAACTAGTTATTATGCAAGTACCGTTCAGCCCACTTCTTGCGGATAGGCAGGTTTCCTGCTTACGAATCTATTTACGTATACATACATACCTACATACCTTCGTTATCCTCAACTCTCAACTTTTGCAAAACAAAATTATATATCAGACTTCAAAGTTGTTTAGTAACTACCTACCTAGGTAAAAAAAATTTTTATTAACCAACCAACTTCCGTACTTCTATCGCCCCGGCGCTTATTTATTAAAACGAGGTCTTTATAACTAGGTACCTAGCTTATATATAACCTCCCCGACTCTGATCTGATCTGAGCTGAGCCGAAAAAAAAGCTAGCAACAGGCGAAGCCAAAGGCAAAAAAAAAAAAGAAAAAAAAGATGGCAACGACGAGAGTAATGGCGGGGGCCACAGGCGGCCAGGATGTGGGGTCTGCTGCTACGACTACGAAGCATCGAGCCTGTGATGAATGCCGTATGTGACGACCCATTACACACGTACCTGACTACACATATACATATACATATGCCTACCTAGTAGGTAACCTGTATACCATATCCATCTACCACGGGGATGTTTGAGTGAGTGTGTTTGAGCATGTGTATGTGGTATGATACCTACCTATGATATGCGATCCGGGGCTTAATCACTTACTTACTTACTTACCTACCTACCCACTCGCCTATACATCTATCTACACTCTTACCTACACACCTACCCAAACACTTGTAATCACTGGGAAAATAATAATAACCCTAATCACCAATGCACAGGCATCCGCAAGCTAGCGTGCACCAAAGAGCCGAACGGCTGCTCGCGCTGCCAGCGCGAAGGGATCGCGTGTATCTATTCTGCGCAGAAGCCCATGGGCCGGCCTCGGAAGAAACGAGTGAGAGAGGAAGAAGGAGCAACAACTCACTACCACTACGATGACGAGGATACGACGACGGTGAGCAAGAATACGATGCTGGAAAGGCCACCGGATACGGAAGAGCTCGACTTGGCTGCTATTAGCCTGTTGATGGGGGAAGGAGGAAATGGAAATTACGGCGTGATGGGCGAAAGCGGGTCAGCTGAGACGGATTTCCCGTGGGGTTTGTACAACACGGTCGACGGACTCGGGGATATCGCCTTCGACGGCGGCGCGTCCTCCACGGAACACTTACCGTCGCTGGCGCAACAGTCGCACATCGACCCAACCTGTTTCTTCCCGGGCTTTGAGGAGCAGCCGCCGCCGAGCGCAGACTTATCGTCTCATTCGCATTCACCCAACACGACGACGCTCGAAAGCAGGGGAGAGAGAAGCGCAAGAAGCAGCAGTAGTAGTTTACCGGTACCGATGTCGACGAAGGAACGCTGCGCAGCGCATACAGCGGCGCTGTGTCTGGCGCTCGAGGCGATGCAGAACATGCCGACGGGGGAGAATGATGCGGACGTGGCGAAAGCTATGGCGCACGCGCGCCGGGCGACAAGGGTCGCGTACGACGTCGTGTACTGCCCGGCGTGCTTCTCCAAGCTAGACGACCTACCAGGAGACGAAGACGTGCACTCGGAAGCGGCGGCGGCGGACGAGATACGCGGGTTCCAGAACCTGATGCTGCTGGCGACGCTGATCCCGAGCATCGCGCACGCGTACGAGCAGATGTTAGTCGCGGCGGACGAGGCGGCAAGGCGGGCGACGGTGGAGAGGAGAAGGTTGGTATTTAGCCTCGATGGGTTCGGCGGGCTCATGGTTAGAGATGGCGGCAGGTGTAAGAACACGGAGCCCCTGAATCATCGCGAGATGGAGCCGGCGATGTGGCGGCTCACGGTGCGGGCCATGCTCCGCTCAGACGTGTACGGGATGACGACTTTGTCTTCTGGCTGCGGCATCAGGGGTGGCGAAGAAAGAGGAGCTGCAGGACAACCCTATTGCGACCACTTTGGCACTTCGTCTGCCGTACCGCCGCTGGTGCTAGGGCTCAAGGATGTGGTGAGGCAGATGGAGATTCGTGTGCGTATGCGACATGCGTATCTAAATGCTATAGCGAAGAGGAAGGGGGGACAGAGGTGTGGTGGAGGGCAGCAGGATACTACGAGTAGGTGTGAGAAGATTGTGGCGATTGCGAAGGCGGCGATTGATGGGCTCGTTATACCTTGAGCTTCGATGATGGTGATGTCAGGTGATGATGATGGCTTACGGTGCTTGGCCGGAGTGATGCGATTTGTTGATATGTACTGGTATAATTAGAACACGTACTGAGATACCTAACCTTAGAGGTGTTAAGGCAAGGCATAGGCTTAAGGAGACGTTTAGGTAGGGCGAGAACACTTCACTCCGTTATTAAGGATGGCTGATTGGCGACACGTTGATGTTGGCATGAGATGTCGGCATTCAAGGCGCAACGGCGGCGAGATGGAAAGTGTACTACATAGTAGTAGTTAGGTAGGTATGTAGTTATAGTGGGAAAGGTTCAAAGCTCCAGGGCTGTTAGCTACTACCTAGGGTAGGTATATCTCGGCATTGAAATCCAGTACCCGTACCTGTCTAGTCTAGGCTATCTAGTACCCAGAAGGTTAAACCTTACCTTACCTATTCCACTCGTATCCCGACCGCTGCCTATGTGGTTATATTTAGCATCACTCATACCAGTCAGCGTTGATACCGTGAATAGTGTACATGTCAGATTAAGTCTGTTATAATCCTAATAGTATCAATGACAACAAACAATATTTTTGGCTTGATAGATTTATACTGTACGTATATACTCTTGTAGTGTCAATACAAATGACTGGTGAAAAGGTAGATGTATTATACTTGTTTCAATGTAATTCAACACACAAAGAAAGTGAATCATCAAGTTCCAGCTTCAAAGTTCAAATGTTCTTTCTTTCTTACTATTTTTACTAGGGGATGTCGGGACATGGATGAGATGGGTAATGGCCTGTGCATCGGAACCATGCCATAATGGTGTTAGTTAGCTTAGCTAACCCCCAGTATGTACTAGTACTAGTAGTTAGTACCCAGTCACTTTTTATACATAGTACCAGATTTGGCATGTCGGAAGTTTTTAGGAGTTTTGGGTTTGCATCATTGTTCAATTGAGGACACGGTTTTTCTAGCACTTGACAACATTCAAAACCTCACTTCTTCACATACGATAACCGATAAATCCGGAAAGAGTGAAGGGTAAATATATTTTATCAATCTTTTGAATTGATCGCCGACTCTTTTTTGCTCTCTTGCTCTTTCCCATCACTTCCTCATTACTCCTTTCTTCTTTTTCCTTACCTTATTCTCCACCAACTCTAAAATTAAATCCTCGACCTTGACCTTGTCTCTATTACTACCTATTACTACCTGTTACTAGTAGTACTAAATATAAATCCCCCAAACCCCCGACATTCTATCTCGACTTTTCCCCCTCTCCCTTTGCCCGCCCTCTCCGGGACTCGACCTTTTCGATTATCGCTCGACTGAGAAATAACAATCACTTCCACCTCGCTACATTGCGCAAAACAGCTGGCCTGGGCTATACATAAACCTGCCATATAAGCACAATGGCCCAGATCAGAGGTACAGCCGGCTACCACCTCGGTGGTCCCAACCCTTTTGGCGGCCCTAAGAATGAAGTGGCCGATCCGAGTCCCCTAGACGCGATTAGGGAACAGACGAGCAAGATTGAGGATATGTTGGATACCATCAGCGAGCCCGTTAAACCGTATGTCAACAATCACAACAATTGCCCCCTTTTTTGCCCTTGCTACGACGGCTTCTATGTATTGGTCCTACCTGTTTTGGTACCTAGATAGTCGCTTACCACATACATAACAACAACACAACTACTTTGAAGCCTAGCTGACACATATTTCCCCTATAGATATCTACCAGCTATTGGGCGCTTCCTCATTGTTGTTACATTCCTCGAAGACGCGCTCAGAATTCTCACGCAATGGAACGATCAACTGGTGTACCTGAATTCGTACAGGCATAGTACGTTCTATTCTAACCGTCACTCAAGCCATCTAAACTAACGAGGAACCTATCAGTTCCTAACGGTCTAACACATCTGTTCCTTATCCTAAACGTGGTTACCATGATCGCCTGTTCCACACTTGTCATTATCCGAAAGCATTCCGATTTTGCCGTTGGCGGTCTTGTATTCGTCGTCGTTACGCAGGCTCTTGGTTACGGCCTTATCTTTGACCTCAACTTCTTTCTCCGAAACCTGTCTGTCGTTGGTGGCCTTATTATGGTCCTATCGGACTCTTGGGTTAGAAAGACGAAGGCTTTCGCCGGCCTACCCCAGCTCGACGAGAAGGACCGAAAGATGTACTTCCAGCTCGCTGGTCGTATCCTCCTGATCTTTTTGTTCATTGGATTCGTCTTCAGCGGAGAGTGGTCTGTTTGGAGAATCTCGGTGTCTGTGCTTGGTCTCATTGCCTGCATCATGGTCGTCGTTGGATTCAAGGCCAAGTTCAGCGCTACTCTCCTGGTGGTGATTCTTAGCGTTTTCAATGTTCTCGTGAACAACTTTTGGACGGTAAGTTGGCCCAAAAATCAGCCGGACTCGTAATACGCAGACTGCTAAGTTTCTCCATAGCTCCACGAACACCACCCCCACAAGGATTTCGCCAAGTACGATTTCTTCCAGATCCTATCTATCGTCGGCGGTCTTCTCCTGCTCGTCAACAGCGGCCCCGGCCAGTTCAGTATCGACGAGAAGAAGAAGGTCTACTAGACGATCCCGGCTTAACCGGGCCGCGGAACTCTACTCCCCAATGGCACTAAAGCATCGCGATCGCATGAGCCTACCTAGGGAAGTAGGCTGTAAGCTGTATTGCACCATGTGCCGATGCCGACTAGGGCAACGCATTCTATGGCGTAACGGGCGTAGAGCGAGATTATATGAAGTAGTTTTTGTTTTTGTTTCAAGCCGGAAAGATGAGCTGAACTGGTTGCGACCTTTTGCTAGCTATCTACCTCCCAAGAGGTTTCCGGATTCAAGAAAAAACAAAAGCACACAAAGGGAGGTTAAAAAATGAAAGTTTATTCGATTTAAATGAGATGGATGCTAGGATTATTGGCTCGCATGCATGACATGTCATACGTTATTTGTAATGTGTACGCTTGAACCACTAATCTGATGTTCTGATGTTACTTGAATATGTTTACTTCGTGAATACCTGCACATGTGGGTATCTATCTACCTAGGTATCTATTTTCGAGTCTAGAAGTTGCCTGTCTGTCTGTATATCTTATGCTAGGGTAGGTAAGGCTGAGGTGTAGAAGAACCGAACCGTGGGGTCACCGATCAAAGCTATCCTTGTCTCCCCCTCCCCCTTTATTTTGCTTGGGACTCGTAAGGGATATGATCTTCAAGTTGCTTGGTAGGTAGGTACATAGGCTATCTAGTGTAGTAATCGTGTAGGGATTCGCCTAGGTCCACCTTTTACCCCTTTTTGAAAAATAAAACACAATAATAACAATGATATGATAATAATTAGCAGGGTGTTGGCTTGGAATGAATGGGTAGGTAGGTAATTGGATATACATATGTTCTCCTTCAGAACTCAGGATTTGTTTTCGGGCGTAGTGACGTTTGGTTGTTTTCGTAATGTAGACAGACACATACATGCCTACGTAGGTGAGAGCAATAACTATGTATCAATGGAATATGAGGTCTGAATAATCCATCGTCTACCTACCTAATCTAGGTAGGTATGGAGAAGCATCTACGATGCAAGATCAGTCTACTTACATCATCCACCGGCCTAAATACCCAACTTCTTCGCTCTGCAAGGTTTGTATCTAATATCTGTGATCCTGAAGCGCATGTCTCCCGATCAATCCAATAGACCTAGGTAAAAGGCCATCGTTCATGCTCACGCGCCCTCCTTGGTCGTGATGACATCCGAAGCCCCCCCCCCCCCAAAAAAAAATAGAAACTGTGGGCACCAAAGGGCCTTGGAGGCAAGTGGAATACTCACGACGCATCCCCCTTTGGGCCTGAAGGCAGGCATGCCATGGACAAAGGAACGACCAGTATAAGATGATGGATGGTAGCCAAGATAGGTTTTAGACAGTAGTTCCAACTAATACACCATCATCACTGCACCTTTGGTATCACACCTGCCTTCAGAAACCGTCTAAATCCAAGCAACTCGCAAAACTTGGGGTATGGGTCTCTCTCCCTTCAGTGGCTTGGTGAAAGCCATCCGCTTGGTTGTCGTCACTTTCGACGTGCCTGACTGCTATGTTTCCGTCTCTAATCTCCTGTGCCTGCTGTGGAAGTACCGGATCCTGACGTGTCTGTTTTTTTTTTTTTTTCTTGTTGATCGCGCTGTCGTTGGCCCACTTGATAGCTCCTGTGTTGTCTTTTGAGTATGTACAGGTGGTTATTAGCCCGCCAGGCATTGCGTTCAGGCTCCGCGAGGAAGCTGCGCAGGCAGGACGAAACATAAACTTCATGGATTTCGTGGCGTAATCTATGATATAATGCAGCAGTGCCCAGGTTTGGGGCACTGGTGGATATCAGGGCAAAGTCGTGGCTGCGATCGCCATCCACCAAGGTTCGGACATAACTGCGTGCAGCGCGAGGCTCCTCTGGATGTGCAGGCACGCTATCATCATGGTCATCCTCTTCGTCAGCGAGTCCCCTGATCGTGGGTGATGGGGGTGGGTTTAGTTATATGCCTTTTGACTATCTCGGTGTTAGGCATTAAGTCGGCAGACGAGATCAGAAGAAGAAGAAAAGCAAGCCTTGCACCTATGTATGGTTACCAATGCAGCACGCAAAAACGCGTAGGTTGTTGATATCATGTGTATGTCGTCCCGGCAGACACGGACCGAACCAGCCCGCGCAGCCCATCGCGAAACCAGGGCAGCTGTGCCGCGATGACACGCGATTGCGGATCAACTGTAGCTTTCACAAACCGCAACCAGTCCCCAGCGTAGGGACTGATGAAGGAGATCCAGGTGTAGGTAGGTACTCTGGATAGACTGCAGCGGTAGGGCCCGAGCCTGCGAGTCGTGGAAGCACGACCTATTCCTATCCCCCGACTCCCCCCGCGACGTAGAGAAGTTGCTGTCTTCTTCTTCTTCGTCCACAGGACGGATCATTGGCCAGAAAGGAAACGGTAGAGCGGAGGCAGCATGGCAATCGCCTCGCCTGGGTTAGGTGGGCATGTGTGTAGCATCCGGGTAGCGGATGAGTTGCCGTAGGTAGGTAGGTCGTTTTCTTCTGGTTATGCTGATGTTCGAAGACGGGCGGTGCTCGCTGTGTAGGCGAGGCTGCGTGTGTTGGGTTGTAGGTAGTAAAAAGATAAAGATAAAGAAAAGGGGGGTTGTTGTAATAATATCGTATATATATATGTATAATGTATGTGTTCATGAGGCATGCGCCTTAGGATCATGGATGTAGATGGGACAAAGGAGTTAGGTGCTTGAGTAGATGATGTAGATTGCTCCTGTAATGTTGACAGTTCTCCAGACGATAGATTATTCAGACCTCATACTCCATCGACATTGCCATCAATAGGAATATAATGTTATGTGATAGTGATTCTGATCTGTGTGTGGTGTGTAGTAATGGCAACGGAGTGAAGCATAAATTCTTCGGATAGTCAACGAAGCTGGGCAAGAAGATTGTCGATAATGGAGGGGAGTTTTCCTGATCAACCATTCAAGGAGAAGGGCATCCAGAGCGACGAGCACCGTGGGATGCGATGCATGCGGGATCTCGAAACCCCGAACCCTCAACGACGAGAGCCGCGCCACGTTGGGGCGTAGTAGTATGGTCCTCGCGTCGCGGCCGACTTTCATCGGCTCGAGGAGAAGCTTTTGAGGATACAGGGCGCCGGCTCGGCTCTCTACTGTGAGTTCGAAGTGTTGCGTCCGAGGCGTCGAATCAATCACAGCAAAAGAGTTCTCAAGCAAAAGAAAGCATATAAGAGGGTAGGAGGGTCTAGCAGAGATTAGCGAGGTAGCAAAGACATGCGAAGAAGAATTGTATATATACCCCAAACCAAAATCGGCCGAAACATCACATGGAAGCCCTCGAAAAGATAAAATCATTTGGGAACCGGGATACGCAGCAGAGCTTGAGCTGCGGGAATGGATTCTGCGGTGACTAGTATGTCCTACAGATTCGCTCTGCTGTCTCCGGCTTCCGCCATTAAATAGAGCCGTAGGTATAATATGCTCTCCTTGGGGCAGGTTGTTGTTTCCCTTGTGTCGGTCACGGGTGCGCTATGCACGCAGAGGGCCACGTACCTACGTTGGACTGGCATGAGTGGCCCCAAAGACAAAGAAAAGAGAAGATGGTTGAAGTGTGGAGTATCTTAAAATATATATATATATCGATCTCGAAAAGGTATTTCAGGTTAAGAGATGATGCGACGGACGGGGATCATAGAATATAGTTCAGAGGAACTCCTATCTTTGGATGGATACATGACGAATATTTAATAGAAATAATATAGGGGTGGTGGAAAGAAAAGCCTGATGAGGTGTCATCTGATGTGAGTATGGTCAAGAAAAGAGATGAAGGGAAAGGGGTATCAGGACTAGTGGTATGGCGAAAGATGGTACATATAACCGAACACCTTTGGAACAGGTCAATGAACCTGGGCTCAGCACCTACATAACATGACAAGATATGAGTAGAAAGGAGATCACTCGGAGCAAACGGCATCCCAGAGACACACAAAACCCACTCGAGACAGGTGGACGTGTAGGAGCAAACAGGAGAACATAGGAGGAGGCTGATACAGCCCATGACACATCACCACGCAAGATGCCTGCGGACATTTACATATGCGCCTAATTGACGTGGTGTTGGTTCTTACTCTACGCTGTCTTGAATACCTGCTAGGTTAGGTAGGTACCTTGCTCATCCACTGTTGATTTCTTTGAGCAGAATGGCGTATGGACTCCGTTGTCTATATGCTGAAGCTTGGGTCAGGCTGCTAGCTTCATTGCCTGTCTAAGCCTACATGTAGGTGGGGATGAAAGCGCACATAGCCGATACATAGATTAAGTGTCTCTACCTGAGAAGGTCCCGGGAAATGCGCAGTATGTATGCATCTCCCCATTTTTAGGACGTCAACCAACATCAGGAGGGGGATAGTTAGTTGTTGAGTACAAACGACTACAGACTCACTGCTATGTAGACATTGTAGAGCCTGCCTAATGATGAATAGATACCCAAGAAGGCCCATGGACACATACATACAGGCAAAAACATGATACCAATAATAGGTCTCGGGTACCTACGTGTGTAGTGTGCAGTTGTATGTGTTAGAATTTTTATTCGTTATTATCTCATATATTACAAACGGCGTGACACAAACGCTAACTCTTATCAAAGCTCATGTAGCCTTGAGCTTCTTTGAACCTGGCGGCCTCTTGCGGAAGAGTCCGCTCTCCTGGGCTAGCTTCCATAGGCACCACAGGTAGCACAGGGCAAACCCGGCGGCCCCAATGCCCACGTTGGCCACGACCCATAGATCGGGTTTCTCAGGGGGTGGGGTAACGGATAATTCTAATATATGCCAAACCGCCATCATGACGTAGAAGGCGCCGTGGGTCATGGCTGTCAACCACTGAGCCCAGATATTCTGCCCTTCCTCGAAGTAGGCGCTGATGGAAACAGGAGGGAGGCCTAGTAGATACGCCCATAACAGAGATAGTACAGCATACGGTATTCGTAGGCCGACTCTCTGTAATAGCGGAAACATTGTCCATACTCCAACAAGATTGGCAAACCCAACCCAAGACCGAGTCTCCTTTCCTAGGCCTTGCTTCCCAGCGAGGAGTAATGTCATGGGGAGAAGTGGGAGTAGCACACTCTTTTCATGAACTTGGTAGCTGAACAAAAAGAAGCCCCACGCAGTTGCGCTGAATGCATATGGCAAAAGCTCCTTTCGGGGCCGGAAGAATATAATGACACAAGGTGGCCCAATCGAGGCAAGAGTCGCCAGCAGCGAGATTCGCTGTAGTAGCTCAGTTGGGTAATTCCGCAGCTTTATCACCACATTAGCTGCACACCAGAAGTTGGCAACCTTGTCCTCAAATAGTCCTCGCGCAAAGGGGAAGATTCGGTGGACCATCTGAGCCACCTGCTCTAGTAACGGATAATAAAAGGCTTTGGTATCTAGAAAGTCCGCGACGAAGGCAAAAATAGGGAGTGGGGGTCGAGGACCATCAAGGTTAGGTCGCGAGTCGATTCCTCGGCTCACATCATATAATGTGCCCAACATTATTGGGAGCACAAGAACGGCAAAGGACGCTAAAGTGACGGCCGCGATTCCCATCAGCCGTCCAATATTGATGCGCGGAAATGTACAACTTCCCAATAGAAAGGCAAACACAGCTGGCGCATAATACAATGCCATCTGCTTGAACCCTAGCGCCGCAACGAAGAAAATCGAGGCCCACATGAATCGCCCTGCTACCATGCTAGACATGCTCGCTAAAACAAATCCCAGCATGACCGTGTTGTACTGGAAGTGAACGTGGTCGATAAGAATGGTTCCGGGCTGCATGAGTATAGCCACAAGCGCAACCGACGCAGTCCACTGAGCCACGCCGAAGAGCTTGCTGTATCTCCTGACAAATATCACCGCAGCTGGAATGAAGATGAGGTATTCGGACACGATGACGGTGGCCCTCATGAAGATCTTGAGATTTTGATCTTCTAGGCCTCGAGAGGTATGGAGCGCAAACCATGCGGGATCAACGAGAGACCCGACCTTGCCGAGTAGCCAGCTGTGGTATGCCGTCAAGGGAGGATAATCGAGACCCCACCACTGCAAGTCGTGAAAATACCATTGTGATATTGGGAGGTGTGTCGTTATTTCCATCCAGTGTCTCTGTGCTTCATAGTCGCCGAACATTGGGGGCTTCTGGAAGCCTGAAGTTGAGAGAGAATATTAGTTCGGTTCCGAAAGCACCATCGAGGTAAGCCAAGGCGTGAGCAAACAGTATAACGAACCTGAATATCCCCATAATCCCGCGGCCCAGCGAAACAGGCCGACGACGATAAGAATAAGAGGAAGAACCTCCCATTGCGACAAAGAGCTCCGGGCAGGCCAGAGAAAGGCTGCAAGGGGAAAGGAAGGTGTTCGTATTAGCGCTTCGGGTTTGACGGGGACAGAATCGAAATGTGTCGTCTTCTTCCCTTTGCGCCGCGGCTTGTGGGGTGACGGTGAGGCAGAACTCATGATTGTTCACCGTTGAATCGTTGGGCGCAAACTCAGGACGATTACAATCATCTATAAGAAGGGATTTCTAGAAAGTTGGAAAATTAAAAGAAATAAAAGAAATGAAAGACAAAAAAAAGGTTAAGGTTGTCGTGTCTTGAAACTCAATGTGATATTAATTAGTTAGTGTGTTACCCTAGTAGTAGAGCTGTTTTAATACTACTACTAGTAACTAGTAGACAGGGTTCTTAGCGTGCCTGCGTGTCACAAAGCTATTAACAAGCATGGCACGACATAGATGGTATTGTACCTGGGCAACTTTAAGGTTGTGGCTGATGTAAAATAGTTAACTAGTTGGGGTATAACTACAAGAGTAGCTCGGTTTAAGCATATGCTCGTTTAACTGCTTAAACACACTTTCTTTTGATAATACATGACAGCATCTGAGAAGCCAAGCATTCTTCCTTTTGTCTCAAGAGATTGTCTTAAATGTTCTTCTCTTTCTCAAATCTGCTTCTAGATACCCTTGGAAATAAACGTACATAATATCATTTAGCCAATATGCCTTTTCCATTCATATTACCCACCACCTCCTCCTTCTCATTCTCCTCAAGCTTCAACTGCGAGTCCCACCCTTCCCTCACACTCAACGCCAGCACGCATCGGGGCGTTGTGAGGGACTCGCTCAAGAAGCATAAGCGGCTACCTGCAGCATCTCAGCCACCAAATCTGCCATCTGTGCTATCTAATCTGAACAGCTATCTCCCGTATCTCCTCGCGGTGGATGCCGGCCTAAGCAACAAGGCCGTCTCAGGCGACGAGGTCAGTGTGGTCCTGACCTCGACCCCTTCTATTGAATGGCGGCCCACATTATCGGACCATGCGGTCCCGGGGAAGGAGATGGCCAGAGTCAAGATACAGTCCTTGGAATATGAACTCTTCTTCATCCTCTCTACCGTCGGCTACACCCATACCCTGCTTGCTCGTTACTCACTCCACCCCCTTTACGTCACCTCAGGGGTGCCTCTCAGCGCGCAGGAGCGCACAACGGCGATCACCACTGCTACAAAGCATCTTCTAGATGCCGCCTCGGCACATGACTACCTAGCACGTCGAGCCGAGGGTCTTGCCACCACCCCCTCCTGTGCCGATATCTCTCAGTCAACCGCGCGCGCCATGTCCTCCCTCGCACTCGCTGAAGCAACCCTGCTCGCCGTGCTAAAGGATGACCCGTACCCCGCCGTCATCGCGCAGGACCGCAACGACAACGACCGGGAGTGGATGTACAAAGCGCCGGAGATCCCCAAGGTCCGGGCCCACCTCTTCGCGCGCCTCTGTCTCGCGGCCGCCGACCACGCCGCGCAGGCGTCGTCTCTGTGCCAGGCGCAGCAGGGCCGCGGCACAGGCACCCCGAAGCTCAACGACGGCCTGCTGCGCTACATCGAGGACTTCCAGAAGATGTGCCGCGCGAAGGCGTGCCGCTTCTTCAGCATCGACGCCGAGCTATCGGGGCAGACGGGAAACGCCCTCGGCTGGCTGCGCTGCGGGCTCCAGGAGCTGGGCATCGAGGTGAAGGAGGGGAAGAAAGGGGGTCTCAGTCTTAGTCGGATAAAGAAGGACTGGTCGGAGAAGAGGGAGGATCGGAAGGTCGAGAGGGGCACGAATTGGGGCGCGGACGCGGGAAAGATGGAGGAGACGAGGGTCATTGAGATGTTGGATGCGAAGTGGACCAAGGTCAATGACACCGTAAGTTTTATATCCATTTTTATGAGAAACGAACGTGCCCCTTTTTTGTTCGTAGCAATTACTCACTCGTCAAAACAGATGCTCACCCAGGCCATCCCGTCACCGGGAACTCTTCTCGCCACCTTGCCATCGGGTAGGGACATGCACAGCATCAAGCCATACCAAATCCCCGAGCTCGGTAGGGAGCTGCTCGAGGCGATGCGCGCCCCTCCAGACCACTCCGATGATTTTGGGGGCGAGGGGTTGAGCTCGGATGACGATGGCGAGAGGACGGCGGTTGCGACGTCCATCGGTGGGTTTCCGAACACGCCAGATATCAGCCGGAGCGAGGGTACGAGGTCGTATTATTAGCGCCTTCCGGTATTTCACTACGCCATACATACCTGGATTCTGTTTTTGGGGACTCGAGCTTTTTGGAATACTCGTGCTCACGAATATGCACGCATACCTCGATACCCGTCTGTCCCACTGGAAATGGGCCAGCTACTAGGTACCTACCTATGAAACCATACCGCTCTACCTAGCATGTATCCCACATGAACTATGCGTTCCAGGCCATATTACTAAAGTTTGTGCTGGAGCTGAACAGGTAAGGTCACCTCACCTAATCTATGATCCACGATGATTCTCTTTTGCGCCGCTGCTAATAATGAAAAAAGAGAAGCTTGATATATACTCACTTACACACACACACACACAACTACTTTCTCAGGGGGGGATATCTGTCGTCAACTATACCATACCATACTATACCTACCTAGACAACATTTATTTCCCTGACTAACTAAGGCTTCTTTCTTGAGACAAGATGTCGAGGCTACCTAGCAGGGACTCCAATCTCTCACCATACCTCCTATCCATAGAGACCCATGCATATGCTCCTTGTGCCTCGTGACTTATATCGTGAACCTCATCAAGTATTCCAAGTTTATTAGGTATCTTTTTCATTTTCATTTCTTTTCCAGAACCTAGTCTTATAACCCCTATTCCTTAATAGGGGACTCATTCCCCTTAGAACATTTAGGTTAGGTTAGGTTACAGTATTCCTTTATATCTGTCACCTCATAAACGCCGCATCCATCAGACTCGTAGGTACATAATTGCGTATAAACAAGAGGAACCAGAGGGAAAATAAATCAAAGGGCACCTGTTTACTGAGTGAAAGGGGATGATCACTAGTTAGTAGCCCTGCTCCTCTTCCTACCACCCCCCGCCGCCGCCTCTCTTGTCCTCCTATTCCCATCCCACCGCGCCGGTCCAGTCTAAGTATACAGGCACTACACCAACCTAGGTACCTGACATTACCTGGCATATAGCCCCCCCTCGCCTAGTACGTGTAGACCATATTCGTGACCTGGGGCCTGAGGACCTGGCACTTCTTCTTCAAGGTCTTGACGGCCTCGACGAAGAGCTCATCGGCGTCCCACTGGCCGGTGCTCTCGATGGAGAAGATGAAGTGGTCGCGGCGGCGGCCGAGCTTGACCTTGCCGTCGAACTCGGGGTGGCGCAGCACCTCGCGGCTGACCGTGTCGCGCATCGGGTCCTTGACCACTGCCTTCAGCTCCCCTTCGTGTCCTGCATACCCGCTCTCCTTGCTCCGCGCCTCTTGCCGCGTCACGGGCTCGAGGCCGATCACGCCGTCCATGAAGCAGCCCGCGAACTTCTTGGCGTCGTCGCCGAGGATCGGCTGCGTGATGGTGATGGTGGGCATGAGTCGGTAGCTCGCGGTGGCGACGGGCGACCACTTGGCGTGGTCCCAGCCGTAGCCCTTGTGCAGGTGCATCTCGAGGTCGATCTCCTGGCCGGGGCGCAGCTTCGCGATCAGGATGTCCGGGTGGAAGGGGCGGATGATGTCCTCGCCCGAGAAGTACTTGGGCTGGCCGCCGATGGCGTCGAAGGTGATGTCTTTGGCGTAGACGTGCGCGTGGTTATATAACTCTCGTGGGTCTTTGGCGCTGGCGGGAGCGTTCTTGTTGTGTGTGCATACGACCTTCAAGCCAAGGCAGACTGTGTTGTTGTCGAAGGTGGTGTCGTAGAGGCCTTGCCCTTCGGCGGGCTTGGGCCAGAAGCGCAGAAACTCGCGGATGCCCTTCTTGCCGCCACTGAAGGGTATAAGACCGAGGCGGTGGGAGAGGACTTCATCTTGGATTACAGAGGTGTTGTTGTTGATGTAGACGGTGTCGATGGCGAGGGTGGGGATCTCGGCGATCATGATGCGGCGGAAGGCATTGGCTATAGAGGCGTCGACGCCGATTAAGGAGAACTGGGCATCGTATTGTCGGTTCTCGTGCCATTGGACTCTAAAGCTTTTTCGGAAAGACTCTGCGTCCCAGGGGTGCTCTTCGTTGGCGAAGTTATCAGGATAGTTGATTGCAACGGTGTCTGTGACTGTCTCTTTGTTTATGCCTACGATCTAGTCAAAGTATTAGTTAAAAGCAGAGAAAATATTAATAACAATCAAAAGAAGATAAAATCTTACATTACGGTTTTCTATATCTTCCGCACTAGGCGGTTGCCGACGTCCTGACGAAGGTGCCATTGTGTATGAGTTGTGACTTTGATATTTGAGTGGGGTGAAAGAGAGAGATCTTCTTTCCAAAGTAAAAAAGTAAGAAAATGCGACTGAAAGAAAAAAAGTTACTATCTAATCTTATCAGTCCTTATCAGTTGTTTGCTACAGTAACCTTTGTACTAGGTACACACCCACGCCCCACCCAATTCACCCCACTAGCTTTTTTTCTTTGTGCAACAAACAGGCATGTTTTTGATTATTACTGATTGTACTGACCTGCCCCACAATTCTAAATTGTATAAATACCTGGCCTTCCTCCATCATTTCTACTTTTTCTTTCCTTCTTTTTTTTTCTTCATACTTACCTTGTTCGAAGGACTCTCGCTCAAGAATGAGAGTCCTTAAGTGGAGAGACCTGCATTGCACAGCGCGGAGTCGATCCTCTTCTACTATCCCTCGTGGATCGTAGTGAGCGGAATTTTTGATCTCAATCCTTTTTCGTTATGCTCGGCGCCTCGACGCGTCGCCATGAGGAAGATGATGCTTTTTGATGTCGTTGTATTCATGATTAAACAGCCCATCATTGATTATTGATAACTCCCATTTCAATTAATAGATGGTTAGTACTTATGTTATATGTTGATTTACGCGCGCCTGTAATTCTTGCGACCATAGTAGGTAGGCATAAGCTCTCGCGTTCTTTCACGATCATTTTAGCAATACCAACCCTACCTAGATACGTAGCGTTTTAGCACTCTAGGACTTGGATATACTACGCAGTCCTTCAATACAGTAGCTATCTACCCAGCCAATAAACCCTCCCGCTACCGTCCAAACAACTTCCTCAACCCCCCCAACTTCAAATCAATCCCATTCCCCGCCGCCTGATCCATAATAAACCCCTTGAGCGGGCCCATCGCATTGACCACATTAAGCCCCAGCGAGCGCAGCGGGACCAGCGGGCCCGAGCCCGCCGAGTACAGCTTATGCAGCTTATCGCAGACGCCGAGGAGCACATGGTTTGGTAACCACCGCTCAGCCGCGTACGGCTCGAGCGCGGTCTTCGCGCCGATATCCTGGCCGTGCGAGACCGCAAACTCGAGCGTGCGGGCGAGGCTCTCGACGTCGCCCTGTCCTTGGTTCAGGCCCTGGCCAGCTAAGGGGTGGATCGTGTGTGCGGCGTCGCCGACTAGTGCTACGCGCTCGCCCACGTAGGTATCTGTGTGCCGCATCTTTAGCGGGAAGGAGGCTATGCTGCCTTCCTGCACTCCTGTGACGACCTGCGGTAGAGCTCGGTGGTCGAACTGTGTGTGCTGCAGTCGCCACGATAACTCGTCTTCTTGACCGGAGCTCAGCGTGTGCATGAAGTCGAGGTCGACAGTGTTCAGCCGGAACGCAGCATTGACGAGGGCGATAAAGTCCTTCGGAGATAGGCTTTTCAGCAGGGCGGCATTAGCAGGCGTCGTGGACCAGACCAGGGTGGAGCAGTTGCCCGGAAGCGGCAGCATAGCGACGGGTCCCGTAGGCAGGAATCTCTGATAGGCAATCTTCATCGCATCCTTGCCCCAGCCCTCCCCTTCCAGCTCGAGCGTCGCCACCACACCGTGCCGTTCGTAGTCCCACCCTCTACTCTCGATCCCGGCAAATGTCCGCACGGGACTATTTGCACCGTCCGCGCCCACGAGCAGCCGCGCGGTAAGCAGCTTGCCACCCGCCAGCCGCACGACCGGCCACTCCCGCAAGTCCAACTCCTCCGTCTCCTCGCCGAACGTGATCTCCTCCACCTTCACACCATCATACACATCCACGCCCCCCAACTCGTCCAGCCGCCGCAGAAGGCCAGACGTCAGGTTGAGGTTCTCAGTCATGTACGCGATCGTCGTCTCCTTCTTCACAGCGCCAAGCGCCCACTCGAACCCGATGCGAGCGCCGGTGACGCCGTCCCAGACCTGCATCTCCTGGTAGGGCTGGACGCGGGCGCGGCGCACGTGCTGCCAGGCGCCCACGCGGTCGAGGAACTGCACAGACGCCGGCGTGAGCGAGCTGACGCGGTTGGAGAAGCGGTCCGGCGGCTGCTTCCACTCGCGCGTTTTGCGCAGGTCCTGGGCTTCGACGAGGGCGACGCGGAGTTTGGCGGTGGTGGGGTTCGAGCCTGCGTACAAGAGATGACACAGTAATTAGCAAAGCTAGACAGGTATAGGTCTCTAGGTAGGATGTACAGGGTGAGACTTTAGAAAGGAGGGTAAGAGCTTACGCAGCGCAGTAAGTAAACTTAGACCGGCTGGACCGCCGCCCACACATACGACATCGTAGATATCCGGTTGTTGGGGGCCGGCGCTGGCGTAGGATCTACTAGAGAGTCGGGGTGAGAGTAAGAGTCTGCGACTACAAGTCCTACATATTAAATTGGAAAGTGGTCGTCGTAAGTGACGCCCTGAAAGGATGACACTATCCATTTGGTATGGATATGCGCCTTTCACCTTTCACTTTTTACAAGACCTTAAGTTTTACGTGGGACGATGATGATCACGAAAGATAATCAATCTAATCGTTCAAATTCTATGGAGCTTGGTATAGGTACAGTACTAGGTACCCATTGGAGCTTCCTTGGAGCTTTAGATCGGCGCTAGAGGATGGTGGCTCCGATATAAAGGCTTAGGAATCATGATCAGCCGAGGTTTTCCCTTCCATATAAAATCTCCTGAGAAGTTGTATCGCTACAGATAACCATAAAACTAAAAACCTCTACAACTTTCGTAGGCATACGTACATATGCTGGTGCCAGGAATCAAAACCTCCCTGATTCTAGTTCAATCCGATTGAGACGATAATATTATAACTACCTTCCTACCTAAGATATAGAATATGCAAAGCAAACAACCACCCAGTTCCCAACTCAGCTTTAACGAAAACCAGACCGTTATCCTTCCTTCCTTTCATTGATAATCCCATAAAGTGCAATATACTAATGGCAACAATTGGGTATACACATATCATGCCATTAAACCCCGAACGAGGATATATTTCCTACTTCCTCTCATCATCACTTAAGGTGGGCGTAGGGCTCACGTGTGGCGCTGTGCTAGCAGCCGGGCGATGATTCTCATCACCTTCTGGAGCATACGAATGACTGGCATCAGTCATGACCGGTGTCTCGCCTCTTACACCTCCACCTCTACTGCCGCTGCCGCCTAGGGCGCTGCTTCCATCCATGGCCACATGCGAAGATTCGTGGTATGTGTCATCTGCGAGTATCGAGTCATAGGTATTTGCATTATTCTCCCATGCTTTGAGATCGTCCTCCACATCGATGAGGACTTGTCGGGCGGCGAGTCCATTCTCATACCTACGTCTCGCGTCACCAGGTGTGACGGGCGAGTCGTCTAAGAGGTCGAGAAGACGACGACCATGCTTGGCGAGGATGATCTGTTTCTCCGCACGCTCGATTACGGCGGCAAACTCGGTGTCGTAAGCTTCCCTCAGCTTGTTACGAGTCTGCATAGCACGTCAGCAATCCCACCACATGCCAATATTTCAATAAAGAAGTGCAATTTTCAAACAAGTCAAGTGACAACTGGAAACTTACAGTATTCGTTAACTGGGCCTCTGCAACCAAGTTTTCAGCCTCAGCTCTAACAAGCTCCTGCTCGAGGATGACGAGGCGAGGGCTCTGAGGCTCCTTGAACTTAAGGCGTTGGATCTCGTCTGCAATTTTAGCCCGAGTATCGCGGCTGGGCTGGACGCTCTTCTCAGTGTTGCGGATGTTTTTGAGAACACCGCGGGCGTCGTCGAGGCCGTGGGCGTACAGCTCTTCTTGGGCACCAAGCTCCGATAATACAACGCCCACCTTGTCGCTAATGTCTGACACTGCTTCGTCACCTGTCTGCTCGCCCCATTCTGATAGTTGCTTCGCGATAGCCTCGCGCTCCCTTCCTGCTGTCTCGTGCGCCGACACTAGATTATTGGCTGATTTGATCACCTGGTATAAACGCCGCGACAACTCTGGCTGGATCGAGCCTCGCAATGATGCAAAAGAGAACCCCTTGCGGCGCGTAGGCGATGTTGGTGCATTCGCGGCGTTGCCCTTGGTGGAACGTATAGAGAGGGAACGATTCCTATAGAGCGAGGTTTTATGCATTAGTGGATCTAAGGTCTGTATATGCTAGGAATCGAAGAGGGATTACAGATATGTCGACCCTAGAGACCGACTGCTGTTTTTGTGACTGGGCTGCGACATTCTCTCGAGCTCCAGCACGCCTTTGGAACTACCGCTGAAAAATTGGAAATCCATCGTCACCTACATGATGCGTTCAAAGTAAAAGGAGAGTCTTCGGGGTTCACCCGTTCTCTTTTTAGGAATATCGACAGTATGGCTGTTTACCTACTTGTAAACTTGTTAGCTCTTTCTCCTCATGATATTCTCTTGCTTATGTAGTTGGCAGCTTCGGTTCCCGTCTCAAGAAACCTGTATAACCTTCCATAATTTGTCGAGTACTGGCAGAGGTGGGAAGTTGCGAACATTGAAGCTAAGACTCTAACCTAAGGGCATCTATCACCAATGACTGACAACCCGAGGATATGGACGAATACTAACCTAGATAGTATGTGGGTACACTATGGGGCGTGTATCGTAAATCTGTGTAGATATTATATGTAGATCCGATAATATGTTTGGACAATCATTCAATATGTTCGCAAATCCTTGATGATATCAAATGAATCTACATAATAAGATACATTGCATACCTTAGGTAGGTAGAGTAATAGTAGATACAGTAACTCCTTCCCTTCTCATTCTTGGCAACATTACACATGCATTCACTTAACATGATCACATCACAATTGCACAATTGCACAATGAAAAACAAGGATGCACCTGCCAAGGTTAGAATCTCAAAGCAGACCAGATGACGACGGAGTTGGAAGCTAAAGAATATCTCATGATGTCATTTATTTCTAAAAGCTAACTAAGCTCAGCTTTTGAATTAATTGTTCTTTTTAAGTCTTGGTCTCTGCTAGCTAGTTAATGGCTAGGGTACATAGTGCCAACCCCGGACTTCTTCCCCCCCCCCCTTTTTGTAGCACCCCGCCTTCCAATGCCTCATAACGCTTTTCCTCGAGAACTCATGAATCATGTCTGTCTGTTCGTCTGTGTGTATGTGTGTACGTTCTTTGGTTTTATAGGGGGAAATGAATTGAATAGAAAATAACATTAAATAAAATAGGTAAAAAAGAATTGTATAGGTAAGTTATTAATATGTTGTAGTTGTGTAGGAAGAAAAACCCGTGCCCTTCTTCCTTCGCTTTCCTTTCCTATGTATCCGTCCCGGCTTTATTTCATTGGAAAAAACAAACAAACAGATCTTTGGACTATATTAGGTAGTAAATATTTGGTAAAAGTCAACCAGCGTTTGCGGGTTGTTGGTTGGCCGCAGAAAACTTTTGCATGCATATGTACTGCATACCTGCATACATACTATGTAGTATGCAGTATGCAGTTGGCATTAGGTAGGTAGGTAGTATAGCTGGAGGAGGTAGCAGTAGCCTTCCTCATCCCTTTTAGTGGTACCGCGTCTGGCTCGTCCGCTCATACACGACGGGGGTGCTGCGGCGGTAGCTCGTGGTGCTGACGCGGGGGCTGTGCGCGTGGACGTGGTGCGAGTGGTAGCTGGCGCGCGGCGTCGACGACCGGTGCTGGTGGTGGTGCACCTGGCGCACGGGGATGTACTCCTCGTGGTAGTAGTGCTTCCGCGAGGGCTCGGCTCGGAAGCACATCTTGGTTTCGCGGATTGTTGTTGTTGTTGAGGAGGAGGAGGGGGAGGGGGAGGAAGAAGTGATGGTGATGCTGGTGCGGTTGTTGCGGGTTGTGGCAGAGTTGTACTCGATGCTTTGGCGGGGTGGTGGAGAGCGCATATGTACGCTGTCCGGGGAAGGTGCTTGGGGATAGGTGGTAGATGATAGGTATAGTAGTATATGATGGGTTAAGTAGGTATGTATATGCGAAGCTGTGCTGTTCTTCGAGGTTCAATGTTGTTCTCGGGGTCAAGTAAGGGATGGGAACAAATACTGGTTGTTTTGTTGGCGAGGTGGAATAGAATAGAATGGGAAGAATCAAGACCATCTGTCCAAGGAGAGAGGAAGGAAGCCAATAGGTATTTAACCAACTTTCGTATACCTACCTTAATCAAGGTCCTACCTATTTACTAGGGGTCAGCCTTGCTGACCCAAAACGCATCACGAGGGGGGCAGGAAAGTGTCTTCCGGTGTAACCCTTCTTTTTACCTACATATGTACCCTACCTACTACCTGGGCGTACCGAAGGAAGAACAATTCTAGTGTATGTACATAGTGGCTTAGATTAGATCATTGGCGGTATGTATGTCATTGTATGTATGTATGTATGTATGTAACTCCAAGATTTATCGATGATCTCGAAAAAATGATCCTCGCGCGCATCCCTTTTTCTTTTCCATGCTAGCGATCCCTGCTGCAGAAGAGGCTATGTACTGTATATATGTACCTACCGCATTTTTTTTTCTGTAGAACTTGGTGGTGCTGTAGAAGCGTCCAGCAACTAGTTACTTACGCCACACACGTCTAGAAAATCAGCAGTTGCAGCCTATGGGGTTTGCCAAGAAGCCTTATCCTCCCTCCTCCTCCGTCTCTGTGGTAGTTATGTATTACTGTAGTAACTATTTAGTCTAGTCCCAACACATCAGGACCTTCAAGTTCAACATGATGGGCTCGAACGAACTCGTTGCGTATGTATGCACATGTATTGTACATGTTGGTATGTAGTGTAGATATGCATGTACGAACAGGTTAGCCCGGACGTGGCGATCAATAACACGAGATGGGTCGCCGCGTTCCGTGGAGCCGGGTTGACAGGATATTTCGCACAGGAGTAGTGTCTCGTGCCAAGGAAACGAAAAATATGGCTTCCTACCTGCACTACCTACACAGTACAGTATTTTCCCCCTTCTGCATCATCTCGTGTCGGTTGTCAAAATGCATACTTATCCACCGTGAATCGTAATACATGTCCACTTGTACATTCAACGGCTTCATGTGCATACTTCCCTACATACATCACAAGCTGCAAGTACGGATCCCGTCTCAGACACCCTTGCAGCGTTGACGATGGGACAGACTACTTGTTTCCTTCTCATTCAAAGCTCGGCTTCGTGGTGCTTGGAAACACGGCATGGCTTCAAAATCTGTACCGGCCCTGCCACTTTTGCATCCCGTTCCGAGGTTTTCTGACATGGTAGAGCCTATGATGCGGCGCCGACGTCAGCCTGCAGCGCCCTAATCGCCAATGCCGCCGGGCTAGCTTAGCTTGGTTGTTACAGTTATTAGTGCTACTACCTCAACAGCAAGAACCCTTGGAGTTTTGGACCCTGGAAGATACATAAACAAGCTGACCAGTTGACGACATAGCTCAGCTTCCTTTTAGCATGATGTCGTGACCTAAGCTCATTCGAAAAAATATCAACTCATTGAAGCTCGGCAGCATATGCGAGATATCTAGCCGATCTCTTGGCCTCGGAGCACGGCGACGATCGACAACTCGGAGGACTCAATTCATTAAATTCTTTTTTTGCATTCATTCGTGCCGTATCTACGCCATATGGGCTACTCTAGACTTGGAGGCCACCGCCAAATCCTTTTGGAATTCCCCCCCTTCCAAGTTCCCTCTAACGTACATGCGCATATACCTCATCCCAAGAAGAACCAAACGCCTCTTATTTCGTGGAGAACTTAACATCCACCTTGGAGATTGCCCACATTCCAACAAATACTGTAATCATACTCGAAAATATGATCAAAGGTTTGCGCAGGCTAGCGAGTAGCGAATAGTCATATGAGACGATAAGCTCGCGGTCTCGTAAGTCATCCACCAAATTTCTTGCCTTGATTGTCAGCACTGTGCGGCCAATAGTGTCTAGATAAGTCTTTTGCAAATCAACCGTGTAACCCGTGATGGAAGATTCGGGGATTGTGGTATAGAAACGGACATTCCTGCAGAATTGTTAATAGACATTTAATGTGTGACGCGCATCAAGGCTATACTCACTCGGCGCCTTCTGGTAAGAGCACGCGAATTTGGGTCTGCTCAAATGCGGCACCTTCCTGCTGCTTAGGGCCCTCGAGGAAAGGCACGTTTAATATGTAGCTATCACCAGACTTCTTTTTCAAGAAGGACTTAGCATCGGCGTTCCAACCAATGGTGAACGGATACTTCCAGCCGCCAAAGACAGGGTAACGAGGCTTGAGCTCGAGGTTGGCCTCCCGTTTGTTAGAGCGGAAGCGCGATGTCGATACATTGCCAATAACATCCGTGAAGTACACATCCTTGCTTCCAACTCGGAGGGGGAACCTTAACTCCTTCAAGGCATACGATTGAGGGTTGAAGAACTGAGCCTGCGCCCATTTAACTCTGTTAAACTGCTCCGAAAGGTTGGCGCCATGGTTGAATAGAGTATATCGCTCTTCAAAAGCGACATTACCGCCCCAGTGGCTAACTTCAATATCGCGTTCCAAATGCGACACAAAGTTGACGGGCTTGGTGAACTCGTACCGTACTTTGACCGGAGACACTGCGCCAGCCGGAACTTCGGGGAAAGGACCGTATGTAAGCTTCGACCCTTGTTTCTGTGGGAATTCCTTCGTCTCGCCGCTGCTCGCAAGCTTGGTGTAGTCGGTAATATCAGAAGAGGGGAGCTTAACCTCCGTCTTTTGCTTCAAGGTCGGGTAAGCTGATAGACAGTATGCTGAGAATTGGTAGACAAGGTACTGTTTTTCGGATTGTTGAATCGCAGCTGGCAATGGCGCAACGGAATCGAGGTAGTAGAAGGAAATGCCTAGGGTCTGTTGTCCTTTGGCCGGTAAGGGTGTAGGTAACTTAATGCGATAATATTGAATATCGCTAGAAGTCTGTTAGGAAAACGACCACGATAGGCATCAATGGGGGTGTTGTGGTATTTACCTTGAAAGGTCAAACTCGACAGCTTCTAATCCGAAGCCTGTCACAGTCGCATCCTTTCTGTCCTTCACCTCAATGCCTCCGATCCTCTCCATCTGCTGGCTGGTGAATGGGAGGAAGTATTCATCTTGCGGCTCGGGGGATACATTCTCAACTAGGACGTTGATGGACTCCTTTGCATAGCTTTTCTCTAGCGAGATGATATGTACCAAATTGGCATTCTTGAAAACTTGGGGGGGCTTGAAAGTAGCTGGGAGAGTGATCTTAGAAGATGAGGATCCAGCAATGGTGGAATCGGCGAGGACCTGCGAAATTAACGAAACGCAAGCTGCTGCGACAGCAGTAAACTTCATGGCGAATAAAGACCGAACGGACTACTCATAAAAAAATGAGTAGCGCCAATGCAAATATCAAATATACAATGGCTTGGGAATGTTGAGGTTAAGACAGCTGCTACTAACACTACATAGAAGCTGTTTATTACTAGTACAACATCCAACTTAATTGAAACTTAAGCCGACACCTTTCAAAAAGTTCCAGCTTACGTTGCCAATGCACATCGGGCACATGGATCCACATGTCCGATCCGGAATTGAGGAGACACGTTAATCCGCAATACTACCTTAACCTACATACTAACTACTAGTAGTAGATGACTCTAGTCCTGTTTGAGTTAGAGCATCTGAATATTTCTTTCGATAAGGCAAGCTATCTATCAATTAAAGCTTTAACGTTCAAGGTTCTGGGGTTACCTTTTACCTTTTACCTTTGAGACGTCAAGCTTAAGACATCAAGCTTAAAACATCAAGCTTAAGCGATGGTAGCGACACTTATAACTAGACACTTCAATGTTGAGCTTCAAGGTTGTTACCATCTGAGCTTCCCCTGCCTTCAACAAAAAAGTAAGACACCATCACCATTCTGTGCCTCAGGCGAGATAATTACATGTGTCACATGTAACAGCAATACATCAAAAAGGTATTTTACTTTAGTAGTAGGTACATATCCCCTATGTACCTACCTACCTACCTAGCCAACAAATCGCTCAAATCGCTCTTATTCCTCTTTATAAGCCTATCAACATGATGGGGTTATCACCCCACGACAGTACGACCCAAGATTCAAAGGAGCTTTCAATCGTTGAATGCGGGGTGTGGTGAGGTGAGGGGCCTGTGAAACTTGAGATTGCCAGATTGTGTAAGATTCAATGACGGAGTTCCATGCTGACAGCCTTGGAAGTCCGTAGCTATGCTCCCCTTCAAATATGAATGGATGGCTACCTATGTACACCAGGAACCAGGCACACCGCTATACTAGCCCACTTAGAAATAAGAAGTGTCTGATAGGTTTAATTGTTGGCCATTGAAAAAGACTACGAAAAGTATAAAAATTATCTTGAGATTACAGATGTAAACATGACAAAGTTGATGCTGAATGCTACTAATAGATATAGTAAGTTAAGGAGAGTTTGACATGGATATGGAGTACCTGAGCCTTTTTTCGGTGCGCTCTAGATCCACCTATGCATTCCACCAACCCGGCCTAGAAAGCCTAGAGGCCAATAGAAATTGACTTAAAAAGTGATAGAACCAAAGGAAAGGGAATTTGTGGGTCGATGATGAGGATGGAGGGGCAACTTTATTTCCCCCTCAGTAATTCATACAAGTATTAAGAACCTCCAGCTCCAGCATCACACATTGGCATCACCTACATATTTACTTAAGGTACCTACCGCTATTTTCAACATATCCATCTTTCATTTCCTTGCTTTTGCTCTTAACCCGCAACGCTCATCTATAATTGTATTGTGTTAAGTTCTGGCCAAGCTGAGCTGAGTAAGTCCCTTATCTTTTTACACGTCTCGGACTTCCTCTTATCTGGATATCCAAGCTCCGAGTCAACTTTTTAAACAGAAAAAACCTCGTCACTCATTAGCAACTCTGCCCCTCCAAAGCTTTTCATCTTTTTTTATATCGTATTGAAGTATTGTCATATTCACTAACAAAGAAACTTGAATCCTCTAGGCTGTTCTCACATATCCTTCATTTCTACCAACAAATTTTGAATATTTCAGCATATTAATTTAAATATATCATCAAAATGGTTGGTCTAGGTCCTCGAAAGCCTCCATCCCGGAAGGGTACGTACAACATCATCTCTTTGTATTATGTATATTCTACTCATTGAGTCTCGAGGGGCTTCATGTTTGTCGATTGCTTCAATGTTGCTAGGCCATTACTAGTAGTGTATGTATCACCCATAAACTTGGGATTTATATGCTCAGTTTGGTATATGTATGTATACCTCACTTGGTAGTATACCTAGTACTATGGGTGATTTCGTTTTGTTTGCTATCCGTCATACCTTCATTCTCTTCAGATGAATGGGTACGACTGAATGGCTGTTGGAAATGGTAGCGTTTCGTGTTGGCTATGGGCAAAGTTGCTCTTTCAATATGCCCTAGCGTGTACTCACAAGGATGACTGGTAACCAACATCACGGGAGTCATGTTATTAAGAAGTTGGTTCTTTGAGCATGTAATACCTAACTTGAAATCTGATCATACTCAAAAGCTCGTTATGATCTGTCTCCTATACATCAAACATGCAACATATTCCCAACTTATACACATACATACTTAATTTCACCTTCTCCCCCTTTTCTACCACTTCAGCTACTTGAACTACTGTTTGAACAACAAGATGGAGTCTGAGATGAGATCAACTGCACCTGGCTTCCCAACGACAATTCATATAGACGGTTATTCGCACCTCTTGATCATGAATGTGTAGTTTGCTAACATCAAGCGTTGTAGGATCGATGGCCGATGTACCAAAAGATCTTCTCGCCGAGATTAAGAAGCTGGAAGAGCAATTCTTTGTTGGCACACCCAAGCTCAAGGAAATCACCAAGCATTTTGTCTCCGAGCTTGAAAAAGGTGAGTGATAGTAAACTATTTTCACAGATTACGGTACTAATAGTTTGATAGGCCTCAGCGTAGAAGGCGGTAGTATCGTAAGTTACAAATAGACTCAAATTGTGTAATGTGTATGTTTGAGAGAGGAGTATAACTAACGATACTACTACACAGCCAATGAACCCAACTTGGGTAATGGACTTTCCGGATGGATCCGAGACAGGCACATACTTAGCTTTGGATATGGGCGGCACCAACCTGCGTGTTTGTGAGATTACCCTAACAGAAAACAAGTCAGAGTTCGACATTATTCAGTCGAAGTACCGCATGCCCGAGGAGCTCAAGACTGGAGAATGTGAAGAGCTTTGGGAGTATATTGCCGATTGCTTGAAACAGTTCATCGAGACTCATCATGGCGAACTTCCTGCAACAGCAGAGAAGATCCCGCTTGGTTTTACGTTCTCGTACCCTGCTACCCAGAACTACATTGACGAGGGTGTTCTACAACGATGGACTAAGGGTTTCGACATCAACGGTGTTGAAGGCAAGAATGTTGTGCCAATGCTAGAGGCTGCCTTAGACCAACAGGTATGTTTAACCATGGATGCTGACCATTGGAGATAGTGTTATTAATAAGGGTTTATAGAATGTTCCTATCAAAGTCTCTGCTCTTATCAACGACACTACTGGCACTCTCATTGCTTCCGCATACACTGACCCAAAGATGGCTATCGGATGTATTTTCGGAACTGGCTGTAACGCGGCGTACATGGAGAACTGCGGTTCTATTCCTAAGCTCGCTCACCTGAACCTGGACCCAAATTTCCCGATGGCCATCAACTGCGAGTGGGGTGCATTTGACAACGAGCACAAAGTCCTCCCGCGTACCCCTTACGACATTATCGTTGATAAGGAATCCCCTCGACCAGGACAGCAAGCCTTTGAGAAATGTATCGCAGGTCTCTATCTCGGCGAGATTTTCCGATTGATCATGGTCGATTTGCATGAGAATAAGGAGGTTCACATCTTCGCTGGACAGGATATCAAACACCTTCGTAAGGCGTACACCCTTGACTCGTCATTCCTCTCGGCTATCGAAGAGTAAGTTGTCCAATGGTTAGAACCCTGTCTCCGAGTTCGTAAAGCTAACCCTATACAGCGACCCATTTGAGAACTTGCAGGAAACTGCGGATCTATTTCAGGACAAGCTCCACTTGTCCTGCACTCGTCCGGAACTTGAGCTGATCCGCCGGGCTGCCGAGCTAATTGGTACACGGGCTGCTCGACTATCAGCCTGTGGAGTTGCCGCAATTTGCACCAAGAAGAACCTCCAACCCTGCCATGTTGGTGCTGATGGTTCCGTCTTTAACAAATACCCGCATTTCAAGGCACGAGGAGCCCAGGCCCTTCGAGAGATTCTTGACTGGCCCGCCAAGAAGAATTCCAAGGAAGAAGACCCAATAGAAATCCTCGCTGCCGAAGATGGAAGTGGTGTTGGTGCTGCTGTCATTGCTGCCCTTACGCTCAAGAGAGTACAGAAAGGTAACACTGCCGGTATCTTGCACCCGGAGAACTTCAAATAAGTAGCTAGTGAAGTCGATTGAAGTATAGCTTAGCTCATCCGGCGGAAAAGTAGCGATACGTCCTTAGAAGGATAGATATTAAAAAAAATAAAATAAGTTCGCCCAGATTTTAGATGCGGTATTACAGAGCTATCCCATGAGGGTACAAGTCGGAAGTCGATATTCTATCGCAGGTTAGCTTGCTATCAAGAACCTTTTGGAAAGAAAAGTAAAAAAAAAAAAAATTAGAAGAGAAAAATATCGAATTGAACTTACTATCGAGTGTCCAGTAGCGTCTCTTGACACCTTGCCATTCTCCCTCGCCTTCCTTCTGTAAGCCCTCCATGTCCACGTCCAGCTCCTGCCACTCGACGTCCATCCCGGCATCGCTGAGATGCATCTCGACCACCTGGGTGTAGACATCGTAGCAGATCTTGCGGTCGGCGCCCAGGCCATTGAAGAACCCGAACCTGCCCTGCTCTTCGAGCAGGGCGGGGACGTACTCGGTGAAGAACATGCGCAGCTGGCCGTAGTCCTCGCCGAAGGTGTCGAAGTAGATGGCGTCGTAGAGCTCGCCCTGGTCGAGCAGCTGCGGCACCACGTCCTGCCACCTGCCGGCGTGGACCTTGAAGGCGCCGGCACTCGGGCCGCTGGCCTCCCATTCCGGACCGAATCTGCTCTCGGGGCTGGTGGCGATGTGCGATAGGACGGCGGGGTGCGCCTCGATGATGTGGTGCTTGGAGGGCTGCGTGCCGGCGAACATGCTGTCGATTATGCCCATCCCGAAGCCGATGTTCAGGATTCGGCGGCCGGGGGGGAGGGAGGGGAGGAGAGAGGTGAGCGAGGCGCGCATTATGGAGGTTTCCCAGGCCACTGGATAGGGGAAAGGGGGTTAGTAAACTTTTCTTTTTTCTTTCTCCTTTTTTTAAGGGGGGCGGATATTTGGAAAGCTAGGTATTGGAATAGGGGTAGGGGTAGGGGTAGGGAGGCACGTACTCATCACACCATTTTGCGAGGAGTCGACTAGCTTCCCATCGCTGTACGTCAGGCTCGAGCGCAGGTAGTCCGCGCTGTTGACGTCGGGGCCGACAGCCTTCTTGCGCGGGACGAAGGCGCGGTCGGGGTCGGAGTCTACTATGATTTGGGCTTCCTCCTCCTCCTTTTCTCCCGTTGCGTCTATATTCTCTTCCCCTTTGCCTTCCTGCCCCTTTTCTTCCTCTTCGTCCGAGTCCTCGTCATCTGAATCCAGCTGCTCGTACCCGTTAAGCAAGCCGAACAGCAGCTCGGCACGCACGCCGGCGCCGACGCACAGCGCGTACAGATCCTTCAGGCCGAGGCGCTCGGCGATGCAGGCGGGGGTCTCGTCGTGGTCGTCGACGTCGTTCCAGATGGCGCCGCTCATGAAGAGCTCGTGCACGACGGCCTTGGCGCGCTCGACGACCTCCGCATCGTCGTCGTCGAGGGTGCTGCGGTTCACAGGGGCGCAGGCGCGGATCGCGGCGTGTAGGGGGGTTTCCCCCGTCGTGGGCTCCTGGACGCTGGCGCGGCCGGGCACGTTGAGAAGGGGCTTGAGGCCGGCGAGGTCGTGGTGCCAGGCGTGGTAGAGGATCTGCGAGATCGAGGCTGGGCAGGAGGCGGGGATGCGCGCGGTGATGGTGTCGGGGTCTGCCATCGTTGAAGAGACCACGGAGTGTATGTATGTACCTGGGAGGTAGGGAGGTATGTAAGCGAGTAACAGACAGCTCTTAACCTAGAGGTAGATACGTAAAAGATGGTGTGGCGGGGTAGTCAAATAGGAGAGAAGAATTAATTTCGTAGCAGTTGAGTTTGGTTACGGCGGGGTAATTGATCAATAGCTCTGTAGGCGGTAGTTAGTTATACAGGACTGTGTGTAGTTAGAACAGCCCTGAAGCGGAATCAATTCCATATGGCTGCTAAAAAAGAATCAATTGATGCACATAATAATGCAGCCATGGGTGTAATAGCGTTGTAACTTACTTGGGTTAGGTGCCTACATATGTACATACGAATACAAACATTGTACATAACTACCCTGTAGTATGTTTGAAACTTGGAACATTGAAATATTTTCAGCGTCCAATGACGCTAAAGTATAACGGCTAGAGCCGCTAAAACGGCCTAGATTTTGCACAGACAGAGGAATAACACGTGCAAATCGAAGTTTTCTTGATTGGACAATTGGGAAGGTTGGCGCTAGACGGTGAAAATTATTCAATAGCTAGTTAGTTAGTTACCTAGTACCAGTGTGTAAAACACGTGGGGAAACTGCCCCCGGGTGCCCTGTATCATGACGCGAGGGAACGAGCGTTGGAACTCCTCCAGGGTTTTTGTTTCCAAAAGCTTCATTGTTGCTGTGCATTTCTGCAAGCTGCACCATAAACTGACTCTTAGAAAACATTGGCATCTCCATTCAATCCAATTACCTCTCCAACAATTCATCTAGCTACTTAATTCACCGCCCTTTGCTACACTTTTCTATTCTAGTATTATTATTATTATTATCGATATTTACTACCTATTAGAGTTACCCTACCACGAACCGGCAAATACAAGCACGCGACACTTCTCAAGTCAATTCTCTGCAGGCATTGAAAAGGTTAGAGAACTCCTGTATATTCTATACATATCTACCTAACCTACCTATACAAATCCTGTTTTGCTTCTTTCCTTTTTTTTTGTAAAGATTTATCAACTTTTCTCATGTTTCCCCATGCTAATTGTCGAAGACTTGATAACCAAGAAAACCTCCTGGATTTCGACACGAAACGTTGAGGGCAATAAAAAGTGGCACGCTCGACCGGGGTTAATCGTCATGAAGTTCGGCGAACAGCTACGCTCTAGCATCATTCGCGAGTACCAATGGTACTATATCGATTACGATGGACTTAAAACCGAACTCAAGACCGCTTCAGGGCCTCCTCTAGATACCGAAGAACATGGCAGCGGAGGAGATAAGAAGGGCAAGGGCAAAACTAAGACCAGAGGCCAATCGAAGAGCAGATGGACAGAGGAGGACGAGCAACGCTTTATTGCTAGGCTCTATGCCGAGCTAGACAAAGTCTATACCAAGACTAAGGTCAAGCAGTCGGAAATTCAACGTCGCATAGCGGTCAGCGAACGAGAGGTCAAGGAGGTCGTCTCCAAAGTCACTGAGCGAGGTTTGACGGAGCAAGGGCCCTCGGAGGAAGAGTTCATCTTACTCGAAGAAGACTTGAGCGATATTATTGCTGATGTCCATGATCTTGCTAAATATGTTCAACTCAACTATACCGGCTTCTACAAGATTATCAAGAAGCACGACGTTCGTTAACCCTATCCAGAGCATTCTACGTAGCAATTCAACTAACTAGCCACGCAGAAAATGACCAACTGGCACCTGCGACCTTCTTTCGATGCGGCGCTTAAGAACAAGCCCTTTTACAACGAGGATTTCGATGCCGAGGTTGTGAAGCTATCTAGCATGTACAACAACGTCAGAACGCGCGGCAATCCAGTAAAGGGTGATAGTTCTGCCGGTGGTACCCAGGGTAGCTTCGTTCGCCAGACTACCAAGTATTGGGTGCACCCGGACAACGTTACCGAATTAAAACTCGTTATTTTAAAGCATCTACCTGTGCTGGTGTTCAATGCCAGCAAGGAATTTGAAATACAAGATTCTGCTATCTCATCTATCTATTACGATAATCCCGAAAAATGGGACTTATACGAAGGTCGTTTGAAGAAAACGGAAGGTGCTGAAGCGATTCGTCTACGATGGTATGGTGGCATGCAAAATGATACTATCTTCGTGGAGCGTAAAACGCATCGAGAGGATTGGACTGGGGAGAAGTCGGTAAAGGCTCGTTTTGCCATGAAGGAGAAGAATGTCAACTCATACTTAAGAGGCGACCTGCTCCCGGCCGCCATCTTTGAGAAGGCCCGAAAAGAGGGCAAGAAGTCTGAAAAGGCTATTGCTGAGGACGAGACCCTCGCTAAAGAGGTTCAGTACTCAGTCTTGAGAAATGGTTATAAGCCTGTCTGCAGATCGTTCTACAACCGGACTGCATTTCAACTGCCAGCTGATGCTCGTGTTCGAATCTCTCTTGACACCGAACTTAGCATGGTACGAGAAGACAACCTGGATGGCGTCAGGCGTTCTGGTAACAATTGGAGACGTATGGATATTGGCATTGATTATCCATTCTCGCAACTGCCTCCAGGAGATATCTTACGCTTTCCATACGCCGTCTTGGAAGTAAAGCTCCAAACTCAGCATGGACAAGAACCTCCAGAATGGGTTCGGCAACTCATCTCGAGCCATCTCGTTGAAGCTGTGCCTAAATTTTCCAAGTTTATTCATGGCACCGCATCTCTGTTCCCTGATCGGATAAAGTTGTTACCTTACTGGATGCCCCAAATGGACGTGGATATTCGTAAACCAGCATCACACGACTTTGGTATCCACCGCCCGACACACTCGCACGCTAGTGGCACGACTTCGGATGATGACGATGACGACGATATTGATTCGGATGCTGAGGATACTACAGATGCTGGGTCCGCCGGACCTTCGGGCCATGGAAATGGCCTGTCGCGTCGGGTTCCAGCGCTTGGGGATATAGAAGGACAAACCACAGAGGGCACTGTCAACAACGAAGATTATCCCCTTTATGACTCGGATAATGAAGTAGACGAAGAGGATGCGCTTGAGGAGGCAAGACGAGTTGGTGGATGGACGTATTACTCTACTGTCGCCAAGAAGTACGCGAAGGCAACCAGCAATGGAGCGTGGACGGTATTAATGAGTATTACACCACGTCCTCGAGCTACGACAGTTCCTCGCAGCAACCGAACCCAGATGTATTTCGGCGATCAAGATGTCCAGACTAAGAAGTTCAAAGCTCCCAAAGGCAAGAGAATCTATGTGCCTATCAGGGTTGAGCCTAAAGTCTACTTCGCTGCGGAAAGGACTTATCTCAGTTGGGTATGTGATTTGTAAAATTTCTTTTTGCCTATATAAACCCCCTTATATCTCTTGACTAACTTTGATATACCTAGCTCGAGTTCTCGATCTACATCGGCACCATCGCCGTCACGCTACTCAACTTCGGCTCTAAGCCGACCACTCTCTCCTTCGTCGTCTCCGGCATCTTCACCCTCTTGGCTATCATGTCGCTCTGCTATTCAGTCGGCATCTATCTGTACCGGAGCAGGGGTATCCGACAGCGTAGGATCATCAAGTACTACGACAGGATTGGCCCGACTTTCCTATGCGCTGCCCTTTTCGTAGGAGTCGTCTTGAACTTTGCCTTTGAGGGCCGCGAGAGAGCTGTATGGTAGGTAACCTACCTATCTTTTAGGGTATTGGATATAACCAATCCAACTGCTTTCGAAGCCCCCTGGTGGCAGGAACGACGATGTATGTACAAAGAATTTGATGGAAACGCATAAGAATTTCTTGGAGGGTGGGGGGCTTGTCAGCGTTTGTATAATTATGAGCTATCTACCTAGGTCAACCTAGGCGGGTAGGCATCTAAGAGCGGATATTGCGATGTTTTTTTACTATTTCTCTTGTTTGATGGAAAATATATATATATGTGTGTGTGTATAGGTTATGTTTATATATATGGTTGTGCATAAGTAGTACATGTAGGTAGCGAAACTCGAATGTTATATATAACTATTTGGTTTATATGATGCGTACCTACTTTGTAATGCATACATCGAAGATAGCAAAGTGTGTATAAGGTTGTTATGTAGATTGTGTACCTGTTCATGTGGTGATTATCCTATTCTAATTGTGCGAGGTATGCATATAAAGTTGTGCCCAACATTAGGTACCTGGAGTATTGGACTTGGGAGGACACGTGGGATGATAGGGGGCGTTTTTTTTTTGTTTTTTTTGTTTTTAGGAAGAATTCTGCGATAAAAATTGTCTTTTCTTGTTTGTACAGTACGTGCTATAGGTACATACATACATACGTATTATGCTGTGTTTGCACAATGTCGGTATACCTATGCCTAGGTATCTAGGGAGGTAGGTACTAGGTATTGTACGTAGGTATCTGTAAATATGCGCTGGCCTTCGTATGCTGATTTACGGTTGGTTATATGGCGACGAGGATCCTCTCCGATGCGCATAGCGACGGTACCGTTCCGCTAGTGTCGTGTTATGAGTGAGTATTTATGTAGGTTAGGTATGTACCTACTAGTAGGCAGTATGTACGAGGCGTAGAGAACGTTGGATACATATATATATATCAGTTGCCGTAGCGTCTTGTTGTAGAAGGCTAGAGTTCAATAAGGGAGGGTATATTCAGTGGCCTTCTCGTCAATGATTGTCGCCTCCTTTGCGCAGAACCCATGCCCAGGTACCTGGGTAGGTACTTATGGAGGTAGTTTTGGTGCTGGTGTGCCGGTAACGTGGCTTGGATGAGAACTGTGAGTTTTACACATGGTATGCTCTAAACAGCTCAGCCCTTGTGCGGCGAGATTGAATTTGGCTGCCAATTTCCGAGGACTCGACGGTGAAGATGAAGAAGATACGACTTAATCAGTTTTCCATATATAGTCGTTAGCGCACCACCTACCTCGCCCGTGCGCTGAACAAGGGAGCACCTTGGAGATTAAAAAAAAGGGGGAGTGCTTCCCCTATTACCCCTCAGGTCTTACACCGGCAGACACCTATGAGAAAGGAAAACCAACTTTGGGATACGAGGTCGATGATATAACATGGGAGGAGTTCCATGATCGCGAAATTCTCAGGCTGAAAAACGAGTATGTCAAGGAGCTGGAGAGCAGCAAGAAAAACAACACATCTGCCCCCCCAGAGTTCTAACTCCCTTCGCTGACGATCATCGACAATGAGTACCAGCTACATGTTGCAAGAATCGCTAGCTCGGTAGAAAAGCTGTATATCGTCTAACACTATTTAATAGGGACATGCTATTGGATTGAAAAATCCGTCAAACCAGAGATCCTTTACGTTGCTCACCAGGAGATGAAGATCAACGGAGAGAAAGGAGTTCATGCACTGGTTTCAAGGATTAAAAAATATTACTTCCCAAGCCAAGTAGCATTCCTAATGGAAGTTAGGGGAACATACAACAGGGCTCTCAATTCTTACTCAACAAGCGTCAACCCGTTCGAAAGGCAACCACCTAGGCAACGCTCTCGGTCGCCGTAGCCGCAATAGATTGCTCAAGCCTCAAGCAACTTGAGGACAACATCAATATTGAAGCAGCACTTCATCTCCAACAACTTTATCCCCGGTATCGTACGAGTTCAATCAGACAAGGTTTTACATTACCCACGATAATTTCAAATCTCTTCTAGGTACTCCAGAGTCCTCATGATGCATGGTACTACCTCGGTGACTGTCACTTGGAATTTGGATCGACATGTTGTAAATACCTCTCCCTTCTTTTGGGGGCGTCCAGAGAAGCACAAATCGAGAAGGGTTTAGAGAGGATGAATTACAATAGGGGTTCGCTGTCCATTTTTTTTCTTTTTTTGGATACCTAGGTACCTAGATGCCTAGTAACCTAAGTTGACGTTCACAGTTTGACCTGACAGGACCTGGACTGAACTATCTGTGGCTTAATCTCGGTAGGTGGAAGATATATAGAAGTATATAGAGGTATGTATATATATGCCTATACCCTAAGGGGGTATATAGGTAGATTAGGAGTAGAGCTTTCGTCTTGGTTTGGCGTTGAGAATGGACTGAGAATGAATGTAGCAATACCTACCAGAGCCTTACTTTTCTTCCTAGCTGATGGCTTACTGGATTGGATCAATAGGTACATGCAGCAAGCGACCTCATTATCACCTACCCGACCTGAACTATTTTTAGTCCCTATAGGCTTCCACGACTATGAATACCTACTTAGTAAACCCGACTAACCCCCACCAGAAGCTACATATGTAGACAGGAAGTAGTATCATCAACCCCAAGATGCATTAGGGTATGTAGCACTGCATAGGTACTGCTAAACACATGCATACAACACTTTACAGCAAAGCATTCAACTACGTTAGGTCAGTAGTTATTATTTCCATTGTATTGTTTGTTGCGTTGTACTGATGAAGTTGGCGTATTCTATCTATACTCAGCTCAGTCTAACAACAAAGTATCCCCTCCTGTTACTATTAGATATTACAGCCTTTAATACCATAAACTACCTAAGGTACCTAAGTATGAAGACTTCCAAGGCTTGTTTCATGCCAAAGGTCAATCCACAAAACGACCCGAGGCTGCTTGTCGAGTATTATTAAAACTCCTCGGGCCATGTGTTGAAGACACGAGCTGAAATATAGGCGGCGTATTCTTCTAACAGGTTGATAATAACCTTGCTCCAATAATATCCGTAACCGGCATGACAAGCACCCCTTTCACTCGACGCTCCCAATAATCAAATGGATATTCAATGATCCCACAAGAAGTAGATGCTGTATTCATCAAATTGTTTCACCAAATTGGTCATCGAGCTCGACCTGAACCCTGGGGCTTTTAATCAGTGTTTCGCAATCATCTCCCACAACTCTTCCGCTACCCGGCGTGAAGTGGCGAGTGCGCTTGATGCCTTTCTCAGACCCATTCATGATACGGCCGTCTGAGCTCGCGTCGTCAATTCCATGTGAGTCCATGCTCGAGTGAGTGAAAACATTGGTGAGGTCATTCCCAAAATCCCCGGCAGATGTGGATCGATGTGAAAACACTCCCGAGAACGCACTTTGGCTCGGAGGGGAGTTGTTCGCGCTAGTTTCCCTGGTTTCTTTCCCAAGGTTGCTAAATGAGGTTTGTGAGACCTTACGCATTTCAGAATGATCGTTAGAAGACAAGTTATCACTGGGAGAGTTCTGGTTGAGCCTATTTTCCTTGCGTGATTTGACTTCAGGGGCCGGTTGACCGATACTTCCACCCTGGACGGCAAGAGGGTGCGGCTGGTTGAGTAACGAATGCGTAAGAGAAGTTGCGAACTCAGGCGAGAAGGCCGTGTGGTTGGAATTGAAGAAGTCATTCATTGACGCGTCTGCCGAATAATTATTATTAGCACTACTCACTACGTAGTTTTCTCTTCATAGTTCTAGAAAGGGGCAATAGTGTCGACAAAGTGGGTCATCATACTACCAGGCGTGCTAGTTTTGCTCATGTCGAGGTTAAGATCGTCCATGAAGTTTGTACCAGCCATGGTCGTTGGAGTGTTGGTTGGTGCTTTGAGGTCATTGGTGCTGCTATCCACCTCCCCTAGTATGGAAGCCGAGATATTTAGAAATTGATGATCCGGTATGTTGTGAGTACTATTGGACGTTCCCAGGCCATAATCGGGCATACTGACATCGGAATGGGACACCTTGCTAGTGCTTGTAGTTGCCTTGCGGTTGGAAGCAATACTGTGGCTTGACTTGCCGTTGTCAGCAGCAAGGTTATATCCTACAGGCCCAAAGTTGTTGTTCGTCCATTCGTAGCAGGCAGCAGCCTCGGACTTCTGCGTCGTGAAAGGGTCTACCCAGGCCGAGCTAGACCTGCCTCCACTACGTTGAAGCACAGCTTGTGTTGTGGGCATAGAGCTGAGCAAGTTATTGGTCGGTGCTAATCCTGGAGGGCCGGGGTTATAGGCCGATGAACTTGAAGTAGTTTTCATATAGTTTGTTCGGCGACGAGGAGAGTGAAGATGTGCTTCTGGGCCATCTTCATGCTGTTGTGATGGGACAGGCATAGTAGGATTAAAAGGGCCACGTCGCCACATTCCAGGATTTGGCCATGCAATCCCGGAAGTCTCAAGGATGTCTATAACGAACACATATTAATATGGAACATAGTTTCGGTTGAGAAAGGAAGGGGCAGCTGATTCTCTAGATACCTAGTGGAGCATGCTGGAAAGAAAATGCGACGATATTCTTGACTCGTTCGATTGGAACGGTCAAAGAGTCTCGAGGGAAGCCCTCGCTAATGACGATTTTAATTCGCCCAATCTCATCCGCCGGGCTCCAGTAGCTCTGCTGGAGCACTTCGCTACGAAATTGGGGGAATCGAAGGGTTTCAAGGTCTCCGTTCTTCGTAAATTCTACGTTGCCAGGTGTTAGTTTTTAAAGGCATACTTGTAGCATGTGTGATTCACCGAAGCTATGATTGATCAACTGAGGCCATGGTCCAGAACGATTAAATGAAGATGAACTAAGCCTGATTAGAGTTGAAGCTTCGAAGGGAAACAATGGGTTGAAATCGTACGCAACCAAGCGACCATCAACCAGCACTCTGGCTTCAAACTTGACTAGTTCAGGATGCTTGCTGTAGTTTCGGGTGAATTGACTGATTTCCGGAGTTTTCCAGCAATGAAGCGAGATGTTGAACTGGGTACCCGAAGACAAGGCAGGAATGAAGCAGGTCATAGTCGGTAAGCCGAAAGATCCACGGGTGTGTGCGAATTCTAGACATCTTTGGATCAGCCATCGAGTATAGACAAGTCAGGTAAAGAAGGAAGGGGGGGGGGGTAAACAGGGAGGAAAAAAGAGAAGAAAAAGTATTGCTTTAGAAAATGGCCCTTACCGTTATCGTGGACAACATGGCAGTTAGTCTTGAACTCCTTGACCGGGATTTTGCAATCCCTTGGAAATAGGAGTACGTCCCAGTCTTCGAAACGCATCTTCACTGACAGTGATGATAACAAACAGAAAGTAGGGAAACTTGAGATAATAACTGATTGGTTGATACAGCGAGACAAAATGTAGAACAGAACCAATTCTCTCGAAAGACCGTAGTGGGTGAATATTGAGAGTTAGAGAGGAAGAAGGAAAAGGCGAAGAATTGCTGTAGTGAGGGTATTTTACAAGTTGTAGTAGCAGTCTAGGTGAAAAAGTAGACGAAGTGATGGATGGATAGACTAGGTAGATGGATGTTTATTGCCATGTGGTGAGTCGACGGCACTCCCTTTTCCGAATCCATAGCTCCATCGCGACTTCCCAGGTTCATTTTGGTCTCCCATTATTTCACCCGCCCGAAGAAGGTACGTGGAACATAGTACCTTATTAGTATGTAGATACTTCACGCATTCTCTAGGCGTTTATGTCGAGCACCTGCCTTTTAACATCGTGGTGGATCTCGAATTCCCCGATCACACTAAATTTACTTGTGCTAAACACTTTGAAAAGACGCAAGTACGGGCTGAGCTGAGGGGACTAAAGAAACTTTCACATGGATATCCTTACCTACTCCATAGTACTTCTTTCCACTCGGGAGATGTAATAAAATAAAATAAAATAAAATAGGGGAAGATCTTGATGCATAAACATATACGAAGGATAATGTGAAGGATAATGAGTTTGATATACTACCTAGTAACTACTAGGGCATGTTAGGTAGGTAGGTATAATATGAAAGAGGGTAACTCCGAGTATAAAAACGAGACAGCAAGTCAACCCAGCTATCATTCAATGGTCCGTCTCATACTGAAAGCATATATGTGTATTGCTGTACCATGAACAAGCTATTTTGAACGATTGTACAATCTTCTTAATCGTCCTCTTCCACTTCCGCCACCTGGTATGGCTCCGGGTCACCAGGAGCTCTCGCCTAGAATTACGATTAGTATCAATCCATGCCAATTTCGGCCATTGGCTAGAGTTTCACTTACTCTCACAGTGCCTGAACCACCTAGTTCTCGTTCTAATCCACCTTCAAACTCTCGTGGGTACGATGGCTTGTCAGGGTATAACCTTCCGACCACCCAGCAAACACCCACGACGGTTGCGATGAATGCGCCAATTTGCAGTATTCCCTTGCCGGGAGTGACCCAGGTATATTCGTAGGTAGAGAATATGCCGAGAACATCGTTATCCTCATGAACGGCTTCGCCATAGTTGCGTCGCTCTTGTTTGTCCCACCAGTCTCCATGGGGATCGCGGAACTGTCGCTTGACTCGTGGTGGGTTGATGTAGCCACCGTTCTGTTCTCATTAGTACCGGCACGTAACCCTCGCAATGTCTAAAGGTATACTGACAATGTCCGGATCTTCAGCATCCGTGAGTTGTCGCTGGTCTGGGAACTTCTCTTCGGTGATAGCGCGATTGGTGAGCGAGGGCGGAAGGAATGTACGTTGCTGAATAATGGGTAGTCTGTGTGCTACTAGGGAAGCCGATCGCAGAGCCGAAGCCCTTACGATTCGTTGGGGAAGCATCTAGAGAATGGCATGTAAGCCTTAGTTATTTAAGTGAGGATCAATTGGAACATACTGTAGGCTTGCTGCTGCTGTTATACCCCAATGCTGTCGAAGTGCGTCTTGCTTTGGTAGTGGTATCAGTCACTAAGTTTAGAAGCTTTGAAGTTTAGAGGTGGATATGGATTCATGCAAGCTTACTAAACAATTTGGCTTAACTTCAATGTTCAAAGTGGGTAACTACTATGGATGTACTATGTACTACAAGTTATACCCTGACCTCATACACTCCAGACCATGCACCTATCAGATTTCGTGAATTACGTAAAGTGGATAGAAACTGGGGGAATATCCATTCGCGGCGCACAGACCACTAACTTCAAATTCTAAAATTCTAAGGTTGCACTGGGGGGAAAAAGTTGGACCAAGCCTGCTATTCCTTGTCTAAGGCAAGGCGGAGACCCGACGAAATTTTTGAATCATCACCAAACCACTGATGAAAGACAATTCTTGCACAGATTCCATCACAACTATCGTCTCAATGCCCTGTGCATGTTGAAATTTCACTATGATAATCCATTGGTAATTCTCTATCTGTAGACCTACTTTTTATCTCACCAAATGCACATCTCATCGAGACCCGTGTCTTTCTCTTCTCTCGACACCCCTGGACAGCTATGACGGCTACCGCGTCGCCCGAGTCTGCGCCTACACACGACACTGCAACTCTACCCAACTCAAATCATACAACAAACGAACTCTGCGAACCGGTTACTCAAGATGCCACCGTGCCTTTAGACAATCCATCTCATCAAGAATTACAATTACAAAATTCCACAATAAACCAATTGTCCTCAACAAAGACTGAACCTAACGGTATCGAAGTCGACGAATCTACGGTTGAGACCCCCGTCCAAAATGGTCATGCTGACGAAAGACCTGCAAAACGTCGACGAGTTCGTGAAACAACACCTCAAAGCGCATCTCGCCGACCTAAACTTGAATCACCTCCATGGAAGAAGATAGAGGCTGAAGGGCCCACAACATTCACCGAAAATGGCAAACGCAGGTCCGGACGCACTAACCAAATTCCCTTGGAGTTACAGCCACCAAGTACTAAGAGACTTACTCGAGGTGCTCTTCATAATGCTCACACGTCTACTCCTGCCAAAGAAACCCGTTCTACCTCTAATGGTCACGTAAATGGGTCACAAAAGCACGCGTTGACAGGGAAGGGAACATCCTCCAAAGCTCCTACACCGAGTGCCAAGCCTAATACTAGAAAAACTTTGGCAAATGTTCCCAAGCCCTCACCAAGAACTCGAAAGCAGTCTGCTTCGCCCCCACCTCAGACAACATCACCAAGACGATCAACAAGAGCACAACGAACCGGTAGGAATCTTCGAGATGGGTTCGACACCCCTACACGTCCACCTAATCAGCCTACCGACGAAAGCCCCAACTTACGCCCAACTAAAATTCGTCTACGGCTAAGAGCACCTGCAATCCCCACCGTCCACCCAGCTCAACTCAACGTCTTTCCAGGACAGATGATTGCACGTGCTAAGATATCGTCCGATTTCCGTGAATTTGTCGAGCGCGCGCCTATCATAGATGTCAAAGATGGCGGCTGGCTTGATCTTGCTGATGAAGGAGACCCATACACACAAGAGACAGCTGAGAAAGATGCTAAGGTTATTCTGCGGATTGAGGCCGAGGCCGAGCCTGGTGGATTGCTCTGTGAAGAACGCTCTACGATCTATGTCCCCGAATCTGCTGAGGAACCTCCACGACAATGGGCACACATGGACCATCTCCTTAAACAAATGGCCAACTTCCGAAAGCTCATGGTGATGGAACATCAGAGACACAAAGCTACAGCTAAACGATTGGCCGAGGCTTGCCGTGAAGAATGGCTGCGCCGACAACCCAAGACGGCCGAGCAAATCGAGGCCGAAGAAAGGGCCACCTGGATTGGTCGTTACAAGACCGTAATTAAGGCTATTAATGGGACATGGGATAATGTGAGGATCGAGGTGAACCGCCGACGTTTAGAAGAGTGGGAGGTTGCCGAACAAAAGCGTGTCAAGGCTGCATTGAACGAGGCTGTGAATATGTCAGAACTCAAGCTGCAAGCTCGTAGAGCGCATTTTGACTCGGAACCTGTTTCTGATGAAGACCAAGAAGAGTTGGAGGAATCCGACGAGGAGGCAGACGACGAAGATGAAGACATGGTTTCTGAAGATGATCCAACCTCGATTGAAGGTCTTCGCGAAGACGATAACGAGGACAATATGTCATCCTCTGATGACGACGACGATGCAAAGTCGAATATTTCAGACGAGGGTCTCACACAAGACCAGCTACGACAGAAGTATGCAAATATACCCGAGCTCCTTGTTGAAAACGGCCAACCCCTGGGAGATTTGGAAGACCAAGGTGAAACGAGTGATGAGTCTATTGATATGGATGATGACCTAGGCTCAGACGACGAAGACATGGACAGTGACGAAGATGGTGGACAGTCTGAAAATGAGGATGAAGACTCGGAGAGCGAGGAGGAACCCTCTGGTCTTCTTGGCCTCTTTTTCGGCAAATCAGAATTGCGGAAAATGAAAGTAGATGCAGCGGCTGATGAGCCTTCTTCGGCTCAACATGATATTGAGATGGCTGACGCCCCGGATAATATGTGTAATGGAGGAGGAGAAGGAGAAGGTGTAGTCCCTGATACCATTACGGCCGTTGAGGATGGCAAAACATCAACATCAGATGAGGTACCATCAACGTCAAGACAGGTAACGAGCCACACCGGTGAGGGTCCGATCACGACTTCTCTCCAAAATGGGGCGGTTATGAGCCCAGCATATGCTGCATCTGCTACGATTACTCCATCAGAAAAGCCAAGTATGGCTATTAAGCCGGACGTCCTGGTTGCAGAGCCTGAACCATTGCAAGCTCAGGACGTTGAGATGGAACTGGTTGATGCCGTCGAACAGGTAAACGGAGACGCCAAAACAACAGCGGCACCACTAGTCGAGGGGACAGCCTTGGCAATACAGAGTGTTGAAGTCGCAACGGTCTCGTCAGTTCAAGCACAAGCGACCCCGGATACGGATGCACTTTCGAATCCTCCCAGTCATGATCGAAGTCAGTCTCCTCGGACGTCTGATACGAAACCTTCGGATGTTGATACTATCTCCTCTGTTGTGAAGTCTGTTCCAAGCAGGTCAAGCTCGCCCCAATACCAAGTGCCAAGGACAGAAGTTCCATTTTTACTACGAGGTACATTGCGTGAATACCAACATTATGGTTTGGATTGGCTTGCTGGTTTATACAGAAACCAGACGAATGGTATTCTCGCAGATGAGATGGGTCTGGGGAAAACCATTCAAACAATTGCCCTATTGGCTCATCTTGCTTGCTATCATGAAGTATGGGGCCCCCATCTGGTTATCGTCCCCACCAGTGTGATGTTGAACTGGGAAATGGAATTCAAGAAGTGGTGCCCGGGTTTCAAGGTCTTGTCTTACTACGGTAGTATCGACGAGCGCAAACGCAAACGTCAAGGGTGGAAGACAGATGACATGTGGAATGTATGCATCACATCGTATCAGATCGTCCTACAAGATCAGCAGGTCTTCAAGCGGCGACAATGGCATTATATGATACTGGATGAAGCTCATAACATCAAGAACTTCAAGTCCAAACGTTGGCAGACGTTGCTAACATTCAACACACGCGCGCGACTCCTACTCACAGGCACTCCATTGCAGAACAATTTGACTGAATTGTGGTCACTGTTGTTCTTCTTAATGCCATCTGAAAATGGAGTGGGCGGATTCGCAGACCTGGCAGAGTTCCAAGACTGGTTCCATAAACCGGAATCTCAAATCTTGGAAAGTGGCCGAGAACAGATGGACGATGAAGCACGTGCAATCATTGCCAAGCTACACAAGGTACTCCGGCCATATCTCTTGCGACGACTAAAAGCAGACGTTGAGAAGCAAATGCCGGCCAAGTACGAGCACGTCGAGTTCTGCCGACTATCACGCAGGCAGCGTGAGTTGTACGATGGATTTCTAGCTCGTACGGATACTCGGGAGGCTCTCTCTTCTGGAAATTACATCTCGGTGATCAACTGTTTGATGCAACTACGCAAAGTGTGCAACCATCCTGATCTTTTCGTGGAGCGTCCCATCATGACCTCCTTCCGACAACGCAGATCAGTTCTAGCTGGCTACAATGCAACGGAGAGCCTCGTCCGAGGCAAGTTGCTTGCTCAGAAGCCTATGAATGCCATTAACTTGAGTTTCCTAAATCTCGTCCCCACGCAGTATGAGAACTTGTCCAAAACGATGTGCGAACGAATTTCGCAACTGAGCTCTCACCGTGCGCTTATGGAGCTCCGGGAAGCCCAAAAAACGCGAGCTCGGTCCGTTTACACCAGTTTAGATCCTACCACAGTGGAATCCAATATCGTGTACCTAGAAAGCGCGGCACGATGGGGCCGTTTTGAGGAATTGCAACATTGCGTCTACCTGAATGCACTAAGAAGACAACAGCGGCCGATATATGGCAAACAACTGACGGATTTGCTAACTCTTGGTGTGAATGAACGACCTCACAAGCCTCGTCCAAAGGTTCCACGGAAGATTATGAGTTGGTTCGAAGAAGACTCGCCCACTCTGAGATCAATAGTACCTACGTTGAACCAGCGTGCTGCGTCGTGGAAGAGTACAATTTCCAAGTTCGCGTGTGTTACGCCGGCCGTTATTACTCGAGATTATGATCGATTCCTCTTGGGTCCAGAAGGTATCGAGGCATTTGATGAGACGAATCTCAAATTATCAGCTCCAGTCCGCCGCGCTCCATTCATGCCCAAAGAAGCACCACTTGATCCATGGCATGAAGCCCGCATGAGACTCAGCATCCAGTTTCCAGATAGGAGACTTCTCCAATACGACTGTGGAAAGCTTCAGGCCCTTGAACGTCTTTTGCGCAAACTACAATCTGGTGGCCACCGGGCTTTAATATTCACGCAAATGACCAAAGTGCTTGATATTCTCGAGCAGTTCCTGAACATCCATGGACACAAATACCTACGGCTTGATGGTGCTACCAAAGTAGAACAGCGACAAATCCTAACAGACCGCTTCAACCACGATAATCGGATCCTCTGCTTCATTCTATCTACACGATCGGGAGGTTTAGGCATCAATCTGACTGGAGCAGACACGGTCATCTTCTACGATCAAGACTGGAACCCCGCGATGGACAAGCAATGTCAAGATCGATGTCACCGAATTGGTCAGACGAGAGATGTTCACATTTATCGTCTCGTGAGCGAACACACCATTGAGGCAAATATTCTGCGTAAAGCAAGTCAGAAGCAGATGCTGGATGATGTCGTGATTCAAGAAGGTGGCTTTACAACCGACTACTTCAATAAGCTCTCTGTGCGTGATGTTATTGGCAGCACCCCAGATGAGGCTGATGTAGTTGGCAATGCCATGGACCGTGTGCTTGGCGGGGTTGAGAACAGCGACCAACGGACGGTCGGCAGAGTTCTTGAGCAAGCTGAAGATCGCGAAGATGTTGACGCCGCTCACGTGGCAGAGAAGGAGATCCAGGAAGACGAAGCTGACTTTGCTGAAAAGCCAGTCACAGCAAATGCATCTGGAGCCTCAAGTGCCAGACAAGGCACACCTATGACGCAGGATGGCTCTCTCGCACCAGGTGCTGGAAAGTCAAACCTTGGCCTATATTCCGAATCGGCGGACGTGGATGTGGACAAAGCTCTCGAGAGTGTTGAGAAGAATGCATGGGGCGAAAAGATGCATAACATAGACGAGTACATGCTTGCGACCATGAGCAAGCAGCTCGAAGGAACGGCGTTGGATCTTCCCAAGGACAAAAAGAAGAATAAGAACAAAAAGGGCAAAGATACGCGAAAGAGATGATGTCAGATATACGAATACCAATTTTTACATGCGCCCAACCCAAAATTTCGGAGGCAGGAGATAAACATCTCGGGCCATTGTACATTACATAACCCCGTGCCAGTGGAATAAGCACCGAAGGCATTGAGGAGGCGCAAACGCATCGTTCAAAGAGAAAGCCGTGGGTATGAAGGACGAAGGCACAGAAAAGGATTGCATTGCATAAACTTCGGTGTTTCTATTGTGAAAGGCAAGCAAAATGGCGGCGTATTAATAGGAGGCTTTGCATTGGAATCCGCATAAAGTACTAGTAGTAACAGTTGAAGTAGTGTGCATGTTGGGGGAGAGCCATAAAGCCATTAGAGCTGTATCTGTAGGCACAGACACCAAGCGGTGCTCTTATTGCTTAGGGCTACCACTCACCTTAGGTACTTGCTGCCAACTTACTACTAGATAATTAAGATGATGGAGGGTAAATGAGATGAGAGATGGAAACCGCTCGCGGCGGCCTTTTTCGCTACTCCTTTTTTAAAAGAGAAATAAATAAAGCAGAAAAAAAAAAGGAAAAAAATACGTTTAACCAACCCCTATTCTAGTAGATTAGGTACTGCATAAGGTAGTTTAGTCTTGTCTTCAATACTAAGTATATACTACTAGTATATAAGTACATACATAGGCAGGCGGTTTACATGCCTACCTGGGTGCCTATCTACATATAGGTACACTCGCTATACTCGATACGGGGAAATGGTGATGCCGAATAAGTGTACTGTTAGTTAGTTTGGTTCTATAGAAGAGCCGATTTATTTCCCCGCGTTCGGCTCCACCGCGCGTTCGATCTGACGAACGGTTCGATGCTTCCACCCGATGGCCCCCCGATAACCTACTATACTATTACCTTGTCTACCTTACATACCTCATCCCTACCTTCTACCCAGTAGGTAGCTACCTACATGTAGGTCAACGTGACTACTATTCAGGTCAGCCGCGTATAGCTTGGGTGGAAATTTGACCCGTCAGGATTTTTTTGCTCTAAGGAATCAAGCGGTACGTTTACAAGATCCGGCTAGTAGCTCACCATCATTAGCTACTTACTACCTACGTACCTACCTACTTTAAGACCTCGTATCTGACTTAGTGCCTCGCAAACAGAAACGAGGGTATCACGAGGAGATTTGGGTAGCTCAGTCAAGAAAGATTTTGCTATCCTAGGTATTACACCTTGAACGACCAACCAATAATGGCGGGCCCAGCAGAGGAGCAACAGCAGCAGCACGCGGACTTCCGCAAGTACCTCCCCGACCTGTCCACGCCGCGGTTCCAGGCGATCGCGCAAAACGACGCCAAGGGCCACTCGCGCGAGCTGCTCGAGCACCACCGCCCGCCCTGGCTGTACGGCCTGTACGTGCACTGGCGCAAGCTGTTCGAGGAGCCCTTCCGCGGCGTGACCAGCGACGGCATCGTGCGCGCGCCGCCCTCCCCCCTCTTCCCGCTGCGCGACGAGGGCGTCCCCGCGGCGCTCATCGCCGCCGCCGCGCAGCACGTCATCGCGCTGCTGTCCCCCGCGCAGGCCGTGCGCACGCTGCTCCACATCGACTCCCCCGAGTGGCGCTCCTGGTCGAACCCGGAGTTCCTGCTCAGCGACAAGGGGGTCCGGCTCGAGGAGCTGGCGCCCGCGCAGAGGGAGAGCGTGCTGGGGCTGCTGGAGAAGACGCTGAGCCCCGAGGGCTACGCGAAGGCGCTGGCGGCGATGCGCATCAACCATTTCCTCGGAGAGCTGGTCAACGCGCCGAGGGTGATGAACCAGCACAGCTATAACTTCGTGCTGTTCGGGACGCCGGTCGCCGACCGCCCGTGGGGGTTCAGCTTCTACGGGCATCACCTGTGTCTCAGCGTGTTCCTGCACAAAGGGCAGATCGTGATAAGCCCGTGGTTCACGGGCGCGGAGCCGAACACCATCGACGCGGGCCCGTGGAAGGGGACGCGCATCCTGCACGAGGAGGAGAGGCTGGGGCTGGAGCTTATGCAGAGCTTAAGCGAGGGGGAGAAGAAGACGGCGACGGTGTACAGGGAGATGAAGGACCCGGCGATGCCGAAGGGCCGCTGGAATCATGACGATCAGCGGCACTTGTGCGGCGCGTACCGCGACAACCGCGTCGTGCCGTACGAGGGCGTCGTCGTCTCGGCACTGGGGCCCGCGCAGCAGGCGCTCGTGAAACAGATCCTCAACGAGTACCTCCTGTACCTCCCCGCGCGCGCGCGCGAGCTCAAACTCCAGGACTGCGAGGAGTGGTTCAAGGAGACGTACTTCTCGTGGATCGGCGGCCACGGCGAGCATGATCCGTTCTACTACCGCATACAGAGTCCTGTGGTGCTGGTTGAGTTCGACCACCACTCGGGCGTCTTTTTGGCGAATAGTGAGCCGGCCAAGTTTCATATACATACGCTGCTGCGCACGCCGAATGCGGGGGACTATGGGTTTGCGCTGAGGAAGCAGGTTCAGGGGGTCGTGAGCCAGGAGTATGTGTGGGAGGAGTAGGTGAGGTAGGTGATGATGGGAGCGTATGTGTGTGAGCGTTTGGTCGATGGGCTTTGGACTCGCTGGGTATAAAGGGGCTTGGAAATGGATAAGGGTTTTGGAGAGAGTTTGGGAGGAAGCCATTTAGGTACATAGCAGGCGCGGAAAAGGATGGGAGACTGCACTGAAGGCACTGGAGGTATTTCAACATACATGAACACCTAAGTAGGGTGATATATGTCGGTAGGTAGGTAGTCGATGGTGTAAATACCACGCGATAGTATATAAATCACTTATACTCATTTTTGATACTCTCTACACGTAGAGGCCCGATGCTTGGAAACTAGTTCAGCGTTGGTGAGGTAGAGACTCGAACATCCAGTGATTCCACAAGCCATCCCCTATCCCTTCATCAAACACCTAACACCTTCAAATGCCCCCAAAGCCAACAGAAATATATTCCTAACTTCCTCTACCTTATTTCCTTGATTCCTTCATACAGGCCAATATATCCACCACCATGCAAGCCAAGTGTCTGCAGTTAGGTACCTACCTACAATCCCCCCTCGATCAAGACCCAACTCTCTACCTCCCACCTACGTTCCCCATCTACATACCTTCCATATTCCTATCTAGTATGCAAGAGAGTGGACTCATTCGAAAGCCGCCGCAAAGTTTGCACCCGCCGCCCACTTCCCGCCCTACATAACCAACGCAAAGCCATCGATGGCAAACGAATCTACACCCAGCGCCTACGCCAACAAACACGGTGGCTTATAACTAACAGCTACCTACCTACCTACACATACTCTAGAAATAACGAGAGGAAGCCCAGCACATGATATACCTACCTACCTACCTACATATAGCGCTGTCTACCTCAACCCCCCCATCGTCTTCTCTCCCTATCACAAACTTCTTCGTTTTCCCCTTTCGCCCTTTTTTCCCCTTGCTTAATCCAAACGCAGACCCATCCATTGTGGACCCTCCCCTCCATCTTCCCAAAATCGAGATGCTGCATACAAGTACCCTAAAATGTCACTATGCATATCCCACTGCCGATTCCCTGCACTGCGGGCCAGGAACAGTTGCAGATGAAAAAAAAAAAAAAAAAAAAAAAAGAGGGAAATATACGTAAGGAAGAAGAAAAAGAAAAAGGGGTGGATATGCCGGATGCGGTTCCGTGCGCACGCAGCAGATTCGGTACCAGGTTAGAAGAGGCAGTGGATGGGCGTTACGGAGTGTTGAAGTATGTAAGTCAGCAGGAAAGCAAGCATGTAAGAAAGTAGGTAGGTAGGTACCTAGGTTAGCGATGATGTTACCAGGTTAGTAGATAGATAGATACCTGAGCAAAGTAAGTACCAGCAGGTAACCTTCAAGTAAAGTTAGTATTCTATGCAAATAAAATTACAACAGTATATACAATACCAACAAAAGCAGTATGGTGAACGCTTCCAACGCCTCCGATGAGATACATGATAAGGTAGGTATTCCATGCCGGCGTGAACGCCTCCAGCTATAATGTAGTTATTTGCCGCGCCGTCTATCCCGATCCCCTCCCCTTCCATGTAATAACCATAATCCATAACTCCCTCCTCTCCCCTCTTAATTCTTTTCTTAATAGAGACTTCCATTCCTCACGCCGGTATAAATCCAAGTCAGCGTCGCGGTCTCCAAGCCGGGTACCTTGAGCGTCGGCCCCAGCGTCTCGTCCTCCGCGAACTTCTGCAGCCAGCTCTCAAAAGTGCCCTTGAGATCATGCACCTGGTAGCCGCGGGGCTGGGGGTCGTGGATACACTGCTTAGTGTGGCGGGCTAGCGGTAGCGGCGGCTGCATCTTCTCCATCTCGGTGCGGTCGTCGACGGGGTCGTAGCGGACGAGCTTGCTCTGGTAGGGGCGGCGCGACCAGTAGTTGTCGAAGTTGAAGTTGACGTTGAAGTTGAAGTGGTAGGGCTCGTAGAGGTCGTAGTGGCGCCAGGGCAGGCGCTGTTGCTGGTGGTGATGGTGATAGTGGTGGTGGTGTTGGTTGTGCGGGCAGCACCGCTGCCGGACATTGAAGGCTGAGCGCTGGTACACGACCAGGATGATGGTCTCGAGCTGGCAAAACTTCGACACGTACTCGAGGAACCGCGCCATGTTGCGCTTGGTTTGCACGGTGCGGTGGAACATCCGTAGGTGCAGCCCCGTGTGTAGACCCCAAGATGTGCCGAGGGCCAGCCTAGTCACGCTCCGGCGGATAGGCTCGATCTGACTTAGAAGGCGCACCACTTTCAAAAGCCTCTTTACTTGTAGATAGGAATCTAGCAAGATGATATCCCGACACAAGTCCAGGTGTTTGACTGTCCCAGAAAGGGCGATCGGTTTATAGCGACGCAGTACAGCCTGCCGAGCATCGCGACAGACCCGCGCTATGGAGGGTGGGGGTTCGTTCCGGATATCTGCGAACATCAGCCGCCCCGAGGGCGAAGATGTCGATGGTATAGAGGTCGGAGAATCCAGGACCTCGAAGACTCTAGGCTCAGGGAGTGCGTATCCCCATATCATATCTCGCAGTTCCAAGGGTAGCTTGGTAAATTGCGGAAAGCAAAGCGGTTGTTCGGCCATCGTAAAATTCGTTGCCGTTTATCTCTCTCAATATCCTCGTTCAATGTCCCAAACGTGGAACAATAACGATACGTCCCGCGTTTCCAACTCTTCTTCACCTTCAAATAATGTGCCTACTAGCTAGCCAAGTAGGTACTTTTCAGTTTGGTTCGGGCTTGCCGAGAACAAAAGTAACGAAATAAATTTACTTTACTAGTATAACCCTACAAGAAATCCAGTCGTTCAGAGACTTGGGAGGATGTTCTGAACAGCTGTTTAAATATACTAGCCGCGAGGCCTAGGGCCTCCTTCTCTTTCCAACACCAAGTTCCTGCAAACCAGATTAATAGTTGGTTGAGCTTCCCTATATCGTGTTTCGCGGGTCTTGTAACAGAGCGACAGATAGGCCAGGTTCCTGGCGTTGGATGTCGACAACGTGAAATAACAGGTTGATGTTGGGAATCGCCTTGATAAATAAGTACAGCTTCAATGGCCACAGCGCTACGCCACGTTCATTCTTGGCCTTGCCACTGAATACGTTGCAAAATTGGAAAAGAATATGTTCAACAATAGTGAGAAAATAAGCAAACGAGCTGATCCAAGAGGAATGGGGATTTAAAAAGAGCGAAATCAACGACCGGCAAGACTACGGAGGAGCTAAGCGGCGGGAAATGATGTAAGATATTCATGGCATTAAGAACCGACAGGTTAGGGTGCAGTGTGTAGCTAGAAATGCCTTTATGTCTGATCACATGGGGCCGGCGTCTCCAGAATATCTACTAGAGACAGCGAATCCGCCAACGGAAAGGAGTGGCTTGCAAGCCACTTGTTTCCCTTAGTCGGGCGAAAAGGGTTGGGGGTGCAGCCTAAGTGATGTAGTTTAGTTTGTCATGCGGGTATGTAACGGGCCTGCGAGGCAATATTAGGAGCGATGACCTAACAGCATCGCTCAGGGGGGCAGTCAAACAGTAGAAACCTTCCAGAAACAGACGTAGGGGTGAGCCAGTCATAGTGTGCTGAGTTGCTGACATGCTACCTGGGGCTGTCGTGGGTAGGTAGGTACTTTGTACGTATAAGTAGTGAAGCAACATCTGAACTTCTGAAAAGGGAAGCTGAAGCGTTGCGTGGGAGATCCTACTAGGTATGTGAGAGATGCTCCGGGCTGGGTCGATAGCACTGTTACGATAAAAAGAGTCAAAAGTTTCAAGACAAGTATGCACTATAGATATTAGATAGAGCTTACATGGACTGCCATGGGCTGCCGTGGGCTGCATGAGAGCATGATGGGGAGGCTGTTTAGACGAATGGGGGAGTCGTAGCATGCGACGGTCGGAATTGGTCTATAAATGGAACAATTAAGTTCCCATATTAATGCTGCATGCCACCTTGGACTGCTTGGATAGTTTTCCAATGCTGGTTCGCCTTTCTCTCGTGCAACTGTAAAATACAATACAACAGTGCAACAGTGCAATAGTTGCAACCCCTGCCGCTGTGGCACACGTGCAGGTATCACGCAGCAGACCTTCATATTCAAGACAGAGGCTAGAGCAGCTGACGTCGCCTTAAGGGGGGGTTTTCTAGCGCTACTACCGTGTGTGGTGGCCCTCTGACGACGTATTTAATTCAAGCCCCGTGCTGATGGGACAGTCTGCTGCGTGACGTTGCATGAGGAGTAAGAAGTAGAGAATATGGCGAGAATAGTAAAAAGCCGAGCTGTATTAGTTTATTAGTTTATTAGTTCCAAGGTTACTAGGCCTGGTAGGTATCTAGGTATGAGACCTAGGAGGTTTAGGAGTCTATTTAGGAGATCTGGAGACCTAGAAAGGCTTCTCAATGGAACTATAAACGTACCTAGTCTGCCAATACTAGGTACTATGTAAATAGTTCAATAAAAAGGTTCCTTCGGAATATCATTCAATACTATTAGGTATTAGCTATATGCTAGGTATTAGTTATATGCTAGGTATTATAGTACCTACCAGACTATCATATCCATGGGTCATGATGGATGTAGGTAGGTGATAGACGAAGTACACGTAAGTCTACTTAAGTCTTAGGTAGGTAAGGCATGTATGTGGTGTATTATGCCGCGCATCCTGAACGGGAGGGAATGGGTGGAATGGGATGGCATGGCATGGCATGGCATGGGGATGACATGGGAATGGAGGAGCGACAAAAATAGAACCCATCTATTTCGGTAAGGAAGGACTCCAAGTGGATGGGTATATTAACATCGACATGGTCCCGATGTTGGTATAAAGAGGGATGGCATGTTTCTAGGCCTTCCAAGTTCTTTTCAAGGTTAAAAAACCGACTAGGTGGACAGTCAGACCTTGTTGGGATGTCCATGTCCAAGTTAGAAACAACTTGAAAAGGAAAAAAGAGAAAATAACTTGAAAATAGATGAAACGTCGGAAGATTTCAAAAGGCTCGGATAAAATTCAAAACCTTCCAGGGATCTCATGCGACGCTTAAATCAAACTTCACTGGCACGGTCCAACAGTCTGTTTTTTTATCGCCGACCTTTTTTCTGAAAAAATAAAATAAAAAATCCATTAATATAAAAATCCGGCTCGGGCTATCTCTTCAGCGAAACTGATAATCCCGATAATCCATCAAGGAAACCCCGACCCACAAAATGATACATCTGTAATCTCAGCCTACAGCCCCGTTGTCAGCTGGAGATTAGATCAGCCAGCTGTCGCATACGCTAGCAGAAACAGCATAAAACTCGAACGCGATGCGACAATTTTTCGTTTGTCTTTTTCTCTTCTTTTTTTTTCTTTGTGCGGCTGGCATGACAGAACATTACCCGTGTTGCTAGGATCCTTTCTTCCTTCAGTGGAATTCCCATGGATATCACAGCGTCAGTCATGCCCCAGAGTAATTAAAATTGCAAGCCGGCGACCTCACCTCTTATGTCGGTTCGATTTACGAAGCCCTTGATGCTTTTTCGAGCCGCGGTGAGGTTGCTGGACATATCCAACCCCCTACGTAAATTGATGTGACTACTACTGTTTTATATGCTCTTACTTGCTGGGTACGGCATCTCTGTATTTACCAAGAGGTTATTGATGCTGTTGATTCCTATGATAAACGCGATGGTAAGATACGTACAAATACAAGCAGCGTAACTATATGTGTATGAGCCTATTTGATCACATCCCTGGCTCGATAATACCACATGTAGCATACTTGATGTTCCAGCCACGTTGCGATTCAATGAGCAATAGGATCTACTGCATTAAAGATTTTCAAGTACCTACGAATAACCGTGATGAAGATGCAGTACCTGAAATTTAACTAGGTTTGCTGCTCGCGGTAGAAGCGCCAGTGTAGCAGATTAAGACGAGAATTTAAAAAAGAATTTCTTGCAGTCAGCAAGGTGTATGTCAATTCATAACCTCTATATAGCTCCGGCCGTGGCCGTGAAGCGTCTCGAACTGATCATTGTTATTGATTCATTGCCCTCATTGTCCATAATCATAATCGCGACTGCTTGCTAAACGATTGCAACCTAATAGGTACAGTCTATTCGCCTGGCGCATCACCGATCTTTTCGAGCTTGCCCATTTCTCTTTTTCCGCCAGACTCGCCAATCAGTCTTATTCGGTCTATGCGAACCTTGTCGCCATCACCATCACCATCCACAACAAAGATGATTAGGCTTGTGACGTTCTGGAATCGGACGAATCGCAAGCTCAGGTTAGCGGTGCCGTTAGAGTTCCAGTCACTCTCGCTAATCTCAATGGTCTGGGTCGAGTCGATATCTTCTGCCTCGTCGAAGCCAAGATTGTGGGGTCGGTTCGTGAAGAGCTTGATAGTCTTGGGTCTCATCGGCACGTCGTCGTCATCCTCGTCTGTGGGTGGCAAGGAGGAGATCTATCACATCTCTATTAGCTTCATGCGTAGTAATTAGTAGGGAATTGGGTAATTACTTGTAAAGTATGGAGCTTGACGGCCGAGTTGAATGGAGTAAAGAGCAATAGCTGCTCGTCCGTGTCACTCTCTACCCAATCCTTCTCGGTACTCGAGGCCTTGTCCTTGGATAATGCTGAGGGCTTGCTCTTGTCGAAGAGAGTCCGGACAGAGAACTGGCTCTCGTCAACATTCAGTAGTTCTAATCCGCGTACGTCGATGGTGCCCGAGACGTCAATATAGCCTCGTGGTAGATCGGCTCCTCGCCAGGCGATACCTCCTGAACTAGCTCCGGAACTGTCGCCCTGTGCAACGTTCTCGATATCACCACTCAGCTTCTCAAGGACGGTCTGAAGTTGTTTCGGGTTGGCACCCTTAACTTTCTCTACAACCTCACCATCGCGGAAGATGACAAATGTAGGCAGATGTGTGACGGCGTACTCAGCGGTGACCAGCTTGGCTCCTTCGTTCTCGGTGTTGACCTTGACAAATGTTGCAACTTTTGGGCGGGAGAGAGATCTCGAGAGCTGTTCGTAAAAGGGGGCGATTTGCTTGCATGGGCCGCACCATTCTGCGTAGACTGCGCAAGGATATATTTGTCAGTCTGGCGTCGCGAAGATTACCACAATGGCAATGGCGGGGCATAACAGGTAGAGGAATATATGAAATTGGGGTACTTACAGTCTGCAACAACAATTCGCGAGCTTTTCAGCACCTCACTAAATTGCTCTGGCGACACAATCTCTATCGGCTTCGCCATTTTGCTTACCAGGTAAAGGATACGAGGTAATGTTGAAAGGTGTTGATATTTGGGTGTAACGTCAGAAGTAGAGAAATCTGAAGAGTTGAATTCGAAGAAGAGCGATGATGGTGGGGGAGACGGGAATCCCTGTCAGGTACAGGGAAAGGTCTCCACAAATCACAAGTGGAATAGCGCCGTGTAATCTTTAGTGTAGTTAGTTAGGTACTGCTAGTAGTAGCATTTAAGGCTTTAAGCATTGACAGATATGTACATACCTAAGTATATTATCATATCCAGCTTAGATATGTAAATACATAGTATAGGAATCATGAAATCTACAACATTTTGATGAATGACATTGAAGTTTTCTAGAATATTCACGAAAATTTTGGTATCATAACAGCCACAAAACAGGCACGGTCATGACTTTAGCTACGCCAAAAAGTTTATGTCAATGAACCTACACTAGTTGAGATCGGCTATGTATGTATGTCTAGAGGAAGATTGTCCGTCATGATATTCTTTGATAAGTATCCCCATCATATTGAAGCCTGGACCGTCAAAGATCGAGTCGCCTCCCCTATTTCGTCGAAGCTAGTATATTCCATTCAATAGGATCTAATAACCCTACCTGTACTCTCAATGCCTATTTCGTAAGTGTCTATACCCTTAACTCCTCGCATCCATCGTCAATAACAAGCATGGTTCATAATATTGGCGTTTCCCGTCGTATGTCAACCCAACCAAAAGAGGGAGATAACAGTAATCTAAGCCCAAGTCATTAAATCCCAACAGCATGGCTAAAGACCCTCGTAGCTAGCTGCGCCAGTAACCTCGCTCGGTCATTCTGTGGCAAGTCTTGGAAGACTTCGTACACACTTTTTCCTTTAGTGTCTCTGACTGCGCCTAATCGATTACCGGCCATAGCGCCTGCCACAGCACCTGGCATATTAGCCACGATGAACCCTAGCACGCCGCCGCTTGCTGCACCCATAATGCTCCAAAACTTGGACGTGGGGGTATTGCTGCCATCTTCGGCGAGTCCCTCTTCACGCAGCATTTCCTCAAACGCGTCACCGAACTGAGCATCCTCAGCTTGCTGTCGCTCTCGCTGTGCGTTTGGCTGTGACCTGGTGTTGCCTCCTGTGAAGAAATTCCACGCCCATGAGTACGCGTTTTGTGCTCCTCCTGTACCATTACCGGTGGGCACAGACTCTTCAGGGTCGGCAGCCGAAGCCTCTTCGAACGGATCCGCGTACTTTCTACCACTACGCCTTCCGGCATACATCCTACGCTGGCCATCATACTCGCGCCGTCTATCCGGGTTTGACAGCGTATAGTAGGCGTCGTTCACAAGCTGGAACTTGCGAGTCCGAGCAGCGCGATCAGGCGAATCAGCAGTGACCCTGTCAGGGTGGGTTTTGAGCGCTGCCCTATAGGAAGGAAGGAAAGAGAGTAACTTCGTCAGCAAGAAAGCGCTCTGCGTGTAAAGAAATAAGGAAATAGTGATGACTCACCGCTTATAGGCATCTCGGATTTGCTGTGTAGTTGCTGTCTCTGAGACCTCTAGGATCCTATCTACGATTCATTACATGTGATTAGTGGGGTTATGCTAAACACAACTAAGCAGAACCAGGTGGGAGTTGGGTTGATGGGTTGACAACGCACAATAGTTGGGAGGACCTCTATCCGCCATGTTTGAATAAGGTAGTCAAGCTCGTACGAGGTAAAGCTGTTGAAGGGGAATCCAGTTAATAGGAAAGAAAGAATAGGTATAATAGGCACGATGTCGGTCTGCAAGGACAACTCATGGTCAACTGAATCAGGTAGCGATGGAGTAATGGAGCTATTATGTAGGTACTATGTATGTAGGTATGGAGCTTTAGAGGATAACGCAGAACGCAGAACGCAGAACGCAGGGTTATTGGGGATAACTAGGATACCTAGTACTCAACTAGGTAGAGGGGCCAATAAGGAACGTCATAGATGTGGCTTTACATAGCTGGAACCATCTTAACAGTTCATGTTAAAGCCACCGTGGCTTAATTTTTTCTCAATCCCACCCTGTCCCCCCTGTCCATCTTGTCCACCTTGTTCATTGTTGTCCACCTTTCCCACCTTTCCCACCTTTCCCACCTTTCCCACCTTCATCCCACAATGTGTTACCCATTTCAGCTTCCTACCGTTACAGTCCACATATGTCTGCATTAGTTGTCCCACAAGTTCATCTCGGAACCAAATGTTGACAAAGGTTACTAAACATAACAACAGCAACGACAGTTCCAGACCTTTAGCCTTAAGCATTCCAAGTCCTGCAAAGAGCTGCAAGGGCTGCAAGTTTTGGGGGGCAAGTTTTAAAGTAGGACGATCTTTTCAGGGGGGCATATCCCCCGGCAAGCCCAGCCACTTGAATTGTCGGTGAACGGTCGATCCTCAGTCTCTCATTCGCCATCTTCAGCTCACGATGTCTTCGTAAGCTTTTCTAAATTTTCTCCCCATTTGATTTATTAAGCTTCACGGTTCCGCCATAGTGGATTGTTCACCAAAATTGTTCGCAGACTGGCTGGTGCGTTCCTCACTAAATCTCATTGCTTGCATCGTACCTTTTTGTATACACGATAGAAATACTCCGATCGTCCAACCTACACTAGGGAAATATAACAGATCGTCAGGTTCACGAAGATCCTTGATCTGCTAAGACCCTAAAACATCGCTACATACAAAGTAGTACATACTTTAGTAGCTGTGATCAAGAGCACGCCTCGTCCTCTGCGTCTGTTACCTGCCTGCCCCGCCGCGGTAACTAAACACGATCGCTTCTCTCTCTATGCAAATTCTGTGAGACTCGAACTCCGGAACACACATTTTCAAGTCTGTTACTCGAACCAAACTTGAGTGAGACAATTCAGTCTTACCAATCTTTTATATTACATATGCAACAACATTTATAATATATTTATTTATATACATCACCAAAATCCATCACAGCCATGGGCATCTTTGATTGGGAAGGCGAATCTGTCGTTTCGGGCTCGACACGTAGGTCGCGTTCTGCCCATGCCAGAATGCCCAAGTCGCGGGACTCCTCTCGCTCCCGCCGCAGCAGCAAGCGCCAATCAGGTATATCGTCCTTCTTCGGCTCGGACAGTCACGCCAACGGTCACGGTCACAGCAGCGGCAGTCACTACAACAAGGCAAATTCTTCGCGGGGCTCCTTGTTCGGTCTGGGTAACAACAGCACTCGGAGTTTCTTCAGCTTCGGTAAGCCTTAATTTCCCTAATCCTCTTCACATTTTCCCTTTTGTGCGTGTTAGTATACATGCGTGCGTACGGGCGCTTCCGACCCACTCATTAGTCGAGTCATCGTACATGATATATATATTTATATATCGGTACCTAAGGTCAAGAAGCGCCGTTTAGGCTGTAACACTATATCGTCCCCATGAGTAGAATGCACGCTAACATCAGGTTTTCTTACTGCCCAAAGGCCGTTCCAACTCCTATTACCGCCGACAGCCGCGCTCATCCTTCCTGCAGCGCACCCTCAAGAAGCTGAAGCGCCTCTTACGCGACCTCATGTACTACGCCAAGCGCCACCCCCTTAAGGTCTTCATGCTAGTCATCATGCCGCTCATCACCGGCGGTGCCCTGACCGCCCTGCTTGCCCGCTTTGGCCTGCGCCTGCCACCCTCCATTGAACGTATGCTCGGTGTTGCTGCACGTGCCGGCTCCGGAGATAGCATCGGTCTTATGAACGAGGCCGTTCGTATGGCCGGTGGCCTCGGCCACAATGAGTCCCTCTCCGTAGAGAGGGGCCGCGATGGTGATTACCAGTGGGAACGCAGGAGCGAATATCATAGAGAGAGCCATGGCGGCGGCGGCGGCTTCCTCGACGGCATTCGTGATTTCTTTTCATAATTTACTTACCTTCCCCGGGTACCTTTGTTTCAGTGGGTAATGGGGCTTAGGCTGGTAGCCGAACGTACATAATTTGGATGTTGATGGGTGGGAAGGTTTAACGACACTTGAATAACGGACACTATGCAACAGCAATAACGAGATACGGATGGATGGCGGCGTTCTTGATACCTGGGGTACTCTTTCTCTTCTTTTCTTTTATTCTGATTCATTCCTTCATATTTTTGTTCCTTTGTTCCTTATAAGATATCCACCTATACCAGCCCACGCATGCCATGCGTAGGCACGCAGGTTAGGTAGCTATGAGGCTGCTTGGTATAAAATTGGAAGTTGGGCTGCGATTGTTGATGTCTTGAAGAAAATATATGTGCCGAGGTTAGGTATGGGCCCATTTGGGGCGAAGAGTCGGTACGATATGATACCCTTCGTAGTTTAAGTTTAGACTTGAGCATTAAAGAGGAGAGACGAGAGACGAGAGAAAAACAGAGAAAAGAGATAAAATACCACATTTCAACCAATATCTACATCTTACCTCATACTCGCGTGCTAGCTAAGTGTGAATGAACACATTAATAACTTGGAATCGTCACGATGTTGTAGCAACTGAGCCCGCCATACATGCCATGCCAACAACATGGACAGGAAGCGGCAACGTTAGCCACATATTACTGGTCATCACATCACATCACATCACATCACATTACAATAACCATTCACTCCCACGATACCTACCCAGCAGGTACCAATCAATTACTCGACAGTCAAGCACATCATCATCAATAGCGTATAGGTATAATACAATAATGCTTATCAATTAAAGATGGGCCGGAAACGACTACTATAAAAACCACGACAATACTACTTTTTTCTCTTCATTTGCTCTACTACTTCCGAGGCCTGCCTGTCTTGTGTGTTCTACCTCGTCTTATTTTCCCTTCCGTTGTTGTTGCTGTTGCTGTTGCTGCCTTTTCCCAGCAGCGGCACCCGATGATTTCCGCTTCGCGGCAGCAGAGGTAGTAGTAGTGGGGGGTTGAGTGTGCGAGGAAGATTTCTTGGACTTGGGGCGTTCGTGTTCGGGGGAGTGGGAGGCGCGGTCAGCGAGGATGTTATCCTCGCGGTCGCCGCCCCTTCCTATCCGTTCGCCGGCTGCGCCGCCGTCGTCGCTTGTTGTTTCGTCTTCGTGGTCTGCCTCGTTGCGCACTTCCCTGGCGCCGTGCCGCCGCGAAGTACTCCGGACGGTGTGGGGGATGGGTCGGCGAGATACGGAGCCGTAGCCTGCTGCATCGGATGAATTGGTGGGGCCGTTGTCGGCGTATGCCGCGCGGGGACCCTCTGTCTGGTATTGGAAGGGGTCCTTAGCTCGAGATGCGGACCGCAGTGAAGTATCCGACGCCTTGCGTTGGTCAGGGTGTACATATTGGTAGTCGAATGGTGAAGTATCTCGAACGCTAGACTTGGACCGTGAAGATGTGCCTTCGCGGAGACGGGGACGGGAAGTGCTAGGAGGGGGGAAGCGTCCCATTGGGGGACCAGAGGTTTGCTCTGATGGAGGGAGAGCACGACGTGATAATGAACGTGATAATGACTCGCTAGACCCCGATGGGCCTGCTCGAGGGATAGGTGCATCAGGGTCGAGGTCCGAGAGAGGCACAGCATATCGCTGTTCCTTTTCTTTGCGTTTTCGGTCTCCACCGTTGCGCTTTTTGGCTGCCGCTTCCGCCTGTAAGCGTTTCCGCCGACGATCAAGAGCAGCAAGTTCTTCCTTGTTGAGTTTCACATCCTGTTTGCCCTTGGCTTGAGCTTTCCGTATTCTTGAGAGAGCAGATTGTACCAGGGCCTCTTCCAATTCCTTCCTAACAGCTGCATTCTCATCATCCGAATCTTCTTCTTCTTCCGACGTAGCCTGCGATGCCTCCTCCGTGGAATCGCCGTCATCAGATTGTTGATAATCATAAACATTTCGTGGCTTAGCGCCACCGCCTAAATCTATTCCAGTGAACCGCAGTGGATCACTGGCAAATCTCCTATTTCCTGGTACGGCCAGCTCCGTACCCTTTAAAGTCGTGTCGTCGCTTTCCAACAACTCTTCCACAACCCGGCGCCCGGCATTCCATATGCCGTTTTCCTCCTCTTCTTCCCATCCTCCCTTCGGGCGCCTTGATGGTCTTCCCCATTGGGGCGCAAATTTGGGAGCTCGCGGCCGACCACCTAGACCGCCTCCCCTGAAAAAGCCTCATCGATAGGCTTGTCCATGAAAGAAGCGTGGCCAACAATGACCACGCCACTTGCACCAATCAGCCACAGGACAGTGCTGAAAGGTGATGCAATAAGAAATAGTAGACCGCAGGTAACGAGCAAGCCGGTGTACAATTGGGACGATGTTGCATGAAATGTCCCAACGGTTAGGTCCTGTCCATTTAGTCGGCCAAGGAGCCACAAGCCACCAACGAGAAGTATGATATCGAAGAGCAGCAGAGGGTTCGTGATCAGGGCATAGACGCTGAGAAGTACGAAGACCAAGGCATAGTTACTCGAGAAAGTACCCAGGTTGTAATTAACACGCGACTGGACTTCGGCGAAATTGGCAGGCTTGGAGAGGCGCTTGAAATCGAGGAACTCACCAACAGGCCGCATGTTGGCGAACCTGCTGGAAAGTGAGGTGTTGCGGAAGCCTGAGAAGCGATCCTGAATGTTCAGGCGCGACGTCAGGACGTCCAACGGAATCTGAAGACGGGCCATTGCGTCGTTCGGGGATTGAACCGCGCCGCAATGTTGCGAAGGAGAAAAAAGGGTTGCTTAGGATTTGGTCGAGTTGAAAAAGTTGGGACGCGTGGCTTTTGCTGAGACCGACAGATAACAGAGATCCTCAGTCCGTGGAAATTGGTACGCTAGAAACGGCTAGGGTAAGATGGATGTATCGATTTTGACGTGTGCAAGAAGTGCAGGATATGCTATGCTATGCTATGTAAGGCTTTATTTTCCTTTTTCGTTGTTGGTGGTCGCAATTCGGTGTAGTTGTGTAGTTGTGTACGTTGTGAAAGAATTGATCGATCTAAAGAAATTGACCCAAAGGTTAAAACTGAACAAATATGTATGTACCAAGTAGATGATTTTTTGGGTTAAAATTAGATGCTCCCGGCCAGGGTGAATCCACAAAAATAAAGGGGGCTAGAGCTAATAAAACTTTAGAAGTAGCTGTCCAGGTTGCTTTTGCTTACAATATTAATCAATCCATCCAATCAATCTTTTTTATCTTTTTGCCCACACCGATTGGCTGTCAAGTAACACGAGATACTATGGCTTGTACCTATGTATGCAGTCCTAGCACCGACGAAACAGGATTTCTTGAAGAAATATCGATGAAGCTTATGTAGGTGCATAGGCAGGTAAGCAGCTGTAAGGTAGGTAGAAACCTAGCCTTCGAAGAAAAAAAAAAAAGAAGAAAATAATATTTCTTCTCCTGTAAGCGAGTTGTGAAAAGAATCAAATCTTCAAAACAAAGAATGACGACGATCTTTCTCTCCCCCCCCCAGCACTTAACTCAAATGCCCCAGGGGTAGGTAGTAATGCCGGATTGCACTATCTTCCCCCCTGGCATTTGGAAAGTTGCTGGCTTTTTAGATCGATACTCCACTGGCGCCAAGTATCGTGAAACTCTACTCGGTAACACGGCAGACGGGCAAACCGCTAACCTTCAACACACCTCCATCGATACGAAGGATGATGGTGTTGAAGGGTGGGAAAGATATTGAAGAGAAGAAGAAGTGTCAAAGATTAAGAGGGGAGCGGTAAATGAAATTGGGAAGGTAATCAGTTTTATTCTTCCAGCTAGGTTTACCTAATAGGACGCCACTACTTTGATTGTGTCTTGCATCGATGCGGTGTGAAATCTGGCAGCAGCCTACTGGTGGTAGATCTTGATGGATTTCGAAAAAGTGGGATGCACATACTGTGTGTATTACTCTTGGTGGTACATGTACATACATACGAATATGTGAGCTGCAAACCTGCTGTCTCCGGACTTACACAGAAGCTATTCATTGGTCCATGGTCCATGGATTTGCATGGATAGGTTAAGTACCTCTACCTGGTAGGTTAATAATAAGGTAGTTAGTTAAGAACTTCACAAAGAAAACTTCACAAAGTTACACGAACGCTCGGGCCAATTGTGTCATGATTCTCCAAAGCAACACCACAATTTCCTCACATTAATTATATTAACTTCAACCTTGCTCTTTCATCTTTCTAGGAACCAGTTACCAGATATTGACAACTACACACGCTACGAATATTGACAGACAATATTGAAGATATGCAATGTGTCATTCTTTTAAGCGTCCTTCCTACCCAGCACCCAGTAGTTACCGAGTCCCGGGACATACGAGTTCATAAACCTAGCGCGTTCCGCGCTTGCATCGACCCGCACCGCTACCCATTGTACACCAATCTCGAGACATATTCGGCTCGGATTCGGAGTGAAATTCCCTAGTTGCCTATAGAATATTGCACGGCAGTACGTTTTACCACTATGGGATGTACAGTAAGTAGATCGTTATGGTGATCTGGCATCAACGTGTAACGCCCAAGTTGACCAGGACAACCTGGATACAATCATAGGCAGCAAGAAGTCAGAGCTAGGTAGATGCCTCATGTTGCTAGTTGTGATATCCCTCACAGTTGGGCATTCCTACTACCATGTAGTATACAGGACAAAGTGGATTCTGCCGACTATCACCCACCAATAAGGGTTAGGAAATTACCACGACATTCTATACTACATATATGGATTATCCGACGTCGAGTTGCTTTTTAATCGGTCGGTTGTCTCGGATCGGACCTGGTGAGGGGTACCGGTCCGGTGCTATTGTCTCCGAGGCATAAAACCCCGTTACCTTTCGCGCAATGCCAATTGCCGGGCCTAAACGCCGTGAAGTCCTTGACAATCCTCGCTCGGGTTGCGTAGTATGCCTATTTTGTGAAGAGTCGGCCTCTATACCTTAAATGGTAACGCACTCACCCTAAGAGCCACTACTCATCTACCGAACTGTATGTGAAGATCTCATCGCAACATTCGGAGCTATGTTATCTAGCATATGCAGATATCAGCTCACCTTGGCCGATGTCGCTCTGGAGTATTATATAAAGATAATTCGATCGTCGTGAGTGTTCACGTCCTTCCGGCACAGCGGCACATCTACACTGTTATAACAGTCAGCGTGACGAACAGTTTGTCCACGGAAGTCATGCTCGCCGAATTGATTGCTCAGATCGGGGCTCCCATTTGTCCGAACTCGAACTTGGCAGTGTTGATGGCTCGGCGTGGGATCAGGGAATCCAGCTAACTGGAGATTGCCCCTGACCAATCAGGAGTCCAATAAGGGTGGCGCATGTTCTCTTTATAGAAAGTAGTCTCTGTTAGCCTTCAATGCTCCCATGTTAGGGAACAGAGATAGAATATCTCTTAGTAGAGACCTTGCCGCACACGGGCTTGGCCTGACCCCATTCGGATGAATGGTAGGTATATTCGTTATTCAGCAAGGGATTTAGAAGATGTCTTCCTAAATATAGGTAGGCACTCATAAGTATTTATAAGTTACTGATATTCGACTGGTTGGAGGATGGTTACGAAATAAAAGATTGCTATTGCTACGAACTTCCTGCTCTAACGTCCTTCCATAATTGTAGGTGTAAGGAAAATAAGTCAAGAAGAAGTCACCATCATAATGTCGAACCTACGGTCATACGCATACCCGGGAGCCGGCGAGTTTGCTCGGGATACGATGCATTATAGCCAAGCTATCCGCGTAGGGGACAACATCTTCATATCTGGACAAGGTACGTATCGGGGACCTACCTCGGACCTTCCATAAACTCTCCTACACACCTACCTACCTACCCGCGTGCAGAGTGTTCGTGCTCATAATCACTTTGCCACACCACCCAGGCGGCTGGGACCGCTCGACCATCGAGATCCGGCCGGAGCTCACAGACGAGGTGGACCAGGCGTTCGACAACGTGGACCACGCCCTCAAACACGCCGGCGGCAAGGGCTGGCAGCAGGTGTACCGCGTGATCACGTACAGCACGGACACGCGCGCCACGCATGACCGCATCATCGACAACTTCCGCCGCTGGATGCCGCACCACCAGCCCACGTGGACTGAGATTGGTGTTAGAGAGCTCGGCCTCGATACCATGCACATCGAGATCGAGGTCCAGGCGTACGATGTCGAGGGCGCGAAGGAGGCGGAGAAGGGGAAGGGGGAGGGGGGGGTTAATGGGGTTGTTGGTTAGGGAGGGAAAAGGGGGGGAGAGAAATGGGTGGTTGTTTGGGTTTATTATAAGCGTAGGGGGAGTTTTTATTGTCATTCATGTTGGCGTATTTTGAATCGATTACCCCTATATGAGTAGTACAGATAATGTTGTGTGCTTCAGCTTGGCCTTCCAAGAAGGTTCAGAAATACACAAGCCATGGTGTCAGAACATACTACACCAAAGGTGAATGATTAATCTGTTATCAAATGTCTCTAGTTTATATCCGTATATCTGATACGTGGCTTAATACCTATCATTGGATGTTGACAACCTCATACTTAATTATTATATCCAACTCTGCCTATTTTCTCCCATGAACCGCTCCTAAATACCTATATTCGAACTATCCAACTTGAAAGTTTTTAATCTCTCCAATGACCCCCGCCTCTTCTGATCCAGTCTACATGACACGGCTTGTGAAAGACTCGTCAGATCCAGGACCCAGATTCTGTAGGATTGGCATGCTCACCAGGTGATATCAGCATAACCACCTAGACCGTCATCCTCGTCATCGTCATCGTCAGATTCATCAGAAGATCCAAAATTCACAACATTGGACCCCTCGTGCAGCGCCCTGGGGTCGTCTTTCGCCAGACTTCCGCGCACCTCCCTCAGCTTCCGCACGACTCCGAGACTCTCCAGCCGCGACGCATCCCACATCACGTACCCCCAGCTGCGCAGCTTCGCGTCGTGATGGTCGAGGTACTCGCCGAACATGTTGCTGTACGAGCCCTTCCAGATCACGGTCCACGCCTTCGGGGGCCCGTTCTCGAAGTCGCCGTAGAAGGGCAGCGGGTCGCGGTCGTCGCTCCGCTGGTCTCGGACGTCCTCGACGACGCCCCAGTCCCGCCGCTGCTCCTGGACCCGCCTCTGCACGGCCTCGCTGAGCCCGGGCTGCGTGTGCCACGCCATGAGCTCCATCAGCTCTTCCCAGACGGTGGCGATGTAGCCCTTCGGCTGGTAGATGCTGTTGTACAGGCACTCGAGGCCGCGCGAGACCATGTCGGTGGTGAAGACGGAGTTGTAGGCTGGATTTCCAATGTCAGTTAATTACGGCCCTCATCGAATCAGGTCAGATTAGGCTAGGTTAGGCACTTACCATCGAAAGCGCCGTGAAATCTCGCACCCTCATCGTCGACTACGTCAAGAATCCCCCGCTCCTTGATGATCTGATGCTCCTCCTCGACCAGCGTGGCATACGTGCCCTCGGCAAACCGCTGGACGCACAGGACCTCCTCAATCTCCCAGGGCTCGAACTTGTACAGCAAGTGCTGGAGGATCTCCAGAGGCGCCCATTCGCGATGACGGCGGTCCGCGGGCCAGCGCCCGTCCTTGATGTTCAGGAAGCCGAACAGCTGGCAGCTCAGCTCGTACCGGTACAGCGCGCGGCAGAGCCTGTTTTCCTCGGTGGTGCTGAGGGGGGTCTCGAACTCCGCGCCTGCGTTGTCGTGCGTCCACAGGATGAAGTGCGCCTTGATGTGCCGAACGGTGCGGGTGTGGAACCCCCCGATCTGCTCCATCTCTGCCACGCTGAGCATCGACAGAGCGGTCATGTCGTCCACTGCCCGTATCGCGTTGTAGGCCTGGAGGATGTCGTAGGCTTGCTCTTTTGAGCGCGTCGCTGTGAATGCAGGCGCTCTTGCCAGCTTCAGCGCCATGGCGTCCTTTATCGAGCTGCCCAGGCTGTTGTACAGGGCCGAGCTGAGGATGGGGACCTGGGCGTTCCGGTACTGGCGGTAGTATACCGGTGAGGCGTAGATGAGTCCGTGAAGCGTAGGTAGATCCATTGCGAATAGGATCATGCGGCGGAGTTCGGGAGGGAATGCCTCCAGGTGAAGATTGCTACCCATAGCTGGGGCGGGAGCGGTGGTGGGTACTAAAGGTGACGAAGACATGTTGAAGTGTTGTGAAAGAAAGGGGTATTTGGTAATGATTGTATATGAGTGTTGGTATCTGGAGAAGTTGAAAAGTATGAGGAAAGCTGATATTCTGGAAAGAATATTGTATGATATTTGCTTTGCCTATATAGAAAAGATTCCAAAGCCCGAACTTGGACCTGAGACCTAGATATTTATACCCATTTCCTACGGGAGAAACCATTGAGAATACCAGCGTAGCTGAAGTAATCACTGCAATTCAAACTGTAAGGCGTGGGAACTTGGAAGTCAATCTACACGGCCCTTTCATGGTGTGACTGTGCTGGAGCGCTATTTTGAGTGACACTGTGCCCCTATTATCTGCTCTTGAAAGGAATTTTCTGCTTAGCGCTGCTGTATGATCCGTGCTATACTGTGAGCTTGAGCTTGAGCTTCCGATGGTGGGTTGGGTAAACTGAAGATGTTGATTGCTACTCACTAGCTTCTCCCATCCCCTGATTCACGGCTAATAGGATGCCTACTTGATGGGGGTTGGAGATAGTGTTTCCCTGCCATGAAGGGGGACAGAGTTTCACAAATAAGCACGGATTCGGACTGGCGAGAATAATTTTTTCTCAGTATTAGCCACACCAACGAGTGTCAAACGTTGATATAACGGACCGCCTTTGGCGCAAACATTATCCCCTGAATGCTCAACACACATTTTCTAACACCTAATGGGTTCTTCAAGCTTTTAGCAAGTGAATAGGATCTAACAGGGGGTTTAAGATTAAAGATTATATAAGGCGCAATAAGCCCTGGGTTACTGAAAAAGATTACATCTTATGGCTTTAGATTTAACATGAACACTGGCTTAGATGTATGTGCTGAGGGGTATCACGTGAGCTATTATATCAGAACTCAGTGCTGTGGCCGCACGGTGTGAAGAGCTTGAAGCTTTACTGTACCTAGGTGGTAAAAAATGATTCTTGACAACTAACTATGTACGAAGTAAGTTAGGGATATCATACACATACGTATGGTATTTTAGCAAGTGCAGCCACCGAACTTGGAAGCACGTAGCACTGAGTACAGCTCTACGTGCTGTTCCACATGTTCATACTATACAGCCACAGCAGCCACAGAAGCCACAATTTCGATGTGTGGGGAGTGGGGGGAGTTTTGAACATACTCAAGGATCAACGCTAGTACATAAAGAGTTAGAGCATCGATAATACGTAATTGATCTGTTCCAATCAGATAAGACCTTTTTTTAAGCATCACCACTGGGGCCACTGGGGTTTAGTTAAATGGTCCACCGGGTAGCTTACCTAAGTAGGTACTTGAATAATTAACGATAATTAACCTCAATCGTTTCAATCGCCACGCCACTTTATCTTCTAATCCACATCAACAATCAAGAATTGACCTGCGCACATCGCAAATGGCGTCTCTATATAGGATTGCTAGTTGTGGTGCCAGGCGCCTACAGCTAGCTAGACCAGCCATACGCGCCTTTTCCCAGACAGCATTGCGCAAAGCCAACCAACTACCCAACGAGCGCACCACACTGCAGCCCGTTGACCCAGACTTCGCCCACCCCTCCGATCCTTTTGGCGTCCAACGCCTCCAGAACCAAGATGGCAGTGTTGAGGCCTCAAGAGATGATAGCATAGCTGAACGAACGGTCCGCCATTACACCGTCAACTTCGGTCCCCAGCATCCCGCCGCCCACGGTGTGTTGCGCCTAATCCTGGAGTTGAATGGAGAAGAGATTATTCGAGCCGATCCCCACGTTGGGTTACTACACAGAGGAACAGAGAAGTTGATCGAGTACAAGACATATCTCCAGGCCTTGCCCTACTTCGACCGACTCGATTACGTCTCCATGATGACCAATGAGCAATGCTTCTCCTTGGCCGTCGAGAAGTTACTCAACGTTGAGATTCCCGAGAGAGCCAAGTACATTCGCACAATGTTCGGAGAGATAACGAGGATTCTTAACCATCTTATGTCCGTATTGTCACACGCTATGGATGTCGGTGCTCTGACGCCTTTCTTATGGGGTTTCGAGGAACGAGAAAAGTTAATGGCAAGTATTCCTCGTTAGAGAACCTAGCTTCCTTTCCGTGCAATGCACCACAAGTATGCCAGCCAACTAACAACCACTTCCCCCACCTTTAGGAATTCTACGAGCGCGTCTCTGGTGCTCGCCTGCATGCTGCCTATGTCCGACCTGGTGGTGTTCACCAAGATATTCCTCTTGGTCTCCTTGACGACATTTACCAATGGGCCACCCAGTTCGGTGACCGAATCGATGAGACGGAGGAGATGTTGACAGACAACCGAATCTGGATTCAACGGTTGCAAGGCGTTGGTGTGGTATCTGCCGCGGATGCCATCAACCTTTCCTTTTCTGGTGTTATGCTGCGTGGATCCGGCGTGCCATGGGACGTACGCAAGAGCCAGCCATACGATGCATATGATAAGGTCGAGTTCGACGTCCCTGTGGGTATCAATGGTGACTGCTACGACCGATATCTGTGCCGAATGGAGGAATTCCGCCAGTCACTCCGAATCATCCACCAATGCCTTAACCAGATGCCCGCCGGCCCTGTCCGAGTTGAAGACTACAAAGTATCGCCACCTCCGCGAGCTGCGATGAAGGAGAATATGGAAGCCTTAATTCACCACTTCCTGCTCTACACCAAGGGCTACTCTGTACCTCCTGGTGATACCTATTCTGCCATAGAGGCGCCAAAGGGAGAGATGGGTGTTTATCTTGTGAGTGATGGAAGTGAGCGGCCGTACCGTTGCCACATTCGTGCCCCTGGTTTTGCGCATTTGGCTGGTTTCGACCACGTTTGTAGGGGACATTTGCTTGCCGACGCAGTGGCGGTAATTGGTACGATGGATTTGGTGTTCGGTAAGTCTACAATCTCTTCCCAGAATCCAAAGCTTTCCATGGATAATATATATACTAACACCCCATGATAGGTGAGGTCGATAGGTAGGAAAACCCAGTCGATAGTCGAAGGCATAGAAAAATAAAAGATGAATAAAAAAAGAAATTCTTACGACGCATAAGTATAACTAGAGGGCTGGCTAGAATTTTTGCTTATCCCTACCTCCAGCCAAAAAATACACATTTGTACGATAGGTAGCCAACCAAATACGGGCCTTTAAGTACCTACTGAGGGTCATTTCGCGTCTCCTTTTACGTTACCTAATGAATGCATCTTAAAGCAAGCATCGAGAGGCGCGATTCGTTTACAGTAAATGAGGGAGAAAATGAAGAGAAATATTGAAAAGAAAAGAGAAGCGTTTTTATGGGGGTTTTATTTTTTTTTCTTTCTCGACTGAATGCTCTATCTGGTGCTGCTTACTTTCCTTGATCCTCCTCGTACCACCTTCGTCCCCTGGATGGTATTTTTTTTTGGTGTTTTCTGTGATTGATCGAGTGTGGTCAGTTCAGGGCCCTGGGTCAAGTCTTCAAGTGATAGTGTTGTAGGGTGATGGGTTAGAAGAGGAGAGAGGTTGACTTACTTGATTTTTTCGCAGCACCAAGAATCCTCGAACCAGCCAGCAATATGTAAGTAAAGCATCGCAATTTTTTTTTTTGGTTTTTTCATAATCCTCAAATCATACGGTAAGAGTCGAGATAGTCTCGGTACGGTATCGCGGTTATTTCTTCGTTCTTCGTTCTTCGTTCTTTTCGGGGTTGCGCGTGGGGTTTTGGTCAGCTCATTGGAGGAAGGATACCTAAGCAAGGATCGTATCGTCGGTTCTCGTTTCTCGTTTCTTCTTCGTCTTCTTCGTGTGGTGTCGCGACTTCTTAACAGTGCGCACTTTCTGTTTCCTGCTTCCTTCCTTCCTCCTCGCCCGTGCCCAAATCCTTAATTCAATCTCCCCTTCCCCCCTTTCTTCGTCAGATAACCCGCGTATTCGTATCCTTTCCATCAGCCGAGACTAGACTCAACTATCCCGTAGATTTTTTTTTGGATGGATTTAGCACGCACGTCCGTTAGACCGAGGCGAACCGGATGTGCTTCGGCAGCTTCGGATAGAACGACTCGCAGTCCTCGAAATCCGGCACATGGGAGTCTCCTTCGGGACCGGCGCCCACCGGCAAGCCTGCGATCGGCGGAGACGAAGAGGAGGAGTTGTGGCTGTTGTCGTTGCCTCCCTCCTGCTCGGCGGCATAGGTGGGCGTGGTGGGCTGCGGGTGGTAGGAGGTCGTCGGGTAGTTGGTGGGGCGCGCGGTGCCGGGGCCGGTTGTCGCGAAGCTGCCGTTCGCTATGACGATGCCGTTGTACGGCGGCTGGGCCCAGCGCGCGGCGTGGTCGGTTGGGGGGTGCTGGGGGGTGGCGGGCGCCGGCTGCTGTTGGTGGGGCGCTTGCTGGGAGTAGGGGGCCTGCTGCTGGTAGTAGGGCGCTTGTTGTTGGTAAAGAGCCTGCGGCTGGTAATAGGGCGCCTGCTGGGCGTAGGGCGCTTGTTGGGCGTAGGGGTGGCCGAGAGAACCCTGAGGGATGGGGTAGCCGACGAGACCCTGGGGGGCGTGGCCGTGGTTATTATACTGCGGCTCGATGGCATGGGGGGCAGGGCCATATCCTTGTTGGGGCTCCGCATGCAGGATCGAAGGGTCGTTTAGTTGGGCTCCATGCTGGGGAGCGTGCTCTCCTCCGGGGTACGTGTTGAGGATCTGGCCCATATTTCCTGCACTGTAATCGAATTGGCCGTTAAAGGGGGGGATATAGGTTTGAGGAGGGCCGTAGCTGTGAGGTGGGCCATAGTTGGATGGGGGAGCATAGTTGGGAGTGGGGCCCTGCTCGTGGCCATAGTTCATCTGGGCATGGCCGTGGCCGTGGCTGCCGGTGCTGTGCTGTCCGTGGAATGGGTACGGAGGAGGGGCGCTGTGCATATTAGAAAAGCCTCCGCGGCCCATGGGGGTGACAGGAGCCGCGGGGGTGAAGAGATGGGCCGGGCTGAAGGGCGGCGCGCGGCGGAAGGGGGTTTGAGGACTGAAGAGCCCCCGATTGTCCCTATTGTTCTTTCTAGGTTGGTGGTCTGGGTAGCGTCGACCCTGACCTCGGCCCTTTTCCTTGTAACTACCGCCTCTATTCTTCGGAGTCGCGGGCAAACAGCTGTTGCCGCCACGATTGGGTGTCTGCTGTGGCGGCATGCCGGCAGGGTAGTTGGGAGCATAATGCTGGAATAGAGTCTCGCATCTGCAGCGGCCCTCGCGGTGCAGGCGGGCGTGCTCGGCGGTCCACTCGGCGCCATATTGGCTCTTCATGTGGGTGGGGCCAGTGAAGTTCCCGTTGGCGCGATGGTTGTTTGCTCCTGGGCCCATGTTCTGGGGTCGCTGCTCGTTCGTCGGTAGGGGAGATCGAACGAGAGATCGGCCGCGAACTTCTTCGGGGGCCGCGGCTGCGTATCCATTCTGCTCTTGTGGCTCTTGTACTGGCTGTTGCTGCAGCTGCTCCTGCTGCTGGTCGTTGTGGCCTTGCTCTTGACCATTGCCATCGTTGCGCGAGTTTCCGCGACCGGAATTCTGCGCGTAGTGGTAGGGCCTGTTGCGGCGCGTGTTCTTCTTAGTGTATGCCATGTCGGCGTCTTGGTCTGCTTCAGCAGAGTCGCTAGTATCCTGGTTAGCAGGTTCAGTGGATTGATCATTGGTAGAGGTAGGCACGAAAGCCGGCGCGAGCGCAGATAGGCGGCTATCTTTGCCCTCAGCATCAGGTGTGCCCTGAGCTTCAGTTGGGCCCGAAGAATTGTTTGTACCCGGAGCAGCTGGTGTGCTCTCGGTAGGAGGAAGGGGATTGATAGGTAAGAGAGGGCGCGGACGGACTAGGGGAGGGAACTTGACAGCGCAAGCGCAGGCACCACGCTCATGCATGAAGCGGTGCTCGTAAATGACAACGTCGACGAAGCGACCGTGCATGATTCGGGTGCAGGCGGGACACATGCTCTGAGCGAAGAAGGGGCGCATGGCACCAGTAGGGCAGCAGGGGAAGTTCGGACTCTGAGTCGTCATGGGGCAAGGGCGCTTCACATGTTGGCTGGTGTGGCCACAAGTGTAGCCCACGTACTCCGTGAAGCACATTTTGATTGATCGATAGTCGCGGGATAATAATAATAATAATTTTAATAATACTTACTAGAATGAATTGTTAGAATAGCACTCGGTATGTCGGCGGTGGATGGGGTGGTAGGTAGGTATGGTTAATGAAGGGAGAAGAGGCGTGAAAAAAAAAAAAAAATTGAAAAAAAAGAGGGAGGAGGAGGGTTGTGAAATAGACGGATTAGGATGAAATGTTTATATGCGGTAGGAAAAAAACGTACAATCAGTATTGATTTAAGTAAGTAACGAAGTAGCGATATGGATGCCTGAGCTGCCACCGGGTAAGGGTGAACGTCAGCCAGGTCGCGGATTTGGTGGATCTCGCTCAGTCAACTAGTACAGAAAGGGGTGTTAACTAGGTGCGTTCGACAGCTGGAATCAGTGCCAAAACAACTGCTTGGAAATCACAGAGCAGTGGATTGGCTATTGAGAGATATGTAGATAAAACTTACATGCTTTGGTTGCTAGTATTCGCGGATGGAAAGTCGTTCGTGCCAACGAGACTTGCCAACGTATGAAGAGATATGGCCAGGTCGATACTAGTACTATATGACCAACTGTTAGTGATGAGTTGTTCTTTTTTGGAAGAAAGCTCATAGATACACAGGTAATATCCGTTACCTATGAACCATCGTAGGACAGTGGGACAGGTGATAGATGCGTGCTTGGGACTTACATATAATTTTGTAAATGAGAGTGGTGTCGAAGGTGATGTCTTGGTCTGGTTACTGATGCTGAATGATGATACCCCCCCAAGTGAAGATCCAACGACACACGTTGTCGATGGATCTTCTTTATAATGAAGGGATCTCGTTAACTTGGAGTCCTGATATTCACCCTTCGAGGTGGCTCTTTATATGTCTCGGACGACTCAAGTATGTAGATACTGTCGTGCAAGAGCAAACAGGTATTGCACCAGCAATGCTGCTACACGTGATGTTAGAGATTTATAAGTTCGTAAGTGGATGAATATGAGCATGTCGTAAAAAATGAAATACATATCTTGAACTCTTCAAGAATGATTGATTGAAGCTGTTTGGAAGGAAGAAGATATTGTTTGAATTAAATGATATATTTCTGAGGAAGCCATGAAAACACATGCTGATGGACTGGAATGAAAGGATTGATTTACTTACATTGAGATAGGTGTGAAGATTGGCAATCACCTTGCTCAAGCACAGAAACTGCTTGTTAATCAAGTGCTCAGAGAGGAAATGAAACTTCCTCTGTTCTTTGGGAAAGCAGGTGATGACCAATGAAAGATTGTCTGGTGTTTTCCCTTGAGGGCTCTGTCTTCTCTCTATATGTAGAGATAGATTGAAGACAGCATGTGTTAAGGAAGTGGGAAGTGATGATAGTAAGTCTTTGTGATTGACCTTGAAGTGCAATAGTTGCAGCACAAGATGGGTTATGGAAGATGGTGTGGAAAGGTAAGGTGAGAGAGGAGAAGAATTCGAAGAGTCAGAGGGGGTTTAAATACTTTTTGGTGGAGAGGCATCTCACAGAGGGAAAGAACCAAGTTGGGGATTTCTCATAGAATATCAATTGGTGCTCCTGCCTTGTCTTGCTCAGAAGATCGATTTTTTCTAAAGCGGTGGCCACTTGACGACACCAACACCAGTTATTTGTTGCCATGCTTGATATTGGGGAGGCATTCAAGGCAACTACCTAGTCTTGATATGGCACAGTGCTCCGCTATATTAAGGAGTGAAGAATAATGGCAGGTACATTGGGCAATAACTCCCTTTGCCAGGTGTGGCTACATATACGGGGGGACGGGGAAGAGGTATATTAAGAATGCCATATGAATGTGGGATCTTGAGCCGCAACGGGGGTTACCTAGCTTAGATGCGGCTGAAAGGGGGGCTTGTGTGGTGGTTTGGATATGGGATTGAAGTGAATCGACCAATCACTTGGATCGATATTTGAGGGGATGGGAAAATTCGTATAAGTGAAAACTTTTGTGTAAATCGATTGCCAACACATGATCTATGAAGTACCTTCCTCATTGTTTGAGTACCTACTGAATGCACAACTCGTCATGGAGGAATCATGGGATGAAGGGGTGTCTGGATTGAGTACGATGAAATAATCTAATAGAAGCTTCCTTCCCATTTCACATGGTATGTACTTGGGAAGAGATGCTAAGTACCTATACTTGTGTGCTGCTCATGTATATTAACTATCCTGTGAAGCAAATGGTACTAATACATAATATATTTGCTCTGTTGAGTGTCTCCTGGCACGTGATGTGAGCTTCGTAGATCGTAGCTATTCTCATTAGGATGGGGGCAGAGGGCAATTCTTATATATCTATATAGGTACCTATCCAAAAGATGAGTAATGATAGGAGGCAGTTGGCAACGGACATGAAAATGCTTGCTCGACTGTCATTTGGCTGGTAACTACGATGTACTCTAATTACAAACACTAGATAAACATCTAACAAAGAAAGAAAACGTCGTGTATTGAAAACGCTCTTAGTTTGATGAGCTTACAGCTCCTTGCTCTTGCCACCATTCAACTGCATTGAGGCATCCAAATCAGCAAAGAGCTTAAGACCCCAGATTGTACTAGGGTTGTTCATCCTGGCTTTCTTATCCTGGGCTCTGATGGCATTCATCTCCTCTTTGGTGAACGTGATTTCTTGGGCACGGAAGTTCTCATCAATGTACTTCTCATGAACACTCTTGGGGATTACGATCGTGCCCCTCTGCAATCCCCAGGCAAGAATGGTTTGTGCCACAGTTGCATTTTTATCATGGGCAAGGCTCTTCCAGAAGGAGTCCTCTAAAATGGGGGGCATGCCACTTCCATAGGTTGGATTGGTATTTGCGAGGGGAGAGTACGCAATGACCTTGATTCCCTTGCCTAGGTTGTAGTCAACAAACGCCTGCTGCTGGAGGTATGGGTGTGTCTCGAATTCGTGGGCGTAGGGGCATATGGTGCACATGCTGAGAATGGCTTCAACATCCTTCATGGCAAAGTTGGAGATGCCAATGTGTCGAGTCAGGCCAGCTCTCACGAAATCTTCCATAGCCCGCCACGTATCAAAGATTGATGTTTCCTCATCCAACTTGGTTCCTTCTCCAGGAACGAATGCAACTGGCCAGTGCATGAGGTAAAGATCCAGGTACTCCAAGCCAAGGTCTGACAATGACCTTTTGATCGCTGCGAGAGCATCACCAGGGCGATGCTGGTCGTTCCATAGCTTACTCGTTACCCAAATATCCTCGCGGGGGATTTTAGATGCTGCAATACCTTTTCCAGTCAGGTCCTCGTTGTCTGTTCATTGAATTAGTTACCGAAGCTGATTGGGTGGGATTCATGGGGTTGAATAATTTTTACCATATATATGGGCATCGTCTATATGGGTATAACCCGAATCCAAAGCATATTGAACAACATGCGAGACCTAGAATATGCTATAAAAACCCCAACCTAATGAAAAAAAGGTGAAGAGATATTTAGATACCTTACTCCTTTCCGGTATCCAAGTACCTAAACCAATATGAGGTATATCACGCAAGGGCTTGGAATCTCTTTGCGTAGCAGCCGCAGCTGTCGTCGTCGATAAAAGGAGGCAAAGAGCCGCAGATAAAGCTCGGACGAATGCCATCTCGGATTTCCTTCTGTTTCCACAAAATAAGGATCTAAATAGGTACCTACTAGTCAGTCAGTCAATAGGGCTGCAGGGTAGATGGAGAATGAGGTAAATACTACGAAATGTAGTGGATAGGCTTCATATAGGTACGAGAAACTGCGTAGTTCGAGGGCATTGACAAGACACTTGGGCCATATAGACCTGACCTCAGGGCCCTACCTAAACGATCCATTGATCATAACGTCAACATGTGACATCACTTCAATGCAACACTTTGGGTCATAACACATGTAAAGTTCAAATACATTGGCTCCCTTAAACCCCCTATCGATTGCGACAGAAGTGCCAGTCATGCAGAACCGCCTCAGCGACGTCGCAATTATGACGTTACTCCATTAGGAAGATACATTCTGTGGTGCTATCGAATATTATAAGAAGGTAGCTGAAGCGAACAAATACCACATAAGCCTTTTAAATTTGCTGCAAGTAGGCTTGTTTCATTGCACAAACACCCATTTCTACTTCCGAACTACTCGAGAAACGCAGCAAAGATGGCCGGTAAGCATGGGTTCTCCGCCATCTATGAAAGACAGGAGCAAGTCAACTACGGGCGATCGAGCGTCGCGAATGAAGGAAGGCACCACATGTCCAAAGCGGAGGGTTACAGACCTAGTTAGCTCCGACCCCTTTCTCGTACAAGCCACAAGTAACTGATGAGAGGATATCCAGAGGATCAAAATAAAGCTATGAATCAGATGTTAGAGGAAAACGTATGTTCGAAGAATAATTAGCCCCTATTATCTGACGTGCTACGGACCGCAAGCAAGCAGGGGCTGACTTTGACGCTTGCACATAACTACATAGATCCGGGACGAGATCGCCGAGCGCTATAAGCACGACCCTACCTACCGTGTAAGTTATCCGTGCTCCCGGAAAAGAATAATTTGGAATACTTCCAAGTATATGCATTGCTGACTTGTGGGGCTAACCTAGGCGACTATGAACGGAAATGAGCCATCGCGGGGAGCGAAAGCCGACGCCGAGATTCTGCGCGAGGAGGAGGAGATGCTCAGGAAGAAGAAGGATAAGAGCAACGGTATGGCGGGCAGGATGTATTGATTTGGAATTACCTACCATAGAAGGGGTCTGGTAACTCAAATACTTAGCTTTGACAAATAGAGGACCCTTCTCTGAAGGTGCTTTTCTGGGGATGCTTGTGAGCAAATCCGGCTTCATACCAAGAGAAGTTCAATATATGGATTTTATTATTGAAATCGATATTACCTAATTCCATTCATAACGATGCCGGGATATTGGTCCTTCCGCGGTTCGCGAGTAATACGGAATTTAATATAACATTTTACGCCGTAGTCAGGATGAATAGGGGCTTACTTAACCAGTGAGCTCCAGGGCTTTTTTTAGTGTTACCTACCTACCAACGCCGCGAAGACGTCCGTCCGCAGTCTCGCCCCGATGGTATTTCAAATTGCTAGGTAAGCAAATTTACCCGTAATCACGCATCAACCGGGAATTACACATCAACCAAGAGGAGGAGGAGGAGGCAATCAGCCGAGAAGCGGGGGGACTCAGGGTTTCAGCCGGTAATAGGATCTTATGTCACACCTAGGTGGACGATGCATCCTCACCGGGGCATTTTTGATATAATTGAGACTTCGGAATAGTAAAGGTACGAATATAAAGTTATAAAAGTCCCAGCTTGTTAAGCAATCTTTAATCTATCCTAGACGTTAAATGTTACGGTAGCCTACGATACCCCCCCACGACACCCCCTCGCCGCAATAAAAAAAATGGTTAGTTTCATTCTGTACCTAGTATCATCTGGTTGGAGAAAACGTCCGCAAGCACCTGACCATGAAAGCAGGCCGCACCTCTAAAGTCACCCATATGCTTAGACGTGATAATTGTAGGTGCTGGAATCAGCGGCCTGGCAGTTGCGATTGAAACGGCACTATCCGGGCACCATGTGACTGTCTATGAGGCAGAGGGAGGGCTCCACGAAGTAGGTATACGAGCTTTGCAACAGAAGAGAAAAAGGAGCGTATATAGGATACATAAGGCCTACCTGATAGGTACTAACACTCACACCGCACCAGATAGGCGCCGGCATCCAAATAACCCCCAACGCCTCGCGGATCCTGCAGCGCTGGGCCCTCTCCCCCCAGCTCTGGGCGTCGGGCTCCGAGCAGACGTACTGCAAGTTCCACCGGTACTCGGGCGGGCTGCTGGCGACGCACCGGGACTTCCACACGCTGATGCGCGCGAACCACGGCGCGCCGTACCTCGCGCTGCACCGCGTCGACCTGCAGACCGCGCTGCACGCGCGGGCCGCATCGCTCGGCGTGGGCTTCCGCTTCGGCACGCGCATCCGCCGCGTCGATTTCGAGACGGGCGAGCTGGTGAGCGAGGACGGGGAGGCGGTGAGAGGGGACCTGGTGGTCGCGGCGGATGGGCTGTGGTCGGCTTGCCGCGCGCAGTTTCTGCCCAAGGATTTCGAGGGCGTGCCGAGGCCGACGGGCGACTTGGCGTACAGAGTCGTGCTCACTCTGGACCAGATACGGGACCCGGAGTTGAGGGATTGGGTCAGCAAGCCGTCGATTAACATCTGGATCGGGCATAATTCGCACGTGGTGGGTTACTCGCTGAGGAACGGGACCGAGTTTAATCTCGTGCTGATCACCCCGGATGATTTGCCCGACGACGTGCGGCGGGCGGCGGGTTCGGCGGAGGAGATGAGGGCGCTGTTTAAGAACTGGGATCCTGTGCTGAATAGGTTTCTTGCGGTTGTTGAGTCGGTCAAGAAGTGGAAGTTGATGCACCGTGAGATTCTATTACGTTTTACCTTTGACATCAACGTGAAGCTAATTCTGATATCTATTCGCAGGGAAGGAAATGCGGAGGTGGATCCACGACTCGCCAAACAGCCACTTCGTTTTCGTGTAAGTTGTCTAGGTGGCTTACTGCACCATACCACATGCCTACCTATACATCTAGATATCAGCTCAAACAACTAACATGTTCCATCCAGTGGCGATTCCTGCCACCCCATGCTCCCGTACCTCGGACAGGGGGCCAACTCCGCTATCGAGGACGGGGCGGTTCTCGGTCGCTTGCTAGGCCACATCAAGAGCAAGGAGCAAATCGGCAAAGCGCTGAGCATGTACGAGCAACTGCGGAAACCGCGAGGAGATGCTATCGTGAAGGCAACGGATGGACAGGTATGTCATCCCTTTCTCTATCGAACTCGCTCGCATTTCGTGTACTGGATTGCCGTTTTATCGCGGCCAAAAATCTTGGCTAACCGAAAGGGGTACGTACCAATAGCGAGCCGACGTTCATATGGCGGATGGCCCTGCGCAACGTGCACGGGATGAGCTGTTGCTATCGCAGCTAGATAGCGATGTCAAAAAAGACCCTTTCCCGATTCGCTGGTGTAGTCCTGGACTTCAGTCTTGGATATTTAGCTACGATGCTTGCGCCGAGGTTGATAAGGCTGTCATGAATGACCCATTTATTTAGGGGTGGGAGAGAGGGGATTGAACAGAGAACGACGGTAGTTTCGCTCCTTAAATTAACCCATGCCACTACTTGATGTGTTCCACCTTTGGAAATAAATGTGATAACAATAGAATAAGACATCGTGTGATTGTTAAATTAGTCTTTCTCTATCACAATAACGTTCACCTTTGGGTTCCATAGCTTGAAACCAAGCGTAGTCAAGCCAGTCTTTTTCACACTGCCCCCCCCCCCCCCCCCCCCCCCTTTAAGCCATTAACAAAGATAATCTGCACCAGGCTTCTGGGCATGAGCTAAAGAGCATTCTCCAATATGTTTGCTACATTGAAGAAGAACTAGCTTACAGCTTCTCTCGTCTCTCGCCATGCTTCCATTGGCGTTGGACAATGCCATCTTGGTACTCTGTTGCCACATGCACACCCTTCGGGCTCCAGATCTTGGCCTGAATGACACCTCTCCCTGCTTCAACTCGGGGAAAGCAAGCTTCTTCAATCCACCACTCATCCTCGCCATAGGCCATTAGCATGTCTTCGGGGTTGACGTGCAAGACGAAAGAGTAGCTCAGGCTCGCGGCACGGCCAAAATTGTAGCCAAATCCAGCGTTGTTGCCAAGCATGAGCAGACCATTCCGATCTGCTTGGTACGCGTGGGCGAAAAAGTGTACGTCGGGGTTATCCGCGGGCAGAGGCGCGATAAGACGATACATCAAGAGCTCTCGTCGTTCGTGGAGGGGTTTCCCCTTGTTGAATGCGGAAAGATCAACCTTTCTCACGTCCATTGCTGGGAACGTGCTAACGCCCTGCACTGGAAACTCGGCAACGTACTTGTCGATATCAACGTCCGGTGACGGCTTCCATGCAGATGGCGGGCGGGAGCTGAGGATGTCGGCGAATCGTGCTTGCACTGAAGTCTCCTGAGCCACAAACTGTGACGCTATAGATGGTCGGAAAGATACCAGAGCAGTGAAACAGACTGGACCAAGAGGGAGTTGAGCGTCTGCTATCGGAAAGTGGTCTCCTGCCTCATTGGTACTTGAAGATAGTGGCTGCTGCGCCGTAACAAGCATGTTGTGGAATGATGGATTCGCCGCGATGGTCAATACATTGTAGATGAAAGGTCTGTCTGGTATGCCGGCCTCTGAGAAGTATCCATGGATAGTCTGTAACTCTTGGTTAATAGGGATAATAGAATCGAATTCATGAACCTGGAAATTCGTAGGACCTCATTACATTCCGCGCTAGGACCAAGGCCGATAGACCAAGGCCGATTCATTCTAGACCATTCAATGAATGAAGAGAAGGAAAGAGGGCGGGGAGAGTGGGGGAAAAGAGGAAAGCTTACATGAATGCCATGTTTTTTGAGAGATGAGGACAAGTCTGTTCGAGTGGCTTGTGTCTCCCCGAAAGCTCTCGAAGCGGCAATTCCAGCTTGGCTATAGACGTGACCACCGTACCCAGCTTCTCGTCTGCGTAGGTTTTGATTGACGGGGCCTGTAACTGGGATGCTCTCTCCGGGACACCAAGCCCTGCGTTGACTCATATATCGTTTAACAATCTTTCCATTCTCAATCTGATCTGGTAGAGAGGCCAGACTCATGATCTCTTGGAAGCTGAGGCGCCCATCAACAACCGCGTTTGGCGACATGATGGCGACGCAGCGAAATCGACACGCGAATAGTTTTCATAATCTACCTGGGTAGGTTTGCACAAATGATGGTGCGGTTCACCATTAAAAGGTGTCACGATTCTAATTTCACCATTGCGTTTACCTGGGTAAGTGCTATGTAGGTAGGTAAGTAAGAAGATGCCTGAGGCAGGTACTATGTAGGTGTTTGCTTTTCGGTTGACAAAGTCAGGTCGGTGCCTGCCGGTCAGCATTTCATTGATGGACAGCTGTAAGGTACCTACCTAACCTAGTAGTACCTAGTACCGAGGATATGTGTACCTAGGTACACATGTTGCAATTGCCATTGATGTGCACCGTGGTTGCTGTAAGAACGGGTGTGGCAGGTACACCAGGTGAAACCTGCTTCTGAAATAAGATACTTAGGTACATACATATCCCCTCCAGACTTCAGACTCCGAGTCCAGACTCCAGATGTACAAAGTCCAGACATATTTAATTACGTCATATATGCTCCTTACAGGGCCAATGAGGGTTTGATTAATCAGCCCAACCCTCAGCTGAAGATGATAACCCTACCAGGTAGTAGCCCTGAGCAATTGCCTCAGCTGAACTTAGTATGTACCTCCCCACTAAATTTATCAACTTCGTAGATACATACATCAATGCTCTTCGCGAACTCGGAGATCAATACCGTTTCCAATTATGTACTTTTGCATTTAGAGATACAACCTGAGTATAACCTGGAGATACGATCACGCACATCGCCAACTAGAGGCCTCATCCTGAGACCCTTTACCATCCCATACCGCCGCTTGAGGAAATGGGCAAAGAGGTCGTTGGCGGTATAAGGCAATGTGTTGTCCCGTGCTATCGGTAAAATTGAACTCCGATGCGATGATTTGAGTCACCGCGTTGCCGTTCTCGACCCAGTCTATCAGCGCCAGCAATGCGTCGTGTTTGGCATCGCTGAAGCCCAGAGGGACCGAGTGTGCAGAGGCATATGGTGGTCTCTGGACTGCTTGACCCGCGCCTCCTATCATCCAGGGAGCCTTTACGTTGCTGGGAGTACCCCAACAGTGGTCCATGCCTGGGATCTGGAAATACCGAAAGAAACTGTCAATGTCTCCCATCGCCTGCACGGTTTTGTTGTAATAGAGGGTGGTGTGTTTGACGGGCACAGTCGCATCAGCGAGGCCTGCATACATGACTATACAGGTACAGGTACACATGGTTAGTACAAGTATACCTAAGCATAACCCTTGTTTTGAAGGATTACTGGATCACCGCTGATATAAAATGGAGTGCACATACTAATCTTCCCAGAATCCCTAAAACTGCCAAGATGAAACTGGTCTGCCGAAGCATGCACCGAACTCTCATCCCGAGCTCGAGAGTCGCTTACTACGGTGTCATTATAGGAGGTGATTTGCCAATCAGGACCGTACCCCATGAATGTCCGTTCATATTGTGCGTCGAAGTTCCTCCTCACGTTATTGGCGTTGTTTGGATCAGCTGGCATGAGGAACGTCCCCCAGGCTGCTTCAGAGCTGTAATCTAAGCCCTCATAAACAAAGTCGCCGTCACTAGTGATGTAGTCGTTGTACATCTTTTGCGCCGTTTCTATTTGCGCTTGTGTCCAGCATGTTGCCTGGTTCGTCAACGCATCGCAACTGATTCTGCTAAAGTCGAAATGTTCTCGGCATGCCAAGAGCGAGCTGACGATGTTGTCTCGCACGCCGTCGAGCGGGTCGCATTGCCGTAACACCTCTGCTTGAAGCTGCAAGAAAAGATTGTTGTCACTAATACTTCCAGCGGCATCCTCCGGAAGATTCCAAGTCGCGGTTTTGGAAATCCAGGGCATCAGATTTTTTGTGTCCCAGGCAGGTGCACCAATCAAAGCTCCATCAAAGACGTTGGGATCTCTCTAAAGTCGTCTGTTATTAGCTCATAGTCAGTTGGGAGTGGATGAAGATCTGCACCTGTATTTGCTTAAGGCCTTGGCGGCCACCTGTCGAGCAACCACTATAATAGGAATACGCTATAGCACGATCGTTATAGTAAGTTTGTATAAGTGTTTTGCCTAAACTGATAGACCCTTCTAGTGCCTGGTAGGCCCAATTGACCTTTCGCTCTTCAGTAGTAGCCCACGTCATGTCACCCTGACCCGAGCTATGCCCTGTGTCTGTCGAAAGACTGGCCATGCCGTATTGTGCCCCGGCCCCCATGTCCAGCCAATTGATTCCGCCGAGAAACGCATATCCTCCTATGACGAGCAGTCTTTCGTTCCAGTCGTTTGGGAGGAACAGCCCAAACCGGTAGCCTGCTGTATCATTGCTGACTGTCACTGCGCATAGCGGCGGTAGCCCAGTGGGCATCGTTGGATATCCTAGATCTCCGCTCTGCGTGAAAGAGCCTGAGGTTACATCTTGGACTTGCTCAATCGAGACTCCCACCGGGATTATCCCTTTGAAGTAATCCTCGGTACATCCCGCAGATTGGCGAGCCAGATTCGCGTGTGGTGCACTACAGACGAGCCATGCAAGAAAGCTTATCCACGTCCACAAAGTCGGAAAGATCCCCATCGTTACTTGGATAAATCGGGAAAATGATAGACAACTAGCCCTGATACAAGAACCTAAGCTCTAGTATAGGAGACGTGGCTGTGGTATTTGTATGTGTTAGCAGATCCATCAAAACATCTTTCGAGACGAGACATCGAGGAGGGGCCTATGAATGTGGACTCAAAAGTGCGTGTTCCGTTCATCAGCTGATGGCGCGTGGACCGTCTAGACAGTCATGAATCATGTCTTAGTTCCTACGTTGAAGAATGTCTGGACCAGATCCGACGCAAGGGGTAGGTGATTTGGGTACTGGGGGACTTTGCCTACCTGGCCTAGTTCAGGTAGAATTTTTGTAAGATATTTCCTTATATTCTCTAGTTTCACTACTTCGGGCTGATATGCAGAGTAACTCTGGGGGCCGATTGGTTCCGCGGCAAAGTCTAGAGCATCAGATGAGATTCATTATTGCTCATTATTGAGGCGGGAATCTCGAAAGAGCTTTGGCCCCCCTTGATATCCCTTGCTCCACATTCCATTGTGATTTTTGTTTCATTGATTACGTAGGTGCCTACCTCACGAAACTTGTTTGCTATGACGTTGGATGAGGTGAAGTAGACCAATCTCAAAAATTCCTGTACCTACCTGCTTACCTCGCTATGTGACATATGGAAGTAGGTAGATCCCCCTCCCCTTCGAAGCTTAACATTGGTACGCCAGAACGGCAACTATGAGGCTCCCCATGTTCAGCTCTTACCTGCCATTAGTGGATTTTGCGAGCCCTTATTCCCGCATTCCGCCTCGTGACAGTCCCTCCGACACGGGAAGGACGCCCAGCTGAAATCCTTGGCACATCCTAAATGCTGACACAAGCAACAAACTACCTCCTAGTTATTAGGTAGTAAAAATATGGTGGTCATCCCCAAACCCCAAAACCCCAAGCTCACGCACCGGTCACAATATCCAGTAAGAAATATGCCGGTTGCGTAACCATACGCCACGAGGTACGAACGAAGGGTTGTGTTTTCTTTGTCCGTCGGTAACGGCTAGCCTAGTTATGTATATCGTCATCGGCTAAGTAGACTATTGGGCGAAGCATTCCGGACGGACGAATCACGTCGCGGCGATGAAACCCTACCGCCAGAATAAGGAGCCCAGTCCGCGGACCTGGTTTGGGTTTTGGGATTTGAAGCGCTGCTGTACGACCTTCTCCGCATTTCACCATTGTGTGCGTGACCTTGGTGAGGTAGGTAAGGTGTTACTTACTTACTTACTGGAGAGACGGTGTAACATTACCCTCCTTGCCTACCTAGGTAGGTACCTAGTACATGGCTAGGCTACAGTGCGAGGGATTGCGGGTTGTTCGTTTTCTCTTTGATATGCTTCTAACGTAAGGGTACCGGAGCAGGCAGAGAACTGCGGTGCGTATAGGAATGGGTAATGAGGGGTTTTTTTTTCGTATGTGAGAATTTTTAATTGTCGTGATAGCCTACCAAAACAACAAAATCCATACGTGCGCGCCTACTACGTACCAGGTAGATACAACGTTGAAATGGATGCGGATATAAGTTAGGGGTTAGGGGTTAGGGGTATCACGTGGCTCCCCAGATTAGTACGCTGGTCCGCATATACTATCTTCATCGCTAGGTTATCTGGCCAATGCAACACAGACCCTACCCAATCAGCAATTATCTGCTCTTCATATGTGAATGTTAATTATGGTCAATTGAGCGGATGGATCAACGACTCGACTCGGGGATCTCAGTCGCCGACCTTGACGAGTTTCTTGTTGTATGTTTCCCAGATCTAAATTACCAGTGCTATTCGCGCGAGGGTCTTCGGTAATTCCGTACATGAACCCTTAACTAGAATCTCTTGCTATGAATTGCGACTCGTTATTTCTTGCGGCGTAGTTGCTTGGCGTGACGACTAAGCATTGTCCAGGGGGCCGTTGTGGTGTTTTTATAGGTAGTGAAGTCCACGGTTACAATGAGCAAGATTCTTGTCGTCCTTAATTGGAAAGGGGAGAGCTAGATTGAGGGCTTATTCTGAATATGTCTTCGCCGCCTTCATTTTACCCCATCAGCTGGCTATGAGGTAATCGATCGTCTCAATATTGTATTTTCGGCAAGCAATGAGAGAGGTGATGTATGTGATAGTTAACCTATATCTACGGCCCAGTATGGGTTTAAACCTCCTAGTTAGAACCTGTCATACCTTTCTCAAATCAGCACATACAAATAGGAGAGGCACAGACTAGTCGTTTTGATTGCAAAACTCCAACTGGACTTCTTCGAATCCACCTACATTGACTACAAATGATAAATACTTCCAGTCATCCACCTTAATCTCTCTAATACTAATCTCGGGGTTTGCATACGGGCTGTCTATGGGAACTTGCGTGGATCTGGTGGACGGTGAGGCCGCTGGGGCACCCCAGGATCAGATAATTCATCTTCTTGACCGGCCCACGGCTCCCGAACAAAGGAATCAACCTAATGTCCGTACAGTTCAGGGTCCCGGTATATTAGTCTCGTACTTATCACGACTATTAGTTCTATCGAGGCAATGGCTTTGGCCATCCAAGGGCTTTACCCGTACCGGCAGGCCGCGAACGAGTCCAGATGCTCGATATAGTTCATTATGGATGACGCACGGCAAGATCGTCACTAAGCTCCGAGGTACAAAGCCAGATTTATAATATCTTCCGGACGGCTTTCCAATCTTAGACGTGCAGGGTTAGGACGGGTGTTAGACTGATGATAGGCTCCAAATACGTCAAATCAGATTCAGGAGTACCTGTTGCATAGAATCTAATGGATAGCTTCCTGCTTGGATGACGAGTATCAGAACACTGTGCACGATAGGTCCCCTACAAACTTGATATGATCGAGCAGTGGTGAAAGAAGCCGCGGAGGAATCACAACGTACTTTTGGCAGCCCTTCCGTCATAGCTTGTTGTGGAGAGGTAAGCGGCAACCGGCGACAAATCTGCAAGGGGTAGTGGAGTCGGCATCTCGATCGTGCATCTCGATGGCATAGAAGTTAGTAGCAAGTTTCGAAGTAAGCGGGTTAGTGGAAAAATCAGTTGCTAGAAACTTGTACACATGAAAAAAAAGGGTCGGGAACCTCGGAGGGTCTCCAGAATTTCAAATAAGGGATAAGCGACAAGATTCAACCTGCTTGGAAAAATGTGGCAATTCAATAAATAAATGTTCCTACTGATGATATGAGGTACTGGATAGCGAAGTACTGCGAATAGCTATTGCTTACTCTTCGCCGTTAATGACATGATACAAGATGACTGAAATAGGGGTATCACGTGACCAGCATTCCACGTGATCGCTGAACCAGTCGCACGACTTGGTGTATTCTTATCGATCTCCCCAGAATGAAGTTCAATGTTTCCCGAGAATATTCCCTTGATTAATTGTCACATATCAACGATCTTCATGCCCAACCAACTTGAACATAGAGAAGGCGGCCCGATCCCGACCAATGATCCCAAATTCTTGGTGAGACCGAATCCGCCGAGAGACCTAAACACCCGCGGGATGAGGATGAGAGCGCGACAGAAGCTGGGGTAACTCCGTACAAGCACACGGCGCTAGGAGGATCTGACGGGAGACAGTAATGATGGTAGTATTCCCCACTGCGGAGATATTGAGAGCCGGACCGGCCTTGCGGAGGCATCGAACCATTAGGCCCAAAACGGGGTTTGCGGACGTCATCATGAGAAAGCCCGGACGAAGCCGTTGGAAACTGAATAGTATAGTGAGTAATATCCAAGACTGTCAACAAGCTGTTTTAGAAACATGCGATAATCTGTGGGTTCTAGCCTTTATTATCCATTCCAATCGGCCTGAATGGGTCAATGTATTTTCGGTCCGCATCTTTGCGACCGGGCTTAAAGGACTTCAGGTGCCGTTTCCTCTTGCCATGTCCGGCCACAGCCGTGTCTTTGAAGATGTCGGATTGCGTCGGACGGGGCCGATACACGGGAACGCTAGCGTGGATTTGAGCTTGTCCATCGCCAATGCTCTTGGCCTGACTCGCTCCGCATCTTTTCGCGGATAGTCCTAGCGGCAGTCAGCGCTATCTAGTGTACCTTGACAAGTCAAAACATCCCATTTCTCATACAGCCCTGAAGTAGTAGCTCATCATACCATTGATTTCTCGGAAACTAGCTCGACTTCTACGAGAAATAGTGTTGAAAGTAGGCTTTTGCTTTAGTGAAATATGATGTCCTTGCCTCCCATTGCGAGCGTGTATTGGGAACGCACTTCCCCGGGTTCCATTTGTCCTATCATATAACCTAGTATAGTCCGCTATTAGTTAATGCTTTCGCAGGCAGTGAGTGAGCTAGTTGTTGAGTCTTCAACCAAGTTATACGAACTTGTTGGTGAGACAAGACATGATAGGTATTTATCAATAAATAATGTTGCCATGCGTTGCGACAAGGCCAACAATACAAATCTTAAAGAGCGACTTCGTAACAAAACGATAAGAATTGGATTGATGGTTCCTTGTCGACTAAGAAAAGGTGAATACTCAATTATGAACATAGTAAGGATCAGCGGACAGTAGAGGACTGAAACGGTTCCCATTGATTGCAAGGTAATGGTTCGAAATAGCCCTGGAAGCATGTAAATACCTATCAGGTAGGCATCAAATGATCGGCGAAAATAGTCACGTAGATCGATGTACGGTATCGCCAATTCACTAATGACTCAAGAGATCTTGGGCTTCTTGGACAAAGCTTAAAACATCGACACCGTTGGGTAAAGCAGATACACACAAGGGGGCCCCTTTTTATCCGAGACTAAATAATACGAAAAAGAGCGAGAAGAGCGAGAACAACACTAAGGTTAGAGATTGCACTGCCGCCCAGGTTATTGTTTTTCCGTCAAGCGCGAATCAAAGCCGAATTATTTGATTGATAATTCAAGGCTATTAAAGCGAAAAGAAGAAAAAGACTGTTACAAAGTACACGTCTTGCATCATGCCATTGCTGCAGTAGGAAATCGGAGAGTTGTTCCATGTTTTACTTACCAGGGACATGGCCTCGCCCTCAGCAGCTCAGCTGCATTAGCTTTTACATCCACGGATCTATCGAAGAATTAAAGGGTTAGAAAACTGGCACCTACTCATCTAATCATTCCTACCTAGGCTAGGGTCGCATCTAAAAAAAGGCTTATAATTGCTTGATGTATTGCTTAGTTCGAATACGCGTATAACTTCAACCTATCCACCCATCCGCCCTATCAACAGAATTTGAAGAACATCTTATTGTCCCAACAGAAAGGAAATACTCATGGAATTTCGGGTTGCTACGCCAACTTCAACAGGTACTGACTTTACCAGTTTCTTCATCTGCAATTGCTTGATAAGAATATGTCTGTCTGTCAGGCTGCCTGCCTGCCTGCCTAATTGCAGGTAAGATGCGTTCCTCATCATACAAAACAGGAAACATTGATTGATACGAGACAAGTTAATTACTACGATGTTATCCGGTGTGAGTATTCCTAGGCCAATGAGCAGTGTTCAAGTACGCGTTTTCGTTCATTCGTCTGAAGTGGATATCCATGTGCAGAGCCTCAGGAGCTACCCCTGTACGCATTATGCCCTACTACACTAGACTCATGCTAGAAGCGTCGGTAAGGCCTAGAGCTCCAGTGTATATTACTCGCGATCTCTTATAGGAAAAGAGAGATGTTCTTATAAGACGAGATATCTCCTCGTGAAACTACATAGATATCTCCAGTATCCAATATCATTCATTGTGAAATACAAATACTACCTACCTATCAGTCTATCTACCTGATACCTACCATACTCTCTCCTAAGACTGAAACTATCGATTTGCAACCATGGCTGGCGAGGTCCCCGCCTACGTTTTCTACCATTACAAACCAAACTTGGTTGCCGCTATCATATTCATCGTCACCTTCTCTCTATCCGCTATCCTCCATGTCTTCACACTCACCCGAAAGAGAACGTGGTACTTTATTCCGTTTGTTATCGGATGTCTCTGTAAGTCGATACCCCTGGGTCCTCTACGAAGGTACTTATAGGTACTTGAAAGACTTACGTACTAATTCGTGGTTACGCAGTCGAGATAGTTGGATATGTCGGACGAGCCCTGTCCTCGGGCGAATACCCCAACTTCACCAAAGTCCCCTACATCATCCAATCCAGTCTCCTCCTCCTCGGCCCCACGCTCCTAGCCGCATCCATCTACATGATCCTGGGCCGCCTGATCGTCCTCCTCGAAGCGCACAACTACTCGATCATCCACCCGAAATGGCTGACCAAGTTCTTCGTCCTCGGCGACATCCTCTCCTTCTTCGTGCAAGCCGGCGGCGGTGGCATCCTCACGCAGGCCAAGACGCTCAAGGACCTCAACCTCGGCCAGAACGTCATCATCGCCGGCCTCGCCATCCAGATCCTCTTCTTCGCCTTCTTCATCACCGTCACGCTCGTCTTCCACCGCCGCATCCTCGCGCGCCCCACGCACAACGCACGGGCGCTCACCACGCCCTGGAAGAAGCTGCTCGTCGTCCTCTACACGAGCAGCAGCTTCATCATGATCCGCAGTATCTTCCGCGTGGCCGAGTACGTCCTCGGCTCCACCGGCGAGCTGCAGTCCAAGGAGGTGTACCTCTACTGTCTGGATGCGCTGCCGATGCTGTGCGTCGCGCTCGCGTACAACTGGTTCCATCCCAGCAGAGTTGTTACCCGCAAGGCGCTGCAGAAGCCGTCGGAGACGAGTCTGCAGCTTGTGGGGGGGCATCATGGGGTTTAGGTTTAAGTTTTCATTTGTCAGGTGGATATAGGTACCTATGGATGGGTGCCGCAGCCGCCCTTTTGGGGGGCCAGGAAGACAGGATAGGATAGTCTTGGTACCTGGCTGTGATGCAGGTGGGCGGCGAGCAAAGGAATGTGGGGGAATGGGATAGCGATATCATTTATTTAAAATAGAAAGGTCATCAAATTCAAAAATTTTCAACTTTATAATTCAGCCCTTGATGAGGCAGTTTAAGCTGTGCCTGGCCAAATTAAAAAAAGATGAGATATACCTATGTCTTGTATAATGACTTTGTTGTGATGGACGCATAACTGATAAGAACCGAAAGCTCATGTACCTTCGAGAAGCCAACAAGCTCTACTCTAATGACGATTTCAGGGGCGAAATAAAGGACAATTTCCTTTCGCCCCTAAAAACCGAAGCTGCTACCTACAATACAAATATGAAATACTTCGCGCGGTGGGTAGGAAGGGAGGGTTTATGAGCGGCTCTGTACTAACTGTCTCTCCTGCGATTAGCGAGTACTCATGAGCTCGTATCCTCTAGGCCTTCCCCCTTCATGTCCCGATTATTGTGGGAACGCCGGTGGTGGAACCGGTGGTGGAACGGCAAACCCGGATGGTAGGCGCGAACCGGATTATGCCGGAACTACAAGGTCAGATGCCAGGGCTACTAAGTACGTTTTGCTTCGTAGCTAACTAGCCGGAGCTCTTACACTTAAGGGTCACTGTGGCCTACAAACGTTGGCAGACTATCAGTGAACCAGAAATAGGGGTCAAATGTTTCAGGCAACGAAACTTGCCTTAGGACGCAGTCCGGATGGTGTTGTTTAGCATCGGGATTGTGTTCTACAGGTTTTAATCGCTACAGCTACAGCGGCGTCTAGGAAAATTACTATTTAGGTAGAAAATGCCTTATAATTAGTTGTGGTAGGCGCCTACGCAGCAGTAAGGCAAATGGCAGGTGTCCACTGATGGGCAATTTCAGGGGCATTTTCAGTGAGATTTAAAGATTGGATGGGGGCAGGCGGTGCATTTACCCACTCCTCCCCCCTTATTCACACTCCCAACTACTGCCATGCCATTGATACAATACCTCAACATATGTTCGTTTCTAATCCTCGCCATCGCACTCACTATATCTCTCATAATTAAGCACAATTTTAACGCATATGACGCAGCTATCGATAATGCTTCTCATAACATGGATGGAAGTGACTCTCTCGTGACCCCTCAAAACCCTGCCAGGGCCGACGGGACACTGGATCACATAAGATGCGCAGCATTGCACAACACCCTGGTTAATCACGCCTGGATTTCTTCAAGGAGATCAATTGACGAACTCAAGCGCCGCTCATTCTTCGAGCGCTACGGGGAAGATGCAAATGCGATTATCGATCGCCTCCATCCATCCCTGGTATCATTCCTAGAATCAATAATCGTCTCCGACGAACTCCCGCCGTTCTTCTTCTGGGTCGAGGGTATATCACCACCCGCCGACATGTTCTCCGTCCAGAAGATGTTCCAGGAATACAAGGGAGGAGAAGAGCCCAACCGCTTCCTTCCTCACTCTGTACACCACCAACACGGGACTGGGAGAGCATCCGCTTGGATGGATATATGACCAGAAACTGCACCGAGCTACAGCAGCACTCGGGGTTGAGGACCTCGGGTTCGCAAAGCCGCTAGAACAACACGGCGAGCTCTGGCGTCCGCTCGAGACCGTGCTGAGCAACTGGACTCACATGGTGCAGATCGGGAAGGTAACCGCCTCGCAAGACGACGCCCCGAATGAGAAGCTTGGGCCCTGGACCTGGCAGCCGTACAGCGAGGCGCAGGTAGATAGCGCAGTCGTCGCATTTGAACGCCTCACTGCAAGCATCGAAGAGCGTATGGCAGCTATACACCGTTTATCCCTCCGAGAGGGCTCGTTACTCAGCGACGAGGACTTGGACGCCGCATCCGTGCCTAGCGGTTGCTTCATCCGCTCACTCCTCACTCGAGCCCGGAAACCTCGCTTCCGGATGGTTGCGCCGCGGCTAGAGATACCCCACGACCCAGCCGCCTTCACAGAACACCAGGAGTTCACAGCCACGGATGCGAGTTCCGAGTACGTCACCACCACCACTCCCCACCCCCCCCAGTCCGTATCTTCGCGCCCGCCGAACGATTTGTCGTCGATCTCGACGCGCCCGGCCAATATGTGTCCACCGGTTAACCCCTTCTGCAAGCCAGTCCGAGACTGTGTCCCGCGGGGCGGCCGCTCCGTCCTCGCGGGCCTGTCGAGCGGTTTGCCGTCGACAATGCGGAAGAAGGGTTCCGGCTGCTACTTCCATTTCGACTCCGCAACCATGGGGAAGGGGAAGGGGAGGGTCGTGGCGCGAGGAAGAGCGATGGGATGCTGGTATCTGGGGGGGGGAGCGTAGCTGAGTTGTTCCAGCATGGGTTTAAGCCGTTTGGCGGGGAATGGTGGCGCGCGCAGAGGCTGGAGGCGTTGTTTGATCATTGGAGATACTTGGTAGAAACGGGTGTGTGAACGGTAGGGGGTGCTGGTGTTCAGGGTGGCATGGACGTGTTTCGGGATGCTAGTGCGTTTGCGTCAGGCGCTTATGTTATTAGACCAAGTTGGTAGGTAGTAGACAAGGTCCTTGGATGTAAGGGGGATTTACCTAGGCGATATGGCGACATAACTAGTAGATATGCCATTATACCGAGATGATATTGGTTTGCTACGTGGAGTACTACGTAAGTAGGTGTAGATAGGTTGTTTCATGTTGATACTCAGAGCGTCGTGCTTTCGCTCTAGTCGATCAGGGGCAATGGAGTTGATGAGGCTCTTCGCCGTTCATGGGATAGGAGTCGGCCGAGGGGTTAGACGAGCGGAAGGTTGAATAGCAATCATGAGGCTTGAAGACTTGAGCTTTTGAGGTCGAATATTGAAACCCCTATTGTGAGAAATAGAGCTCTCTAAAGCTCTTTAGGCCTTATATAGATGGCAGCATAGGTATGAAATAAAAGAAAACATACTCAACCTACACATCGCTCTTTTCTTGACATGTGCCATCTCGTTTTTGGCCGGAGTAGCCACTGTTCACTCTGGAGACTGTACAATTTGTACCCATAGTTGACTCATAGAGGACTCAACTACATAGTCCGACCGCGCGTCCAAGGCAAACCAATGAAAAGAAGCTCGTCTTGTCACACCTCAAACCTAGGTAGCCATCAAGCTAAAAGCAGATGTATATCAGGTTGTTTGTTTTACAGCTCAAGTCTCAGAACAAACATAGATCACCGACTTTTCAACATCAACTTAGGTAATAAGCCGCCACAGAACCTATACGAACATCAACACCTTCCCCAGTCCACTTACGAAGCTTGGTCCCGAAGCTATGGATAGGGACCTACCCAGTATTTACCTAGATAAGGTACCCGTCGCACCGCTTCCCTCCCGCCACAGTGGCACCAAACCACCACCACAGGCACCCGAACGTGTCCAACTCGAGGGCGGGGGTGGAGAGGAATCTGTATGGACGAGCCAGTGCCGAGATGCAAGCCTCGGAATCCTCCCAGCTCGTATTGCAAGCAGGACCAATTGAACGGGAGCGCTGTAAGGGGAGGGGGGAGCTTGTTATCCCTACATGCGAGATCCGGAGATATGTATGTAGGCACGTTGGAATCAAATCGATAGACAACACATCGTCGCCTGTGGCCAATGGACCTTTTTATTATCACTTTCCCAGAGAGCGAAGCCCGTATCCGACGATGGGCGGGCTTCGCATGGGATCGTCATTGTGCGTATCTCGTACCTGCGTGTTTCTCCCTACACCACACCGTGAGCAGTGAACTGATTTCAGCAGTGATGCTAAATAAAGATTGTAGCCAAGATATAGAGGGATAGATCTATATATCTATTCACAATCATTGGGTTGACTCAAGCTGTAGTACAACCGCATTATCAGTATCAGTATCACTAGGTATGCATCGTATCTATCGCCAGCATATAGACAGGCTGAAGATAAATGTGTCTCACCTCGCCCGTAAAAAATAATGAACTTATAGAGAATTCTACACTACTCTACCTACCTAAAATGCTCCCATTACCCTTCTACCGCATAGGCGAGCGCCATAACCTACGTCCACGTCCACAACCACAACCACAACCACAACCACAACCACAACCACAACCACAACGCCCACAACAGCCGCCAAAACAATGATCCTCCCCTCCCCCTCCTCCCCCCGTTCACCCCCCCGCCCCACCCCCACACTGACCATCATAGCCATAACCCTGACCACCACCCTCGGCACCGCCCTCCTACTCCTCCTAACCTACACCCTCTACACTTTCCTCTGCCGGCGACACCAACGTCAACTAGCCGCCCTCCAAGCCTTCGAGACGGCGCGCGAGCGGGACCCGAACCTAACCTGGGAAGAGCACGCGCGGAGGCGGCGGTTCACGCGGTCAAGGCTGCTGTTCGAGGAGGAGGTGCAGCGCGCGGAGCTGCTGAGGAAGAGCTTGCAGAGCCGGACGTCGTCGCCGGTTGCGGCGGAGAGGGTGGTGGGGGTGGGGATGCCTAGCACGCCTACGACTGCGACGATTTCAGGTGGTGGTGGTACTATAATGGCGACGACGCCCGATAGGGAGTCCGAAGCGGAGCACCTCCTCCCTGCAAACAAGAAAGGGAACAGCGGGGATAGACCCGAGACTCCGGAGAGCATACACAACCACACACACAGACACGAAGTACCAGATAGCTCGCCCTCTCAGCCAGGGACGCGGAGGGAAACGGGGCCAAATAGTGGTGGAAAAGAGGACGAAGAGCACGGGGACGTAGTGGATCTAGTGGCTCAGCTCCAGCCGCCACCGCCGCTTCTACTACTGGCGCATCCGGCGTTACGGGGTCGGGATAGACGGTATCCGCCTCGGAAGTCGAGTCTGCTTACGAGTATGACGTTGAATTGATACGTACACACCTAGGTATACATGGTATCATCAGGTGCAACCAATGCCAAGGCCAGTGGTAGAGCTATAATCATGACACCGGCTTGGTACTAATTGTAATTATTGTTGGAGATATTGGTTTACGTACCTAAACTGCCTGCTGGGTCGGTCAGTAGTTTATATAACTCGGTATATATGCCCGTGCATATGCATACTGCCTAGCCATATATGTGGTATGTCCCCAAAGTGGGAGTACTAGGTATGCTAAAGAGCGAACCTTACTAGCCATCTAATTCTTTGATATCGAAGGTCTCATATATCCTCTCAAACAATATCAAAACTTGTGACAAGGCAACTACATAGTAGCCTGACCTCCAAAGATCAAATCAGTTAGACAACGTTTTCCACTGGTCGTAACGTATGGGCCCATCGCGGGCAAGCACAAAATTCGGAATATGGGAATACGGGCAATCCGGATCCTCCTCTCCAGGTATCAGTTTCCGTAAATATTCATTTTGCTCCTGGTTAAGCCGTGTGCACTCCACGCTGAAGACACCGTTCCCGATTTCGTCGTCTCGATCCGACTTTGTGCAGACAAAGGTCGCTTTATTACGGTTCGGCCAGTACACCTGCGATAACATCAAGACGGAGCCAATAGTGGGGGGAGACCCAGATACAAAAGTCGCTTTCTGAAGGCGAGTGGATCCTCGTGGTGCATGTTCGTGAAGGTATTGGAAGAGGTGGCCGGCGGCTGCGAAGGTGAGGTATGGCTGAACGAGAGTCATATCGTTTTCAAGTCCGAGCTCGAACCATATCTCCAGTTTGCGAAGCGATGGAAAGCTTGCGAGTATGTCGAGAATCTCGTACGGCCATTGACCATCACGGCCTATGTCCAAATGCAATTCCTCGATATGCGGGCATGTATCACGAATCTTTCGTAGCGTGTTGGCATCGATGGCGTCCCGTCGCCATATTCTTCCCCACATCTCTCGGTATTTCTCCGTTTGGTGAATTGTGAGTTCTTTCAAGCCACTGCTGTGTTTCAGGAGAACGTCTATACCGATACTAGACATTGTAGGGATGACTATTCTCTGTAGAACACTTGGGACGTGCTCATAGAAGGTCTTGATAAAATCGTCATAAATCCAATTACAGGAAAACATCTCGAGAGCCATGAGCTGTGGCATAATCTGCAAAGCAAAACGAATGCTATCTGTCTTCAATACCTTTAGTTGTGACCAATCAAAGACACGTGACCAGTAGTCCTCTTCCGGCTCATCAAGCGGATAGCCATCGCAGCAGTAAGATCTGCCTGGATTTGGCGGGACTTCATTTGATGTTGATGATTTGTGTCCAAAGGGATAATTTATCAACTCTAATACCTCAAGAGCAGGCGGGCGCTCTTCGCCGACGAACCCAAATCCACAGTACTGGCGCGGTGCCGGGAAACGTACACATCCACCTCGGCGTAGCCTCACATCGAGCTTAAGCTTTCGTAGGTTGGGACATGATAACAAGACACGTTTTAGCGGCCGAGTCCACCGGACGCAATCGACAGCTTTGGAATATTCGTAGATCACATTTAAGGAGGTCAGGTTATCATTATTCTCCAGATGACCAATCATCTTAGTCAAGCCTGCTCCGCGAGGGTAGAAGCCGGATGCTTGCGTGTGAAGACGGATCCAGGGTCGCTCTTTGAGAAGTCGGATCACAGATGCGGGTATCATACCCCGTTGCCATGACCTCCACGTCACTTCGGCGAGACCAGTCATTTTGGGAATAAGATCATGGAGCCGAAGCACAAATGTTTCCGAATGACGACCTAAGATTTCTAACCTCCGAATAGCTTGAAGCATCCCCCTCTTTTCAATGCAATTCAACTGCTCTGTCGTGACATTGTCCACACCATTTCTATCAGTGACCAGGGCAACTTCTCGATGCTGGCTGTATCTCGCGATACGATAGAAGTTGCAGCATACCAAGGCCAGAGAAGATAGGGTATGGGGGCTCGTTTCTAGTAGGAGGTCTGTAATGGCTGTGATGGTCTCGTTGCTTAAGCAAAGTAGAGATGGTAGCTGCGGGTCCGAAGCCTGCGGATCCCGCGCCTCAATCAATGCCACCGGGGGGAGATCAGGGGTCAGAGGCCTAATCACATTAGAAGGAAGAGGGTGACTATAATCGGAAGGAGGCATATTTTCAAAAAGGAGACGTGTTAGGTGTGTTAGGTAGATAGAAAGGAGAGGTAACCGATGAGAATATTGTGATTTCAACAACTTTGAAGCCCCCTTGATATGTGGCAGTTATGTGTTGTTGCCTGTCTACATAGTAAGTATTCAGTGCCTACCTACTACTAGTAGTAGTATTGTACAATACCTTGGGTGTTTAATGTGAGGATTTTACTGGGGACGATCCAGTTATGTGCATAGGTAGGTAGATACCTAGGAGGTAACTGCGTCTCCTACTGACAGTACCTACATATTCCCTCTGAGTGACTCATATTTTGGAGCAACAACGTGATTTATCGTACATACGGGGATCATGGATGCAGAGAACTTTGGAAGATTGAAGACACTGCAGTTTCAAAGTTCAATGTTCTTTGCGATCGGGCAAGGTTGATTTTTATTCGTCTCCGCCACTTCAAAAGGTGGCTGAATACATATTTAGTACATCTATGTATGTAGTAAATGTGGTCAGTGCACTAACCTAGATATGTACAGTACGTCACCTGGTAACCCACATATTAGCTACCACATATGTCACTGGCACTGGGGCAGTTAACCTTGGATTATTGCCCTCAATTGGAACCCCTGCAAATATTACACATGTAGAATTTACTGTAGCATAACTAGGTATTTAACTATTACCTACCTAACCTAGTATGTAGCATAGCCTCCTCTACCATGTATCGACCTAAATGAGTTAACTGAGGTATCAACCCAAGGTACCTACTACTTACTTCAAATGTGAATATTGATCACATCACGAGCGCATGAAAGTGTACAAACATACCTACATAGTACTGTTAACCACAATTAATTCAAGTAGGCCACTTATCTATATGTAGGTGTCTTAGGTAGACAACAATATCTGGAAAAGCTTATAAACTCATCTCATATATAGAACCTCTTTCGACTACTCTCATTGCCTATTGCCTACTAGGTAGCCTACTATTTAATCTTAATAGAGGATTCGGGGGGTTTTAATCATGTCGACATCAACACTGTCTCTTCGAGCATATACTACTCAACCTGATCGTCTTTTTGGTCTTTCTGACGAGCAGTTCCTCCTTCTTGTTCATAGTGACTTCAAAAAAGAGCTGCGTCGACTCCAAAGCGCATACTCAGTCGGCGGGAAAGATGATGCCAAACCATCGTCCAAGTCGCCGTCCATGATCTTGTATGGCGAGAACTACGATGAGGTCAATCGGACACTCGTCGGGCTACTGTCCCTGAAATGGATCTACAACAAGCAATACGATATCCTCGTAGCAAATCAGCCCGAAGCCTTGAAACTCTCCCCTGAATCGTTCGAATGGATTTATAAATTTTACCAAGCTCCGACCGCGACCCCTGATGAGCTGTACGCTCTGATAACGTCCATAATAGTGAACGATATTGGAAAGGATGACCAGCTCGCGCGCGACTACGAAAAGGCAACCGGCGAACCCATTGCTCACTTAAATCACGACATGATTTTGATCAAGGCAGTCAAGGCAGGCTTCGTGGACTGTCTGGACCGTCTCGCACCGGAAGACAAAGCTGACATCATCCGCGGGATGGACCTGGGCGCAGACTTCAACTTTGGTCAGCTCGCCCAGGCAGAGAACGTGCCCGCCTGTCTAGCCAGCTTCGCTCGGATTAAGGGTCACACCCGCAGTTTCCGCCTTCGGTTCAGCGAACAGCTGCTAGACATCGCGGGAGCAGCAGGCCACCTGGACTGGACCGGCGCGAAGAAGCTGACCCAGTCCAATTTCGACGCCTACAGCACTGTCTACCAAGTGGGCATGGGCATAATATCCGAAGGTCTAAGCCTGCGGAAGGGGTATGACTTGGTCTTGACCCGGCGACTAAACCTACTTCGGGAGAAAGGGTTTCGGTCGCTCGATTTGAATGAGAAGGATGACCGGGCACTTGCGCGGCTGCTGTGTATGAGCAGTGTCGCCGACCTGTCGACTGCTGAACTATACAACCGAGTATGGACGTCTCTCGAAAACGATACTAGAGAATCGTTACGCAAGTCTCTCAACATCGATGGATCTGTTGCCGAGCCAGCAGTGCAGGCCACTTACATACCAGCCCTGATGACACAGGCCGTTGATGCCAGCGGGCCCGGGTCCACCGAAGCAAAGGAACAAGCACTGCGAAGCGTGCTTCGCTACCTATGCAGAGTGATAGCCGCCCCGGGTAAGCCAGACGGGCCCGTCATCGTTATCGAGCGGAACGTGCTGCCCATATTAAAAGGGGTAGTACAGAGCCCTCGGTTCCGAGAGGACCCCACCATTATAGAAACGGCACCGATACCAGAAAGCCTGCCTGGGCTAGTGGAGTCTCTTGAGCAACAGCCTGGGTGAATGTGTATGGCTGTGTTAAGTTGAATAGGTAGACGGTGATTAATTGGGTCATTTCACGGCGTTATCGGACTTGGGAGATGTGGGATGACGTGGGGGGTAGACTTACCAAGCAATGGATTCTAAAAAATATATATAATCTCCTAGGTTAGATTTGATGAATTTCCTATTTTGTATAAAAATGAAGCCGCCCGGGCGATGACACTTTCATATGCAAAACATCTCATTCGCTGGTCTAGTGAGTTTGATTAGGTACGAAGACGTGTGGGATCTTCACTTAGATTCGATAACAACTTGGAACGTATAAACGAATAAGTGATGATGTAGGAAGATATGGAAATGAATATGTGGGAAACTAAGCCGTAATAGTGATGATGAATTAGCAGTAAGGGGTGATTCGGGAAGCTGATATATGACCAACCGCGGATATCTGTAATTTGACACATTCATATATCCATCCCCCCTGAAGTCTGTTTGTATAAACTGAGTTGTCAAATTTCACAGAGAATTTGATATAATGGACTCAACTCATATTGTACTTATATAGGTACCTAGCTAAGGTACCTAGGTATTCATCTGCATCAAAGGCAAGGTCAATGATGTATTTTCATTGGTAGGCCCGTTAAGCCGTTATATGCACTTCAGAACCATTTACCTACCTTGCATACAGCTGACGCAGCCTTCATATACAGGCCGGCCAACTAGCCAACTTGTGGTGGTTTTTAATAAGGGTGCCTTCTAGCCGAGTGAACCGTAATCACATCTACGCACATAACATATCTCCCCGAACAAGTCGCAGAGATGTTTCTAATAAAGCCATTTTAGGTAGAGCCAGATTCCGTCCCATATGTATGGTGGAAATACGACTGAGGTTATGAATACTCAGGTATATTAGGTGTTAATCAACACATATGATTACCCGTGTTATAGCAATAGTCAGTACCTAGGTAGGTATATAAGGAATCATCGTCCTACCTATATTATATTGGACGGAATGCATCTCTCTACTCCTAACATATTTTAATCGAATCCCACAACTTTGTTTCTGTGCGGGGATCTCTAACATCTCTCTCCCCGGAGACAAAAGAAGCTACATACCTAATACACGTAAGCTGTATTTGTTCTATCTAGCCCCCATGTATCTTCCAGACCCCTCACATGATTCTCCCAATGAAAACTTCTACCATCCTTCAAATTCTAGTAGATAGGTCACCGGGCGGGGAACCTCATTTGGCACGTATACCAGCGACATCTACTTAGCACTAATCAATATATGACACATATATAGATCGTAAGTTACCTAGGTAGTCACTATACGATTATTGAAAAGCCTAATAATAGCCCAGCATTACAAACACCATCTGTTGGCGTATTTGACATGCAAGTGATAGGCAGGAAGTCCGACCATTCCATCCCTGCCGACAGCATAGTATAACAAAAAGACTCACCCCCAGTTCTTTGCCGTAGAGATAGACTTATCTTAGGAGTATTCTAGATTTGGTTGGACTCTATTTATCTCAAGTTCTGTTCAACTCTCATTAGTCTTCTCACCAACGCCCAGGTATCACTTCTTCCTTGGAAACATCAGATAATCATCTCGATGGCCTCCACTACGATCAAGCCCATCCGCGTATGGCTAACTCGTAAGTGAATCTACGAAGCCTCATACCTACTTGCGCAAACATTGACCAATTTGACCATCGTAGCACCGGGACCCAACCCCTGGAAGGTACACCCCTCCCCTATCAATACAAGCGATTTGACCTGAACATACCTCTGGCTAGGTCGTACATATCCTCGAGGAGCTAAATGTACCTTACGAGATCAAGTCATTTTCATTTGAGAATGTCAAGAAAAAGCCCTTTATTGACATTAACCCCAATGGCCGAGTACCCGGTATGTGAGCTCTAAGTACACTGCATTGTCAATTCTCTATCCCAAGAAGATTAACAAAAAAATCCAGCAATCGAAGACCCCAATACCGACATCACGCTCTGGGAGTCCGGGGCCATCATCCAGTACATCATCGAGCAGTACGACGTGAACAAGGCGCTCACGTACGACACGCTGAGGGAGCGGCATCAGCTCAACCAGTGGCTGCAGTTCCAGATGAGCGGGCAGGGTCCGTATTACGGCGCAGCCGCCTGGTAAGCTTCCCTCTCCCCCTCTCATAGACAAGCCCCAAAACACCCCATCTCACCCCCCCTCGCAGGTTCAACATCCTGCACCAAGAAAAGCTCCCCTCGGCCATAGAACGATACAACGCGCAGCTCAAGCGCGTCCTCGGCGTCCTCGACGGCTGGCTCGCGGACCGCGACTGGCTGGTCGGCGACAAGATGACGTACGCGGACCTGAGCTTCGTGGCGTGGAACGACCGGATCGACAGCATCATGCAGTGCGGCGCGGACGAGAAGTTCGCGGGGTTCCCGCGCGCGCAGGCGTGGCACGAGCGGATGACGGCGCTGCCGTCGTGGAAGCGGGCGATGGAGAAGAAGGACGCGCTGATGAAGGAGCAGGGGCTCGAGATTGGCACGGGCAGGCCGAGCGGGTATAAGAGTCACCAGGAGTATGAGGCGGCGATTGCGGCGGGGACGGTTAAGTCTGCAACTTGAAAGGTAGCTGCTCGGGTAGGTTAGATAGTTGAGGGTCTTGGAGCAATATACTACCGTAGGCAGTCACGATAGCAATTATCTACGTAAGAATCAAAAGTCTCAAGACATTACAACACTCTATTGGAGATCAAAGTAGGTACGTACACGGGCAGACACTCTTATCAACGTCCTCTCGTACATAAAGAAGACTACCAGGTAAGTACCTAGTCAGACACCCTAAGTACCTAGGTAGGTAGATAGCCATGTAGGTAGGCACACAGGTATGTAGAGCATCGACTACCTAGCTAGCTAGCCAGCCAACACCTAACCCAAGCCTTCCAAGTAGCGTCATCCAACACCCAAGTACCTACAGGATGGCATACATGCATAATCCATCCTCAAGTACATATCGAGTATTAACTCCTCATCCAAGCTCCCAAGCTAATCGCAGTCAAAGGTATCAATATGCGTGTTCGTGAATTACGTTTCTTCGTTCGTTCGATCCGTCCATGTGCACGCACCCCCAGCACCTCTCACCTTTCTACCCGAAGCAGGCGACGACAGCAACCCACAGCGACAACTATAACGGCCGAGAAGAACTCAAGGGAATTCTCTCCTTTACTTCTTCCACCCATGCTTCCTCACACACACAACTCCATAACAGTTTCACAAACTCGTCAACGACCCCCCTCGCATGACCCTAACCGTACCTCTACTCGGCGCAACACCCGTCAGCGTACTGGGCACACTGACATCGCTCCCCGCATCCGCATCCGCATCCGCATCATCCACACGCTCCCCCTCCCCCTGCCCCTCCCCCCCCGTCTTCCTCCTCGCCAACTCCACCGCCCTATCCCTCTCCCTCTCCCTCTCGCACCTCATCTGGCTCGCCTGCTCATGGCCCCTGGGCAGGCCCCTCCTCCTGTCCGCGCAGGCCCTGACCTCGGCCCTCAGCAGGCTCCAGGTGGTCGAGAAGAAGATGACGGCGTTCCAGACGCCCTGCAGCGGCAGCACGACGGCGCTGGCCAGGTTGAGCGCGAAGCTAGCGGTCTCGGCGTAGACGAGGTCGTGCACGCGGTTGATGGACGACGGCGTCCACGTGACGAAGACGCTGATCGCGAACACGAACGACGTCCGCAGGTACGCGAGCTTCACCGGGTCCATGTGCGCGAAGCGGCTGCGCCACCGCGAGAGGTTGCCCCGCGCCCGCGCGCAGAGCCCCTCGTGCGGCGCGGGGTCCGCGGTTATGCGGGTGATGGTTGTTTGGTAGGGGTTGGGGGATGCGCGGATGGGGGTGGAGGAGGGGATGGTGGTGGTGGTGGTGGGGGGCTGGGATGGGTGGTTATGGGTGTGGTTGTGGTTGTTGGGGGTGTTGTCGGGCGGGCCGTCGAACCAGTTGGTGGGGAGGGCGCCGCCGCTGGTGGAAGATGGCTCGCCGACGGCTTGGGCGGTGGACGAGTTCACGGTCGTGATCTGGACGACTTCCCGGTTTATTCTGCCCATAACAGCTGCGTTGGGGAATAAGGTCTGCGAGTGACTGATGTTAGTTGGGAATGGCTTTGACATGTGTTTATGCATTCGAAGCTTACCTTCTCTCCCGAGTCGCGTGTGGCCGGTGGCTCGTAGGTAGGGTTGCTTAGGGATAGATTGCGCAGTTGGTTACGCTGTTTGAAAACGTAGTAGCCGACGGCGATATAAATGCAAGACGAGAGAATGATGCAGACCCAAATCGGGAGGTAGTACGTGTAAATACGTAGGTTGGACCAGTCCTTATCTATCCAACACCAAATCTGTATAGTACATCGGTGCCAGTCAGTATAAGGAAATCATCCATGTAGTATAAGGCGTGTCAGACGAATAGGGGTAGGGGTGATGTTGACTTACAGTCGCATTACCGTACACGTTCTGTCCATCTCCGCCGCGCACAATAAGGAGCCACAACGATGGAATAAAAGGAACGCCGTAACAGACGAGACAGTACGCCCACCAGTACTGAAGGAAGCTTTTCGGGTCGGCCGAAAAGAAAAACACCATGTACACATTGACCGCCATGGCAAATGACCACCATGGATCTGATTGCATAAACCTAACTCGGTATTAGTCAAAGATCATATCTATAACCCCTATTGTACTGTCTGATATAGTGCTAAAGGGAGGGGGGATTCAATCAACGTACAGCTCGAACATGAAAGCCTGTGCCTGGCACAAATGGCTATTCGACCCTGCCTGCACCCCCGAGTACCCTATTAAGCAGGCAATGCTGGCCCCCAGGTTGGCGCAAGAGGCAAAGACGATGAAGGTGTTTGGAACGGTGCGGAGTCGTTTGAAAGCGGCGTAGGCGATGAAGATGAGAAGGATGCCTGTGACGGATAGGGCAGCGCCCAATCGCTCGAAGATAACGATCGTCTCGATATGCTGCCTGGTCAGGGCTCCAGGTCTGATGAACTCGCCGCTGCCATCGGGGTCATTATGTACTGTGCCGTCCATCACAACTGTCGCGGTATTGTTGGGATGGACCAATAGTCATGGGTGCACTAATCGTATCTGTAGCTTACACGGACACGAAGAATGTTCTCAAATGTACTCGGTGTAAGTGTTGAGTCAAAGTAGGTATCCAACCTGTCGAAATAACGTAGTAGAGATCAGGATGCCGCCGTCGCCATGAATGAAATCAAGAACCGCAATGGTGTAGGTCGCTTGCGACCATCCACAGAAGACCACGCAGTATCCGAATAAATACCAGGTAAACCGCCTCTCTGAAAGTAGTTGGCGAGGTATTTGATATGTTATCAGTATTAGGGAAACGTGGGGGGGTAGGTACTTGTTGTAAAGGAGGGAAACGAGGCGGCTAAGTAGACGCGATGTCAATGGAGAATTGACCACGCGATTGTAACAAAGACTAAGTACAATAAAGGTCCAATCCCTTTAAATGAATGTATAGGTTGACCACGAGTTGTGGCTTTCTGAAAGAAAGAAAAAAAACTTAGGGTGCTAAATAAAGTGAGAGGAATGGAGGTAGTTAGGTAGACAGGTTTTGAGGAGGTAACCAAGGTGATTGAGTATCGATATGGACACCAAGTATTCGGAGAGCTCTGCCGAGACTCTAGGCAATGAAGAACTCGAGGAAGTCAGTCGAATTAAGGATTGACCTGAGAAAACGAATGAGATAAATTACCCAGGTACTAAGTAGGCAGATAGCTAGGCAGGTAGGTGGTAGGCAACATTGACATTCGGTAAAGTATGGGGCAAGATGAATATCGAAGCTTCAATAGAAGTAAATTCGAACGAGCCCGAGAAGACGCACGTATCCGCATGATTCGCTTGTTGGTCAGATATAAAACGACCTCTATGGCTGAACGATCTGCATAATGACAGGAGTCAAGGAGGGGAAGCAATGTAGACACAGGTAGGTAGGTATGTAAGTACCTACACTCATGTATATACTCGGGCAGCTATCGTCGATTGGGTGGGTGCATGTGAAGGCACTTTCTCAGCCTTGGTTATACAGTGGTGGTTGGCGGATGTGAAATGCATACGGAGATCATGAGGCAATGTATCTAACAGCTCCGAGGTACATAGGAAGGGTAAGAAGGACGCTGATAGATACCATGTAGCAACTATGTAGCAGGCAATTTGCAAGTGTCTTTAAAGACTCATAACACCCAGAGTCGTTCCATGGTGCTGAGGCTCAGGGGTTCGGCCTTTTTTTTCGATTTCACTGTTACACGACAAGATGGTTGTATTCGTAAGTCCAAAGGATTGTAGACTGAGCAATGAAGTAAGGAAAAAACATAGCTGCTATAGACATCCATGGATGTTCAATGTCTGCGTGTATAGGTAGGTGACACAGGTAGTTGTGCCGAAATAGACAAGGTATAATACTGAAAGCTGGGGAAATAGTGCTAGTATAGATATCCATGGATGCAAACGAACGCATAGGCAGGCACTTTCGAATTCAAAGGATCAACTCTAGCCGCATACATGTATGTAGCTTCTAGAATAAGCAGAATTATGCCCTATGTAGCTGACTACTTGGTACGTGCCTCCCTTAAATGCCAAATAAAGTATGCATAGGAACGTTACTTTCCTTAACATCCAAGGCATAATAGGAGATAAATATCATTTGTTACTGCTTACCTACCTGAGTACTATGCAATGCTGCAATAGCCTGTATAAAGGGGTATCAGTAGGCGAGCTTCACCGAGTAACCATATAGGATTACATATGTATGCGCTTACAGGTGCAATTCGGGATTCGTGAAGGGACATATCTTACTCCGAATGAAAGACATATACATTCAAGAGGCGCATGTATAAACCTTGAAGACGTTATTTGTCCAAAGTTGTCGGGCGGCCATGTGGCTTCTTTGTACATGCCTAGCGTGTCTATTAATGACAGCTACCTAGTATATGCACTTGTACATACATAGCTAGAGCATACACAAGAATACTAATCAATGAATGATGTGGATCATTGGTGGCGTCCTGTCTTTGATGTCTTTCATGCATCCTTCTCCACGTGGATGGAGGGTCGGACGGTGACGTTGGGCTTGATTGTTAACATGAACTAGGTTAGAAGAAGGAAATATGTTTTCATGTGGCTGATACATGTACAACCAAGGTCCCTGCCATGATCGGCTGGTTTGGTGTGAACAGGTAAAGTAGAATGGTGGCTGAATACTCGGTATACCTTGCTACCTAGTACTAAGATTGTTAATGTACATCATTTAGAGTTGAGAGAAGCACATGTGCATCGAACAATGAAACCCCCAGACTTCCCAGACTTCCCAGTCTTCCCATCTACTTCTACATATGTACCTACCTAAGTGGGTTTAGAATATATACATCATCCATGGATATTGGATATAAACTGGAGACGATTTGAAGTGAACAAAGATATTGATGAAAGCTGTTTGCTACCTCATATGCACTCTGTGGTCTCAGCCCAATCGCGAACGACTCTCACATCTCAATTACATGCATCGAGGCTACATACCGCCGAATCGAGGCGCTGGACCAACCAGATTTGGTTATTACTAACTGTATCGAGCTGTGACCGCTTGGAGTGTCGGTCACGGACTGAGTTGTTCAAATGTTCAGCTCAAAAGTTCCAGGATCTCATGGTTACAAGGTTTGTAAGGTTACCTGCTTCTAACAATAATGGAATCTTGCAGAGGACTCAGAGCTTCCCGCAACACTAAAATTGAGTCTTGTTGATGTGTCTTATGTTTGCCTATGCAGGCATGGTACATGGTAACTTGATACTACATAGGTAACTTACATACATGTAAGTCTTTAATCCAACGTTCTGCGCATTGCGTACGTATTCAAGTAAACCTCACTATGGAGTGACCGAGATATGTTTAGCTGGATGCCTTTTTAGGAGTTAACCGTTTCCATCCCTTGCCAAATGTCAAAGAAAGCTACATGCACATCAATACCGTTGACGACTATTAGTAGGTACTGCTAGGTACTTTGTATCTACAAGGAACATTGCCCAGTGATGGATAAAATGCGGGACCTAAGACTAGTAACCCCCACCTCGGCCCTAGCAGCTCGCGGGGAAAGTAGATTTAGCGCTTAGACATTACCGTTTGTGGCGGATAGTATCAATATTGCGCCATGTGATTGGTCTATGGTTTTAGGGGACCCTTGGAACAATTCAACCCGATCTTCTTTAACATGTACGTACTACGTAGGATATGATGCTACTGATGTGCCAAGTGAACAATCAACACTTCCCTTACTTGCATACGTACATCCCAACATTGAAATCAATCATGTGCCCGGCATCTAGAATCTTTGATATAGATAATATAGATAAACATCATCGGATTATAATACGCACGGAGTTACCTAGGTACCTACCTAATTTAGGTAGGCGTCCATGACTCCATCTACATTACATGTAGGTACGATGCATCTCCTAAGGGTCTCCCGGCAGTACATATGATTACACCTTGTCGTGGTTTCGGAAGCTAAAGTATCTCGGGGAGGACGAGTAAAACACCCTGTAACATATCCAAACCACCTCCAGGGCTATGACTCGGGTAACATAGAGTTGAAGATTTATCCCCTGGAGCTAATCAACTTCAAATGCTCGTATAGGGGTCGTTACTTGTGCTGTCTGTGACACACACACCTCTGTGCCCTGTATACCTGGCTCCTCGATCCAATGAAATCGACGTCGTACCCGAAAACCCCGATACCCGAAACAGAAATTTTGTATCCATCCATCTCCAACTATGTGCGACGGAAGCTATTCATATTAACGTTTAACTTGGTGAGCCTCCAATGTTTCTTTTTCAACGTTTCCGTGCTCGTTTCTTCTGTTTTGTCGCTTTCGTACAACACTTTCCCCACCTCCCTACTCCACAATATACCCACATCCTCAACATCTCACTCATATTCCAGCTACATAACCTAGACATGTTTACACAGTCAAACAACAATAGCAACAAAGCAAAAGAACGCTGTTGTTTACCATACAAGGTAAACATTCGAGTTCCAAACTAAGACGAGACCATACAATAAACCGGCCCGACGAATGTCTCTAGCTCTAATATGCTGTAAGCGAAGAGCCCCACTAGGCCGCCACCTAATTTTACAACTTCCGAACACTATAATATATTGCCCATGTGAAGATTTGTAGCTACCCGTAACATATAATATAGGGGGGAGAGGGGGTTATAGCGAACGAACACGCAACGGTCTCGGGATATGACCCCAGAACACCTACCTTACCTTCTACATGTAGGTACCACACTAGTTAATACAATACCTACCCTATGATACTGGGCATGTAGATACCTAACGTCAATGTTCTAAGACCTCTGTCGGATTCCGGCTTTAATTTCGCACTATATATATCCTCAAAGCCGACTGAAGGAAGAACTCTAGAAATATCGGAAATAGCGCCACCACCGCCGATGGGTTCGGTATCCCACCGCCAGGTCGGTGGATCTTTTATAAACATAATGTAACTACTCCTAGCATCAAGAATGTGGGTATATATGCAACCTGGGCATGCAAGCAACTACGATGCTTATGCCTAGCTAGGTATGCAAGATCGGACCCTGTTAGTATCTCCCCACTTCACCCATTACCCCTTCCCCCTCCCCCACCAAGCATTGATGCTTTACATTGACGGAGTGAGTGCCTACCTGGTTCTTTGGAGTCTAGACCAGTCCCACGGCTGCCCATCTACTAACCTAGGGGTCTAGATACTGTAGATATACACGCAAAGGTCCGTGATCATATCCCCCCCCCCCTCGCAAATCACGCCCAACGCGAGCCATCTTGAACCGTATAGATTAGTTATACCACGTTGTCAAGGTAACTGTAAACCAGCACCCTCTCGAGGCGAGACAAGAAGAATAAGCAGGTTCAGATAACGGCTGTCACTTGTCTCGTTCTCACGTAACCCAAAAGGAAAAAAGGAGATAAAAAAAATGAAAGAAACTCCCTTACCTTAGCGACAAGTGGTACCTACATATATCGGACTTGCCTACCATCTAATCCGTAAGCGGCCGAGGAAAACATATAAAAGGCAAACGATCGCGAGGTCACCATAACCAAAAAAAGATGTCGTTCTTACGATGAGCGTTGCCTCTGTATAACTTACCTCTATAATTACCCTCTGCTCCCAAGTTTAGGTACAGTAGTTTAAGATGATCACGTGCAAGTAAGACTCATGCGAACCATGTAGCCACCTACTGTCCACCTATGTAGCATGAAATAAAAGTGTTCTTCCAAGAGTCCGGAAAAAAAGACAGCGTTTAGGTACCTAATTTGCCTGCCTGTTACATTAGGTAAGCAAGCTGTTGACCGTCAGCATCAACGGCGGTCGATGAACCCAAGCTAGCGACGCCTAGCCTATGTACCTCCTAACCTTAGTACATACATACCTAATGAACCGCCATGAAAGACCAGATTCTCATTAATAAGTGGAAGAAAAGATAACACTCTTGATCGGGAGTACTAGAAAAAGAGAATTGATTGTGGTTGACACCATGTCGCTCAGTATACATACGCCTAGATGAAGCAGGAAAGAAAAAGGAGAAAAAAAACACCACAAAAAAAAAAGAAAAAAAAAACATACAACACCAGGGATTCGCTGGTCGTCACCGACCCAACTACTGATCTGGCGGTATTCGGCTTATCTATGGGAGAGCGGACGGGATCCCGAGTTTTCCGAATCCTATGGTCGTATGTGCTAGTTTTATAGACTATTACAGTTTATATACCTAACCTACCGGATGGACGTCAAAAAGTGTTGTGAGCTGCACCCACCGTGGCCCCATACCCAGAAAACGTTCTTGGTACCTAGCAACAGTCCAGGTTTCGATAGTAGAGGTACATATCACAGATGAAAAAAATATAGTGACATGAAAACAAACGTGTTTCGCACCCTTTTCGCGTGCTATAGGATCTATGTACCTCTAATGACTTGGACTTCTAGAAGCTATATCCAACGGCCTAGGTTAGGTTGTCCCACCTAAACCTCGGATTCCGCCTCTAGTAAGGACCAATGCGGACATCCGCCCCACTACTGCTAGGTATGCAATAGAACAAAGGGGGAGGAAGACGGTCGCATTGTCCCTAACCTCCCACGCCTACCTGTCCAGTTAGGCGATTTTCCCATCTCCTTTCTATTTCTAGGTATCCTTTAGACCGTGTATAGGAAGTCGGGTCTCTTATCGCCGAGCGCCTCAATCTCGTTTGCGTCCTTGCCCTCAATGAGGTAGTCGCGCTTTCCGCTGACCCTCTTCTTATTCTCGATACGGAGCAGAATCGTCATCAATGTGCTACCGCCAAGCAAGAACAATGTCATGTATGCCACTATTATGCCATGGCCTTCGAGGTATCTCGGTGCGTTGTAATATATGTTAGAGCTGACGATGCCGTTTAAGTTACCCCAGCCAATGACGAAACCGAGCACCACACCCCTCTTATAGACTCCTTCAGTATTGTTGGCCACCCAACTGATAGTATTGGATATGCAAGGGTAAATACCGAGCGCGCCAAGGAACGTACCAGCGTACTTGACTCTCGGATCCGTGGATGCGATCAGCATCAAGAACCCGACGATACCGATAATACTAACGAGGATATTGCACAGGCCTCGTTGGCGGGTTCGATCAGCGACAAAGCCAATAACCACGGTAAGTAGGGCGGCGGCGGCGTATGGGGGCACGGTCAGCAGCTGGGACCGAACAACGGTGGTGCTCCAGCCTAGCTCCTGGATAATGCTGGGCAAGAACAATGAAAACGCGTAAAGAGGCATATCGCAACCCATGTAAATGACCATGCCCAACCACATCTTCCAATCCTTGAGACCAGCATAGAGGTAGCTCATTTTCCATTCTTCGTGCTCAGCCGAAGACTGCTGGTCCGACTTGAGTCGGCGGACTACGCGAGCACGGTCTTCCTCCGAGAGGAATCGAGCTTGGTCGGGGAAGTCATGTACCATCCAGAAGGATGCGAAGCCAAATATTACGGTAACAAGGCCCTCTAGGATGAAGATCCATGCCCATCCGGGTCGACCGCCGATACCGTCCATCAACTCTATCGCCGCGGCGAGGAGACCGCCAAATGAACCCGAGAGAGCGGCTGCTGAAAAGAAGATGGCCTACAAGAAATGAGTAAAGATTTTGCGGTATACCAGGTATGAGTTTCACTCACGGCACGAATACCCAGCTCAGAACGCTTATACCAGCATGATAGGTAATAGTTGATACCTGGGAAGAGACCCGCTTCTGCAAGTCCAAGAAACCAACGAGCAGCCATAAGGCCGGAGTAATTATAGACGAATCCCATGCCGGTCATAGAAGCGCCCCACAGTACCCTGCCGCGATTCGGTATTAGTTGTTTTCTTGATCTTAAACCCGACGATCGCGGCTGCAACTTACATTATGACTGGGATGAACACGGATGGTCGCATCTTCTTAAGTAGGACATTGGTTAGGGGTTCGAAGAGCGAGTAGGAGATGAAAAAGATCGTCAGGGTCTCGTTGTATTGGTCCGGCAACCGCAGTTGCAGATCATCAGTGAGATGTGCAACCTTTGCATTGCCAATGTTGGTCCGATCCAAGAAGGCTAGCAGGTAAAGGATACAGAGCTGGAAGTCAGTGTTAGTAAAGTGTAACACGGAACGACGCGGTAACGCCGACATACCCAAGGGATTAGTATCCAATCGAGCTTCCAAACCAGCTTGCGATCCTATTATTGATATTAGTCATGATCATAAACTATTGATGTACATGCGACCATGTAAACATAGTATTGGCTAGGGTAATGCTCACAATTTCTTCTCTCTCTTCCTCGCTGAGATGGGCATCGGGATCAGGTGGTAGTCCATAAATACTACCAACACGATTCTCATCTTGAGAATCCCGCGAGACGGAACGCTTTTCAACGTCGCTCATGTTGCTCATCTTGTTCAGATTTTCCGCGTCAACGTGAGTTTAAAAAAATTGAAGATTTTTTATTTTTTTTAATTCTTTGTTTTTTTTTTTGGTGGGAAGAGACAGACGGGTTGAAATGCGCCAGTCTCGACGACGTCCTTAAATCGTACTGTGAGTCCAAGCGTCCTAAGGCTATCAGGCAGTATTGTCACTCACGGTCCCAATTGAGATTCCTGAGGCAGGAAAATGGGTTACCGGGTTCACTCGAGCTAAAGAACCATTTAACAGCCCAAGTAATAATCGGCTAACGATAACGCAGACGAAGAATACACTGAGATAGAAATGAAGCAAAATGAGGGAGTGATAAGAGAAGATCAAGAAAGATCAATGCATCGTGGGGGTGTGATTATATTTAGGTATGCGTAGGTCGATGGGATGAAGCTGACTGCACTGCTTAGTACGGCGGACCGGGCGTTAAGATGTGATTGACCCGCTCATGGACGTTGATTAAGCTAGACTATATGTAGACAACGAATGGACAGAGGAGAGGTAGTAATAGATGTCGGGGGAGAGGAAAAGGGGGGGAGGGAGGATCGGCAATTTGGAGAAGACAAGGGGTTTACTTTACGTCTTTAATGTCTTGAAGTAGAAGTAATAAAATCTTGGCTTTGGAAAGGTATAGAAAATGACCCTACCTTATTAGCATGCCTACCTACCTAGGTATACATAATATGCATACCATATGAGATACCCAATCTTGGTAGGTAGATATAACAAACATACTGACACTAGAGCTGACATCGTCATGGTGGACTAGAAACTACCCAATCCGGTTGTAAAGAGCTTAAAGACAAACGGTGGTTAGTTTTATATGCTATGTTATTATTCAGTCTCGCATTGGTCGATGTCGATACCAGAAAGGGAGGACCAGTATAGATAGAACAACGAAGAGGTGACCGGTACAAGCAGCTAACGCGTCTTAGCTTAAGCACAATGGAATGTCAACGTCTTGCTCTACATCGTCACGATAGCGACATAAAACCGTGACATCCCTGTGCTATTCATTTATTTGTGATTAACTACAATGTAGGTAGTTAAAAAAAAGATTCAAAATTTTAATACACGAACTAAGAAAGATGGCGTCGGGAGTTGGAAAGTCACGGCCGCTGAATTAGCCCGAGAATGGATGTAAGAGGTGAGTTGTGAATAAAATTCTGGCAACATTGAACGATACTAACCTACTAGCTCAGTAGCACGGACTCAAGGGGGGCTAATCCCTGCACGGTGGGGTTAAACAGGGGTTTGTAATGCCAAGTTAAGCTCTAGGGATACTAATAACTCAGAACGCCATTAATCTAGGGCTAGGGGAGCTCTTTCAGTTTGTTCACAGAGGGAAATTTGACAATCGCGAACACCTTAACACCTTCCATTTATATCACTACTAACAATTGAAAGTCTTGGCTGATATGAAGCATCAATAAGAGGTAGGCAGGCAGTGCTTGTGTTACCAACTAAACTGCTATTCTTACACATCATAAAGTTTTTGGAACGTTGTACGATGATATCTAATAGTACGCCTATCCCGAGGTCTTGTGCCTGAAAATTCATTTGGAAGAGTGATACTTCAGCCGCATGCCTAAGTGCTCCCGTGGGTAAATTTTGAAGGTTCCCTGTGAGATGCAGTACCAGATTCTGGGGACTCCGCAGCATGGGCCACTATCATCTCGCTCTTCTGTCCAACAGGCAACCTCGGATATGTTCTGTTGAGGCACAGCATTCCATGCTGATATCAGACGTGTCTTGGATTTGGTCCTACACCTCCATGCGGCAACCTGGACAGTCTGCGCTACCGTTACCTGTCATTGAAATTGAGGTTGGTGTATTTAGGTACCTATCTAATAACATGGCCAATAATCAATTTAAATCAGCGCCTCTTTCTTCTATCAATCCTTGTGAGTCACGTCAACTTTCATCGGACCCGAGCACGTTCTCCTAAAAAGTACAAACTTATAACTACCTAGGGTACTCTTACAACAAACAGAAGCTCTTGATGAAATCGCAAGACAAGAAAAAAAAAAAGAGAGGAAAAGAACAAGCTCTACTAATTCACACAAGGTTATAAAAGTTCAAGGTTGAATCTTGGCCATCACCACCGGTCTTTTTTCTTGTCCCCGTATGACCAATGACACCAAGGGAATTCCCAGTATTTAGGTGCACGCACATGTGGTCCAAGTGCTTGGCTGGCTCCTAAAAGAAGCTACCCCGCATAGAACGTTGACATCGGTGGGGTAAGCCGCTTCAAGGGAACTACAATAGGCAATTGCCCCATCAAAACCCCAAGTTGAAGTGGATTGGAGTGGACAAGTTGAAGTCTTGGACAGGAGGGGAAACGGGAGGCCCACACTTGGATTTTTATCTCTTTTATCTTGAGCAGCTGGGAGGTTCAAATGTTTTAATGTTGACGCTACAGCTGAGATGCATAGGTCACTGGTACACAGGCAATACCCGCCGCACATCATCACTACTACATTGCATTGTACGTACTAACATTAGGCGATAATTTTAGCTTCTAAAGAAATATCCGAATACCACGAGATGAATTTAGGTTAGACGACTGTTACAGTAGATCAAATCATTTGACCGCTTTTTTTTTTCATCCTTTCTCTAAATTAAATCCCTGATCTTAATGCCACTTAATACATGCCTAAGGGTACTCTATTATCTACAGCCTGCCTAGGGTAACCTAGCAGCAGTCGTCATGCTTTTTCAGCCCTGGATGACACACTCTTTTTGCGACATCACCGTTCCAGATCTCTGGTTCCAGTTGTAATTATTTTGTTACACACGTAGGGGTAACTCATAAGACTCGAGCTGACGCATCCTCGCACCAAGTTCTTATTCGACTGCCAGAAACCGACACCTGCTTGGATATACCATGTCTTTTGCACATTCTGCAAGGGTCATAAGGTAGGGCAGGGCTTGGACTAATGCAAGTATCCGCCAATTATTAGGTGCATGTTGAGTCGCCTGCCAAAGGAAGAGTAGACCGAAGCTCACGAATGCGATCTAATATCAGATCCTAGAGAATGAGCACATTGCAATTTTCCTTCGGTGCTAAGCACTATTATCGTTTCCGAATCACCTAATCGCCTACAATCTAATACATGTTGAGTGCATGTCGCTTGCCTCCTTGTGTACCTCACAGCAAGAAAGATCTAATGACAATCCTGTAAAGGCACTCTCGTAACCCTCCCATCCGAGGAATCATATCTCTATAATATCAAGGCCCGTTAGTGGCACAGAACAATAGGCCGAGTGTATCAAGCAACCGGATTCGAAGCCATGGAAAGTTCTCAATTCCACGTTACAGCCATAAGCCCGGTGGCGACAAGTGTCTTAGTCAACCTTCGTATTGGGTGTACTAATCCTCGGCTTTGGAAGCGGGAGCTAGGTCCCATTCCTTACCCAGTAGACCAAGTCTTCCTAGGTACAACATGGAAATGTAAGATACCATGCAGCAACAAGGACTCGTCCGAAAAATCTTGATAAAGAAGCGGGCAAGCCACTGCATAGTAGTCGGAAACGTGCTTGGACTCGCGTATGTACTTATCCTCCCATCATGCACACCTACTAGGTAGTCTCTACCTATAATTCAATGGTAAAACAGTCGTGCTCTGACGTGCACGTGTCGGATCTGCGATATTCGGAAGCATCCGCAGAAGCGTCCAGAAGCCAAGGACCTTATTCTAATAACCGACCGGGTGTCTGCTTTTCTTCCGTTTATTGTTCAGAGCACCGTCCAGACGAAAGCCCACGAATGAGACATGCTGGCGAAAGTGCAATACAGGGCGCAATGTAGACAACTCGCATGTAATCGATTGATATTCGACTCTCTCCTTTGAAAATGTTTATTCGGAACATCGCCCATCATGCAGAGTTTGTCGAGTTTGTCAAAACGGAGTCGCCGCTCATCGCCACTACAAGGGTCAAGAGTTGGTCTAAATCGTTGCCAATTGTCTAGGCTCGGGAGAAAAGACGACATCGAAGATCTCGGTCACTCCTTCGACGACGTGCATGACGCCAGGCATGGCATACGGCTCTTGGCGAGTATTCCAGCGGCTGCATCAGGAGGCTGCATCAGGAGATGCGTACGGCCGGCTCGCGAAACCGAAATCGAGACAAGCCTATCGCCGACACCTGCATCAGATACCCGAAAAGAATGCGCCACGTTTTCTACCTAGTACCTAGTAGGTAAGTAGTAAGTAGGCTCTATGTGGAAAGATGATCGTCGAGGTCTCTCTCCTGAATCCACATAAAAAGAACAACTTCGACGCAAGGGGGAGAGACTGGGCTGATATTCATTTAAACAGGCACTTACCTAATTCAAGGTTATGTACAACTTCAACATTGGAATGGACTGTCGATCGGAATTCGGTGTTTTAATGATGCGCCAATTACTCACGTGAAGTTGCGCCTTATTAATATTACATAGCAGTAAGTATATTATGCACTTACCTAACCTAGTGCCATGTAAGTCGTCACACATAATTCGTTGTGTTACTGTGGATTCAGGTTTGTTGAGAGCTTGTTCCCTCTCTCGCCATTAGTGCTGACTATGATAAGATGAGTTGAAACATTGATTTACCAAAACACCCAAAATAATAGAATGATGAAAAGGTACTAGGTAAATAGATACGTCGTTAAATACTTCCAATATTGAACCACCCTGGCTATCTCTCGTTACGGAGTAGTAGTACCAAGATTTTTTACCCGATTCTACGGAACATTCCGAGTCTCGTTCGGGGCCGGGATCGGGACCATGGCTAAGACCGTCTGTATCGTGGGTAGGACAACTAATTCTCCTCCGCTCTTTCGGGCATGAAATCCCGGCCAAGCTCACACGTAACTTAGGCGCTGGCCCCTCCGGGCTCGTGGCAGCGAAGACCCTGCTACATGATGCACCCCCCGACTCGTTCAAAGTCACCATTTTCGATGCTCAATCTCGAATCGGAGGATTATGGCCGACGAGCAAGGATGATGCCGGTGGTCTCATTCACCCGTTCATGACTGCTAACCAGAGCAAACACACTGTCCAGTTTAGTGATTTTGCCTGGCACAGCTCTACCCCAGAATTCCCTCAAGCGTGGCAAGTGGGTCAATATCTGGAACAGTATTCCCACGAGTATGGGGGTGCCGATATCCGACTCGGCCACAAAGTCGTGAAGGCCGACCTACAAGGTGATGGCTCGTGGCAGGTGCAGACAGAGTCGGCTAAAGGGGCGGAGATTAGTCATTTTGACTACTTGTTGGTCACCACAGGATTCTTCGGGACGCCGATATGGCCGGATATCGTGCCGAGGGAGGCGGATGTGCCGATTGTTCACAGTAGCAAGTACCGCGATATCAGGAGTCTCTTGGCCGGTTCAAAGGGACGCGGGAGCAAAATCTTAATCGTCGGGGGGCAGATGTCCGGTATAGAGGTTGCTGCGACCATAGCAACTTCTCTTTCATCTGCCGTTCACTCGCCGGGGGAGAAGATTATAGAGGAGCCGGAGAAATACACGATACACCATGTCATCCAACAGCCATCGTGGGTTGTCCCACTCTTCACGTCTCCCAAGGTAAGTATATCAAGTAAAAGTCTGATATTTAAGAGCAATGAATAATGCCTAACAAGTCGAATAGCCAGCGGCACCAGCACCCCCTTTTCTACCATGCGATCTACCTTCATACAATCTAGCTAACCGCCCACCTCCAATGACGAATAGTCAGGGGCACATAAGCGTAGACGCGGCGCGCATTTTCCAGTCAATATATCAGTCCGTTTTAGGTACTAACCAGTCCGAGTTCTCGGAACAGACGAAGATAGATGGCGACTTACTCGACGTGCCGCCCTTCGTAGCGATGAGTTCATATTACATGGGCTTCGTGTGTTCGGGACTTATCAAAATTAGTAAGGGAAAGTTGGATTCACTTTCCGGAAATGCAGCTACCTTGACGCCCGGAAACGAGCAGATCAACGATATCGCTGCCATCATCTTAGCAACGGGTTTCGACCCATCCGAAAACCTCTCCTTTCTCCCACCAGAGGTCCTCCAGACCATCTCTCACTCGCCGTCACATTCTAATCTACCCGTCGCGCTCGCCTTCCACGGCACGCATCACCCAGCCTTGCCCACTCTCGGCTTCGTCGGCCTCTACCGCTCTCCCTACTGGGGAGTCATGGAGATGCAAGCGCGCCTCGTCACACAGCTTTGGGCAACTCCAGACAGTCCTCAAACCCCATCTCAAGCTCTAGCGCAAGCCCTCACAAACGACGACACCATCGCGCGGACCTTAGCTCTACGCACAGACCCGCGCGTCTCCCAGTTCCCGATGGGCGACTACGCCTATCTAATGCAGGAGTTCGCGTGCGCCCTCGACATCCCGCTTACCCCGTTCCCCCCCACACCACCCCTTGCGAACGGGAAACCCATGGACATCCTGACCCCCGCGCGCTACGCCTCCGCGACAACACTATCCATCCCGCGTCGACGCGACCACATCGACGCCAACCTCCGCAACACCCACGCCACCGCCGTCGCCGGACTCTCCTCCGGCCGCTTCGTCGCCGGCGCCGTCTTTCGCTCGCTGCTCGGCGAGTGGCATCTCGAGCGGGACATCGCATCACAACTGCCCTCGCACCCCAGCGGCCGCTTCATCGGCACCGCGACCTTCCACCTGCGCGAGGGAACCTCCGACGGCCGCTCCTCTTCTTCTTCTTCTTCTTCTTCTTCTTCTTCCCCTCTTCCAGGTCTCGAGTACCTGTACATCGAAGACGGCGTGTTCACGGCGCGCGACAACCCGGCGATGTCGTTCCGCGGGACGCGGCGGTACGTCTACCGCTACGACGAGGAGACAGACAAGCTGAGCGTGTGGTTCGCGCAGACGGACGATGCGCGGCGCGCCGATTATCTTTTTCACGACGTGGAGTTCTTGCCGCCTACCACTACCACTACCACAACCACAACCACCAACCCCATCGCCACCGGCGCCGCCGCAGAAGAAAAACACCGCCAGCTTCTCGTCGACGACACGGACACGGACACGGACACGGACACGGACGCGCGGAAACAGAAGCGGGGGTGGCTCGCGCGCGCCAGCCACCTGTGCGTCGAGGACCTGTACGACGTGCGCTACGAGTTCGACTTCCAGGCGGTGAACCTGCGGGAGTGGAGGCTGGGGTACGCGGTTAAGGGGCCCAGGAAGGATTATGTTATTGATGGGGTTTATAGGAGGGTGTGAGGATAAGGGGTAGAGGGAGTGAGAGTGAGAGTGAGAGTGGGGGGGGGCAAGGGGAAGGGGAAGGGGAAGGGGGTGGTGTTTGTTTAGGTAGAGATACTATATATTTCTGTATACCTAGCATAGCAGATAGCAGTTGAAAGGAATCATAGTTCAAATAGGTAGGTAGGTAGGCAGCATTAAGAACACGGAAATCTTCCTTGGACTTTATTAACGAGCATGGTATCGACTAGGTACCTAACCTAGGTGTTCATAAATCTGTATCTGAATGCTATTTTGGTACCAGCCAAATCATTGATTCATCTACCTAATTCACCTACCTACGTAGGTGCGGTGCTTCCCAAGCCACTACGAACCCCTTTTATTTTAAATTTAGGTGTCTATAACTACCCCTCGCATCGATACCTAGCATCTGTAATCTCACACCCCAAGTATCCAGCTAGATACCTGGATAGCAGGCAACCACTCAAATACGAATCGGCACCGAATCGCTCCTCACCAACGGCGACCCAGCCTGATCCTGCACCAGCGCATTCTTGCACTTAACCTTGTGCACAAAATCACTCAAGTTCCTAATCGTGCCATCAGCAATCTCGCGCAGCGCCTCCTGTGTGAAGAACGCCTGGTGGCCGCAGACGAGGACATTGTGAAAAGTGGTCAGACGCATGAGCTCGTCGTCATCGATGATGTGGCCCGAGTGGTCGTTGTAGAAGAGCGAGCCCTCGCCCTCATACACGTCCAGGGCGAGGCCACCGAGGTGCTTGCTCTTGAGGGCGGCGATGACGGCTTTGGTCTTGATGAGGCCGCCGCGCGAGGTGTTGACCAAGACCGCGTCCTTCTTCATCTTGGGCAGCGTTTTCTCGTCGATGATGTGCCGCGTCTTTTCTGTGAGGGGGCAGTGCAGACTCACGATGTCGCTTTGCGAGAGCAGGGTGTCCAGGTCGGTGTATTTACCGTACTTCTTGAAATCTTCGCTTTCGAAAGGGTCGTACGCTAGTAGCTCACATCCAAAGCCGTTCATGATGCGCGCGAAGGCGACGCCGATACGGCCTGTGCCGACCAGACCCACCGTCTTGCCGTAAAGGGTGCGTCCCAGCAGGCCATCGAGGTTGAAGTTGCCCTCGCGCACACGGTTGTAGGCCCGGTGCGTGTTTCGGTTCAGCGTCTGTATCAGGCTCACGGCGAACTCAGCCACGGCCTCAGGCGAGTATGACGGCACGTTAGCTACGAAGAGGCCGAGGCGCTGGGCCGCTTGTAGATCCACGTTGTTATACCCGGCGCAGCGTAGCAGGATGGCTCGGGCACCACTGGCATGCAGAGATTCGAGGACATCGGCATTGAGCTCGTCGTTCACGAAAACGCAGACGGCGGCAGCGCCCTTGGCAAGAGAAACGGTCTCGAGCGACAGGGGAAATTCGTGATAGATGATTTCGATGCCGGCGGAGCTGTCGAGCTCTGTCGCCCGCGCAGTGGTCAGGTATGTCTTGTCGTAGGGCTTAGCGGAGAATACAGAGAGCTGCATGATGGCTGTATTGGTAGGTGGGATTTCGTGTGTCCTGGGTATCAGTAAGATAATAATGACGTTGAAAGATAATCTAGGGCTACGAGGTAAGGTACGTGTTTGTGAGTAGTATACTCAGAGTAGATGTAGGTCAAGTGAAGTTTATACGACTATTGCATGATCGACTCTACCTATATTCGATTTCATGCAAACTAGGAATGACTAGCAAGGTAAGGTAACCTAGAAGCTAGGGAGGAGAAGAATCAAGGATTACCTCAACGCTCAACGTGGTGTGGTGCTCGACATTAACTTCCTTGGTATCTTGGTCCTGCAGTCTAAAGGCGGACACAGCTTGGCAAGCCGAGTTCCATGACCTTGATGGAGCTTATGGAACTCGTTGTTGGTCAATGTACGCCACTTGCGTCTCTTCAGCCTCACTTGCTGCTAGTGCTACATGAGGTGACGGGTGCAAGATGGGAGAAGCGAAAAGTGAGAAATGAGAAATGAGAAATGCGAAATGAAAAGTGAAAAGTGATGAAGTGATGAAGAATGGAGGGGTTACAATTTCAAGTTGTGCATATAGCTCTTTATGTGATATGATGTAAGTACAGTATACTCGCATATACTCTACTAGATGCATACAGCATACAGCTTCACACGGTGAAGGGATACTCAATATCAGCTGCCGATTGCTTTAGTTTCTTGTTTAAAGTTGACATGGAACCTTGAAAGTTGGCATACACAGGTACATGTATATACCTACCTAGGCAACTATGTCCGAGTGTCATGGGTCCCTCGAGCAAAATCTCAGGGCGGCATCCCGAGATACTCATGCAAACCACATCTTTTATACTCTTTCCTACAGCATCACTGTTTCTCAAACGCGAGTGATTTGTGCGAGCTTTTATATACCGAATATCCACAGGTGTGCAGGCCGTAAAAGATCTAAGACAAGAAGGAGATATACCTACCAGATACAACATCACACCCCCATTACATCAAAATGAATCTCTCAGAAGCCTACCACATCCTCGGCCTCCCCCACGACGCCTGCAAGGCTGACATCGAGAAGGCGTTGCGGATCAAAGCCCAAGTACACCATCCGGACCGTGTACTAATGCGATCGGGGGACAAAGACACAGCGGAGCAACAAGAGTCTCGGATCCGACAGGCGACCGAAGAGATGAAGGCGCTCAACAATGCCAAAGAGATGCTCCTCAACGCCGTCGGTACAAAGGAGTCGTCGAGACTAGTACAAAAGGTACGAGTGGTGTCGACAACAAAGAAATTCGGCAGGCGGTATTATCAGGATGCTGCGGACAAACGTAGCAATGGCAGTCGAGGGACAGCAAAACAAGGGCGCTTCCCAGCTCGTAGATTCTCCGGCAGCAACCTCGCAAAGTTTAGCATGGACACCACAGACCAGCAACCCAACCCTGGCGCCGAAAGGGAAGAGCAGGTAAACTGGGCGGACGATTTCCCAGACTCTCCTGCGCCCCCACACACCGAAAACAACAACAACAACAACAACAACAACAACAACAACAACAACAACAACAACAACAACAACAACAACAGCAACGAAGCAGGCGACGACGACGACGACTCAACCTACACCCCCACTCCCTCCGAGTACTCCTCCGCCGCCTCCTCCCTCGCCTCCCTACACACCACCCTCTGCACAACCGCCGACGCCATCGAGCGCGTGTCACTAGGGAGCCCGTGCCTCGAGCTGTGGCGGCAGATATGGCTGACGCTGCACCTGGCGGGCGCGACGACGGAGGGGGTGTGGGGCGTGGTGCGGTATGCGTGGCCGCGGACCCTGCTGCTACAACCACCGCCACCGCCACCAAATAAGAAGGGGAAGGAGAAGGAGAAGGGGAAGGGGAGCAGCTTGGGGCCGGGGGAGTGGGCGAAGCTGCGCTCGTTTCTGTGGAGGGGGCGGGCCGCGATGGATCGGTGCGAGCGGATTCTTGGAGGTTTGGAGACGGGGGCGGGGCGGGGCAGAGACGTGAACAGAACCCGGATGAAGGAGGAGAAAGAAGTAGTGGCGTGTCTGGAGCTGTACAGGGCGCTGCGCGCGTTCCCGATCGCGAGGCGGAAGAAGATGGATCTTGCGTGGAGGGAGCAGGATCGGTTGATGTGCGGTATGATGGATAGGAGATAGATGACTGGTTAGATAGCTGGTCGTTGGGACATATTCAATGGTAGATCTTGCCTTTGGATTGTACTGCGCCTAGTGTTGGCTTGAAAACATCTAACAAGGTCTTGCTTATTAGTAGTTCATCGTCCTCGTGCGTAGAACACCCACCCAAGTATTTTCGTACCCCTTTTCTTGCCCCTATACCCCCAGAGGGATTTTTAATGAAGCCACCTTCAGAAGTCACTTCCAAGATAGACAATACCCAGAACACATATATCTGCAAAGCACAATGTCTAATAGCGAAGACTTCCTTCCTTTCTTAACGTTCTTCCATACCTAGCTACTACAAACCCATCCACCCTCTACTCTCTCTCTATCTCTATCTCGACTTCAACCCCAACTTCACTTCACTTCCCCCCTCAAAAAGAGAAGCAAAATCTCCCCTAGTTTATAATGCGCCCTCATAAAAGAACCTATCTATTGTTTCTTTCCTTTTCTTCTCCTTTTGGGAAGTCCAAATGTTAGACAGCAACAAAAACGAAGAGCACAAGTTTCAAGGTGATACGTATGATACCCTAAGCGAAAAGATCAAAATCTAAACGTTTACAACCACTGCTTAATACCTCACCACGTACGCCGCTGGTACGCAGCGCATACACTACTCCTACCATATGTATTGCAATACGTGATAGTTATTGGTTAGGCCTTGTCCACCGACAAGATCCGCTTGCTCTAAATCCAAGCAAAGACCCTGAGCAATCCTCCTCAACGATTTCCAAATGATCGTAATAATCATGCCTAATGAAAATATGCAATGCAATGCAATACCCACGCCTGTGATGCACCCGTAGGATCATAGCGATCCCCTTTGCCAAGTGGTATTTCCAACACGAATCACCAATTCAAATTCAAAAAACAAAAAGGGCAATCGCTGTCTATCTAATTTTTGTTTCTCTTTTTTTCCATCAGCGCTACAAATCCTCGTTTGTTAGAAGCTGATCCGTGTCTTCAGCTTCAGCATCATCTCCATCGTCTCCAGCACCGGCAATGAGCTCCGTCATGTCACGCATGCGGTAATCAAGTACGGGTGTGATCCAGTCATCCTTAACGAGCGAGTACGTCTCGAGGGCATTGTCTTTGGGCTTGCGTGGGTTGATAGCCCAGTAGCCAAAGTCAGCATCAATACGCTTGAGATACCGTAGCAGATTACGCCAGTAATTCGCATCCCCAACACTGGGATGATGCGGCGCACCAAACTCGCCGACCCATACGGGTGCCAGGTCATCTTCAACAAGATATGCCCAGTTCTTTCGCATCGCCTGAATGAAGGAAGCGTAGCCACGCTTGGCGTACCGCCCTTCCCGGCTGCCCCAGCCGGACCATGCATAGACGTGCGACGAGTAAACGACCCGGTCCGGAACGTCAAGCTTCACTGGCCGATCACGCACTCCAGTGAGGTCATTCCCAGACTCGGTCCCACCAACGATAATCAGCCAGTCGCGGTTCATCTTCAGCAATCTATTCCCACACTTCTCGGCAGCAGTTGCCCAGTGATCCCAAGTCATGGTGCCCCATACTCCACGCACCTCATTCCTGAGGTCAGCCCCGATAACTCTAGGATTGTCCACAAAACGCCCCATGATGGTCTCCCAATGTTGTATCCATTCTTCCTCCGTTTGCTTTACCCTGCATAAGGGGCCGAGGTGGTCATTGGACCAGCCAGCATCGCACGGATCGGCACCACAGCACCAAGTCGCAGTCGTGATGTGGTTGTTGATGATGACGGCGATACCAGCGTCTGTCAATGCCTCAACAACAGCTTGGAATATATCGAGGGCGCGTAGGCCTATGAGGTCGGGGTTGGCGGTAAGAAGATGGGGGAGTATATGTGGGTTACTCATGATCATCTCATCGGCATAAGGCATGCGCACGCTATTGAAACCTAGGAGGCGTATAGTAGAAGCGATAACAGAGCGATGCTGAACTTCAAGACCACCAGGGATGAAAAGCTCGTCACTTGCACCATACCAATTGACGCTAGCGAGCTTGTAGCGGCGGCCGGTGGCATCGACAACATCTCGTCCCTGGGTCCGTAAAGGTAGCGTGTAGCTTGCTATGCTAGATGCTTCATTAAACGGAGGCAGTGATCGTTCGCTAAAGAGTCGGTCACCAGCTTCTGGAGTCCATGGCTGGTTGAGGGCGGCCTCGGCTTTCCACAAATAATGGACATAGCCGCCGAGAAGGAGGAAGGTGAAGAGGAGGATCTGATACATTGTGTTATATGTAGAGTATAAAGTATCTAAGTACGCTGCGAGCGACCAATTGTCTTTGTTATAGCAATAGTAGCTGGAAGCTAAGGAAGGGGTTGGGAATCGTGAATGGGAGATCGTGAATGGCGAATCGAGGCTTGTTTTTAGATATAATGATGCAAAATACCAATATCTAGTACTTCGTAACGATGCGCAACAACTAGTATAGATGATGCTAACATGAAACCCATTGTAAAGTATAGGCTCTTGATAACCTTGGTTGGGTATATTCAATGTTGTTTGTAAAGAAGAGGTGTTGGGTATTTGGCGTAAGTGAGGATCATCTTTTTCAGGGTGGAAGAAGGAACAGAAGTGGGAAAGGTGAAAGGTGAAAGGTGAATGGTTCATGTCAGCTCACTGAAGCCAGCTGTAATGGAGTGACGTTAGGGCCAGACACTAAGACAGGGGGTACCCTGGTTCAGGGACGCAACCCCTCTTACCCTAACAGTTCCTAGTAGCTGGAGTCCAATAATGCATAACTATGTAACTACTACTAGTACATACCTCCACCAAGGCTTTATACTTGAACCCCTATGTAAATCCTCCATGTCACCTGCAATAAAGCCCTACAACGTCCATCATGGATAGGTACCAATACTAATATAAAGGGTATAACTTTTTTGATTTATACGGATGTAAATAACTTTAGATATCCAATAACGAATAACCAGTATTTACCTGCCTACCTAAACATAATAGACAGGTTGGGGTATACAACTCCAGGTACCTAGATAGGTACATAGTATCCAAGCTCGACCGACCAACTATCAACATTCGACTCAACGGCCGTATCTTCGTAGCCTCATCTCCCCATCAGCCTCCAATAGCAATACCTACCAAGTAGATACTCCTCGGCATTGCTATGTGCACTGCCCATAGGTAGCCCAATCACGTTTCATTTCGTTCCATCTCCACCTTCGCCTTCACTTCCATACGCGTTCGCAGAGTGATGCTTTTCCCTAAAATGGCCCTTCCTCTCCGGGGGCCTTTTCCTTCTTTTATTTCCTCCTCTCCAACTTCCAGCGTGTCGTCCTCCAAACCCTTGCGGTCGAACACGTCTTTTTTAAGTGGTATAGTAAAATGTGGTTTTTATAGATACAAACTTTGTCGAATGCCGGGACGCCGCGCTTTGAGCCTGAAAACACTGTTGCCAAAGCACTCAACCGTAGGAATAGAGTGACATAGAAGAAAAATGCACAGCTGTGGCCGCGGCGTATAACTTTTGGAAATAAAACGATAATCTCATATGAAGACGTGGTCGCGACTATAGTCAGCTGCTCCCGGTTGGCCGTATGGTGACCGCTGCGTCGTGTATTCATCTTCCTCCTCCTTTTCTATTCGGTTCATCGCTAACGGATTCATCCCTTCGTAGCCCATTGGTCGCGAGGTTGGCATTGGAGGAGGGTAGTCGTGTTGGTACGTGTCCCAGTGCGTCTGCTGTGGTGGTCTAGGCGACGAAAACGAGCGTTGGTGTGGTTGGTATCGCGCAGTCGTGCCGAAGTAGTCGGGGGTGTGGCGTCCGCCCTGCGCAGTCGGGGACATGGTTGTGCTAAGCGGCGTCAGCACGTGGTCCGTTTTACCGGCATCGCGAGACAACATTTCATAAGACCGAGGATCCTGCTTCAGTTCTATCCGAGCATCCACCGACACGAATTCCTTTTTGGTCTGAATACCAAGGAGAGAAGAAAATAACTCGACCCAGCCGGTGAACATTGACCAGCGGCCAAGTAGTAAAAGCAACCAAATGCCATTCATCTATATTGGATGTTAGTTTGTTCAAGATGATAGATACGGAGCATTGATAGGTACTTACCGCCAAGAGGACCAGGACGGCTGTTACAGTCGGCAGATTAACCACCAGCTTATTAGCTAAATCCAAACACTTATTCTTATCACCACGGGCTCCCACAAGGCATGCCGCCCAAGCCAATGCCTTCTGTGGGTCGGTCTTGATCGATTGCACCGTAGTATCTAAGAAAACGAAGATGATGGCAAAGAAGATAACATCAGCAATGATGACTAAGACAATGACGATGCCACGCCATTGGAGTTGAATAACACGCCGTACTCGTCGGTATGCTTGGCGGGGCGTCATAGTACGAATACTGTTGGTATAGGAAGGCATTCCAGAGCCCTCGGTTGAGGCGCTGTTGTCACTCAAAGAGGCGAGATAGACCTTGATGCAGTATCCGAAGGTGGCAAACTGTATGATGACGGTAAGGCCTGCGAATACCAGGAGCGGAATCCAGAAATCGGCCAAGCTGTTCTCGTGATTAATGTGGCAGGTAGCACCGAAACGAAATGAAACTCCGCTGAAGAGAAGGAGGAGGATGAGTCCGATGATGGGAATGCCCCAGCCCAGCACCTGAGAAAACCACATATAGCTTCGGCCCACAACCAACTGCCAACAGATCTGGAGATGTAGAGAGAGCGCTCTTAGGAAAATCCACATGATCCCAGCCCAGCCACCAGCAAGTAGGAAAGACCCCGAAGCGGCGCATACGGAGCTCGTGTCCATCCCGTGGGGAGTGATCTCGTTGAAACATTGTTCGGGTTTAGCTGCCAACGGAATGATAAAGCCCAACTATGAAAGAAAGGTTAGCTATCCGCGCTCCAGACTTATACCCCTGACCAAGGATTAACTCACATTCATCAAGACGACAGCGAAAGTGAGACTTATGCTGAGATAATGACGATGTGTCTTTTCGACGGGAAGCACAAGCCAGGAGAGCAATAAGAAGCCGCAGCAAACCATTCCAACGACATTGACCCAATTCGCGGCCGCCGTTGCTGAATTGAAATTGTCTGGGTAAACCCAATCCGTCATAGGACATGGCACACAGCAACTCAAGGTTCCAAGAGGCGAGCATAATCGTCCCTCCACGTCTATCAAATCATTAGAAGAAGAAAAATGAGTTAGCAGAACTGATTCAAGACTTACGTCCTCCATCTATAGGAAACATAGCCTCGTTGAAGAACGGCGCAAAACACCCTCCGCGGAGGGTGGTAATCGTATCATTCGACATGTTGGTAATCGTATAGGTTGACTTTTATTACTCGATAATAACACTCGATAGGAACCCGAGCAATAACACAGCTTCCTAGCGCAAGGTAAGGTTGTTCCTCGCTGCTTTCGCTACTTAAATCGATCAAATAGACCCAGGTTGTTGAGGTTCACTCCCGACAAATCCTAACCGAAGGCGTCACCCAAACCCGAAGAAAGAGAGGTATCCGTATGTGTGTAACTATAAATCGATCTGCCGTATTTCGATGTTAGATGTTAGAAGTTAGATCTCGAAGTCCACAAATTATGTGGGTTAGAATCCGGGTCTCTTGATAACATGAAGACAGGGTAATCGTCTAATGACTTCAGACTAATAACTAGACGAAGACCGAGGTGTACAGCAGATATTATTCAAGCGTGGTGGATATATAGCCTAGGTAGTATTCATGGCCCCGAAGTCTCATGTAGATGAGGCAATTCTCATACACATGAAGCATAAGGAGTGGTGCGAAGTTGAACAGAATGACACATACACAGAAAAACGAAGAGGAGAAAAAAAGAGACCAGAAACATACAAATATACAAGAACAACAGGGAAGGAGATCATATTTAGGTGAGTTGCGCTTGAGAAGGAAGGGTAGGCATAGTACATGTAACCTAGCATGTGGAACAGGGCCGCCAAACTTGGTAGCCAATTGACACCATGAGTTAGGCCTTGGGGAAGCGGGCTCTCTGTGGATCCAGCTCTCGAGATGGGTCGTGTCGTACTGCATCGCAGGTACAATATGTGTGTGTGTATGTACATACAATGAACTGCACGTTAGAAACAGCAATATGTGCCATGCATGTACAATATAATACACACGAGAACCCCTGAGGGGCCAATAGCCCCCCGGTCCTCTGGCTCTCCCTGACGTACAATCTTGGGTCCATATACTAAAATAGTAGAGACTGGACTGCTGAGTGGTTGAAAAAAGATGTGACCCCCGATTGATGAAGGCCGGTGGACCACATGGGGAAGCTAGTTACGGCATAGTACTAGGTATGCAAAAGGCTCGCCATCTTGCCAAGTCCCTGCCTATGGGTATCCGTACCTACATCGTGGTGGTCTTTACCAGTCTTCTGGTTACCCTATGCTCTTGGTTGTCAAGGCTGATCGACAAGGAAGACTCTTTGCACTAGGTAGGCATTCCAGATGAGCTACCCCTTGTCGGACCTGGAAGGACTCGGCTAAGACGTGCTCGTTTCGACTGGTAATAAGTTAATCAAAGTAGCTTCGGCCTGTTGATGATTGGCATTTCTACTACCCATATAGCGCTTTCTAGCTTTCTAGGAAGGATTATAAAGAAATAAGGAAATTAGATATTAAAAATTAGAACTCCAAGCGCTCTCGTGGACTCATAGACTCATGGTTACATGGTTGAATTGTTAAATGGTTGGCCTTATCGTAATACGAAGTACACTATAGTATAGTGTATAGTATAGTGTATAGTATAGTGTATACTACAGTGAATGGGTAAGTAATGGAGCAAGGAATTGATTCGTTCAGGACTCGGTTAGGGGAGGGAGGGGTCACTGTGGAATGGCAGGATCAGCTCAAGATGGAAGGTTTGTGGCAAGTATCAAAAGAAACGTGTGAATTCATTCAATGTTCACAGTTGAGCTTTCCCACTTACATAGTTCTCTGATCAGGTCGCACAAATTGCACAAATGCATAAACATGCATACAATGTTTGAACTTTTGGGCAAGCGCATTCGTATGCACATTGCACAGAAGTGGCCGCATGCAATATTCTGTCGGTATCGCGATCAGAAAAGGATTTGCTATCTGCAAGTCATGCTTATTTTATTTTTAAATTTTTTTTATTCTGTGCCTCACTCTAGCCCCCCCTTTAATTGCCACAAAACTAGTCCTGCAGGTACATCCTCACTCTCACTCATCACTGATCAGAAATATCAGACACAGCCTAAAATGCAATGTGACAAGCAGACTGTCCCTGCATTATGGATACTCGGTTTTCGCAGAGTCGGAAGTCATCCCGTCAAAAAAGACAAGACTTCAATGCTCGTGATATGTACCTATTAGGTACGTATGTAATATAAAGAGCCTACGCCACCAGCTGGTGTGGGAGCCATTAAGAATTCGGTCCTCCAAAATACCACCATTCTGCGTATAGGTATGTACAAGGGCGAGACCAATCCATTCACCATAAATGCTACCAACACTGAAAAATAAGACATCCATTGGTGCATAACCTCTTGTGCTATTTGTCTTGCTTTCACGCGTTCCAGGTTGCCAAGCTAGAATACTCTCAATGAGCTCGACGGAGCTCGACGAGAGTCGGACAAGTTCATACCATGTCACGATGCTTGTCGATAAATTGGTGTCAGCCCTGCCAAACTCTCGGTTCTGCGACTTTGAAGCTCAGACTGCTTATCATATGGATATCATGCAAAAACAACCCGACAATCGGTCAGTGCCTTAAACCCGATGTTCGCAGTGCCGGCCCAAACTACCTCATAGGGCAATCCCGCTGTGGAGAGAATTACCTTGCAGCCAGCATCCCTAGTCGGGGAAACTGAATAACATCTCCCAAGAAAACAAGCACGTATTGACTCTATCTCCACAAGGCAACAGGGCCAACTACAGCGAACCATCAGTGTGAGCCATGAAATGCCCAGGTGATCGTAGGTAGCCTAAGGTAGGAACTCCACCAACTGGACCAGCTGAATATCCAGATCTCATAGCCATTCGTATCCTAACATCACATCACTAACTAGGTTATCGTACTTGGTCACGGGTTGCAAAGTCTGGTTGAGCCAACCAAAAGAGACACAGGGGACAAAAAGAGGCAACTTGTTAAAAGATTTACAGCGAGTTAGAAGAGACATTCGACGATATTGTTTCCTGGCGCCACAGAAGAATTGGCCTCTTAAAACTGATATCATCAGCCGCGCATTTCTACTGGTCCGACCGTATGCAGGTCTTAGATCCAATTTGCAACATGCATTTGGATGTACCTAGATTTTGCCTTACATACAATTGCAAACTCCCCACCGCTCCACTGTTCTACCATGCTCACCTGGACATGCAGGGGGTTTCTGCATTACGACAAGGGGATCCGTATGCTTTGTGCCTCATTGCCCAATCGCTCAGATACCATTCATCTCGGCTAGAAGACGAATCCATCTTGATGAGCTCAAGAGCTTCGATCATGAAATCATAGTTAACTACTGTGTGCGATTTTAATCATTCTCTCGGCGCGACAATACGTCGAGGCAAGTCGGATAACATCAGTATTATGAGTAAACACATCTCTCAACTTGCAAGGGGACACTGTGAGGGACATGTGGAGCATTCACCTTCGACCGTTCCCCAATTATACCGGAGGTTAAGCTCGACGATCTAGAACGCGTCATATTTTAGTTCCTTGGTAAACCGGAGAGATGTTTGTAACGGAAGGTCAGAACCGTATCCCTACTTCGGCGCGTCTAATTATCGCCGGGTGCCGCAGGACGTCGGTCGAAAGAAGAAAAAAAGAAAAAAAGGCCTCAACAGTGCCGCGACGAAAAGCCCGGGCAGCAGTCGAGGTGTGTGATCAAGGTCCGCATTGGTGAACCTGGAACGCCACGGAATTTTCTGTTCACCATCACTGTAACCTGTCAGCCCCCTTTTCAGAGTAAGATATCCAACAGTGCAGTGAGGGGGGTCATGTTGTACAAATTACCATTACATTTTATTACTCCTAGGAACCTTACGCCGGGAATTAGATCGATAACTCACGCTCCGGGTGACGTTCCAACTTCCAGGCCTCCATTTGTCTCAACAGTCCGGCATGAACCGAAAATACAATCATGGATGGCGGCCAAGCCTGCCCTCATAGTTCCAACAAGCTGGAATTCAACTAGCAAAACTCGGTCAACGGGTAAAGTCTCCCACCAGGGTGCAACAATTTACGCCGTTTTGTAACAGGGCCGAGCCATTAGAAGCAGTTCTAGAAGAAAGACGAAAAAAAAGTTCTACATTCCTAATTTAGCATCTCACCTCTACTCCCACTTACGTAGCAACGAACGATACCCTCCTGGAGCGGTTTCAGAATGAGTCAGGGGTCAAGTTCCAAACCTGTCTACCTACATGCCTAGCCATCCGACTTTCTAAATACTACAGTAGGTAGTTATGTAGGTAAGCATCGAAGGCTAAGCGGCCGTTGTGCCTTTTACAAGACCCCCATATGTGAGTCACATCCTCCCAACATCGATGGAGGATAATATGTTGCCATCACATATGTATACTAAGTACCTAGGTAGGTATCCTTCCAAAGCCTGCTTCATACTAATCAAATTCTTTCCGATCCTGCTTTTAAAGTAAGGGGCTCTAGGATAAAACCGAAAGGCACGAAATGGGGGCTGAGCTTGTAGTTTTCTTCATGTATGCGTTCGTCGCACACGTGGGCGCCCAATTCATCCCTCAGTGAATCCGCAGCTAGTTATCGCAATACACCTTCTGCCTCACGAACCACCTATGCTTGGCACCCTATATTGGTACCTTGGCGCATCCAGCGAAGTTTCAAGTTCTTCTAACGCTGCTACTAGTGATAGTAATTCACCGCGGATGCAAGCTTATTAGGGCAATCGCTCACAAGCGGTCAGTTTAGTCTACACGTCGCCGACTGATTACTTGTTTAGGCTCATTTACGACAAATTAGTACGCATGTCTCCAGGATCGACTACGTATCTGTGCGTGGAGACGACGATTATCGTTGAGATTAATCTAAGATTCGGATCTCAGACTATGCACCTGGGCACTTAGAACTAACGTACATCTCTGTAGTCTGTACAACTTGTATGATGTAGGTATGGATGTACGCGTTCGGCAAATTTCGAAGCTATTGGTGAGACTTAGGTAGACTTAGGTGCCCCAGGTGGGTATAGCAACAAACTACGAACGCTGCCCGATCTATGTGAGTACATGAAGTAGATCGTAGATCAGATTTGACTACAAATTCATGATGATATTGGTCTTGCGCCTACCGATAGATCTACATAGGTGTTGGTTTTTACAGATACATGCACATATAGGTACCTATGTAGGTAGGTTAGGCAATGCACCTACATAACTCAAATCAATCAGACGATTTCGAGAACGTTGGAAGTTTTCGAGATCGTTGGCAGAAGGTTCAATGCCAGTCTCGATGCTCAAATCGGACGGACATGCTACGATATTGCATACTTCTCATGCGTCTGTCCTATTTAGTGAACCAACACTCTCTGTAAGAGGTTCTTCTTCACGTAATGAGGCAACTCGGGTCTCGCCTAAATATACCATTTGTCTTGCAGTGTACTGATCTGGTCCGTGGTATCAAAGACATGACGTTGAACTGTACCACGGCCCTCTCAGCCAGTCTTGACTCTGGAGAATCGAGTTCGAGTTTGGGGTTCCACGTATGGCCGGCGGGATGGTACACACACACACCTACACACCTAGCCCACGATACAACACCAAAAAAAGACGATGATGGCTTCAGGCTCACGTTGCATTAAGCTTATCTAGGTCTGATCTGAGACACACGTCTTACTCGGTAGTTGAAAGCAATACAGTAATACAATGCACACATACCGAAAATGCAGTAAGTAGATAGTTATCGTTTCCTCGGGTTCACCAAACTGTTCCGTTTCGACGATCCCACGTTCTTCAGTCCGGCCACGCTGCTTCCCGCGACGATCGTTCTCAGATATCCGAAACCCAGATACATATATCAATCCATGGGAGAATGAAATACATATGTACATACATTGATTTGATGCTTGAGGCCAAGCCACATTTTACCCACGTAGCACGGGTTGCGTACCTCTCTGTCGGTAATAGTTACATGTAGTTATCTATCTAACCTAGGTACAT